ATCACATGACCTACCCAGTTTGAAGCACCTTGAGATCAGCAGCTCTATTGAGTTAAGGACACAGTAAATAATTTTGTTTCATTTGTTTTATTATTGTCCGGATATATTGTGATGTACTTTCCAACAAGCAAGTAATTCAAACATCCTAGATAGGCCTGCAATTCCAATCTCTAAACATTCTCATAGTCAATAGTATCCCACTGCTTAGGCTGATTGATAACATCCTGCAACTGCTCCATAGCCCCCTGAAGATCATCCAGCCCCAGATGCAACGCCAGCTCAAGATAATCCTTGGTCCACAACCCCGGCGAGCCACGCGGGTACTGCGACCTAAAACCAACAAACCTCTGCGCTCTCTTCGACAAAGTTTTCGCAGTTTCCAACGTAATAATAAACGGATGCGCCTCAGATGGCGTCAAGAAACTCGGAATAACAGTAAGCTGGATACACTTCCGCTCCATCTCGGTCTTGTTCTCGCCCATGGCATGAATCACCTTTCCACCAATAAGCAAACAATCGCCCGTCTTCATCTCCGCCGGAATTGTCTGCCCCATGTTGCCGCGCTGGTCAAACGGCCACTTATTGCTCCCAGGAATAAGTCGCGTCGCGCCCTTCTCCTCTGTGAAATCCGAAAACGCAAAGAGGAAGTTGATCTGTGGCTCCGTGCCGTCGGGCCCAAGTTGTGCATACGGCGGGTAAGACGTCAGATCTCGGTGCAGGACCTGTCCCGGCTGGGGACCCAAGGCATTCAGCGTCGTTGCCGCGGACAGCCAGTAGTCGCCATTATGTCCCCCTTCGGTAAAGGTGCGCCTGCAGATGGTGTGGATGAAGTCATTTTCGAGGATGAGCTCGCGGAACGTCGGACTGTGGTTGATTATGTCGCCGGCGCGCTTGGTCTTTGTGCCGTGGAAGGCTGCTAGGTCTGGGTGCGGCACTCGCGAGCCACGTTGGACGGAGTCCAGGCGGGCTTCGAGTTCGTGGGTGATTTGGTTTGCTTGTGCTTCTGTGAGCATGTTCTTAAGGATTACGCCGCCGCTTTCTTTCCAATGTTTGAAGACTTCGTCTAGCGGTGTGTCGGATGTCACTTCGGCAATTTTGAGGCCATTGGGGATGGCAGTTTGGGGGGGTGTCTGTTGGAATGCGCCACATTTTGAGAATTGGGGGTGGCTCGAACGCTTGATTGGAGGGAAAGAAGGCGTTTGGACGACTCAATTGAAGTCAACGTGCTTTGTTGTGAAGTTTAAATAACATGAGCACCGTCCACAGGTCGTAAGTTGTTGTGCTCCCTCTGCAATTACTCAATTACTCTTTTAGTCTGTAGCCTCATGTTGTCAGCGTCGGGTCCCGTTCCCCGCAGCCCGCGCGTAGTCGGATCCCGGTCGCGTTTGTCAGAGAGCCCACTTGGTTTTCATTCTTTTCAGCTCGTACCATCCGGGAGATCTTGAATCTTGCATCAAGTAAAATTGTACAGGAGTTGGATGGTGATGTCGGGGCTCAAGACTGTAGACTCTTGGTACTATAGATACCTAGGTAGTTATGTGTCCATGAGCCGTATGCACCAGCCACTGGGCCAAGAAAATACCAAGCGTTGGCCTCTACATAGGGCAGATGCCGGTAACGAGACATTCTCAGAGACAGACTTCGCTCTAAATATAAAGCTCCATTCCTTCCAAGATGATGTACTGCTATTAGTGGATAATTTAGATATCCTTGGTATTCCCTGAAAAGGTTGACTCCCGGGGCTCGTTACACGAAAAGCCCTTTACTTTAATTATATGGTTATTGGTTTCTCGGTGACAACTCATGGAATCTATTTAGCTCCCCAGGTTCCCAAGGGTAAGGCTCGCCTGAGAGTCATGATCCACGCTACAAATACTGAAACAGAGGTCGATTACCTGGTTTCTACTATTTACGATTTCGTCAAGGAGATGATGGATATCGAGGAGAGTGGGGAGAAGGGAAAGATTCCCAAGGCTGCGCAGCAGATTTACGCGTTGATGGCCGCAAATGAGTAAGGCATGGCTATGTTGAGAACGCCCCTGCATAAGAGGTTCTAGGGGGCAAGAAAGTATAACCACCTATAGATACTGCTAGATCTGAAACGCGGTAAAGCGTGTTGTAGCGAAGCCTAGTCATGAGAAATATTATGTTTGCAGGATCAATCAACAATAACAAAGCCAGAGAAGGGCTAGTTATGGACCGGAAATTGTCTTCTGCTATGGTGTAGGGTGGGTCAGCCCCTCTTACCCCATTCTTAACCGACTTAAGCATTACCCGTGCTAGGCTATATCCGGTGTCATAATTACCTATAGTCGTTTTGTCGAACCCTGTAAACTAGAGTGTATTTGACAAACAATGGGGAAGGAATAACCAGAGAAGTCTGCTAGATTACCCCCTTAAGCATTAACCTTAATCCGGCGCATTTATATCTTATAGAATCACAGTGAATTCTTGATTATCAGACAGTCTCTCTGCTGTTACGCCCAGGTACGAAGAGACAGACATCAACCAACGTAGTAGCATTTGACGAAGAAACTAAGCATGAGGAAAGAAAGAAGGAGAGAGTGCGAGAGATGATCTAATTACATGATGGATGCCTGCGGCAGCAGGCATCAACACAGGCATCAACATCATCACATCTGCTACACTTTGTATATCTCATCAATATTTTAGGGCCATATTAGGCCACTTTTTAATCTTATAAATTATTTTTCTATAGTGTACAATATATCAGCAGGCGAGCAATCGAGGTAGTATTCTCGTGCTATATAGATTGCATAGGAATTGCGCTCCAGAAAGATTTTTATAATCAATATTGATAAAGATAGGCACTCAAAGAAATTTGACCAGACTAGGGTTCGATCCTAGGACCTTGTTGGTGTTAACGACATATAATGATTAGGGGTGATTGTAGAAAATTTATAGTTGTACGTGCTATTTTATCACTATATTATATGCTGCTGGAACCGCCTCTTTGACCGCCTTTTGTGTAGATCGGCCGAAATCAGGTCACGCACCCCACGCAAGCTACGGAGTTGCCGACATGAGCGTTTGTATCTGCGGTAGCCTGTAGGAACCGTAAGCAGAGCTCAGAAATCAGCCTACATGTTCCTGCTGAATAGATATTGGACGAGAAAATACTGACAGAGAAAGTCGAAGGGGCAACACCATGTTGATACTGTGACCCCTGAATGGAAATGGTTATGGAATGATAAGTAAAATGTAGACGTTCAATGAAGGTGGTTAAACGGAGTGGTTAAACGGAGTGGTAAAAGGGTGTGGTGAAAGGTGGTTAAACAGAGTGGTGGTTAATAAGAGGTGATTAACGGAAACGGCCAGTAAACAGTAGAAAGCGGTCAGCAGAAAGACACTGAGTAGAAAATGGTCAACAAAGAAATGGTCAGCAACGAATGGTTAGCAATGAATGGTGGCCAACTAATTGTGACCGACGACAAACGATTAATAGCAAACGATTAATAGCAAACGGTCAGCAATAAACGGTTAATGTTGGTATCACCAGCTAGGTACCGTGTACACAGTTAAGTGGACAGTGTATATGCTTCCAAAGCAAAAGTCAATTGATTCATGTAAGATAGATGTGGGTTCTCAGTCAGGTCGGGTTCCAAGATATCCCTTAATCCCATGCTCCGATACTGGGCAGTCACAACACCGGAGCCGCAGCTCTGCGCAAGAATGCGTACACCAAGCAAGGGATGTTATCCCTCGGCTGACAGAAGGATATATCCCGACAGTTAACAACAACGGACGCGAGTAAGGAGTGATGAGCGGCAGATGCCCCAACAACAATCAAAAATTCTCACCCATGCTGACTTTGGCCTTGGGTGAGTGACACTCTGCCTCATCCTCAGCTTATTATTCGTTTATCTGGCACGTATATATTGAACAAGAGTACGAGCCAATACCTCCATTTGCAAGACAACCTCCAGATGGGCCTTTTGTTTCACCGCCTTTCTGAATATTCGTCCGCTCACACTGAATATACTTGATGAATATGAAATATTAGACAAATGACCTATGAGTAAAACGCCGTCCGCTGGTCTGCGGCAGGCCCCCGGCAGGCCCCCGCTTTTGAGTAAAAGAGAGAGGAACGCTCCGGAATTATTGAATTGAAAGTTCTAAAAGATTTAGATCTCTGCAACCTAAAGAAGTCGAACTTGGGGGACAGTGAGTGAAGTAACTGCATATTTTGCGGCTACTCGCTACAGTACCAACCCAGGAGAAGAAGAAGAAGAAGAAGAAAGAAAGCGGTAATGACGGAGGCCCAGGGTAAAGCTGGTTATTAAGAAGAGATGAAAGCACTTGGAATTTTTAGGACGAAGTGCATAGAGCAGGAGCTAGGAGTTGACGGGAGAAGACTCTTTAAATATTAGGAAAGAAGGCTTGAGGTGGTTCAGCACCTAACAAAAGAGCCTTTCTAATTTTCTAATGAGCGGCTACACACTGATGACAGAGAGGACAGGCCATGACGACATGCCTGATTGTCTGGCCTGAGTACCCTGAGTGAAGGGTGAGCTGATCCCTGAGCAACCATGAGTGCTCAGGGGAGCGCTCTCTGAGCACTCAGTGAGCACACTGTAAAAGTGGCCCGAAATGAATCACGTGATGATACAATGACTAATATTCTGGTAAATAGGACGCTTAAAATGGCGTCAAAAGTAGCCTTTTTCGGCGCCCAATTTACCTTCACTTAGCGTTGGGGTGTAATCTCCTTTCCGTCCTGTTAATGTAGATTCCTTTGGCGCACGTTAAGATTATAGCATCAGAAGAATAAAACATGTGAATTTTTCTGTTAGAGGGATTTCCATGGTCAAGATTATGGCATTAATACTTAGGTAGAAAAGATTTAAAGACATATTCCTCGACCTTTTGACTCAATATGCGTTCTGCACCACAAGTTTCCGAAAGGTAACCTCGAATCTCAAAACCATAACCATTCTTGGAGTGCGATAGGTACTAGCACGTGGCCCCTAAGATTCAAATCAAAGGTACATTCTCATTTCCAACTCCACAGCTCCTCCTTGTTGTCTTCCGCAGGGCTCACCAAGTAAATTTAGCCTCAGCGCGAGAATCTGCGTCACCGGTGCCACCTTCGTTGGACTCGCCTCGTGAAGAAGCAACCCCCCGATCGATGACTCAGGGGTGTTGTGTTTCGACTGGCTGCTGACGCCAAACTCGATCTCTTTTTGCTCAGACTCGACGCAGGCCTTTGCAAGGCCACGCATGACATCGTCAAGTGCCTGCTCAAATTTGGCATCACTGGCACGGAGACCACATCTGGAGTATCGGGCCTCCATGTGGGCGACGAGCGCAGCCAAGCTCGCGAAGCGCTTGGAGCACCGGGGGCAGCTAAAGCATCGTTTGTCAGTTTGAGTCTTCTGTGCGACCAGAGGAACAGAGAGCACTCACCTATTATGTTGTTCTTCTTCCCTCGTGGGTTTCATTTCCAGCGGGAACCCGAGATGATACTGAAACGCGGTCACATACTTGAAAGACTCGCCGCAATCGCAATAGAAGAGATCTTCGTCTGGGTTCCAGAATTCTTCAAAGTTCGCACGATGGATGCGGCTGTGGGCTGTACCTCGGTGCTTCGAGAAGTCAGGACGGAAATGAGTGCCTTCGGCTGTCCAACGGACATTCGGGGTAGATGCCTTGTCTTCCATGTTGCCAGAAGTGGCATGAAGTGGAACACCTCCATCCGCATCATTGTCTTGGCTGGAATCGCTTGAATCAGCGTCCTGTAAGGGCTGTGGTTCGGGTAACGCCCCGCCATTCCTCAGGCACATTATCTCGGGACGATAAATTTTGCCAAATTTCAAGGGTTCCTTTGGTGTACCAACGACAGGACACTTCATGTCTTCAATGTGTTGGATCACCGCGCACGCTGACTTGAATTTGGAACCACAGCCGGCGCAAGCCATTTCCCGGGTCTCTGGGTGATTCTAAAAAAAAACAACTAATTAGTACTGCTGTCTCCTCCGCCTGTCACCGCATAGTTATTTGGGTGGTTGCATGGAATAAAGGAAGAACTCACATGTCTCATATGGAATTCCAGGCCACCCTGGCTGAGCCATTCGAGACCGCAATGAGGGCAGGCAAAGTGGCGATCGCTCATGATCTTGTGCAAATGAAGCGCCTGCGGAGACGGATAGATCAAGTCACATTGTATGCAGTGAGAGTAACGGTCTGCATCGGCCTTGTTATCTTCCGCCATGATGAACACTGTGAACTAAGCACAAAGAGATAGTGGTTGCGTAGCAATGATGTTTTGGATCTAGGAGGCTGGGCAAGGTTAGAATGTTGATGAAAAACGCGCAAATGATGGCAATGTGATGGAAACACGACGGCTAAGTAGCGAAAAGGCGAAGGAGGATGGAGTGAATGATGGGGTTGGGGCCTTACGCTGAGAACAGCAGTGCGATGCCAGAGCCCGGACGAGGGACGGGCACAACGACGAAAGGCAGAGGGAGAAAAGGAAAACAAAAGAATGGTGAAAGAGGACAAACGACGTTTTATAGTTGTGGGCGCGATCCTTCCTTTTTAGGCAGAGCTATCTCGCTAGGTCCTTCCCCATGAGCTAAGTCACGGTACCTCTACGTATAAGTTGGTCTGGTCTCAGAATGGCAGGAGCAGTGGCCTAGAATACATGTATCGCACAATACAAAATGCTGCGAATATTGCTTAGACTTGTAAAGACTTCTATCCACGGGTACGTGGAACACAAGTAGGCTATGCACTTAATCTTTCCTATCGAGCCACTTGGCAGAGGAAGAGGAGAAGATCACAATTGGAGGACCTAACAAGCCCTCTCAGCCGTAGCTATCACGTTCGCCCCTCGGGGAGTCTTGATCGATGACTTGACTTAAGCACGGTAAAAGAGGAGATCCACTGTATCGTGTCAAATTCTCTATGAACTTCTGGCCACAAACCTAGAATCGAGAGAAAGGCAACCTATCACTGCATTAGGACATCATCCAAGCATAGGTCAATGTACATGGACTTACCATTTTCCACGCAAGGTAATAACAGCCCAGTCATTACCCTGCGCATCCGTCTCCTTCTCAACCTTCGTCGAAAATGCAATAGCACTCATGATCCCATCCCCGAACTTCTCATTGAGAACCGCCTTGTAAGCATAGCCATAGTTCTGCACAATCTCATACAGTCGGTAGATAAGCGGCTCCTTGGGGGGCATTTCCACAGAGCGTCCACGATCCGGGAAACCGCCGAGCTGGTCCTCCAGAGGCTGCTGGGGAATCCCAAGGAGACTGGCCAGCTTCTCGATATCCTCCTTCGACGCCTTGGCCTGACCGTAGAAAATAGCAGCGGCAGCTACTTCACTGCGGCCCAGGTGCTCGCCTATTTTCTCGAAGCTGATCTGGCGGGCATTCTTGGCTCTGAAGAGCGTGGCGGATGCGGAGGGGTGCTCTGTCGCCTGGTTGGGGGTCAGCGGGGTTGCGGGATCACCGGGATGGTGAAAACAAGAATACCCACGTCTAGAGTCTGGTGGGACATGATGGAGGAACCTGTATAGAAGTCTTGGGATGGTTGAGGAATCGAGGTTGGTTTCTGTTGTAAACTTGTAGTCGCTAGAGCTGGGGGGGGGAGTGTCTGTGACAGGTTGCGGGGAAACACAATTCCGTTCCAAAGTTGACCTCGAGAGCTTCCATTCAGTACTTTCCGCAGTACTTTCACCACTTTCACTAGATAAGTCTGCATGGTTACATCGCTGATTTGCCACTGGATCTGCTCGTTGCCGGCCAGCATCTATGGAGATTAATTCATCGAGAGAGCGGTTATTATTTCGAACGATGAGTTAGGTATCCGACCTACATATCACAATAGGTCAGATGACTTCCCACAATATACAATTTGGCAAAAGAAGAGCTAACGATCGGCAAGGACCCACTGCTTTCGGCTGTGGCTGAACGGAGCTAATATGGCGGGAGATCTGCTTTAGTGTGGAGAAGATACACTCCAAAGTCCAACAAGACCCAACCGGCGAATGATAAATTACCCAACACTTTAAGCATGTACCTGTAGTGCTAATGATATACAGCAAGTGAACAGGGCATGTGTACAGTACCTTTTTGAACAAAACATCAACAAAGATCTTCTGTCCAGTTGGCGAGCTTCCCGTCAACTGGCAAACTTTCCGCCAACTGGTGAGCCTCTATCCAGCCAACTGGCAAGGGTATCCCACGAATTGTCCCAATGATGTCTTCCCAATTATGCAACTAAGCACCGTTCCCGCTGCCTATTTATCTCTCCTTAACTGACTGTGTCTTCAGATATGATGAATATAGAATATCTTGGCTTTACAGCTCCTAGGATGAGTCCTACCGACTCAATGGATCTTTTTTTGGACACGGCTCTAAAGTGTCGGCAAGAGATGTTAAGAGGAGCAGGTATTCCGACACACACGGTTTTACTTCAATGCTCTTTGACTCTAAGGGCATATACACTTTACTAGACCCACCAATCTTTGTTCTTCGTATGCATTGCATTTGCTTCCGAACGGTGCCTGGATCCCAAACCACACAAAGAGAAGCCCTTTTCCAATTAAATAACGACACGCCCCTCCTAGCTAAACCACTCATTCGCTATCTATCCAAGTACAGATCCCCCTAGTCTTCTACATTTACCACATGTCTTCAACACGAACCATATTCATCGAGAACGGCCTTCCGATCTTTGAGCATCATGCGCCCTCTACCGGACAGGCCTGGTGGGTGTCGGTTATGTTTCTACCTTGCGAAAAAGAATTCTCCGACGAGAACTTGATGAACATTGCGATCAAACGCCTCCAATCTGGGTCATACCATATTACTCAGGGCGTCCCTCGGCATCATCAACAACCGTTGTGCGTATCATTTCCAGTGGATCTGAGCCTTCCAGAGGATAAATGGGTTCCCTTCGCTATCAAATACGCTGAGCAATACAGGGAGGATATCATTGCTGGGTATATCTCTATTGATGCAGAGTATGTTTTTGGGTTAAGGAAGACTGCACCAGGTGTTTCTTGACACTGCATTTTTCTATGGAAGAGAATTGCCGAAAGGAGTCACCAAGTCCTCAACCAGCAATGAATGAGAGCGAAAGAAGTGCTTTTCATTTTGTAGTGATAATGAAGCAACACAAAGGTCCTACGACTCTCATTCCGTGGGGGTTTCAGCACTTCAACCTCCTACTTCTACCACCTACACCCTCGGAACAAGCAAACGGGGCGAATGATGCATTTTACACAAGCATCAGAGACATGCCAACTTTGGGATTGGGGTAATAATCTCCTTGCAAATATTCATCTGTATCAGAGTACCCATTGGTCATATGGATGTTCAAAATCGGGCTCCAATGCATCCCTCATAACACCAACTCCAGGTCGGATGTTAAGGGGACGATCCTCCTTAGAGGGATTTTCTCCTTCGCCGTAGATGAAATCCCATACCTCCTTTTCAATCCATATACCGTGTCCATGTGTAGGGCTCGCGTCCGCGATTGGCACGCCGATCGTAATTTTGGGTCTTGATCCCGCAACCCGGTCTCCCCATAGCGTGCTCTCCGATACCATTCGCTTGATTTCTTCCAGCATACTATACCAGTCTCCATCGCCAAGAAATTGCAGCATACTGAGTTCAATGGAGCGAACGGATTTTGGTAACGTCTTGAGGAAAGAGACACAGTCATCCTGTGAGATAACAAAGCCGGAGAGTTCGAAATGGCGCAGTTCCGACCATTATTCCACAGGCACAATGCTCCGTAATGGGATCAATGGATGTTCTCCGTCAGGGTAGAGCTCATCATCAAATGTTGTATGCAGCCTGAACTCTTCCGTTTCTTTTGCTTCACCGAGTGCCCGGCGCAGACGCCCATTAAGCAGAGATCGCCAGCATGCTTCGAGATCTTCCTCACGGTCACCACCGAGAAGCAAGGCAATATCTAGACGGCGGAAGCCCGGCTTCTTAAGCACGGTAGCAAAATGATTGTACTCTTCGCAGGGCTCGTCGAAGATTGTGCAGTTAATCCCCGTGGGGATAGAGTTAGAGGTCATCACCAGCTCAGAAACCGAGTTGGGTTCGTTGGCGAGGACACGTAGTGCCGTGCGGAACCCGCGGTACCGATCTCTGAGTTCTGGGTATTGATTCCACGGATATGGAGTAGCGGGCCCCATAGTGGCTCTAGAGTACAGCCAACCACGAGGAATGGGGTAATTAAAGCCTTTCGGGAAAGCACGAATCATAGGGGTCGGGTAAAGCGGGGTGATGAGGTTGCCGTGGGCTGCAGGTGTGATGGTAACTCTCTTTAGGGCAGGAAACCGCTTAACGCCAAACGCGAACGCTTCCAAATCACTCCGACCGGCAAGAACATCCTTCTGTTGACGCAGCAACTGCAGATAATGTTGCCAGGCCTCCCTTAGGGAAGGCTGAGCGAACACTTGTTCTCTGAGCGCGATATGGTCGGGCCAATCCACATCACGGCGTTCCCGACATTGTAGAACGTAAAGGTTTTCCTCACAACCGCTTTTGAACCACTTACGACACCCTTCACCCTCTTCAGACTCATGGCGCTCGGTAATCTCCTCTCTGTAGTGAGTGTAGTATTCCGCAGCCCATTCTCTGTTATTATCGGGTTCATCCTCGTCCGAGAGCAATTCATGTCCCTCATTGGTTTCAGCTATTCGTGCTGGACCCCGATGCAAGCGCACCTCATCCCAGATAATCTCGTTGATCTGATGGCGGAACTTGTCGTGATGCAATGTTGCGGAAGACCTCAATGTTGAGGGGGTTGGCGGATAAGAAAACACGATCGAGCCGGAGAAACACTGCATTGTTGAATTGCTTACATGCCAGGCGCAAAGATTTTATGTCGGCATTGGATAGATGTGACTCAATGCAGTCCCAGAGCTCCTGGGGGAGCGCGGGTAGACTGGTATAAGCCATAATATGATATTGTAGAGTTGAACTTGAGACTTCGTGATAAAGTGCGTTTTACAGTGGTGTTCCACAAGAACCTCCAGTACTTAGGCCCCCACTTTAAAATTTGACCGCTATCTAGACCGCCTATCTTATCCAGCTAGCCGAACCTCGCGCGTCCCCAACTATTGGATGGATTCGAGAGGTTTCTGCCCGACAATATTGAAAGTGGGTCCTTGGCCCCAAAGTACTGGAGGTTAAATACTTGTGGAACACCACTGTACACAGTACAGTTAGCCGATAGGTAGTATGTTCCTCCCCACTGTACTTGTACTTTAGCGTGGAGAAGATACACTCCAACCTACCTACAAGACCCAACCCGGCGATTCGCGAATGATAAATTACCCAAGTAACACTTTAAACGTGTACCTGTAGTGCTAATAATATACAGGAAGTGAACAGGGCATGTGTACAGTAGTACCCTTTTAAATAACTAACTAAAACATCAACAAATATCTTCTGTCCAGTTGGCGAGCTTACCGTCAACTGGCAAACTTTCCTCTTAAGTTGAGACGTTGTAACGTTATGTACCCGAATAAGTCTTTGTTATCATTCAACAACATCAAAGCAACTTGAAACACAGCCCTCAAAGCAAGAACCAGATTAAAATAGCCACCTCTACAGGTAGACGCAAGTCCCCAGTATCCCCATGGATAAGACCAACCGCCAGCCACCCGCCACGAACCCCATTGCGTTCTGCCATGGACAAGCCAGAAAAATCAACCACAGATATCTTCATGAGCATCAACCCCAAAGCCGTGAATGATATCGCACGCGGTAGGAAAACACATGTATACCGCAACTTTCCGCTCCCACCCACCGTTCGCCGGATCTGGTTTTACACCACTGGGCCTATGCAGATGATTGAGTATGTGGTGTGTATATCACACGATGATATTGGATCCACGGAGAACGCAGACGAGAAGCATTCTACGTACAGGTACCAGATTCAGCAGGTATGGATGTTGAGACGTGTTATCGGTTTCCGGGAGGCTGTTGCTAGGGGTATATTCAAGGCTGCGCCGAGGAAGTACTGTTGGGCTACTAAGGAGTTCTTGGGGAGTTGTCCTTTTGGTAGACAGTATCCTTTGAGGGGGCTGTAGGGAGTTATTTGGGAATGCAATTGCCTGATCCAGCACACTGGAATGTCCTTGTGGGATCATCTCGGTCTTTGAAATGACCTACAGAGAATGAACTGAACGATATCGGCACGAAAAGAACTAGAACCTAAGAAGCGGCCGGTTTGGTGTTTTAATGAATATATCCTTTCGGCTTTCATGAAGCGATATGTACGGAGTACAGTGGCACCACCAATGTCTGTGACCACCTTCATTCACCGCTATTTTCTGCCGTACAAAAAAGCTCCGTGGGCCACGATTCATAACGCGACGGGGTGTACTAGCCTATTTTGGGACAGCAGGGATGGGAGCGGTAAGCAACGGGCTATTGCTGTGCGGGCCCCGTTGCTGTGTCTCTGTACACAGTAGGTAGGGCCACCAGCGTTTAACTATGTATCCTCATTGGTGGCTGCGTAGGAGAAGTGAAGGGCCGGGGCCTGTGAAGCCGCCTCGACACGGACGGAAAGTCCAATGTCGGTGTGAAATGTTCAATGCTCACGAGTCACCCCCTTTTAAGAGCGCCGCGTGGTCATCTTCAATCATCAACTTATCAAGCATCTGGCGTATCCGAGTTCTTGTCCATTCCACCCTCAGTGTCAGAGATGCGGACCCGCATGTGCTTCGACGATGTCGCGTTGGAACGGAGTGACGCCATCCAAGACGCCTGGGTACACGAATTGTTCAAGGAAGACACTCTGATGGCGATAGGTAAATTTATCCTGAAACATCGTAGAGGGGTGCCTATTGAGCTGTGTGATCCAAAAGCTGGGGCGTTTAATGTTTCCTTCAGAATGAAGTTTGAGGACGGCGGTTCTGCAATCATTCGATTTCCCAAACCCGGTGCTACAATGTTTCCCAATGAGAAGGTGCGCAATGAAGTCGATATAATTAGGTATATTCAACAGCATACGACGATTCCCGTACCATTTGTCCTGCACTGGGGTACCAAAGAGGAAAATCCTCTCGGCCTTGGCCCATTTATCATCATGGAATACATTGACCATGTAATGGACCTGAGCGTCGCCCTTAACACCCCTGGATTTGCGATCAAGGATCGTCCGATTCTCGACCCATATGTTGATGACACCAAGCTTGAACTGCTATACGGGCAGTTCGCGGATATCTTGCTTCAGTTGTCCACGCTACGGCTGCCTAGAATAGGATCATTGGTCCAGATTGACGATTTCACTTGGGAGGTAGCGCAAAGACCACTATCCTATAATGCAAACGAACTCGTCCGTCTAGGGACTCTACCACGCTCGAAGTTGCCAAGGGTGAACGAAACTTTTCAATCAGCGTCAGCCTACTTCAGTACTCTGGCAGATCTCCACCTCGAGCATCTCACACACCAACAGAACGATGCCGTTGATTCCGCGGATGACTGTCGACGAAAGTATATTGCAAGATTGTTGTTCCGCAAGCTTGCTAAGGACGGCCGATTCACGACTTCGTCCACGAACCTCGGTCCATTTAACATCTGGTGTGACGATCTTCGGCCCTCTAACGTCTTGATCAACGAACATCTTCAAATCGTAGGGGTTGTGGACTGGGAATTCACTTATGCTGCGCCAGTGAAGTTCTCCCACGCCCCACCGTGGTGGCTGCTTCTTGAGCAGCCAGAGTATTGGCCGGATGGTATGGAAGCGTGGACGAAGCTGTATGAATCACGCCTTCAGACGTTCTTGAAAGTGCTACATGAACAGGAGGACGTGGCCATAGACCGCGGTAGACTGAACGATGAACAAAGGCTCTCCGGGCCAATGCAACAAAGCTGGGAGAGCGGTGACTTTTGGGTCGCCTATGCAGCGAGGAAGAATTTCGCGTTCGATGCTGTATTCTGGAGAAAGCTTGATGGACGATTCTTTGGGCCCGGAATGAGCACTGAAGACGACCGTTGGAAAGAACGGATAAATCTTCTTACCAAAGATGAAAGAGCAAATATGGTGGTGGAGAAGAAACTGGCAGAGATGGAAACAAGGATACTAGCCTGGGAGCCTGATGAGGTGGATCCGAAGATCTTGAACTAGTACCCTGAGATGGGAGTACGCGAAATGGCGCGGTTTTGAGAAGGCCGCCTATCTTCTTTCACTTTGTGAATTCGTGTCTATTACCTCTGTTAGATCACTCGGTAAATCTTTTAGGTGGTCTCTATATAGCAGCCTTGTGTAAATATATGGATCTCAGGCCTTCATATGCTCAAATCATGTCTCTTAACTAAGAGGTTGAATCACAGGTGGACGCGAATAATACCTATCCCAACGAAGGGAGTCGTCAAGCTCCAAATATCCAAGCATCTGTGAATCACCCCAGCATACTTTCATCCAGCCAACATCCTCCTCTGTACACCCTTCTAGTGGCTCCTCTTCTGGGCCAGGTCCCCCGCGTTCCGCTAGCTCTTCCGCATCCAACTCCTCCGGTTTCCATTCAGCGTTAACCAAACGAACGAATCCTCCATGTATATCATCCTCTGACGTGCTCAGGATCGAATCCAAGGCTTTTTGGTCAACCATATGAAAAAGCGGTACCTGACTAGGATCAATTCCTTGTTCCTCCTTTATCGCGGTCACAGCCCATTCATTGAATTTCTCACGTAGAGAGATAACCGTCGCACCCTCGAAAGAGCGATCTTCCAAGACCGTTGGAGCAAATCTACCGAGTAGATCTAGACCATTGCAACGCTCAAGGTATTTTTTGACGCGCTTGTGGAGCCGGACCATTAATTTCTCCCAATCGGAGTGACTATGATACGTGCATCGATAGATCACGAAACCCCATGTTTTGAATTCATCTTTGTCGAGAAGTCTCTCGAGCTCGTCGGCGCTGTTCATCGAGCTCTCGATTTCGGGAGTTCATTTAGAGGGATCACGTCGCGAAGCCATTTTGGTCGAGAACGGGGTTGGAGGGTTGGAGGGTGTCGAAGCATGGGTCGCTCCTTGCCAAGACAAGCCACGTGATCGGACTTGCTCCTGTGTGCGGAACGGCACTTGTATGTTCCGGAGAAGACAAGTGGAAGAAAATCTCCATATCCAGATAGCTTCCACAGACAATGACACAAGACAAGCTCATCCGCACCATATCGTCCGAGACACTAGATACACTAGACTTCAACAGAGGCCTGAAAGGTGGCGTTATATGCACAGGGCGGATCTTTTGAGCGGGAGAGCCAATGAGACTGCGCAGGCGAGTGAACTGATTTTTTTGCCAAAGTGTGGGCTGCGAAGAACACTTCTTGCAATCATATTGTCTACCTCACTCTTCTTTGGAAAGGGGAACGCTGTGTAGGCCGAGACCTGTGGAATGCATTTACTTATCAGTTCGATGACTGGGACGAAGAACAATGGGGCAACACAACGAACCGGGTACAGAAGTACCTCCGCCGATTTCTGATGGACAATGGCGTCTACGTGGAGAGCGAGGCCAGCCTACGGATTGCTAAGGTCCTTGTTGGAACTGGTGCAACAAGCAAGCAGGTTAAGAATGCCAGCGTCGTGGGATACCCCTTACACGCGTGAACAAATGCTAGGTCACATGACTCCTCCCCTGCTTGCTTGTTGCACCAGTTCCAACAACTTCTGTACCTGGTTCGTTGTGTTGCCCCATTGTTCTTCGTCCCAGTCATCGAACTGATGAGTAAATGCATTCCACAGGTCTCGGCCTACACAACGTTCCCCTTTCCAAAGAAGAGTGAGGTAGACGATGTTGCCCGTAGTTTGTTCTTGGGTCGGGGAAGAAAGCTTGTCGTACTTGTTGATACTACCCCATGTCTCTAGGTCAACACCATCGACGAGGGCTTCAGGGACTTGTAGGGTCGTGCCCTGGGAAGTACTCCCAGCGACCGACGCTGCCATTGGACTCATGGGGAATCCTCCTGCTATTTCGCCTGTTGCCATTTTCTTGTTCTTGGGCGCGGTAGGCAGTCTTGTCTTTCAGTGGGTAATCTTGGGATCTGGCAAGGGCGCAGAACGCGTAGAAGTAGTGAGATGGAAGATTGAGCGAGAGAATGAAGGTTTCGCGATGAGCCTTGTTGATCTGTAGGTTGAGTAGGTTCAACCACTGATCAGTGTTGGTTCTACACGGCAATATTGCTAGTGTGCGAAACGTCGAAGGCTACGGCGATTACTGGGCAGAGGGCCTACTCTCGTGGAGGCTCCTGATGGATGCGAAATGCCTTGGCTTATGGTCACTGGGTGAATAAGGGAGCGGGAAGAGTTGGAGAAAATAGGTGGACGAGCTGGGGACTGGCTCATAATAACTGCTTTTCTGGCACTAGAGACGCCTCCCGCATCAGACTTGTGTGGCCTCAAGTCGAATGGAACGGGGATGGTCCGAGGAATTTCTGGGTGAAAAGGTGGACTCTGGCCCTACCTTACCTACCAACGATTAAGAAACGATATAAAAACACCCAACTTCCGCTAAGGATCTACCCGCATATACTTGTCTGTAGGTACTTGACAGCTGAGGACATGCAGGTGCGCAACTAAGAGTTCAAGGACTTTCATCAATTCCGTCTTGACATAACTCTACCTATCTCCAGATATCTCCACCATTTACAATACTGTGTAGCAACGAGTCTCAATCTACAACAATAACATGCCTGTCCTCTCGCTCCGGTAGATTCAGAACATACCTGAGGTCCATCGAAGCCATCACCGGTGTAGGGATAGCCTCAAAATCAAATCGAATGTTCAGCTCCACGCTGGTGGCTTCCGTCACGATCCTCGCGATACGATGCGTCCCTCGATCCCATGCCCCTATAACCAGACGCGCCGTTGCCCTTCCGAGCTGGGTTCCCAGTATCGCTTGATACTCCGGGGTACCGTACTCCCATGTATGACACACCCCTGGATCAATATAGTTAACAGGCCAGTCAAGATTGTTTCGTGGGTACAACTTATCGCGTAGCAAGGGCCGAGTCTCTTCGTTAATAACATTCGTATAATAGAGGTGCCTGAGAGTATAGATATCGTGGTCGTATTTATATTGAGCAAGAGCAATATCGGACCAGTTCGGCCCCGTGTATCTGAACATGATCGCAGCAATGAGAACCCCTTCGGCGACATAGTGACCGTACGTACTCCACCTCCTGTAGCCTTGTGCGTCAATACCAAACAGATCCATATCGGTATGCCGGTAGTGTTGTTTCGTAACTGGGAATTGTAACCTTCTCAGATCAGCCCGAATCCCTTCGGGTGGGCGAGAGAAGCGACTCTCTCGACACTGGAACGATCCTTGGCCATAAAATAAATCAGCCATCGTAACCTCCGACCGCTGCACTGGGCATCCTGCCCGGGCTGGATTGGCAATCCATTCTTGCCATAAAGCACCTCTATCGCGGTAGGTTTGGACTAATTCGTTAGTTACCTCAGGTTCTAACCGCATCCCCCTCCTCGGAGGTGTCTTGCCTTCGGTCTCATTGGCCCAGTCGCCGACATGTCCGGGGGGAAACGGGGGAGGGAGTGGATCTGAATATGAGGACTCAGAACCAGTTGAATCAAGGGGATCAACAGATATAGGATGAGAAGGAGAATCCCCCCAGCGCCGTAACCGTTTAGTTGGCGGCCGAGGAGGAGCCTCGCCTACCTCTTCCTCCAGACGACGCTTCTGCCCTCGTGGGGACTGCTTGGTCTCTATCTCATACTCCGCATCTAACTCATACTCCGCATCTAACTCATACTCCGCATCTTCAGAGCTTCCCCGACCTGTATTACTCTTGGGATTCATTGTAATGTTGGTCTCATGCAAATGATTTGATATGTAGTATAGTGTTGGTCTCGCGCAAATGATCTGATATGTATAGATAAGTCTGTCAAGAAGTGCGGCACCTGTCGATTAAATAGATGATTCCAAGACGGCCCCCAAGGGCTTATTTCATTCAATTCCATTGTAAGAAAGCAATGTCTTTCACAAAAATAGAACGAGTAACCAAGGTCACAAATGGATGTGCCCAGATAAAGATAACCTCGAGAGGACAAGGAACAATGAGCATTCAGCCACTACTTAGATACAAACACGAGAATCACCCAACAAAGAGCTCGGGGTCGTATTCCCTGCAAGTAGGATGGTCTGATAGAAAGATATGTGGTCTTATTGTTTCCAATACCTTGTGAAAAAGACTGCAAGTTAATCTCGTCTTCCAGCTCGCTCTTGAGGTGTCGAAGTGACAGGCTTACCGCGGAAAATCCAATGGACACGCCGAACATCAAGACTCAAGAGTACGATACAAGTCGTTCAAGTTGTTTAGGCTGTTCATTTCAATATCAAAAAGCCGGACGTGGTCTAATCGATAGGTCTAAATCCGGCTTTCGATATTGAAATGAACATCCCAAACAGCCTAAACAATCACAGGGAACGCGGACGACCAGCATTCTACGTACCGGTGCAAAGATGTCGGCAAAGAGGATTTCTGATAAAATCAGAAAAGCCTCGGCTGAATTGATTCGGCACTAGTCGTCTTCATATTTGCCGATCGCAACTGGAATCACTGCAAGGGGCGGGGAATCCCTGCTAAGCATTGAAGTTGCGGGGCCCCGTGGGGTTTATGAACGCTTGTATGGTCACTCAACTATGCTCAACTATTTGTGGCGCTGCCATAGTCTTGCAGGCAATACGCATAGTAGGCAATACGCATAGTCTATAAGAGGCCTACGAAGACACGGTTGTGGTTTTCTCAAGTCCATTCACTAAGTACGTCTTAAGATCAGTTCCCCCTCGATCGACAATCGACATGCGGTTCTCGCTGCTTCTCGCAGGATCTGCCGCGGCGAGCGCCTATGCCCATGGAAATGTGGACAGAAGTTCTTTTCAGGCAAAGTGCGAGTCTTTCGCGCACAATATTAAAGTCCAAGATACCACTATTCACAGTGTGACCCACGTGCCGATTGGAACGAACATCTCCATGTCGAATGTTCCAGCCGCCTGTGCCTCGAACGCAGATAGCTCAAGCAGCACATTCGAATTCTGCCGTGTTGCGCTCAATGTGACGACTTCGTCAAAGAGTGAGATTTTCATGGAGGCGTGGCTACCTAGCAATTACTCTGGTCGATTCTTGAGTACCGGAAATGGAGGTCTCGGTGGCTGTATGTTTCTACCCATCTACTTTTGGAAGCATTGGAACTCATAACTATCAAGGCATTCAATACTCTGACATGGTGTACGCCGCAAATTATGGATTTGCCACTGTCGGTACCAACAATGGTCATTTTGGCGATACTGGTGTCTACTTCTACCACAATTCCGAAGTGCTCGAAGACTACGCCTACCGAGCTGTGCACACTGGTGTCGTTGTTGGCAAAGAACTTACCAAGCGATTTTATACCGAGGGTTTCGAGAAGTCCTACTATATGGGCTGCTCGACTGGCGGTCGCGAGGGGTGGAAGTCTATTCAGAAGTTCCCCAATGACTTTGATGGCGTGGTCGCTGGAGCACCTGCAGTCAACTTGGTCAATCTTATCAACTGGGGTGCTCGATTCCTCCCAACGACTGGCAATTCGAGCGCAGCCACATTCGTGACGGATGCCCAGTGGATCATCATTCACGATGAAATTCTTCGACAATGTGATGATCTCGATGGTGCCGCAGATGGGATCATCGAGGATCCGGACCTTTGCCAGCCCATCTTTGAGACACTGCTATGCAATCCGACTGCAGGTGCTGATTCAAGTTCGTGCCTTACGGCTACGCAAGTAAAGACTGTCAATACTATCTTCAGTCCTCTTTATGGAAACAATGACACACTATTGTACCCTCGCATGCAGCCTGGGTCCGAGCTGACCGCGGCCTATGTTTACTATAACGGCCAGCCATTCAATTACGCAGAGGACTGGTTCCGCTACGTGGTTTACAGCAACCCCAGTTGGGATCCTGCCTCATGGACTGTGAATGATGCTGTGATCGCGAATGCCCAAGATCCATACCAGGTCTCGACTTTCCAAGGCGACATCTCCGAATTCCAGAAGAAGGGCAAGGTCCTCCACTACCACGGAATGGAGGACCCAATCATTTCGTCTGACAGTTCGAAGATGTACTACAAACATGTTGCTGACACCATGAAACTCAGCCCATCGGAGCTGGATGAATTCTACCGTTTCTTCACAATCAGTGGAATGGGTCACTGCTCGACCGGTGATGGTGCCGGATCTATTGGTCAAGGTGTAGGGACCTTTGCGGGAAATGACCCGCAGGACAATGTTCTCCTTTCAATGGTGCGATGGGTGGAAGAGGGCATCGCCCCAGATTTTGTGCGTGGTACCAAGTTTAATGGCACCGAGGTAGAATACCGTCGAAAGCATTGCAAGTACCCTAAGCGCAACAAGTATGTTGGTCCTGGTGCTTATGAGGATGAGAATGCTTGGGAATGTGTTTGATTTGTATCTATCGATTCTCTGGGTAATTCCAGCAAAGCAGGGGACAGAGGAAATGATCACAACGATCTCCATCCTTTCTTCCTATTGGATAGTATAATCCTATGAACAAGTGGAATCGACTATCTCGACCCTTTTTGTCTTATGTGGATCAGCCAATTATCAAACATTCACCAAGACTGGTTGTCCGGTTGTAAAGGTAGGCTGGTCCAACAATTCCACCACTCGCTTCTAAAAGTCTGCTCGGACACCTGGGGCCAGATACTTTGAAGGACGGACACAATTCTACTAGAGAGGCGGACCTCTTCATCACGAGAATTATGCCAACTGTTTTCTCGTTTTATCTTCCATGCCCTTTCCTCAATCTGCTCCATGACAGGTACTCCTGGATTCTCAAGGTTATAACCTGTAAGCCGATATGATCGCGCAAAGCAGTCGATCAAGTAACGCTCCTCTTTGGCAAAGCGCACGTTTCCGTATGGCAAAATGCGTAGGTCTTTCAAACTGGGGCTCTTGTCTTTGATCTTGGTCCAAATCTGGAGAGCCAGGCTCTCGTCCATGGCTGCATTTATGTAAGTTCGTCGGAGTTCGAGATCGTCTGTTTCGGCAGAGATGCCCATCCTCGGTACCTTCGTTCGAGCATCGAAATGGAAATCTAGAAATAGTCTTTGGAGATTGGGGAAGGCACCCAGCGCTTCGTACATCTCACACTCTGCTTGGTTGCCCGCAGACCTCTTTATTTGAAGGCGCAGCTCTTCCATGTTCGGACAAAGATTCATCATTTCGAGGAGCTTGGAAGAATTGAGTCTGGGATACTGGTTGATCTTGCCCGTGGTGGGCACGAGAGCAAGTCCCTTCAATGACGGTCCATGACACTGGATGATTCTGTCCAAGGCTTCAATATTGCGGAGGCCCGTGACATAAAGATATTCCAAGGGTCGAAAGGCAAGTATCCCATCAATTGATTCTTCGATCTCAGTCTCGATGGTCACAGAGAAAATTCTGTCGAGATTAAGGAAAAGCCTCTTTAGATTCGGCAACAAGTCGGCGACTTTGACAAATTTCCCCGGTTCACAAACGCGACCAATGTCGAGTGAGCGGAGTTGAGAAAGGTCTCCGGCGGCAGCTAATTTGGAAAGCATAGTTCCTTCGGGCCCGTTGATGGCAATTGTGACTGATTCCAACTGGGACATTGCCTTCGGCTTGGCTTTATCAATCAAGCTTTGCCATGTCGCTTCCAGCGGAGCCACTCCGGCTTCATGAACGCCATAACTGTACGTCAGACAGAGGTGCTTCAGCCCCGGGCTGGTGAATAAGACAGGCATCATCTCCGAAAGCTGGTAATGGGAAATCGTCGTTGTCAGGGTGTGAAGGCCCGGCAGCTGCAGAGTGTCCATTGTGAATTGGCTAGAATATCTAGACACCGATGTAGTATCTGGATAGAATGGACTAGGTCCCACTTTTTGGTTGCCGAGAATATTCAGCCTGCAATCGGGATGATAGCGCCAAAATGCTTCCGTCAAGTCCGCTGTGAAGTCGTCGTCCGTGATACAGTCGAATTGATCAAGATGGTTCAAGCTAGCAATGAGCGAAACGACTGGTGCCCAGTTTGGAGTTTTCCCAATGCCTGTGTGGGAATATGGAAGTAAGACTCTGCCGGTTGTTGAGTAGCAAGAGGTCATATCATGCTCCAAGAAGCCTTTTCTCGTCGCTGGGTTTGGGTCAGTTACCATGTTGGGTGCCCATGGCTCTAGCGCCCATGGCCGGATTTGTCCGATACAGACAAGGGATACCCTCCTAGCAAATTTCTCGAAAATACTCGCCCGGGGAGCTTCTGTCACTTTCGACACTGCAGCCTCCAGGTCTTGGAATGTATAGAATATCAGTGTGATGTTTTGGTAAAGTATAGGGACTGCCGCCTGGTTGCAGAGATGGTTGATCTGACTGAAAGATGATAGGTCTTTGGGTGGACAGTATGCAGGACCCTCGAGCTAATCCAGATCAGCATGAGAAATGGCGTGAACTGGGGAGGGCCCATTAGCGACGAACATTGAGGCATATTTGCTGGAGAATTTCAATCGGAAGGCGATCCATTATGAACTGTGTCGTTGCAAAGGGAAGAGAGAAATCGACTCAAAATCGTCGAGACTAGTGAACTCTTAGCGCGTATCTATCAATAGGGTGTTTTCAGCAAAGCAGGGGACAGAGGGAATGACCACAACGATCTCCATCCTTCCTTTCTATTGGATAGTGGAATCCTGTGAGTATGACCATACCTAGTATTGAGGTGTCCGAATCGAAACACTTGGGGCTTCAATGGATGTCGGTAGATCTACACTCCGCAAAGGTTACGCAGTACATACACCAAGGTTCATGATATATTTTTCTGTCCTTTAATTCTGTTACCTAAAGCCAGGAATATCCATTTATAGAGAAATATCACCTACTGATGGCTGTGTAAATGTAGTCTCAGCTCAGCTGATACACCGCCACACTCACCACGTTCCCATCGTGGCTGGGTAGCGGGGCGTGGCCGGGGATTAAAAAACAGTCGCACCCCGCTCTACAGCCTACAGGCACACCTATTTTGTTTTTGAGACTTTTCTAAGGTCTTTTATTCTCAAAGCTCTCTTGTTCATTCACTACATTTCCGTCATGTCCCACCAGGATGATCTGGCATATGGATACGACAACGAACGTGGGTCTGGGGAAGCGTCCCGTGGTTTAGGCAGTACCTTCAAGAAGCTCCGCGACACCTACAAAAGTCACCAAGGCTCTACACATGGGCAGACCACATACAATCCAAGTGGTTATCAGGAAGTGAGAGTTGCCCTACTTTGTCGATTCGACACAATTTAACGCCCTGCAGCCGAGCTATCCAACCCAGAACCAAACCCCTCACGGATACAATCAACACAGTCAAGCGAGTGAACAACACCAGAATCCAGACTATTATGGAAAACCACAAAAAGCCGATAAGATCTCTGGTCTTCTGGAGAAAATCCAAGGTACCGTGACCGAGATCGGGTCCGAATTTGCCCAGAAACTTGGGACTACCATCGATCCCCAAGCATATGCCGAATATGGCCCCAGCAAGCCCAACGCAGAACACCGATTTGGTAGCTTTGCTCCTCCCCGGGAACATAACGATGTCAAGTGGTATGTCGATGGGTGTAGCTATTTTTGGGCCGTCTCGCGAGCTCTGGAAAATGCCCGAGAGTCAATATGGATACTGGACTGTGAGTGCTCATACTGCGAGGGGCTTTGAATGCAGCTAATATCAATCTTTATAGGGTGGCTATCGCCGGAGCTCTATTTGAGAAGGCCACCGGCCAAGAATGAGCAGTACCGATTGGACAGAATGCTGCAGGCTGCAGCCCAGCGGGGCGTGCGGGTCAATGTCATCGTTTACAAGGAAGTGACGCAGGCACTGACTTGTGAGTCGATGGTCTTCGACGGGATCTGCTTCAAAGTCCAGGCTAACAGCTCATACAGTATCCTCATCCCACACCAAACATGCCCTGGAAGATTTGCACCCCAATATCGCTGTCTTCCGTCACCCCGACCACCTACCTGACCGCCAAGGGCTGGCAGCTTCAATCACGTCGTCCTTCCAGAACATGTCCCTTGATTCGGGAAGCCTGAGCAAAATGTCCAAAGACGCACTGAAGGGATTGTACGGAATGAACGACGATGTAATTCTGTATTGGGCTCATCACGAGAAACTTTGCTTGATCGACGGCCGTACTGCATTTATGGGTGGCTTGGATATGTGCTTCGGCCGCTGGGATACACACCAACATGCGCTCTCAGATCTACATCCAACTGATGTTAACCAAACAGTTTTCCCCGGCCAGGACTACAACAATTCCCGTGTCCTTGATTTCGAAGATGTCGTCCACTGGGAGAAGAACCAGCTGGACAGGAAGACCATGTCTCGAATGGGATGGTCTGATATATCCGTAAGCCTACACGGCGCAGCTGTGGAGGATCTGCGTCGTCATTTCGTGGAACGATGGAACTTCATTTATGATGCGAAGTACAAAGTTCGCAATGATTCCAGATACGTGAGGCTGGCTCTCCACGGCCGACCCACTTCTTCAACTGGTCATCATCAGGGCTCTCCACAGCCCAACTTGTACCCCTCGGGACAATCAAGCCCGCAAGGCCACCCACCTGCGCCATCCTGGCAGACTTCTAGTGGAGCCGCCTCTACCACGTACACGCCGCCATTAGGCCAGACATCGTCGAACTATGAACAGACGCAGTCGCAACCCCAGCAACAGCACTCTGCTGGGTCATATCAGCCATACAGCCCGGGCGCTACCAGCACTCCAACATACCCACCTCCCCCGCCGGCTCAGACTTCTTCAATTCAGCATCAAGGGCAGCCGTACCAATCTCAGAGTTCTCCCACCTTTCCACCACCAGGTCAAGGTTCGTCGGGTTATCAACCCCAATCCACCCAAAGCCATTCTCTGAGTCAGGGGCAAAGCCCATATTCATACACCGGAGGCTCATTCCCCCCTCCTCCCCCTGGACCCCCTCCATCGCAGGCCAGTGCCCACGCTTCTTATCAGCCTTACAATCAGGGCTATCAGCAAGAGCAGACACCGTATTTCCCACCACCGCCGGGTCAAGAGGCAACTCACTCCGACACTCGTGGGCTTGATGATTACCAGCACCAAGAGGATCGCGAACGGGGATCTCTGGCGCCCCGTCGTCTCAGAGAGGATCTGACACAATATGGAAACTCTCTTCGTGGTCAGCTCGCTGGACAAATTCATCAATATCAGGATCGACTGACCACATTCGGCCGTCCTTCCTCCTCGCAAGGCCGCGGTAATATGTCATGTCAGATTGTGCGCAGCTGCGCAAAATGGAGCAATGGCACTCAGGTCGAGCATTCGATTGCTGACGCATATTGCGCCATAATTCGAAACAGTGAGCACTTTGTCTACATCGAAAACCAGTTCTTTATCACTGCGACCGGCGATTCGCAGCGTCCAGTCAAAAACAAGATCGGTGCTGCAATCGTGGAGAGAATTCTCCGTGCCGCTCGGGCCGGTCAAAAGTATAAGATTGTTGTGGTCATACCCTCCGTCCCATGCTTTGCCGGTGATTTACGAGACGACGAAACCCTCGGAACACGGGCAATTATGGAGTTTCAATATAATTCCATCAATCGTGGAGGTCACAGTATCATGGAGCTGATCGCCAAGGAAGGATACAACCCAATGGAGTATATCCGCTTCTACAACCTCCGCAATTATGACCGGATCAATAATGGCTCCGTGATGGCTGCAGCTGAACAACAAAGTGGTGTCAATTACGAGGATGCTCGCAGACAGTACGATGTGAATACCGCGGGTCCTGGTGGATATGCCCCGAATACACGTAGTGCTTTTGATACCACCGCGCCGTTCCAGAAGTACCAACAGGCCGCGCACCAGGTGCAAGGCGCCCATTCTTCCTCCACCCGGTGGGACAGCGTCAGTGAGTGTTATATGCTGGGTGGCGAAGATATTCGAAAGGTGCCGTGGGATGGTCACCCGGACGCTGAAATCGATGCCTTCGTGAGCGAAGAGCTTTATGTCCATTCGAAGGTGATGATCGCCGACGACCGCGTGGTTGTTTGTGGTTCTGCCAATCTGAATGACCGTTCTCAGCTGGGTGACCATGACTCCGAGATCGCGGTGATCATCGAGGACTTCACACCTGTGGCATCGAGCATGAATGGAAAGCCATGGACTGCGAGTCGTTTCGCTGCATCTCTTCGCCGTCAGCTGTTCCGCAAGCACTTGGGTCTTCTGCCACCACAAGACTACCAGCGACCGGACGCCAACTTCGAGCCCGTGGGAGTCCCAAATCAATTCGACTTCGAATGCCCGGAAAGCAAGATCGTTGCTGATCCGCTTTCTGACACTGCCCAGAGTCTTTGGAACTCACGGGCCCACACGAACACCGAGGTCTTCCGAAAGGTCTTCCATGCTGTTCCAGATGATTCAGTCCGCAGTTGGGCTGCGTACAAAGAGTTTTCGGAGTATTATTTCCACAAGACTGCTGAGAGTAGGGACGGTCCGGCGCGTCCGGCGCGATTTCAATGGGGCCACGTTGTGCGCGACGATTTTGCGCCTGGTGCCGAGGGCGTTAAGCAGGTCAAAGAACTGCTCAGCCAAGTTAAGGGTACTCTCGTTGATATGCCTTTGATGTTCCTGATCGAGGAGGACATCGCGAAGGAAGGATTGACTCTGAATGACTTGACCGAGCCGCTCTATACCTAAGGAGGTTAAGGTCGGAGATTGCGTTTGCCGAATTAGGATTGTTGATATTCATCTCCTTTTTGATATCTGCATTCTAGCACTTTTATTAGCTAAATTGATGTGCCTAAGCGAGGTGCGATCCCGTTATGACTCTGGTAGCGAAGCTACTCGGTATGCTCTCTCTTTCATGAACGCCCGAGTGGAGATGACACCGATATTCGATCCTATGCAATCAAACCCTTTGATAGATATTCAGTCTATATGATGCCAAGGCTAACATTGTGCTCGAAGAACAATCATAGGCGTCAAGTGATTGTGGCGATTGGTCGAAATCTTCCTTTGTTCTGCAACGCCAGACCCACCAGAGAGCGATCAACACAGCATCCTCTCCGCCAAGCCCTAGCTTAATATTGTTCTTACCCCTGTCCGAACTTGTGAATGTGACTGCAGTTTGGTCCTCGAAACAACCTTTGTGGCGTTCTTCTTCAAAGACCACTTCTGGCAGAAGGACGTTTCGGGTAATATGTGATGCAAGTCAACATCTCAACTTTCAATCAAGATGGCTGACCGCACATCGTCAAGACAAAGAGCAAATGCCCTAAGGCAACGATATCTACATTCATGAATCCGAGAACAATATCAAGCACACTCCACATGCGTCTCCACCACGGCAGGCACTACGCATTCGACACCCTCGTCAATGCCCATCGCATTCTATACAGCGAGTCAATGTACCACCATTCATTGACACTCGATGTCTGACTGGACTCATGAACTGAATTGATACTCCGAGTAGCATATCCACGAATATAAATACCAACTTGCACACCCGTCTCCAAATTCTCTTCCTCACCACGCTCACATTTCAATCATTCAATCCATCTTCCAATCTTTCCAAGCTTCGCTTCTTAAGCTCTTCTCATCTTCGAAATGTCTCGCGCTCAGGTCAAGAAGTGTGAGTACCTCCTCAAAGAGGCATGCATTGCCTCCTCTTCCTTCTTCTTCTGCTGCTGCTTCTTTGCAACGTCCAGTCCATGATATACTAACATATTCTCCAGCTCCCGGCGGTGGTTGCGTCGTCATGAAGTCCCCCGGCGGTGGCTGTGTCGTCATGAAGTCCCCCGGCAACCTCGGCTGCATCGGTGACCGTCTCCCCGATGCTGCCAGCTGCTCCATCCAACAGCGCTCTCCCGAACTCGGCTGTACCCTGATGAAGTCTCCCGGCGGTGGCTGCGTTGTCATGCGCTGTAAGTATCCTACATCCGACTTTCTTGTCTTCCAGTCTAAGCAAAGAGACCAAACTAATATCTGCTCCAGCCGCCCCCTTCTAAACAGCCCATGAGCCCCCGCGCCCAATTGTCCACCAATTCCATCGTCCACCATGACTTGACTAGCACGTAGGTCTTGTCATGGCCGGCAATGGAGACCGCATCTAATTTCTTTCAATTTTCGCCCAACTCTGAGAACACTTTCAACCATCCATAAACACAATTCCTTCGGAACGTGGTCTTTCCGCTTTTGCTTTGTTGATCCAGACTGCCTGTGAGTCTGTATGTCCAGTTCCTTCTTTCTTCGATAAGGGACAGCTTCAATCTTCTCTGACGGTCATTGATCGTTGACGTTGACTTGTTTCTGTTCTTTTCGATATCTTCGTGGACTATCCTATCCGGGTTTCTTAGAAAGGCAATTGTTTCTCGTTCCTTCAGCTACGTTTGGAAATCCTTTTTGCTTGATTTTGATAAAATCGGTTGATTGCTGTTCTCTGTGATGTGGTGTTGATTCCGGTGCTTTTCTTTGCTTGGGGGTGGATTCGGTGGATATTGGGCTGCAGTTTCTTAGTTAGAATCGGGAACCGTAGTTGATAGGAATGGATCATTGCCTCAAGAATTTGTTTGTTCGAAGTTCTGGAATCATTTAATTGCGGTCAGATCGGTCTCGTTCCACTTTGAATTGACGATGCATTCCATTCCGACTTTCAATGGAATCTGTAAACGGCGGACCTGTGAATTACTGCATGCGGTTAGTTTTGCCTTTTCTGGTTTAGCGCCCCAATACGCCGTCACGTAACCTACCTTCAATGCCGCCGACATAAAAGACCCGTCTTCGCTGCTCCTCCTCCCTTTCTCTCACTTTTCCATTATTCTGCCTCTCTATCTTGCACTCATCGCCGCCCCCTTTCTTTACTCTGGCGTAGACCGTAGGTATTCGATCGGACATGCCCTCAAGCATGCGAATACGTGTGATTCCATTGCTCAAGAAGGCTCTGATCCAGGGAACCAACTTTCCCAGACGTCATTTCCTGAGGTTGTGCAGCAGACGTGCATGGGAGACATTATCATTCGCTCTGGGCACGTCTAGCAGCAGGAGAGTCACCACTGCCACTTCTGAATCTCTCGAATTACGAAGCCCAACATGACAAACACCCCTGCGATGAAGTATATCCCCTGGACTTGAATTATTTATTTCTATTTCCATTACGATTTCTATTGGTATTCGTGATTCGCCATCAATTCCGATGCAAAAAAGCCTCATTTAGACTATGGAGATTGTTGAAAGTCCGCCGAAAATGGGAATGAAATGTTCAGCCTCCACCGGTTTATGTGCGCTTGGACTTTTCCAGCTTATCTGCTTCCATCCAGGGATCTTCGTTCTCAAAAATCGCATAGTAGTTATCGATGCTCGTACACAAAGTTCGCATCAAGTCAACGATATGACCCAGGAGGTCATATTGAGTTTGAGCTCGCTCGGCGAAGTCGTTATACCACTCTTCTCTGGCTCCCTCCTTCTTTGGACTGAATACCGACGCGAAACTGAGTGGCCCTATGTCGTCGCCTCCAGTGAAGTGAGGATTGACCGGAACCCAGGAACTGCATCTCGTTTCGAGAGCTGACCACGGGGATGATCTGCTTCCCCGCATGACTTGTTGATTCAAAGTCCTAGTTCAAGTCGAAATGATAATGTTAGCAATTAATCCTCCAAGAGGAAGGGTACTTTGAACACAACAAGATTTGAAACTGCAGTATAGGGAAGAACGTACTCTTCATAGTTCGTCATGGCATAACTAAATGCACGTCGGTCATTCTCATCCGATCGCATTTCGTAAAATGTTATGTCTGCATCACTGCACTTTCCAACGAATTGTGGAGAAGCAGTCATTCTATGCTGAAGATGCTGTATGTCATCACCAGATATCTCGGAAAATTCCTGAATATACTGCTGCAGAAGAGAATATGTATCTTCATTGGATTGAACGGGATTTGAAAGGTCTTAAAGGGGGAGGTCAGTATCACCCATTAATCACGACGCAAAATACCTTGACGACACTCACCAATGAAAAGCAGAATCTTGGCCCAGTCCATTTCTTTCACTGGATCCCCGCCCCATTTAAGGAGTGGGCAGTCACCCAGCTTCCAAAGTCTCATCCGCAAGGCCTCAAAGGAGCTTTGTACATGCTGGTTGCCGCGTCGTGCCCAGAAAGAAATCATGTATATACCAGTTTTTATAAGTCCCTGGCACGGGAATTGAAGCCTAGCTTGAAGCGGAATATGATGTTGAGAGATAGTTGACGCCCTATACCAAGCCCCAGCCGGACCAGCGGCAATGCGCTCAGGGGGCGTTTGTCTTGCCAGCGACATACTTTCCACATGGCAGATGTCATTCCCAACACTAGTACCAGGAGTCCCCAAATCTTCATGAAGGCTGTATCTTGGTTGCACAGGCTTTTGAGAAGCTGGATGTCTGATTTTGGAAATTTCACAGCCCGTAAAAGAGTCAGACGGCTGAAGTATAGATGCATCATCAGGCGAGACAAAAGCCAACTGGTTTGTGCATAGGGACACTGTTGACGACGCATTCTCGACGAGGGGAGATACACGATTGACAAGAATACTTTGATTGCCTCCCGCCCCCAAATTCCAGAGAAGCAGGCCGACAAAGAAGGGATCCTCAGAAGCAGTGTCTCTTTCTAGCCACTCTCCACCGGCGTGCACCAATCCAGCCTCAGATAAAGCAGCTTGGCAAGGCGGCGAGAAAGTATTATCCCATTGAACTTTGAACCCTGTCCTTCCATCTACCTGAGGGGTAGATGGCGTAGCTGGGAACTGAAAGGATACTAGCTCCAGATAACATGGGCTCGGTATCTCCAGCGGCAGAGTATATTGAATGCAACGATTTGAGGCTTGTGAAATATAGCCTAGCATCATACTAAATCCGAGGGACAGCTGGAACAGCTTCCATCCAGGAACGCCATTCCACTGGATTAAGACGACGACCTGCTGACATGACGACTCGGAAGTACTAGTATCGTTCACTGGCGACCACAATAGCCTTTCAAATCCAGGGATTGTCGAAACATATTTCAAAGACTTCCTCCACAAGGCAGCCGCACACTGCTGTGTATCAGCAATGTCAACTCCGGGGTGAAAAGTGAAATGAAGGATCCCAAGGACAGGGAGATCCGTAAGTTTGTCGAGGTCCTTTGAATAATAGATAAGATCATGAAATCGAGGCAGGATCTTCACAAACTCAATTTCCATGTTGAATAAAGCGTACTGAGACTGAGACTAACTGATGACACCTCAACAGGAATTTGACTGGAAGTGTTCTCGACTTCCGAGGTCGGTAGATTGGGAGGTGACTTCGGGCCGTGAGTGCAGAGAGAAAGTGGATATGCGTGGAAGTCAATGCGAACGTCTCTACTTTTTAGCACTAGTTAGCAGTGGCGTGCCCCTGCATTTTATTATTACGTACTTTCAAATTGATTGGGGCGAAAAACAAGACTTTCGTATGGCCTCGTATCTTATGCGAAGTTATCGGCCATCTTCCGGTTATTGAGAGAAAATAATTCCATTGGCGTGTAAGTGGGGCATCTCGCCAAAGTTGTAAAGCTTGTTAGGTGTTAACTAATGTAGTGGGAAGGTCCATGTGGACCCCCCACCAACCTACAGGCATGCTTCTCCTGTCCAGTCTCCACTCCCTTGATTTCTCACGTGCACGTTCCTTATGTCAGAAGTTATGAGCTGGAGATAGTTATTGTCGCGAGGTAGCCTTAGTTGAGAAACACACTCCTACACATCTCTAATTTTACTGCTTGTGCGCAAGCGCTCGCCAAGCGCCCAACCTCTGGTCCGATGTCTATGCTAGGTGGTATCTGCTGAATCGACCCGTGTGCCTCAGAGCACACAGCCTTGAGCGTTCCCCTCTTCACTAACTAAGTGCCTTTAACTTAGTTAGGGCCCGTGGGACGGAATTTAGCCGTTAGCGAGATTAACCCCCAGAGCGGGTCTCCAAAAGTAAACGGAGATAGTACCCGGCATGCCGGGTAATTCATATCCGTGGACCGTAGGGCTCACCCGGATGTACTTTTACCCCGATGTACTTCCCTATACTATCGACTTCAATTTGCCTTCCCATGGCAATTATCTTATTTATCCTTTTCCTTACATGTGGTTTCAAGGTTTATTTGAGCCATTTGAGTAACAAGGAAAAATTGGTTTGATTAGTGCCTATGGAAAGGCAGCAGTAAGCATGCCAGTGGTACTAGACACAATTTCCTATTCAATATAGTTCCGTTGTTTGGGTCTGTCATGCCAAGAAACTTGAACTCTTCCATCTCCATAGGTGTATAGTACTAGTAGGATTTCCCATACCATAATGGTTGCCTCAAGACCCAGTGTGCGACATCAAAGCTGCGATACCAGTATTGAGAGGATTTGTGACAGAGAGGATTTCACGGGGATAGCCATATGACCAGTCGTCCAGTGATAGATACATGGCTAGATGCCTGTCAGTACAAATATCCCTCACATACTACAAGGGGTTGATTAGCATACCGGTGGCATAGATAGAGAATGAGTCTGGTAGAGAAGCCATCATTTGATTAGCAGTTGCTCCAAAATTCGGGATGAAGAATTATCCAAAGTCTCTTACCGGCATTGTTGATAGCCCGTGCCGGCGCATACTTGGCCAATTGGCTGATGCAAAACCAGCCATAAGCCGCTACTGTTGAGTCATCGGGGCCAGTGCATGATTCATCGACTGTTGTTTTTTGTTAATAAATAAAGAGCTCGCGAGCGCAGTAGGAACTGGGTAATACATACTCAGATATGGAGTCCCGACAATAGCTGATGCATGAGTGAATTCGTGCATCATAGCTGTGGACATAGTTTGACCTTGAAAGCTATCAATTCTCACTCTAGCAGCACTCAAAGTGTGCTTGGAAAACGTTTCGATCGTTTGCCCGTTATTGTATCTTGTTATCCACTCTGCAACGTTGTCCTGACAAAGAGTCATAACATTGGTTCTGCCGCTTGTGGTCTTGCTTGATGAGAGAGACGGGTTAACCCATGCGTAATGGGTGTTTGAGTCTCTGCAGGCGCCATGCACGGTCTCGAAATTCTCGGCATAGTCCTCTGTCCTTGTCTCTCGGTTGTCCCAATAAAGATAGGAATTTGTCACTTTGGGGGGATTTGTGTCAGCTTCAGAGGGTATTCATTCAGGGGAACATTTTCTCACTGTCAACGTCACCCTCGCGGTCTTCCCTCACGAGCCAGGCATCACTGCAATAGATCTCAAGATCTGGATTGTCCACGATTCCTTCAAGGCCAGTCTACATGTTTGTGGCAATTGCTTAGGAAATTGTCAGTAATATGGACCAATTCCTTTTGTCTGAAAATACCGCACCGAGGATTCGCTGCACTCTAGAGATGCTATCAGCAGCTTCGCCACTTTGGACCCCATATTCAAGGCGGCCAAAAATTGACTCGAATGTATAAAAGGTAGATTGTAGCAATTGCTCATGTTGAAGGATATGGGCTGGTGGATTGCGAACAAAGGCCTCAAGCGCAGTTGTCCGATCAATAGTGGTGGTCAACTAAGATACTCATTCATGTTAATGATCCTATCTAAAACCAGACTTGTCCGTGTCATATTACCATAGCCTTGATTTCATTGACCGATGCAACCAGCGCAGAGTTGGCGTGATCACAGAAATATTGGCGTGTTCTCTTGGTCAGAGTGCTATTGCCATAGCCATGAGAATGCCCATGATGGTGGTGGGAGTATCTATTCGAATGACCTGAAGGCGCAGCGGTCACCAGTCCGATATTGAAAATGGCTAAAGCGCCAACGGCCTGGAGCAAGCTAGAGAGACGCATTGCTTAGGTCGTCGAAGCTGAGTCCCAGGAAAGACTTGGTGAACTAAATCGACAACGCCAACTTAAGGGAGTCAAGCTTATAATGTGAATTAAGGATGGCACAGGTTTAGACTTGACTGGACCCAACGTGAAAACCCTGTAACCACTTAAAAAAAAGCTATAATTCATTCAACAAACCCCAATAACACTATAGTACTATAGTACTAGCTCACTTCGTTTGGCTGATTGCATCCATGATTCTATCTATGTTCATTTCCAACATCGGAATAACCCCGTTGTGCCCCGAGTAACTAATTTAGCACTGCTTGTGAGCTAGTGTCCCCATTTGGAGGCGAAGTGGGGGCCTGGTGTGAGTGAGAGAGTCTTAGCATTGCTTGTTGTTCCTGGAAAAGTGGGCCATTCGTGCACGCATAGAGGCGATAATAGGCGATGCCGCGATGCCACGATGCGGCTAACAGCCTTTAGCTTCCCCGAGATTCGATGAGGGATTCTGTCCGGTGAAGAAAAGAGAAATTTCGAATTGCGCCCCAGAATTGTGACCAGACACTTGGTATTCGCGGTAAGGGCCAAGAACTGGCAGAGGTAAGCAAAAAACGATTCCATGCACGCCTTGCGCATGGTTCAGTAATGCTGATCTAGACTCTAGTTGCTCTCCGCAAATCGTGCACTCACGTTGCATATCGTTTGAATACGTTTTGATATGTCTGTTCACGAAGTGTCGGCTGAGAGACCCTGAGTTCTTGAACTTGCGCACGCGATCACTTTTCGGCAGCATTGAATTACCAAGGCAAATGAAGATACCATGAAACCCTTACGCAATATTCACCATCTATTTGCAAGGGTGGCAATGGAAAAGTAACCGTATGTCTCTAGTATATCCACTTTGCTTTATGGTTCTCCTTTTTGAGGTCTTTCTCCGAGGTTAGTAGATTCAGTACGGTCTACTGAAACTGTCTAGCGCTAACCACTGGTTTTTTTTCTCAACATGGGGTCATTTAAGCGAATGTAATAGATTCATAGTTCCGTGAAAATGAGAATCATTCAATCATGTTGAAGAGATCCTCTTCACCCGAATTTGTTGAATAAATTTATCTATCCATCGTCTTCCTCTCTCTGAAAGACCGTGCGTGGTTCTCACTTCTCAGTCCCAAAAATATCTTCGCAATGCGAAGTGTCTGGAGCCTAGCGGCTGCCTTGCAGCTCTTGCTCGTCGTCTCAGGCGTGCAAGCAGACGATGTCCCATGCTCGGTGGATAACCCCTGCACAGAGGGCTGCTGCTCGAGTGTTTCTGAAGTCTGTGGTTATGGGCCAGGTTACTGTGGAAGTACATGCATCCAGGCTGCCAGTTTGAACAGCACATGCACGCATCTCTCCGAGTGCAATCCAGGTTCATATCCAGGATGGGGAGAAACTTGGGGTATTTTCCGTCCCTCGATGTTTAACACCAGGAGTATCGAGGCATGAACTGACAGAATTTTCATAGCTTCTAACTACTCAACATCGGAATCGTGTCCGCTGAATGTCTGCTGCAGTGAATTTGGCTTCTGTGAGTATAAGTTTTCAACATTTCCGTACGACAGAGGAATACTTATGCGGATCACCAGGCGGAACCTCAACCGACTTCTGTGGTACTTCCACCTGGGACTCACCATCATGCTCCTCTAACACCACCGCGACACGTAGAATTGGCTACTACGAAGCTTTTAACCTTGACCATGCCTGCAACAGTAAGATTCAATGCCATTTTTGAGAGATAGCTTGCTGACATGTCCTCACAGCAATGACCGTGGAAGAGGTATGACATTACATTCTTGTTCGCTGGTAAAATAAAGTCCGATCGTTATTGACATTTAACAGATTCCCGTTGGAGGCTACACTCATCTGATTTTCTCATTCCTATACATTGACCCGGATACCTACGAGATGGCCCCCATGGAGTCTAATCAGACGGATCTGTATGCCCGATTCACTGCCCTTAAGGACTACGGTGTTGAAACCTGGATCTCTATCGGCGGATGGGCCATGACCGACCCAGGAGAATATTCTCATGTTTTCTCCAAGCTTGCGGCATCGACTACTGCCCAAACTAAATTCCTTAGCTCTTTGAAAGCTTTCTTGGCGAATTACGGTTTTGACGGTGTTGACATTGACTGGTGCGCTTTTTGATCGCTTTTGCTTGTATTCCCGCAGTACTGAAATCGTCTTTAGGGAATACCCTGGTGCACCTGATCGATATGGCTCAGATGCCGACTACGAAAACTTCGTTTCGTTTTTAAAGAATGTGCGATCATCACTAGGAAGTGACTACGGCCTATCTATCACATTGCCCAGCTCGTACTGGTATCTGCAATACTTTGACATTGTCAACCTTGAGAAGCATGTCGATTGGATACGTCTTCATCTTACTATTTTTTTGATCTCCAGATTTTCTGCGCTGCTTTTGCTTTTGCTTTTTGTTTTTTCTTTATCGATTCACATTTGGGTCTTCAGGAAATTAACTATTTGTAGTTCAACTTTATGGCCTATGATATCTACGGTACATGGGACGCTACAATTTCCTCCATCGGAAGTCGAGTTTATGCTAGCACAAACCTCACCATGATCGAAGCGGGGCTGAAGCTACTGTGGCATAATAACATTGAGCCCAGCAAGGTTAATCTCGGTCTTGGTCTCTACGGACGTAGTAAGTTCGCTGGTTGCAATTCTCCTTTGGTTGGACCCCGTATTAACACGATCAGGTTATACCCTTGAAGACTCCTCGTGCACAGAGCCTGGATGTGCGTTTACTACAGGAGGTAAGAAGAATCGAGCTCTGAAGATTTGAAGCAATGCCAACTTGAAATCCCTACCCGCGGATACTAATATTGTTTTTAAAAAAAGGAAACCCTGGCCCATGCTCCCAGACTGAAGGTCTGCTTTCATACGATGAAATCATGGATATTATTGACGACAGCTCGAGAAACCCAACTGTCTGGCTAGATTCCGAAGCTGCCGTGAAAATTGCTGTTTATGACGGTGACCAATGGGTTGCCTATGATGATCCCGAAACTCTGCAAATGAAGCTAGACTTCACCAACTCAGAGTGCATGGGAGGGTACGTTACCCTTGTAGTGAACATCGCTCTTTTGTTATTCTTCCATTGCTAACTCAATTGCTCATCGATAGTGTCGCAGCCTGGGCTGTTGATCAAGATGGCAAGGGAGATCTTTCTGATATGATCATCTAGCTACTGTTTTTCACCTGAAGTGTTCCAGGGCAATATCGCTAAAAGCCAAGCAGAAAGTATCTCGAACTCCCCCGATCTGTTCCCGGCTGGAGGAAGCGGCAAAGTCTATATTTCTCCTCATATCTGGGATGAGGACTCACCCGAAGTTTCTTGCGTGGCTCCCTGTACTTTGATTCTTCCGCCTTTGCATATGGAGGCCTCGCGGACTGTCACTTGGCCAGCGCTCACCACCCCGGTCCTTGTCAGCAAGGATGGCAGCATTGTGACATCGACAACAACAATCTCAATCCCCGCATTCGGCGTAGGAAGCATTCCGTTCTGGCCAGTGACCATCGCCAGCAACAAGACATCCGGCGCTCTAGTCCCCGTCCAAAGCATTACACCACCATCTCTTGTTATAGTCTTCCCAGGAAGCGTGGCCCCCTTGCCGATTGCTACTACGAACTATACATCAGTTGCGGAGGACCAGGTTGCGTCTATGAATCAGGGTAACAGCAGTAACCCCAGTGCCTCAGGCACAGTCATAGGCCCTGCTACAAACACTGCTTCTGCCACTTCTACGGCAGTTGTGACACCATCCCTTATTGCAGCCAACATGGAGAGTGGCTGCACGAAGTTTTATCAAATTCAAAGCGGTGACTCTTGTTGGAGTGTTGAGAACGACAACAACATTGATGCTTCAGACTTCGAAGCTTGGAACCCAGACGTTGGCACTGACTGTGCCAGTGGTGTGTGGCTCGATTATTACTATTGTATCAGCCACTCTGGGAGTGCCTCTTCATCTTCTGGGGGCTCTGGAGGTTCCTCCTCCACTAGCAGCACTGTTGTTCCCGTGTTCTACTCGACATCACACTCCGTCACCATTCAGCCCCAGGCAACGCACGCCACTATCACACCTTCAAAAACAATTCCTTCCATCAATTTCGAATCCGGCAAGCCTAAAGACTCCGGGTCTAGTGATGGTGATTGTGATGGATGCGGTACTTTGGACTGCGCGATCTTCGGCTGTGATGGCAAGTGTGGTATCTTTGGTTGTGATGGAGGCTGTGGTCTAACGTGGTGTGGGGGTGGCTGTGGATTGTCAACTTGTGGCCCTGGGTGTGGCACCAGTAAGTTTTTATCAAATCACTATCTATAAATACCAGGGACTAACGTGATATACAAGCCGGATGTGTTGTTGAAGGGGGTGGCGGTGGAGGTGGCAGCACCGGCTCTATCGGATTGGAGTCTGGAGAAGATGGAGATTGCGAGGATATCAAGACTGTCGACGTCTGCACTGTTTTCATCAAAAGCTTCTCCACGTCTGGCATGGAGTCCTCTTCCACTACAACGACGGTAAGTTGTTACATACATCAGGTGAACGTTGAATGATATGTGCGTAACAGCTTCTGACAATCATTAGACTGCATGCGCATACAGCGAAGGTTGCTCTGCCACTCCGACGACCACAACAACCACCGTTAGTACAACAGGAACCTACTCGACTGAGAAAGTCAGTTTCATGTATACGTCCACGAGTGTCCCGGCATCTGTCATGTCCTCCATTTCCAGCAGAATTTCCAGCCAACGAAGCGTTTGGGATGCTACACGCTGGTCAGGCTATACTATCACTGCCACATCAGCATCATCCAGTGCCAACGCTTTGCCTACCGGTTTCCAGATCGTCCAGGATGTCCGCGGGGCAGCAGATGTCCAATTTGTATGGTGGGCTGTCTACTACACTGGCCTAGATCTGCCTATTGTCCTTGACGACAGGATGCAGCCGGGCCTGGATGAATGGAATGCTAAAAATACAGAGACCACATTCTGTGACCAGACGTCCTGGTTCTCTATGGATGACTCGGGTAACCTTATTGGTGACAGTGATGGAGTCAAGTACACATGCACACCAATACCGGGCGTTAGTGCAACCGCCATTCCACCCACCTCCACGTACACGGAGGTCGGAGATAATGACACTGTGTACCCCGTATACGACTGCCTTACCCACATCTGTACATGAGTACACAGGCGTGTACCCTAATTCTTCCCTGGCTCGAAATCAACTTTCTTGTCTTTTGATGCGAGTTTCCTGCGCGTCCACCCTCGATGTTCGCCTATGTCACGGTTTTGATAGACACTTGCCTTATCAAGCTCCTAGACATTGTTACATTCCTGCATGTCAATGGTTACAGAGGGAAGAAGATAACCTCGAGGTACAAAAGCCAATACCCTAGTATTTCAAGGTTTTCTTTTCATAACGAACTCCTACTAAGTAGCAATATGAGTTAATGGCAGAAATTAGAAAATACAGACAGTATGTGCACATACCTATTCAAGTTCGTTCTAATCTCGACTATAGATTCCAGGCCATCGATGACGATTATTATAGAAGTGCTCAGGTAGACCGTAGACCCATAATAACATCTCTTATCACGGCTAAATTTAAATATTGAAAGACTATACAAGTCTTGTCTCCTGGAACTTCAGCTACAGAAGTGTACAAAACAATTCTTTTTTTAATAGTCATTTTCTGTGGGATGGGAGTGAAGGAGAGAAGAAAGTGCGTCGACGTAAGGAGTGTATGGATGGGTACGGAGGCCGAAAGGGTTCACCTCAGGAAATTTGAAATTCTAACGGCAGAATACCATATTAGTCAGATTTAGGCCTTAAAACCTTAGAAATGAGGCTTCAATAGATTGATTGGTCGTATTTGGCCTTGGAACCTTGGAAATAAGGCTGCCATGGGCTTGTATCTGAATAGTATCTCCAACTCCACACACAGGTTCCATCCCTTTTGGGCTAATGTCAGGCTCTTACTCTCCCTTACCATTCTGATTCGACCAATTTGACCTCTGTATTTAAGAGAACTTTTACGTTATCCTTTGAGCGGATTGAACCAACTGAAAAGAGCATAATATTAAACATGTCTATGGCATTTACCCGCACTCCTCACTTCCTGTCGTCACTTCCTGTCACCACCAACATTCCCTCTCCCCTACAGTCTCCTGCGAAGATTCCGCTGGCTTCGCCGAATTGGAGAAGAGGTATGCTGCCGTCTCTTCGATGTATTTGCCCGCCCACTTGGAACCACCCCAGGCGCATTAACAAGCTGAGCAGCCTGAGCTGGGACCGGGTTCGGTACCGGACTTGGCCGATCTTCAGTATCAGTATTCGGGACGGTGATGTCGATGGCCTCCGGCGCATTGTTAACCTCAGCTGCAGGCTCGAGACAGGGCATTGTACGATGGAAAAGATCAATATTCATCGATATCATCATCGATATCAGCCTCCTGGCCAAGCTCTGAAGCCCTCTGCTGTTCCTTCTCTTCAGCGATCTGCGTTTATCTTTGTCCACTTACGTTCACACCTCGTGCAGCCGCTCCCGAAGATTTCGCGAAGGGGATGAAGCATTCGCGGTAGCAGTGTCGAGATACTGGCCAAGTACGGCGATAGCAGTACGAGCAGATACTCCCACGTAGATTCCCTTGCTAAATCGCAAGTCTGGAGCTTTATACCCATGATCCAGGGTTGGAAAGGAACGTTTATACACTGGGACGAATCGTGAAGAGAATAAAAGAGGTAGTGAGCTGCAAGCCCTTGCGAGTATTTGTGGTTGACTACCCGTGGGGGATTTCGCTGTATTTATAGCTCGACTGGATGTTAAGTACCTCATAGTCATACAAGCCATCCCGGCCATAGCAGGGATTGGGCGAAAGGCACAAGTCATGTAATTTTATACGTTATCATCTCTCAGAGGGCATACGAGTGAATAACTTCCTGGGGCACGGGCTATCAACAGAAAAAGGATGGTCAATGTTAGGTGGATTTTTAGTTGCTGGCGCTAGCATCACAGAATAGATGGCTAATAAATAATCCACATGTCACGTGGTTAATTTGTTCTATCTCTGCTCATGCTGAGGTAACCCTTAAACAAACACATCGGTCTTGCTCTATCAACCTGATTTGGACTAGTGGCACTCTGAACGCCGCCAAGATATACGCTAATTACATCAAGGTAGCTTTCAGCTAAACTAATATCCGAATAGTCCTTCATAGCTAAAACAAGGGCACATGTAGATCAAGCTATTACCCAATGCTTGTGTTGTGTTGATCACGTCCGGCCTTCCGCGTCGCGTCTGCATCGCGTAATCTTCGAGATCCGGCACCGTAAACGATTGTCGGGCGGCATCAATGGAGTGGCAAGGTCCATTATCCGTCGTAGGGGCGTACGAGTGAGGGGGCACGACTTCCTCTTTGTACTGGGGCTGTGATGTTTGGTGCTTCGTGAGGTTCGGAGACTCGGTTTTCGGCGCGTCGGCGCATGGTGAAAAGGGGACGATCGCCTTGTTGAGTTCCTCCTGGCACTCGGAGACAGCCAAACTGTTTCTCTGAGAGTTCACAGCGGGCACCACGTGGAGGTGGGAGCTCGTCGCCCGCCGGAGACAGACTGGTGATCCTGGAGACAGAGTCAGTGTTCCTAGGGATGGACTGGTGCTCCTAACCGAATTGAGAATATAACAAAATGCATGCAATAGAAAGAAAAGCTGCTCGTAGAGTCACAATGTTGATGTAACGTAAATTTTTGTGCATTTTCAACGATGATAATAATGAAACACTAAAGACTAGCTGAGGAGTGGTGAGAACATGATGGTAAAATGTTAAGGGTAGACCTGCGGTTGGTGACTAAACGATGATTTACCTCCTGAATTTGAGGTATGCCAATTGTGAAATTAGTTAACACCAAAAGGGTTTATTTTCTAATCACACCTGCAGTTGATCGGTTCTTCCAATATTTATACATCGGTCAGCTGTCCAAAACGAAGTTCTAGACCTCAGCTTGACGCGTTACTATGATATCGTTTATGATATCGTTGACCGGCTCCTCAACCGTTGTAGAAGCCAACCGCTTTTCGGTGCGGCGGGCATCAATATGGTCGTCGCAATAAGCTCACCAGGTACAGTTTCAGGTCTTCGTGGGCCATGACTGTGAAGACCACGGTTTCTGGAGAGCGACACTAGTTTTCAACGCCCTAACACTGTAGCCATTCGAAGCTTTCAGAATCCCTGAGACCTAGTTAATCTATACCCCCAGCTATTTAGTTCCCTGCACTCCTCAGCCATTGCCAATAATGACGCTTTGCGGCGTCTCTGAACATGGCTTCCATACCTCCCACCCAGTCCAATCGAACTAAATCTGACAAAAAGTCCATGCGCCAGAAACAAGGCCGTCGCAAATCAAGCTTAATGATAAAAGCGTCCGAATATAGCAAGATGTGCGATGCAGATGTGTGTGTGGGCATACGCCTTCGGGAAACCGGCCAAGTATTCATCTTATCGGCGGATGCTTCGGGATTTTGGGCTTTCCTTGCCTCGCAATTGGTATGTCTCCAGCTATGCGTCTGAAGAAAAGACGACTGACCTATCAAGAGCTCCTACTATCCAGCCCCAAAGCTAGTGACAGACCAGGATCTGGAGCAGTTCGACAAAGATACACCGGAACAACATACGTGAAATTATACGACCAAAGCGGAATTCCAACAGACCAGATCTTCGCAATTAATAATTTGTTTGCCATATTCTCGTTCCGCGACTTGGAACAGCCATTATCTTAATATATTAGAAGTTACTGAGGCCCTGAGGGTAAAGCACGATGACTTGCGGTTCCAAGGGGGATTCTATATACCCAAGAGTCCGCAGTAGATTCCTAAGTCATTTACGACTACTCGAAGCCTGAGGATAAGAGAAAGTAGCTAGCCTACTTATTCAGCTTACCGCGTGCGTAATCCAACTGTGGTGTAGAAAAAGTGACTTCTAGAGGTATGAAAAAGCCTATACATGAATCAAGGTTCGAGAACTAACCGGCCCCTGGGGTCTCGTATTGTTGGAAAAAACAATACAGGGGCCCGTTAGTTATTAATATTAAAAGCCAAGAAGGTAGGTACGGCCTGGAAAATATGGCAGCTTAGGCTTGGCACGGGGCCTGCCCAGGACATCTCTAACCTGTGTGAAATAAATCTATTGCTCTAGACTTGGGGTTTGCCTAAGTGTTAGGAAAATGCGCTGATTTAGAGTGGAGACTGCTGTCTACCCAATGATATTCAGTAAACACCCTACTTCTTCTGTTAAAAAAGAAAATGAATTATTTAATATTCTTTTCAACCCTCACATTTCTACGACGACCATTGTTCAATTAATAGCTGCAAATTTGCTTGCCGTTGGCCCTCGTTTCTCACCACTATTGGCCTTGTCCTTTTCGATTGAGCAACTTACAGGTCAGAACACCACTATCGCACATTGCCACATTGTTTAGGCAACCGTTCAGGTTTCTTTCTACGTAACTGAGTGTTGAGAAGACGGTCTGTCTATCCATACAGGATGACCACAAAGAGTTAATTCATTTGCACAAGAGTTATGTGAAACGCACTGCCAGATAGTGCCATGACGCCCTAATGAAGACTTGCGCAGACTAAAGAATCTCAAAAACAGGTACCGCTTTCTTCACGTTCTGGGCCCACTTCCCAATATCCTCTACGAAACGTCGCGCGATGCCTATTTTGATCCCTTTCTCAATGAAGAAACTAGGATCTTGGTCCCTGTACACTTGTTCAAGGTCAAGACCGTTTTCCAGCATCATATCACACACTTCTCGAAATGAAGTTTTGAGTGGAGAAGAGTGGCGATCATCTACATAGTTGAAGCTTATCTTCAACGTGAGCTCCTTACCACGGGAAAAAGGATCTGACCACATCAGAAGTTGCTTCTCGATCGGAGTCCAAATTATGTCGGTCTCGTCAAATCGTTTAGTCGGTTTGCGTTTAGTACGATCGCTTGTTGACGGTACGATGACAGTATCATCAGGTCTCAATTGGCGATGGCGAGCAGTTTTCCAGAAGAGCTTTCTCTAGCTTCTTCTCCAATGACAGCTGCCAGAAGGCGCTGGGTGCCAAAACGACATCTTCCTCTGTGTCCTTTGACACCTCCCTATTATTGACGGTCACTCGCCACTCTATGCGGTAGTGGATACACGTTGGCGGGTCTTCATCGTAGGATTTTCCATCTTCCCATTCACAAAGCTGAACAAATTTGGGAATGCGTGAGCCAGATGGACTGGAGGGCTCGATGCCATTCTCAGCTACGATCGAAGGGGAGGGGCTCAAGGTAGATAGCGCTGCGTAGGGGCTGCCACAATAGCCAGGAGTTGGGGCATAATCCGAGTTTTGTTCCCATAGTTCGTGCTCCGTAAGCTGGGATGCATTATGGAGGTGACGTTGGCTCATCTCTTAAAGTAAGAACAGACCTTACTAAAGACATGTTAGCTTGCCGGAACCACGTTAGGTTTGGGGCTGGTAACGAATGAAAGCGCGATAGATAGTGGAATCTATTGACATAAATAAATTTCCCTACCAGTACGGCATGACCTAGGCCCTTTCGTGTTTTACTACATTGCTTCTCTGCATATTACACCGCTTTTCTCACCGCTGTTTCAAACGTTTACCATTTTATAAATTACTGTTTTTTAACCTACTATTATTGATTTACCCCTCTCATCTCCTCCTGTTTCTATACCATCATGCCTCGTCAAATAATTGATATTGAGTCTCACAAGGAAGTCAAGGATGAGATCATCGCATTTTTTACCAATGGAGCAACAATCATGGCTTTGTACAAAATTACAAGAAGACTATACCATCAAAATCGCTCCTCGTACGATGAGGAAGCGCCTCAAAGCATGGGGCATTGCTAAAAATGCACCTCCAAAGACAATTGGAAACCTGGAAATTCAAAAACGGATCCAAACCTTACTTTTCCAAGTAGGTCTTGACGATTATCATATCCACCAAGTCCTCTGCAATGAAGGGATTCAAATTGGTCATCGTACGGTCCAAAGAATACGACTTCGTCTTGGATTTCGACGTCGAAAAGATGACCATCAAAGCCAAGAAGCTGAAATCGAACAAATCACTACTATTCTTGAATCAGAGCTTGGAACTGGTCGAATTGAAGGCTTCGGAAAAGTCCATCTTCAGGAACATATTCGATGACAAGGATATCTATTCAGTGGTAAACATTTGTTTGATGTTTATCGATTGATGCGTCCTGATTCATTACAACGACGTAAACAAGATCTTCAACGTATGAAGGGTGTATGAAACTGAAACTAACTTTAGTAGATCGAGTTGCTCATACCCTACAACGTCGTACGATCTTGGACTTTGAGGACTTTATTCGTCGAGATCTTCTTCCTACAATACGAGAAGAGAAGTTCAAATTTGAGCCTGAATTAGGTGATACTATCATATTGGCAACTCATTGTACAACGAAATGTCCTACATTGATCTCCAATAATCTTGATCATATTCAAGATCTCGAGGATCTCTATGATCAATTTGATTATGTGGAGCGAGAGAAACGTGCTAAGATCTATGTCATTCTTGACAAGAAGCCTCGTACGATAGAGATCAAATCAGATCCTATTTCTCCAGGACCTGCATCGCCAATTGCTTTGAAATTGGAGACACCAATTGCTCCAGAGTCAGAGGTATCAATCATTGAGCTTGACGCCTCTGAGCCAGTGGTTATTGATATTGAAACTCTTGCAAAACCTCGTGAACATCCATTTCGTCCTCGTACGCATCGCAAATACTTTATGACTGAGGCAGAGATGAGGGCACATATACAAAGAATTGATGATGCAGTTGCTCGAGGTGATTCTGATGATGGAGGAGAGCCTTTATCCCATCCTGATGTCATTATCTATAGTGAACCACCACCTGAAGGGGAGCCATTTGATCTATCCTCTGCTTCTATAGCGGAAGCAGAGGTCGTACGACAGGCAAAGGAAGTGCCAATGGCGCTAAAAGAGGGGACAGCTGGTCCTCAGTTTATTTGGCCTTTGAATTCGGAGCCTGCACCAATTCCTGCGCCTGTGCCGATTCCTGCCCCTGCGCCGATTCCTGTACCTGTGCTGATTCCTGCTCCTACACCGGCCCCTGCATCTATTCCTGCATCGATTCCTGCCGCTGCGTCGATTCCTGCGTCGATTCCTACGTCTGCCCCTAAGTCTGTACAATTACAGAGGACTCGATCAAAGAAATCGACTCAGCAAAAGCAGCAAGTCTCTAAATCTGCTTCTGCGCCTACTTCTACACCTACTTCTATACCTGTGTCCGAGTCTGTACGACCGCAGCAGATAAGGTCAACTCAGAAGCGATTGGAACCTACAGATGTCGGTACACCTCCAGCACGTCGAACTCGGTCTCGTCTAGCAAGTAAAAAGGATTGAAAAGGTGATAGTTTTTGTGTATTTAGTTTAGTTTGGTTATTTTGTTTATTGTAGGAGATGATTTTATAAAAAGGTTTTGCTGCTTTTCAATAGAAATTGATTGAAGGAAGCTCCAGAGGATAGTAAGAGAGAGAACTCATTAGCCCCAAAAACGCCGAGTATTCTCCTCCCATTGCTGAGGAGTGGTCAGCCGGCCATACGAGTCGCTAAGCATCTTCTCTCAATCTATCAAGACCCTAAGGCACCATGTCATACTTGATAACGGAGACAATGAGAATTTTCTTGATCAACGAATGACGACCTCGCCTTTCAAAGCTCAGTGCTATCAAAAATGCGCAATACAGATTTAGCCTCCAGAGTAGAGAAACGATAGTCATAGGTTAACTTCATGTTTAGCCATGAAGACTTCTGAGGTAGGATCTACTGTATAATCTATTGGGAGATATTGTGGGATGCAACCCAAGATATGTACAAACAAAAAGAATCACTCGCAAACCATCGGCAAGACAACAAATCATCGAGCTCGTAACCGCTTTGACCGACGTGGCGTATCTTTGATAGTGGATGCTTTCATTTTACATGCTCGTCCTTTACCCCTCTGCTGCCCCCCAGGCGGCTCTTCGGGGGGCCCACGTTTCCGAGACGAGCGCATCGCATGCTGTGGTAAAAACCCAATATTAGGACCAGGTTCTTGATTTGCTGCCTTTGCTGCCCCCTCGTCACTCGCCGTGTAGGAATCTCCACCAGGTTTGAATCGGTGCTCGTCAATAGGAATCCGGAAGAGGAGGGAATTCCAGTGCTTGGCAGGCAAGTGGATGGCTTGGTGATAGGGCCGGGTGCCATCAAACGAGGGTCAATATTTGCCATACCAAAATCGACAGAGGCGGGAGTTTCGGTGCCTTGTTGAGAACCCGGCTCAGGAGAAGATGCGAGATCCGCCACTTCTGCAGTACTCCTCGTCGATCGCCTAGTTGGAAGTTCGGTTGAGATGGGGTGAAGACTTTTCACTGCAGAGCCACCAGAAGGGGTGGTAATTTCAGTATTTAAGTAGCACGGTGAAGTCTTCGTGATGGGAACAGGGTGGGCCTCCAATAGGCGTGGATCGATATTTCCCATCTCGAGCTCGACAGAGGAGGCCGGAGTCTCAGTTCTTGGTCGATTCTTAAATTCCAAAGACACTTCTCTGGATGAGATGTCGTTGCAGTCAGTTTGTGATAGCTGCAGGAGGTGACACAATTTGAGATTAATATCATATGAATGTGCAGTGGAAGCATGGGCCAAAAATTCGGTGATCTTGCTGAACTGGGGAACATTGCGACAGGCTTCCCAATTGCAGCTGATTCCATCGCGCGCATGGACCAGGTGCGTATCAATTAAGTGACGACGAAGAGAATCCTGTCGCTTGGAAGGAAATTCATGCGGAGGAAGCTTCGATGATGATTGGCGAAATAGACCACAGCAAATGATGCAAATATTCGTTGGGCATTTCATAGTGTCTTCCTCGGGAGCGGGCGAGTCTTCTGGCTGGTCAAGTAAGTCATCTTGGTCGTCAATATTCCAATTGACTCGGTTGCCTCGTCTGCTCGGTTCGCAAAGCCGCAGAAGCGCAACCATATCCTTGGTAACCTGGATGCGTCGAGCAAGTAGCTTGTCCTCGTCAAAGTTCTCTGCATCGGGCCCGTAAAAGTTTTCCACCAGGCGTGCCCGTTCCGCAAACACATAATTTGGAGTAGGCAGTTCCCAGCGCTCATCACCAGAATCCTCATCACCAGAAGCTTCATCAGACTCGCCGAGAAGTTGCTTTATCTGCCTGTCAACTTTTAATACGGGCGCATTTTGGAAATGGTCTTTTCTCGCTGCCTCTCGCATGTCGGTTGCTAACTTCTTTCGAAGTTTAGTTAATTCTTTTTTGACATCTTCATGTCTTTGATACAGGCGCGGAAACGGTTTCCGGGCATTCTTGATTGTACCAGCCAGGGATCGCATCTCCGCCATGAGCTCTCGCTTCTCTCGTCTAAGCTGCAGAATATCCGGATGTTGGCGAATAGCAAGCTTGTGCGTATCGGTAAGCTCGGACGGAGCGCAAAGATCTCTTTTCCTGAGCATACTTCCGGCAAAACGTACTAGACCCTCCTGAGGCGGTCGAAGAAGAACGACATGCTGGAGATCGCGTCCAATAAATTGTGATTGATAGTGCTTTTCAAAGACCGCGTCGCCAGACTGACCAAGCACTCTTTGCCGCTCCTGGCTAGTGAATTTCCTATACGCTGCTAGTCAGCCTCGGTGGGACAAGATCTCCATTTTCATGAAGCCGTAGTTTTCATACATTCAGCGCACGAATAACTTACGATTGACTTCATTTGCTGTCCAACGGAAAGTTGTAATGTCCGATATCGTCTTCAAATCTAGCGTCCCGGCCCAACTCTTTGAAGGCTTGTCGACTTGAATCATAAGTCATCGTTAAAGACCCATGAAGTTCATAGCCATACGGAGTGCGCCCAAAGCGCCGCAGGAGAGGCGTGTTGAGAACTTCGGGCCTCCACCGAAGAGGAAGGGATGCATTGTGCTTGGGAACCCGCAGCCGCCAAATGAGCTCTGGTGTGAGCTCGGTGTTGAGAAACGCACCATCGCGGAAAGCAAATGAGATTATTTGGGTGATCGGGCAATATGCTAGTTGGTAATCGCCGTGCATGAAAAATTTGGTTCTAGCAGTAAGCGTCAGCATCAGTTTAATAACACCAAGGGGCCCAGAAGCATACTTACCCATCAGCACCCTCCGGTCGACCTTTAAGATTGCGAAACTCTATGATGGCACAGAGAACATCACGTTTGCTTTGAGGGTCTTTCAGGTAGAAAAGTTCTATATCACGATAGCAGACCGAGTCCGGAAGGTCTTTCAACGATATGTACTTTGGAAGATCGCTTTTAAACGTGAGAGCCCGTTTCCGTTTGCCCAGAGATGAGTGGTCGGGTACGGAGGTGTCTTGTGGAAGCATGACACCGGGGCGACTCCCGGTAATGGCAGACCATAGCTGTACAGTAGCGAATTGGACGATCATACTTCCATGACGGAAAAACTTCGAATGGACCCAGTGATGCCGGTAGAGCACACAGAAGACATCTACATCTGAAGTGTTCTTGTCCTTCATTCCTCGGGGAATTTTGCGCTCGGCCGGGAAAGGACCCTCTAGAAACTATGTCACCATTAGTCTAATCTCCCCTAGCATATAAGGAAGTCTCGTACTCGTCGCATCTGTTTATGAGCGTCTTCGTTGACACGGCGACGGGCAAACAGCTCGAAATACTGACAAAGTCGGCGCCAGTACTCATCATAAGACTGCAGCTTTTTCTCTCGCGATGTTTTGAACATCCAGTCGAAAAAGTTCATGTAGATCGCATGATCCTCCAGAAGAAGGTGGTCCACGTAGTCCTCGTTCGACTGAATGCAAAACCTATACTCATGAGTTATTTCCTACACACGATGCCTTGTTCTGAGAATTTCCCCACTTACTTTCGTCAGTAGCGTTCGATGACGGCAATACCTAGTAAAGTCCTCGGTTTGAAGTTTGGAGGTAGCCATCCAAGACTACGGAAATGTTCCAGTCTGGTTCGAGTTTCCTCGCAAAGAATGGGGTCGGTCCAGTATTGGTGTTCATCACCCTGAGCTGACTGAATGAGCACAGGTGCCATAGTGAAAATCCAGGATAAATGAGCAAGGTTGGAATCTCGAAACACGGGCAACAAGGTTGTCAAAGTCGACTTGGGGAGTGGGGGTTGGGGATGAGGAGAGAACTGGAAGAACATGAGAGGGGGAAGAAAAGAGGCATCTTATAGGCGCCCGGCCAGGCAAGACGGAAAGCGAAGGCTCCTGGGAGGGACTGCAAAAGGGAGCCATTTTCGGCGTCTTTTTGGTGGCAGGTGGAATGACTGTTGAACGGCGCCTACATCACAGCTGGAAGATGATGACTAACGGCGCTAGGTGGGTGCAAAATAGTGAGGGTACTGGACGGTGGGCGGTGAAGCGCCCGCTCGCCCTCCAAAGTTACGGGTGGAAAGACGGCCGTTTCTGGCGCCAAAAGTGGTCATTTTCGGCGTCATTTTCACAGGTCCTCATATTCTATGTGTAACTAGTTAGTAACTAGTTACTAGTTAGTGTAGTGGGGAGGTGTGACCTCCCCCTACAGACATGCTTCCAGCCTTCCCCTGTCCACTCCCTTTGTTTTCACGTGAGCGTTCCTTACGTCAGCAGTTTTGAGCTGCAGATATAGTCGCGAGGTAGCTCTAGTTTAGCAATACACACTCCTACACCTCTCATATTTGACTGCTTGTGCGCAAGCGCCCAACCTCTTTGCTACCTCTGGTCCGATGTCTATGCTAGCTGGTATCTGCTGAATCGACCCGTGTGCCTCAGAGCACACAGCCTTGAGCGTTCCCCTCTTCACTAGTTAGTTAACTAGTAAATTTGAAAGTTCGAAACAAACGGCAAGTCTATTTTTGTCGGGAATAGTGGGCCATGGTTTACCTCAGCATGCTCAGACGGAACATGATTCGCTGGCTCATGCTCACATGACCTACCTACTGTAGGTATTAGGGCACCTGGTTAAATCCTATTCCTATCGTTTTGAATGTAATTGGGCGTTTGCCTCTAACGTTATGTTGAACCTCACGAGAATGTGTTATGAAAGGGAGAGACCGGATTGGTTTTTGAATCAGCCATTGGTCTGCAAAGATTGAGTATATGTCTACCTATAAACCATCCAGTACACAGTATAAGCCCTCCAGTGGCATCGTGCTTCGGTCAACTAGGCCGCCCCATCTCTAGACTATGAATTGTACCCACTTGGTCCCTCGCCATTGTAAGGGTTTCTCTTCTTGTAGTTCTTGGTATCAACATCTGGCATCTTAATCTCCGCGATAAGATCCTCGAATTCATCCAGGGCATTCATCACACGATCGTAATGCGCCAAGCTGCGACCTGCCTGGTAGGCTTCCACATACGGAGCCCTGGCAACACGAATTGCCTCCCGTGCCCAGCTACGGGCCTCATTCAGGGCGAACTTGAACTGCTCATTCCAGAGCAATCCCCACCAATTCTGGAGATTGTACGTCTTCGTCGTCTCCTCGATGTTGCTCCATTGTGTGAAGCTTTCATCCATCACGTTGTCGAACCGCTCCAGAAACATGTTGTTTCTGATGTACGCAAATGCCGCAAATGCCTAGAAGACTCGGTCAGCTTGCTGAAATCGAGACAAAGGGTGAAATTCCTTACATTCTGAAGTGGTCAAAGCAACTTGTTTACCGCATCATCTGTGTCCTGGCTGACGGCGAATTTTGCTTTTTTTTTGAGCTTTACAAGGTCGACCGGGTCCTGACCGAGGAAGATATCTCTCTTGGCAATATTTATGCCTTTCTCAACAGGCATGAAAGGGAACGGATTTTCATCGGACCCAAACGACTCGGCAATACGCTCCATCGGCGTTGCCGGCTGTTTTCCCTTGTCACCGTTGCCAACTTTGGGTTTAGCAGCTAGCTCTGAATTGGCATTTTGCCACACATCTCGCCAGAAGTCTATGCCAACTGCCTCAAGATTAGCGGATCTATCACCAGGAAGCTGTCCATTACCCATGTATTGGATAAACTTTCCGATGAAGCCTTTGTCAGCCGGATGCTCGGTTTCGAGTCTGCTCCTCTGTTCCTTGGTAGGTAGGGTCTTTTGGCAGGTTTATGATATCAAGCACAGAGCCTCCACAGAAGCCCCTGCGCGCTCGGAAAGCCTTTGTGAGCAGAGCAGATCCGTACTTGGTAGGATTGAATAGCGTGCCAATGCTTGGATATTTTGCAATGATCCAGATGATGGAGAGAGATCCGATCCCCACAGTCTTTTGTTTTTTACCATCACGTTTAGCAAGGTCAGATTCGCCAAGCTCATTGGATTGGTAATAGGAATCATCTCGTTTATAGAGAAGATCATCGGAATAGCAATAGGTAAGATCCATATCGCAAACATCGTAAGTGCACATCGCCTTGCGGGTTGGCGCCTTCTTCACTGTGCAGCATCCTGACCGTTTTCGGCCCCCTATTCAGATTCCTTGGTCAGATAAAAACACAACAAATGAAACAATAAGAATAGCAAGCAGAAATAATTACATTCACAAGAATCACGGCCGTTACCTAGGGTGGACTTTGCGATCTCAACCTGAGTTGAATTGCACACGGCATTCGCGCAATCGGTACCACCGCTTCCACCCTCCCACTGGCAACTGACAAGCTCAGCTGGCTCGGAACAGCAGTACTTTTGCCCTCCTTCGGAAAAGCAATCATCGTAATTCGTTAGAACAGCAGTCTTCCTGGCTGGACAGGCTTCCCCACTGGAGACGCTCAAAGGTCAGCTTGTCCAATCGAAACCCAGTTGGCAGTGACTTGGATATATGCTACTCACCACTTCGCCCAAGAACAAGTCTTGGTAACCTGCTTGAAGTCTGGGTCTGGGCAGCAGAATGCTTTGTAGCCACGGCCACACTTGTTCGTGTCTCTATCATTGAGATACCCACCACCCCAAGAAGAACGAATACCAGCAACGTTGATTTCTCCCGCGGCACACTGCCCGCTGCAATCAGAGCTGGCACCTTGTTGACCAGTGTCCTGTCCACGCCACATGCAATTTTTCGGGGCCGCTCCATTTGGGCAACACACCGGCTTTCCACAATGCTTGATAAAATAAGCATCTTAGACTCGAGCGGATCGTTGGAATGGGTGATCACTTACACAATTAGATTTTCCACATCCTGCATCGTTCCAGCCAACGACACTATATCCGCTGCCGCATGCTTTGGACATGGCGTCTGTGTCATCAATCTTGAGACATTTCCCTGTGTGTTTGAAGCATTTTTGTCCAGTGAAGGCAGACAGATCTTGCACAGTTGTCCCGGGATTTGCCACTGCCTTATTCTCAAGCTGAAGTGTCGATGTAGAAATAATTTCCCGATCAAGAAGATCTGTATGGGCAGCGTACTTATCGGTATCTGGTGCAGTAGTTAGTGAGATAGTCCACGGCCAGAGCAGAGCAAGCAAAACGGTCCATACCCAAGTCAGACGCCCAAATCATTGCACCTCCCAGTCCCACTTCATCCGCCCAGGAGACCTTTTGCTTGAATGTAGTTTTGTCATCATACGAGACCCATTGATCATCATCAAAGGTGGAATAGTTGACAGCAGCCTCTTTGTCGTGAACCGGTGTAATGGTGGCTCGCTTCTTCGAGGTGCCCTGTAGAATACTGGCAATCTCATAGTACGCAAGCATACCAGCTGTATCTGAACAGGGCCCAGCGTCTGAGGCACCCTTGAAAGCGCAACCAGGTTTTGTGCATGTCTTATCTTGAAGGGTGAACGCACGACCATAAAACCCGAAGCCCAGGACCACTTGCGCGGGGGAATTCTCAACTCTCCGAAAGAGATCCAGGGCACTCTTGATCTCAGTCAGATTAGTATGTCCTTGGACAATACTCCCAATTGGATCAGAAGCATCCCATACTCCATGAAGATCATATGTCATCACATTGACCCAATCTGCGTACTTCATCATGTTTGGGAGATCAAACCATCGGAGATACCAATAGGACGAAGGAGCAGTGAATGTCAGTCCATAGGTGTTTCCGCTCGTATCGAAGACCTCTTTGAGTGTCTTGAGCAATAAGACATAATTCTCTGTGTCTCTGGCCTTACCACCTCGATCACCAGCACCAACTGAGGTAAAATCAGACACACTTGACTTGAGTCACTTCTCCTCTTCTAGACCACCCCTGTGTTCTCCTCTCCTGTACATAGTCCCACAGACCCACTAATCCCAGTGGCGGACCTGGTTCGCAGACAGGTTCGTGTCTCTCGCTCTTCAATATGCAAAACGGCAAGGCGGTGGCCCCTTCCGGCATCCCGTACGTAGCGAACCATCCCGCTTCTACTCCCCACTCCTCCACTTCTCTGCTAACCCAGCCAGGCACAAGTGTACTCCGTACCCTGGGAACATACAGATTTTGAGAAATTAGAGCGTTGAGACTTGAGAGAATAATTGGTTCCCCACTTTGAACCCCTGCAACCTTAGAATTTCCCGACTTGCCCCTAGGCCACCCCCAACTCGCTAACCGATCCAGCCTTTCTTTCCCACTCCTACCTCTAGTCGCCCCATGACAATACAGGGACCTTCACACCTATGATTACAAGAAAATTCCTTGGAACTACACGTATTCCACGCTCTGTGTTCCCCGGCTTCTACAGCCAATCTGCGCTTTCCAGCAGCCTGAGCATTGTTCGCTCTGCTGCTCCCATTAGCCGATTTTCGCGTCTCGCGAAGCCCGCCTTTGTACCACCACATTTCGGGAATACCATTACCACATTTTCAACAATGGTCCCCTCGCAACGTGATCCCACAATGGATGCTGGTCGGAATGCGGCGGACCGGCTCGAGAAGCTCCTTGACGAGGACGGATTCAAAAAATGGGGCTTTGTGATCTATCGATGCACATACCAAAACAATACTGACTGGGAGAATTTTATGGCTCGCTTCGTGAGCGCCGTCCCAGAATACCTTGAGTCTTATAATGGCCTTGATCTCCTCGACACATTCACCCCAACGGTCTTGGAAGACCCCTCCTTTGAGGGCGCGTCGGTCGCTACTCTACGCGTGCACTTCAGTCAATGGGCTCAGACTTCGTTGAAAGAGGAACAGGGCGTTGCTGAAGACCACCAAGCATGTACCGGCCGCTACCGGTTTTTTATTATGGTGGATCAGGAAGCTATGGATTCGGTTTTGAGCGCCCCCGAAGATGAAGATGAAGCAGCATTTGTTCGTGTGGTTTATGCTGAATGGAAACCAGAGATGCCTGATGAAGAAGACATTGCCCATGGCGATGGGTCTGAACTAGAGGAGCCTATTGAGGGCTGTACTCAGAACGATGTGGGTTGGATGAAAATGTGCTGGCGTTGGGTAGAGCTGCCAGGGTTTTTAAAGTTGCGGGATTGGGATGACTGGGAAGCGTACTATGTTCGGCCCCCAGAGATTGGAGACATTCCCTGATGTTTGGCTTAAGTAGCTATCAGGCGGACAGGGATCTTAGCTTGCCACTAGGCACATTGTCAAGTCTCTATGGCCCCTTCAAGTATTTCAGACATAATCCATCATCTTTGACCAAACCACTGGATTCACACCAAATTCAACCTCGGGATTCACCTGGGCATAACCTGGGAAGATCGCATTCATGGTTTAGCCCGTTGACTGGAGTATCCAATTATCCAAGTGAAATCCATACAGGCAACGCCCTTTGGTCTATTTTTGTTCGGCTTTATCTACCTGGGTAGGTAGTCTTTCTAAGGTCCACGGGCTCACATTGGAAACGCCTCCTCTTTCTGAGCTGCCCTCCGAGGTAGAATTATAAGAACTTCAACGGACATACACGTTCCGTTCCACTGTTTTTTCCTCTCCGTACTACAATTGGATATGCACAACTCAAGAACTTGAATGCAATGAACAATGAAAATATCATTCATAATTTGGAAGAAACATCATAGGTATAGATTGCTTCGCTCGCTTCGCTCACTCCGCAATCAATTTCTGTACATCTAATCCGGCTCGATATCTAGTTCCAGATATCAATCTTCTTCCGAATTCCAGACACCTTAGCCTCATCAGCTTCAGAATATTCGCTCAGATCCCCTTCATCGGTACCAAAGGCATCACTAGCTGTCTCCTGTATTTGATTCAAAGTAAGACCAATGAGCCCGACAGATCGCGCATTACCAATCTGGCACATCTCCTCGCCAACGGCACCTTCAATAACACCTTCGCCTCCCTTAGCGGTAAGATCAGCCTCGAAGGTCCGGAACAATTGTCGAAGAGGGTCCGAAACACAACTTTGGAAGAACTTGAACGTCTTCTCGAGTTGAAGCTTCTCGCGCATCGACGGCGACGAAAGCAGCAAGTAGTACAAACTCAAGGCCGAGTGAAGTGGTGGACCTTGAGTCTGAGTGAGACGGGACCAGCTAGTGACGAGATCTGATGCTGAGCTGGCGACCGTGACTGGCTTGAAAAGTGCCGGGAAGATAGCCCAGAAGTAAAGTCGATCTTGGAAAACGCTGTCGGTGGATGCAGTGGGGCGCAGTAATTCATCTTTCAGCCATGCAATAGCACTGTCCCGGGCTGAGGCAAGACTGTCGTCCTCTAAGATGCTGTGGATGAGCTTGAAGCGCGTCTCAGATGATGGGTGGCTTTGTACAATCGCAGCTGGGATTTGGCGGACGATTCCGTGGCTCTGACGAGCTGTGCATGCTGTTAAGGTGACAACGAAATTCTTGAACTCGAGTTCGCTTGGCGGGGGCGTGATGGGCTGCTGCAGAGCGTAGACTGTCAAGGTCAACAGGGCGTCGAGAAGCGCCTGGGGCTGACCGAAAGCCACTTCGTCCAGGTTGGTGTAACCACCAACGAAATTGGTGAAGATCTGAGCCAACTGGGGGAATATAGATATTTGAGGCAGTGGGTGCCCAGAGGCGAAGAGGATTGCGCCGGAAGCACGAGCCGCTAGCAGTAAGAGGGAACCATGACGCTCCAGCGGTATTTGATCGGGGTGTGTCGGTGCTTCATCGAAGTCGAGCTGTGCAGTCTGGTCTGCTGGTGGGCCAGAGATAATTGACAGCAGTTGTTCGTTGTCGATTCCAACGTCTCGAGACAAAGCCTGGGAACATTGATCAGATCAATCTTTCTCATGGACTGACATGCAGTTCCATATGTGTTCTGTCATCACTTACCATCAACTTTCCCATGATCATGTCACGCTCCTTGAGCTCCTTGGTCGATCCATATGCCTCAGTCTGCGATTGGGCGGGTAGCCGCAGATCGGGATGCAGATGTTCCTGCATACGTATGGTCCACGACATTCCCGGGTCCATGGGACTGGAGAAGCTCAACATATACGACTTCAGCAGTTCAAGCAAGCCGAACTGTATGAACTTCCGAACAAGGAGCGTCTCGTTATCGGCGGAGGGAGAGGGCGATGATACCTCTGCTTCTGGGTCCGGGGCTGAGGCAGCGGCATTCCGCAATACACTAGACTCGCTTGCAGCTCGGGGAGGTGGCGCAGGTCTCTTGGAAGGAGAAACTTCGCGGAAGAACTCAAGGAAAGCTAATGTGGTTTCGTTCGTCGCCATTGTGGTGTACGCTTCCAAAGCGGCCTGAAGTGAAGTTGCCATGAAGCGGCTTGGGGCCTTGGTCTGAATTCGGGTGTGTAGTACCGAGAGCATTCCGATAAGGCAATTGAACTGCATGATGTGCGCAGGCAATCCCTCAACAGCTTCGTTGTCCTCGTCCTGGTCCTCCGGCTGGAGTTGCATCAGGGCTTCAGAGACGCGCAAAATCACTTCTCGTGGGTTCCCTAGTCGAGCAATATCCTGCAGGCATTCTGTAGATGCCGGTAGCATGGGTAGAAGCAGCTTGACCAGGTCCCAACCGATATTGGTTGTAAGCTTCTCATCTTGGAGGAGAGTGTGCAAGAGTGGTAGGCGTTCTGGCGTTAGTTGGTATTCTAGCAAGGTAAGATATGTCAAGTAGTCAGTCGCCGGAGGCAACGCTTTAACTAGAGGGTCGTCCATGGTTATGGACCATTGATGGTTGACTATTTCTCGTGTGCAGCGGGGGAAGATGAAACACGGCGATGACATCAGCGGCCGCGGGCCGATCGCGTCTCCGAACAAAAAGTGGCACTCTACACTTTGTCTTTCTTCAACAGAGTACATCTCCTTATTGCCGGATAAATGACTGACAGATTCTCTTTGTTGTTATACTCATCAAGGTTGCGTGCATTATCTTCTATTATTACTAGTCAGTGGCATTGAGGCTGAGACTGCCCAGCACATGACAAGAGAGAGGAGTGAGGCTGGCCAAAGTATTGCTACAAAATAGTCGTAGAATCCAGGCGAAAAACGGTACAGACTACAGAGTATACGAAGGCACATACTCCGTACTGTGTACTAGCAAGGGGGAATGCCGAGACTTGTGCATCCAGTGGCTATCGTCACCCGTAATCCAGGGCAGGGCGGAGTGGAGTGGAACCCAACCGCCGCGCGGCTGAGTCTCGCCCAAAAATAACTGAACAATGTCACTGCCTGTTCTTCTCTCATCTTCTTAGAATATCTTCCTTTCCACTCTCAATCCCTCAAATTACCTACATCTTCGATCCCATGGATTCACCTTTCTGTTTACGGCCCAACTAAACAAAGACTCAACACTGGCCATGGCCTCCAACGAATACTATCACTCGAATATCCCACAACCCCCTACCTACACTGCCTATGATCAGGCTGTGCCGGGGAAGCCAGATTATACCGCAAGCACACTCCCTGGAATTGGCTATGCAAGTCACAGTAACCACCACGACGATCCCGCGACCCCTTATCACCACCGAGAAAGTCAACAATCATTTGTATCGGACAATGGACAATACCAAACTGCTGGACGGACAACAGAAGGCGACAATTATTCAGAGAACATCCCTTTGAAGACCAACGCCCAGTATGGAAACAACCCAGATTGGATGCGCCAACAGACACAGTACCCCCCTTCACCAGGGGGACTCGAAGACAGCCGACCACGCGATAACCGAAAAAAGAGGGGTTTCTTCAGCAAGAAGATCGCTTGGGTGACGTACATCTTGACATTGGCTCAGATCATCGTGTTCATCGTAGAGCTGGTCAAGAATGGTAAGTTAGCTTCAACCTCGGTATTGCCCTGGCCTTCCAAATCAGCTAACACCGTCTTCTCCATTTTAGCCCAGTTGACAGGTTCAGTCATCCAGACAAAGCCTAATTTCAATCCGATGATCGGGCCTTCACCATACGTCCAAATCTACATGGGAGCACGCTACAACCCGTGCATGAAGAATGTTGGGGGCATTCAGAACGCCACACAGCCCATCGACTGGCCCTGTCCGAATACCACAACGCTGGACACGGGGACGACGTGCTCACTGTCTGATGTGTGTGGATTTGGTGGTGTCCCTAACCCTCGCCCGGGAGGATCGACGAAGGATCGACCGGCCCCTAACCAGTGGTACCGGTTCATTCTCCCCATCTTCCTGCACGGAGGCTTTATCCACATCGGATTCAATTTGCTAGTCCAGATGACAATGGGCGCGGATATGGAGCGCATGATTGGAATGTGGCGCTATACTCTGACCTACTTCGCCAGTGGTATCTTCGGCTTCGTCTTGGGTGGAAACTATGCCTCGCAGCGTGATCCTAGTGACGGCTGCTCAGGTGCCCTGTTCGGCATCCTTGCACTTTACCTTCTGGACCTTCTGTATGACTGGCCTAACCGTGCGTCCCCATGGGTTGAGCTCATTATCATGATCTTGGGAGTGGGTGTCTCGTTCGTTCTTGGTCTTCTCCCCGGATTGGACAACTTCTCTCATATTGGAGGCTTCATTATGGGTCTCGCCATTGGTTTGACCATTATGCGGTCGCCCAACATTCTCCGAGAGCGAATTGGCTTGGCCCGGCAGCCATACGTTGCCATGAGCGGTGGAACCGGCCGAGAGGGCCCCGAACAGAAGACCACCTCCTTCATGGATTTCTTCAAGGGCAAGCGAGGCCTGACCTCCAGCTCGACGGAAACACCCGAATCTATGCATGGTCCGCTCAACTTCTTCAAGGGCCGCAAACCTCTATGGTGGTTGTGGTGGTTTGTCCGTGCAGGTGCCTTGGTTGCGGTCCTCGTGGGTTTCATTATGTTGATTGTCGATTTCTATAAATACCCTGATTCGAACTGCTCTTGGTGCTATCGATTGAGTTGCCTGCCCGTCAATGGCTGGTGTGAGCAAGGCAAATCGTCCTTCACCCAGTTGACTAGCAAGACAGGATGAGGCTTTTTTTTTACCATGTGGCGTACCAGCCCGCATTGCATCGTTAGCTTCGATGAATCTATTACCGCCATGACTGTAAATAGAACTGAGATATCCGACTTATACCCAAGCTTGAATTTACAGAATTAGTTCTCTTTGACGATCAAGACCTGGCTGCCCAATAATGTCCATTACCACTGACTAGTACGATTACCATATTATGCCATGATGCACTCTATCTGGACGGTCGTGAGAGATAGAAGACTACTTCTCTGGGCCGGAGGAAGTAAGAAAAGTCACATTCATTGCGAGAACGATAGGGCCTGCTCGGAACTCAACAGTAAGAGCAATGCTCCGTCAGAATCGGCCGGTGCCTCGAACAACGTGGAGCCAAACCCTATTAATAGCAAGGTTATGGAAAGCTAAGGGGAAGTGGGGACTTCTGCAGATCACATGACTACGGTCGGCTGCGCACTTTTCGTGGCTGGGGCTGTGGCGGAGCGCTTTTACATGACTGTACCAAACTTACTGTATCGTACCATCTCACCTGATAGCCTCGTCCTCAATCGCTCGATTGTAAGACCTAGCCGTCCTCATGGACTAATCCGCTAAAGCTGCCAGATGCACCTTCTTTTATCTGTGCCTTAATCCCACAGCCATGGCCACCTTGGCCTCGTCACCCCCGACCTCGCCCTCATGGCCCAAACGACGCCCACGAGCTTGGGCTCTCCGCTGCGAACGATACTGCTGCGCAGCAGCAACCTGCTTTCCACTCGCCTTCGTCTACGGCATCACTACATGGGCAGTATATGTCGCTGTCAGCATAGGCATCAAGCCTTCACGGAGTGACTGGATTGGTACGTAGGATCACACCTTTGGCAGTCGGACAAGCGCATACCATAGCTATAGAGCCCGTATCATTCTAACTTGTCACCCAGGTATCCCTAGCACCATTCTCGCATTCAGCCTTTACGTTCTCCTCAACTATTCGTATAGTGTCGCCGTCTTCACCGATCCAGGGTCGCCGCTATCTACCCGCCGCGGCGCCGGTCAAGAATACAGCGCCCTCCCTCTCTCCGAGTACCCGGAGTTCACCTCATACACTGTTACCTCGACTGGCGAATCCCGGTACTGCAAGAAATGCCAGTGTCCGAAGCCGGACCGCGCGCACCACTGCTCGACGTGCAAACGATGCGTCCTCAAGATGGACCACCACTGTCCCTGGCTGGCAACGTGTGTCGGATTGCATAATTACAAGGCTTTTTTGCTATTTTTGATCTATACCTCGATCTTCTGCTGGGTTGTCTTTGGTATTGCAGCCATCTGGGTCTGGACCGAGATCCTGAACGACACTCAGTACATGGACACCATCCTCCCGGTGAACGTGGTTCTGCTGGCCATCTTGGGCGGTATAATTGGACTGGTACTGAGCGGCTTCACAGCCTGGCATATCAGCTTGGCTGTGCGCGGGACTACTACCATTGAATGTTTGGAGAAGACCCGATATGTGTCTCCATTGCGCAAAGCGCTTGACAGACGCCGGAACGAACAGGCGCCGAACTCTAATTACTGGGGCGAGCCGGGCGAGGAGAGCTTGACCAACCGATTACAAGGATATGGAAACCAGATTATTGATGCCCATGCCAATGCCATCCCAGGAGTTACGCGACCCGAAGAGGGCGAAGAGCGCACTTACCCCACGCCCCGCCCATCAGGACCCCCCGATGGTTCCAGCAACGGGCTGACGCCAGCACAGCAAGCGTTGACCCGGTCATATGCCGAAATGGAGCGCCAGCGCGAGCACGAGCGGTACCAGGAATACCAGAACGACGAAGACAACGAAAAGATGCCCAGTGCCTTTGACCTCGGCTGGCGGCGCAACCTACTTCATCTCTTTGGCGACCGACCGCTCTTCTGGGCTTTTCCCATTTGCAATACTACCGGTGACGGCTGGCACTGGGAGCCAAGTGCTCGGTTCCTAGAAGCCCGTGAGCGCATGCGCCAAAGTCGAGAACAGCAGTCCAATGAGGAACAGCAGTATTATCGCGAGCTGTATCAGCGCAATTTGGATAACAGCAGTAGTTGGACGGAGGGTGCTGCTCAACCGCTTCGTGTACCATATCGCGGGGGCTCGCCGGATAGGCCTCCTACTTCTGTATCGATGCAGACTCTTGCGCCGCGTTCGCCGCGACCGAGGCCTGGGGATAGTGATTATGGGGATGATGTTGAAGGGAATGGGCTGTTGGATGCTCGTCCACAGCCTATACGACATGATACTGATGAGTGGAGGGATTGGGATTGAGTTTTAGCATTACTACCCAGCATAATGGAAGGCGTTGTATGTATACGAATGGTTTTGCATGTAGTTAGCCTGAGACTTTCTTGAAAATGACCAAGTCTTCCTATTAGAACTCCAGTTAATCCTGCTGTACTTCCAATTCTTCTCATTCGTCAAAAACGCGGTTATCTGTCATCTCGCATCTACCAAAAGTACATGGACTCACACCTCGGTACAAAGGACAAAGGTACATCCGCCACCACTAAACCTCCGAGACTGACGTGACAACTGTCCAAAACGTCACCAAACCCCAATCACCCTCCACTCCCCTCTTCAATCACATCTACAAACACTCCCCCACACATACACACCTCCATACAAAGAAACCAGGGGAAACAAACCAAAAAAACAACCAAAATGTCCTCCCCCTCAACCCGCCGCCTCCTAAAAGAAAGCACCGACCTCCACAAAAACCCCAGCCCATACTTCACAGCCTACCCAACAAGCGACACAAACCTCCACGACTGGCACTTCACCCTAACCGGACCCCCCTCCACCCCCTACGCCCGCGGCCTCTACCACGGCCGCATAACCTTCCCACCCACATACCCGCTCCGACCCCCCTCCTTCCGCTTCCTGACACCCTCGGGCCGCTTCGAGGTCAACCGCGAGATCTGTCTTAGCATCTCGGGCCACCACGAGGAGACGTGGCAGCCGGCGTGGTGGGGTGCGCACTGCGCTGTTGGGGATAAGGTCTGAGATCTTTGGCGCGGAGAGTCAGGGGCAGGTGGGGGGTATGGAGGGGAGTGAGGAGGTGCGCAGGGAGTATGCGAGGCTTTCGGTTGGGTGGAGGTGTCGCGAGTGTGGGGTTGGGAATTTGGAGGGGATGAAGAGGGTTTGGGAGGGTTGTCGGGAGAAGGGGGTGAAGGTTGAGATTGAGGGGTTTGAGGATGGGGAGGTGGAGGTGGGGACGGATGGGGAGGGGGTGGAGAGGGGTGAGGAGGGAATGGGTGATGGGGATGGAGATGGGATGGCTATGGTGGATGTTGTGGAGGAAGATGGGGGTGATGGATCTGTGTCGGTGCCGGCGCAGGTTTCTGCGCCTGTGCAGGCACAAGCGCCGTCTGCGTCGACGGGGCGAGCGTCTGCTGCTGATATGTCTGCGCGGACGGGTTCGGCTCAGTTGGCGACGGAGTCTTTGAGTGAAGGTGTTTGGCTGGATCGGGCTATCGTTGGCGTTGTCGTTGCTCTGGTGGTGTTGATATTGCGTCGAGTGGCCAACGTCAATGAGGTTTTACTTTGAGCATTGCACATACCATTTTGCGGGCGTTTGGGTTTATGTTTACAGGAGTTGATACGGATCATGATACCTCTAGATAGTTTCGAAGTCAAGCGCAAATTCTTCATTCAAATATTCACTTTGATTCTTTGGGTATTTGTTTCTTAATTGCAAATATTGTAACATCTTAACATTTGTTCAAGCACTCCCTTGGGACGCCTCAAGATAGAATCATCCACCAAGACTCTTCCAATCTCCAAGAAGCCAACTCTCCCTCACCGTCAGACTTCACGACTCCAACTGCCTCCAGCCATTGGAGCATAAGCACAGTCTCCCAAGCGCCCATCGTGGGCTTGATCATGTTGGAGATGCTCTGAGCTTTGATACCGGGCCGCGTGACCAAACACCCAATGACAGGACCAACCACCAAGTCCCAAAGACGATGCACGAATTCGCCATTGATATCGTACCACAGCGGAATCCTGGGTGGCATTCTCGTACCCGCCGCTGAAGGCGGAGGCGGAATGCTCACAGCTGCAGCTTTAGCATGAACAGGGTTACCGTAGCGGTACTTCTTGGTGGGGATGACTTCGATAGGGAAACGGAAACGTTTCTTGTCCATCTGGCGGGTCTCGTATCCACCATCAGTGAGGCCGAATTTATTGCGCGGGGGATCACGAGGTCGCAGCTGAATAGCATTCGAGGCATAGAGATTGATCAGCGCCAGGATATCGCCATCCTCGGCTGTATACTCGATGTCGAAGATACCATTCATCCGGAGTTTGGGATCCAGGATGGTGGATTTGAAGTGAACGGCACGACGCAACTGTGTGCTTTCGACCGCACGTTTTCGGCTCAACGTCTGAAGGAAGTTATCGGAGATATCGTAGTTGCGGCCGGGACTGACGCGGCCACGATTTGTCGAGCTGATCACACGTTCGTTGATCAGCCCTTGCGTGGCACTGGTGATGAGCCGATCGCCGAAAAGTGCCAGGATATCGCTCGATTCGTTCGGTCGATAGGTCTCTTCTGCGGTGATGATATTCGCCCGGACCCATGTCTTCGCCGCCTCAAGCTGTGCCATGTCAACACCTCGTGGAGCCGACTTGGGGCGTGCTTCATCCTCCAATGGTACGGCAAATGGACTCCGTGCCATCAGATTACGTTTATGGTTGATAGTGACGCCATGCACAGCCTGGTACAAGTCGTCACCGGCGGTGATGGGATCCTCTCGTAGTTCAAAAACGGCATCAAATTGCTCCCGTGTGGCTGGAAGATCTGGCACACGTTCGGACGAGGAGATATCCAGTCTTTGACTTGCCCACTCAACCAGAGTAGACCAGTCATAGCCTTCCAAATCAGAGTAGTCGATACGTGGAACCTCGTCGTTTTCGTAGCCCTCGAGAAAGCACTCTTGGAAGTCTCGATGCATTTTGGTGATTTGCAGGCGGTTTTTGCTCAGAATTTGGCGCGCTCGTCCTTGAATGAAATCCGAGTCGTGGTTTGGGAAAGCTTTGCTTACAAGACCCCACTCGATAACTCTTGACATCTCTCCTCCTGCAAGCACACGAACCGCGACCAAGGCAATCATCAACCTTTTCTTTAAATCCTCGGAGACGGGACGAACAATTCGGGTTCGACGGATGCGTTTGGGTTGCTGCGATTCTTTGCTGGGTGATGTAATATCATCGAGTTTGGCCAAACGGCGATCCGAAGGAGCAGCACGCGACGCCCGTTTCCTTCTTCTTTTTGGTTGTTGTGTTGCTGGCGCCTCTGTCGAGCCAAACGTCGTGGGAGATCCAGGCACAGATTGACGCAGGCGAAGGGCCTCGCTGCGCCGTGTGGGCATGGCAGGTCCGGCTGGGGCCGCTTGGGGAGGGCCCGTAATGACATCAAAGCGGATGTCACCCTCGATTAGCGATGTCTTGAACTTGTGCTGGATGGTTTGGTTGATGAACTCCTGGCCTTTGAGGTCCATGTCAAACAGGTTCTGGTGAAGCAGCTCCCATTCGAGAATACGTTTAGTCCGAATATCAAACCTCTTCATGCGTGATACTTCCGGCAGATCTATCTCATCATGAGCTAATCTGGATAGCTCGTTGACAGATTCCTCAATGTTCTCAATCTCAATGGCCGGCTGTGCTCCTAGTATTAGCTCCGACCTCTTCGGTTGAAGCAAACATAAATGCGTGGAGAAGGTCCCAGTAACTGGATGGAAATGTTGCACCGGGTTCATCAACATGCCATACGCTCCAATGGCGGACATCGGCCTCATCCTCACCCGTTTGGCATGTACCATGGACTTCCGCTTTTGAGGTTCACGCACTCTTTGAAGGAGTGGGCGGATGATCGATGTATGTGGATGAGCATTGGTATCTAACTCAGGGGGACGGGCAAGTGTCATAAGACGTTGAACTCCAGGCAGGTCAGGCAACTCGTCTGCAGCTGCGGCAGCTTTGGCTTGGGCAGCTAGCCGTCTGAACAAGCTTGACTGAGCCGATCTGCATTTTCTCTTTTCAAAGTTCAACACGAAAGCAGGCTTTTGCTGTAGGTGAACTTGAGCCTCTTGTTCGACCGGTATGGAGGATCTGTGCGGTCGGGGAGGTGCGCCGTGTGGTCGGCCGCCACTTCTCGTTAACGTTGGATCCAGCTCAACATTCTCCGCGAAGGTGGGCCGAGCCTCGTTTATTTCAATACTCAGGGCCTTTTTCTGCATCTCTTTCACCAATGGATGGTCTGGTGGCATATCAGGTTTCATCAACAGCGTCTTTGTCACCGTCACGTGCTTTTTGTTTCTGCCACTGAAGGTCAGTTGTCGAAGCAGGCCAGCACTAACTAAGTGCTTGCACGCATTTTTGATAGTTCGCATATCGGGCTTTTCAGTGGGATGAAACTTCATCCATGCAGTGACGAAAGGATACCAAATTGCAGCTCCCCCGGGATACACACCACCAGCGTCTTCAATAATTTCCATAAGGAGCTTCCTCCGAAGGATGCTAATAGATCCGCCTCTTTCAATCAAGGGTCGAGGAGCTTCGAATTCTTTCGCGTCCGCATTTGGCGCATTGCGGCTAGTTCTAGCTCTACTCCGCGGTGTCTCTTTTGCAGGTTGCGTTCCAGCATTCGACTGAAGTTTCCGAAGCCCCGCAGTAACAGTCGATGGACGGGGTGTCGACGACTGTTGAGTGGGAGCGGGGGATTCTAGGCGGGGACGCTTCGATGGGGTTTGACTTTGTCCATCTTCGAGTAAATGAACGCTGGCGCTCTTGTTGTGATGGCCCAATCTGCTCGCTTCGTCATAATTCATGTCGTGCCCAGGGGTTCTGTCCGCCGGGGGCACCTCATTGGCCATTTCCACGGATGTTTCCCTGCCTCCATTGTGCGCCTCGTGGAGACGAGGTCTTTTGTGGGGTCTCTCGTTTCCGCTACCACTGGCAACGAGGCTGGAGGACGGTGTGGGCGAGTGTGCAGTCGGTCCGTCGGACGAAATCCTTTCACGTGGCCATACAGGAATAGGTGAGCGTGTGACGATGGGGCTCTCGGACTTGATCACTGGAGCCGCAGCTTCGAGGGCAAGGCTCTCGAATTCTTGGGAGGTCGCAGCAGCGCCCGCTTCTCCATCGTCCGTTGTGTCATTGGCGTCCGCCACAAACCAAGGGAACGATGCTAGCTTGTATGATTTGAAGACAGCGATTCGACTCTGCCTCGGCCGACCTCGAGACTTTCCGACTGGTCGTCTTCGGCCATGAGGAGTCACAAATATTCCTGGGCCAGGCTTATCAATGATCAGGGCATTATACTCGGTCCATGTCTCATCCATGCCAAGTGCTTCCAGCTTCTCTCGCTCCGATAATCCGCGGAGCTGATGCTTGATTTTAGCCCTTTTAGTTGGCGGCGGTGGTTCGACGAAATCTTCCCAACCATAGGCTTCACTTGCCTTCGGTTCCGGTTCCGGTGCCCGTTCGGATGTTGCAGCTTGAGCTTCTCGGGCTTCATTTTCTCGGGCGCGCTTTGCTAGCGTTGCTTTATTTGGTCTGCCTTTCGGTCGTCCTGTGCGTCCCGTCTGTCGAGTACGGGCCTCGATCTGCTGCTTGGAACCAGGTGGGAGCTTATCGGTACGTGTACGGATAACTGCGACCAGGTGTTAGATTCAAAGACATTTGTCGTAGCACACAGCATAACATAGGAGAGACTTACCATATTGACCGTCTGCGAGCCTGACAACAAATGGGTCGCTTGAAGAAAGAAGATAGTCGGTCGGTTTAGCAGCGAGAACCCCATCACGTAAGGTAGCATTTGCGTTTTTCATCAGACCCCTGGGGAACTCTACTTTTGGGAAACCAAACTCATCAAGCTGAGGAAGAGCGCCAAACGGCGGTGCGTCGATTTTCAGCGACTTGGCTTTCTCCGCCGGGAATTCAACAGCCTCCCATGAAGCCTTGCCATCTTCGACGAGCTTTGCGAAGTTGCTTGCCGAGTAGTTGACGTAATACATCACGGTCTTTTTCATTGCCATATCGCGAACAACGGAGAAATGTCGGAGATGAAGCGGCTGAGCCACTTGCCATAAGTCGACCAAGCGGTGGACCATAGCTTCAGCGGGTCTCTTGTAAAAGCTCCCGAAGCATGTCATATTGAGTACCTGGAATGGCATGTCAGCTGGAAACGATCAACTTTCGTTTTGGTAATTAGCATACATGATTCGTGATACCCGATGTACCCGACCTTTCAATGATATCAAATAATTGATTGTAAAGGTTTCGATCCGGCGTCCAGGATGGTACTATTCGTTCGGCGGGTTCGACATGGTCATCAACCAGCTCCAGACCTTCCTCCTCTGGACTGGCAGATCTTTTGCTTGGACCCTCCAGCTCCATGTCTCCAAAGTCTTCGCGTTTGGGGCGGCGAGCTCCCATGCCATGCTTGGACACAGCCTCGAAATTGAATTCATGGAAAAGCTGCAAGTCTCGCTCCGTCGGATCTCGCAGGAGTTTGACACAAGGGTGCATTCTTTCGTATTGTGATTCAGCTCTAACACGTTGTACCACACCCATCCGCTCCCATTTGCGGAGCGCACGAGCCAGGACTTTCCATCGCCAGGGGTCATTAAAGCCTAAAAGCCTTTTCAAATCAGCACGAGCGATGAGTGGGTGCTCTCGAAGAATGTTAAACAGGTCGGTGTTGAAACTGGCAAAGTCGATCATGGCTTTTGATTGCGAATCTTCTTCTTCTTGGTTGACTACTTTCTTGTCTGAAGGACGGAAGTATCGCTGTAGCGTGCACAAACTGGTTCGTGCCTTCTTCGTCTGAACTGGTCGCTTATCGATGTAGCCCTTTTGGTGTAAAGCACTGGTTCGCTTCGGGACAGACCGTTTGTCCTGGCCACTTAGCCTCACAAGCTCCGGCTGTACAATACCCTCTGACTTGCGTGAAGCGATGATGGACAGTAGGACAAATTCAAGCGGTAGAACCTTGGTCTCATCTGGCGGATGGCCAGTGAGTGCAACCCAGATCCGCTCTTCTGACACAAAGATGCGGAGAGGCGATGAATGAGAGTTTTGATCAGTGGCTTCGCCTACTTCGGACTCATCGCCGTGGAGTTCTTCGCTCGCAGTTGCTTGCGAATCAAGCTGCTCAGCCTCATCCAAGGTGAGATGGTTCCATTCGTTGTGTCGGCCGACGGACACCTCTGGGTTAGATGTGAGCCAAGACCAGACCTTGACTTTGAACCCACGGTCAATGTTTTGGTTAAAAGGAGGACCATCCTGAGTTTGTCTGTAAAAATCGTCGATGGCTTTCAAAACTTCGGATAATGTTGCGCCTGCACGCCTATTAGCATCTTGTACATGGAATTATGCAGCTGCAGAAAACCACCCAATCAGGGCTTGAGGAAGTATAGAGATCGACATCAGAACTGCTCAAGTGCGCCATGACAACGTAAACCCAGAGCTGCTCCATGTAAAATTCATGTAAGAGCCAGACTCATGAAGAACCGACATCTTGGTGATTCAAGCTTTTTTACATGACTGTGGTAACATTGAGAATCCACAAGGGACATGACATCTGCCGGGTGAAGAAAAGTGGGTCGCAGTGAAGAGACTATACGCACCTTGATTGCCACAGAGCGCGACTTCGTTCAGTACGAAGTCGATAAGCTGTTGTAAGCCAGTCATGGTTACATGACTTTTTAAATTGAGAATGAGACTATGAAAGAGACGATAACAGAAGGATGGGAGGGTGTGGGAAAAATAAAAGAGGGATGAAAATTTTAAGAGGGCGACTCGAACGCCGACCATTTTGCAAAAAATGCAATTGTTACGTCACATGACTTCCGTCTGGCTGGATGCCTGGTTGATGAGGCAGCATTTGGTAACAACCATGATTACTGCTTTCCGGTCATACACCGTGGGAAGAACTTAGGCAATGATAGTTATTTATGGCTAATACAGGTATAATACAGTTTTTATCCTCAAATCTAGGTAGGCCACGCTGTCTCACATCACCGCTTAGTCGCCAGAGTCCCCATCCAGCTCTGATCCTCAGGCAACGTCCCCTTAGGAACTCTCTTGCCAGCAGCAGATGGAATGAGAGACTGTGTCAATGCCTTAGCATCCTGCATTCGGCGGAGTGTCTCCTCCCTCCCCAGAATAGTCATAGTCTCCGGGATTCCAGGTCCTGGCGCAGAAGCCGACAGCGCCCAGCGGAGGTAGTGGTACAGCTCCTTCTTGAAGACTTTATCCGTCGTAATGGCTGCGGTGGGTGTCTCTGACTCGGAAGTGGGTAGGACCACGCTATCAGAGCCATCGTATGATTTGATGCTGAAGCGGTGCGTTTCGATGTCCCAGTGGGTGGATGGGACGAGGGTTAAAGCGGCTGCTGCAGTGTGCAGAGCTTGAATTGGCACCTCTGGGGAAGAAGGTGATGTGGGCGAGGCTGGCTTGTAAGGAGCTCTGTCGAGAGTCGTGGTAAAGAAGGTGGCATTCCGCTGAACAAACTCCTTTGCATCGGTATATGATTTGGCATCGGCGCGGATGAGGGGTGCAATGTATTCGGACAGGGTGCGTCCTCTCAGGATCATGTTCCTGCTAATGTCAGTCATCGGACGTCCTATCTGGTTAATAGATGGCCGACTTACAGCTTGTCTAGATGATGCGATTCTTCCACCACCGAGCTCACCCTCTTCACCATCTCGTCAAACTCTGGGCCGCCGCTTGCGGCAAATCGTTGGGCATGTGCCTTTTGGAGGAACCAGAGTTTCTCAAAGGCAACGACAGTATTGCCCCTAGTTATTTTCAGGTTGAACTAGTGACGCAATTAGCAATGAGATTAGGGTACTTTCGCGATATCCGAGAAGAACATACAATCTGTTCTAATTCCTTCAAGCTCAACACGTCAGACTTCTGGGAATGGGACCAGCCTAGCAGCGCAGAAAAGTTGACCAAAGTGGATGGAAAGACCCCTTGCTGGTCCTTGAAGGACGAGAGGTCAATGTCTGCGTTCCGCTTGCTGAGCTTCTGGCCGCTCTGGTCGACAAGCAAAGGGACATGACCAAAGCTTGGTGGTGTCCACTTGAAGGCGTTGTACAGCGCCATATGCATAGGTGTAGATGGCATCCATTCCTGGCAGATATCAGTCTCGGATCTTCATACTCCAGGGCCTCAGGAATAGTAACTCACTGTTCCTCGGATGACATGCGTGATCTTCATACAATGATCATCCACCACATTTGCCAAGTGATATGTGGGATGTCCATCTGATTTGATAAGAACTGGGTCATCGTATACACGGTCAATGAAGTCCAGTTTCTTGTTGTGGGTCCGGTTTTGGCCAGTTTTGCCATAAACCAGATCATTGAACATGGGATATTCTTCCACTTTCAATCGGACGATGTGTGCCTCCCCCTTAGATGCACGATCTTCTGATTCCTCCGCGGGGATATCGCCACACTTCCGGTCATAGCCAGGCGGGAGTCCTGCCTGACTGCGGTGACGAGCCATCGTATCCAATCGCTCCGCAGAGCAGAAACATCGGTATGCATGGCCATTGGAGATGAGGTCATTGGCGTGAGATTGATACAAAGCGGTTCGCTCGGACTGCAAAGACATACATCGTTAGAGCTATTTGTTGTACATCAAAGGCAGGATGTCTCACTTGTCTATAAGGCCCATACGGACCTCCAACAACGGGACCTATCAGCAATGCAAGTTAGCGATGTCCCTATAACTCCATGTACCTCAAACTAACCTTCGTCCCAATTCAATCCTGCCCATTGTAAATCATCGTAAAGTCGCTGTTCCGCCCCGGGGATTGTCCGTTTCTGCCCTAATCAGTTGTGGTCCATGCAACCGCGCGCAATCAACGAACCTGGTCGGTGTCTTCAATTCGCAGCAGGAATTGGCCACCTGTACGTCTTGCCAACAAATAATTGAATAGTGCCGTGCGTAGGGAGCCGAGATGGAGATATCCAGTTGGAGAGGGCGCAAAACGCGTGCGCGCAGGAGCTTCAGGCAATTTGTTCTTCGAATTGCGAGCCTGGGCCAGGGAAGAGGAGGAACAGGCGCGACATTGGATGCAGGTCCAAGATCGCCTTGAAAATAGGCTGCTCGTAGGGCTCCTCATGGCGAGATATCGGAGGAGAGGAAGCAGAAAATTGGAGGCCGATCTGTTTGGGGAATTTGCGGAGTTGCGGCGCGGAGCTCCCGAAACAAAATTTCATCGCGACATCTTTGGATCACTCATCCACCTCTCCATTATTCACACCTCTCTTTCACGGCTGAAATTCAAGACAGTACATTCCAGTGCTCAAAAGTCCGACCGAATTTTATCCGGTCTGATCATTAAAAAGTACGTTGAGAGTGCTGCTGTGTCTTCGTTCACTACTAACAATGCCTAAAGTGGCCTCGGCACATGTTGACCTCTACGGTATGCGATCTCTCACTTGAGCCACACTACATATTGGATGAATACAGTATTAATCAGAGTCATCTCCTGCAGAGGTCCTAGAAATTTCTCAGAGCTCAAGCAAAGATGATATTCGCAAGGCATACCGCAAGGCAAGTCGAAACTGCTGTCCCCATATTCTCGTCCGTGACTGACTTCCAATTTCCCAATAGGCAGCTTTACGCAACCACCCTGACAAAGTCCCGGAGTCCGAGCGCGAGGAAGCCTCGATGAGATTTAAGGCTGTACAGGAGGCCTACGACATTCTCTACGACGATGATAAGCGACACCTTTACGACACACATGGCATGTCCGCCTTCAACGGATCCGGTGAGCCGGGTATGGCTGGAGCCCCCGACCTTGACGACCTGCTGGCACAGATGTTCGGCGGTATGGGTGGCATGGGTGGAATGGGTGGAATGCCCGGTATGGGAGGTATGGGAGGCATGCCAGGTGGTCGCCCGAACAAACCACGCAAGAGCCCAGACGAAGTGCAAGATTACCACGTTAGCCTGGAGGATCTATACAAGGGCAAGACTGTCAAGTTCTCCAGTGTCAAAAACATTATTTGCGGACTTTGCAAGGGCAAGGGTGGCAAGGAGAAGGCGACCGCCAAGAAGTGCTCGACTTGCGATGGCCATGGCCAAAAGGAGGTTTTGCAACGCAGGGGACAGTTCTTGACGCAGCAGGTGGTTACCTGTACCACATGTAACGGAAATGGTTCATACTTTGCCCCGAAGGACAAGTGCAAGAAGTGCAAGGGCGCACGAACCACCGAAGCGAAAAAGATGCTGGAGATTTACATTCCCCGTGGCGCAAAGTACGACCTTTCCGTTCCTTTTCTTTTTGGTTGTAACCTCCATACTGACTGTGTTTTAGACAAGGAGATAAGATCGTGTTGGAAGGCGAGGCCGACCAGGTGCCCGACCAAGAACCCGGCGACATTGTCTTCAAAATCGTTGAGGAAGAGCACCCCATATTTGCCCGTGCCGGCTCGGACCTCCAGACAACCATCGATGTCACTCTCGCTGAATCGTTGACCGGATTCTCTCGCGTCGTGCTCACGCATCTTGATGGTCGCGGCATCGAGCTCAAGCACCCTCTTACCCCCGGCGCCATCCTCACGCCCGGACAGGTCCTCAAGGTCCCCGGAGAGGGTATGCCAATGAAGCGCAGCGATGCTCGTGGCGACCTTTACTTGGTTGTCGATGTCAAGTTCCCCGGACAGAACTGGAAGCCTACTCACGACATGGTAGAGAAGCTCAAGGAAATCCTCCCCAAGCCCGCCGCGCCTATCAAGGCTGACACCGTGGACGAAGTTACATACGACCCTAGGGCTGAGATTGAAGAGTTTGGTGCACAGGATGGCCAGAGCGCATGGGAAGACGAAGAAGATGATGACGAACCGGCGCAGTGCGCGGCTCAGTAGTTTTCTGGCATAGACGGCGTCTGGAGTTTGCATTACTAGAGGATCTGTGAATAGCAATCCGCTCGACTCCCAAGAACATCGACGATGCATTGTAGCGACTTCGACGGTTCCACTCGCCCATGCGAGCGATGGCGTGGGGTAGAACGTACATTCATGGAGAATGTCCCGTCTCAGATATTCCTAGGCTCTGCGTAATTCTACGTACTATTGAACCAGTCAAGGCTCCCAACTGTACCCAGTACTAGTACTACAATTTAACGCCGCGGGAGATGCGGCTGAAGAAGCCGAACGAACTGCGGGGCTCGGCCCGGCCAGTCTTTCGGCTTCCCGAAATTGGCTCCATTCTTCGAAAGTAGGTTATCCCTCTCCAACAAAGCACAGCCAAATAGACAACCCCTCATCTCCTCCCAAAACTGGAAGTACAAGAGGATAAAGTAATGTCGAAAACTTATCCATCGATCCCCAGATTAGTTAACCCCACCATCGACTCGAAAGTAGGCTTTGCCGCACCAGTCCGGACCCGTTCGCGCAGAGTTCTAGCAATCTAGCATACACAGTACAGCAGACGGTCCAAACGTACGTGTTGGCGCAATAAAAGCAACCATAAACTCTTTCTCGTCGTTAGCGGGGAAGGTAAAGATCTGCCTACTGACGAAGCAGTCCTCTGGCAATATATTGCCTTCCAGCTTCGATGGATGTCGATGAAGCTGAGGGCGCGGTCTGGATGCTGGTTTACCAGTAGCACAGATTGGCCGCTCATTTATTGACTGATTAGGCCGATCTAGGTGATTTGAAATGGGCAGGGAGGTTTCGGCGGTTGCGACAAGGGGATACGGTCATTTAGATAGCCACCCGATGTCGATCCTCGATTTTTCAGAACACTCATGGACTGGTTGTCACCCAAATGATTCTAATACTGTGTAGTTTATTCATAGGTAATTTTGGGGCTCCAAACTCACCCATTACCGAAAGACCCGGATGGATTGATGCCCGGAAGACCATAGGTTGCAACGGAGATACTTGACGCTTTGCAGTATATATATGCAGGATAACCTACAAGTTGGAATAAGGATTAGGTACATGGAATGCAGACTTCATCAGTAGCTGGACTCTGTTTCTCGATCGTATCTACATGTAATCCCTGCTGCCGTGGTTCCTCCGAGCCGCCCGAAAAATGACACTTGGTCAACGTAATGCTGTATCAAGATTCAAGGTCAACCAACCAACCTAAGGTAGGCTGTACAGAAAAGCACCAACTAAAGCATAGTACTACGCCAAAATTGACGAGCCCCGGATCATTTTCGGCCATGCAGGAAAGTAGAAACGCCAGACGACAAATACCCGGGAACCAAAGTATGTATATCGCGACGTACCTAGAGGGTTAGTTCAAAAGATGACCGATGACTCAAACCTACGAGGCTGAAGGGTTCTGAGCATCGGAAATGAAGATATGAGGTTTCCAATATAAGAACTGGGCGCATTATCTTGCATCAAGGGATCAGTACTGGACCAGATCTGTGTGATACCCGATCCCTTTTTCGGATGTCATAAACACAATGCGTCATGGTTAAAATCCGAGTCAGAATTTACTTGGCACTTACCCGCAGCTACGGAGCTTACAACAAGACCTTTTGATTTGTCGATAGCCACGATTGTGATCATGCATGGACAGGGATATCTCCGGCCTGAATGGAAAGAAAGCAGTTGGCCCATCATTCAGTCATGCTGGTCATAGCGCTGGTCATAGCAAGGCCGATGGATGACAGACCGAAGAGCGTGAAAACATCTCACCGAAGAATAGGATCTGGAACTATTGCCAAGGCTGATTTGACTAGACCCGAGTTGTACATCATCGAGGAATTTTTTCATAGGTGGCAAGTCAGACCATAGGGCTGAACTATAATCACCTGAGCCACCAAGAATGTGGCGGCCTAGAAATCTCCGTCCTGCCGAGCTCGTCAATTTTCCCCGTTGGGGAATGTTTGCCAAGGGCTCCAGGCCTTGTGAAAACTTCCCACGGGTGAAACTGCCATTGGGGGGAGCTATGACGCCCGAAGGAACATGATCAGCCCTCAAATAGGATAATAATAGGAGAAGGAGAAAAACAAATCCCGCGGCAAACAACCAAGAGGCTCGGCAAGGCCCACTTTTAGTAACCTTTTCAGGGTTTTCAACCACTCAATGCCAGGGGAAAAGGGAAAAGTGCGGGTAAGTCCAGAGCTACCCGTGGGTCCAGAATCCGAATTAACTTTTTTTATTACCCTGACATCTGACCGTACCTATAAATCACACATTCTTGATTTCTACCTGTACTCCGTACTTATATTCCCCCTCTCTATATCACCATGGCGACATTCCTCCAGTCAAATGCTCTATCTCTAGCACACGCTCTTGTCAAGCTCTAACACTGGTGACTGGCCCTGTGTGTGCTCCTGCGTGTTGCCGATAACTGCAAGCCCTCAAGCTCCTTCCAAAACCGAGAGCTCTCCCTTATTCGCTTTCCTCCTTCCTTCCCGGTTATCAGGGACGAAGCTGTCTCTTTGGAGGTTCAAACCTGCAAGCTTATCAGGCAACCCCCTTTTTCCACTCAGCTCGTCAGAACACGCCTACCCTTCTCACCGCATTGATAACGAAATCACCCTGCTATCTGGCCCAGTGCCGTTTGACTTGGACATTCTCAACCAGTCCCTGTCTGAGATTACAGCCCCGTGCCAAGTTTACCTATCCTTCCACATTCTTTGTCTCCCGGAAGCTTCTCCAGGGGTCTTCACACCGAGCTTCTGTGAACACGGATGACTCGTCTGGAAATTCCGATCGCAACCTGGACTTTGACGGACTGAGATTTTAAAATTGTTTTCCACCATGGACGTTGACTTATAACCCATCCTCGCCCTTGAACTTCTTTTGCACTTCAGCGTTGTTTCATATCCATCGGAGTTTTCACCCGACTTCGCGAACAAGCCACACTCTTACATATCTCTCCACCTCCGGTCTTTGATACCATCCTCAACCATGTCTCCCAACCTCTTTCTTTGCGCACGCACCCTCTTCTGTCCCATCTACTGGTTCCAGAAGGGTGACCGTGAAAGCAACCTCCACGAACAACACTGGCAATCGCCCGTCCCGGGAACTTACAAGTTCTTCCCGAGTCGTGGATGGCACCTCGTCCGCCGTGATGATTGTGACCACGACGAGAAAGTTCCTGCTGCGCTAGTCTACTGCCGCATCCTCCACCGCTACATGTTCGAATCTGAATTGGAAGCTCGCTGCCGCTGGTACGATGCTCCGATGCACAAAGGTGGCCGTCCGGAAAAGCTGCGCTTCTTCCTCCTTGATGACGGCATTCACTGGGTCGCTGGCTGGGATGCCCAGGGCAGCTTCATCCTTGGCCCGTATCCTAAGTGGTGGCTAGATGAGGATGGCACCATGCGCCGTGGTGCTTCGCCTCCTACTAGCGCCAATGTCTCGCGGTGCAGCAGTATCATCGCTGGCAAGTTTGACTGAGAGACATTTCTCTAGTTTTGCTCATGAGGTTGTCTGATGATACCTTATTTTTCTTTGATCATGATTGGGATGCCCATCATACATGTACAACACAGATACCCTTCTTGTTAGCGCCAATGTTTCGGTCTTGCGAAGCGATTTAGCGTGTCTGTCTTCTTTGCGATTACTTAAAAAGTGTTTTGTTCCAGTTGTTTTTTGCTTTCATAATAGACTCTAATGTTTTGGTGTTTCTCTCTTCGGGTTCGACTTCTTTCATAGATCTTGGGTTAGATTAGACTTCGGATAGTTCAGGGTTTCGGCTGATCTACATGGCGCACGTTTTTTGTTTCTTCACATCGACTCACATTCCTAACGAGATCGATAAATAATACGGATATCTTCCTCAGCCACACCTCTCCTCTCCCTATCTTCAGCCATAAAGGTCATGCGACCCCCACACCCTACCACAGTATCACTCGGAAATTCCATCCATATACTACTACAACAAAAGGCCACCGATAAAACCCCCATGCAAGGGGCAATATATTGCCAATATCCAAACTATGTACAACCCAGCCAAACAATCCAATCACAACTTCGCCCCCTCCTTAACAAGCAACTTCTCCAACCCCCGTCTAGTCTTCTCCTCCATCCCATCCTTCGAAACCCTCATAGTCTCCCTCAAAACAAAAACATGCGTATAAGTGCCCACCATCTTAACATCCTCCTCCCCACTCTTAAAAATCCCCACCTCCCACGTAACACTCGACTTGCTCAACCGATTAACCCTCAACCCAACCTCCAACAAATCCGGAAACCGCACCGAAGCAAAGAAATCAGCGTGCGTAGACACAATCAGCCCGATCATATCCGCGCCAACCTTCCCTGACGAAGTCGAGCTTGAGTGTCCCGGAGTCGGGTTGTTGTAGCTGAACGGGTCCATACCACACTCCTTGATTAACCATGTGTTGGCGATTGTGTCGAAGAGATGTGTGTACACTGCGTTGTTGAGGTGCGCGTACATGTCGTTGTCGAACCTGCGGCGCATAAGTTGTTTTAGTTGGGCGGTGCGGAGAGATTTGGGGTTCCTGCGGCCCGGGGTTAACTCACCATCGGGTCTGGTGTGCTTGGAAGAAGCCATAGTCGCTGCGCTTGCGCTGTTTCTTGGATAGGGAGTCTGCGGTGGCCATTTTGTGGGTTTATTCTATGTGGAATTGGAATAATTTGGGATTGCTTTGGTTTATTGTAGGGCTTTGGTATGATCTTCATCATGTTGCAGCGCGCTTTCTCCGAGCGGACCTCGGCTTGGGCGCATGGGGTATGGACTTGGCATCACGTGCCTCTATGTTTGGCTCAACGGCAACCAAGACCACCTGAGGCTGCGCTATCCAATAACTGAACATTAGGGGAATTTTGTTCAAGGAACCGAGTAGGTAGGAGTAAGGAGCAGTAAGTGGAAGTCTAGCTAATCATCACTTCCATGATTTTTGATAGTCAGGGGATTTCCATCATTCGCAAGTATCCGTTCCAAATCATATCCGATCGCTAAGCCGTTACCCTGCTCCTCGGCCTCGCGAAAGCCTGGCGCATAGTCATCCACTAGATCGACTTCATTCCCTTGATAGATTTCCACGAGCGGCCGTCGCATATCGACTCTAAACACACCGATTAATATAGACCATCTCGTAACCAAGGGACAGACTCACGGCTCATCTTCCAAGATCTCTCTTGGATCTGCATCTTCATCGCGATCTTGGTATATTACCCGTGACTCTATGTAATTCAGCGCCTGGTCTATTGGGACCTGATTTCCCGGACCGATTTCACGATAAAAGTGGGCGAATTCCTCCATCATAATTTGAGCCCGGCGGGCTTTCTTGTAGATACCGTTCGTTGCGAATTCAACCCAAAGTCCCAATCCGGTCTCAAGGGTCCGGTCATCGATAATGAGCTTGGGATAGCAGTCCCTGAAAAGCACCGTTCCATCGAGCGCCATGTGCATATCAAGGAAGTTGGGTCGCGCGACACTTTGATGGAACTTGAATGTCTCGAGAATATCTTGGTTATCTTCCAAGGGAAGAAACATTATCATTTCGTCTGCTAGAAATTCCCAGCCTTCTTCCCATGGGAATAAACCCAAGATGCACTTGGCTAGCAGGGCTTCTTTCTCGCGGGTCAATTCGGTGATGCAGACGTAGACCATGCAGAAACTGTGAACGTCATTTCCTCTAAAATTTTTGTCCTATCTGGATTAGATGAAGTCAAATAGTAGAAGATATTTCATACTGTAAGTTCGGGACCTTCAAGAAAACTAGGTTCGTCCTCTGGTGCTCGAGATTGATAGTCCTGTCTTGGGCGTCAGTGAAGAAATAAGCATTCTTCCTTAAAGACATACATCGCGAAATTGTTGGTCTGCTGTTGCCCACCGTTCAATCAAAGCTCGTTTCTGTTGATCCGCGGCGTCGCCGACCCACTGGTCACGAACAAAATGCCTCCATGCACGAGTGGTAGCATCAAAATTTTCAGGGGCCACGGGTTCTTCGTGTCGGCGAATGAAGGAGGGGATGCCTCCAGGCCACCGGCTGTGCGATCTTACTAGGGACATGATCGAAGGCAGTTCCGAGGGTTGAAAGAAGTGAAGAACGCGGGGGCGGGAGTGTATTTAACGGATACATGCCCCAGTCTACCCCAGTTTGCACTAGGCATCAAATCTACAGGTATTCCCGTACATAACTTACTCTTCTCAAACACACTAAACCTGTATTATGCGACCTTGGAATCTTTACGACTAACCTTTGATAGGGAAAACTAAGAGTCTAAGTGGCCCCGCTTGGTGTGTAGCGTCGTTTCCCTAACCGCTTGCCTTCCCTTGCCTTCAAAAGTTCCTGGTTCTGCTAAAATCATTGAAATTTGATAAATTGCAGGTTTCCACTAGTACATGACGAGAAAACCAACAATTAAACAGGTAATAACCATTCCAGCGAATTTAAAGAAGAAAACGATATATCAAAACCTTTGATCTTGCCTTGAAGGCCATAGCCTAATCCTTTTCCAACATTGAAGGTCCAACTCCCACAGGATCACGCACACGAGCCATACTTAGCATTGCAGTTTGTGCTGGAACAAAAATCCGACGAGTTACCACAATAACCGTAATTACTACAGCAGTCGCCAAATTGAGACCCCAAACAAGTCCAGTGCGAATTAGACGGGCCACAGAGGCCATTTTGCGAGATCGTACTCGTTGGAGTCGCACCTGTGGTAGTAGCGGTTGCAGTAGTGACTGTAGACGATGCGTGAGGGCTAGCTGTTTGGCTAGAAGTAAATACCGTAGAGGTTCCCACACTTGGATCATCTGTCAGCGTAATGCTGAAGTTGAACCCGGCAGTCGGGAAGGAACCGTTGACAGGAAGATAGCACACGCGCTCGTATTCACTCAGCCAGGCTTCATCTTGGTACATCTCGTCTGTTAGATCGTAATCGGTGATGTTATACACCGAGTTGACCTGGTCGCAGAGCGTGTAGGCCGCAAGAGATGCTAGGTATGCGGAATCCGGGGTCCAGGTTGAGGTGGTGGTCAGGGCGGAAGGGAATGACCAGAACAGGTTTGTGGTGCTATGGTTGGCTGTTCTGGTCGCGTTGGGATTCATGGTGCTAGCGAGTGTTGTACGAGGTCTGGTGGTGTTGGATGTGTAGCTGGCATAGGTGTTGATGTTACCCACTGCTTGCACGCACTATGGAGTGGATGAGTTAGCCTGAAAACAACGATATGTCTTTCTTATTTTTCCATATAGAGAGACGTACGTAGCTGTTCCCTTTCCAGAGGCTGCCACAGCTTGAGGTTGTATTGGATGCGGCTTGGGGATTCAAGAAACTGAAATCATATTGCGAGATGCTGAATTCGCTGCACACAGATTCACAGGTATCACCAGCTTGGATCTGATACCAGCGACCACAGTCGGTGTTGGAGCTATTAACCGCGTCGGTAGGAACAGAGCTGCAGATCTAATTAGCGTTTTCATCTTCCGAATACGAAAGCAAAAAAAGAGAAGCAGACAACATACACAGCCGTGGTTGCGGGCCTCAGAGCCAGGTTATCGGGGAGTGTGAGAGTACCCGGGGGACTGGCGCAGATGTACTTCCCCGCAATGGCAGTCAGATTCTCCGACCTTTGCACTGAGTTGAGATTGGCATTCCATGCAATAAATTGAGGTACGGAGACTTGACGGGATAGGCTGGCAACGATTTTCTCGATGGTATCCGTCTTCTGAACGCGATAGATTTCACAAACATCGGGAAGGCAGATATCCGCCCCAACCACTATGTGTGTACATCCCATATCAAGGCTGTTCAAGTTGATCAAGGCTGAAGTGGAGACATTTTGAGCTGCTGAGATAGAAACACAGCTATCTCCGGATTCAACCTTGTAAACAGTTTGATCGGGGTCAGTCGTGTTGCAGCGACTAGCAGCAACGGTGGCTGAGGCAGAGACCGTTGAAGAGGCAGTGGAGGTCGGTGTATAAGTCACAGAGTATCCGCTGGTCGAGCAAAAAGATACTTGACTCATTAGGGCCGAAGGACTAAGCAAACTATCCTGACCCCATTTGGAGTTTACTATAGTTGACATGTAGTCCAAATAGCATGCGCTGCATTTGACGTCCGTTGTGCCGTTTGTAATTGCATTCTGGAATAGGGTGTTGCAATAGGTGCCCGAAGCCGAATCAGTCAAGCAGGTTGCATCATAACGCCATTGCATTTCTTTTCCTCTATCCGAGGCAGTTTGCGAGATGCCAGAAATGTTGTACTGTGTACTTGCGCCGCAGGCTTTGTCCACAGAGGAGATATAGCTGGACAAAGCGGAGGAGCATTCAGTGGTGCAAATTCCTGAAAGTGCACTGGCTGACCATGAGGTCGTCTGGGTGACTGCCTGGCTCAAGCCTGCATAGCACGAAACATTGCTGACCATGGCATTGACACATGCTTCTGAGGCTGCGATATCAGCCAGTCTATTAGATGTGTAGATGTAGAGAGTATCTGCATTTCCCCAAGCAATGGCATATTGAGCCTGTAGCATCAGAACTACTGCCAATGCAGCAATTGTCCTCAAGAGTGCCATAGTTCTATGACCGAAAGATGATTCAGAGAGCGAATGGGTTTGCCTTGGACTTGGGATGTAGGCAACTCCAGAGGAGGGGGAATAATAGCTACCGGAACTACTTGTTTGGGCAACCCCCGACTTGCCTATGGAAACTTCGGAATGTCGTATTTACTACTTCGTAACCAATTTACTACCTTCTCAAAAGGCACTAGAGGTGCGGAGATCTGGAAGGTTGCATCAAGCTAAATGTGATTATGTGAAGCATGCGTCTATCAAATTCCACTAAGCAGGGGAAGGAGTCGACTTAAGCACTAGACAGTCCGTTCAGCCAAGCTTTACGCCACATGAGGTTCTGAAGCCAGCCCCACTTAGCGGGTAAGCGGGTAGAAGCCGAAATATCCACCCGTGTTAAGAACTTAAGTGTCTCTTGTTCGGGGCCAAAATTTCGACGTGGGTCCAAGAGTAATGGACCAGACGGGAAACAAAATCAAAGACAAGCAGATCTCTTGCTGATCCTTACGTACTTGGCTATATCTTGACTATATCTTGGCTATATCTTGGCTTACTAGGCTCCAGATGCGGCTCTAATGCCAGCTAGAACATCAAAATAATCGGGAGATGATCGACATTGGATGTGGAAAGTGCAGTGTTACGCAAACAATTGCTCTAAGCGATCTACACAGCTGAACCCTCGGAGTCTTACCCCGTGCTAAAAACATTTGAAGCTACGAAGTAGTGTAAGAGGGGTTTTTTGAATCCTAGGGCCAATTTAAGGCGCCCCGCGGCCCCAAGGCGATCCGGAGGTATTCGGCATCCATAGGACATGGATAGGACATCGATAGGACATACTAGTACAGTACACCGGTGGAGTTATGTTGCTATGCGGGGTATATACTGTACATGATCCCAAAGTCTGGAGGGATTTGGAACCCTGCAAGACAATACGAGCCCAGTAAGAGCTGCGGGTCTAGTCCAAAAGTAGTATTATGTGCGCGGAGGCATCAAATTAGTAGATACACTTGAGGACTTCATGTTGATCTGTACCGGCGTCGGATACTTGAGGCTGCTGGACTGTTGAGTGCTAGGTTAGGTCGGGCGGGCTGTTCATCTCGGACCCGTCTTTTATCTTTATGATTCTCGTTTCTCTTCCTTCTCTGCCTCATTCTCTTTTGATTTGAATCTGTCTGGGCAAGTTTAGCCTGACTTGCTCAGTATTTCAGGAAGAGCCTCACCATGAGGATGTACAGTCAGTGGGCGGACTCCGTGTCCTGCTCTGCCTTTCTACTATATTTTATTATACTTTCACACTTTATAAATATTACTGCGGCCCAGTTCTATGTCTGCAACTCGACAAGTCCATGTGTCAATGGTGCATGCTGTGGTGTCAACAATGGTGAAACGAATGGCGTTGGTTAACCCTATCTATCCCGTCCATTAAGCCTCGCTGACCTAAAGATACTCAGCTTTGTGGCTACGATCCCGACAAGTCTTGTGGCTCAACATGCGTGAGCAACTGCAATGCGACTGCTGAGTGTGGCAAATGGGCTGCCACTGCTGGCACGACCTGCCCATTGAATGTTTGCTGTTCCGAGTACGGTTTCTGCGGTACAACGGCCGACTTTTGTAACGCCGGTGCAGACGGCGGGAAATGCCAAAGCAATTGTTTTCAGCCAACCCAGCCTTCCTGCAAATCGAATGACGTTCTCAAGAGGGTCATTGGCTATTATGAGAGCTGGTCAGCCGAACGAAAATGTGATTCATGGAGTCCAAGCAATCTTCCCGTGAATAGCCTGACACACATCTATTGGTCTTTTGCTCTTATAAGACCCTGGAATGACGAATGGGAGGTTTACTTGATGAATGAGGGCGAAATCTCGAGCTTGAACAACATGGTGGCTGATTTCATTGCTTTGAAAGATGACAACCCGTCCTTAAAGTGCTTCTTGTCTGTTGGAGGCTGGTCATTCAATGACGGTGATACGGCGACATATTGGTCCGACATGTCATCTACTGAAGCTGGTCGAAAGTCATTTGCCAAAGACTTATTGCGGACGCTGAAGCAATACGGCTTTGACGGTGTTGACTTGGACTGGGAGTATCCTGTCGCATCGGATCGTGGAGGCAGCCCCGATGACATGAAAAACTACGGCAAGTTGATCAAGCAGGTTCGCTCAACCTTTGACGCCAGTGGTTCAGACCTGGGAATCTCATTCACCATTCCATCGAGCTACTGGTATCTCCGCCACTTTGACGTACCCGCCTATCTGCAAGAAGACGGGGCCGACTGGGCGAACATGATGACATACGATTTGCACGGTGTCTGGGATGGCACAGACCCATACATCGGGAATATCACTGGAGCGCACACAAACTTGACAGAGGTTCAACAAGCTATGGACCTTCTTTGGCGAAACAATGTTGACCCATCAAAGATCGTTCTGGGCATCGGTTTCTACGGTCGATCTTTCACACTCAAGGACTCTTCATGCACCGGCCCCAGATGTCCCTTCACTGGAGGTGGGCAGCCTGGTAGATGTACAGACACTTCTGGAATTCTCTCATATAATGAGATCATGGAGATCGTCGAGAATGTTGATGTCGAGGGTCCCATCTGGGAGGAAACCGCAGCAGTCATGTATGTCACCTGGGACGACAACCAGTGGGTGTCGTACGACAACAACGTTACAATGAAGCAGAAGGTTGATTGGGCCAATAACCACTGCCTAGGCGGAGTTATGATCTGGGCCTTGGATCAGGATACATACGATTGGCAAGCTTTGACTGCATTGCTGGACAAAGATGTCAGCGCCGCTTCCCTGCTGGAAGGGGGGTCTGAGAACCCATTGAGTGCCAACGCAACTGCACATGCATACAATCAATATACCGGTACCGATTGTTATGTCACTGGATGCGTGAAAGATAACTCTGGATCATGTAAAGCGGGTTACAGTGTTCTGGATTACGTGCACAGAGCCTCGTACGGAACCATCACCGACCCCGATGATCATCTTTGCAAAAACGGCGATACGACCAAGTATGAGGATCCGGACTCAGAATATCGTCTGATCTGTTGCCCAACAGATGCAATGCCGGCATGCCACTGGGCTGGCGGCTCCTCCGATGGCATGTGTACTGGTGGGAAGGAGGAGTTCGCGGATGCCACATGTGGCTCAAATGAATTTGAAATTGTCAAGGATTCTTTCTCTGACCGAACCGGATCTACCCCGTGCATCGTCAATAGTCGATCGCTTTGCTGTGCCACCGACCCCAATCTGAACACTGGAGTGAACGCGTGTTACTGGACTGAGTGCAATGGAGAATGCCCCAAATCCTATATGGAGTACCCGGAATATGCTCTCAAGCCCGGCAGTAGTAAGCTACTTCACCACGCCTCACCACCTCACTCCCTCACTCCCTCACTCCCTCACCTCCCCTGGGTCCACGCTGAAGTAGAATGTGAACACCTGACATAATTTTAGATCTGAACGAAGATTCTGAGTACTGCGGCCCTGGAACTGAGGTTTCGACCTTTTGCTGCCCATTTGACAGTAAGTTATGGCACCTCGTCGCATCAACTTCGCTAATGGGGCCTCGTGAATGAAGATCCTTACGAGAATTGTGAATGGACTACCTGTACCGAGCCTTGCCGTAGTGACAAAGTTCTCCTAACCCAACGCTCAGCTTTACTGAACGGCAGTCTCCCCCAGTATTGCGATGATGGGGGCCGGTATAAGCTCTGCTGTGACGCACCCACCCCCACTGTCAACCCTCCCGTTGACCCCTCAGCCGTGTTTAAGTACCCGGATGAGAAGAACTACAGCTATTACCTAAAGTATGAGGATACGGACAACAACGAATCATCTGGATGGGGGACTGAGAATCCCTACGCATTTGTGATGGTGGATGGTGACACGGATGCATACGACGAATCTCTTGTGGATCAGTGGACATTTTTGGACGACGGAGGCCTCAACTCCAAGAGAGACGGCCGTCCACGTAAGAAGCGAGACATCTTCACATTTCGCGAGGACACATTTGATAACGTTGTTGAGACTTACCTCATTCGCTGTGCGAGCCTCGATGACAACGGCTGTAAGACAATTTTCTCCGGCGGTGCGTGGAACACTATTGTCAAGATGCCTTCTTACCACGGATCCGGACCCTACGCTCGTGTCATCAGCTTGGTTCCACAGCACTCTTCAGAGAAACGGAGTAATATCCTCCCGCGGGACACAAACCAGCTGTATGAGCTCACTGTGGATTATGACCTGGCCTCCGCCTCCGAGGAGGAGAAAGGAGATGTCAACTTTCGGGTCGACTATACGAACTTGCTTAACTACTGGTAAGCTATGACTAGTGACTCCCTGCGAAAACAAATTAGTCGCGTTCAACATTGCTCACCGTCGCTAGGGACATTACGGAGGATCCACCTCTGAAGAGGAAGAGATGGTTTGGCGCCTTCAAGCAGTGGCTGAAGAAAGTCACAACAGTCATCAAGGACAGCTCTGGATATCTGCCTTTGAACTACTACGACACAATCAAGTTGTTCCATTGGGATCAGCAATGCAGCGGCAAACAAATGTCACTCGACATCGATTCTACTCTCGACATAGGTCTCAATGCGCAATATGCGTACTACTTCGAAGGCGCTATTCTGCCCACGCCGAAGTTAATTTCTTCTTATGCATACTTTTCTGTTGCTCCTGCAGCAGAGATCCTTCTGACTATGCGGGGAGAAGCAGCCTTTCAGACCAGCAGCGACGAGATTGATATCATCTCCGGTGTGACATTCCCTGGGCTGTCCATCAAGGGACTAATCAGCATCGGCCCAGAGCTCGCCCTTACCGGGAAAATGGATGCCTCGATGGTGATTTCGGGTGAAGTAAACGCTGGTCTCGTTGTGGAATTCCCTAAGGCCGAAGTCTTCTTTCCCCAGGATGAGGACGGCGAGACTGCCAGTGTTCCCCCGTCCTCCCTCAAGAACGAGGAGGGCAAGGATGCCCCGAATCAATTCTCAGTCACCCCTCAGCTGGAAGCTTCAGCATCGGCATCGGGCAACTTGGCTTTAACTCTCACCCCTGAGGTGAAGTTTGGCATTTCTGTTCTCAATGGGAAACTAATGGAAGGCTATGTTACTGCAGGAGTGGAGAACACTGTCAGTTTGGGTGTCAGTGCCTCGGCATCGACGGGGCTATCCAGCGGGTCTTCTGCAGAATTCTGCTACTGGGCAGACTACGATTATTCGGTGTTCCTGCAAGCAGATGCCTCGTAAGTCATCTATACTTCAAGATCTGTTGATATTCCAATTAGTACTAACTTATGAATCTTCAGTTTCCTTGGCGACGTGGCATATTGGGGTGACCGATATGATATCACCTCTCCAGAGGATCCGATTGCACTTGTTGATAAGAAATGTCTATCTTACTCGAGTGACGTGGATGAGAAGAGAAAGCGTGATTCAACAAGCTCGGCTCTGGTCAGAAACACAACTGGCATACCTTTCTTTGCGGGATGGTGTCAGTGTGCCAACAAGGATACTCAAATTGGCAACGACACCTTGAGCTGCTTGGATTCCGGTGGCACCACGTCAACTTCTAAGCGTGATGGCACCACTCCAACTTGCTATCTCCCGCCGGCGTTGTTTTACAATTGTGACTGGTTCCAAACCGCAAGAATCATGAACCTCAACACCGACACAAGTGGACAAACACCTCACGTCGACCTCAGAGGCATTTGTGAGAATGTCAAGAACTACCTGAACCGGAACTCGGGGAAGCAATACATTTGGCCTAATTGGATGCGCCTGACTTATCAGACGGACCCAGCACATTCTAACCGGGCCGACGCATGTGCGCAGAAAGCGAAGGAATGCAAGAAGTTGAAAGAGTCCCTTTGGCCCAAGGAGGGAAAATCGCCACGGGCGCAAACCATGTCCTGTGATGAGTTTCCCTGTATGTCAATGCAAGCTGGATACACTTGTTTGAAACCTATCTACTAACACGACACTCATTCAGTCAATTCAGCGGCAGAGGGGGGCACAGGTGCTGTAAGCTTATTCTCCTCCTCCTTGAAACATATTGGGTGAGAACTAACTTCATGTCCTTTAGGAGGTCGCATGTGTTCCGGATGGTCAACAGAAGTATCAAGGCAAGATCAATAACCAGCTTTCTAACATCAAGTACACTGTGAGTCAACTCTGCTGCACCTGGTAGCATCAAGTATTTACTAACTGATTAGCCAACGGGGCAAGGTAAAACGCAATACTGGAAGGATTCGGCATGGTCGGGGCCGACAAGATACTACACCGTGAACCTCTTCAGCTTCAAAAACAACCAGAATAACCTCGGGACAGTGGGTGGCTTATTTGCCTCGGGTGCCACGAACAACCCGTCCATGAACCCAGGGACCGGACTGCTCCATGTTTTGGGGGGTATCAACCTCCAGGGAAACCCAGAACTCTCAATTACTAACAACGGCATATGCCTTGTGTTCCCTTACCAGAAGAAGTCCCCTGGCAAGCTTATGATCGATATGCTGGAGAATAAGCCCTGTAAGATCCAGTTCGAACCCCCAGCTACTATCGCGGCCAGAGGCTTGGATCCTGCCGACCCTGACAACTGGGTGATTACAAGTATGTTGACCAGATCCGATTCATGAGATGCGGCTAATAACGGTTTCCTTCCAGATGTCACTCTTAGCGATGAACCGTTCGAGGAGGATAGTCCGTTCAAGGAGATGGCAGATCATCTCAACGATATCGGCTTGGCGTATAAGGATGATGACATGGACCCTGAATTCGTCTAAATCGTCCCTGTGGAGCAGACTCACGGTCATCATGGCTCATATGGACATAAATAGATCCAGATCTTTCCAATATAATTCGTCAAACTTGTGTATATATCACTCTGCACCTTTTCAGCAGACATACCATATCACAGACTCTGTGCAATCAGATGATAATATGGATAGTCAAATCATTATGCTCCCTCATCTGTTCAGTCTCTACCATGCGATAGCTGCTCCATTTGTATCTGTTGAATGCCCCTCATAATTCCAGGTTGAGCGCAATATTTCAACACCTGCAACTTTGGCCGAGCGGTTAAGGCGCCAGACTCAAGAACATCTTTCTTCACTGAGTAAATCAGTGAGCATTCTGGTCACGAAAGTGGCGTGGGTTCGATTCCCACAGGTTGCATTTTTTGTTTTATCCTCATTCAACATAGATGGTAGGAGGATTGGCCTTTGCTGATTCCTTTTTTCTCTGTTCTGAAATAACTTCTTTACATTGAAGAAGAAGTAAAAGAATTTAAGGCCGAAATCTCAAATTGTGGGGCGACAATTTGACTTTTATCTTTTTTTTTTGCGTCAACAAACCAACATCACTCCTGACTCTCTCAACCCTAACACTTTCGCCATAACGCCGTCTACCTGGCTCCCTCTCCTCGTATCACGGCCTATTTGCTGCGGCAAGGGAAGCTCAAACTCCCGCCAAAGCCCACCATGGCCCTCATGAATGTCGATCAAGTGCCCCCCTCCAAACCCGTCGAGAAGACCCCCGATGTCCTCGTCACACCCTGCGACCCATGGCCAGCACCATACTATCTGGAGGGTGGATTCCGTCGTGTGAAGCCATATCACTATACCTACAACACCAATTGCAAAGAGCGATGGCGGGGTCGCACGCTGGTGGAGATCTTCACTTCCGAATTCCGCGATCGCAAGCCAGAATACTATGTACGTGAATCACCTCCATAACCACCAGACGTTAAAAAAAACTAACAATTACCAGAGAAAAGCCCTTGAAGACGGCCTCGTCCAAGTCAACGGCGTAGTAGCCACCCCGGACACAAGACTGAAAAACGGCCAAGTCATCTCCCACACCCTGCACCGCCACGAACCGCCCGTAACCAGTCTCCCCGTGGGCATAATCCACGAAGACGACGACCTCCTCGTCATCGACAAACCCGCCGGCATCCCCGTCCACGCAGCCGGCCGCTACCACTTCAACACCGTAATCGAGATCCTGCGCGCCGAGCGCGGCTCAGAATGGATTCCACGTCCCTGCAACCGCCTCGACCGTCTAACCTCGGGCATAATGTTCATCGGCAAACACCAACAAGGCGCCGAAAAGATGGCCACAGCTTTAAAAGCCCGCTCCGTGCAAAAAGAATACATCGCCCGCGTCAAAGGCAAATTCCCAGACGGCGTAGTCGTCTGCGACCAACCAATCATGCAAGTAAGCCCCAAACTGGGCCTCAACCGCGTCCGCGCAACGGGAAAAGAAGCAACAACCAAATTCCGTCGTCTGGCATACTACCCACCCGAAGCAGCGACCGAAACAGCCCACCTCGTCCCCGGTGAAGGAGGCCGTCCCGCGACCCCGCCGCCAATGCTCTGCAACGAATCCGAGGGATACAGCATCGTGCATTGTTTCCCACTTACAGGACGCACGCACCAAATCCGCGTCCATCTCCAGTTCCTCGGCCACCCAATCACCAACGATCCCATCTACTCGAACCGCCGTGTCTTCGGACCGGAACTCGGCAAAGCAGAAGCATCCGCCGAACGCGACGAAGAAATCGTCGCTCGTCTATCCCTAATGGGTAAAACCGAAATCCCAGATACAGTCTCCTACCGCCTCCATCTAACAGCCGCACCAAATGTACCACCAAATACCGACCCGGTCCTCGTCAACGAGATCATGCACCGCGAACAGATGGCCGCCGCCGAAGCGTACGAAAAGCGCAAAGGCGAGAAACTCTCTGGTATCCTGTGCGATGTCTGCGGTACGGAATTGTACTCCGATCCTGGTCCCCATGAGCTGGGCATCTTCTTGCATGCTGTGGCGTATGCGGATAAAGATGGTGATTGGGGTTATCGTAGTCCCATGCCCAGGTGGGGTCTGCCGCCGGCTGGTATGGAGGGTCCGCGTGAAGTGCCGGATTGGGTTCCTGCGGACGAGGGGGAGGAGGTTGTTATTGGTCATGGGACTATTCCGCTTGGGCTTGGGGATGAGGATCGCGCTGTGGATGAGAGTACTGGGTCGGTTATTGTGGAGGGAGTTGGGTTGGTCAATATTTCTGATGCGGCTAGGGCACCAGTGGTGAATGGGGCTGCTATGTGATCTTGTGAATATCTTGTCTGTATCATGTTTCGTCTTTCTATTCTGATGACTGGAGGAGAACTTTATGAGCATAGCGTCTTGGTCTTGGGTTGTCATGATGGGTTGATGGATTGGTTTATAGACTGCAATCTCTCGCATATAGATGTACTATTTCAAGAGTCTTGGGGTTCATTCAATTTAGGACACTCGACCCGAGTTGTATGTTCTTCTGTCGATGTAGGAATTTAATCCACATTATTCGCAGGACATGAGTAATGGCATATACTCAATCCCTCATTAGACGAATGTACTAGGTATCCTTCCAGTTTATGTACCCTCCAGCTAATGCTAACTGCAAAGCCAAAATATAACGCTCACTCAACGCCTATTAATGTATACAAATCAAAAGAGCTCACTCATCTAGTCACCCATCTCGCCCCCTCACACTTCTCCATATGCTGCACAGCAGCATCAACCCGCCACAGCATGGTCCCAGACCGCATGCCCGGCCGGGGCTTACCGCGCAAAACCGTCTTGGACGTTGTGCAGCGGGAGTCCGGGGTGAGACGGTACTGCACGCATTCCGGGTCTGCAGCGCAGTAGTCCGCACACGCAACGATGGAGGCGGGTGTCGTCGGACCATGATAATCTTCCTTTCCCTCGCCGATGTCGGCGAAGTTGTCCCAGTTGTCGAGGTTATCTGCCAGAGTTGGGCGAATGAGGTTGCGGAAGATATCACTGTAGGTAAGGACATTTGAGTTGGTCTGGCGATTGTTAGTGAGGTGTTGCATGGACATAAAATAGAAGATTAAAGAACTATGCAACTCACCCTTTCGAACCACTGCTGCTCAAACTCCCAAAACCGATCCACATCCGCAGGCGTCATATGGTGGAAGGTAAAAGGCGCATGACACCAAGGCTTCTTCCCGTAGTTCTCATGCAACATATCCTGTTCCCACACCGACTGAGTGGTAACATGAGGCCAAGACCAAGTAAGCCCGACGCCAGCCGCCGCAAGCGCCATGCCGAGCACACAATCACCCGCCCATTCGCGGTTTGTGATCTCATCCCACTCGTCAGTGTGCAACTGATGGAAATCAGCCACAGCATGAATAGCAGCATGAGAAAGTACAAAGCCCGACCCGCCATGCGCAAACAGCGCCGTCCCAATCTGCATCTGGTTGCCTAGATACAGACGGTCCTCAGGATCAAAGTTGGCCAGCCACCCGAGCAGATTCGGCCAGATCGGGTACGTGTCTGCTTCCAGGAAGACGAACCATTTGGCGTCTGGCTGTGCGCGCCGCGCGGTGTGGATCATGGGCAGGAACTTCCACTTGTCGAGTTTCCAGCCTGGGTTGTCCTTCATTCCGGATGGGCCGTTGGTGACTTTGGTGTGGTCTTGCGAGGTTAGAGCTTGGCGGCCACCGCTGCGGGCGCGGTTGTAGAGAGCGAAGTCTTGGTTGGATTGTTTGAGGGTGTCGGAGACGTTGCGGATGACGTCGTGGGTTTGTATGCCGGCGATGGCTTCTTCGAAGTCTGAGACGATTATCTTGTGCGGGACGCAGCGGAGGGTTGTTCTCAGGTGGACGGGGACTTTGTCTCGCGCTTCTGTGATACCGGTTTTGAGAACCACGAGGATGTCTTCCATTCCGAGAAGAGTTGGACATGATGGGATCTGGGTTTCGGCTTCGTCGGGATTATCAATTGTTAGCCCTGGGGCGGGTTCGACCATGTCCCGCATGGTGTTAGAGCCGAAATTGGCATGGAGCATATGGAGGATCAATAGGATCATGACCACCGGGGCCAGAATTGGTCCCCAGCGACCATATCGGGCTGGGAGAGATGGCATATCGTAGAGATGCAGCACCCGGAGTAGAGGACGATTATCAGATGAGGGTATGTTTCAATATTCCAGGTATACACAGCAACTATCTGCCTCCATATCCAGCTGGAGACTTCAATATACAGAAAAGGTAGAATAGAGAGTCCTCAGGAGGATGAGGGGGTCCCAAGTTCATAAATCATGAACGTGGGGCCGTGACGCAAGCTTCTGAGAGGCTGACATCCAGGCAGAACCAGGTACTGTGGCACCACTTTCCTCGACCTAGTAATGATCTGTCGGGAACCTGGCTGCAGGTGTCAACGCGTTCGATGAGACATTGACGAATCCGGGCTGTGTTCGGTGTCCGCTTTGCACGGAATTTCAAGGTGTTACATGGATGACCACGACGAGGTGGGTCCGACGATCTGAAACGTGAGATCAACATTCTTGGGAGGTCGAGCGTTTCACCAGAGTTGGACCTATATTCGCATGACAGGAGAGAAGAGCAAATAAGAGAAAGAGAAGAGAAAGAGATGGCAGATGGGATGTTGTCCGGACCCAAGGTCCAGGCACTTTAGGGTTACGTAGTTCTTGCAGGGGTCCCCCTTGACCGAATGTATATAACAAGTCCAGCTACGGAGACAAGACTACATCTAGATCAAATTCAAATCCTTGAACAACTTGATATGAACCAGAAAAGGGATTTTGCAATTTTTGTTGTCATTTCAGAGAACAATTCTCTCGCTGTGAAGCGCCCGGCACTATGACCAGGCCCGAGCTGGACATGCCATGCACAATCCTTAAATTTCGTTATCGCCAGAGAGATTATATCGCCATACAAAAACCCTGACCTCGTGCACCAATCCCAACCAAAACGAAACAAACGGTGTTTATTCCATTTATGCCTCGGTGGTGACACGGCCCTTAGCGTTAGTGACCTTAACACCGAGAGCCTTGGCCTTCTCGAGGATCTCGACACGCTTGCGGGAAGAAACGGCGTGGCCAATCCTGTAATCCAATTAGCAACCGAACGAAGGTAGAAAACCGTAGGGATCTCTCGTAGCGACAGGTGCGATGAGACGTACTCAGCAGCGTAGGTGCGGTTGTGCATAAGGAGGAGCTCAACGTCCTTGGTGTTGTGGACGAGGAAAGCCTTGTGGCCGGAGGGCATCATGTGGCGGGTCTTCTTGTTGGATCCGTAACCGATGGAGGGCATGGCCATCTGGCCCTTGAAACGACGACGAACACAGTTGTCGATTCCCTTGGGCTTGCGCCACGAGGCGCCGACGCGCATGAACCGATCACTTTGGTGACGGTTGAAGCGGTTAGTGCCTATTGCATTCATTGTCAGTCCTCCGGTCGTGAATGTGAAGTTTTCCTGCCGTTTCGGCTTCCATCGCCCCGCGAATTATTGTCGCCCTTCGATCCAAGTACAGTCGATTTGTCGATTTTTTTCCGGCAGCCAGCAGTCCTCCAGTCGTACAATCTCTTCTCATTTTGTGCATTTTGCGGTGTGTTCTTGTTTCATTTGGTCGATCGAAGGGCGATGGTATCCAGGGCAGCAAAAGGAATGGCATAGGTGATCGGGAACATACGCTTCTTCACGATAGGGATGTGCTTCTTAGCGGCGACCATCTGGAAATGAAATTAGTGACTGTGACGAAAATAGGCGCATTGAAATGCTCACCTTGTCGGTATTGCTGGGTCTCGCCGGGCGTTCGAGAGTTGTCGAGTCGGAGTTCAATCTCGAAAACTTCTCTTTCAGATTCTCCCGCAGCAGAGTGGGAGACCCACACTAGTGCGTTTTGGGCGAGCTAAGCGAAAGCAAGCTGCTTATGTCAGCATAGGGCTGGTGGACCCTAGCCCTACTATTCTTGATCGGGTAATATCTGGAGATGTTCTAACTAGTTAAGCTTCAATACGGAGTAGATGTAGTTCATGGTTTCTTACGGCTTTCTCCCAGATTATGCACAGTTATTTGAAGTATCTTCATGTTTGATTCGAGGTTTATTTAAATACTGCATCGATCCCTATCTCATCAAAATCACTGCAAATGCAACTGAACTCTCTCCCCATCTTTCTCGCCACTCCGCAGCATCTGCTCCAAGATCTCAAGATCCGCCAACGCCTCTTCGGGAGATTGTCTGCGGGTGGGGTTTCCACTCACAATAGAGTCCGCAAACTCCGCCACCTCTGGCCCAACACCCTTATGGTCAAACTCAATGTGGTGCTTCTCGCCATTGACAGTCACATCGTCGTAGCTCAGGCTGACGACGCCTTTCTCGCAAGAAACCTCGAAAGTCTGATTATCGAATGCCGATCCCCAAGACAAGGAGATCAAACCCGTAGCCCCAGATGCGGTCTTCGCGACGGCATCAACTGTATCCACCGGTGGCAGGAATGATTGCTGCTGCTGGGACTGCGCCGATAGAATACTGATATGCTCGTCGGGGCCTAGAAGCATGCGCAGACCGGCTATCATATGCACTCCCCCGTCCAGTAGAAATCCGCCCTGATGCTCGGGGGTCTTGCGCCAGGCAGTGTCTAATTTCAGATGTATGTTAGCTTCCGTCGATTTTGGTCAATTCGCAAGGACTCCACCGGGACAGGACGCACGGAAGTACTTATTGTTCACATCCATCATGCTGTGGAAGATCATGCGGAAGTTCTGAACCTTGCCCAATTTCCGGGCCTGCTCTGCTGCAAAGAGGAACTTGGTGAAGTACCGGAAGTTCTCGCCGACAGCCCAGAAGACCTTACTGGTGTCGATGTTACTCTTGTACCATTGCAGGAGCTCTTGGGCTGTGGCTACGTCCTTGGCAATGGGCTTCTCGGACAAGACATGCTTTCCAGCTAGTAGTGCCTTGCGAATGAATTCGGGCTGAACCACAATCGGGAGGCTGTCGTAATCGGATTAGCTATTCGTTTGCTCAGGTATTCGAGTAGGATGTAGCATAGCCCGAGGAGGCACGTACGCAATGATCACAGCGCCGATATCTGAACGAGCCAGGATATCATCATAAGATTTTCCGCATCCTGAGTCTTCGGAGTAGAGGTCGACTCCCAATGTGCCGCTGGCGAGATCCTGGGCTGACTTCAATGATCGGGAATAGATGGCCTTGAGGTCGAAATTAGAGGCAGCTTGAACGGCTGGCTATGTGGGTGTTAGCAAAGGATTCAAGGATTCAGTAGTATGTATCATTGAAGGAAGGTCATACTAGGTGCTGCTCTTTCGCAAAGAGGCCTGAGAATGTTAGCCGTGTAGCAGCATAGATTGAACAAACGAAATACATACCACTGCCGATGATAGCTACGCCGATAGTCATGATTAAAGGGAGGTCTGGGAGGATCTAGGAGAGTGTAGGATTGAAAGAGAACATAACAAGCTTTTCGTACCTTGAAAGAGGTCTTAAAGCAAGTTCTCGGTGGGGTTCTATATCAAAGCCACTTATGCGGGAAGGTCCAACCTCGATCCACGTCACCAATTTAGCCTATAAAGTACAAGGCAGTACACCCATACATAGTCCAACCTTGGAACTTCTCTACCTTGCACGAAGTCAACTGGATTCAGATATTTGTGTCCTGTTTTGTTCCGTAACTATTATTAGGGACCACATGGCATATTCCTGGATTTCAGTGACACGTCTCATGCTGTCCGACCTACAACTTCCCAAGTACAGGTCTTATATACCCCACACACGGAGACTCCGTGTTCAATCGGTCATAGCAACTCAAACATTGACTTGAATTAGTTTGCCATTACCAAGCAACAATAAGCATAACAGTGGGAACTTAGCTCCATTCCAACCATGCCATAAGATATCATACTCAAAACAAAAGGAACCTAACCACCCAAATCCAGTCCGTATAGACGCCAATCGTATCCATCATCAAACAATCCGGTCATAGCAGTCGTAAATCAAACAGAAAAAAGTAGAGACCACGCCCTTGGAAACTCATCAGAAGCATCAGTGATGATTAACCAAAGCTCTCAAACGTTCGACACGCGCCATAGCATTCTCCAACTTCTCCAGCCGCTTGCGCTTTTCCAGATCTCTGCGCTCCAACACAGCAACCCTCTCCTCAAGCTTAGCGCGGGCCTTGCGCTCCTCCGCGACCATCTCGTTCGCCTGACTGAACAGCTGCACAGTCAACTCTTCCAGCTCAGAGCTCGCCTGTGAAAGCTGTGACTCGGCGGCCTTGCGTAGATCCTGTTCGCGCATGAGCGCATCCTGCAGCTCGTGGTGGTCGCTACTGGCTGGGGACGTGTGGTTCGAGGTGGGGTGTGTCGCAGCGACCGGGGTGGTCGGGACGTTGGGCGCCATGGGCGCGGGGGGAGGCGCTGCACTGCCGCGCCGGTAGGGAAGGAGCGAGGCGAGAGTCGTGAGGCGGCTGTGGTAGGTTTGTGGTTGTGATTCGGAGGAGGTTGGCCGTGACTGCGTGGGTTGGGAGGTGGGTTCACCAAGAGGAGGAGCTGCTTCGGGGTGTATCGTAGGCTGTTTGGGGCTGTGAGGAGCGTAAACGGCGGAGTTCGTCTTCGTACTCGCTGAGTTTGGAGGCTTTGCGATCGTGGTTAGTGTGGGTTTCTGGTGAAGTGCTTGGTGAGAGTGGGGGGGGGAAGACGTGTCTCTATGTGTTCTCTGTAGACGCGCGACCGTGAAACGAATAGTTGCCGTCTGGAGAGAGTCGTCGAGATCGTTGTCTTCGGAGGCTTACCTGTCGCCGACGCGCGCGCTGTTAACGCATGCACCTGCCCCTCCAACTCCTGGATCCTATTGTGAGCGCCAGAGCTGTCTTGGGTAAATCCTTCGCCCCAGCACATGGGACATTGTTTGTCTGCGGTCTTCATGGCCGATCCGACGAGGGTGGTGGTGGTCGATGACAACATGGGGTTTACCCCGGGATGAAGAGTTCGGACTAGGATGTTTTAAGGTTGCAGGATGAGATGTCAGAAGTTACTCCGTAGATATAGCTGGGTACATTGTAAGGTAACAAAGTGAAGACAGAAATATAAGACCGAATATCACCCTTTGAAGGGGTTTTAATCGATTCATTAACTCCATACCGGCCACGCTCCTTCATAGCCAATCGTGTGTTCCACTTCCTCCGTACGGAGTAGATGTTGTCAAATGGGTCTACTCCGTGACTCTTGACTCGTATTTGAAGAACTTGGGAGGTTATTTGTTTACATCTACATCTACATATTTATGTACATAGTTTGATGTAGTTAAATAACCAACTAATGTAACTCACGAGGTCATCTAGGTATCTCATGTCACCATCACGTTCAGACTGAGACTAGTTAGTGGATCCTATTTATATCCTTGCTGATTTGAGACATGTGATCTGTCTTGGCATTGTACCAAAGCCCCATTTACTGCTTCTGCTTAGGGCCCGTGCCTGGTGCCTGGACCAATGTCCATTCATGTGAACCTACTCTCGTTACAGGCTGATTAACTCGTTAGAATGGTCCAGCCTGCAAGACTTTTAGATAGATCTGTCAACGAAGACTGCATTCATTCTATGCTAACGGAAATCCAACTCAGCTAATATCGGAAATGGACCAGAAATGACTCTAAAAGACAACTCAGCATCCCAACGATCCCGAAGAATCGAATTAAGAGTAGTCGAAGAGCCCGAGCAAAGAACAGGGATTGATTTCATCACATTGTGCTCATGAGAGGGCTCATAATGTCTATTCTCGAGAGTCATGCATCTTGTTCGCGTGGCCGATAATGAACTTGGAAAGAAGAGGAGTATCGAGATGGCACACTCCGACTTCTCACGTGGACCCAACGGCAGACAGGGACGAGAAAGAAACAGGACCACCCGTGGTCAATCGAACGGAAGAGAGGAGATACACGTGAAGGGCCTGGGAACGAGAAGGAGAGATAGGAAACGATAAAGGGAAAAAAAATGAAGAAAATGGAAACACGTAGTATTCATTTCGCATCGGCTGTAATGGTCATAGGCAATCACTTGAGTCACGCATGGGAATAATAGCTAGATAGCGAAAAAAAGACGTAAGATGAAACTTTTCGGACTGCCAGATCATAGAAGCGAGGACTAGAAAAATGTCGAAAATCTAGCTCACGGGAAACAAAAGAAAAGAGATCATGAAACCGGAGGGCAAAAGGAGGAGGGAAGTGGAAAGGAGAATAAGGCTCAATCAGAATAGCAATCTACGTCCGCACTGAGAAATGGCGGCGCAGGAGGTAATTATGGGTAACAAACCTACCGGATGCGCTGCTCAAGGTGACTTGACCAAGCAGCACACTGGTCGGATTGAACCCTCGTCCAGAATTACCCCCCGACGGACCGGGAAATCCATCGCTCAAGCAAGAACGTTCGTTGCTTCGGGGTATCGATACATTTATGCGAATCCACGGCCAGTCTGTCCACGGCGGTTGTTGCGCTTGTTCACGCTGACCGTGCTCCATCCTTCGTCATCACCACCGGCAGCTGCACCAGCCTCAGCGGCAGGGGCTCTCCAGCCGTTGGTCTCCTTCTTTGCTTCCGCAGGAGTGGCAGCAGGGGCCTCTTCGGCCTCCTTGTCGGCGGTCACTTCACCGTCCTCGCCGGCCCGTTGGAGGATCTCGAAGTTGCCACCACCGCGGGGGGTCTCGAGGGCATCCTTGCCGTTGTGGTCCACAGGGGGGCTGACTGCTTGGCTTGCTTTTGCTTCTCAGCCGCCCTTTCGGCCTTCTCAGCCTTGGCCTTCTCGGCAGCTTCCTGCTTTTGGCGAATGGCAAGCTGGCGTTTCTCCTCAACCTGGCGCTCGCGAGTAGCGGTGTCAATGGGGCGGGCAGCACCGAAGGGGCTGGCCTTTGAGTCGCTGGCGCTTGAAGCAGGAGCAGAGGGGGTCTCAGACACAGTGCGCTTGGTCAGGTTCAATTTGGGGCGGCCAGCGGGGGCAGCCGGCACGGCAGGTGTGGCAGAAGGGGAGGCGGGGCTGACGGACTCTTTAGGAGCTTCGTCGGGGCGCATTCTCGCGCGCCACTGGTTGTCCAAATCGGCAGCGGTGGGTGTAGGCTCAGGGCGAACGTGCTCGGGGCGAGGAGGGCGCGAGCCCCCATCCTGGGAACGTCCCTCACCCCATGCGGCCTCGGTTCTCCGGAAGCTGGAACCAGGTCCCTCGTTACTGTTGGGTCGGCCCTCACGGGCGGGGCCACCAGCAGAGGGCGAAAGGGGTCCCTTGCGCTCCCAGTTGTTATAATCACGTGGCTTTCCATCAGACTCGAAGTTGCTGCGGCGGCCACCGCGATCGCTGCCGGCATCGGAGCCAGCATCCATACCACGTCCAAAGCTGGAGCGATCAGGCACACGGCGCTGAGGAAGCTCGGGGAGGGGACCACGGCGGGACCAGTCAAGATCCTTTCCTTCCATGCGGGACTCCTTGGCTAAATGATTTGTCAGTCGATTTGCTTACATCCTCACCAACCTTCGACACTTACGAGGCTCAGCAACACTGGTACGGATAGAGCGTCCCTGGAGAGTCGAGCCGGAAAGATCCAGAGCCTTCTGCAGGCCCTCGACGGTCTCGAACTCGACATATCCGAATCCCTTAGGGGCCTTGGTCAACTTGTCGTCCACGATACGGACGTTCGTCACACCACATCCGGCAAAAAGCTCAGAGATATCGGCCTCAGTCGCTTCGAAGGAAAGGTTGCCAACGTGGCAAGTGTAGGGGGGCTGGGTAGGGAGATCAAGAGGCTCCCGGACGGCATATCCACCGCGCTCACGCTCTAATCATTCGACTTGTCAGTATTGCCCCGCGATGTCTGGAGCAGGAAAGTATCATACCGAAACCGCCGGAGCTGGAGCCATATCCCATATCACCCGTGGGGCGACGGAAGGTAGAAGACAGTGGCTGGGCTATCCATATTGTAAGCAAGGGTTTTCAATCGACGAGAAACATTTCGAGATAGGGCGCGCTACATACTGGCTAGAAGTTTTGTTAGTATAATTTCACAGTTTCAATGGCGGGGGATCGACAACATACTAGAAGAAAGAGGCATATCCTCCATCTCATCGGCCCAAGAGCCAAGGCCTATAGCCGTTAGTAACCACTTCAATTATCCATTTTTTCCGATCGCTCACTTTCGTCTGCCAAGAAGGTGCTCACAGACATCTTCTGGGCTTTGCTTTTGGGAGCTAAAATACATTGTGAAGTCAGCGGTCGCCCACGAATATTCTCCAAGACAAGGCTGATGTCCTATCAAGAGAACAAAGGTCTGGAACGAACCCATGATTGCGGTTAAGGTTGGGGGGGAAACGCGCCAACGGATTTGTGCGCGCTTCTCGGAGAGTAGGGTTGGGTAGAAGGAAGGAAAAGTCGAGAAATAAGAGACACCTGTTCTTGAGAAGGACAAGGGTCAGGAATCAGATTAAGTGAATAGGTTCAGTATCTGTAAACCCACAGTGGAAAAGTTGGTAGAGGGGAAGTCGGCTGCGGCATGGAAGTGGACGGGGTTACTAAAATTTTAGTGATGACGCTAGCCCAATCAGAGCCGCGGGATCAGTCTACGATGCCCAGTATAACTTCACTTATCCATTCTTCATTACTTATTGGTCGGTACCGTGGAAGTGAAAGATTACGATTTAAAATATTTCAATGCCTATGGCAGTCACTAAAAGGGAATACCGAAGATAATTTTCTTACTCTACTTAGGAGTCTGTTTCTTATCAGTGTACGATAACGTCTAAACAGATCGGAAAAGTGTTACGAAAGCAGTACAGAACATAGATCTGTTTCTATGACATTGCACTGTACATTCAGTTGGAGGCTTCGGCTTGCACCTGCAGGCAGCGGTCCTAGCCACTGGTGAACAGCGATTCGGCGGTCTCACAAGTCCGACTCATACATCGTTCAACATCAGCTCTAGTCCTATTTGCTATATTTACCAGAGCCTCTTGTGAGCATTTACTCTGCAGGCAATGGCTATACATTATTACCATTCTCGATACCTAGAGATGCACCTGCACCCAAGCATGGATCTCGTTTATCTCATGCGTATGGTCACAGGGATACACAGTACAGTAAGCTTTCAACCAGCCATGGTTATAGCGGTGTCTGACTCAAGTATCAGACTTTATGGATACCAAAACACTACGTCCACTGAAATGAAACGTAGACATATTCTTGCCATTGCCCGAAGCTCTTCGAGGTAGGCAGGTAAGACTTCTGAGTCACATGTAGTGGATGGTTGATGTCCAGCCAACCTTGGAACATACTTCGTTTTCGTTTTAAGGGAAGAAATTTGCCACTGAATCCGCATATCCGGCAGCATGGAGCTCGAGGTCCGGGGGGAGGCATCACAAACGTGGGGTCAAGTTTTCCATTGCACGCGATCATTTTTAGATACAAACAAGGTGGAGATATATCCATGAAGCTTCTAGCCTCCTCCCGTCGGGCACCAATGTTTGATATTTAATCTACGGGCTGAATCAAGTCTAGCTGCATACGATCTATTAAGTAAGTACATGTCATATGAGTTCCGAATCCACTACGTTATCGTACGCAGTAAATGATTCATATTGGGCTGTTGTTCGTGGTTATCATGTGTAGGCCCAGAGCCCTCCACAAGGCGGCAGCCCCGGGGGTGGGGCTTGGCGCCCGCGGCAGAAAGTACCGTTACATAATCATATAAAGCACGTGACACGATCCTTGACTGGAATTGCTGCATCGATGAAGGCTTTTTCGATCATCGACAGTCCCACGACTCTTATTCTCATGCATCTCACAATCTGACAAGAAGATGAGTGACAAAGGCAAAGACGTGGATTTCCAGTCTCAGGCCCTGTTGTCTGCAGCCAAAGTTGGAGCACTCAGCGGTTAGTATCTGTCCTTCGCAAGAGTATCTTGCTGGCTATATGAAGGCGTAGGGCGAAATGCTGACCCCTCTACTAGGAACCGCTGGCTTGATCTATGGAGGGGCTGCTGGAGTAATTAGATCCCCAAATCCCATGATTCATTCACTGTCATGTGGAATCCACTGGTTTGCATGCGGCTCAGCTTTCTGGTGTATGTGGAGAAAACCCTCCGCAAGCTTACACTTCTGATGTCTGACCTGAATCTTTGAACAGGGCTGCGGAGCAACATTATCCGGCATCATTATCAAGAGAATGCCTCGCCGAAGGAGCGCTCGTACGCGAGTGCTTTATGCGGTGGCATTGCTGGTGGAGGTGTTACAAAGATGATGGGTATCTTGTCCCGCACTGGAAACACACCTTGTGAGATCCCAATTAACCAAATGATATAGGAGGCCGGCTGGTTCCGGGGGCCATCATTTTCTCAGTACTTGGCTACTGCGGCCAAAGCGTCTTCAACCGAGTCGACGCCTGGCAAATGAAAAATGCGCACAATACATCAAAACCATTGATGCAGCGAATGGCTGAATCCAAATGGATTCCACTTCGGTCACTATCTGACCAGGAGTACAGGGAGATGCTAAGTGAGAAGCTGCTTAGCATCGAGGCCGAGATTGCCCTTCTTGACGACAAGATTCAGGAACTGGAGAGCTCTCGACCAGTCCCTGCTCCAATCGACAAGTAAATCCGTCAATGTTATCAGCCCGGGGCTGGAGCTTAGCAATGTGCCACACTGCTTGGCTGTTCACTGCAGTGCACAGACAACGCAAGTTTGTGGTTGGTTAAGATAGCGTCCTTGGAAAGTGACACACGTGGCCATATGGAGGTAAATTATGTACAATATGATACCATAGAAGCGAAGAAAATAATGAACATACTAAGTAGTAGATGAATGCATAACTAGTCGAAATATGACCAAATAACAAAAATGATCTCCCCCTGGAATTCTTTGGGTCGCGGGTCGATCAACCACCTAAAGGGACTGGAGCCCCCGATTTAAAGTCCAGCTCATGAGCCGCATAACATAAAGTTGAGAACAAGAGATCAAATCCAGTGAGATTGACTGATAGAGGGATATAAAAGGAAAAAAGAATACAAAGCGCCAGAGTAAAATGTAAAAGAAGCCTGTTTATGGGATGGAAGAGGAATAACTAGCGTTCCGCCTTTTCTTCTAGTTCCTCCGCCCTGTCCGGTAGCCCACCTGTCATTCTCCCTTACCCTTTATTTAATAACTGCTCCGGCATGATTCGCCTACACTCACTACTTTTCGACCTAGGTAAAGTGCCCGTCCTGCTGAGACTTTGATGGATAAAGTCGCTGCTGTTCTGGAGCCTGGAATCACCAATTCCAACCAGACGGACAGTACGGAGATCGGGGTTAACAGCAATACAATTGGAACCAGATCGACATACCCTCAATGTGCGATTTGAAGACTGTCAGACTGAGATCAGCCCCCTGCTGATCGCGAACCGCGATGACCCTCTTTAACCCGACCTCGATTCTCGTTGGCTTTGTCCTCCTTTACCTTTCGTCCTTTTTTATCTTCGCTATCGTCCGGATCTCGACGGGAATCTCCATTCAACGGATCGGCTACTTGTCGCTGCGCCGGATCGCGTACACCCCGAGAGAAGGACTACATATTGAAATTCGCGGCCTCGGATTTTCGTTGCACCCTTCGTCATTTGCTCAGCCAACATGGATCAGTATTCACCTGACGGAGTTGAAGGTGACGGTGGATCCGACGACTTCGCGACGGAAACGTGAACTGTCCCGCGACATTTTGGAGTCCCCGGGCGCTTCTAGCCCTGCCGACGATCGGGCTGCGCCAGAACCGGGTGGCGGAAGCAAGACATGGGAGACCTTAACACGTATCAAGGAACGCGTCAAGCGACTGCACCGGCAGATTAATTGGCTGGCTCTTGTGGACTTGACCGCTGTCAACACCACTCTCCATTTCGTCAACGCGGGCCAAATACAGGTTGGATCGCTTTCCCTTTCTGTCGATACTCGCAGTAAGATGGTGGAACGTGGCAAGCTATTTCGTCGCAAGAAGGATATGTCGCAAGATCAACGCCCAGTCGAGTGGATAATGAACGTTCAGAATGTTCTACTCAATGTCGACGGCCGAGAGCCAAACGAAATATTTGACAATGTGGGTGTGAACCTCCACGGGCTTCTTCACAAGGATTTGGACGGACTCAGAGATGTCTCGGTGGCGCTCAAGATTGGACGTATGCACGTTCCATACGACGACATCCGGGCGTTGTTGCAGCGCATCAAACCTGACCAGAAATCTGCCAGGGGGCCATCGAACTCCGAGACCGACGACGAGATGTCATTTGCCGATTTTGTGGAGGAACTCGACAAGCCTGGGAGCCGGGACGATACGATTGTACGAACAGTCGCCGATTCAAAGGAGCTTGCAAGCTCATTACTTCGTGGTATACAGGAGATTCAGATCGCTCTGAGTTTCTTCCGTGTTTCACGGGCTATCCAGTCCCTTTCTGCAGGGCCCCACCCGGTTTATATGAATGTGGTATCGCATGAGCTCGGAATTGATCTTCATCGAATGGACCAAAAGGGTCCGGAGCATCGCATGTATTTCCAGCGAGATGATGTCGCTCACCAGGCTCTTCTTGCTGCTATCTCTCTTTCTGTGAGCTTGGACGACGAATCGGGTGAGACCAATAACATTCTATACATCCCCATGGCTACAACTACCATCAAGACGACACTGCCATCGAAAACCGTCAGCGCTTTTGATGACGAGAATGCCGAAGAGCGAAACACAAATGTCCTATTCGCAAATTTGGTCATCACATCACCTTCGATCGATCTCCAACCGAAACATGTCTCGAGGCTTCTCAAACTAGCACAAAGCAGAGCTGCTTCTCGAGGAAAGAAAAGAGACAACCACCGCTTAATCTCTCGGCTACTTCCGAAGGCAAGCATCAAGCTTTCTGTTCATGAGCCTGTGGTCCGCTTTGTTCTCCCAATTGAGAAGGAGTCTGGTACTCCCGATGATTTCAACCTCCTTATCTCCTCCATCTCCTCGATTTCACTTGATATCGAATCCTCCCATTCCTCTGAAGGCGGTGCCCATTATTCCCTTTCATCCATTTATCGAGTTGCCTCCCACAAATTCTATTACCAGACTCCGACGGGCAACAAACACAATCTGCTCACAAATGAGAATTTGGAGCTGAAGGCCCACCTTAACGCAACACCGGAGGTCTGTGTGATCGCCTCTGGAAGTCTCAATGAGTGCTCGGTCCACATGATTGATGGCGAGGTGAACCGTGGAATCCGTGAAGTTTTGCAGCAATTCATTACGCAGATGCAATCGCCTAAGCGGGTACCGATGCCAACAAATGAGCAGAAGCTGAGCGTGTTGAGACGAGTGCCACCATGGCTGCTGCAGTTCCACTTTGAGGCTACAGGGTCTAGTGTCGAAATCGCCGGCGTGGACTCCGCCGTCTCTGATATCTCCCGTGGCGTCTCTCTGCAATTGCAATCGTGGACAGCCGAATACAAGGCCCAGAAAATGGAGAAGAATGTCGGAAGCATTGCTAGGCGCCGGACTCCCAGCTATTCCACCATCGGCGACGAATCACCCTTTCGATTTCCCCCAACCTCCCCTCCCAAAGCAACTCATACTCAACGCGGCGCCTCGGATGGCCGGCGACTGGCTCTTCATGCGCGTGGCTTCGATGGCTTCGTCATTGAATCAGAAGATTACTTGGAACCCGAGCCGTTCTTCTCATTGCCCCGATTTGAGATCGCTCTGAGCACGAATAGTGACCGCCTTGGACCGCTCCTGCATGTCACCTCCGTATTTAAGGGCATATATCTTCAATACTCGTTGTATCGGTTCTACTGCCTCGGCGTCGCAGTTTCGGTGGTACAAGACGTGTTTACACCCTTGCCGGGAAAGGACTCGGACTCTGCTGCAGCGAAACCCACCGTAAGCGTACCGCTTCCACCGCCTCCAGCATTCAAATGGACTCCGAAAAAAGAGTTGGTCACCTACGATGTGAAAGCCACAGTTGTTCAACTCAAGGCGAATCTGCCAAACGATCCACAACTAATGATTCAGGTCTACGGACTTGCTGGAGCGTCTCAGCGTCTTTCCACTCCTTATATCAAAGCCAGCCTTGTTCGCTTCCATGCAGAGGCACCAAAGCTCAAGGGCGTCTGGGCACGAATTGGTAGTATGAACAATCTCAGGGTGGATTTCCGAACAATGAGGATGAAACATGGCAACACTCTGGTCGAAGAGAAGTCTCTCGACCTATGGACTGACTTCATCCGACTTGGCGTGCCTCATCATATGGTAATGCACCGCATCTTTGACAACTTGATAAACACCTCCAAGGCTATTAAACAACTGCATCATCGCTTCAAGTACCGTTGCAAAGAGTTTGGGTCTAAGAGAGAACCAGAAGGCCCAAAGAGGGTTCCCAAGATATCTCTTCGCAGCAAAGCGCTGCTCTTCGAGCTGGAAGACGACGCATTCGAATGGAAACTAGGTTGCATCTATCGAATTGGCTTGATTGAACAGGCTCAGCGGCTGGCCCGGGAAGATGCCTTCCACCTCAAATCCCACAAAGTCAAGGAAGCTGACCAGCGGCGTGGCACATCCCGGTTACGAGCAAAATCAAGCCATCGCACTTTGCGTAGCGAGCGAACCAGCCAGGATACCAGGCGAAGCAGAAGTGCCGATGAGCGAGCTCGACCTACCACCCAAGAACGCGGGAGACAAAAATATCGCTATGATGCTGAAGGCTCCACATGTCTTTCATCGGAGCAGAAAATTCCCGTGGATACCGCTTTGACTCGACTTCACCAGTACAACGCGCAAGTCTGGAAAGAGAAGATCGATGCAGCCCTTCTATTCCAGGGCACTTCCATCAAAGAAGTTCGGAACCTCTTCTCCGGGGCAGATGAACCTCCAGCGGATGTCAAAGAGACCGAAACTATCCTTGCCATTCCGAACAGACCTGGCCTGCTGTCAGCCTTGATCAGTGATGTCAACCTTGTCATCGACAAGCCCTCCTTCGCCATCGACGAATACCCCGCGTATTTACACCGGATTGGAAAGGGAATGCCCTTGTCCATGCAATATGGCCTGCTCGTTCCAATGAGCTTCAATCTGGAAATGGGCGAAGCACGCGTCACCTTGCGAGATTATCCTCTAGACTTATTGCACATTCCGGCATTGCGCCCAGGGCAATCCCCAAGGCTTGCTAGCTGGTCTTTACGGACTGACTTCGTTATTGCTGAACAATGGCGTGACCATGAATCTGCGAGACAGGTCGAAGTAGAGCTCGTCCCTGCATGTGAAGGGCCGGACGGGTCCCCACGCGATGCGTTCAAGATTGCCGTCTGGCGTTCCGTCACACCAGTCAAAACCTTCTCAGACCCTGTTGTTGAGATCAACACAAGTATGCCGACCAGCATCTCATGGGGTGTTGCTTACCAGCCTGTGATTCAGGACATGATGAAGATCATTGAAGGTTTCACCAAGCCTGAGATTGACCCTTCGGAGCGGGTGGGATTCTGGGACAAGATCCGACTCAGCTTCCATTCTCGGATCAAGGTGCTCTGGAAGGAAGATGGCGATGTACATCTGCGTCTTAAGGGCTCTCGCGATCCATATGTGGTGACCGGCTTCGGAAGTGGCTTTGTCATGTGCTGGCGCAGAGACGTCAAATGGGAGATACACACTGGTGACAATCCAATGGAATTTATGAGTGTAACAAGTGGCGAGTACGTGCTTGCTATCCCCGATTACAGCGCTGAAGCACGATGGGCGAATGTGGCGGCCACAGAAGAGTTGGACAACAGTTCTGCATCCAGCGAGCAAAAGAACGCAGCTCACTTCAAGAAGGTCATCATGAAGCTGTCTGGCGATGTCAAATGGGCAGCAGGTCTGGTCTTTGAACGGGAAGTGGACAACGATGAGAGGTCATTCTCATTCAAACCCCATTATGATGTTGTTCTCAAGAATCCCAAATATGTCGATCCATCTGAACGTGGTAATTACGATGCCTATCGTGGCTTCCGGAGTGATCATATCCATCTCTCGGTTGCCATTATTACGCCACAGAGCAGAAATTGGTCTGTCGATAATGTCCAACCATCTTCAAGCTACAACACCATCCACCTCACTCCCCGATTCTTCACTCATTTCTTCAATTGGTGGTCTCTATTCTCAGGCGTGATGTCGCTTCCTGTCCGCCAAGGACCGCTTTGGCCAGGAATCACGAAAACGAGCAAGAAGTTCAACCGTCATCTGGCAACTGTCAAATACAAGATTCTTCTCGCGCCGCTCTTTGTGGCCCACATCTACAAACACAAGGACCGCGAAGATTATGCAGAAGATGTTGTCACGGCTACGGGCCTCAAGGTTCGCCTCGACTGCTTGAAGCTTGACATTCATCAACGTCGCGAGCAGATCAAGACACAAGCCCGTGGTCGTTCAAAGCAGACCAAGACAAGTGCGATGCGCATCAATCAGGCCCAAATTGATATGCAATCTGCGGACTTCCGGGCCGTATCCGCTAGTATCGAAGGCACCACAGCGGAAGACGTTGAGCACAACGGAAACGACATTCTCTCCTCCTTCCAACAGCCTGTTCCATCCGTTGACTTGTCGCGGTTCACTATCCCTGATCACAATCTAGACTGGGTTGACATGGATGACTTCGTGGAGCCGGACTGGATCCTCCCACAAGAATCAAACCCTCGCACCCAAATTTTACCTTTGGCTTTCACACCACGTTTCACCTACTTCCGCAACACAGATCATGGTGATGTTGGGCCCGAAGAAACGGGCTACAGTACCTTTGGAGACGAACCCTCTCACGAATGTGTGATGTCCGAGACCAACGATCCTCGCCGTGTTCAAATTGAATTGGTTAAGGATCGCCTTGCAACCGTTGAGGCACAAACTCGCAATTATGAACGCACCATTGGAGAACAGCAACTCAAGCTCATGAAAGATGTGAACAATGACGCAAAATTGAGAGCAGAGCATGAGCAATTCCTTCGTCAGTCCGACAATTTGGCGAGACGACGTAAGTTCCTGACGACCACTCTCAATCGCCTTGAGAGACACATTATCCGCGATGAGCGCACTCCGTACGGCAACACACTAGGCAAAAACGCGACACCCAGCACTACTTCTTCCCGGACTGAGCGAACTGGGCGCGATGCCGACTCAGCGACCGACGGCCGTTCATCAGGGCTGGATGGCATCTACGCATCCGGCAACGATGAGTTCTCCAGTGATTTCAACAATCGTTTCATGATCCACAACGTGCAGCTCAAATGGAACAATTCTCTCCGAAATATCATCTTGCGGTACAGCCACCAAGTGAGCCAGCGGCGAGGATTTGTGTACTACATGTCTCGGCGCGCTGTAAAATTCATTCTTGATATTGTGGACGAACAAAACAGGAACAAGCGCAAGCAGCCCAGGATGTCCAAGACGGCAACCCAGAGCTCTCACAATGAGGAGGAGGATGTCGAATGCCGCATCGAACAGTTGTTGAACGACGCCAAGCGCTTTGTGAATGTCGAAGAGAGTGAACCATCGGACTCCAACACCCAATCTCCTTCCAGTTCGGACGATTCGAGTGAGGATGTAACGACGGAGTTCACTCCACAGAACAGTTACCACCTGCGTCTCATTGCGCCCCAAATCCAGCTTCTCAGTGAGAAGAATCGGAAATCAGTCTTGCTTGTTGCTGCGAAGGGTATGGAACTTAAGGTCGTATCAATCATGGACAAAGAGCGAGTCTCGGACGATGTCAGTGGCCTGGTGCAGCGCCAATTCTTGCTTGAAATGGACGGCGCCCAGTTCTTTGTTGCAACGCAGAAGAACCTGATGGAGAGTCTGCAATTCTATGCCGGTAACAAGTACGGGAATGCGCCGGGATCAGCATGGCCGCCGTGGTTGACTTTGGAATCAATGTTTGATTTCGAGTTGAATCCATTCGGATTCTCTCGTATTGTGCAAAAAACTTCTGCCACCCTGCGCTATGACAAGTACAACAACCTCCGCCTCAAATACAACGAAGAGGTGGCAAAGGGTCAGCCCGGGCCTCATCCTGGCGATCAAGAAGACCGGATAGACTCGATCAGTGTCGACTTCCCTCATTTCCGTGCGATTTGTGATTCTGCAGAGTACTACTCCATGTACATTATTGTCCTTGATCTCATGCTCTACAGTGAACCACTGGAGAAGGTCCGAAACGAGCGACTGGAGCGGATTATGCTCACTTCTGACTTCAGTGACCTTCGTGGTGCCCCCGAAATGGTGTTCAAGCTTCAAGCACGCATTCGCCAGTTGGAAGAGATCAAAGAGTACTTCCAGATCAACGCAAAGTTCTTGGACAAACAAGGCTGGAAGGATCGGCTGACGCTCGAACGTGACTTGTCACATTGCGAGGATGAGCTTTTCTTTATGATGAAAGCGATCACAACTTCCCAACGGCGCATGGAACCAGGTGGACCGAGGGCAGATGGTGTCAATGGCTTATTGCGATGGAGCATATCGGCTCGCGAGGTTGTGTGGCACTTGATGAAAGAGGCTTCTGAACCCTTGATCGAGTTCCAGCTGCGCAATGCTACATATGAGCGAACCGATAACAGTGACGGTTCCAATGACAACTTGGTATCCATCGAGCGACTGTTCGGACTGAACTTGCTTCCAGACGCCATATACCCCCAAATCATTGCACCTTACCTCGACGGGACGCGCACTTTGGACGACTTCATGTTACGTGTCAAATGGCACATGCTGGAGGCCGTCGCCGGCATTCCCGTGCTTGATAACTTCGAAGTTGCGTTGTTCCCGCTCAAGATCCAGCTTGAGCGTGAGCTAGGCCAGAGAGTCTTTGAATACATCTTCCCCAACGTGGGCTCTAGCGCCTTCGAGGCGGGTGGCTTCTCGCCCTTCATGATCAAGAATATGAGTGTCTTTGAGGGATCGGACGACGAAGACGATGAAGATACGCCCAACGGCATACCACTGATGCGCTCAACCAGTATCGATGGCAACAGCTCGTCCACGTCCATGGAAAGTCTCGCCATCTCCAAGGGCCCAGGCTCCATTGAACTGCGACTCCAGCCTACACTGACACTCTCAGATGATGCCAAGGCACGCCGCCCAGGTCACCAGCTGAAGGGTCTCGCGATGACACCTATCCACCAAGACAGCAACCGACTAGGTGTATCGGAGACCTCGCGTCAAACAGGCCGTCCGGCCACAACTGGTGGTCTTAGCAAAAAGAAATCTGCCGACAGTCTCCGCATGTTGACCAAACAGCCCACTGAGAGATCTCTGTCCAGCCACAGCGGTGGCGACGACAGCCGCAGGAAATTCGGAATGGGCAAAGGAGCCAACAAGAGTTCTAAATCCAAAGAGCCAACCGACGACCTGTCTCTCATGATCTCCCGCGCCTCTAACTACATGACCCTCGCCCGTGTCAGAGTGAATGACGTCGTCCTCTGCATGAGCTACAAGGGTAAGGGCGAGCATAACCTGGAGGATCTCCACGATTTCGTCTTCCGTCTTCCAGTTCTCGAGTACAGCAATAAGACATGGTCGAATCTGGATCTTGCCCTGCGCCTCAAGAAGGACGTGATCAAGGCCCTCATCTCGCACGCTCCTGCCATTCTTGGCAACAAATTCTCGCACCACCGCCCGTCGAAGCAGCAGCAGAAGCGTTTCCGGGAGCTTGCATCGTCGTCTCAATTATTGCCATCCACCGGCCTCACGCCTAGTGGAAGCCAAGCCCAAAGCCTGGCCAGCTACGACTCCAACAGCGACTATTCGGAATCACGATCCCGCAGGTCTATGCAGTCAAATTCCTCGCCGTTAGCTAGATCCACCTCATTGGGTTCAGACGCCTATGGCGTTCAGGATTCGGATCCTCAGATCTCCGACTCACGTTCCGACAGTGAGGTAGATGTCGATTCTCGTTGGGAGGTTCGTTTCAACTCTCACCCGTTTTGTACCGTTGTCACTACTAACAAAAGAATGTCCAGGCATCGCGTCGATTCGTCAATCCCCCTCCCGAGAGACGACCGTTGACTTCCAGTCACACTATGAGTACCATTCAGGGTAGCAGCAAGAACGACCAAGATGACAGGTACGCAAATTCCGGTCTCTCAGACCCATCCATCTCCCATGACACAGAAAACTGATTATTCTTCCCAGTCACATCAAAACAATCCGCAACATCGGCCGGAAACTGACATTCCGCAAATAACGGCAATGCTTCAACCGCATTGCACGATCCCCCACCCTTTCTTCTCTCGATTTTCCAATCTTCTCCCTAATACCCTTTACACTTTTTTCCAGAACTCCTGTGATCTTTTGTATACCACCCCTCTATCATCTTCACCAGGTTCCTCGTGTCTCATCTAGATACCCCCTCACCTCCCCCTCGCTCTTTGCAGCGGACCGTACATAGGTACCTATATGTAATATATTCTCTCTGGGGCTTTCCTATAAATCCTATCTTAGTTGTCGCCGCTTTTACCAGGCTCAGAGCCTCAGATTCAGGCTCACTGAGCAATTTTCAGTTCGAGCTCAGACTTCGTGAGTTGCTCAAGTATATCACGTGATAAAGACGTGACTTGTTCTCCATCCGCTCTGGCGTACTTGGCCCATGTCCTCGGGGCTACAGTAGGCAGTTCAGTTGGCGCAGTTGAAGCGGCAGCACTAGGACTGCGTCTCGCGGTTTATTGAGAACTCGCAAAGGCAGGCATGAAAAGATCTCAACCTTACCATACCAGGCAGGTCACATAAGAAGAAAGTAGCTTGCCGGTGTTTTACCACCCGCTGCCATCATAGTGCGGAGAAGACCTGCGTCTAGGCTCTCGAGTCTCGGCGAGTTGTCTAACCTCCTGGTCATCTTGACATCCAGCCAAGTAAGTCTTCGATGGTTCGTGACAGGTTCGGACATTGTACTAAGCGATGTTAGTCTCTAGAAAAAGAAAGAGATGGATCACTTGATAGTTGGTACTCACGATGTGGATTGTGGGGGAGATGTCGAAGTGATGGAGAAGGGAAGAAGAAAGAAAAAGAGCTGGGCAGAAGAACTCCTATTTATGTTCTTCTGTGGTTCGCTCCTTCCCTTGAAGAGATGTAGCATGAAAGAAAAGTATAGTTGGTCTTGAACCATGGTATTGAACTATAGCGGTTACTCACATGACGCCTGGGCTTCGAGTACCTTACACCTGTTTAACTATATGCCACATCATATGACTCTGTTTTATGTTGCTGGAAGCAGACGCAGGTATGATAAAGCTACCTACGTTCATGGGTGCCCTGTTCTGGCTATCAAGACGCAAAAGTACTGTGTACAGGATGGCTACAGACGAGTCTGAGTAGATCACTTTAGATCTAGGTAGCAAAGGGAGGTTACAATGCTCCAGAATAAACAAAAAGAATATATGTACACTCGCTTGCTAGTCTAAACAGTCCTCTCCTTAACATATACATTTTCATGCAACCAAACAACAATGAGAACGATTCGTCAGCTCGGATAGAGATATATTCATCAGTCATGCAAATTACACAGGGGACTTTTCCACAGATGGTCCTGAATCGGGAGCATCATGAAGGGTTCCAACGTGTGTTTCATCGGTAACGTGGGAGCTGGAGGCTCCACTAGGGGCGTTGTTGGGGACGTCGTTTGAAGCTCCGGCAGGGACATCATCGGATACTTTCTCGACATCATACGGGGGCGATGCGTCGCTGTCCTCCTTATCGCGACTCCAGGGCCAGACAGTAGCCTGGACAGAGGCGAAACGGGTGCGTGCAGTCGGCGCATCAATGTCGTCAACCCAGCGAATTCCACCTTGTCCGCGGTTCTCGGACCACGCTTTCTTCTCGCGACGCAGATCACTTTGCACCCAAGGGATTGTGATCAGCGTCCAAATGATAGCCCAGGCAAACGGAAGGGACCAGCCCAGCTGCAGGTAAGGTCAGTATGGGTTCGCTCGAACGAGGTATTATTCCCGCTTACCGTAAAGGCGACGCCTTCTTCGACCGTGAATACAACGGCCGTAATGGCGGCGGCACATACAATCGACCCTCCACTCCAGAAACAGTTCATCTCGAAGAGCATGCGCCGAAAATAAGGGCTGGATAGGTATCGAGTTCGAAGCGCATATCGATAGATTTGCCCACCACCACCATCCACTGCTACCACATCCTCAATGAGCGCGTACAACGCAGTCGGCATAACGGACCCTTTGGGGGTGGAGGAAATTCGGAACGGGGCCTTAAAACCCAACATGCGGAAAACGTCGAGGGAGAGGTAGACGAACCCGAAGTAAAACATGACGGTTGGTAGGACCATGGCGATGAGGCGCACTGTTTTGCCAAAGTCAGTACAAGGCGAGAGCTGGAATTGACACGGGGGTTGATCTAACCAAAGGGTTCATGAGGAACCGATCCACTGCGGTGATTGTTAGCTCGTTGTTTCTCCTGCCGGCATGTTATGACTTACACAACCAGTTCCACAGCCAGAATCAACCACAGAATCGTAAAGTTGATTTGGAAGAAATCCAGCTACCGAGCGCTGTCAGCGAATGTCCCATGTCACACCATATGTCCAGACCTACCCATGATACTCGCGAGTTCAGGGGTCGTGCGCGGGAGTTTTTGCGGAATAAGTTATAAAGACGATAGAAATATTCGAAAACCGAGACGCCTCCAAGCGACGCAGTGACAATCGAGAAGACTGCGCAAGATCCATGTTAGCGGTCTGAGCAGGGATTCGGGACTCCACGGCACAAAGCGTACCTAAGTTGTGTGATAGATCTGTGAGATGCCATAGACACCAGTACAAAATTAAAGGCTGGGCCAAGGTATCGACGACGAAGATTGTCCAGAAGATAGCGATCGACTTCTTCCTCGTGCGTAGAGAGTACGGGAGTGGCGGAGGTTCGGACGGCGTTACGACGGATCCTTCTTCCATTGTGGCGGTATTGGCGGACAACCACTGAGGAGGGACCTAAATAGACAAGGACACAGCTTGTGGATAGGAGGTTAAGGGGTTAATGACATGGCGGGGAAGTTATCATAAAGTGGCGAAGAGAAGTTGACATTGGCTAAAAACAGAAGGCGAAGAGGCGAAGCTAAGAATAAATCCAGAATCCAGATCTTTTGAGTTTAGGCCGGAAACAACGGCAGGATCGACGGGTACTTCCGTTGCCATACAAATTTAGTAGTGATCAGAAGTACCTGACGTAAGGTGGTCCGTGATGTCATCGCAAACAACCTTGGAAGTTATCGAAAGCAGTTGGACGCCTTGTACGTACTATACCGCGTATGCATTTGTTCTCTCGTAGTTTCCTAATCCCTTCATTTCTCTAGATTATATATCCAAATATTCCAAAAATAGGACGATTTAGTTAGTTATTTGCCAACCTCATGTTATCTAAGATTACCTAGTTCCATTTGAGTTTAAAATCTCGAGAACCAGGGAAAGCGGTCGATGTCAGTATGCGGTAGATATGTCGACATTCAAGGCTATACACGAAACATCGCCCAGGAACCAAGATGCATAATTCTGCAGAAAAACAAGGAATCGGTCGAGACTGGGCACTTCGGTCCACTCGGACGCCGATCCCGAGGCCTTCCAGGACCCGCTGTTGTTTACATCCATTTTGTTGTAGGCTGTTATGCAGTATGTTGTAGAATGCTCTCGATATTGTGCATTATCTACTCCGATACCTAGTCAGACAATCACCTGCAATAGTTACTACAAGATAACGCGCAGTAGAAAGAGTGACGCAAATCGTGATTAGGAGATTTCTCAGGCATCACCATACTGTGTAAGACCTGCGGCGACTACGGAGTAAGTATAATCATCATCAACAACCTAACGAGTTTATTACTAGACTGGCTGATCCCCGTGAGGAAAAGATAAGGGTCGACACGAAGACATGTTCGTAACTTTTTAAGATACTCGTATTCGTATTCGTAGTTCACAGATCTGATTGCTCATCAAGAGGACTTATCAGATTGGCAAAGTTCCCCGTGAAGAAAAAGAGAACATCTAGACTCTAGATATCTGATCATGTGAATTGTTGCATGATGCTATCCATGGCTCAATCCCCCGCATAGCAGCATGTACGAAAGCGAGCTAGATTGGGTTAATGGGAACATCATCATCATCCATGGCTCAGCTATGATAAGCTCCATGACTATGCCTAAAGGGGTATAGCCTACATCTTACGATCATACAACATTGAACAACCTACATCCAAAGTAGTTAATCTATGAACGTCGCTGTGGAAATCACAAGGTAATGATGGGCCTGTATCTATTTCTGCGCTAGTTGGATGTCCCTCAGCGCCATCGATGGTGTCTTAGCTATAGGTTTGCACGTTGCCACTTGCCATTATTAGATTGAAGAGATGGAACGGATAGTTTGGATCATGGAGAAGATAGAATAAACAACACTAACATATCAAAACACTGTACGACGCTGACAAATACATGGAATAATGGAAAACGGCGAAACGCCGGCATGAAATCCGACTCCTAAGACCGGAGATCGAAGAGGGAATAAGCGAGCCATAAGCACCAGGACGATGAAGAACCATAAGTCACAAAGAAACGAAGAAGAATAACACCATGCCAAATAAACGAGCAAAGAAAAGGAGGATATTAAACCCAGTGCAGGTCGAATTGGAGAGGCCGTGTCAAGCTGAGACGTGAATGACAGGGATCCTCAAAAAGGCTGCGGTCTGACACAGTCAGGGCGCAGGGGTGGGCTCAATATTAGCGACAGATGAAGGGGAGCATGAACAAGGTTGACATGATAAACTCATAATTTTGAACAGGAAGAGAAGTCGGAGGCCCTGGCCCTCCCTCGGAACTTATCGTTTGCTGGGAGGAAGATAGTGAGGAATGTAGAGCTCAATCGGAAAAGGAATGCCATCGTGAGCCATGCAGAATCCAGTCATGGAATCATCAAAAGCCAAGCAGTTGTCGTGACAGCCATCGCACATCCAAGACGCCGAGGGATAAAGTGCGAAACGTATCATGAATTATTGAAGGGGTATCGAGGCGATGTCAAGACATCTAATATGTTTCGTATTCATCGGCCCAGTCGGTGTCACTGCCAGCAACGCGCAGGACCTGCCCGGGATGTGGTCCTTCTGGACTGACACTTCGGATGCCCTTGGCCTTCTTGCCGATGAGATCAGATCCGTCCTCGGGTGCGAAGCGCTTTCCTCCTTGTGCAGCACGAAGTTTGGAGTAGTAAATATCACTGGGGTCCGCTTCTGAACCCGAACCATCTTCGAAGGTCTCCCAGTTTTCCGATCCCGAGGTCGCCGTGTTAACTGTGGAGGAATTCGAGACTTGGCGGGGAGCTGGGGGTGGAGCGGCGTGCTGTAGGTATGGGTTGGGTCGAGGGAAGTTTTGTATGGAGGAGTTGAGGGATGAGTGTGAAGAGTGGGATGAATGGGAGAAGCCGGTGGATCTCTGTGAGCTCGAGAATCCGGAGTTGCTCATGAAGGATCGCTGCCGATCATCATAGACATCTTCCGGGCTGACAGGCCGCACATAGGCACTGGACATAGCACTGTTGCAGCGAGGTGGATCCATCAGGCGGCTAAAGCGGTCTTCCTTTGATTCGACGGTCAACGCACGCATACGTGGCGGAGGTCCACGTGGGGGCGGCATCTTTCCATTAAGTGTGCTGGAAGAGTAGGTGGTGGGCTTGAGGCGACGCTCAGGAGAGTTGTTTCCCTGGGGCATATTTCCTAGCGGGACACGCGCCGGCAGTTTGGAGGGAGATGTCGCGCCGGCTCTTGAGGTGGCTCCGGACCTGGACGCACCATAGCCGATAGTGTTGTGCTTGACGGGGCCACTGCTAGTCGGGGTCTTGGTGGCTGAGCGAGGTGGAGGAGGCCCTCTCATGGAGCTTCCGGGGCGAGTAGTCGGATGCTGCCGCATAGTGCTTGCTTTGGTAGACGAGGGAGGCGCAGACGGTGTCTTAGAGCGTGGAGGTGGCATCGTTGACGGCTTGACAGGTGACAACGTATCAAGATAACGCTCCCCGTGCACAAGGAACGGTCGGCCGAACTCATCTTCCCAGTGTTCCAATTCTTTGCGCAGGTCAGCTTCAAGCTTCGGCAACTCCTTTGCGATCCTCTTGCGCAGCTTCTCCTCCCTCAAAAGCTTTCCAGGATCCCGCTTCTCTCCTTTGGCTCCACGGCCCATTAGACGGGATGCGTCTTGGCTCGAGGTCGCAAGTGCCTCACGGTCGGTCAGAAGGGTACGGTGTCTTTCAATCATTGCCAGGGTGGGAGCACGCTGCTCCTTGAGGAACTCCAACTTCTTGATCTCAGCCTCATGAGCCTCGAGCAAAGCATCACTGCACACATCAGAGAATGCAGGTGTGAAATCGAGCATTTCCTCTTCGGAGAAGAAGAGAGAGTCCCAGAGTTCTTGCAGTCGGCAGCGAGCATCCTCCACGAAAAGGTGGAGATTCTGCCTCTTCAGTTCATTGAGGCGGGTCAACTCCTCTTCAAGGTCGTTGATAGTGCGCAAACCGCAGCCACGGTTGGCAGCCAAGAATGCCTTGCGATCGGCCTCCTCGACGCCAAATCGGTCCCAGAGGGAGATCACGGTGGTTCGTAGTTCGTTGATCTTGCGCTCGCGGGCCTTCTTCTCTTCCACCAACTTGTTGCGCTTGGCCATGAGGTTGGCTACATCATCCTCATGTAGGCCGAGTTGCTCGGGGGAGTCGCGATAACATTTAACGATAGTAGGATCGGTCTGCGCCTGGGGTGTGCCAAGCTCAGCCCAGAGTTTGATCATTTCTTCGCAGGCAGATTGAACCTGCGCAACGCGGCGGTGGTACTCTTCGTAGACGTGTGTAAACTCAGCATCCAATGCAGTCACATACATAGGAGAAAGGTCGAAGCTCGGCGGGATTGAGGAACCAGGTTCGGTGGGAGGAAGTTCAAGTTTAACGAATGATGGCTCAAGGTGTGAGGAGTATGATTCAAGCGCGTCGACGAGTTCTATTAAATGTCAGTAATGGGGGCCAACGGCGACGCAGTATAATCTTAATACTCACTTCTAACCTGTTCGAAGCGTTCACGGTGTAACTTGCTCATCGCGTCATGCTTCTCGCGCAGGAACATGATACATTTGTTGAGCGGGTAAGTGACGCGAAGGTCGTCGCGGTCGAGCTCATATTGACCATTGGCCCTTTCGTCGCTCAGGGACGACTCCATCTGTTGTATGGCTGTAATGAGGCGCTCTGCTTCCTGCACCATCTCCTCTCGCTCTCTGGACAACAGTATTAGCGCATCTCCAATAGGTTTGTTTATGGCGCGACTCACTCATCAACAACCTTCAGTTGGTTGTTCAAGGTCTCCGACAGAGCGTTGAAGAGCTGTGTTACTTAGTTAGCCATGCGACAATGCCATTGTTACACCAAAACTTAGCTTACCTCCGCTTCGCGGGACTCGCGCTCACGCGCGGGCACGCCAATCTCGTCGTAGATCCCATGGAGCTGGGCGACGATGTTGTTGACCTGAGTGGTCAGGTAGCTAGTGTCTACCGCCATGGTAGTGAACCTCCGTTGATGAGGTGGCAATAGTTGAGATTGATAACAAAGAATTTGTTATCCAATCCAACGACGACACAGCGCCGAGCGAAGCTGCGACAAAGTCGAAATCAAAGCAAAAGGAGCCCGACACACAGGGTTCTCAGCACACGGCGCGCAATAAAAAGGTAACGAAAGTGGAGAGATCACAAAAAAAGAAAAGCCCTTAGAAGAGCGACATAGAAGAATGATGACTCTGGGGTTGTTTGTGAGGGGGGCTGAATCGGAGATGATAACATCAAGTTTCCAAGGTCGCAAGTGGGTGTTTGGGTTCGATCGTCGTCCCGGGCAACCAATGACTCAGCAGGCCCACCGCCCAATTCTGCCAATCAATGATCAACCCCACGCCATCAACTCGACTTCCATGCATTGACCGCTGATACTATCTACACATATTCTCCGGTCCTTGCAGGATCTGCCATTATCTCTGACTCCTTACTTTGTATCTCCGAAGCTTTGAGAACATCTCACTCAATCCTCCATCTGTTCTTATCTCCATTCACCCAAAATGGAGGCTGCCCAGCGGTCCTGGGGTGAGTACCTCCCAATAGTCCAAATGCTAGCCAGCTTGAAGTTGACCAACAACCCCACCCAGAGCTTGAGAACGCCATAACCGTCTTCGACCCCCAACGCGACGCCCTCTATCAATATGATGCCGCCATAGAAAAAGCCCTCAACAATGAGCGACCCTGGGCCTCCGACCCATACTATTTCAAGCATGTCCGAATCTCCGCCACAGCACTATTAAAGATGGTGATGCACGCCCGCTCAGGCGGCTCCCTAGAAATCATGGGTCTCATGCAAGGTTACATCCTCCCGAATACCTTTGTGGTAACCGATGCATTCCGGCTACCAGTCGAAGGCACCGAGACGCGAGTGAATGCACAGGACGAGGCAAACGAGTACATGGTCTCATATCTGCAATCCTGCCGAGACGCAGGACGAATGGAAAACGCAGTGGGATGGTATCACAGTCACCCCGGGTACGGGTGCTGGTTATCTGGGATTGACGTCGCAACGCAACAAACGCAGCAAATGACGGGACCCTTTGTCGCCGTCGTGATCGATCCGGACCGTACCATTTCCGCTGGCCGCGTTGAGATCGGCGCTTTCCGCACATTCCCTTCGGACTTTACGCCGCAAAAGGAGGCGAGCGAGGACGACGAGTATCAGACTATCCCGCTTGGCAAGGCGGAGGACTTCGGTGCACATGCCAATCAGTACTATTCTCTTGACGTTAGTCACTTTAAGAGTACGCTCGAGGCGCAAATATTGTCCCTTCTGTGGAATAAGTACTGGGTTGCGACTCTGAGTCAGAGCCCGCTGTTCACTTCTCGGGATTTCGGCAATAAGAAAATTATGGACCTCAGCCAGAAGGTGCGCAATGCTTCGCGTGGAATGGAGAATACTGGTGGTCCTCGTGGTAGTAGCTCTACCATGAAAAACCAACAACTGGACAAAATTGTCCGCGGCGGACAGCAGGTTGTAGCCGAGGAAGTCAAGGGTCTTCTTGCTTCTGAAACCAAACTGAAGCTCTTCCACGGCATTGGAAATCAGACCCCTTCGGAGTGATTCAGCTCGGCCAGCGAGTGATCCCGATCCGACAGATATTGACATGACTGGCACACTTCTTTTTGGATTGAACAGGTGTCTTTGGCGCTCAGCGGGCTTCGCGATACATCATGATCATAGATTTTCTAATGTGCAGTAGCTGCGAATCAACGACTTTCATGAATCAAGCCTAGTTATTTGCAAGCACGCAGATAGCAGCAGTAAAGGCATACGGCCAGGGTGAATGTACTAGTGGCACTGCGTTGCCTAGTGTAAAACAAATCGTGAGAATCGACCTCTATTGACCCGAGACATGCGCAATGTCCCGGGCTAAACTCGAATAGTGAAACACTAGATACAATGAAGTGAATCGCATCAAGCCAACTCCACCGGGAAAAAAGAGACTCTCAAGTCATTCGTGACGAATCATTATTCAGAAGACGGGCGTCGAGGACATAAACTTCCAAAGGAAGCCAAAAACAAGATCGCCTCACTCAGGCGACAACACGAGGGGATATGTGAGGAATGAAAAGGAAGAACGAAGGTGGAACAAGAGGGGAAGAAATGTACACTGAAGATAGGGAAATATGTCACACTCAGTACAAAGAAGACGTGAAGGTCGGGGTGTCCGGGAGGTATGTAATGCCATCTGAGAGATGCGCAATGAAACAAGAAGGAAAAGAGGTAATAGACAAGGAATGCCGACGTCGAAAGGTTATGTGTCGGGGAGAGGTGGAGTGAAAGGACCTCGGCCCATGCGATGAGGTGGTACATGAAGAGGAGGCTAACTGCCACGTGAGCAGATTCGGAATTGCGGAGAATGGTTAGGTGAGGTTTCATGATGTGGGTCTGGGAAGAGACACCGTTATGCACGCGATGTGCCGGCCTGCATGAACCCGGCACTTCTGGGGGGGGCTCTGAGAGGCGGGGAAAGACAATGTGGAGATTAGTATCAATTAGAACACGGTCGCTAGGCCCGAAAATGCCCCAAAGTCGACATTATCCATGTTGATCGTAAATCGGTAAAGTGACAACGGCGCCGGCGATTGGAGCGTGAATCGCGGAGTTCTCTGCGAACCTGTTTGTGGCGCGCCTGCACGAGCCTGCACGATGCAACCTGACAGGGATCTTGACCACCGGTCAACAGACTCACAGGAAACCGGACTCAGACAGTAATCTACGAAGTTCCGAAACAAGAATGGTTAGTCTCGATAGCCAAATCAATTAGAGAAAAGAAAAAATAGCGCTGTCTCGTTTGTCCAGGGGAATAAGAGGTCAAATTTGGGTATCGCTGAGCAAATGCCAGACGCCACTTTAACGGAAAAAAAAACGGACTATCGCAGAATAGCGACGGTGGACGCAAAGAGCAAGGAGCCCTTGTCTCTGCTTGCGGCTTCAGCATACCTTGCAATCTTTTCATCCTCACGCTCTCTAGGCTCGATCTCCAGACTCCGGTCGTACATGTCGTGTACGTCGCCGGCACCTTGAAGATTACTGAGAATGTAATCTTGTAACTCGCCGACGGGTTGCAGAAGATAAGGTACATTCTGGTATTGCTGAATATCCCGAATGACTTCTGCAGTCTTCGCCCGCTTGTTGAAGTTGATCAATTCTGAAGGGGTAAGAGATGGAATACCATCCTCAATGAAAGTCAAATCCGTAAGATAGACACCTAGAACTTGTGTTAGACACCCAAAAAGGGGGCAATATCTCCAAAGTGAGATAACGGTTCAGTTCATACCGAAGAATGGGATACACGGCGGGTTAGCGAGATGCAGAGTCTCTCGGTATTCACCAAAGTTCTTGGTACTAGCCATGAGTCGACGCATCTGTTCCAGAATTGCGGACGTGCGTCCGCTGACTTGGCCCCACGTTCTACCTAGACGATGAATGGGGGCAGTTCCAAGAGCCGAGATGATGGAGGTTAGGGTGGAGTAATTGTTCAGGTTGCGACATTTCTGTATAACCGAGTCAGCAAAGGCCAAGGTGGAACAATCATGAGGCTACATACATCAGCCACGTTCACGAAGTGTTTGATGACCACGACGCGCTTCTTGACGTCACCTTGGTTGAGAATCATTTCAGCGACCCAGTTGGTAAGCTGATTAGAATGCAGAATCAAGGCCTTGACATTGGGGGATGGTTCCGGCTCATCAGGGCCGACCTTCTTTTGCCATGTCTTGTTCAGACACTCAGTGGCCTTGATCTTTGAGTAGAGGCGCGACTCGATGATGGTCAATTGGCGAGCAAACTCCGTCGGATCGATGTCAAGGAACTTGAGTTTCTTCATGTTCTTAGGAATGATTGGCGTTGGCGCAGGTGTGTTCTGAGTTGGAACAAGGCGCTTGACGGTAGTATCCTGCCCTCGAAGTCGTTGTTCAATCACTGCCAGCAATGTGGGTGTTCCTGGAGTTTTTGTGGTAGCAATAGAGTCGCTAGTGAATGTATGGACACGTCGCAGAAGATCCATGTGGAGTTCATCGTTCGGCTCCATCCAGAAGTGATCAAACCAACTCTTGAGGATATTGACAACACGGAATCGAATTGGCTTCTGCTTCCGATCAATCCACATTTGCATGTCATCTTGGTTCAGGCCAAATGGAGGCTGAATGTTGAACCGCTGAACAAGCATCTCAAACAATTCAGTCGCTGTAGTGAATGAGCGGTAGGTGAGAAGGAAAGTGTTGTTGAAGGAAGCATCAAGCTTATCATGGCGAGTGAGGTGTTCAACCAGTCCGGCGAGTGTACCACACTTAAGGATTGGCGAGTCTCCCTTGTTATCGTAGAAGACCTCGCCTTCATGATCCATGTTCAAGAACCAGGGCGTCTCCTCGGGCTCCCGAACTGGCTCCCGAATCGGCTCTCGAGTGATCGCTGTCGGGGGTGCCTGGCCGAAGAATCGCTGCGCCTTGTCCATATTTCTTCGTACTTTGGTAGTGCCTTCATCCTTTTCAGGAGCATAAGATGACGGGATTCCAATTGACTCCAGGGCAATGCTTGCATGGGAATGATCTCGGCTATGCGAATTCTTATGATCGCTTTCCGCTCCTTGGCGGCTTCCACGTCGAAGAGATGAAGGTGGCGTTGGTTCAGCGGGAATTTGCTCGAGAAGCAGCGACAATGAGAATCCAATCTGGGAAACACAGTTCTCCAACTGCCTGGCGACACCTCGCACGGCATTTACACGATCATCGAGTGAATCACCGCGAAGCTCGGCCCATTCATCAGCCAGAGGAGCAGAGACCGCCTGACAGTTCAGGACAAGATCTCCGATGGCATCATAGACCCTTTGCTTTTGCAAGCTAAAGTCTACTAACTGGGGGTTTTGGAAGCTGGTCCCCAACGGAGCCAGGTTCATTGATTCGACAGTAGAGATCCATGGACGGAATTGTTCAATGACCTTGATAGCAGCGGCTGAAATTGCATCAGCAATGTCCCGATGCTGCTCCTGCGTGACTATCTTCCGGTTGATCACCAACCGTTCTTCTAGCCGACGGATACTACCAACGAACGACCTCCTGAGAATATCGATTGCATCCAGGAAGGCGGCGTCAAGAGGGGCCGAGGGCTCTGCCCGCGAGTCCCCTCCATCCGGAACGAGGAAAGATGTCGGACCCGAGGCGTCCAAAGAGACACCGTTGTTCTGCCAATTACCACCGGCAGAGCTACCGCTGACGAAACCAGGCACCAAGCGATTGATCGCATCTCCGCGTTGTTGCTGAGCCACATCCACGTAGCCATACACGCCCTGCATAACACCCTCGGCCTCCTGCAAACATTTATTGACCGAGTCGGCACCAGGCCAATCAGCGGCGGCAATATGTGATGAGAGAACCAGCTTCGAGAACTTGGACATCATGTCCCGGAAGTGAGGATACAAGGCTTTGTTTGTGGAAATGATCGATGGATTACCGGAGTGGTTGTCCGTCGTGTCAGATCCAGCAGCCAGCAGCATGCGAAGATGGTCGGAAATGTCTTCGGCCTTTCTCACGAACTCCGCGCGCTCACCATGGAACAGCGCCTGGCGATAGGCCTCCACGGCATATTGCATATTATCGACCAGGGTATGCCATGTGACTGGCGGAGCTAAGCCATCATCAACGAAGTGTAGAGGAAAGTTGGAGGAGATGGACGGTCTCGAGAAGCTTTCGGTTACCGATGTGCTGTTACTGTGTCCGCCCAAGCTGTAGGTTGTTTGCGGGCTCTTGCTTGGCGGCGGCGGAGCTTTGAAGTCTTTGACACCTGGCGCATACAAGGAGTCCATGGAGGTGGCAGGGGACACGCCATCCATCAAGGACTGGCGTCGGCGAGAGAGCGAGTCGTGAGATCGAAGCATCAAGGACTCACCCTCCGCCTCCGAGGCAGATCCATCATATTCATCTTCATCACGCTCAAAGCCACGCGCCATCAGCTCCGGGGGTGGCCGCGTCTGGTCGGGCACAAAGAAGTTGTTTCGATCTCGCGGGCCGGGCTCGTTCGTTGTCGTCGGGTTCTCGAAGGGTAATTCCATAGTGGAATAGCCCGTGAGGGTGTTGAAGTAGAACAGACGACCATCAGGGGTCGCCTGAGGAATCCAGAACGCGGCCTCTTCCTGCTCTTTCGGCGCAGGAATGCCCACGATTGGAAGGATCGGTTGCGAGTCCCGATGGTTCCCTTCGGAGTCGACGTCCTCCTCATCGTGTCCATCGCCGTATTCATCTTCGAGTCCAGAGTCCGCGCTGAGATCGGTATCATGGTGCGCGAAGTGGTCGCTGAAATCGTCGGCTTCTGTGATTATGGTACAATAGTTACTTGGAAACCAGCCTCGGACATTGTCCATGACACCATCCCACCATCCTGTTTCCAGCTGATTGAGGACCTGGATAATGTCGCCCCGGCGGAAGCTCAGGCTTGTGTGATCGTCGGCGTCATAATCGTACATGGCCCTCACAAAGAGGGCGGGGGGGTTCAGGGCTGACCGCATATCCAGTGGTGGCCATTTTGACTGGGGAATGGCTGTGGTTGTAATCTCGAGATACACTGGTTCCCCGACCGCGAGAGCGGGATAAGGATGTGGGCGTGGTCGCTTGCTCGTCAGTGTACTCGATAGCGGTCGCAACAGTCCCAGACTTGCCCAGTGCAGTGCTATGAACGGCTGAATCTGCCACGCGAATTTCGAACATGGAGGGTGACAAGACCACGATCCAGAGAGCGTTCTGGAGGGGTCCTGGGGGCGGGGATTGTTCAGCTCAGTATCCGTGGCTCATGGCTGAATTGGATGAGGCGGGGGGAGTGCGGGTGGGGAGTCCCTTTTTTTTCTCCGGTTTCTCGAAAGGATAGGCAGGGCCGGAATTCGCGTCAGGGAAGAATAAGAATAGGAGTGCTAGGCTATCGATGAGAACAAAAAGCTGGGAATCTCTTCGAAGTGGGATTGAATTAGGGGGCACCAGGGCGGGACGGGCGCAGTGATACAACGCGGGTATCAGTACCGAATGTAGCAGGGCTAAAGTGTAAGGATTCGGGGGTGATGGGGGTAATATTACAGCGATATGACAAGACGGAATAAAACGACCAAAACGGACAAATCGGACAAAACGAACAAACATCCACAGCTTTGGCTTTTGATCTTGCCATTTGACTTCAACTTTCCAGATCTCTACGAAGTATAAAACTTCCTACAAGTCCAAAGATCATCCTACCTGACTTCTTATCTTGATACCTGACTACCTCCCTACTTCTTCTTTTTTGACCCAGTATCCCCCACTGTGTGTGTGACGGTTGATCCCTGCTTACCATGCTTACGGTCACATCTCCACGACTTCGAATGGTCCCGAGGTCAGCGACATGCAGTGAGGTGCCGAGCATACATTGTTGTCATAAGCCGATACGGATATACAACTCACAAATAGTATGTCTATATGAAGGGACAAAACTACCTATGAAGGTTCTAGTCCATGACTCGCAAAGTACCGCGGCTATTGATGGCTTAACACATGAAAGAGATGAATCTATCAATCTCAAACTATGTGAGGAATTGCATGGGATCTCCGAGCTGCAGGTTTCCCCGATTTGCATATTATATGCAGACTCTATCTACATGTCTTCAGACGATAGCATTGATCACAAGGATCTCCTAGTATCCACCAGTAAGGGGCGAACTCGAAGTAAAAGCCAAACTACCAGAGGCAAGAGAACTACTACTGTCAGGGAATCGATTCATCTCAATGGACAAGTCTTAGTGCCTCAGATTCAATTCATGGATATAAGTGGTTCCTGTGCTTGAACGATATCCAACCTGACCAGATCCCCAGTGCAGTGTCACAATAACACACGTCCTTTGACCCCTTAATTTGGCAGTGATACGATCCGATACTGCTCCCGGAATCAATTCGGAAATACATCGGAAGAATATTCAGATGCTCTCTGACGAATTACATAGGTAGCTTCAGCAATGTTCTAGAAGGTACATGCTCGTCTTGGAGAGTTGAATATACATACAGTGAACCTACCACTTTAGGTAGCAGCCCCGGAATCCTCGTTGAATGACGCTGGCGCTTCTGCCGGGTACAACCTACACAGTACACGAAAGCCACCTTGGAGTAAAACCAACACACCTGCTGAGGGGCAGTCAAGACTGCGCGCTACGCTCAATGTAAGCATGGCTGGATACATAGCAATTGTTGGTGTCTCACCGTGAGACAACTGTATGGCAGGCCAGGCGCAAGCTCGTTCTGACTCGCAGCTTCCAATCACTTCGACACGAACGCACCATGATACCTCCCACCCGTAGCCAAGCTGTGATTATCCCGCTGGCCAAGGAATCCAATCCTGCCGGGTAATTGCCGTGCCCGGCCCTGAATGGGGCGTTTTGACTGCACATGGTAGGACAAATTGCGGCCAGTCTGAGGGAGTATCGTGGCCTAGGCGGCTAGGCCCACACAATCCTCCAGCTTCAACTATTTATGGTACATGATATGTATGAACTTCCCCGCTATTGGTTGCTGCTGTGAATGGAGGGGCCTAATTGCGGAATGGATCCTGGACCTTGTGGTATATGCAAGACCGTTGGTGATCACCCACGATGTACAACAACATTATACGGAGCACATTGCTGTATAGGTAGGTGTACTCCGCAGTATTGAAGGATACGAACGGCCCCAAGGCTTGGTAGCTTATCCACCTAGCAACGTACGGTTTTTTACTCCCGAAGATACTATCGGGCACTGAGTGAAGTATGTGTGCTCTTACAGTAGACGACACGCTTCGTCCACTTCGCGGAATCCCGGCTGCGCTTCTCCCCATGTTCCCTAGCGAACTTCAGTTTGAGAAATTACCTTGCTCGGCATATTTGAAACAAACGTGAATTCAATGCATTATCGTACAGACAGGAAATTTACATTGCAAGCCACAAGAGGTTGCCTCGGTCCGGTCGAGCCGAGACAGTCAATACGGCCCTGAACTATTCCCGGGTCGCGACAGCCTTCAAGAATGATTCTCGACTGACCACCAACAGCTTAACAGCCAGCCTGTAATGCTGGTATAGCCGTTTCAGTTTGCATAGACTTCACTCCTCCTCGTTTCTCATTTCGGTGCTCTCCGCCTGTGAATGAACGTGCATTTCCGGGTAAATCGGAACTTCAATTCAGGAACCCGTTTGCGATTGAGTTTAGACTATTTGTCTATCATCAGGGCCTCGACTTGCGTAGAACGGGATCCTTCCTGGTTTGTTTTGATCGTCCTTGTGACGAAATCGCGATAGAGAAGGGTAGGTTGAGATGGCGTAGAGATGCAGAAGCCCGTGTATTACGCAGTATGTAGGTTGTAGATAGGTAGGCAGCAAATGAATATATCTTCGGGCTGAGGGCCAGGTAGGTACGCGTACCTCATACCTACCTATATCTCTCACTAACGTCCGGCTGCCGCCGGACGTTAAAAATCGCATCATCATCACCTACAGTATGTTTCGCCTCGTTCACGAGCCACATTCAAGCTGAAGCAGCTCTATTCTACCCACATGGATCCCAACAAGAGCAAGTTCTTACCCTGTACGGAGTAGACAGCCCCATATCAAGTTTTAGGAACCTCCTACAGTACGCAATTGGCTTGCGCTATCAAGCTGATCATTCGACTGCGATGAGCAACCGGTACCTACACTGGAGTACTTCAACAAGTCACAGAGTAGAAACCTACAAACAGAGCGAACGAAGCATACCGGACTGAAACCAACAGCTTCAACAGCAAGAGCAAATCACGATGCTCTCAATTGCACCCACTTCCGAACACATCGCACGTTGTATCCCAAAGAGCACCAATCCCCAAACAATCCCAAAATCAAGAAAAAAGCCAATCCGCTCGTCCCTTGTTCCTTGCAGCCGGATATTACAGGATCTTCATCACCACAAACGACATCATCCCAAACCAACAAGCCATCAACCAACCGGAACCAACACTCACGAGCCGAGACCCGATCCTGCCGCTCGGTGCAGGGCGTCTTCCAATAACCTCTCGCGCTCGTGCACGCATCCATTTCCTTGTTTACATGTACCCAGAGCCCCGGGACACGCGAAGATCGCGGGCTACCCCTTTTTGATCAATATTTTTCCATTATCCTTCCTTTTCAGTTCCATTTCCATTTCCACCTCGGTTTCAACGCGCCCTCCCTTCCCCACTTATTACTCTTCCCGCCTCACTTTGCAACATAGTCTAACGCGCTATGGAAGTCAGTTCGAGAGGACGTTGGATCATACCCTGTTTTTGGGTAACCCTCGCAGGTTCTCCGGTTGCTTTGTTCTCCGTTCTCCATCTAGTGCCGTGTCCCACTCCTTCGAGAAAATTCCGCGGATGTGTCTCCGCGCGGGGGGAGGAGGGGAGCTTTCTCCGTGGATGTGGCGTACGATATTGGTAAGAGATCAGCGACATCTACCAGTCACAGTCACAATTAAGCCAGATTTATGTTGTTGCCAATGTGATTAATCCCAGCCCTTTCTGTCTGGTATATCCCCTGCATCGGAGGAATTGTCCAATGATCCGGCCCCAATCGCCAAACGAGACAGGGGTAGATGAGACGCATGCGCTATATACACAGCAGATGCTACACATGCGACAAGACACCGACTGGTCTGCAATCTGTCGTGCAGACAGATTGCAGGATATAAATGTGACCTGTCGGTCTGATATGAGGACGTTTGGGACGAACCAAGATCTGGACGGGAGTGAACCATGGACCGGGTCTGCTTCCCCGGATGTTCTCCCCTTCCGTCATGATCCAGGGGTTTGGGCCGATCGCATCTACGATCCAGTATGTTGCCGTGGTTCAAACGAATCGATGGAGCCATCTATTCTCAACTTGTACCTACTGTAGCTGTAAATAAAATATAACTATTATTATCATTTGCTTTTGGACTCACGATATACGTAGACAGAGGGTAAAGGTGGGTTGCGTCTTCCCCCCCATCTACATCCCACTGTTCAATGTCCACGGGCATGCTACGGGAGATGCTACCAAAAATCTCTAATTACCCAGTGTCTCTGGTTATGGTCTCAGTATGCGGGCGCCCGTGTCTAGACTCGTGCTCGTCGGGACGGCCGGTGCGAACGGCAACGCAGAATTCGGAATTAGGCTTCCTGGACCAAGTAGGCAGGCGGATTTGCTATTGTGCGATAATACTGGAATCCACAGATCCGCTGTTTGGTAAGGAACTTTACAACGTATGATGCACACAGCACATCATACCGGCACGCGTTGGGTGGAGAGCGACTCCATCGAAGACCTCTTTGTCTCGATTTGCCAACGCGTCGGGAGCCTTGGAAGACCCATTCTTTAGCGAAAGTATATCGGTAATAGCGCGCACAATGAGCAACCTCGGTTTCAGGCGGGATTCAAGTCTCGAATTTACGTGATCGAGGTTGCTCACACCGTCAGGTTGGTTAAAGTCGTGGACACAGTGGGGGTACACTTGTTTAGTTAGTGGCATCTTGCTACGGAGTCCGGAGTCCTTAGGCCGGAGGTTGCAGAAGCGGTGAGGATCAGATACTATATTGACACTGTTAAGGCTTCACCGACATCTTTGGCTTCGAGAGGGCAAGCTTGGGCAGGACTGAGTTGAGAGATTCCAGACCGTTAGGACCTTTGGTTATGGAGTTGTCGGGACGATGGGCTCCAGCCAAGCCCGGCTGTCGGTGTCCACTAGCTCAGGGGCCGGCGCCGGGGAAGAGGTGCCTGAAATTCTTGCCAACGGCAGCGGGCTTGCTGTGGTGGAGCAGAGCTCAAGGGAAAGAAAAATGATGAAAAAAATATGATTCGTACCTGGTCCGATCGGATCCTCTGTGCAGATCCATTATTGGGCGGGTTTCGATGAATATGGTTCTTTTGTTCAGTGTGCTTTTGACCGCTTGGAGGGGCATGGAATGAATAACATATCCCGGATTTGCGGTCCAAGGGATTGGGAATGGTAGATCGTCTAGTGGATTACCTTTCGAGGCAAGGAATCATCTACAATGTCAACACGTCTCGGCGGTCAAGTCACCGCTTCATGCGATATCACAATCATGGCCCTTCTGTTTTGTTCGGTCGAGACCGTGGGACTGGGTCGGTCCGCTGCATCGGGAAGTGGACCGAAATGTCGAAGGATGTCGACTGGTTAGTTTCGCGTTGAGGACCACTTGAGGAAGCTCCTTCTGAAAAGCGCGTAGGTACTCCGTACAGCGTCAGCCACCCGGCTTCACCGCTGGGGCTGGAAGCTAGTCGATAGTCTAGATCCACCAGGACGAAGTTTTGCTCAGGCTTCGATGATCAGCCGGGGCTCCGGGAGAGTAATTAGGGATCTGGCTTCCGCGAAACAAGGGGGTGCTCAGGCACAAAGCGTATATCGATGTACTGTGTATGTACGGAGTAGGGACTTCGATATGACTGCAGTTTGCCAACCTGGAAGGTTGCTGATAGTTATTACGTTCGATTCACGGTTGGGCAATTCCGTGCCGTGTTCCACGCGAGACGCGTTTCCCAAGTAACCGCGTCGAGTGCTCCGCAGGATCCTCGAGCTCCAATAATGATGTAAGAGTTGGCTGTGCCCCACTGATATGTCCCGGAAACTCGCGATACCCATTTTACAGCTCGGTGATAGGTAACGGTGTATCTGACAGCTTTGCGGTGTGTAGAATCTGCAACTTCGTAGTGTGGATCCGAGATCGCGTGGAAGACTGTTCTTTTTCTTTCGTGGGGGTGTAGAGCTAATTGTATGTAGTTGTAGCGCAGAGGAGCTTTGTGTTGGCCATGCATCAACTAAACTGGAATTACGTTGTCGACGATACTATCCCATCCAAAGCTCCATTTGCATTCTGGTCTTCATGTAGATCCTTTCTTCATGCAGTTCAGCAGGTGATGTCTGGAGGACAACAAGAATACAGTAGGGTACTTCTGCATGATGTGTTCATGGCACGATAGAATGCATATCACATACATCGTAATCTTAGACGTGGCACAGTCAAACAGAAGAACAGCCACAAGGCGGGGGAACCAAAACTATCATAGGTCCAAATGTCGCAAAGCGAGGATAAATCTGGACCAGTCAATATGTGAGGCGACAAAAGTACCTTGTGGGATGATCCGTCAGGAGACGGGGAAGATGTCTAAACGGCAAACACAAGTCGAATTCCCTGATTTGAAGCCAGCTGGATCAATCTACCCACATCGATGCGACTATCCCAGTAGTGTGGAGATACATCGAAGTATACGGTGGTTGGCACTTCCATTCTTAAGGCTCGGCATTTGTCTGGCTCACATTCAAGGAATCAAGATCGAATGTAAAATAGAGGATAGGTATCCCTGTCTCATTCCCGGAGTTGTGTGACAATGAATTATGAGTTTCTACATCGAATGCAGCTGTAGATGTAGATGTAGTTGTAGATGTAGATGTAGAGATGTCGATGTACGGAGATCTGAGGAGGGGTCGAGAGGGGTAGATGGAAGTGAACCATGGTTGAGATGTATCGTCGAAGTTTGGTTACGATGACATTTTATGCAACCTTAGATCTTAGATGTGTACCAAGTTCAACCTCACTATCACCAAGTTATGTACTTTCTTTTTCTTGAGAAACTACAGTTGAATATGAGACTGATACAAACTCACCCCCCTGTAGGGGGGGCAAACCTCAGACGAGATAATAAGGGGCTTTATCACTGTAGCCTCTCTAAGTGTGCCACGATCGAAATCTCTCACATGCCACACCCCAAATTCAACTCGATAAACAAAGGACCCCTCCGTAATCCAGACCCATAATCTGAGCCCTGAGCGAGGGGCACGATTTTCCAATAGCCCAGAATCCACATACGTAAATCATTCGGCCCACCCTCGCAGGATGAGTTTTCCATTGTAGTAAGACATGATCAAGATCGGCCCTGTATGTTGTAGTCTAATTATCTTATGCACGACGCAATAATAAAATGATCCAAAGGGGGAGGGGACGGGTTGAAAGTAAACTAAACCATGTGGGCTGGGTCAAATCTCTAGGGCTTGTCATTTTTTTTAATTTTTTTTGGAAATAATTACGACGTGTCGATTTCGTACGGTAAAGAAAGGGAAAGGGGACAAGAAGAGAAGGACCAGTGAGAAAGTGAGTGGTAAAAGGAAAAGTGCGTGGCCGGAGAGGGGGCTGGGTAACCGATTCCCCTCTTTGTTGGTCTATGCTGGTCTTGTCCTAAGTAATTGGGTCCCGCTTTCGCCCCTCTGTTGGTCTTTGCTTCACGCGTCAGTAAGCGATCGGCTTAAACCCACGGCCCTCTCTCCCCCTCCCTTCATCCCCCTCCTCCTCTCCCTCCCCCCCCCCCAAAAAAACCAAAACCCGATTTCGAATTCCCTTCCCCTTCTTATTCTCCTCATCCTCCTTCCCCTCTCTTCTTCCCCTCCCCTTCCCATCTAATCGCGGTTGATCATCCCGCCCTTCTTTTTTTCACAACACAGCGTTTGTTCCTCATTTAATATTCCTACTTCGTGGCTGGACACCACTACTACTCCCCCAATACCTTTGAACCTTTTCCCCCGCTCGAGGAATGATCAGACATCCCAACGAACTTCTGTCGTCGACACGCCTACAGAACCGGTGCGAACTTACCCAGGGGTCAATACCACCGCTTTCACTCTTTCTTCTCTAAAGAGAAAACGCACACATGGCTCCTTCCGCACCTGGGGCGGCCAACTCGCCGGCTAAGAAGACATCAGCCCCCGAAAAGAAATATAAATGCCAATTCTGCAATCGCGCATTCAGCAGAAGTGAACACCGCAGCCGTCATGAACGGTCCCGTAAGCTTGAGATATTCAGATTCACGCGTTGTACCCCTCTTAACTGATTCGAAAATATAGACACCAAAGAGAGACCCTTCAAGTGCTTAAAATGTCGCAGTACCTTTGTCCGTCGCGATCTACTTCTGCGTCATGACCGAACGGTCCACGCCAAGGACGGCGGAATTCCCCTGGTCGCAGAGGGGCGCAGGCGTGGTGGTGGGGTTCAGAAAAACTCATCTGCCCCAGCGAAGCCGTCGGTCACTGTTGACCCGACGACGCTGGAGCAGATCGAGGCAAGCAGCGATGGTATGGTCGACCTTGAAACTGCAGCCATGTTGATGACAGATTTCCAACATAAGGCTGCAGCAGCGGCGAACGGCCAAGTCTCCGAGCGTTCCGAATCGCTTTCGCCAGGACGCGGCTCCTTCGAACCGTACCTTTCGGGCAACGCAACTCTGCCGCAAATGCCTTGGGACACGCTCATCTCCCCCGCGGAACCCGGCTCGATGCCTACCCTCGTCGATCGCCATGGTCCCGTTGGAGACGTTCTCCTATCCAACTCGCTGCCGCTCTCTGGGCATTCCACCCCGAATGCCTTGTCACCGTATCCCTCAATGACCGGCCCTGTCAGCCCGGTTAACTACCGCCGCTCACCCGGGCCGAGTCAGGCACTGACACTCCCCAAGGCTCCTCAGGTTGCTAATGAAATGGAGCGCAACTACATTGTAGAGCGTGTTCAGGGATCCGACACGCTGGGTGCTCTTCCGGATACCTTCCAGCTTCCATCTACGATCGCGCTGAACCAGTATCTGTCCACCTACTTTAATCTGTACCATCCTCACTTGCCATTCCTTCACCAGGAATCATTCAAGCCTTCTCAAGTGCCTGCACCCTTGTTGCTCGCAGTACTATCAATTGGTGCACTCTACACCTTTGAGCGCGAACACGCCTTCATGCTTCATGTCGGCTCCAAGGTCCTTGTCAACCAGTTCCTGCAGCACAAGGACAACTTCGATTCCCGCAAGTGTCCCTTATCACTGATGCAGGCTACTCTACTGAACATGGTGTTTGAGAGCTGGAGTGGTGACCCGAAGGGTCTGGAATGGACCTGCTCGATCAAGAGTCTGCTGGCCAACATGGTCGCGGGTAACCGTTACCAACTGAAGGTGCGGACACAGGCTCGCGAGAATGCGCAGCCCTCGCGCGAGGAGTGGATTGAGGATGAATCATGTCGTCGTACATATTTTGCTGTGTACATCTTCTTTGGAATGTTGACGCTTACATTCAACCACACTCCTGCCATGAGTTTCGATGAGTTTGACGACTTGGAGCTTCCATCCTCGGAGTCACTCTGGAATCTCGACGCCACTGATGATGAGACTTGGCGCCGCAGCATGATGTCTAGCGCGCTGACTGTGCGCGAGGCCCATGACTTCCTCTTCCAGGGCGAGCAGACCCGCTACAGTGCTTTCGCCACTCGCGTGCTGATCAACGCCCTGTTCCTCCAGGTCTGGAGCCACAAGCGCAGCTTTGAGGCGCTCCAAGATGTGGTAACGGAGTATAAGCTGCGTCTAGCCCTCGAGACCTGGGAGAACTCACTTGAGGTTTGCGAGCCGGAGACCATCGTGGTGCCGCTCAGCACTCCCCAGAAAGGCCACCCCTTGATCTTCAATTCGATGGCGGTCTACCGCAACACCCGCGCTCGCCTGGAAGTTGACCTGAAGTCCATCCAGGAGGCGATGCGGTACCACTCCTCATATGAGGTTGCGGCTGCTATGACCGTCGCTCGTGAGAAGGTCAAGCGCTCCCAGGAGATGAACAAGGTCATTCAACAATGCTTTGAGTGCATTGAGATTGCTGCTATTCAGGGCATCAATTGGGTCGCCAAGACCTCCGCTACCAACTGGAGTGTCGAGCACCCTCTCTGCGGCCTGGATCTGATGGTCATCCTGAGCCTCTGGCTCTACCGCCTGGAACATGACGATGAGCCGGCGACTGAGGCCGAACTGGCCCTCTACAATAAGGTCCGCAATTTGTTTGACGATGATGCTATCGACGCCTTCGGCAAACTCAGCTCTACCGTGGCCCGTGTATGGGGTAATATCCTAGACGGCGTGGTTGTTTGGGGGTGAGTTTTCTCTTGTCTCTGCTGTTAATTGTGGTATCATCTTACTGACTGGCTTCTAGAATTACCAAGTTGATGGGCGAATCGTTCAAACTCCACTCCCAGGCTCTGGTCGGCTACGAAGATTCTCTTCGTGTTGGCAAGGATCAGCCGATTCATGCGGTGCCCACCAAGTCGCTTGCTAGCGTCGGCACTGCATACTAAATTTTCTTTTTCGTCACTTTTTCTTGTTGATCTGCTTTTGCCTGCTTTGAATTTTCTTCGGGATCTTACTCTCCTTTGTTGGACGCTTTTCTTTTGGGACACTTTGGAATCAAGGCTGGACACGCCAGTGGGCAGGCGGGGGGTTTGGGCTTTTCAGCAATACTTCGCCTTTTGATATCCCTCTCGGTGGTTCTCGGTCTTCTGCTTTTTTTTTTCTCGCTTCTTTTGCATCTTCCCCTGCCTTTACACCAGGGAGTCCAGTGTGGTGTTTCTGCTTTCCATCTTCGACACTTGGCTGGTCCTGTGTGTTCTTTCGCACTCCGTGGAGTTTGACTTGTCTCATGGTTCATCTTAACCCCTAATCGTGCCCCTCGTCCATCTGCTTTTTCTGCTCTCGATACCTTTTGACATTGCGTTCTTGATTTATTTTTCATATTTTTTTCATGTCTTGCCATTTTTCTTGCTCAGGCTGATTTCTAGCCGCTGTATTTGACGTTATTGCATGTCCTTACCCCGTCTTTTGCTTTATGCTTTTTAACGCTCAGCATTGTTTTTCAATTTTCTTCTCATTTGTTCATCTGCACATGCTTTGATGCCATTTCCATGTACTATACGTTATCAATGAATTTATCTGGCGGGGATAACTTGCACTGTAGCTTGTAGACCAATAGTTATGTAGTTTCGATATGACAAGCTCCAAGTCATCTGCAGCTGTAGTTGATAGCTACATTGTATTCAAATCCAACACATACTGGAATCTACTTGCCAACAGCAACAAACAATCGATCCCCAATATCTCCAACACCAGGCACAATCATCCCCTTCTCATCAACTCCCTTATCAACACCCCCAACCCAAACCTCAACCTCACTCCAAGTCCCCGCAGCCCTCTTAACACCCTCCTCGGAAGCAAGAAGACTAAGCATAATAACCTTCTTCACACCCCAATCGCGCAGCAACTGGATAGCCGCCTCGGCGGTTGCACCAGTCGCGATAACGGGGTCTAGGAGGACCGCTAGGCTAGCGGCTGCCGTGTTGGTTGTTGGGGCTAGGGAGGTGGGGATGGAGGGGGAGAGCTCGGAGCGGTGGAAGGGGAGGTTGTTGTAGTATTCTACGGGTTGGAGGGAAACTTTTTCGCGGAAGAGGCCTAGGTGGTAGACTGGGACTGGGGTTGGGAGGAGGTCGTTTAAGGCTGTTCCATGGTGTGAGCGGGGTCCCGTGGTTTTGGGTTAGAGTGGGGTAGGGGGAGATCGGGGTGGGGTTGAGTGAATTTGGATATGGATTTGGACTTGGGATTGGGACTTGGACTGGACTGGGGCTTTTGTGTAGAGGTGTAGTTGGGCTTAGGCTTGGGCATGGAATGAATGAAATGGAATGGGTAATAACACGAATGAATGGATAATAGTAGTGTAGTGCAATACGGTTGTAGTTTTCTGGCTAGTTGAGATACATTGAGAAATCAGTCACTTACCATCAACCATTCCTAAGCCGGAACGTAGAATTGGCACGAGGGCTAGATCTGCTGGGTCGATGCCTTGGGTTTCGTATTCAATTCCCAGCGGGGTGGTGTCCTGGAGGAAGAATCAGTCTGCTGGGATCATGGTTTCGGGCTGTCTACATATAAGTATACGTGTAAGAAGGGTAGAACATACTGTTCCTGTTTTGACCAGCTTTAGCCCTGCAAAGGCTTCCACGCCTAGAATGTTGGCGATGTCATTGACCAAGCCTCTTGTCTCGCGCGGGGTGGTGGAGGAGGAGCGGACGAGAGAGAGCTTGGCTTGGAGACAGGGATGGGTGGAGACGTGGACATTAGGTGGGAGAGACATGATGGATGAGGGAAAAAGTGAAGGAGATCTCAGAGAGAGAGAGAGAGAAGAAGAAGAAGAAGAGAAAGAGAGAGTCTGTTATCTTCCCCCTCTTATACAAACAGTCTCCAACCTTATCGGACTCCACATGATCCCCCCCCCCCCCAATTCTTGGCGTTCCTCATCCCAACTTTCTCCCTATCAAAGGCGGGTTGGTCAAAAAATGTCACCCACCGGGGCCACTGCCAGTCTACAGTCCAACTTGAACACATCTTCAGAACCACCAGACTCCTTACACTCATCATGGCCGATCCCGACTCATCCCCCAGCATCTGCACCTGCACCGCCCGCATCAGCTGCGCCCCTTCCTAAATACACCCACTTCTACACCGTCTCCCACCTAATCTTCTTCTCCTTCCTGGGCACACTGGCCCGCCTAGGCCTGCAGGCATTGACATTCTACTCGGGCGCACCTGTTGTAACAGGTGTCCTCTGGGCAAATGTCGCCGGTAGCCTGGTGATGGGGTTCCTCGCGGAAGACAAGAAGCTATTTCGCGAGGAATGGGGTACAAAACCAAGTAAAGAAGCAACAGTCGAAACCAGCGACAGAAGCAGAACCCACAAAGCCGTTAAGAAAACCATCCCATTGTACATCGGGCTGACGACTGGTTTTTGCGGCTGCACCACCTCCTTCTCCTCGTTTATCCGCGACGTTTTTCTCGCATTGGCAAATGCTCTACCCGACCCGTCGCTACCGGAAGCCACACACATCGCACCCCGTAATGGTGGATTCAGCTTTATGGCGCTGTTAGCCGTCATCCTGCTCACGGTTTCGCTGGGCCTGTCAGCGCTGGTTTTCGGCGCTCATCTGGCGCTGGCGTTGACTCGGTTCACGCCAACCGTGCCCTTTGCGTTCACGCGACGCGTACTAGACCCTCTCGTGGTCGTGTTGGCCTGGGGCTGCTGGCTCGGTGCTATTTTCCTGGCTATCTGGCCGCCGGATCGACACAGGGGTCCGGATGTGTGGCGCGGTCGGGCGGTCTTTGCTCTTGTCTTTGCGCCGGTTGGGTGTCTTTTTCGATTTTATGTTTCGTTGCATCTCAATGGCCGGATTCCTTCGTTTCCACTCGGCACGTTTGTGGCCAATATCTTTGGCACTGTTGTCTTGGGTATGTGCTATGACCTGCAGCATGTTCGCGGGCTTGGGGCGGTTCCTGCTGCTCTGACAGGGTGCCAGGTGTTGCAGGGCGTTATGGATGGGTTCTGTGGGAGTGCGACTACTGTTAGCACTTGGGTTGCTGAGTTGTATGGGTTCGCTCGTCGACGCCATGCGTATCTATATGGTGTTGTCAGCGTGGTTGTTGCTCTGGGGTTTTTGGTTATTATCATGGGCTCTTTGCTTTGGACGAGGGGATTTGCTGAGCCTGTGTGTATATGATAAGGTGATATGTATGATAATGTAAATAGACTGATTATAACCTTACGGCCGATGAATATCAAACATCCGATATACCTACCCCCATCCCAAACAAACACAACCCTAAACTTACTCCCTCGTAGGCGCAGGCCCAATCTCAACAGGCGTACTAATCCCCCCACCAAACCTCCTCGCCGGACTCGCAGACCTCAACTCCTTAATCCTAGCAGGACTCTGTCCCCTCTCCGAAGACCCCAACGCCACTCCAACAATAGACCCAGGAATCCCCCTCCGCCCATCCCCGACAGGACTAACAGCCCTCGACGCAACAGGAGCTGCAAAAGAAACCAACCCAGGACTAAAAGGACTCAAAGACCTACTAGACCCTGGTCCCTGATTCAAACCCGGGTTCAAACCCAGAGGACTTCCGACCCTGGTCATGCTATCGCTCGCCCTCTCGTTAGCGTACACGCCTTTCCCATTCCCGTACATCTCCATCCCGTGCACGGGTAGTTCTGCGCGGTTGTGTGGCGTGAAGCGTCCGAGCATTTTCTCATGGAGACTGGGTTTGCTGTCTGATGCTGTGCCGGATCTTGGGAGGTTGTCTTTGGTTGCGATGGGTGTTTTGTTATGAAAGGCTTTGCGGCGGGTTAGGTCTTGGGTGTGGAGACGGGTTTGGAAGACTGGGTTTAGGGTCAGATTGGTTCTTATATCTATCTTGTATATGGGGATTTGGGCTGTTGATGGCGGGATGTTGGGGAGGGAGGAATGGAGGATTCACGGACCACGCCAGAGAGTAATGTATACGCCCATTACTACTATGCAGAGAGCGGGGAGGCCGAGTATTAGGCCAAGCTCGTGGCTGAGGGAGGGCATTGGAGTGTAGGGGGGGTATTCGTTTGGCATGGTGAGGGTTGTATATTGCGTAGTAGTATACTGCATAGGGTTTGGAGAGACGAACTGGAATAGAAAAAGAGAAGCCAGGTTGATCAGTCCAGTACACTCATTGCTAGAATAATGAACCGATTTTCAGGAGAAAGACTCACATATCGAGGAACAAAGAAAAGAAACACCCCATGTCCATTCGAGTCCGAGTCCACCAGAAAGCTGCAACTAGTCTGGACTAAATCACCAACAAAGAACAGCCAAACAAGAAAGAAAGAGGAAGAATAGTCACCTCGTATTCACCATATCTATATACACCAATTAAGTAAATCCATCCCATATAAACAGACAATAAGTATCAGCAGGAACAAAAAGGTATCATGTACAACATGCAACTCTATATACCCAACAAACCCAAGTACACATCGCACATGTACCCAGCAAGTCAAGGAATGCAATAACAGAACAAAAAGGGGATATTCCAAAGAAACAACCCCCAGCCAAAGCACAAGGCCCTGGATGCAAACAGAAAGTAACGAGTAAAGGCCAAAAAAGCGCTGCAAAAGACCGTAAGAAAAGAAACAAAAGCATATGTCTCGCAGATTAAGGAATATAAACAATATTCGAGCAACGGCGTTTCACGTGTCGTGTCGGAGAGAAGAAAGCTAGGTGCGGCGTCGAAGTCGAAGTCGGAATTATAGATCAGAGGATATGCGTTGAAAAGGACGAAAGAAAGCACCAAGCTAACCGCTCAGCCAAGCATCGCAGCTGTCAACGCAGTAAAGGTCAACCCAATAGCCATGCCAATCCACGGCGTCTGGCCCAAGGATCCCTCACTGCGCACCTGCAGCACATGTCTAGCGGCCAACATGCGCACCTCGTCTTCGGGTAGATCGAGATCGCGCGCGGAGGCGACGAATTGATCCCGAGGAGCGAGGTCTCGTATTGAGACGGGTGGGGAGTTGTGCGAGAGGCTGGCGGGAGCGGCGGGTTGATTTGACTCGGCGAGGACGGCGGCTGGGGCGAGGAAGAAGAGGAAGGTGGTCGGTTTCATGGTGAGGGAAGTATATAGGTATAGATTCCAGAAGGTTTGCTTTGCGGTTGCTGCCTATGGACACAAGCAATGCCAAGCTGTTTGGTGCGGGTTTTGGTGGGGATTGGAGTTGGCGAGGCAACAGTGGTGTCGATGCAGGTTGTAGAGATGTTTTATGTTGGTTGTACAAGATTTGAACGAATGTCGGTGCTGGATTCAGGAGGTTATGAGGGGCTTAGAACATGCCACTTAGGCTGGATTGTTGTGTTCTGTCGGGAAACCGGGAATAGGGGGTCGAAAGCTGGAGAGGTAAAGTCCGGGGTTTGCTTTCGTCTTTTTTTTCAGTTTTTCTTCTCTCTGCGTTTGTCTCCAGCTCACTCTTTGTCGTAGAGGAGGATTGTAAGAAGGGAAAAACTTGACAAGATTGAAGACCCGAAGAAAAAGACCCAGGGGGAAGAGAAAAAAAGGAAATTAAGGGAAGATTAAGTTGAAGCAAGTCAGGGCGAGGGCTTGATTGGTTGAGCCGCACTTTGGCTCGGAGTCCCTGACCCATGGGGGAGTCATTGGGTTCCACGGGCGTTGATTGGTTGTTGAGCTTCCCGTGTTTGAGGCTATCGAATGTTTATTTATCCTCTTGCCCCTAAGGTTTGTTCTAAGGGTTAAGCTCTTTGTGTATCCACGCTAGTTTCTTGGTTAATCTTAATTTTCAAGTGTGCATCGAGGTACTCCGTAGTAGTAATACGATACATCACCGTACTAGGTGCAAGGTAGATTCGCATTCCATTCAAATCGCTTCTAATTATAGTTCCAAGACATTTCACCGAGGCTTAACGGGTAACGCCACAAATGATCGTCACCGCAGAGGGCGGATTCGAGCGAATAAACGATCGGGATTCGGACAGGGCGCAAGGAAGATGACGACGCTCATGTGTGCGTAGAACCAACGCCAAGACATCCAGACCCTATTGCCCTGGGCATCGTAAATAGGCCAATTCAAGGAACAATCTTTGATTTTCCAAGAGTGGGTAGGATCGAGGACGCGGTGTATTGCAAGTATTAGCCAGCCAGTAGTCAATTCGCTGCGATGTCCACTTGCGCAAGCATGCTCTTTTCTCGCGCTCCTCTGTGCTAGGCCCTTTGTCTTCCAAGCGGGCTGAAGCAAGTCCCAATCAAAAAGGCACGTCCCCAGACACAGAGGCGCCGGGTCACTTTGATGCTCGCTTGATGGTCAAGCCGTCGGATTTCCAGTGGGCATATCTGCTAGTGTAGAATTTCCCTGCGTAGGAACCGAAGAGCGCGACTTTTCAGATGATCTGGCCTCAAGATTCTTCAACCTGACTTCCTCCCGCGCTCTGCGAACCGTGAGGCGTATCTCACTAGGGAGGACACCAGTCTCACGCAGACAATCCGCGCAGGCACGACAGTAAAATCCAGCCTCTGGATTTTTTGTCTCAACGAGTCGACGCTTGCTACTGGGGAGAGTCATATCTCCACAGTGACGGCAAGGGCTTTCCAAAGATCTAGGGCCGGATCTCGAGCGCTTCGCTCGGAGCTTCCTAAGTGCTGCAATTCGCACCGAGCTCGGCAAGGCATCCGTTTCAAGTAGGCTCCGCGAACACGGCTGGCAGTAGTATCCAGCGGCCGGATTGCGAGGCTCGACAAGTTTCCGCTTACTTTTTGAGGTGGTCATGTCGCCGCAGTGAATGCAGGGGCGTGCATCGCGGCTTTGCTTCTGTGAGGTAGGACCGGGAGGTGGAGAGGACTCGGATGGTCCGGGGGTCTCTCGGTCTTCCCGCAAGATGTCTGGTGCTTCGTTTCCTGAGTCGCCGGTAGGAGGTTTCCTACTCCAAACCGCACTCCGATATCTATATGCTGCAAGATCTGTCTCGGTTGGGAGGTTGCCGTGGATACTCTTGTGTCGAACGCAGGTCCGACAATGAAACCCAGCGGAGGGGTCATCCGGATTGGCAAATTTACGGCTGGTTCTGGGAGCAGTCATCCTGCCGCAGTGTCGGCACGGACTTGTTTTGCTAGCCTCTCCGCTCTGTAGCATCAGTCTGCGCCGACTCATTGCTACCAGCTGCTCCTCGTTCGGTAGATGACCACGAAGACGGACGCTCCGAGTGCAGGCCTTGCAATGCCAGCCGCTGGAGGGATTGCTGCGGTCGATGAGTGTTCGGGCCTTGGGAATGGCCTTTCCGCCGCAATGCGCGCAATGTTCTAGGCTGTTGGTCGCTGAAGTCCCATGGCGACATTTCTGAGTCCATGGTGTCTTATCATGGCTCGGAAAGGCGTGTGTAGGTCTTAATAGATCACTGAGAAATCTCCCGAGCGAAAAGGAAGCTCGGTGAGTATGATGCGGAGGTGTCGCGGATCCGTGATGTGTGCGACGGTTGTTACATGGCTGAGGAAAGCGCCTCAGTTGCGACGATATAACATATCTCGTGGGCGGTACGTTGCGTAATAGATGTGTATAGGGTAGGCATTGAGATCCGAGGGGACGCAGCGACATCGCAAAGTCCACGTTCCGCTTGAGACGCGTGGTTTGGTTTATGCGGACATTGTATTGAGAGGCGGGGACTGAATTGGGCCTACTCGAAGATCGAGTGTCCACCGCAGCAGAGGTAAGTGCGCAAGGATATAATTGCGTCTGGGCGTTCGAAAGTTGACGCGCGCGAATCAACTTGGTAGCTGTCCAGGGCAGATGGCACCGAAGCCTTGGCGCGTGTGTCGCCTGAGGCTTCATTCGGGATAATTTTGTTGCGGGTCAGCCCAGCCCGGCCCCGGTCCCGAACCCAATTCCGGAGGTCTTCTCGACCAAAGCTTGCGTCTTTTCCTACTGTGTATTGAGTCCATTAGACGGCTATTTCATCCACAATACCCCGTAGTTGTAACTACATTAAGTTAAGTTGTGATAATGTGATTGTAGAAGATTGGAGTCTAGATTCTTCTGGACATCATTATGGGTATGAATTGTACGTATTCATTTGCGTTCTTTCCGTCATGAAACGTGCTCTGGATAGAGCTCACAGAATTACATCCCAGTTCGGCGTGACTGTGAACTTTCCAGACAATTGGCCCATTGACCAAACCTGGCCGGCCTCTTCATCAACCTTGCCGGGCACTTGCGGTGTTGGCTTCGACATGATGACCGCTTCCTGCACGAAGCCTACTGGGGCTCCGCGGTCCAACTCCATGCTAATACCACCCCAGTCTAGGGTCACGCGACCGGACTGGTGTACATTAAGCTTTCCGACACGGCCAGTGGGAAGCGTCCAGGGTTTGCCGGCCGTGAGAATATCGGAGTCTTCTGATACAGTGGGCTCGTTGTCATCCACAATCTCCACGTCGTCCGCTGCTTCACGCTTGATTTCATCTCGAGGAGCTGCTGCTGCGGGTTGATTGTTGGTGACTTGAGCAGACCCGGCAAGTCTGAGGCGGGGGGTCATTGGGGGGAATTGCATGAGGAACATTTGGCCATGTAAAGGATTCTCTTCTTCTTCATCCTTGCTCTCTTCACCCTGTCCTTCTGCTGCGGCAGTATCACCATCTGGAACCACGCTAGTAGTTTCACCTTCTGTGATGGTGTTCTTTGGCTCCTTGGCCTTTCGCTCCTTAGGAACAAGAAGATCCCTGATAATAGCCAAATCCTCCGTGTGTCGGTCGTATTCGTCGATTTCCTCCTTGGTGTGAAGGAGACTGCGCGGGTCTATGATTTCAGGCTCGGGCGTAGTTCGAGATGAGCGTAGTTCTGCTGTGCCCCTCTTCGTTGGGCTCTGGCTCTGAGCCGAGCGCACACGAACATTGTGCTCTGGGAGGAAATCGTCATCGTCAGCGTGAGGAATAGCATCTGGCATAGCTACATCCTCATCTTGAGGTTCGGGCTTGACCTTTGTGGGTGTACGCGTGACATCCTGTGCAGCCTTCTCTTTCTCTGCGTTTTTGCGGATATCGGCAGCTCGTGCAGAGCTAGATTCCATGTTCACGCTGATGACTCTTTCCTCGTGTTCATGTCGCTCGACACGCACAGGGCGAAGTCCACCAAGTGACCTGCTGGGCTGTTTGCCCTTGAAGTCTTTCGTTGTGTCCCAGTCCTCCTCGTCGCTATCCAAATTGATCCGATCAATGCTCATGCGAAGTGCGCTCTCTTCATCGTCCGAGGAATCGTATGCGCGTCCACGATTGGGCCCAATAAGACCAGACCGGTTATATCCTGAGCCTGCACCGCCCGGACCTCCTCCATACCCGCCGCCGCCGTGACCGCCACGACCGCGCTTGCCGCCTCGTCCACCAAACCCGCCCACAGCCATAGCCATGGGTCCACCACGGCCACGGAACCCGCCACGACGAGCAGTCCCACCGCGACCACGCTGAATAGCCGCTGCCTCCCTTAGACGCTCGTTGTATCGTTCCTTCTCGAGCCTTTCAATCTCCTCTCGTTCTTGCTTGCTGCGACGGCCGACTGCCTTCGGTCGATACTTTAGAACTGGTTTGGGTGTCTCGCCACTAAGCGCCGACGGGGGTCGGCTGCTAGGTGCAATGCTGCCGGAAGGTGTTCGTTTGTTCAGTGACTGAAGGCGTTGCACTGAGCCACGACCCGAGGGCCCTGGCGTACCGGTTGCCGCTGTCTCATTCTGTGGTGTGCCCCCGCCAGCGGGAGTCGTCGAGGTTGAGTCTGAGCGAGCACCACGGCCCGAAGCTCCTCCACGGGAGCTTGCACGAGGTACGGCTTTCGGAGGCATGATTGTGGCTTTTCAGACAAGGCGCTGGGGCGGCCTGCTGGGCGGTGAAAAAGTTCTTGTAGAGGACCTGACTTGCGCAGCGCGTTGTGGGTGTGGACTCGGTTTTGAAATAGTTGGATACTTGTTTCGGTTGGAGACAAGGTTGCGATTGGGCACGAGCAGAGCGCCAATCGTCGAGAAGAAAAAGTGAGAACTGTAGACTTCTAAGGTTGGGAAAGTTGAGCTCTTCAAAAAAAGTTGCGGGGCCAATCACACCGCCCTTATCATGTGATCTACGAACCCCACCAAGAGATCGCCAAGTCCAACAAGATGAACTGAGCTCCACGACAGCTAATCAGACTGAAGTCCGGGAAAAGATGAAGCTGTTAGAAATCGAAAAGCTCCCTTAGGCTGACTCCCTGGCTACACAGAATACGATGTAAAGCAATAATGGTAATCTTCTACAGCTCAGCGTCCCTGGTCCAGCGTTACCGTGAATATATATCACTTCGCTATTGGACCATACAGCGCACATGAGACCGATATAAATGGAGATAGATAACCCAGTAACATTTGATTCTTAATGAGGGAGTGGATGTGACAAGGAGCATATAGCCCGCAGAAACACTAAGACGCCGAAACACAACAACAACAGATCAACCGCTTGGCAGTGCGTAATGGAGGTCAGGAGCATGGCTTGTAACCAGAGAAGGGAGTGTGAAGTGAGAATGGCAAATGCTGGTACGGTAGTATAAAGAGTGTCCCTGGCGCTGGCCAGAAAGATGGAGAAAGAAGAGAGTGATTGCCGAGGGACCTTGGTCCGTAGTGAGAATGGTAAGATGAAGGAGAGAGCCCATGATCACGGAAGAGCCTGGAGCTGCGAATGGGATCGGCGCTTAGGGATGGCGGAAGCAATCGCAGCGTGAATCTCACTAGCGCTTTCGCTTCTTGTTCTTGTCTGCTGCAGACGCAGAAACAGGAGTCGCAGGCGTTACCGAAAACTCCTCATCTTCATCTACGCCCTCGCCATTCTTCTTGACAGGGACACCCATGTGGCGACCGTAACGGCCCTTGCGACCATTGCCCTCATCTTCACTAAGGCAGCCGTCGACGCCAATGCCGGCATCCTTGCAACGCCCACAGGGACGCTGCCGGTCACAGCCCTTCTTGCTCTTGCGGCACCGCTGGCACCGAGGCTTGGTAGACAGATCTTCCTCATCTGCACCCAGCTGATGCTGGAAGTTGACAGAGCCACCAGATACCTTTCGGGAGGAAGCCGGGCTAAGAGGTGGAAGAGGCGCCACGGACTTTTCGGACGACTTGCGAGGAGCGGATGCCGCAGACTTGCTCTTGCTCAGCTTCGTGGGTGCAGGCTTATGACTGCGAGCCTTAAGTGATGTAGGGCGGCTCTTCGGCTTCTTTGCCTTAGGCGCAAACTCCTTGTAGAGCACATCGTCTTCAGCCTCACTTTTGATGCCATCATATGCATCTGAGCTGTGGTCGCTGCTGTCAGCGCTAGGAAGGATGTCATCCAGGCCCTTGAGGTGACGCTTGATGGTTCCCGGCGGCAGCATCGGGCTTGAGTCCAGTCTCTGGCGACGAGTTGGCAGGTCATCCTCATCCTCGCTGAAGTTTTCACCATCACTGGTGGCGCCGGTGGACGAGGCAGCATCAGCGGCGCCACTGAAAGCATCGTCCAATGTTGAGGCAGAAGTGCGACCGTGAGAGAAGTTGGACGCATCGCCTAAACGTATCAATTGCATTGCTACATCCTCATCAGAGATGCAGCTTGCAATGGTAGGGTCGGGTGTGGGCAATATGCCTGGACCATTCACTCGGCTAGCCGAATTGTTGTAGGCTCCCGTATCGCGCATGCGATTCGCATGGTCTGGAACCACGGGAGTCGCGTATACTGTGTTGCGCCCTGATTGAATACCGTATTCACTCTGGCCATAGCTTTGTGGAGATGGGAGCGCATGTTGATAGCCATATGGGCCACGTTGCGGTGGGCGTGCGAAAGGCGACCCAGCGCCTTCTTGTCCAACCGATCGACGCTGAGGGGAAATGGAGGAGGTGGAGGTAGTGAGGGGCACTTGGGGAGGAACGAACAGCGGGAGCTCCTATGGACGAAAGACTGATTAGTGAGATCGACGACAGGATGTTGACAGGGACATGACTCACAGAGCTATCAAACTTGGGTCGTTTCCGACGACCATCTTGTAGTATATTCTCCATACTGATATCAGAGCTAGCAAATAGTTCATTCCGAGCCCTGCGAGCATAGGCGCTTTCGGTATCACTATAGCCGTCATCATCATGAAGACCTCCATGGGCGTTTGATGCCCGGCTTTTGTTACCCGCGCGGGAGGGAGGCTTGTGTTGAGAAGCACTGCGCAGACTCCGGTTCGACGGAGAGGTGCTGCGCTTTCTCCCAAGCCGGGAGGCAGGCCGTGGCTGATCCATCATGGGTGCCATGCTGTCAGCCATCTGGAAAGGCTCTGCCAGACTAGGCCGCTTGCGAGGCTCGCCAGGGAACCCGTTATAGAAATGGTCCCCATATGGTTGGATGGGAATGACCCGCACATATACAGTTCTGTTATTTTTGAGGTTCTCATACCTTGCGATGAGGGTTGTCCCATGTTCATCCTCGAAGCTCACCCCACTGGCAGTACCGTCATAGATGCCATAGAAATTTTTGACCGTTGTGACGATCGAATCCGTGGTGTCATGAGGATAGATTTGAACGCGCATTGGAATACGAGCTCGAACTTTGGAATTCTCATCGAGCAGCAACTCGAAGGCGACGTTTTTCGGTGCCGGGCCCTTAAGCGACGGGTCTCGAGCTCCAGCGGCAGAGTCTGTCAGATTCGGCTGCTCGAGAGGGCCAGAGAGCCCTTCATGCTGAAGCGCTTGCATATTTAATCGTTCCCGATTGCGAAGGAAGACTTCACTGCTATATCGAAGACTGCATCAACCCACTGCTTCTGTGCGGTAGAGGGCGGGAATGTGATCCATGGCGAGACACAGAGGGAGGGCAAGTGTAGAGGGAATAATCCATCAAACCTACCACAGTTATAGACTCCGAGGTGCCAGGCTGGTGGATGGACCACCCCCAGGTCTTGTATAGAAATAATCGAAGCAGAACCTTCGATGGAGGTGGAGGGGAATCTGCAGTCGCAAGATCCGGGAGCGACTCAGAACAGTCAACGTGGGGAACCTGCAGAGGAACAGACCATACGAATTAACACAATGGCCTTTCTAGTGATTGAAAATATATCAAGGATGTGGTTTGTCTGGGAGGATGATGGATAGATGTGTCGCTAACCGAGTCCGGCCGAACTTGGGAGCGGGCTTTGGGGGAGAGGGGAGACGAAGCGAGGACCCGGAAAAGAATGGAGAACGACATGAACACACCTAATTTGACTCAAACAGGATCGTCCAGAACGGCAATTATCCGAATTGTCCAAGGTAGGGTGAAGGGTCGAAGGCAGGATGGGTTCGGTCGAGGTCGAGAGGGGATTGTCGGTTCTACGAAGCGCTGAGGCTATGTCAGCGGTGACATCTCCAGGACCGGGATGGAGTCTCAGGGATGAAAAGTGAGACTAGTAAAGAGGAGAAATACATACCTGATACTGTTGACAGCGCTGAAGGTGATCAGTTCACGGTGTAGTTGGATGGTAGGAAGAAGGTTGAGGTGGGTGCGTACGATGGTTTCACCTAAAGCGAGAAAACGGGCCTTTGGGGTCGGTGACATGGCGATTTGCGCTTCCGGCGCTCAACGCAGCAGCCATCACATTCCATGAGATCAGTGGGCATCTAGAAATTGTTCATACACTTTGCGACTATTCTATATATCTAAAATAATAACTATGTGTGGAATCATCCCAGTGCCATACCTTTTCGCAAGGCGCAGGCTGTCGCAATCGGGATGCCATTGCGCCGAGTGACGGGGCACTCTGTCTAACCCCCCATTCATAATTATTATGTATGGAATTGAGAATAGAATCGGGTCTCTAAATATCCCAGTATTATATGTCCGTGAATGCGGGCTCCTGGGGTCGAATTCATAGGGCAAAGCCAGCGGTTCACCCGAAAGCTGGCCAAGGTCGGGTACCTCTGTCGCTACTCCATATATTCAAGACGTTGAGGATTAGGGGCGCAAAATAAGATAAAGAAATAACGCCCAATGGATTGACGGACTTGCAGCTAGTTTCTAGCTTGACCACGTAGCGACCGTTCCCTTTTTTAATCTGTTGTGGAGGTGTGCGCTTGGCCAGGACGCCAACCAGGTCAATTTTCCACCACCGCCATTGTCGCATTGCTCATTTAGTATCTGATATGTAAACTACTGTATAGCGCGACACTTATTATGGGATTTATTATGAGAATTTTGAGGGTAGGATGGTTTATACGAAATCTGTTGACCCGACTGGACCGCACGGGTCTGGAAGATCTATAGTCAGCGCTGAGCGCTCCAACATAAGGTTATCACCCAGGACACAAGTCCACTCTGTACGGAGTATAGAGAAATCCTTCGCCTATTCTCGATTCTTTGGAGTTGTTTCGCATGATCTGCAAGTTGGATTTACCCCTCCTCGGGGACCTACGTAAGGTCAGAGAATCCCCCGGTAAGCATTCCTGGGCTTCTCGTATGCCACAGAAGATGCATAGGGCCGATAGCTAACTAACACAAATCTATGCTTAATCCAAAGGAACTCGATGGAAAAGGGGGAAATATTTCTGCTTGGTGGAGTCAGACGACGTTGAGAGACTGGGCGCAAAAGGGTCTGAGGCGAGACAATGAACATCGAATGATCTTCGCGCTAAGAACGCTATTACAAGTGTTCAGACTGATTATTTCCTCCAAATCCCGACAGTAAGCCTTCCAAGATAAAACTCCGAAACTGCAGAAGCCACTTAGATGTGAGTGGGTTTCGGTTGATCACAATGCTGCCAAACAGGAACCGCTCGATTCCGGCGTCCCACCTCTTGCGACGGCGGTGTGGCTCTCACGTGGTCTCGTGTAGATAGCGCGTTAGATCTAGATCTTTGCATAAAAGGGCGATTACACTCGCAATTATCGAGATTTTTGAAATATTTCTATTGCAAAATCTACATAACAGCAACATTAACATTTGGATAAATTTTTATATTTCTACACCAATTGTAGAATGAGCTGTTTTCAAATATGTAATTTGATAGACGTTGGAGGAGACGCGCCGATAAGGGCAATGACGTCAATTAATCAACAAACCGTACAAACCAACTTACAAACAGACCAAACATCCAACCCTTGATCGGCGTCCCGAGGTCAAATATTGGAATTCGACATTGGACTTGATCACTCATGGAAATACTCTCTGCCCGTCCAGTTATTACAGATATTGAATAGAATATCATAACCAGAGCCAAAAGATCATTTTCAAAAGATGACAGAATGCCCTACTGTGTAGTCGGAAATGGTTATCATGTTCATATTGTCTCTATAGATCCCTCAAAGAGCTTCCGCTACTACATCTACTTATGACCTAGATCTTTATAGACCTCCCCTTACACTAGAAAGTTCGAGACCTACACTCATCTTTAATCTTAACGCGGCAAGGTATGTACATCCATAATATGTAGCAGTTTTGCGCAATCGGTAGCCGTGCTTAGTCGTAGCGTCCAAATGCGGATTAGTCTACATTGTCAAGGCACGTCTTCACGAACAAGGGACTTGCCTCCCTTTGTCCTCACTCTTCCTTCCAAAAGGTTTGTATTCCGCGTGGATTGATTTGAATTTCGTCCTGGTAAGTATCGTTGCAGGGGAAACGTGAAAGGAACAAGTCAAGCCCGGGAAAGTGTGAGCGGGACCAGACTGTTTGTTTTGCTTGGGTCGACCAATCACGTAGGGCAACTTCAGCGACCCCAACTCAGCAAAAAGTAAACAACACCTCTTTGCAATCATCACCCTCACCATATCGTCTTGCAACATCACTGGTGTTCACAATGGATGCAAAGGTAAGTGATTGATGCTTGTGCGATTCTGAATCTCATGACTGTCTCTTTACACGTCGATCGTACGTGAAAAGCGCGGTTGTATGGCTCGTTTCGTCAACGTTGTTATCTTGTCTCATTTGCTTTGGAGTCCGTTCCATTCGCTCCTATGGGCATTGATGCTAACATATATTGTAGCCACTGCGGTTCCGAACGATTGGGGACGAGAATGCCCCACCGGTGGCTCTGCAGAACCAGAAGCAGACGGTCATACACCAACGGAACAAGTCGAGCCCTGCTTTGGGTATGATGGCGCAAAATCATGCTGGTCGACGTGCTTTTGGAGATGTTAGCAACATTAAGGACAAGGTGCGGGCTAGTCGAGATGACTCTAGCGTTGGAGGAAAGTCTATGGCCACTGAAGTGAAAGGTCCGGGTTTGTCTCAGCCGGCTCAGCGGCCGACGTCCCTATCGGGAAGCAGGGTCGTTCTCAATAACATATCCACTCTCAAACCTATGAATCCTGCCGGCAAAGCTCAACCTGTTCACAAGTCCAAGAGGACCAACGCTGTCTACAAAGACCAACTTCACACTGTCCCCGAAAAGGATACATCCAAGGAATCACGCACCGATACAGAGATCAAGTCCCGTCAGCCCGTCGCCGACGACAAAACACGCAACTCCGCTGCCAGTGCAGTCCACTCAAAGGTGCTGAGTGGGGATCTTGCCAACATCATCGAGTCTGATGCTACTGTATCTGAGACCGAAGAACTCAAAGACCACACGCAAGCCGAGGAACCTGTTTCAGCGATGTCGGAGCCCGAAGAATGGGATGGAGACGAAACCAAATATCACCTTGCGCCCTCCTACCAAACCGATGGAACTACCGCTCGTCTATTCCCGCGCATGAGCGATGTGACCTTCCGCCAGATGATGCAGGCGAAGGCTATCGTGGAAAGCCAGCTGACCGATGAAGACTATTATGAGGACCTGTTGGATACCACCATGGTTGCCGAGTATGACTCCGAGATCTTCCTTCATCTGAGAAAGCGCGAGGTATGTTCGGCGATTCATATCTTCACTGTCAACTGAGCTGACCCTGTCTCTAGATCGAAATGCTACCCGTTGAAGATTACATGGCACGTCAAAGCGAACTTCAATGGTCGATGCGCTCCGTCTTGATGGACTGGCTCGTTCAAGTTCACCAGCGCTTTAACCTGCTCCCCGAGACCTTGTTCCTCACGGTCAACTATATTGATCGTTTCCTGTCCTACAAGGTTGTCTCCATGGGAAAGCTGCAGCTGGTTGGTGCCACCGCACTCTTCATTGCAGCCAAGTTTGAAGAAATCACAGCCCCTTCTGTGCAAGAGATTGTCTACATGGTCGATGGCGGCTATTCCGTGGATGAGATCCTCAAAGCCGAGCGGTTCATGCTCAGCATTCTCAACTTTGACCTGGCATGGCCGGGCCCGATGAGTTTCCTTCGTCGTATCAGCAAAGCTGATGAATATGACCTTGAAACTCGTACCGTTGCGAAGTACTTCATCGAGGTGGCGATCATGGATGAGCGGTTCGTCTGCACCCCTCCCAGCTTTGTTGCGGCTGGGGCTCATTGCCTGGCTCGTCTGGTGCTCGAAAAAGGCTGCTGGGTATGTTTCACTTCTCCTTTGCTACTGTAATGAAACTAACACCACTATAACAGACACCAGCCCACGCCTTCTACAGTGGTTATCTCTACTTCCAGCTGATGCCGGTGATGAGAACAATGATGGAGTGCTGTGAGAATCCCTCACGCCACCATTCAGCCATCTTCGCAAAGTATTCGGACCGCCGGTACAAGTGTGCTTCGTTGTATGTCGAATCCGAGTTTCATTTGACCTTCGAGTTGCCCGAGGTCGATGATCTCAATAATCCGAAACGCTGGAATGGGCTTGCCAACTTCTAAGCTTCCGCTTCGACAACATTGTTCCCTGGGGGGTTCCTCCGACACCATGGCTCTTAGCTATGATGTTGCGACTTACCACTACCAACGATCTCTAACCTCTCTTTTGTTTTGATATTATCCACACGGCGTTCTCTTCGGGGGTGGTACGGCGATCTGGTGTCACTTAATGCATGGCGCGTTTTCAATGGGTCTGCAGTCTTCTTTCTGCTCTTACTCTCATTTCGTCTATTGCCTTGCTGCTTCTGCTTCCTCTCTCGCTCACTGGGCTGACGACGAAATGACCTGACGCCGTATGCCCGGACATGGGCATGAATAGTCGGAAGGCGTTGAAGATGATCTGAAACCCCGGCGTTCTACATGCTTTATCTTTTCTTGTTTTCTCTTACTTCGCACATATCCCATTCTCGTTGACGCGATATTCCCCATTCACTCTGGCAGGTCATATCCAATATGCATGACTGCTGCTCGCCCTAATCATTGTTGTCATCACTTGTGCTTTGTGCAAATTCTTCCGGCAAATTCTTCCGGCATCTTGTTTCCCTGGCGTTTCCAAGCATCTATCGCTAAGTGAGTATTGCTACATGGCATCTTTTACTTGGGCGATTCATTGCATATCGGAATAGCTTTAGGGACAGGTCGTGTATGACCGCAGATATCAATCGACGCAAATTTGTGTTCCCAATCAACTTCACTTTTCTTGTATCTGTAGGCATACATCTGACTAGGTGGATGTTGTGGACATGGGATGAATCCACTTTGATTTGATCTCTCGGTTGTCATTTGTCTAATCTCAGTCAAAGCAAAGGTTATGGACGTCAAGAGTGGCCACCGCTCTCTTCACACCTTATAAATTGGACATTTCTTGATTAGGAAGTGTAGGCTCATGGACGGGTCAGGCCCGCTTCTCACTATATGGCCCTGCCATATATTTCCCACACGCACAAGGTCCTAGAGAATTCTATGCTACACCCAGAGGATCCCTAGCAGGCGCGTCAACGCCTACAACTGGAAGCATACGGACTCAGCCGTCCCGAGTATGTACACAGGTTTCTTACCTTGCTGGTGTCTAAAGAACAGCTAGCGCCAATCGGACCACACCCCGGCTGCCGTGGATAGGCGTGCGATCGGGTTCGGTTGGGGCTGGCCGTTCCGGAGAAATTGACATAAGAAAACCTGTACTCGAGATAGACTGAGCCGGTATACTTCCGAATTAGAACTTGCCTAAAGCCACTGAATACATTTACCGCTGTGGAGTCTCCAGTGCCTCAGGACCATTAGGAGACCATGAATAGGCACCATGCAGCTAGGACACATACGCCTACTTCAGGCTGATGATCTGATTCGACGTGCTGTGCACGGTCGTATCATAAGGTGTGATATTATTTCCTGAGATGACCACTTTGACGTACAAGGTAGTACTCCGTATGCGTTCTATATAACTTTTGAAAACCAGAAACCCCATCTATGCAGATCATTGATCAAGGCCATTAAACTCAATGAGCTTCTTGACTGCCTCAATCACTCTATCGCCAAGATTGCTGCCATCAGCCACCAAAGAAGGATTATCAAACCGCTCCGCAAGAGCCTCGTCCAACATGGTACGCAGTCGGGAAACGAGTACGCCAATGCGGGCCCATCCGCGCAGACGGAGCCAGCCGTCCACGACGAGACCGCGGCCCACAGTGTCGAGTTCTATTGAGCCACAGAAGAGGAGCAAGGAGTATGCGTTGAAAGCTGTAAGATGAAACCGTCAGAGTTCGGATATTTGAGAACAGAAGAAAACAAGGAATGATAAAAAAAAAAAACTCACGTGTGAGATCACGGATGAAGACCTTGCTAGTAGCCATCTTGGTGAAATAGCTGAGATATGCTGCGGCACTAGGGTAACCCGCCGCGGAAAAGAGAATTGAGCTAGGGTGAATGAAGATCCGGCCATTCTCCTGATTGAAGTACTTGATAGTACGCGCATCGGGGTCAACCTCCACAGTACCAGTCACGGAGCTAGCGAACTTCTTATCCGGGAATGAGATCTGCGCGACCTGAGGCTGGAAGGCACCAGCAATAAGAGCGCGGATCAAGTTACGGTTACCAGCGTTGCGGTTCCAGGCGCTAGCCGAGTTTTCAGAATACTCAACTGGCAGGACGCCCGCGTCTTTGAGGGAGGTGATGAACTGCGCGCGGTTCGAAGAGATATCGCGCAGCGTCTGGTGGGAGAGGAAGTTGGCGACACACCACGACTGCGTACCCCAGTATCCGCCCTGGGCACGGGTCCGCTCCGACCAGGCCTGGTAGGCCGAGAGGTCTGTGAGGAGGTCGCCGTCGCCTGGGCGGGAGAAGGTTGCTTTTGCGGCATTTGCTTCCTCGCGCTTCTCGCGGGGGGAGACGAATGGGCTCTTGACGGTTAGGATTGCGGCGATTGTGAGGCAGGGTTCCATGCAGCCGAAGATGGAGCCGTAGATCATTAGCTTGGCGCAGCGGAGATCTGCGGGGATCATGGAGAGGTATCGGCCTAGTGCTGTGAGTCGGTCGTGGTCTAGGGCGCCGACGCGGTGCAGGAAGCTTAGTGCGCCTTCGACGGCTATGCTTTCTGGTGGGGTGATGGTGTTGGCTAGGAAGGTGGCGACGTCGTCGATGCCTTTCATGGATTTCACGGATAGGCATAGCTGTTCTAGAGGGACGCGGCGGATTTCCGGGTCTGGGCGTGGGGCCATGTTGGATTCGGCTTTGCGGGTGTAGAGCTTGTAGCAGATACCGGCACGGACACGACCTGCTCGACCGCGGCGCTGTTTGCAGGCGGCTTGTGATGCCCATACTTCTTGGAGACGGACCATATTGTCTTTGGGGTCGTAGCTTGTTTCTTTGACTCGACCGGTGTCAATGACGGCTACGACATCCTCGATTGTGATTGAGGTTTCTGCGACGTTTGTGGCCGCAATGACCTTTCGCTTGCCCCTTGGTGGGCTCTGGAATACTCGACGTTGTTCAGCTGGGAGTAGGGAGGCATGCAATGGCAAAGGATGCACGTTGGAAATCCTGCTGACTGCTTTCAGACACCTATCGATCTCTAGTGTACCAGGAAGGAAAATCAAGATGCCTCCTGGCTGATTCCCTAGCTGAGCATCGATATATTCGACTGTCGCTGCGATCAAGTCGTAATTGATACCCATGCCCAAGCTCCGCAGGGCTTTTCCGAGCGATTCATCTCCCCGAGAAGACTCTTCCTCGTCTTCGTAGCCCTCGGCAAGTTCTGGCGCAAATGATGTGTACCGAATGACATCGTCCAGGTAATAATCTTCGACAGGGAATGTGCGGCCGGGAATATTGACCAGTCCAACAGATCCCTGACCACCAAAGTAGCCCTTGAAGATAGCCGCATCGAGGGTGGCACTCATGAGAATGACCTTCAGGTCTTTGCGGTGAGGTAGAACATCCCTTAGCAGCGCCAACAAGAAGTCTGTATCAAGACTACGCTCGTGGACCTCGTCGACCACCACGTGCGAAACGTCCGCGAGCGAGCTTGCGACATTACCATCCGCATCGCCACCGGACTGAATCCGGCGCAGCAAAACGCCAGTAGTCACAAAGGTAATCTTTGTTGAACCAGGCTTGGCTTTCGATTCACCTCGAATCACATATCCGACTTCATCGCCAACTACTGCACACCGTTCATCGCTGACTCTGTCGGCAAGACCTAAGGCGGAGATTCGCCGTGGCTGTGTACAGATGATGTTGGCAGCGGCTCCCAATCCTCGTTGGATCATGTCGTCCAGCACAAACTGTACGGATTGCGTACTCTTACCACTACCAGTCTCACCCGAGATGATAGTCACCTGGTGAGAGTTGATTGCGTGGATGATTTCATGCTGGATGTTCCATGCGGGAAGTGCTTTTCTTTTGCGGGTCATCTCTTTCTGCGGAGCAGTGTCCTGTTTGGCCTCCCAAGCGTCTCGAATGGCCAAGCTTCGTTCCGAGTCGATCTTCCAGTCGATGCCCCTGCGGTTCTTGCGCGATGGGCGCATAGGAATCCCATATGTTTCAGCTGTCGACGAAGCCGTCACAGCTGAAATCTCTCGCAGTTTACCTGGATTATCCATGATGCTCCGCAAATTGACCTCTAACCAATCCATGATGTTGAAGATCATCGATTCACCCGTAAAGTTGTCCTCGGCATACTGCACTGCCCGACGGATCGCACTCAGGCGTATATAAGCGGGGACATCTTTGGCCTGAATTGATATGATAGGAGGCGTGCTTGGGTAATGGGCGGAGGGCTTTTGGAAGCGAAAGATTGTATTTGGTGGAAGTTCCGATGCCTCACTTTTGATCTCGCAAACCTTGGCTGATACGCGACGATAGCGTTCCCCGAAGATGGCTTCCAATGTAGTCGCCTCTTCTGCCCAAGCTTCGTCATCTTCATCGGCTACCGCTGGGGCAGAGAACTGAGTGCCATGGGCCAAAGTGCCCTGCAAGTGCTCAGCAGCCGCCAACTCATCGCCTTTCTTGCTATCCAAAATTTGGGAACACATATCGGCAGGATAACCAACAGATGACAGCCGTTTGATCTTAGCCTCACGAGCAACATCGCCAGAACCCAGAGTGACTCCAGCGGAATATCCTTCTGGCAGAGACCATCGTGGAAGGTCGTCCTCAGGAACATAAATAAGAAGCCACTCCAACACCTCTTCGCGGTCTTTGCATTCCGCCGCAGCTTCTTCAACGTGGCTGCGTCGGAACCCTAAACCAGTGAACTCGTCCGCGATAGCCTTCTTTTGGCTATCTGGGATCTTCACACCGTACGGGTTCCAGCTCGTATGTTGTCGCAAGAGACCTTCGATGTCTCGTCGAATGCGCGCGCCCATATCTACCTTCGGCGCCTGTGACCAGATTCGTTTTGATTTGGCATCCCCATGTCCGAGTCCCAACTCCGCATTCGAGGCTTTTTCTTTCGCCTGCGCCTTCTCGCGATCTGCTCGTTTCTTTGCCAGGTCTGCTGCCGCAAACTCTCGTTCTTGCTTGGCCAAAAAGGGATCTGCTTCGTACATCCAGCCTCTGCCTTCCCGAGTATCGGCTGCTTTGATTTCCGCAAAGTCTTCCTTCCACAACTTCTTATATGTCGGAGGCATCATCATATGAATGTTGCGCATATTGCATACTCGGAAAAGAGCAAATGCCGCAGCAAAATGGCGCGCTTCGAGGGCTGTCGGCTGCCCAGCGAGGTGTTTGTGGGAGGGTGGAAGTCTCAGTGGCGGAATAACGATCAATTCTTTGGTCTTAGGGTCTATCTTCTTCATCGTTACGGAAGACACAAAGCCATCGGAGGTTTTTATCTGAAATTATCGTAGTCTATCAGCGTCTGTCTTGATATATGGGGTTTGTGGGACTCGATGCGACAGATGCCGCGGAGGACTTGATTACCATGCTGTACTCTGGTTTCTCCCATTTCTGCTTCTGGCAATGCTCGGCCAGCATATTGACCGGAAGCTTTCCCGTCCATGATGCGCCGCCAATGACCTCCTTCACGGACGGTTTTTTGGGCTCCTCCGGCACTTGCTTCTTCGCTTCGCCCGCCTTTTCCGCAACGGCTTTGGCTTTTTGGGTGCCCGGTTTAGGGCCACCCTTGCCGTCGCCTTTCTTCTTAGGTGGCATTGTGCGTTTGGTGAGTTGATCAAGAACGACAACTTTTGGAGCTTCGGACAAAAGAGTGACCCGCACTAAACCGCTTTGGGGTTGCGGGGAGCGTCCATACGCAGGCGGCGATCAACACTTTTATCTCCTCACGAGTCACATCTGAGCAGGCGCATATGCTTTCTTCTCACTCCACCAATGTGAAATTACCTGGAATTTGTCGCTTTTAGACAATGCTACAGTGACTATCTACTACGTGACCACGCGTCCAATTCCCACACCTACCATCATGTCCGGAGAGCACTCTAACACAAGCAAGGGCGTTCCAAAGGAGCCTGGAACATCGGAGAAAAGAAACGCTTGTATTGACACTCTGAATATGGTCGGGAGACTGTATTAGAACATTTTGAGCTAACATATTGCTTCTGACAGTCACCGAACTTCTAGCTCCCAAAAGCAAGCAACCCAAACCCACCCCCAAAGCTCCATCTGATCGCCATGCGACGAAAGGTAGAGCTGTCTTCGGCGCCCGAGATGGACTTGGAGTTTACATTGCGAAGCCAGAAACATATGGCCCCGACGTTGTAGTCTACCACAATGAAGACTTTGTGGCAATCCATGACATGTTTCCGAAGTCGTCGCTACACCTTTTACTCCTACCCCGCGACGAGTCCAAAACGCGACTGCACCCATTCGAAGCCTTTGAGGACATCGAGTTCCTGGCAAAAGTGAAGGCTGAAGCCTGCAAACTCCGCACCTTAGCAGCAGGTGAGCTGCGACGCAAATATGGCAAAGACTCCGAGCAGGAGCAGGCGAGACAGGCCGCGCTGAGCGCCGATCCGCCGCCTAACGAGTTACCCCAGGGTCGAGATTGGGAACAAGAGATCATGGTCGGAGTGCATGCCGTACCTTCTATGAACCATCTGCATGTCCATGTGTTATCGGTGGATAGGTACAGTGACCGTTTAAAACACCGGAAACACTACAATAGCTTTTCGACGCCGTTCTTCGTGCCACTCGAGGAGTTCCCGCTGGCAGAAGATGATATGCGACGGAGGCCGACAGAAGAAGGGTATCTGAAACGAGACTTCATTTGCTGGCGCTGTGATAAATCCTTTGGAAACCGGTTTGTGGATTTGAAGCAACATTTGGCGCAGGAGTTTAAGGAATGGAAGAAATTGTGAGCCATCAATGGTGGCTAAAAGAATACCAGAACTGTCAGTATAGGCACAGAACGGTATCTGGTAGATTGAAGTCCCGGAATCATCGGTTTAGCTTCGATATGAGCTAAACTCAGGCAAAACTTTCTATTTGTAGATGTACATGTCTCCTGTGACAAGCAGGGCTCGGTGCATTTTCAGCACGTGCCCTATACTGCTCTAACACCATGAATTCAAAACAATGCTATTCATTGAACTGATTCGTCTCCTTCCTCCACGAGTGTGCTGTCCCTGCATTTACGCACGGGCCTTAGAGCGGCCCTTGACCTTCCGGGCCTCGGGGCGGTTGATGTGGTGGGACGGGATCCAATCAGCGTTGTAGGCAGTTGCAGAAGAGGCAGCGGCGCCGCTGGAAGTTTCCTCGGTGACCGGGGTCACAGCGCGCTTCGAGGCACCCTGAGTGCGCTTCTCGGTGAACTTTCCGGACTTGCGCTTCTGGGGGAAGTAGGGGGCGATCCAAACAGTGTAGAAGAAGTAACCGGTGCCAGAAACACAAGCCAACAGGAAGAAGTAGAGGAACAAGCTGATAGTTATAGTCAGTCCCAGTGTCCTCACGGCCAAAGTGAAAAGGGGGTCCTTACATCTGAGGGTCAAAGATGCTGGTATCCGCCTCGACGATGCTAACAGTGCCATTGTGGGCAACGATAGGAGCCAGACGGCCCTCGCTGTCGGTAACGATGGCGGAAAGAGTCAGCTGGAGATCCTGGGGGTGCATCTCAGTCGCGAAGCTGTAGCTGATGGTCTCCTTGGAGCCAGCGGGGACCTCGATGGCGTAGCGAGTAGCAGTCAAGTTGCGGACAATGGTGGCCTGATCATTGAGGCTGCGAAGACTACCTCCAACGAAGTTAACTGTAATAGGATTCGGCTCATCGTTGGAAACGGCGATCAGCGCCTGAGTCGGGTGACCATTGACAAGCTTGACGCCGAAGATCTCGGACGCAGGGAAAGATGCCTGGGCCGAAACAGACAGAGCAACGGCTTCTGGTTCAGCATTCTCCGTACCCTGCAATGAGAAAGCCAATCAATTAGTCAATTGAGTCATGCGACGTGGACTCTGGGCAAAAATAAACATGAAACGTACAGCAGCAAGGCCGGCGCCAACGAAGGCCTGGAGAGAGCATAAAGCCAGAGAGAGGAAACCAAAGCGAGTCATCTTGAAACCGGAAACGAGGCGAGAGAAAAGAAGGAAATCGGGATAGGAGCAAGGTCACAATGGGGTTGGAAGGGGAATCGCTGGCTCCACGTATGCAAAACCGGGGGACGCTGAGTCAGCCAGATAGCCCGCAGGTCTTGGATTTTTTTTTTTTTACTTGAAGTACTCATCGCGTGCTATTCCTTCTTATATCAATTTAATTTAATGGGAGAAGGTGGTCACTGATCATTGGTGATTACAGTACATTACGCGTTTTATAAATTGGCACCTTCCTGCACGCGCCTTCCAACTAAGAACTCAGATCGCTTTGATCAGTCTACAAAAACTTGCTTCTCTCCCTTCCTTCCTCTCTTATCTACCGTCGCATTCAGCTTTTCTCTCTCAATTTCCACTCTGTCGAGTTCTACAAGTCTTCCGAAATGTCGACTCAAGCTTATTTAGAACGCTATCGCCAGTTAAGCGCTTTGGACCAACAGAAGAATGATCTTATTGAGGTAGGAACGATTTCTCCCTTGGACCTGTTCCATGCTAACGCGACGCTCATAGGAACTCCTTCAACGGGTGACCGCTCTAGAAACTTCCTTTCAACAAGAGAAACTCGACCATGAACGGGAGACCCGGTTCAATCGTGATATCCAGGTGCATGAGATGGAGTTGATGGAGCAGATATCAGCAGTCAAGCATATGATGGTGAGCGCGGCCGGGAACGTGTGTCTAGGATTAGGCTAACGCATTCTTTCCTAGGACCGAGAACCATTCGTCGTTTTACTTTTAGATGGCGAAGGCATTATATTCAAGGACGAGTTTCTGCAACTGGGAGAACAGGGCGGACACAATGCGGCCAAACAACTCTGGAAATCCCTTCAGGGCTACGTGACGACAAACCTTGCCACAATCACGGAGCCGAAGATAATGACGAAGATTTACCTTAATGTGAAGGGACTCATTGAGACCTACGTTCGGGGTGGGATCAATTTAGATGTTTCCACACTCAGTGATTTTATTCGGGGATTCAATGAGAGCGCATCATTCTTCGAGATTGTGGATGTTGGAACTGGCAAAAACAAAGCACATGATAAAATCAAGGGTATGTGGTTCAGGCTGTGGTAGCAGAACCAGTTGCTGATACGCTCACTCCAGAGGCATTCAAGCTCTACTTATACAACTGTCATTGCCACCAACTCTTCCTGGGTTGTCCCTCAAATGAAGAATATGCTCGATCATTGACAGAACTGGTCTCTGGCGCGAACTATAAAGGCCGCGTCTCGCTGGTTGAGGGCCTTCCACTCGAACAAGACTTTGATTACTTCAGGGAGCAGGAATATCGAATCACCCAGTTCCCAGATGTTTTCCGCACGTCCAAGATCGCTCCGATTTCATTGGCGGCACCGGGCGCACCGGGTGCACCAACTTGGACTGCTCCATGGAAGAGCGCAATCCCTTCGCGGACTTTGCTTACGCCTTCGCCAACTCAACAACCTCAGACCCCTGCACCTCTGTCACGAACATCAACCAGCACCAGTGTGTCAAATATGGGTGTACCATTAGCCCAAAGCGCAAATAAAGCAGATCCCTCTGATTTCCAGGTTGTTCGGTCCAAGGTCCCTGGTGCAACTCCCCCGAAAACTGTGGAACGGAATAAGTACGGGCAGCGTGTTGATCGACTCGACTTCAACCGTATCAATCCCCAAGATCTTAACAAGTTGAAAAAACTCAAGCTTTGCAACTATCACTTCTTGCTTGGCGAGTGCCCTAATGAAGAGAATTGTTATCATGACCATGATCGCAAATTATCCCGCCAAGACCTACACATTCTGTCGGCCATTGCCCGCATGACACCGTGTCGATTCGGTCTAGATTGCGATGACGTGGATTGCATCTATGGCCATCGTTGCCCTCAGAGCGAGCCTGGCAAGAAAGACTGTTATCGACGTGAAAACTGCCGCTTTGAGCCCGTCGCACATGGTATTGATACAAATATCGTCAAAGTGACGAAGATTTAAGTGGCTGCCTTTGCCCTTACATGCATCAAGGCGACTCCAACCTGACCTGCGAAAAGAAGGTCTGAAATATTTTCTACTGAGTCTAACATGGTCGGGGTTGAGCTTTCAGGGCCAAGTTTCATTATAATCAAATTCTCGTTCATTCGGGAGTTATGGGCGCATCCATCGGAAGCAGGCTTGCTTCCAACTATCATAACTACTGTCTTTCCCCTGCGGGGGATAAAGACGAAGGCGCAAAAGGCCCAACTATCTAGTATCTATTGGTTCGCATTTCAGATTGTATTAGTATGAAGAATCAATCCATACAAACGAAATCATTGAAGTATCTGAACTGATATTAGTACAATGACTGGGGAAATCATTCCGAGTTAGTAGGGTCTGCAAGGTCCTCCTCCGTGAATTGATACAGTTCTCTCCCCAACTCTGCACTGACTCGATACTTCTCGCCAACAGTAAAATCTTCGGGGAAGGCGTTTTTTATCATCCATGTAAGATCCACACTGGAGATATCATAGAACTCAGCGTCCAGACGAAGTTCACGAACGATGTTTCGGAACCCATCCAAGTAAATCACCTGCAACCTTCCAGACCGGAAAGCCTCCTCGTCCGCAATGATGAGGCACGTCCTCGTGACGTAGTGTTGTAATTCGGTAGTGTAGTCGTCAACGAACACATGTCGGTGCTCGCGCCAAGTTTCTGGTGATGTTTGCTTCGCTTCGGCAAGTTGTGTTTTGAGAAGTGAACGGAAAGCGTCGACGTTCTTTTGCCGAGGGGCCCGTGGAATGTGGAATATCTCATCTATCTTATCAACGACGTATACAAGCGGGCCCGCGATTTCAGGAAGAATCTCGTATACACGCCGCCACTCCGAGCCAAAGTTAAAGAGATCTTCATTGTCGAGAACCGCACACCAGTCTTCTGCAGAAAAGCCCCATTCAGCCATTAGCTTGGCGTGTTTATCTCTCTCTCCTTCGTCGGCGCTATAATATGTTCGTAGGAAAGCGGGGGAAAATTCCCCATGGAAAATATCCATTGCGTGCCATCGAAGCAAGTCGCTACGGTATGGTCGGAGAATGGTGTCCACTTCCTCGGCCGTAGGCTCACGAAGCTCGGCGAGGCTTTCTGGAAGGGCTTCGGTGTCCCAATCTTCAGTCCATACATAAGGAAATGAGTCCATGTCCAGAAACTCGGCAACTAGCCTTTTTCGTTGCTGGTCAAGGGTTTCGGTTGAGGAGTGGTTCCAGTTTATCTGCATAGGGTTAGCAACGGATGTGAAGTTCGAAAGGCACAAGATACGATGAAATATTGTTCAACAGGCAGTCTACCCCACGGAGGAGTATGATCCATGGTAGAACTCACGATAAAGAGAAGGACTGGAAAGCTCGGGGAGAAGAGGAAAAGAGGGAAATGGAGACGATATGCAGGGGCAAGGGTTGTTATATGGACATGTTAGAGAGGTGCTACGGAACAAAGACAAAGCGGGGGGCCATGATACAGTGATACAGTATGTATGCACTAGGGTGAAGAATAGATAATCTGGACATTGTCTACTACACTGTCTAGTCAACTCGGATGGAATGCATTGAGTATATCCTAAGGCTAGCTAGTCAGAGGGGAAATAAGTGGAAGGCGGTCAGGCCTCGTCATGTGACACCTAGTAAGGTTTCGTCAATCACGTGCTTTGGTCGTTATCAACCAATCCGAGTTCAAGTCACTTTTCCATAGCTAACTATCAATCAACCCAGCTAGGGAGCTACCCCCCATACATATTGACGACATATGGACAGTCACACTCCACACTTCATAGTCTCTTGAACTCTTCCATTTATCATCAAAGCTCTTGATTTTTCTTTCGTTCTCGAGGTTCTTGACTCTTCCTCTCACACGACAATGGATAAACAAACCCAGACCAGGCGTTGTGATGAATTTAAGCGAGTCTACAAGCTACTTAAGAGTTGTGAATCTTGGTTTCTTACCCCCGGTGATCTCCAAGGCCTCGGAATATATAGCCAGCAAGTTGGCATGGCAGGTGACGACTCCGTACAGTTTGATCCATGTTTCTTTCGGCCTTATCCGGAAAAGGTGCTTCAAAGATATCCACTCGATACGGTGTCGATGGCTGCGGATCACCAGACCCTTAAACGGCTTAATAACCCCCGGGACTTCCACACTCTGTTACGAGAAGTCCAGAATGAACCTGGGATTGAAAATCCCCTGGAAACTGCCAAATCAAGATGGGATAGAATGGCACTTTTATTTGGGTCGGATGCCTGGGAAGATCATGCTAGACAGACACATTGGCATATTCGATCCCAGCGGATGCTTCCTCGGAGAGGGCTTCCCCGGGGCTCTACTCTCAGCGATCTAAGTACTATCTACGAAGAGAGGTTAGTGCACTTTACTTTTCCTCTTTTGCCCCACTGTTCTTTAGGTACTAAATCTACTAGGCCGAAATGGAAGCATTTAGTCTGCATCGCGCTCCTGAATTATGGGGACCTAATAGAAGGACCAATTGGCGTATACTAAGTCTCCGAGAAGTCTTTCAGCCAAGCTTAAACCCACATGCAATTATGAACTTTTATCTGATGTTCCCGCTAATCATGTAGAGAATTGCCTTACTCTCCAAGAAGTAAGCGCTATTATAACCGTGATGGTTGCTCGAACATCCAATCGGCCATTTCGGGACCACCCGATCCATCCAGTTAGTATCTTACTTACACTTCCCAGCTACTAACTGGAGATTCATAAGCACTCACTTATCTTCTATGGTTATTGGTTCTTTCATACACGGGACATAAACATGGAAGAATAATTCAAGCTTCATTACATGGAGAAAGCTTGCTTTTGCAATATTCTCAGCTATGGAGTTTTGCGGATGACGAAACGGCACCGGTTGAACGGGAATTGATACAGACACCACACCATTTTACTAGCGGCACCACACCTTACGTATTTCCGGATCACATAATCAATTTTACCCACAATTGTTACCATACATTACCAGAGCAACTGCATGACTTACTACTGCGTACAGTAGCAACTACATTCTATCTACTACTAACTACATAAACTTCTCTTCCTGCTTGTTGTTTGATTCTTCATCAGGTCCTTCTTCATCTGATTCTTCATCCAACTTTTCTTTTGATTCTTCGCTGATTCCATCTGATCATGAACGATAGAGCCACCAATGGAACTTCATTATGGAAGAGGACAAGAGGTCTTTGAAACTAGAGACCAGTGGCTTGCTTCTATCCAGGAGCATACTCTATCTCGAAGTGCAACCTTCTTAGCTCCCGTATCTCTCGCTAAACGCCGATCTGGCGGAATGAACGGGGGATCTGGACTAAGACTTGACAACTGTCATGAGTGTCAACTACCACCCACTTGTATCAAACAACCTCTTCTTTAACCCTCGCCATGCTAGTTTGCTTGGCAGTTGACAAGGTAGACGCGGGTATTGCAGTGCACGTCGCCCAAGACACCGACTTGTAAGCTGATAGCAGCCCAGGAAGGATATCTCTGTTGGCTGTGAAAGCCTGTGATGGAAGGGGCGTTCAAACTTCACCATGATCAATGATCATATTAATGCCCGGACTGGGCGAAACGCGAGGGACCTAGCACGAGATCTCATAAATTGCCCCTTTTGCCATATGCAAAGAAGCTTAACTATTGATTCTGATCAACGGGAACTCTGGATAAGAAACACTAATCATCACCATGTTGCTACAGTAGTAAGTCATGGAGTGGTGTGGTAATGTATGGTAACAATTTTGGGTAAAATTGATTATGTGATCCGGAATTACGTAAGGTGTGGTGCCGCTAGTAAAATGGTGTGGTGTCTGTATCAATTCCCCGGTTGAACTTTTCGTTCGTTATGATATGAGCCAGCCAGTTCCAATAGCCTTGCAAGAGTCGAATCCTATTATTGGCTCTCTTGTCGGCCCTGTTATGTCTATCAGCTTGAATTAGCTATTTAATACTCTGTCCCGAAGTACAGAAAGGGGGATGTCAAGGGTTGATGAGCTACGCCGAGAATAGATTCCTCCACTTGCACGAGTACGGCCCATGGGATATCGGCAAGAAATCTCACATGAGGGACCTAGCCGAAATCATCGTAGGTATTCTCTCTCCGTGTCAATGGAAAGATGAACAGGCCAGATCGACTGTGCCATCAGGCAGTAGTCCTGACGGGGGTGTGAGCACAATGTGAGCGATATACATATCTCTAGGTTGTCCGTTGCAGTATCATAGGTTCCATTACAATGATTTCTCGAAATCTTCATTCTCTCTTTCTTCCCTAATACCTGTTGTCTCGAATAGAGGCACTGTGAATCTTTGATCAAAAGTGGGTTTCCACATCGCGCCAATACCACCTGTCCTTTTGTCTCCTTTCATCACCATACTTACCTCCACAGCTCTCATTGATACACGCCAAGGCTCGGCGAAGCATGCCGGTAGGGGGAGGCCGCACCTCCCCACTACAATACGTAGGGTAGACTTCAGATGTGGATCGTTGTGCCGAACATAGCAAACCGTCTCTCCCATCCCAAGCAAAAGGGCTCACTGCACACTTCACCATCGACATCCATGGCGTTGGGGTCTTTGACATGGGTGCATGGTACACCATATTCCTTGATGCAGCACTCAAATGGGCGCGAGCTCACGCCTTCCCAACTCTGGAGACCAGCAGCCCTCGCTTTCGACTTTTGCTCCTCGAGATTCCCCCATAGCTGGAATAGCTTCTCCCGTGTCTCATTAAGTTTATCCGGGTTATTGCGGAGATCAACCGCAATACTGTTAAGAACTTCGTCCCCGTCTTGGCCGCAAACGTAGATTTTCATCAGCTGTCGTGGTTCCTGTTTGGAAGCTTTGGGCTCAGCTCCTTCCACGAGCAGACAAAACCGCCATTCCCAGCTATGATGAGGGTCATCAGAGCTATCCTCACTGCTGGACAAGGGGGCAGTATTGATTCGGACAGAGAAATCTTCGATTGAGTGAGGAAAGAAATCGACCACTCGAACTTGAGTATGGTAATTGACGTTTTGGAAGGGGAGCTTGTAGTCAACGCCCCCTGGGCCATTGTTCCTGTGGGTTTCTGCCAGCAAGATCTTTTCGACAGATACAATAGGTACTGCGTAATTTCGTGTTTTCACTGCAAATTTATAAGCCTGGGCACATTCAAACGGATGATCGGCTCACCTTGGGGGTTTAGTTTGATTCGGGATGCCGCCGGCAGCGTGAGCTGCCCTTCCTCCTTTCGAGCTTCCTTCTTCTGCTGGACTTTCTTATTACGCTTCTTGGCCTTTTTGTTTTCTGTCTTAGGTTCTCCGTGAATCTTCCAGTATGCTGTCCGACGTTCCATCAATGCTTGCACACGCTCATCGTCCTTCCCAATCAGCTTCCGGACGTGAATCTTCTCCCGATATTTTCTGTCTTCATGAACGGAAGCCTCAATCCCATACTGGCCTTGCTTGATACGAGTATAGGTCAACAGAACTATATCGCCTGCCTGGATCTTTTCACGAGCGTATGACGCATGCGGCTCCCACAGAGTCACCAGAATAGTCAACCTGCCCCATGGGCCTGGCCAGTCGTTTCCTCTTTGGTTTAGGTGATTGAACCGATCGCCCTCGCGACCCGAGTCGTCGTCGTCTCCGGGCTTCTTGTAATTCTTGAGACTCTCATTCTGAGTGTAATCTGTCAAGTAGAGCAGAGATTTCTCGCTGTCGTAAGTGTTGAGCTTCACAACTTGGCCGAGTAACTGGCATATCTTATTGACCTCTACGGCTTCAATAAGAACATGGGGTAACCCTCCAGCCTTCGGCACTGAAGAAGCAGCCTGGCCATGAGGCTGCCGGGATGCCTGTATATTGTGCGAGCTGAAAGGTTGCGCAGGGACTGATTCGGCCGATACCAGTTCCAGGAGCGATTGCGCTCGGTCTCTCTCCTTCAGACTCGGCTCGAAAGGCATGGGGCCACTGGTGACAAATGGACTAGAACCTGGATGTGACTCTGACCGAAAGACAGCCCATGAAACAGTATCCCTCTGAGAAACAACCCCCATTGGCTTGCCTTGATAGATTTTCACCTGAGTCGTGTTAGCTTCGCATGCTGCCTTGTGTTCTGGTAAATTTGCTCACAAAAACGCTTCGTAGTAAGACCACATCATTGAGGCGAACACTGGGGAGGCAGCTCTCATCATCATTGAAGTATTTGACCTTGAGGCCTCCTTCCCAAGTCGGTCCATCGAGATCAGATTCTTTGATAGTAAATGTGATGCATGCTGAAGATCCTCTTGTTCGAAGGAGTGGAAGAGTATCAACTACCACACCTATGACATTCAGACGGCCTTTGATAGAGGGAGCAGTAGCAATATCAGTCAGATCACCTGAAGCCATTGTTTTTGTTGGTAAAAAAAATGGAAGTAGGCGCTCTGCAAGCTTCCGTTGTCGAGATATCACCGGCGACCAGTTCAAAGAACTGGCGATATTCCGCGAATGTATGTTGATGAAGCGATTGCAACTCACTGAAATCTCAAAGAAAGGGTAAAAGGTATCCCAGGATGTCCAAAGGCTCAGTTCGTGGTCAAAGTAAATCAAACGCGGTGTCACGTGACCATATCGTTTCCCCTCCCACACAAGTCTTCTTCCCCCACATCATCTCCCTCTCTCTTCTTCCTACCTTCCATCCTTCCCCCGGCGCGCCCATCTTGCAACCTTCTACCACATATTTCATTTCTGCGGCGCGCACTCTTTTACTCTCTAGATTTTCATCATGGCGGAACGTTATATCCCCGAGCACCGCCGGACACAGTTCAAGGCTAAGAACCAGTTCAAGCCCGATGAGCTCCGCCGCCGTCGTGAAGAGCAGCAAGTCGAGATTCGCAAGGCGAAGCGTGAGGAGAACTTGGCCAAGCGACGTGGTATCTCTACTCGAGATGGTGGAATCGGTGTCGGTGGCATGGCTGCCGCCACCGAGAGTGATGATGAAGCTAGTGCTATTGAGAGTGAGGTACGTTTTTGAGATTGCCGTTGCTTTTTCAATTTTGGTTTCATTCTATGTGTGATTGCTTTCCTACTGGATCGGTCATACAAGTTTATTGTGGGATTGCCACCCCTGGGCTCTTTTTGAGATTTCTTTGTTTTTATGATGCGATCATCAACAAGGAATTTTTTTCACCGCCCTGTTGCCATGGCCCACGGAGCCCCTCCAAACTCGGTTTTGGAAGCCATGCCCCACTGCAATAAAAACATTGTGAAAAAAGACCAAAGCTAACAAAATGGATTATATAGCTCAACGTCGAGCTTCCTCTCATGGTAAAGGGTGTTTTCTCCGATCAAGTTGAGGAGCAGATTCAGGCCACCACCAAGTTCCGCAAATTGCTTTCCAAGGAGCGCAACCCCCCTATCGAGCGTGTTATCGAGACCGGCGTTGTCGCCCGCTTTGTCGAGTTCCTCCGCTCGCCCCACACCCTCGTCCAGTTCGAGTCTGCCTGGGCTTTGACCAACATTGCCTCCGGTTCGGCCCAACAGACCCAGGTTGTCATCGAAGCTGGTGCTGTCCCCATCTTCGTCGAGTTGCTCGCCAGCCACGAGCCCGATGTCCGCGAGCAGGCCGTGTGGGCACTCGGTAACATTGCTGGTGACAGTCCTCACTGCCGTGACTTTGTCTTGGGAGCCGGTGCTCTGCGTCCCCTTCTCAACCTTATCAACGATGGCCGCAAGCTCAGCATGCTCCGCAATGCTACCTGGACTCTTAGCAACTTCTGCCGTGGCAAGACTCCTCAGCCTGACTGGAACACCATTGCCCCTGCCCTTCCCGTCCTTTCCAAGCTCATCTACATGCTGGATGACGAGGTCCTGATCGATGCCTGCTGGGCTATCTCTTATTTGTCTGATGGTGCCAACGACAAGATCCAGGCTGTCATTGAGGCCGGTATTCCCCGCCGCCTGGTGGAGCTCCTTATGCACGCTTCTACCTCCGTCCAGACCCCCGCCTTGCGCAGCGTCGGTAACATTGTCACTGGTGATGACGTCCAGACTCAGGTCATCATCAACTGTGGCGCCCTCCCCGCTCTGCTTTCTCTCCTGAGCTCCACCAAGGATGGTATTCGCAAGGAGGCTTGCTGGACCATTTCCAACGTTACTGCTGGCAACTCCAGCCAGATCCAGTCTGTCATCGATGCCGGCATCATTGCTCCCCTCATCAACCTGCTTGCCAACGGTGACTTCAAGACCCGCAAGGAGGCTTGCTGGGCTATCTCCAACGCCACCTCCGGTGGTCTTCAGAAGCCTGATCAGATTCGCTACCTTGTCTCGCAAGGGTGCATTAAGCCCCTGTGCGACCTCCTGGCCTGCCCTGACAACAAGATCATCCAGGTCGCTCTGGACGGACTTGAGAACATCCTCAAGGTCGGAGACATGGACAAGGAGTCTAGCCAGCCTGGTGAGCCTCGCGTCAACCGCTACGCTCTGTTCATCGAAGAGGCCGGTGGCATGGAGAAGATCCACGATTGCCAGAACAATGCCAACGAGGATATCTACATGAAGGCCTATAATATCATCGAGAAATACTTCTCCGATGAGGATGAAGCCGGTGGTGATATTGAGGAGCTTGCTCCCCAACAGACCCAGACTGGATTCGCTCTCGGCACTGGTCAGCAACAACCCGGCGGTTTCAACTTCGGCGGCGCTGGTGACAGCATGGATATGTAAAGGAACCGACTCGTGTTTCTTCCCCCCCAATCCCCCCTTCCTGTATCTTTTCCCCCCTTCATCCACCAAACGGCTGAAGCTGTGCTCGGCATGGCCTCGCCTGGACGGGTATCACAGGCTCGGTCAGGGCCGGTGGTCCTCGTGCACAGCTTTGACATCTTTTATGCGCTTCGACCTAGCTAATTTTCCTGCTTGGCGTTGCGTTCCAACAACAGCTGGTGCTCATTCGATTCCCTCAACCCCCTCTTGTCACGAATTCCACTTCCCCTTCTTCTTTTTTCTTCTTTTTTTTGCTGATTTCACGATAAACAAGATTCACCATCATGTATCCCCCTTCCCCCACCCCTTTAGCATCCTCATACACAGGCGTATTTGTTTGCAGGATCGGTTTTCTCTCTCCAGTTACGTTAATGTCCTCTGACCTGGTGTTCCCTGATGGGGCATTGGTCTTCTGCGCGGGAAGTTTCTCCTCGCTCGCTGGCAACAGGGCATGTGAAAGCACCTCCTGCTTGTACATCACGCTACAAGGCTCGCGATCTGCTCCCATCATGCCCCTGAAAATTCTATTGTGCTGTTCTCATGGTACACTCTGCAGTTCACCAGGAAAATTGCCAACTCTTATTTGATTAATCTTAAGTCTTTCGTAGTGGTGATTTACACAGTAGTATCCAATAGTTATCAGGACTCTTTGAGTCTTTGTAGTCCAGCTCGCCTGTATTTGTAGTCAGCACGTGACCTATCACGCGGATTGGGTTCTTGTAGACTTGTAGTCTAGCCCTAACTAAGTACTGCCCAAGGTGAGGCTATGCCTACGCAGTATGTAACTAGCAAATGCAGCCCAACACTGGAATCGAAGACCCAAGACAGATAAAGCGAGGATGTAGACGGAATAGATTTCAATCAAGCCAGCGAGACACACCAGCGAAGATCACTGTAAAACATACCGATTGGAAAGATGCCGATATTCACACAAAGTGGAAAAAAAAGATACAGTCAATTCAAGCCATAAGCCATAAGATAGAATCGGAATCAATGAGGGACAAGAAATAAGATAAAAGAAAAAGCAAAAACACTCATCAGGACAACAGAAAGCAAAGATAAGAAATGAAGAATTATTTTGTCCAGACACATCTTAACATCAAGAGAACAACCCCATCAGTCGCCCATAATCTCATCCTCATCTGCCTCAGGCGCAGGAGTATGTTCCTCCTGCTCCTCCTCTTCCTCCGCATTCTCGACATCCTCCTCGACAAGTCCGCGCGCACGCAAGTCCTCATCCTCATCTTCCTCCACAGCCTCGGGCAGCTCCTCATCTTCCACAACACGCTCAGCAGACTTCGCGTTCTCAGCCCCCGCAGTCTTAGCAGTCTGCTTTCCCTTCGCGCGAGACGGACGGGGCTTCTTTTCTTCAAGATAAGACAGGACCTCACGGTAATTGTGACCGAGGGCGGTCTTATTGCGGAGAAGACGTTTCTTCAGGGATCCGCGATTGGAGCCGGAGGCATCGATGACGCGGGCGATGATGGCGAGGACGAGCTTACCGGTTAACTCGCAGAGACGCTGCTCGGCGGTGATGCTGCTGCGGAGGCGGTCGTTGATGACAGTCTCGTCTTCGGAGTCGCTGGCTTCGTCTTCGGAATCCAGATCGTCTTCTGAGGCGGGGGCGTCGTCGTGCGCTGGCTCGAGATCCAGACGGGTTTTCTTGGCGTAGGTGCGCTCTGCGATGGAGTGGATCTTTGTGATGAGGGATTGGGTTTTGGGTGGGATTTCGTGGATTAGGCTTTGGGTTTGGAAGAGAGTGTCTTCGTCGGTGTCTTGGCCGGTGTTGCGGAGGGTGCTGAAGAGCGTTTGGAGGTCCAGGTAGGTTGTTGTCGCTGTGAAGCGCAGGTCTTCTAGCCCGGGTCGGGTTTGCATGATGTTGACGAGGGTTGAGGCGAATGTTTCGCGGCTCTTGGTGAGGGCTTCGAAGTAGGAGGTGGTGAATGAGGCTTTGCCGGAGTTAAGGGCTGTGGAGAGTGCCTGCACCTTCCACATGAAATAGAATAGCAATGTCCTGATGCTGCTTGCTACCAGCTCGGTCTCGGCCTTGGCGGTATCCTCGTCGTCATCTTCGACGTGGAGACCACGCTCGGCGAGACGGATGAGGATGTTGAATGGAGCTTCGATGTGGTCCTTCTTGGATTTCGATCGTGAATTCGGCACGGCTTCGAGGATAGCGGCGCAATCTGTGATACCGGCAAGATTCGAGATGCGGGAAACGGTATTGGCGAGGTCGGTGAGAGTTGGATCGAGTATTGAGCCACCTTGTTGGACTTCCTTCTTCTGGGACAAAGCACCTAGTGTCTCTATAATGTCATCCCATAACTCCTGGATCTTGGTCTCGAGCGCCTCTCGCATTTCCTCGGAGCTCTTTGCATGCAGGAATGCCACGCTAGCTTCGGCCAGGACGTCTTGGTCTGAATGGGTCAAAAATTGCTTGTTGATATCATTGAGCAGCGACGAATAAGCCGTAGCATCCTTCTGGAGATCCTGGATTGTGTCCAGATCCACAAGGTGCTCCAGTCGCAAGACAACAGAAGCGGTTTCGGGTGTAGAACCGAACTTATTGAGAAGCTGGGGAATAATCTGTGCAAGATTGTGAGAGATCTCCTCTTGCAGCTCTGAGGTCTTGGCTGTCAGAGCCTTGGTCTTGCGCCCGCGCTTGTCGCTATCAGCCTTGGTAACATCGAGGACACGGAGCTTGACTGCGGCACATAGCACCTCCAGAAGGATAGATTCATGTCCCTCTTGCATTTTGTACATGTTCTTCACAACGCCTGCAGTGTCATCCTCAGACGGCTCATCGACGATTTGTGAGTGATCATAAAGCAGATATCCAGCCAGCGATGGCCAGTGAGCAAGCTCTTCCATGTGGGGGAAGACGGCTTCGGTGGCGAGAGCAAAGCGCGATTCCACAGGCACTCCCAGCAGTGTGCCTCGAGAGATTTGCTCGGGTTGCTGTTCGGTTCCTTGTGCATCGTAGGCCAGAAATAGATCTGCGAGGCATTTGTACTTGATCCATGAGTGCTTCGGCGATTCGTAGTCGTCTTCATCGTCGTCCTCAGCCAGCAGGTCATTGATCTCCTCTCCCACTTCCTCAGTGGCGGCATCGTACGCATCTTGGACGTTGGAAACGAAAAAGCGTCCGGCTGTCTTCCGAATTCGGGGATCCAGATCAAACACGAGTCGGCCGACGGCATCGATATCATTTGGCTCGAGTAAGCCACCTTCACGAAGGTGATTAAGTAGCTCAATCGCAGTGATGCGCACAGAAACATCGGCATCCTGGACAGCAATCTCCACAATTCGCTGGCGGAAGCGTTCGGTGAACGAGTGCAAACCAGCAATGTTGTCTCGGTGCTCATAAAGACTCAGAAGCTCAGTCAAGGCAACAAGTCTGGTCTGCGCAACGACATCGGCGAGTGTCCATCCCAGGTATCGCAGATATTGGCCCTCAAAGAACATCTCGCGGTATGTACGGATCCATCCGCCGAGAGCTGTCAAGCACTCGGCACGAATCTGACCGTCAATGTCGCGGTAGCGATGGACAAACACAGTGTCAAATCCATCCTGCAGGAACTCGTCTAGTCGTTCCACTTTCTGTTCGCCTTCTGTGACAGCTGCCTGGATGGCTTGCACGCGACCCTTGTTCACCGTCTTCTTTTTCTTCTCGCTTTCAAGCTGCTTGCGGGAAGTCGAGACGCTCGTCGTCACCTCGCGCGCAATGCTACACAAAGCGTTCATGATTGAGAGGGAAATTAGAGTTGCGGTATGACGGAATGGTCGGCAGTTCGAGGTGGACATTGTAGAGATCCAGATTTGGATGTTCTCGAGCAGGGCATCATCGGTGTAAAGAATAGAGGAGGCATGGAAAGTTTGAATCAGAGCAACGGTGAACTCCTCGAGGAGGATGGAGAAGGACTTGAACTTCTTTGCTTTGGAAATGATAGGGTAGTCGACGATGCCTTCTGCCTGGTAAAGATTTTGCAGGTCTCCAATGCGACCTGGCGCATTATCGACATCTCTCGCTTCATCGGTGTCAATCTCGAGATCAGTCCCTGTACATCGCAGGATAAAGTTGACAAGATCCCGTAAAGCCTCGTAGTTATTGCGCTGGTATTGAGACAGCCATTGAGCAGCCACTGTATCGGCATTGCCGCCTTTCCCGAAAACCTCCGCTAGAATTGACGTTAGCTATGCAACGAATTGTGCATACAAGAAAAAGCAGTCACTCACCGAACACTCCATGTTCACCCGCTGCAAGACTAGGTCGTACTTTCGGCTTTCGAGGACGAGCGGCGGGTAGTCGGCCATTGGAAGCCGGCCGAAAAGCGAGCTGTCTCCCTAGCCCGTTGCTCGCAACCTTGGGTTTCTTCGACGCGTGCGATCCCTTGGCCTTGGACTTCGATTTAGTCTTCTTCGCACCCGCGCGACGTGCAGCGCGCCGTTCTTCTTTCCGAACCTCCTCGTCAGTCTCGTCGCCGGCATCACCCTCGGTATCAGACTCAGACGCGTCTTCATCTCCCTCCTCGCCCGGCTCGCCTCGCTTGCGCTTTCCACCGGCAGCATTTTCTTCGGCGGAATGTGCGGTTTGCGAGAAGACTTCGGGTCGTCGCGTCTGCCGGCCTGATTTGCGTCGGTCTGTGGCGGGGGTGGATGACGGGTCACCGGGGCTTGATAGAGGTGGATTGTCGATATCCATGGTGTTGGACAAGTGTGTGGGTATTCGTATGCGGTCAGAGAGATAGGCCTGTCGGTTAGATCAATGGCCTTGAACAGAGTTGGCAGATGTTGCTGCAGTCAAGTTGGGGACGCGCTCGTGCAACGCGTGGGTTTGGTACGACCAGGCAAACAAAAATTGTGGGAGGATTGGAGTTTGTCTGCAGTGCAAGAAGTTGATATTTTGCGACACGCGCGCTGGTCTGTATTGAGACTGAGTTAATCAACCTTAAGCTCTTGGACAGAAAACGATCCGGGTCACAGCGTGGGGGAGACGCGACATCGTGCCTGGTAGCCTGAGGTTGCCTAGATTATGTAACCAAGCCACGAGGTTTTGTTGCCTTGTGGCTCAGGTGTCTACGGATGTACCACGGTTGTTGAATAATATTAATGTCGGACTCGCATCATTGAACCTTCAGGTTGCACTTGCGTCTTCCACTCTTCATGCGTGTATTACGTTGGTCGTTGGTTCATATCAAGTGCTGGATATTTGATCTTCCGTCTCATTTGTTTGTCCTAATGAATGTGAGGACAGTGAGGTCACTATCTGCTGCAGCTCAGAATCAGCCGAACTGATCAATCGACCCTTCGAACGTTGACAGTTCTATACTCTGTACTTAGTCTCGGTTAAACCTCTTGAACGCCGGGGGAGCTTATCGAGCGGACATTTCGACACCAGAACCAGACGCTAGGTTACATGAAGGCCGAGAGAGTACACATAGATGATAGCTATACAATATGCCATTGTAGGGGAAGCAGGGAGGAAACTGGCTGACATGTTCTAACATTGAAGTCTACCATCTGATTTCTGGTGAAGTATTGATCTGCTAGACTGTACGCCATTTGGCTAAAGGCTTACCACGTAGACCATGCAAGAGCAGTGCATTGAATGTCTGCCAAGGATCGTCAGTCGAAGTCTTTGGGGGTTGTTGTACAAAGTAGGTAATGGCGTGTGATCCCATGATCTCCCCTTCAATAGAGAATGCCCAGACTGATCTCCGCGTTTTCCATAAGTGTACATTGCAGATCAAGTGACATAGTCAGTGCATCGCCAAGAAGTAATCATCGCCATTGCGGAGTTACTCTTTGTCATAGAAACATCCTCCACCTTTCATTTCCCTTTTTTGCATTTTATTTCGCGTACAGCCAAGGAAATGGGATCATTTGTGCCAATCCCCCTTGAGAGAGGAGAGAGGAGAGTTGAGGGAAATGGTGAAAAGGTGGATTCGTGACTAAGAAGCTTCGTCACTTTCTTATAATATCCCACCTCACCTCAAATTCCGGGGTAAAACTATCTTTATAGCAATGGCAGACTGGCTTCGCTCAATATAACCTCACTATCTTTCTCAATTCTTCCCGCTTTTTCCTACCCTAACACTCACCAGCCCGCTTCTCTCTTCGACACAACATGCGGAAACCAACAGCTCCAATCCCCTCGCCCTTCCAGTCTTCCATCGCGAAGCAAGGACAGGGCAAAGTCGTCCTCTCGCTCCTCCCACCAAATAACCCAACCTTCACAACCCTCACCTACAAATACCCTCTGAAACTGGTCCCACGCAATGGCAACTTCATCCCAACCGCCGACCCCTCAGACCCCTCAGATACCTCTCCCCCGCGCCCCGTCCACCTCTACCTCCTCACCTACGGCGGCGGCCTGCTGCCCGGCGACCACATCTCAGTCTCAATTACCCTGGAAGCGCGAACTCGAATGGTCGTCACAACGCCACAAGGCAGCACGAAGATCTTCAAAACAGACCCAACCAACCCAGACCTCACCAGCCCAACCGTAATAAAAGGCCACCGAGACCGAATGCCCACAAATCTACACCAACCAGACATGAGCCAACAAACCCTGGACGTCCACATCGGCCCCCAAGCAGCCCTCTGCTACCTCCCCGACCCCTCAGTCCCCTACCGCAACAGCCGCTACGCACAACACCAAAGCTTCACCATCGACGCCTCCGCAAAAGGCCCCCACCGCGCCTCCCTCTGCGTCCTAGACTGGGTCACGCAAGGCCGCACCTCGCGCGGCGAGAACTGGGATTTCCGATTCTGGCGCGGCCGAAACGAAGTCTGGGCACGAGACGCAACAGGCAGAAGCCGACTTCTCCTCCGCGACTCCGTTGTTCTGGACGATGAATCCGAGCGGGACTTGGATTCAGACGACGATTCAGATTCATACGAAGAGCTAGACAACGCAGCCCGCAATCTCCACAATGGCTTGGTGAATCGCGCAGACAGGCCGTCGCAGACAAAGGCCGGCCTTACACCGCTGAATCTGATTGCTGAGCGGTGCGCTCCGCACGGCGTCGTTGGCACGCTTATTCTCTCTGGACCGGTCTTTGAGGCTCTGGGAGCTTTCCTTTTGCAGAAGTTCCAGTCGCAGCCGCGGATTGGGAGCAGGAATTGGTCGGATCAGGCGCCGTCGTCGGCGCCAGAGCCGTCGGTTAGCTGTCGCGGGGATGTTACGTGGACTGCGGCGCGTGTGCGCGCGGGCTTTGTGCTTGTTAAGTTTGGGGCTAAGGATTTTGAGACTGCTAAGGACTGGCTTGGTGGGTTGATTCGGGAGGAGGGGAGTGTTGTTCGTGAGTTTGGGGAGGAGGCGCTTTTCTGTTTATGAGTTCGGGTATGTTTATTGGGCTCTCCGCTGGTCGAGGCCCGGATGATGCATAACATTATATCCCTCAGTCTTGTCCAGCTTTTTCTGGACCGAGACGATATGGTCGTACTTCCTATCCGTGCGTGTGATTGATTCGAAGTTATAGCGTTGACGCCTATCTAGGCCATTAAGGGCATTGGGTATACCTACATCACCCGAATTATGAGGGCTAGCATTCTCATTTCTGCACTGAAAGCGACAAGACCAAAAGTACGATTCATGATTGCGTTACCAATCAAGGCTTGCTCTTTATCACCCTCGTGTCTTTTCCATTTCTTTGCACATATCCAGTAGTAACCATAGCTACCCCAAGTCAGCATGAATATCGTGATATTGTGCAGCAACATCCGACATATAAGTAAATCTATGAACAAAATAAAGCAATAAAGCACAGTCAAAGCAGAGAGCCGAGGTATCTTAAAAAAGCCCAAAAAGCCAACCCGAAACACCTAGCATCACATCATGATCCATCATGAAATATGCAAAAAGCGAAAAAAAGATACCAGCCCACCGATACACAGCATGGCAATTGCACTAGAATAAATCACGGCCACCAATCAAAAACCCTCGAATTCCAATCCCCCTTGGTAGCATCAACTAAATCATCAACATTAAGCATATCAACCCCCTCCTGCGCAAGCACCCTCCAAACATGATTCCTCAAACTCCTCGGCCAGCTCGGCAGCGCCCAATACCGCACCTTCAGTCCCTGCCGATGCGCAGCCCGCACTTGCGCGCGTATGCGCTCCATCTGGGCCTGCGTGAAATGGAATGGCCAGGGATATCCGATTGCCTTCTTGAATGAGACAGAGGCGTAGAAGCTGTTCGTGTCGTTGAAGGTGTTGGGCGTAATCACTGCTGGCATGCCGGAATGGCCTTGGCCGAGATCTGTATCTGTGCCTGGAGGCGGAGACTGGATATCTGCATCTGGATGAGGGGGAGGGTTGTCTGCTTGGTTGGCGTCGAGGAGCTTATCGAGCGGGGCATCGAAGAAGATATCCCGGTAGGTGGCGTTTGCGGTTATGAGGTTGAAGGGAGTATTTCCCGTCCCGACGACTGTGACGGGGCGCTGGATGAGAGAATCGCCGTTGAAGTGGGTTAGATAGCCACGGTCACGGAGGGGAGCGAGGTGTTTCGTGACGGCGTGGTAGGTTGCCGGGCCGGCGGTTTTGAAGTCGATTAGGAGGATCAGGCTTTGGGAGGGGTTTGTGTCGAAGATGCCGTGGGGGTTTGTTTTGGGTTCTGTGGTGAATTTGGTGGTTGGGTTTTGGCGCTCGAGGATCGTTACAAGTGGGTCGATGTACATGGTTCGGAGGGTTAGACGCTCTGTTAGGGAGGATTTTGTGTGGCCGACGTAGAGCTCGTCGTCGAAGAGCCAGACGTCGGCTTCGACGCCTGTGCAGCCGGCTTGTAGGGCGGAGTAGAGTGGTACTCGACGCCAGTAGTCGTTGTGAGAGTGGCAGCCGACGGGGATGATGTCGCGCGAGATATCGGTGGGCCAATGCGTATTGCCCTCTTTTTTGGTAGCGCTATTGGCGCTGGGCAGCCAGTCATGGACTGCGCGATCGTATTCATCTGGGAAGAAAGAGAGGACGATGCCGCAGGTGACTGAAATAAATTGGATGATGCCGCTGTTATCGGAGTATAACTATGTCAGTGATGGCTCTTGAAGAAACATTTGTTTTATGTGTTTCTTGATTCGTGGGAAACCCACAGCATGATAAAAATACAGAGAAGCACTCGTCGCAGACCATACAAGTATCGTGAGCGACAAGATTTCCGCTTGAATTTGTTTTCTGATAGCGATGCGGGAGACGTTAAGGGCCAAGCCAAGGCTCTCCAGACTTGACGCCATGAGCGGGCCGGGGACCCCACCCGCTCAACGGAATTAACACGCACATTGATCTTTGGGTCCTCCATATCTTCCGAGTCTCTATAGGGATCGAAGTAGAGACTCGACATAGAGCCGTTCTGGGATGGTGGGAGAGTGCTCATGGCTGGATTTTTGGTCCGAGATCTCAGAGAGAAGAGAAGAAGTTGAAGAAGTTGAAGACATCGAGATGATAAATGTGAAAATCTGTCCCTCCGATGGGAGTTGAACTTTACTCCGCAGAAGTAAACTCACGGAGACATGAGGCCGATCCAACGTGACTGATTGGATCTGTGGGACGCGGCTTACCACTCCCATGGTTATGCTCGTGAGGTACAAACTCAGTACCTTGGAACTAAGATCAATTGTTTCACGTGCTGAGTTCTCGATGCTGATTGATTTATGCATAGCCCTAAAATAGTTGGGATACATTACACTTGCACATGCAAGCAATGAAGATACCCCCGATGTCGGAATACTTCCGATTGACTTTGTGCTGACGGGGACCGTTCACTGCTCAAAATGATGTGATCATCGTTGCCCATGATTGCGCGTACAGTTCCACTACAAGTCGGATTCCATGGAGAGAACCTTTACAGGAATGAAAGCATATTTCCTAGATGGTCGCTATATACAAGTACACAAATTCAAACAAATGCAAAATGCCCCTAAACACCGGGTTCAGACGAACACCCTTTTTTTGACAGAAATCTTTACTCGTCCGACTGCAAAGTCTTGACATAGGTCACAGCCCGTGCCTTGACTTCCTCGACCATCTTCTCATCTCCATTATCAGCAGCAAGCTTCTCCTCAAAGGCAAGCCACTTCTTGAACAAGAAACGGGCCTGCTTGGGCTTAAGTTTCTTGCTCGCGTCCACGCTAACGGGACCCTTCTTGCCACTCTTCAGGCCAAGAACTCGCTCGAAGAGACGGCGCACCTGCTCTGCATCGCCGACCTTAATCTCCAGGTCCAGGAGAATGTTCCACAAGTCAATGCGCTTGGGGAACGAGGAAAGGAGACCCTCGAAAACGGTACGACCACGCTCGATATCACCGTTAGCGGAGCGGAACTCCAGCTGGGCGAACTTGGAAGTCGTCTCGACGTGGGTGTGGGCGGGAAGGGACTGCAGGGCGCGCGGGAGTAGAGCGCGAGCGCGGTCGGGAGAGGCCATGGTGTCGAAGAGGAAACTGGCGTAGTTGTAGAAGAATTTGGGGGACTGGGAAGAGATCTTCTTCTTGAGAGCGGCGTAGAAGAGATCACTTGCTTTCTGTGAGATTGTTAGTATCTGTAGACTGAGGTGTATTCAAAGTAGACTGCACATACCTGGTTCTTGCCAGATTGGATGTAGATACTGATCATCCGCTCGTAGATCTCCTGGGGCTCGTTGTACTGGCAAGCACGCTGGAAGACCTCCTCGAGACTGTCGTCGTCACCGTAGGTGTTCTCCATGTTCAACATGGCGATCCAGATGTTCAGCTTCTCGGCGTCCTGGCCCATGGTGATGGTGCGGAGAGCGCGCTCGGCAATAGAGCGGGCCTTCTCGATCTCACCCAGCTCCAGCTGGAAGGCCATGTACTGCAGCCACAGCAGCGAGGAGTCGGGCTCACCCAGGAGGAGACGCTCGAAATCCGCAACGGACTGGGGGCCATTGGCATCCAAGTCACCGGTTCGGTCAACCTGAATCTCAGGCTTGCGGTTCTTCTTCTTCTTCTTTTTGGAGCCCTCGTCGTCGCTGTCGGAGTTCGCAGCATTGTCGGTCTGCACAGCGCCGCTCCAGTCGAAGCTGCTTGCACCGAGACCGCCAGCCTTGCTGGGCTTCTGGAGCGCTACCTCTTCGTCGTCCTCTTCGTCGCTCTCTTCCTCCTCCTCCTCCTCCTCCTCCTCCTCCTCCTCCTCTTCGCTGTCATCCTCTACATCAACGCCCCCCATGGACTCATCATCATCATCCTCATCGCTGTCGTTCTCACCGAGCTCGACACCGCCAGGACCATCAATTTCCATGCTGTCCTCATCCTCACTCTCATCGTCCTCTTCGTCTTGGAAGTGGGAAGCCTTGAGCGAGAAAGAGATCTTCTTCGACTCGAGGTCGATCTTGATGATCTTAGCCTTGACGGCATCACCCTCATCGTACAACTTGCGGGCATCTTCGACACGCTTGTCAGCCATCTCACTTCGGTGGCAGAGACCACTGATGTTCGAAGAGCCGTCAACAACGATGAAGGCACCAAACTCCTCAACCTTGCGGACCTTTCCGGTGACAATCTGGCCAACCTTGAGATCCTTCAGGGTGATCAGGGCCTTGAAGTTAGGGTCCAAGACCGACTCCTTCAAGCTCAACTGCAGCTTGCCCTGCTCGGCATCAACGAAAATGACCTTACCCTTGACCAATTGATCGGGCTGGAAGGCATCCTTCCATTCTTTGAGGTAAGAATCTGAGAGGTCGGAGACGCGGACGTAGGCAGTGATATCGTTGCTGACCGCCACGAAGAGACCGGAATCAGTGACCCGTCGAACGAAGCCGCGAATGACGTCGTTAGGCTTGATATCCTTAAGCGAGGAGATCTCGCGGTCCTGGACGGGGAGAGAGGAGCTGAAGACCTTGGAGGGACGCAGAGACAAGGCGATCTTCTTGTTATCCTTGTCAACAGCGATGACGCAGGCGCGGAGAACCTCGTTCTTGTTGTGTACTGTGGGGTTGGCCTTGGAGTAATCATCGGCAAGATCGATCAGGTTGACCGCGCCAACGAGTGACTCACCAAGCTGCATGATAACTTGGCGCTCAGTAACCTTGGTAACACGACCAGGCAAGATCATGCCAACGGAGATATCTCCAAAGGAGAGCTTGTCGTAACCTTGCTTGGCAGTGAGGTTGAGGTGGCCCTTTTCGGCGTTCACAGCGGTGACCTGGACCTTCAGAGCAGAGCCGATGGGGAAGTTCTTCTCCACATCCGTCAGCAGGGACAAATCATCCGCGGCATCCATGAGACGGAGTCTGCCGCGAACGTTGGGAGACAGGTTGACCCAGAGGCAGTCGTCGGCAATGTTGTTAACGAAGCCCATCCAAGAGGATCCAACTTGAACCTGCTCCATGTTCAGTGGGGCAGGGTTGGCGGCCTTCAAGTAGCTTGGCTTAAGAGAAAGCTCAAACACAGGGTACTTTCCAGTGCGGTGGCTGATGGGGAGGAACTTGTGGTTACGGGCATCGTGAACACCAAGGATCCGGGCTGAGAGAGCCTGCTTGGTCTTGAAGAATCGCAAAGGCTGCTTGCGATCCTTGATGTCCTTCCAGTCGTCGAACACCTCGGACACATCGATGCGACCTTGAATGTTATCGGCGAGCTGAACATTGAGCTGGGTTGCCTTGACAGACACGATCTTGCACTCAACAATTCTGCCGAAGGTGAAGTCGGACATGCTTTTGATGTTGTTATCAATAGGGTTGGCGACAGTGTCATCAGTCTGCTGCTTGGTGGCCTTCTTAGTGGAAGCCTGGGGAGCCACGACGGGCTTCATGCTCAAAATGAAGCGCTGCGAGTCCACATCCACCGACTGTACATTGAGAACAATTGTTTGCGCCTTTGACAGGCCGTAGTGAGGCTGCTCGAGGTTGGCGTCCTCAATGAGACGCCTGGGGAGCAAGCCAGTCAGGCCACCGAGGAACTCAACAAAGACACCATCAGGGGTGATATTGCGGACGAAGCCTGTGACGATGGAACCCTCTTGCACCTGCTCGAAGTCGCCGGGCATATTGTTCTGCTTGGCAGCTTTCTTCAAGCTGACCCTGGTGGAAACCTTGATGAGACGGTGAGCGCGCTGGATGCTGAGAACGAGAAGTTCGTTCAGCTTCTGTCCGACGCGGAGCTTGGACATCATAGAGCTTTGCTTGGATGGGGAGCCATCGATGATGTGCTGAGAATCAAGACGTGCCACGAGGCCAGACTCGTCAAGCTTGATGAGAACATCGTCGTTGGATTTCTCGAAGACGGTTCCAGCAACAAGGTGGCCGGGGTGCAGGTTCTCGAAGGCCTGGCGATACTTCTCGGTAAATGTGGAGGGGTCCTTGCAGGAAACAGCGAGTCTCTCAGCGGATGCATCAACGCTCAAAGCGTGAACATTAACGACCTGGCCGAGCTTGAAGTGCTGGGCTGGATCCTGGATGTAGGCTTCACTCATCTCAGAAACGGGAAGGAAACCGCGGACTTCACCGTAGAACTGCACAACAGCACCGTGGTTTTGGAGGCTGACAATGGTACCAGGAGACTGAGCCGAGGGACTAATGTCTGTGTAGTCCTTCCAGATAGCAGACTCGCTGTTGAGCAAACTCTTCTTCAGTGTCAAACGAATTTGGCGCTTCTCGAGGTTCACAGAGAGAATTCTCAGCGAAAGCTTCTGGCCCACGCGGAACTTCTTCTCGGGGAATTGAAGCATGGTATCCGCAAAGTGCATAGAGGGGACAAGACCAGTGATTCCATCGGCAAGGTTGACAATCAATCCGTCCATGCCATTAGGACCAATCAAAAGCTTCTCGACCTTTCCTTTGACAATAGCACCAACATTCACATCCTCGACGCGAAGGAAGGGTTGCTCGATAACGGACTTTTCAAAAGAGAGAATGTAGAGGTTATCAATCGGGTTGTACCCGATGACTCTTGCCTCGTGAACAGCATCCAACTGGAAGGCTCCCGAAGACTCGTCAACTGTTTCGACCTTGCCATCAGAGAGTCTGGACATGTGGACGAATCCCATGTGCTTTGTCTCTCCAATACGAGCATACACACCCAGACCCTGATCAACCTTAACGACCTTGGCATCGGGAATGATTGCAGATATAGCAGGCGCATCATCAGCAGAACCGGGGCCGCGAGCCTCTGAAGAGAGCTTGAGCACGTGGTCGAGCAAAGAGAAGCCAACCTTGAGGGGCTCAGCAGCCGGGAATGTTGAGATAATACGGCCCTTGATCTTGGCGCCGATCTTGTATTTCCTCTCCAAGTCAACTTTGCCGTTGATGCTGCACTGAACCAAATCAACGGTTGCATCGAGCATGCCCATAATCTTTCCGATCATTCCGTTGGATGTGACTTCAGTAAGAAGAATCTCTGCAGCGGTACCAGGGAGGAAAGTGTTGATTGTAGGTGCCGAGCTGAGGTAGTTGGACTTCTTGATCGAGGCGGAAGCTTGGAAGTTGGAGGACAGCTTGATGACATTGCCACTGGGGTTCTGACCAGTAACCATGCAAAGGAAGACGGATCCTTCCTTGATGTTAGAATAATCCACGCGAGGGTCTGTTTCCTTGGAAGACATGAAACCCTTCAAGTCCGATCCTTCAATGCCAAGGTCCATGACCACACCGTGATCTTCCACGCTGACGACAGACGCTTGGACAGCCGAGTTCACAGCTAGATCGGACTTTGAGAAGCCGGTGTTGGTCTGTCTTGGGTCGACCGAGAGCTCAATGTGCCTCTTGCTCTTTGCCTTGGGATCTTCAGGGTTGGCGCCTGTAGACACAACGCATGCGCGTAGATATTGACCGAGATAGAAATGGTCCTTCAGCTCGAATGATTCGTCATCTGAGCTTTCCTCGGCATCGTCATCTTCACCCTCGTCGTTTAACATCTTCTCGAGTCTATCTTCAAGTCCCTTCGAAATCGATGTGAGAGGAACGTAACCGGTAAGGTTGTTGGGCAGCGAGAGGGCGATGTCGTGGGCATTGATACTAGAAACTTGACCGAGGACCATGGCTCCTGGTACAAGACGCTGCGATTGTTAGATTTATACGGTGTAAGCAGATCTTGAGAACGCACCTTGAAACTGAGACCCTCAATGCGAACGTTTTGCTTGTCGTCAGTTCCCTTGTCTGCGGACTTCTTAGACTTTGACTTCTTCTTGCGCGACTTCTTGGTGGCTGTAGTAGTCTCTTCATCCTCCATTTCGACGTCGTTGTCGCTTTCCTCGTCAAAGTCTTCGGCAGGCTTTTTCTGGGCAGACTTCCGGTCTCCGACTGCTTTCTGCTCGAAAAGAACATCTCTGTTGGCCTGGATCTGGATTTGCTTGCGCTCCAATGCTGTCAGAACACTCGCGCCACCACGAGGGAACGAGGGTTCGTCGTCGCGCAGCACGGAAAGCTCTGAAGCCTTTGCGGCGGTGGATGTGCCATCTTCCGGCTTCTTGTGGTCTTTCTTGCCTTCTTCAGCACCAACTTTGGCACGTTTTTGGGGTTGGCGAGTATTGATTTCTTCGGGGGCATTCCCCTTGCGCTTAATGGGCGCCATAATTGAACTGGCAAAAACCGAATCGTGCAGTTGCAGATTGCGGTCTGAACAACTCGAATGAAAAGATAAAAAAAATTCCGCCGATGCGGCAGAAACTTTTGGGCGGTGTAAAATAGATATGGGGTCATGAGTCAGCATGTTGATGCCTTAGTTAGGTGACCCGCAGGGCCGCAGGTGACCCTGCAGCCCTAACATGCCCCTGCCGCTGCAAACTATGGCGGGAAAGACCACGGAATCAGAATCAACTTTTTCTCTTTGCATCAAAACTCATGAAACTCAGGCCTGAATACCCAAATCTCACTTTTATTTTGATATTAAAATCCGAGCTAAGGAGGATGACATGTCTCGCTTTTTGCTGACTGCTGAAAGCTTCACGTAAGTAGTCTCTTCAATGTCCGCTTTCGAAATTCGCGTGATGACATTTTTGACGACCATCGAAGTCTTGTAGCAGTACCAAATGTAGCAGATTCTAGAGGGATATTGTTATTATAATATATAACCTATTTTTGCACTAGAGAAGCTGTTCCTCGTAAATAGGAGATCCTTACCTAGTACCACTCGTAGGGCAGGTCGAAGATCTAGCTTAACTAGTGAAGGTAGGAAACATGCAATTCCCCAGAGGAATAGGAAGCCGAGTCTAGAGTCTACTGCAAATACCCGCCTACAATATCAAAAGCTAATGGAAGTAGAAAGTTAAATAGAAAGGAGTGATACGACGATGAAGACAAGCCCCAATCGTACCAAGCGCGCCAACACACCTCCCTGCGTTGATATGTCCCGCTCAACGATACATTATTCCTTGCTGTATCAACTTTTGTGCGAGACCCACGATTTTGGAGCAAAATTAGTTTACACACTATAGAAATCGAAACTTCAAAGGCCTGTCGTGTCTATCGTTGGTATAAAAAGCCCAATATAATGCGCGCGAGAAGATACTTGAAATAGCTCCTGTTCAAATATCATGTCCAAGTATGCAATTCTGTTAACTGTTAGAAGCATCGAGTTTGCCTTACAAAGAAGGGTACATGCATTCAATTGTGAAAGAACAAAAATCAAAAGCTCACTATTCATTGTATGATCATGGCTAAAACCACCATATTTCCATGTTACCTTGGTACTTTGATATACTCTGTTCCCCCCCTTGTGGAGATATCAAACATGTCCGACAAGAAAGGATCCAACAACCAGCAGTGCAGCCTGCTTCCAGCACCCGAGCGATACGAAGTCTCCACACCAGAGTTCGACACAGCAGCCGACGATGAGCTAGACCCCACCAAGCGATATCACAGAGGTGTCTTCGCTGAAAGAGGTCCGGAGGGCAAAGGAGACCTATTTCATGTGACCGGCGACATCATCGCCGCCGGTGGCATGAAATTCAAGGTGAAAGAGGGCATGGTGCCTATAGAGACCATGCATTATTACAGAACCAAAGAGGTTGGATGGATTTACAAGGCCGATTATCCAAAGATATATGATATCTTAGACGCCTTGCCCACACCGACCAAACAGCAGGGACTTGACTTTTGGAGCCAGGGACCTGGGCGGAATAGGCTTACATTGACATGAACGAAGGAGAATGGGGAACTTTACGGGCCAGGCGAACAACGACGGCCAATCATGAAGTGCAATGAATGGACACATCAGGTTGCGATTCCGAAGTTGCGACAGGAAGGAATTTTACATCGCTAAACTTGGGGTATCGGTTTGCCACCATCATCAACATGATGAAGACTCGTTCTGCAGGCTCAGACGGTATCCGTGGACCTCGCCAATCCACAATCCTCCTATGGGGAAGAATTTGGAAGTCTTAGAGTTAGTAGGATAACTGATATCTTTTCTCTTTTCCTTTTCTTTTCTCTGGAGGTAATTGAGAAAGTCCGATCGATTTAGTCCTAAACCCAGTTAAGCAACCTACATCAGCCGATCGCAAGCCCTCTGAAACAGTTGCATTACTACGCCGCTGTATAAGCGCCAGGGGCCAAAATGCCGTTTCTAACTAATCTTGATGCCTTAATGCCTGACTTTGGCCTTATTTTGCCTAGGAGCCTGAAATTTTGGCCAGGCCCCTGACCGCCTTTTACACCGCACTGTACAATGTAATGTAAATTGTAATCAGATGCTTGTAAAATTGAAGCTTTTTGTCCCATACAAATGCATGCATCTCCAGTTTCGAAGGTGGTTTACTCTCCATGTGTGAGACTGAAGCCTTTTTGTCCCATACAAATGCATACAACTCCAATTCGAAGGTGGTTTACTCGTCATGTGTGAAAATAAAGCCTTTTTGTCCCATACAAATGCATGTATCTCCATTTTTGAAGGTGGTTTACCAGCGCTCTCTCTCCGGCACGGAATAATGCACAGGTAAACCTCGATGCTCTAATAGCTAATGAAACCTTTACAAGCTAATCCCTTACAGTATTTTATGTTAATTCCAACCATAGGTTAATTCTAAATTCACCTAAATACACCCAGACAAACCGACCATGCATTTTCCCATAACTAGAGATGTATGCGTTTGTATGGGACAAAAAGGCTTCATTTCGCACATGGAGAGTAAACCACCTTTGAACTTGGAGATGTATGCGTTTGTATGGGATAAAAAGGCTTCATTTTTATGGCTGGACAGCTAGCTAGCAAAAGTAGGTAGTTATGGTACCTCGCTTATTAAGTCAAGTGTAATCGTAATTCAGACAGCCCTATTTTTCTGCCCGTCGTAATTCAGGCTCCTAGGCCAAAAACTCAGGCTCCTAGGCATAATCAGGCCAAAGTCAGGCCAAAGTCAGGCATTAAGGCATCAAGATTAGTTAGAAACGGCATTTTGGCCCCTGGCGCTTATACAGCGGCGTACTACATGGCCATCTCGGCGGGCCATATTTGAATAAATTCCTGGACTCGCCAGGGCCAGTCTTCATTCTAGTCGAAACCATAAGCATAATATGATGCACAAAAGAATTCCCAGAAATCAGGGAACCAACCAGCGTGCTTCCAATCGACCAGTACGACGTCAAATGATCGCCCGCCTTGATCGTCTGGGCGAGTCGTGTTCTCCACGACCATAATGTTCGTCCGCTGAATGTTCCCATGCGTCAAGGTGGGCCGGTGACCTTGAAGAACATGAGGGAGATACTTTTCGTAAAAGCGAGCTTTGTAGTCTGGCCAATTAGTGTGTTCGACGTAGGCTCTGTAATTGCCAACAAGGCCCGCAACGAAGGCGGGTTCGTCGGGGAAAGGCCCTAGAAATTTCTGATCGCCATGTTCGCTATAGAATAGGTAGTCGTGTACGCCACCCCCATCCAGGCCTCCAAAAAAGTCGGACCATGGACATTCGGCTTTTCGCATTGCGTCGAATATTCCTTGGAGTTTCGCGATTTCAAAGATTGCCAAATGGCACTCAGTGGCACTCCGGGAATGCGCTGCATGACCAAGAAAAGTTGTTTAGAATCATTGGAATCATAGTACATTGTGTACAGTCGAGGGGCCGGAACCTCTGGGACGTGTCGTTCAAGGTAAACCAAAGCCTGGCCTTCCCACTCGTTTACATAACCTCCATATTTTACAACGATATCGTCGTTCAACACCACGACCTTGCTGGCGCAGGTCTCCCTCAGAACATTGGTGCAAGCGCAGATTTCATCTGTTGTGGGTAGAATAGGCAGAGGCTGGGTGTTCTGAAAGGGAACAGCTACTGGTTCCCACATCGTGAATAAAGCAGGAGTTGATGGAAGACGGAGGTAATATTGGAATTGGGATGATTGCCTGAATGGAAGGAAGATGAGCGGTCAAAGAAGATCAGTCAAAGAAGTACGCATTTCTCCTCGGACGACAGGTGCGGATTTTCTGGTCATAGGTGTGAAATTTCCTAGCGCAGGCTGCCCGGAAATAACTACTACACAGTACGTACGCTACACCGAGTTCCGGGTAGACGCATGTTTAAGCGAGCATCCCGCAACTGGTAAGCCTCCCGCCAACTGGCAAGGCTACAAATTGCCCGAATAATCCCACTGCGACACGTGCCACGTCTGATCTGCTTTTTAATTCTATGGCAAAACTTAGGTATTGATCTTGCAGGGTTGGTTTACAAACTGCTTAAATCTGTTGGCTCGAATCCAGAGAACTCTGGCTGGATAGGACTAGGAGCGGAGTGGGAGGGTTTTCAGATGTTGGGCAACGCGGGGGCCACGCCTTCCTCTTAGATAACAAGATATCTCGGCGCTGCGCAGCTCACACATTAACGAAAGCGTCCATAGTGCCCATTACTGGGATTGACGGCCAGACGCACAGATCGAAGGCTGAACCAGCGCAACGACGGCAGAAGGCCACTGGTCGAGAAGCATCACCCGTGCGAATGAACATGCTACAGGCATGATGATAGATTGACTTGATGGAACTACAGTAGGTCGCTAAGGGTTGCCGACATACTGTCTCGATTCGTTCGGTGACGCCACCTTTGCTACCCCAGTTGTCGCCATCCCCGAAGCCGTTACTTCGCGGACTTAGGCCCCGGACTTACGTTCAACGGCGATAAGACGTCGGTCATAGTCATAGCGCGCCTTTGTTCCATGAAGCCCGCCCGGGACAGCCTGGGGCAGGTTCAAAAAGTGGGCATGGCCGTCGAAAAGGGGGCACGTATACCAGTACTCTATGTTGCACAGTTCTACCACCACACAGTCTACGCCCAGATATAATATGCCCGAGATTGGCGGAAAGGAAGTCGGCCCCATTGGCTTTGGCCTTATGGGATTAACCTGGCGAGCAACGCCGCCAACGCAAGAACAGGCCTTTGCGGCCATGAGCGCTGCAATCAAGGGTGGATGTATGTAACGAGTTTTTCTAGCCGCCAGTTCTGCCGTGTCCCTTCTCGCTAACGTCTATAGGCACCTGTTGGAACGGCGGTGAATTCTATGGTCCGTCCGATTACAACAGCCTCGTTCTCATCGAGCGGTATCTGGAAAAGTACCCCGAAGATGCTGACAAGATCGTCCTGAATATCAAGGGCGGAGCCAACCCCCAAACCCACCAGACCGACGCCTCGCCGGAGAATACGCGCCGCAGCCTGGATGACTGCATTGCGCAGCTGAAGGGCCGCAAGAAGATCGACATGTTTGAATTCGGCCGTCGGGACCCGGCGGTCCCTCTGGACGTGACGTTTGGGCTCATTGAGAAGGAGTATATCCAGACCGGCAAGATCGGAGGCATTGCGCTCTCCGAGGTGCGGGCGGAGACCATCCACGAAGCTGTCAAACACACCAAGGTCGCCGCGGTGGAGGCTGAGCTCTCCTTGTACGTTATCCTCGCCGTTTGAAAACGGGTGTTAACTGAAACAGGTTCTCCACCGACATCCTGGGAAATGGCGTCGCAGCGGCCTGCGCTCAGTACGGGATTCCAATCATCGCCTATTCTCCCATCGGCAGAGGCATGTTGACCGGTCAATTCAAGAAATTCGACGACTTCCCGCAGGACTCGTTGCTGGTCTCTTTCAACTTCCCACGCTTCCGGCGGGAGAACTTCGAGAAAAACGTGCAGCTGGTAGAGAAGGTCGAGGAGATGGCCAAGAAGAAGGGCTGTACTCCCGCGCAGCTCGCGATCAATTGGACAAGAGCGCTCTCTCGACGTCCCGGGATGCCCACTATCATTCCCATTCCTGGCGCTACCACTGCGGAGCGGGTTGAGGAGAACGGCAAGCTGATTGACATCACGGATGCGGAGATGGCCGAGATTGACGATATCCTGACCAAGTTCACCCCTGCAGGTGGTCGGTACCCCGAGAGCTTCCAGGTCAACACCTAGAGTATTGTATCTAGACTGTATCAACTTAGCTATCAACCTGAACTGTGCGGATTGCTCGACTTCATAGATGTGTATTGCGTATAGTCTGGCCGTCTCTCCAGGAACTGAAAGTGGTAATTCATCCGAATATACGCCAACATCAGCTTCATTCCAAGTGTTCTTTACCTGGCGAATAACTGGAGTATGATTGCTAGCCAGCTGGTAGCCAAGTAGATATGGATTCCAGGTCGTTGGGCAAAGTAAACCGTATGGCGTATCACTAAATCATGGTAGGTATCGCCCTGAGAGAGGTCGCCTCGAGGTCCAGCCGGGCACTTAAACCCATCACGGGAGCAGATCAACTACATGGGCCCTGATGAAGCAGCAATTTCTTTTGAGTGTACCTGAATAGAAGAGCTCTCTAGGGCTGGAGAAGAGAGGCGATGAGTAATCTTCCGTTTCCGCAACCTAATCGGCAACAAAGCAATAAATAATCTGAATCCACCCAGATCATACCCAGATGCCCAAATGCCCCAAATCCCAATACCCCAATGCCCCAATGACTAGACTGCCCAGACAAGGAAGCAATCAAGCCTCCACTACTTACGTTGGTGTGTGATTGACACTTAAGGACTGGCCGTCTTTCGTTATCACAAAGTCAAGACGCTCGGGATGGCTGGTGGCTTCCTCCCATACCACGAACCCGGAAGTATGTACCGAAGCATATCCCGATTGATTTCTGCTCACGCTGATCAATCCCAGTTGTCGAAATCCTCATCATCGTTTCTTTCTTCTTTTTCCTATCTCTTGCAAGATGGGTATCCGCAAAGATAATCCAGGCCGGAATCATCGGGCAAATCGCTGTCGGCATCATCTACGGTGTACCTTTGGCCAACATCCTGAAACATAATTGGCAAGAGACTTTTCTCGCACTAGGCTATGTCGGTCTGATCTTAATCATTTTCGAAGGTGAGTGTGACTTCTTTTCGTCTCAGCTCATGGAGTCTGGACCCTGATGTCATCCATTCTAGGCGGGCTCGGGACCCGGTTGGATCTGCTTAAGCAGAATTTCACGTTGAGTATGGTTGGTGCGACAACCGGTGTCTGCTTTCCTATCGCTCTTTCGTACCTGCTACTCTTTCTTGGGTTTGGATATGGTATGATTCGTCTGTTCTGGTCATCGTTGAATTCAATCAAGCTAACGTCTATCAGGCGCGGTGGAGACATTTATTCTTGGCGCATCTCTTTCTGCGACCTCATTGGGTAAGCTTAATTCGCAACGTTGATCAGAAGTCTCGCTTAGGATGTTTTGATGTGACTACTGAGAATCTATTTGCTGAAGATCATTAGGAACCACATTTGCCGTTATCAGCTCTGCATCTGGCTCGGTTAATCTTTCGCAGACTCGAGTAGGGTCAGTTCTCGTGAGCGCTGCTGTCATCGACGACGTAGTAGGACTTGTTATGTTAAGGTGAGCTGTCTGTTCGAAGGCATGGTAAATGTATTACTAACTACATAGTGTTATTGGTGATCTGGGCCATATATCAGGCGGCGGTGTTAACCTGGGGTGGCTCATCGGACGTCCTATAGTGGCCTCAATAGGCATGGCTATCGTAACGCCCATTGTCACGAAGTGGGTATTTGCACCTTTATTCCGAAAGTACATTGAGTACCACTTTGCGCGCTTCGATCATATCTCTAACATCATTCTGATGATACTTGTTCTTTCGGCATTCGTTGCCATCGCTGGGTTCACCGGCACGTCCGTGCTGTTCGGTGCCTTTCTAGCAGGTGTATTTCTCACATATCTCCCGAGCAAGCGCCCCGAAGGGCCATTCGTTGTCATGAGTCGCGAAGAGGGTGAGCGTGAGGCTGACAAAAGTCCAACCTTCGTGCATACTTTCGAGAAATATCTGCTAGAGCCACAGAAATACTTGATGGAACCTTTGTTCTTCGCAAGTATTGGATTCGCGATCCCGTTTCTGGATCTATGGACGGGGAAGCGAATTTGGAGAGGCGTGGTTTATACTCTCCTCATGGCATTCGCAAAGGTAATCAGAATTCCCGACTCCTAATATTTTTTCAGTCAATCAAGCTAATACATTATAATCAGTGTATCGTCGGGATTTGGATACCTGTCTGGCAACTCGCCCAGAAAGGCAAATCCCACGACAATCAAGAGCCATGCGAGCAACAGAACAGACAGGGACAACCTGAAAACGAAGAAAACAACGGAATCACCCATAAGGAACTGAGCGATCACGAGAATGAAGATGTATGGCATAGAGCCTGGCTCGCCGCAGTACTTCTAGGATCTGCCATGGTGGCTCGCGGTGAGATTGGACTACTGATTATCGAAATCGGACATAACGAAACTCCGTACGTTAGCGACGATGGTTTCATCACTGGGGTATGGGCCATTCTTCTGAACACCATTATCGGCCCGGTTACCGTCGGTATTCTGGTTCGAATCTACGCGAAAGAGATTGAAGAAGGGGAGTGGGGATCGCAGGATCTTTCTCCACCAGCTGCAAGTCATGAGATGGATCAAGCAGCGGTATAGACGATGCGGCATGGTCTTGGACCATCGCAATAATATGACACTCGGCGTGGAAGGTAACTTCAAATCTTATAGGTCGGTAGAGTGTTCCTTCAGAACCTTGGGTCTCGTCAGACAGTCAAAATCTAGAGAACAAGCAATGTTTCGAGAATCAAAGTGCCTCAAAGTACTTGCCATGTACACAGTAAGTGCAATGCTGGACAGGGAAGAAGGGGAAGAATGCCCGCTCCATTCGGATTACCTGTCTGCTGTCAAGCTGGAGGGTAACAGTAAGGCTATTTTCGAGGAGCCGCTTTGCTTGAGCTCCTTGTAATGTCAATTGATCATGATGATAATATCAATGCATTAAAATTTTGCCATAACTGTATTTGGTCATTCTTTGGAGCTGTGTTGACATTTGACCCTCGTGCGGAGTAATCCCACGCGTCTTCCAAGGTTAGTATGAAAGACCGAGAAACAAAACAAGAAAACAACTGAGCTCAGGGGCAAGAAGTCAACTGGGCGTAAATAGAAAGTGAAGGGATAGTGAGGATTAAATGAGGGAGTATAGGGAGTGGATGAAGAGTGAGGGGGGAGAAATGCGTGGAAGTCGTGGAAGTTCCTTGACACGATCGCGTCACGTCGCGACACGAAAAAAGCGTCCAACTTCCCTAATTCGTCAAGACTCTCCTTTAGTCAGTTTTTTAGGTCCACCAATGCATCAATAGCCTCTTCATTCTCGATTGTCTCTTTCTTTTCTGTTTGTTAATTCACAATGGCTCCCTTTGGTCTTCCAGAAATCCCCCGGTCAGAGCCTGTCCTTCCTCCTCCAGAGCCGCCCTCCTCCCCTCCGTCCATCTCTTCCGACGCTGGTCGTCGCAGAACTAGAAAGCCACCGACTGTCACCCCCCGGTCATTCCGTCGATTCTTTACCCCGCGTTCTCTACTACCGACTGGAGACAATACGATTACACCGACAACCAGTCGCCAGGCTCTACGGGCACTGACATCCCCCGCCGTGAATCGTCTTGGACCGGCATTCTCAAGAACTTCCAAGGCGGGCAGCACCAGAAGCCCTCACGATGGTTTACCAGAAGATTTTGTTCGTACTCCAAGCAGGAAACGGAAGAACTCGTTTTCCTCGGTTGTTTCTCCACAGTCCTCGCCTCTGAAGAGAGTCCGCGTCCGGTCTCCGTCGCATGATGTGCATCAAGATATCAGGGTTCCAGATCTCAACGTCCGTCTGGAAGCTGCAACACCGACAAATCCACCCAGACCGAACCCGCCTGTAGCGCCTGTGCGGCGCTCACGGGCATTGCAGACATCTGGCGCCTTGTTTATGCGAACTGTGATGGGAGGTCGGCTAAATAAAACAACTTTGCGATGTAACTCTGGCGTGGGTAGGTATTTCCCTCATGATTTCTTGTCCATTTCTAACCTTTTCTCTAGGCTGGCAAGATCTTACTGCCGACTTTTACTCACAACCGCGGGACGTCCACACTTGTACCAGCTATGCATCAGAAGGGTCAGTAGCCCTGCCATTTTGTAACGCTTCATGCAACAGTAAGTCTTGGTCAATCTAATAATCTGACCATACTAACGAGTGGGAAGCAAATTCACTAGTTGCAGTAGGCGATGAAGAAGGTGGAATTCGACTGCTGGATTCATCCGTCGATGTAGATGCCGGTTTCACTGATGCATACCTTGGGTTTCGCCCGCATATGAACTCGATCATGGATCTGGAGTTCTCATCTGACGATATGCTACTGGCTACGGCATCTGGAGATCAAACGTCTCTTATCATTGATATGACAACACAACGACCTATTCACTGCTTGTCGAATCATTCATCCTCCGTCAAGCGTGTCCAATTCCAACCAGCATCCAACAACAAAGTTCTTGCCACATGCAGCCGGGACGGAAATGTCAACATCTGGGATCTTCGCTGCAAAGGGTTCGAACGGCCCGCATTGCAAGTCCAATGCTCTCTAGAGTCCGAAATTGAGAACCCCGCGGCTTCTGCACCTCCGAAGATGCTGTACCCTCACGTTTTGAATACTATCACAGGAGCACATGCCTATACGACCTCGCAGAAACCGACCATGGACAAAGCTGAAGCGCCACCATTTGGCCGCACCGACATCACCGTTACTTCCCTCGCCTTCCTTTCCGCAGGCCGCGAGAATCTTTTTGTTACAGCTTCTGAGGCTAGCGCGAGTGTCAGACTCTGGGATTTGCGAACAGCACACAACAATCGTCGTGGCCGACCTGTCGTACCGCTAGCTACAACACAAGAACCAGAAAGCCATGCAAAGTATCGACGCTTTGGCCTAACTTCCATGGCATTCGGAGGCGACGGTGCACGCCTATACACACTTTGCCGGGACAATACCGTTTACGCATACTCGACATCCCACTTGATTCTTGGACATGCGCCTGAACTATCACTGAACAACAATCGTCCACGACGAACTGGAGGCTCTGACAAGGATGGTCTTGGGCCTCTGTATGGTTTCCGCCACCCCCGTCTCCAAATTTCCTCATTCTACGTGAAGTTGGCTATGCGCAAAGCAAGCCATGATCATCCAGAGATGCTAGCCGTTGGAAGCAGCAACCATTGTCCCATTCTCTTCCCCACCGATGAACGGTACCTCACCCCTCCCGTGAAAAAGCCGGATGAATCCCTGCCTAGCAGGACCTCGCTTTTCACCACCCGCTCGGGACTCCGTCGCACCAACTCTGGAATCGGTTTGTCCGGCCGTCTCGAGGATACAATTCCGATTCACCAATCAGGCACTCCTCTCGTTGAGGGCCATCAAAAAGAAGTTACCGGTCTGTCTTGGACACCATCTGGTGAACTCATCTCTGTGAGCGACGACTACACTGCCCGATGCTGGCGTGAGGGGCCCGAGGCTCGCGAGCTGCGGCGCGGTGGTGAAACTGAGGGTCAACGCTGGCAGTGCGGCTGGGCTGATATGAAAGACTCTATGGATGACGAAGACGAATGATTTGAGATTTATTGTACTTTTTCTCTGTTTGCATTTTTATACTGCTTGGGAGTCTGTTTTCTCTTTGTCTAGGGCATTTCACTGGCGCTTGGGAGGGCATACATTTTTACTATTTAGCGCCGCATACCCTTCAACTTCCATTTACGTTTTCGGGTTTATTTTATCTTATGACTCGAAGCATGTCCCTCATACATTGAGAGGATTCAATTACTGCATTTCATCTTCTAGTGAATGATTGTCATTGATACCTAAGGCTGCCACAATATTTCTGAGTCGTAACATATAAGTTTCCTGCTTCCAGGCCTGCAGAGACATTTCAATTGATCCAATAGTATTGATTGAACAAGAAAAATCATGATCTTATCATCTTATGGCATGAAGAGCGAATTCCCGCGATCTGGCAGATTCACGATGTACTCGGGCGTACTGTAGTTGATAGTCCGCGATAAGATAAGACCAAGCTCGATGGAAAAAAAAAGCCGAAGTCACCAACAACGCCAAACTTCAATCTCCCAAGACTCCAACACAACCCAAAATGCCTCACAAACACAAGAGACGCGGCGAAGCCGATAAAGAGTAAGCACTGAAACTCAGATCAATCCTACATAAAGCCCAAAACCAACCTAACCTCCTACCAGACTCTTCAACCTCCCCCCAACAGAAATCGCAAAAGCCCTCCCAGTCCGCGATGCCAGCAAGCCAAAGCTAGGCAAAGGCGGCAAGAAGCAAGGCGGCAAAAAACCACAATCCAAAGACCAAAACCCCAGCGCCAACAAAGCGCCCACCCACCGGCGCAAAAATGTCTCCGAAGACGACACGCCCAAAGCCTTCCTCCGGCTCATGCAATACCAGCAAACCGGCCGCCGAGCCCCGTCAGGCTTAGAAACCGGCGAACGCAGCAATAAGCGCAAGCGCAAGGCTGACGACAAAGACACGAAAGAGTCATCCAAGAAGACCGCCCGTGTAGCTGAGACGAACAAGGCCCAAACCAACACCAGCTCGAAGGACAAGCCTGAGATGCCGAAGATTATGCCCGGCGAGCGTCTGGCTGAGTTCGCGGCTCGTGTGGACCGGGAAATGCCGCTGTCGCAGATGACGAAGTCTGTTAAGTCTGGGGATGGGAAGGCTAAGGAGCAGCATAAGCAGACGAAGCACGAGAAGCACCTGCGGAGGTTGCAGAAGGGGTGGAGGGAGGAGGAAGCTAAGATTCGGGAGAGGGAGCAGGAGGAGCGGGAGGAGAGAGAGGATGAGATGGAGGTTGAGTTGCAGCAGTGGAAGGAGTGGGAGATTGAGGCTGGGAAGAAGAAGAAGAAGAATGCTGCGCAGAAGAAGAAGGGGAAGGGGAATGGGGGGAGGATGATAGTGGGGATGATGATCCTGATCCTTGGGCGAAGTTGAAGAAGAAGGATGAGGAGAGGAAGAAGAATCCGTTTGAGGTTGCGAAGGCGCCGCCTCAGTTGGTTAAGCCGAGGGAGATCTTTAAGGTGCGTGGTGGGGCTAAGGTTGATGTTGCCAATGTGCCGGCTGCTGTGGGTAGTTTGAGAAGGCGTGAGGAGTTGGCTGGGGAGCGGAGGAGTATTGTTGAGGAGTATCGGAAGTTGATGGCTGCGAAGAGGCAGTGAAGTACATAGGATTTATTGAGCGGCGTTTTAGGGGTTATGGATCTTTTTCTTGTATCTATTCGAAGGTTTCTTTTAGAGAAGTACATGTATATTCATATGCAGTTGCAGCAGAATTGCATTTTACTACTGCTGATCATCTATGTCACATCATATTACTGCCTTTTTTTGGGATTGGGGTAGTCAAATGAGCTCAGCCTCAGTGGCCGTGGCCGTCATCCTGCGGCTGCTCGGGGTCCAGCTTGATGATCGTGTCAATGCGCATGATGGCTATGCAAGCCTCCACGGCACTCTTCAGCTGCTTGACCTTGCTCATGCTGGGCTCCAGCACACCGGCCTTGAGAGTGTCGTGAACCCGTCCCTTCGTCAGATCCAAACCGTAGTTGCGGTAGGTCTTCTTCTTGGCGATGGCCTTCTCCTCTTCGTTGGCATCACCATCCTGCACACGCTGTGACAGGGCGTGGCGGACACGGAGCTGGGCAACGAGGTCGGATGAATCCTTTGCTGCATTGACTGCCAGAGTCTTGGGAATGACAAGGAGAGACTGTGCGAACTCGCCAATGGCCAGTTGCTCACGGGAGCCCTGTAATTTGGATGTTAGTAATGTAATCGGAACAAGATGAAATGAAAAGCACTTACCACTGTGACTGCGAATTCCTCTAGGTAGATGTGAAGTGCGGTTTCCACAGCACCGCCACCGGGAACAATGCTTCCACTCTCTAAAGTGCGCTTGATGGCACAGAGAGAGTCGTGGACGGAGCGCTCCATCTCGTCCAAACTGTACTCGTTGGCACCGCGGAGAATGATGGAAGCCGCACTGTGAACCTTGGTACCCCGAACCAAGATACATTCATCATCGGAGATACGCTCTTGCGTAACCGACTCTGCATGTCCAAGGTATGATGCCTCGAACTTCTCGTCTCCGTTGAGGTCAGAAAGAGTGCTGACCAGGGTGGCACCGGTAGCCTTGGCGATTCGACGCAAGTCCTCCTTCTTGCAGCGACGGACTGCCATGGCTCCCTTCTCGACGAAGAGCTTGAGAACCATATCATCGATACCCTTGGTTGTGAAAACGACATTGGCACCGGACTTCAGGATCATATCAACACGCTCCATAACAATACCGGACTCCCGCTGGCGGATCTTCTCCAACTGATCGGGGTCTTCGACTGTGATCTGAACACCAAGCTTCATCCGCTCCTTCTGCAGGTTCATGTCGAGACAGGCAATCTTGGCGTCGGTCACATGGGTAGTCATAGCCTGAGAAGCAACAGTGCAGTTCAATGCGTAGCCGTCCACGAGAACGGACTCGGTGCCACTCTTTCCGTGGGCCTTGAGTAGGTTCACGGCCTTGACTGGGTATTTGACCTCGCCTCTCTGGTTTACAGATTTCACTTGCAGCATTGCGTCCACGCACATGTTAGCAAAGAAATCGGGGTCGGAACCGATGATCTTGCTGGACATAGAAGTCTTCGCGATGTTGACCAAACTCTCCCTTCCGATATTATCCACCTTAGTCGTAACATTCTCGTTCATATACTTGACGGCTTCGCGCAGTGCAAGTCGGTATCCGTTGATGATCGTGGTAGGGTGTATACGGTTCTTCATCAACTCATTGCCTCTCCGCAGAAGCTCGGAGGCGATCAGAACGACGGAGGTAGTGCCATCTCCGACCTATTGAAAATGATGTGATCAGCGGTTGCCCTGAAAATACGTGTATGGGAGATCCATACCTCCTTATCCTGTTGTTGGGCCAGATCGACGAGGATCTTGCCCGCAGGGTGCTCGATATCAAGAAGAGAAAGAATGGTAGCACCGTCGTTCGTCACAGTCACATCCTGTCAGATATTAGAAGCTGCTTCCAAGCTCTGCGGGGTTCATCGCGTCCATACCCCTATGTCGTCCACCATCATCTTGTCCAAACCGGAGGGACCGAAGGAGCTCTTGATGACGTTTGAGATGGCCTGTGTTGCCAGAACTGCAAGGAATCAGCTACTGGGCCCTAGCAAACTCCATCCCATTGATAATCAAACGTACCATTCTGTTCACGGACATCAGCACCGGTGATTTTCTGCCCACCCAAGACTGTGCGAGACTGGTTAGTTCCTAGCCACGAGAACTGCAATCAATCCGAAAGAACCCACAGAGCGTGTCCGCATTCCGCGGCGCCTGGAAAATGCCTGCCATAATTAAAACAGACGAAGTGATATGAAGCTGTTCGAGTGCGATGGCAGAGCTGTCTGGCTTCGGGGGGTTGCTGTGGGCACTAAAAGTTCTGCCGAGGCGGTGTGCTAGTAATTTTCGATATCGCATCCCACTTTGAGGGGACTCATACCCCGATTTCGCTTGCTTGTCATCCTACTTTAGATTTGGGTTACCCTCTCGCTGTCTAGTCAGACACTCGCTTCTTCAACATGGCTAGCCAGAACCCCAGCGACGTTCCCGCCTCCGAGGGTGCTGCCCCCAGGCCCTGCCCGACCGCACTCAAAACCCCGCTGATAACCAGGCGGGTGAGTCAAAGAACGCCGCCAAGAAAGCCGCGAAGCTCGCGAAGTTGAAGGCCGACAAGGCCGATAAGAAGGCCTCGAACAAGGGAGAGAAGGGAATTGGCAAACCAGAGGCCAAGAAAGCTTCCAAGAAGAAGGTTGACGGTGCCGCGTTGATTGGTATCGATGTTTTGAAGGAGGAGGACTTCCCCGGCTGGTACCAGCAGGTTCTTACCAAGGGTGATTTGCTGGACTACTACGATGTCTCCGGCTGCTTCATTCTCAAGCCCGCTCTTTTCTTCATCTGGGAGGAGATCCAGGACTTCTTCAACAAGGCCATCAAGGGAATGGGTGTGAAGAACTGCTCTTTCCCTCTGTTCGTGTCTGAGGATGTCTTGCAGCGCGAGAAGGATCACATTGAGGGATTCGCCGCTGAGGTCGCTTGGGTTACGCATGCGTATGTCATCCTGCAGCAGCACATCCCATCTTTATACTTCAAAGGTCCGAACTGCGCTAACATATACTTCTAGTGGCTCGACCCCCCTCGAGAAGAAGATCGCCATTCGCCCTACTTCCGAGACTGTTATGTACCCTTACTACGCCAAGTGGATTCGCAGTCACCGCGACCTTCCTCTTCGCCTCAACCAGTGGAACTCAGTCGGTACGACCTTCTCCTCTTATCAATATCGTCGGAACATTACTAACATGAACAGTACGATGGGAGTTCAAGCACCCCCAACCCCTCCTCAGATCTCGCGAGTTCCTGTGGCAAGAGTATGTTTATATGCCCCATGTTTTGTGTGATATGACATACTAATGATATACAGGGGTCACACCGCGCATCTGACTGAGGATGCTGCTCGCGAGGAAGTTCTGAAGATTCTTGACTACTATGCCAAGATCTACGAGGAGCTTCTCGCCGTGCCCGTTGTCAAGGGCCAGAAGACTGAGAAGGAGAAGTTCGCCGGTGGTAACTACACTACTACCGTTGAGGGCTACATCCCCGCCACTGGCCGTGGTATCCAGGGTGGCACATCACACGGTCTCGGTCAGAACTTCAGTAAAATGTTCGGTATCACCGTCGAGGATCCCACTTCTACCCCCGATGAGAAGAAGCCCCCTCTTCACGTCTGGCAAAACTCCTGGGGTCTGTCCACCCGCTCTTTGGGTGTCATGGTCATGATCCACAGTGACAACAAGGGTCTGGTTCTGCCTCCCCGTGTTGCCGAGGTCCAGGTCATCATCGTCCCCGTCGGTCTCACCGTCAAGACCACCGATGAGGAGCGCGAGAAGCTCAATGCCGAGGTCGACGGCCTCGTTGCTGTGCTCGTTGCCGCCGGCGTCCGTGCCGACAGCGACAAGAGCAGCTACTCCCCCGGTTGGAAGTTCAACCAGTACGAGCTCCGTGGTGTGCCTCTGCGCATCGAGTTCGGCCCCGGCGAGTCTGCCGGCCACTTCGTTACCACCGCCCGCCGCGATATCCCCGGCAAGGATGGCAAGGGCACCCTCCCCATTTCCGAGCTGGCTACTGGCGTTCCTGCGCTTCTCGAGACTATCCAGTCTGATATGTACAACCGTGCTGATGAACAGTTCAAGGCCCACCGCATCAAGATCACCAAGTGGGATGACTTTGTTCCCGCTCTGAACAACAAGAACCTCTGCGTCATCCCCCACTGCTTGACCGAGGAGTGTGAGGACCAGATCAAGGATATGAGTGCCCGCAAGGCTGAGGAAGACTCCGGCGAAGCTGAGGATGCCAAGGCTCCCAGCATGGGTGCTAAGTCTCTGTGTATTCCTTTCGAGCAGCCCGAGGGTCTCGAGAAGGGTGTCACCCCCTGCTGCAACCCCAAGTGCCAACGCCCTGCTGAGAAATGGTGCATGTTTGGCCGTAAGTCTATCTGATGGTTTGTCCTACCAAAGAAACAAAACTAACTAAGTGCATCTAGGCTCCTACTAAGCTATCCCATTGTGTCCATATCGGATCTCTGATTTGATATCTTTCATCTGATGCCCCCGAACTACCGTCCAATCTGAAGCCCCGTTTATGTCGCCGAGGAAGGAAGCCATATCTTTCGCGACAATTAGTGCATGGAAACCCACATGGGCTGCAGTATTAGGTCATGACATACTTACACGGGTTCCCAGCGTCCTTTTTCGATATGTTAGCTTGTCATAATGGAGTTCAGGGGAAAAGGCAGGTAGTGACAATGATATTATGAAAATGAGACATGTCATTATTGCTAGGTTCTTGATATCTGTCTCCAAAACTATCCAGCAATCTCAAAACGCGGACTGCCTGGTTAGCTAAGTGCGATGTTGCTTTACTTAGTTACAAGCCTAGAATACTCGACGCCGTCGGTCCAGTAAGTTTGTGTAAAAGCCCAAAGGCCAGCCCACCGACTACCTCCCGCCCATCAAGCTGCGGTTGCAACAAAACAGTCGAAGGAAACAGCCATCCGGATTCTCACCGGACCACGATGGGCGTGCCCTCAGACGGCTAAAGAACCGAGAAAGCCGGCACAAAGAAGACTCGGAGGGTGGGTCCCGAGCGAAGCAATCGCCTGGAAGACCCTCCGCCTATAAAAGAGCGAGGTTTGGGAGGACTAGGAGAAAAAGGCGTTTGTCCTTGCACCATGGGAGAAGCGGATACCGTGTGGCATATGAATGGCAGCCTGGCTGTCCATGAACACCACCGTTTCTTTGTTGTCCCTTTTGATCGATGCTAGTGCCATCCCAAATTCCCAATGCCATTGAGTTCCGCTGCGTATACTGTGGCCTTGGCCCAAATAACATTGTTGCGATGAGATCTCGGGTTGGAAGCTGACCGTCGAAGTTTGCAAAAGAAATTGTCAAGATGGCATTCACGGACGGTCCACGGAAGCGGATTCGGTGGCCACATTGGGGCACAGAGGCCAACTGTCCAAGTCCCCAAGGCCACAGTATACGCAGTGGAACTCAATGGCATTGAGATGGTTGGCAGAAAGCCCGGTTCGACCTGGCCACTCTCTCCTTTGCGCGCGTTCTCAATCTCCACCATCCTGCTCACCTACCGCAGCCGCATTGAAATTGTATGGTGAGTAACGCGTTAATGCGTGTCGACATCGGGGACTTCTGTGGAGCCGAGGAACAATCCCTGCTCTTCCCAAATGGACGCTGCGAGAGCTCCCAGTTGTTGTTCTGGGATCTCCAGATCTTTCTCCTTTTCCTCAACCGGTTGGCGATGGAAGAGGGCGTCAAACGGGATTATCAAAGGATGACCAGTAACAATAACCTTGGCTTTGGCGTGGTTCCTTTCTTTGGTCATCCAAATAGCCTGGGCGCGATGAATTCTGTTGTTCTGCAGCTCCCACTTTTCGACCCGAATTTCTGGCCGAGATTTGTTGATCCGAAGTGTGAGGCATATGTCGGCATTTCCATCATCAGGATTCAACCAGAATCGAACATCCGAATCCAGTTTGGAGTCCGATTCCGAGAACGCAATTTCGAGGGTAACCGAGGGGCCACGTGCTCTTCTCTTGGGTCCCCAGCCATAATCAGGCACTTTCCCCCTGCTTTCCCCTTGGACGGTTATACCTGGGTATTCCCGAAGAGCGGAGTCTAAGTCCATTGGACGTAACGCCTTGCGAATCAGAAAGTTCATCTCATCGGTTGCTGTATTATGTGGACCCAAAGGCATAGAGACGAGGAAAAGCCGTTCGTTGGAATCGAAAGAAGAGCAAAATTTGGTAATATCAGTGTCCTCGTTGAGAGGATCAAAGAGGGTCTCGATGGTCTCCTTGTTTGCATGGAAGAGGAGGAATTCACTTGTGTCAGCCGAAGCTTCAAAGCGAGCGGTTTCGGTTTCCAAGATATCGTGGAATTGCTCTTTCCCTTGAAATGTGTATCTTTTAAGCAATGGGGGCAGATCCTTGAGGAAGGCGCCGTCCGGGTCAAGATCGTAGCTGTCTTGTTCTGCTACGGCCATAATGATACGGTGATCCACAAAATCAAGAGATTTCGGAGACGTCGAGTTGTTCAAAAAGATGAGATTGGTCAAGATGAAACATGTAAAGGCGATGGGAGATCTATGTAGGGTTGGAGACTTGGGAAGGTTAGTTACCTCATGATGACCCTTCAGGCAGGGTCTGAGGGAAAGATCGTTCATGGTACTACAAGCAGTAACTTTCTAAACGCCCTTGAAAATACTCTCTGAAATTTTAAGATTATCTATGGGACTTTCTGTCCGTATACCTGTAACCTATAGTATCTCACCGAGTGAAGAGGCAACAGACAACCTAATACACAGTAGAGCGAGTATTACAACAGAAAGAATCACGCAATCGCTTTGGGGTTGTAATGAATAATAATACACTGTCACACTGATAATGATGAATGATGATACACGCATCTAACAATCCTAGTAGAGCGCCCAGCAGGTGATGTGACTACCATAGTAAGACAAGATATGAATAAGAAAGGCTAAGATTGCCATGACGGAGTTTTGGCTCCAGAGAAACCAAAGGAAGATAGAGTCGGATGAGAGAGAGATTGGGGTAAATGTAGCAGGATATATGAGGGTATTGGTAGTGAGGAGAAAGCTTGAAAGAAATAAGGATAGAGCAAGTCATATCGAAGGCCAACAAAGGACCGGAAGGGACTGGATGGCTTTTTGGAGCAAGAGAGAGAGAGAGAGAGAGAGAGAGGGAAGGTCATGAAGGCATCATAATCATGCAGAGAAACAAGCATCACCTGGTCAAGAGAGGTAGCATTGAAACTAATAAATCTCAACAGAGCGCGAACCACGCAGCTGCATTCTTGCCCGTGACAAAGGCGACAAACTATTCCCATAGGGATTAGACGTAACGCCGTTTCGCGCCCGCTGAGGCCAGTACATGAATTTCTGCGCATCGTCAACGGACGCCGCGTCGATCACGTAGCGGACGTTATTCTCGTCGACGCCCTCGATCTGCACGCGAGGCATACTTGGGCTAGGTAGCGGTATGATGTCGTCGTCACTGTCCTCGTGCGAGTCGTTTCTTGACGGGGTTGAGTGTGCTTGCAAGCAGTATACCGTTGCCGAGGGCATTGGAACATCGGGAGCAGAGCGGGCCATGACAGCGAGGTTACCGACGGATTCCGAGCGGGCTTTACGGGAGACGGAAGATATGGCGCGATGGCGGGGTTTTGTGGCACGTTGTTCGCTGCTTGCGTGTAGGACGTCCATGTAGGTAATTGGCTCGCCGGAGCCGGGGCGAGTGATGATTGATTCTTTGCGTTGGAATTCGGCCAGGAGGCCTGGGGTTGGGGGCGGGGCGTCGGTGTGTCGACGGGGAGGAGCTGGGGAGCCGGAGACTCTGCGGAGGAGTCGGTCGTATCCGACGGTTGTTGAGATGCTGCGGCGGGTCTCTGGGGTTCGCTTGTGTCTGAATGAGGTTTTCTTCGTGAGACGGCTCTTTGTTGAGGAGGTTCGCTGGAGTGCTGTTGCTGGTCTTGAGGTGTTGCCGAACTCGTCTTGGTCTGATGGCGGGGTGAATGGGGGGCCTGGGGCTGGCTTTGGGACTCGTCGGAATGCCTCGTGAGAGTTGATTTCGCGGACGATGGCATCCTGTAACGTCTCGAAGGTTGGGTGAGAGCCCTGGGCGGATCTGTAGGCCTTGCTGAAAAGCCCCATCAATTCCGAGGCTTTGAAGCGGGGAGATGACTTGGAGGGAGTGATAGGGGTGGGAACCGGCAAAGGACTGTTCATCACTTCTGCGATGCTGGGAGTTTGTTTCCCTTCGTATGTTGATGGGGTTGGCGGTTGGATGGCGCGGTGGCCAATCTTGGGACGTCCTGTAGCAGCCAATTGGGTGTTGATCGAAAGCCCTCGTGCGTTCTTTTTTGAGCCGGGTCCCGATGAAGGTGGTGGAGAGCGCGATATTGGTGTCAAAGATGAGCTGCGAGATGACGGAACAGGGGGTCGTAGTGGTCGTGGCACCGAGGGAGCCTCGGCAGCGCCTCCACCGAAGCTTCCAGGAATAGGTATGGTAGGGCTATCAGGTAGGGGAGTATTGCTCCATCTCTTGCCTTGCTTATAGGCAGGAGGAACACCCAACCGCTGAACAGCTGGAGGAGTTGGCGGTGCATCTTCTTGTGAAACAGAGCCCTCTGCATCTGCAGCCAGGCTCGGCGCTGATCTTTGTGATCGAAGGCCATGGTGGGACTGTGGACGTTGCAGTGCAGAACCCGGCTTACGATCTTGAGAGACTTTGCGCCGTAAATCATCTGCTGACACCCAAGAGTGCTTCCCCGGATCCCGATTTCTAGCTTTGCGCCGTTCGCTTTCTGGAATCCGTACTCTACCAGGTGCAGCTGGCGATGACCGACAACTCAAGCTCGACAAGGTGCGATCAGGGCCGCTATATTTGGCAATATTTCTGTCTGCCACATCCTCCTGGTACAGAGCTGAGAGTATCCGCGAGCTGGCAACTCCGTTCCGGTTCTGAATTCGCAGGAACCGGGTCATATTTCGTTCCGCAACGTCTTCGTTATACCTTGGACTGGCAGGAGCAGAGAGCGGTTCTGAGATCGCGGACTGATGTTGATTTTCTGAAGAATATAAGGCATCCATCAAGTCGATATGGCGGCCATTTCGAGATTTGGGGGCCGGATTATGAGGGTTGTCATGAGGCAATTGGGACTGGAAAGATGTCGGCCGTGTCAATCGATCATGTAGATCTTCAAATTGGTTCTCGATCTGATCGAAAAGATGAGCCACGTCTGGTGAATTTGAGTCTCTGGAGGGGAACTCGAAGTGACTGCGTGCGGGCGAATCAACCGCCGTATGAAAGTAAGGCTCGTCCACGTCATAATCCCCGAGTCCGAGGCTGGTTGCTGGACGAGCAAGGTTCTTGTCCTTATGGAACAACTTCTTCAATGCAGCCATTTTAGAGGGCCGCATACATATGCGCAAAGCCGGTGCACAATTGGAAAATGAAAGGCAGCGGGCAGTAAGCACCGCGGGGTCGAGAAAATGAAATGAAATATAGAATGTAAAAGATAGTCAAGCTAAGAATCAAGAGAGCGACGAGACCAGCGGTCATAAAGAATTGAACAGTCAATCGATGTCATGGCATCAAAGGTCGAGGAATTGAAACCCGTCACCAGCTGGCATGTCAGTCATCCTGGGTAGAAAGAAGAAAGAAGAAACAAGTTCTCAAAAGGTAGACCAGGCCCTGTCAAGGCAGAAGAGGGCATGCAGATCGCACCGTTCCTATGTCTGGATCAGGGGAACTGACCCGGTCTTCTCCATGATCCTAAGATGAGGCGCCACAGGTCGATCACTAAAATGTTTAAGGCTAACTCCATCGCCCGTTTTCTTTGTTCTGAAATTGGACACGGAGCACTAGACGAGTCGAGCCCTCTCTCCTCCGTAACCGAGTCCATTTCGAGTCCAGTTTAAGCTCTTCGTTCGATAACATCCCTGCTCAACAGCAACAGAGTTCAGAACTGCCTCTCTGGGGCCGATTCTGCAGCAAATGGGCATTCCTTCGAGCCACACACTCAGGCTGCCTGATAGGTTGAGATTCTGAGACCAGCCCCGTCGGAGAGTGTGATCCACACATATTTTTGACAGGAGAAAACGCCCAGAATCCCTAGGCGATGATGGCCCGAGAGTTAGGCAGTGATGATTTCCATAGAACTGCCCATGACCCACTCAACAACGTTAATGTGCCAATCAATAACCGAAGAAGTAACCCATCACACAAGTCAGGGTGGGCTGCGGGCTTGAATTATGTCAAGCGATGGGGCTTCCAATTTCCCTATGAGCCGCCATTGGTGTGATGAGAAGTGATCGCCAGAGAGACCGTGGGCCGTCTCGTTCTGAGCGGGACGAACGCAGCGCCGGGACTACTCCGTCGTAAATGAGTTACTCGGTTATCTCGTTCATGTGAGCTCGGGGATTTGGAGAAGTTGGAACAAAGAAAATGAGGCCAAACTTTTGGGGGCGGATCTCTGTGGCAATTCCGCGCTCTTTGTTTATTTGTTTGAAGTTATGTCCATACTCCGTTCTAGGAGACTAGGATCCCATAAACCTGGTCAACATCTGGACTTCTCAGAGGGAATGAAACACTAGTCACATCCAAGTATAGGTATCCCCGCTCTTCAACGGTCATCCTGTGGAGTTGTCCGGAATGTCACACTGTGAACGAGCTGCGTCTTGCATATTGACAACATGAAACAAGGTGATTCTATCTCATCGTACAATGTGTTAATCTCACGAACTCCTTAGATCGATTATCTCACGATCGATCGATCTCGATTGCGATTCGATGGGTCCTGGAGGATCGTCATAACTTCACTCCAATTTACTATCTGTACGAACAAAACTCCTATCTCAATATCAATCGCCAGCGTTGTTTCTTTCTATGTGCCATCTCTTGACTAGCCATGGCCGCTCTTTGCTTTTTGTTCTGGTCTTTAATAAGATTTACCTAAAAGTGATTTCTTTGTTTGATTCGAAGAGCGAGGCTTGATGCCGAACGCGAGGAGATGGCGACCTCATCAACTAGAACAGACTCGATTTCTGGACCATCTCGGGGTTCGCAATTGTCGTAGCGAACGAAAAGCTCTATCTTTTCATCGCTGTCTATGAAATTGTAGATCAGCGAGGGTCGGACAATTAAGGTACCAGGGTTGTCGAATGTAGCCTGTAGGAGACGGCCGTGCCTTGGCCCAAAAAACGAGATGACGAGTCCTGGGAAGAGTGAGGTATTCTCGAATTGTGGCTGTTCGAGACTGCAGTAGAGGGCGTTTGCAATATGCGCTAAATCGCCATGGAGTAGTTCATTTTCTTCGGCCTTTGCACCAGTGAGAGTCAAAGTTTGATGTGAGGGCGAGTGGTCTTCGGATCCTCGAAATCGTCAAGCCATTGGCAAGTAGAATCGGCGTTCCATCTCGGAAGATCCTGGGGCTTTGAATGTTCAAATCTAACACCGTATAACATTCCTGTTGGAGTCTGGCAGAAAAAGTCCTCGGCCCTAACAGCCTACGTTAGCGACTTATTAGAGCATGGAACGAGACTCGCTTGATATCATCCCAATGCAAAACGTCCTGTAAAGAGTGTGATCCCAGGGCTGGGAATCACGGTACGTAGCGGGTAACTCCGGGGCGTACTTCATCCACTCGAAGTGGGTAATCGTCTCTTCGTCAACGCAGAGGACACAAAAATTGCAAATGGGAGGTCGTGAAGAACGTTGGTAGCATGTCCGGAAGAGATCGCCCGTCACTTGATCCAGAAGTCGAGGGCATCTGCGAGGAATAATCAGTCTTCCTCGTAAGTTACGGTTCGACATCCGCCTCGCAGCTGGGTGTTGAATACCAACCGGTGGCACTCAGTTGAAAATAACTTCGAATCGCCAGCACAATGGGGCTGCGGTCGAGTTCAGGAGAGTCCGAAGGAGACGTTCTTCACGACCTCCCATTTGCAATCGTTTTGTCCACTGCGTCGACGAAGAGACGATTACCCACTTCGAGTGAATGAAGTACGCCCCGGAGCTACCCGCTACGTACCGTGATTCCCAGCCCTGGGATCACATGAGGGTGTCGAGCTCCCACTCTTCCTCTCGGAGTATGACTCGAAGACCTCAAGATAGAATTGAATTTGGCCAGCTCTCTCCCACATCTGGCAATGCTCTAGAACCTCATCTGCAATGTCATAAAAAGTGTCCTTGAATCGGTGATGTAGTGATGCTCGTCTTATAAAGTGTTCTTTTGTCGATTTTGTATGTTTTGAGCTCTTCCGTGGTGAGTGGCGGGAAGAAACAAGCCTCGGAATCGGTGAATTGGTCATCCTCTGGATCTATGGATTGGACCGATACTCGGAATTGAGCGAGCTCAGTGTGCGTGTAGTCAAGCCATGGTGAACAACAAGGAAGAAAGGGTGATATGAAACGTAGAGACAGAAAGCTGATTTCGTGGACTTGAGAACCGGATGTGAAAATGTGTGGATAAGACTGACGAAAGAGGCAGGTCACAGTAGTACACAGTAGGAGTAGGGGGCCGGACCTCGGTAGCAATTCCGCCCTGTTTATGCTGTTGTGGTCAACAACTTCTCAGGGGGAATATTTATCCCCGCTCTTCAACGGTCATCCTGTGGAGTTGTCCGGGATGTCACATTGTGAACGAGCTGCGTCTTGCATATTGTCAACATGAAACAAAGTGATTCTGTCTCATCGTACAATGTGTTAAATCTCACGAACCCTTAGATCGATTATCTCACGATCGATCGATCTCGATTGCACTTCGATGGGTCCTGAACTCCTGAAGGATCGTTGGGTCCGGGAGGATCGTCATAACTTCACTCCAATTTAGGGCAATAATCTGCCCCTTTTTTGCTTCTTGGCAACCTTTTACTGCAGGGACATATCATCCATATCGTCCGTACGAAGCAGTGTGAACAACTTAAGTCGGGCCATGTACCCAAGAATGTCTGGATCTCGGGAAGAGGTCGATACAAAGCAGCTATGGCTCCGTTTGTTTCCATATCCCACGTCTTCCAAGATTAACGACTCATTCAAGAAATGCCGATTGTAGTGCTATCACGGACTGTATTGTAGTTGCTTGTAAACTTCATTCATTCATTATGTGGTATGACCAGTTTAGACTTGAGCAAAGGACCTCGCGATAGATTCCCTCACAGCGTCAGTCAAAATTGTATTAGCGCCACGAGCCGCATCAACAGCCCCGTCAATCAAAGCCTCATGTCCCGTGCGCCCATCACTCTTCTCAAGAGCCGCCCTTGAGCTATCACCCTTAAGCCAGAGCTCCGTAATCTCATCACGAGCCGGCATGTAGGCGACCACACAAGCCGACTGAATTGACCGATGTTCCGCCGGATCGACATCGAGCACGAGTCGCGGGGCAGTCGATGCATCGTCCGAGACCAGAGCAGCGACACCACCGGATACAAGATCGAGACAATCGATATGAGCATCCGCAATGGCAGCAGAAGCAGCTGTGATACATCCGGCAAGAACGTTCAGCATCCCCCACGATGCATCGTGCGAGTCAGGAGCGTCGCCCCACCAACGATCATCCTCTGCTTCAACGATGGTGAGAGTAATATCCAGACCACTCTTGGGCCAGCGTTCGGCGATAATTGCGCCACGGAGGGCTGTCTCTAGGTGGACACCAAGATCACGCTCAGTGGTATCGCGAACATGTCCCTTCCGCTTGCGGGCGGCGAACGGTGCGAACTTGACATGGGTGGTGAGAAGGAGATTGGGCGAGAATGGAACCGAGCGGGGAAGAGGCTTGGGTCCGTGGACAGTGCAAGCCACCTTGAGCGCTGATGAGGGCGGGATCAGAGATTTGGGATTGGAGCGGGCGGCGGCGAGGGCAGCAGACGGCGCAAATTCAAGATATGATGAGCCTGAGGCAGTGGGGATCATTCCTGTTTTCAAATCTGGAGTGGGAGTCAGCCTGGGTTGACGGCGAGCTTGTCGGGCGGTTCATACAAAATTTCCGTAGTTCGGTGGGTTGACGCTGGCGTAGGGTGCGCTCTGAAACACCCGTCTTGGATTCTTTGAGTGACGCATAGACCGGAGGCCTTGTGCCAGCAGGCGGCCCATTGATACGTCTTCTATCGGCCATTTCAAGTTGGCGCAAGATTGAAGCTGTCAGGAAGTCGCGATGGTTGAAGTCCCAGAAACGGAAATCTTGAGAATTTGCATTGTTTGCAGGACCCACCGCCTAGCGTGGTTTGGCTTTTCTTGACTTTTCTTCGATTTTGCTCTTCGCTTCTCTTTCTTCTCTTTCTCCTTCACACATTCTCTGTCAATTGGAAAAGCTCCTTCTAATGTCGTTGGAGCGGATCTTCTTGACAATGATATATTCTCCTCCATCAGCCACTAACATGATATACGTGAGTACACTCCTTTCCCCTCAATTCCGTCTTTATGATGAGAGAGTTCCAACTCCTGTTTGGCGACAAAAAATGGGCCATGAACAAAACATGCATCACCATCTGATTATGACAACAACCTCATTATTGCTATGAATATACCACTGTTGTGCATCATAGACTAACAATCTATTAAAGACAGACATAACACCATAACGCTCACCCCAGAGTACATGGCAAGCTCCGCGAAATTCTCACTAACAAGGTAAGACAGCATATCTTCTCTTTCCTTCCCAACTCCCCTCAAGTGATGAGAAAAAATTTTCAGTTCTGCTTCTGCAAAATTTTTGAAGATAACAAAATACCTTACCAAAAACTCCTGATCCATGATATTACTATCAATGTCTTTCACCATACCTGTCCATGACAAGAATGCTGACAAGTCAAAAGATCTAGCTGTAAACCCATTGATTGGTACCCTACCTGGTCATATACCCCAAAGGTACATACATCAGTCTTTTTTCTTGCACTGCACGTCGCCCCCAGTTATAATGATGACAACCAGTCTATCCATTCAACGACCTCTTTTGAGGACCGACCCTCAGGTTGCACCCATGCCGTACAGCATGTGAAGAATACAGATGGCGATCCACTGTGTCCACTCCCTTATACTGGACCTTCTGCGCCTTCGGGTGTGGTCGGGAGGAAGGTTGTGGAGCTGGAGGCTTTGGGCTTAGTCGTCGTCTGGTCATGTTTTCTGCATTGCTGTCTTGTCCGCGGCGTGGTACTGCTATACTTGGCTTGTGTTGGTTTCCTAATGCTGGGCTGCTTATCCGTCTTGGGTGACAGTCCGGTGCGAGGGGCCAACAGGGTATGGGATGAGTTAACACGGCTTGACTGAATACTGTATATGCTTCTACATTTGCTTGCAATTGTGAAGCTAGACGTGCCTGTTTTGCTTGTTTTCGGTCTTTGGACTTTGGCTGACAGCATTTAAAGCTTTAGGATTGCTTTGAGTAGTCTATCTCAATGAAACATTTCCCTTCTCGAATCAAGATACTTCGCCAGTGATCTGTAATTGCATTCCCACAAAGCATTGTAACTGTAGTTGAGTAGGCTAGATTGAGCATGTCCAACATCTCCAACTGGGGCCTCGTTTAAAACTGTTTGAAGGTGCATGTGTTGTCACCTTAATGTGCTGCATCATTTGAGACCTTGCCCAACAAAAGCAATTTCTTTTTGCTCGCGAGTACTAAGGGAAGCAATGGTCACTAGCAAAGCAATAGATTTCTCGAAGCTATGTACGACGAAGTATAGAAGAAAACCCAATGGCCCACAGCCAAAACCTCCCCTCCCCTGAAATCTAAACAAAAACCATCATGGGGAATCATCATCTTGAACCTCGCATGATCTCTGCATGCGAAGCAAGGAAGAAAGCAAATAGGACAAGCTCCACTTCTCTTCAAACATGATTTTTTTCATAATTGTGGCATCTTTTCTTTTGGTCTTCTTGTTTTTTTGGTTATATCCTTCAAGCAATAATTCCACTTGAGCCTGTTGCACATCGTTTCACCGGATTCGTCTTTGGAATATAGAAGGATTCAAGGTGGCTGGGACCTGCCTCGAACATTCATTCTATTCATTCTTTGCTTCCTTCGAGTGGTGTCGACGTTCCATTGGACCGTGACATGCTGTAGGGAGCCTGCATGGTCGAATTAGCTTTGGGTCGAGTATGAAATTTCAGTCGCTTGGTACTTACCAGAACTTTCTTGGCGTTGCAGATTCTCCAAGCCAAATTCCGCACGTTGCCATCGGCCTTCACAACCTCAGGCGCCAATTCGATACCGAACCTGTGTGAAAGAAGGGGGTCAGAGATTGATACATGGGTTTGACGAGTGGTCATGCAAGAAAACTTACATCTGATGGACAGCGAATACAACACGCTTGGCAAATTTGCCGTCACGTTCCACAAGGCTACCGAACTGCTCATCGACAGTCTCCGGAGCGATTTCGGGATCCCGGTCGAAGCAATTGCGAACGACAGGCAACAGGGCATTCTCCACTGCGGATTCCAGGAAAGAATCGCCGTCTGTGATGGACGCATCCTCATCCGCACGACGAATACGGATCTCAAACGGTCTCGAGATAGCCATGACATTGTGCATTCCATTGTGGTGGTAGCGGAGCTCGAAGGTGCCCTGGGTCCAGAAGAGCTTGTCGCCAGTAAGGAGGATTTCACCGGTTGCCAGTTCGCGAGTGCCCTGGCCGTTACCGTCGGCGGACGAAACAACAACATCACTTGTGAGGATACCCTGCTCGCAGGTCGTGTTGTCATATGAACCTTCGTTTGTCGCGACCCAGCGACCTTGCGATGACACACGAGTGACCTCTCGCGAGGTGTTGTCTGTGACCCGGTAAAGACCAATCCAGTCCTTCTTGCTGTGGTTGAGAGGGGCGGTCCATTTGACTTTGATGGGGGAGCCGTACTCAAATGTCAGGTCCTTGAGGTCACCACGGCGATCCAGGGGCATGCGTGCGTTGGCTCCTTCACGGCCCTTGTTCTGTTCGCTTTCCTCGAAAGACAGAGCATTGGTGCCTTCAACTGTCAGGGAATAATCGCGGGTGTCGAATCCAGCTAGATCCGCATCAATTCGAGAGATGGTGATGCGAGCCGGGTAGTTCGTGAAAAGAGAAGTGGTATCCTTGACAAATGTGGTTACTCCTGCGGCGAGCTTGGGACGGGCGTTGTCGAGGAACTCCTCGATGAACTCGAAGGAGTCATCGAACATCTTATCGACACTTCCATGTAGTTGTTGGAGAGAAGGTGGGAGGGACCGTTTCAGACTCTTGACAAGACCAGCATCCTGGCGCAGACTACGACCGTACAGCTTTTGCATGTGCGGGCGTTCGACGAACTGGATGAAAGCCAGGCTCAGGATGTGGCTCAGCAGGGCGAGGAAAGTGACAGCTCCGCTACTGGTGATGAGAACAGCGCCCCACACGCCAGCCAGGCCCAAAACACGCTCTGGGTTATTCAAGAAGCGGTAAATACCATTGTAGGTAAGCTTTAGTTGTTCATCGAAGAAGAAGTCACCGTAGAACCAGCCAAATTCACCGAGGGACTCGTAGATGCTGACCGAAGTCCAGATTTGCAGACTGATCAGACCAGCTCCAAGAACGTGTCGGAACAACACCAGACCGTAGCCCCAATCAGCCGGGAAAGTGTACATCTTCCACACGGCAGCAATGAAGGTAGAGTAGCAAAAGACCATGCTGAGATGGTAAGTGCCCTTCCACTGGCTCCATGCTTCCTGCGGAGTGTCGCCATACTTAACAAAGTGTCTTGTCCACGACTTGGTGTTGGATTGGTTCCGAAGGATATATCCAATGCCTACAGAGTACCAAATTCTGGAAGCGGCAGCGAGCACCACAAACAAAAATTGATATCCAGGGGTAGAGGGCGTCAGAGCAGTGATAGAGAATACAAGAAGCTGAACAAGCATGATCGAGGAATCCGTGGTTCTATACAGGTCAAGGTTGCGCAGCCCCAAGAGGTTGTGAACCGACTGGGGCGGCTTGGCCGAGTACGAGATTGTCGCGTTGGGAGCATGGTCTTCAGACGGAGTTGGCGCTTTCGGGGAGTCTAGATCGGAAGGAGGATTGGAATCCGAGGTATCCACACAGGTAGAGCGCTTTCGGGGTGGTGGCGGGTTATAAGTTTTGTCGATGTGCGGGTTCTCCACCAGGACGAGGAAAATGAATTGTGCTGCATGGGCAATGATCGAGATGAGTAGCACCTTATAGCTGGCTGCCATCAGAGAGATTCCGTAGTAGCCTGCATAACCGACCGAGTACATGGGGTGAGGTGCCATTTCGAACACGCCATCGAAGGTCAGTTCCTGGTCAATCAAATAGAAGAAATCACCCCAATACCAGGCGTAGTCCTTGACCACTCGATGCGCATCTAGTTTGACCCACAGGTTGAACAGCACTAACACGATGCCTGCGGACCACCGCAGAACAGTCATGAAAACACTCTCATCAACCGGTTGGTCGCCGCAGGCTATTGCGAAGAGGCAGTAGGAAGTGAAGTCACACATGAGGATCAGGTCCACAAGACGTCTAAAGACAAGCCAGGTATTGTATTCAATTGGAGCCTCATCGAAGGAGTAGTCCTGCGGGATTTTGGTCTCCAGTTCCCGTTTGATCCAGTTATACAATTTGGGGTGGGGATTTCCCCCAGTGGCCGGATTGACAAAGACCTTTGTTTTCTCCGCCCATCGAATCAATGTCTTGTGGTTCGATTGATTGTGAAGCAGCCATCCAATTCCTCCATTGTAAGCCAGACGCCAGAAGAGGTAGATGGCTGCGAAGACCGGGACTTTGGCTCCTGTGGGGAGTGCCCACAGGAAGAAAATATGACCGGCCAACAGAACCAACACCACCAGATCACCAAAATTCTTAGGTTCAGATGGTAAAAGTAGCTGGGAGACCATATCATGAGTTTGCGGGACGGTAAACACTAAGACCACGTCTCGGTTAGCAGCGGATCCTCGACAATGATCGAGGGGAGGGTTGCGGTGCATCTAGCAGGCCTCGATTCAACATCAAATCAACAGTTTTCGTATATAACTTACCCGTTCCATCGGGTGTTCTCCCAAATGTCTTCAGATGCTTGCCGTCCTTATCTTTGGCTTCCATTTCCCCGGCGGCTGTTAAAGCCTCGCGACCGACTGTTGAATCGGCGCGTACATTTCTCTCGCGTAGCCCATCAGTATTTTGATGGGCCCCTGTTGAAAGGCCTTGATCCATGGTGTACCACTTTACAAGGGGGATGAGAGAGAAGGAAACGTTGGGGGAGAATGTGACGACAGAAGCATGTGACAGGCGGAAAGCGGAAACTAAAAAGGTTAGTCACTTGACAGGGATGTCACTTCCACCTTGTGATTTTGTTGTCCAATTGTTTATCTGTCAATCTCTCTTAGGAGAATTTATAAGAGGACAAAATGCCCGAGGAGCCCAATTATTTATGTACGAGAAAGTGGAACCGTTGAGACTGGCGAGTCTCTGGAGAGAGGTGCGGGCCTCCGAATGGAGCGGAAGGGCAAAGAAACGGGGTTATGATCAACTAAGACGCTAAGTGGTTAGTCTGCTTCTTTGCGATCTTGTTGTTGGGAAACTCGTCTAATCAAAATCAATAGGGTCTGAACACCTGTCTATCCCGACTGTGTCTCTGCCTCTCTGGCTTTTCGATCAACGGCGGGGTAGTGCGGCAAATGCGGCTTGTGAGACTCAATCCACAGCTGTACTCCGTACTCCGTACACCGTTCCGTACAACATACAGTAGACACTTCCACTTTACTGTCACCTGTGTACATTGTGTAATTCTGTACATAACAACGTGCATTTATTACCTGCAGATATCGACACGAGTCTGCACAGTTCTTTGTGAGCTCGGGCCCACCTGTCAATGCATTGTGCTCGTCTCCGCATGCATGGTCGAATGAGATGATCTATGGACAGCGGAGCATTTGACATCATGCCCCCTGAGTTTTGTTGATCAGGGCCCAAACTGAGGAAATCCCCCGCAACGAGTATCGCTGGTATCAGTGCATCCAGACTCCAAGGTTTATGGATACTCATATAATACTAGTACTACTATGTTGTATGTATGCTGCATGCACTAGTTAGGGGCCACCAACTGCATCTAATCTAAGCTGCAGCCCTGGAACCCCGCTCGACCTCCAACAACAGGTCGGAACTCAACGGCCTGACCCTGTTATTTCACGGAGCCAGGTTCACCATGCAGCGGAGGGGCGGAGGCACTAAATCGAGGTTCTAGAGCGGTGGTAAAGTTCTGACAACGTCCAGGGAAGTCTGTTCCTCTCGAGCTGTGGGGTCCATGCGCCCAACTGTTCATGAGAGGGCTTGCATATCTTAAACGTGCTTAGCATCCGCCCGGGCCACGGCTGGAACGAGTATATATCTCGGCGATCTCTACAGGTACTATTACCGCGTGCCCGTATCTCCTAGCCTTCGGTCATGAGACTGGCTGTGTAGGGCTTCTAGGTTGTTTGCCCCACTTTCTTCTTTCTTTTCAGCACTTTTCCTTTGTGTCTCACAATGTCTGAACCACCTTCGCCTCTGAATCAATCCTGCGCTTTCACATTGTATCTTTCCGCTAAATGGTTCATGGTTTGCAAGATGTCTGATGTTTTGTCTAGGTACAGGGAATATTCCACGCCTTTCGAAGAATCTCCAAATATTCCTGTCGATATCAGCGCTACATTTCATGGCGAGAAACTTGCGGCAAGTCAATGCGTCTCGTTGCTGGTCAGTCGAGGCGCAGATGCCTGTGCGTTGCGGTCAACAACAATGGAAATACGCCTCTTCATGAAGTAATGACAGGAAGGCTTATCAGGCAGGAAAAAGAAGACGGGTCACTTGTATGGCCGACACTTTCGGAGAAGATCCAGGTACACGACGAGATTATTTCGATATTGCAAGACGCCGGCGCCTCGATGGATCAGCCAAATGTGGAGGCCAAAACACCGGCACAACTAATAGTAGAGAAACGCGCCAAGTGGGAGAAAGGTGGTGAATAGATCAAATGGGCCAATAATGGCAACCTAAGTTATGAAGATATCCATTGTTAGCCTCAGGCGGAGAATGGAACCTATCCGATTTTTCTACTTCGGTTGAGCATATTCCCTGATATCTACGCAGTATGGCAGAATCAATTCACATAGCAATATCCAGAGAAATAACGAAGTCTACTTCGCACCTTCCAAGTGCCTGCACATGCAAGTGCTCCGACACCGCAGACAGGCCCCCCGCCAATCGTAGGCACTTTTTAGTCATCCCGCTTATCAAGCAGTAATCCGCCACCGGGCAGACATTGAATTTCTCAGTCTTACTTGCTATTGCACTCTAGTTATCTGCTTCCGTCGCTTGCTCCAAATTTCATTGCCACAGAGGAGCAATTAAAATGGCGCCGTATGTGGAGGAGGTCGCCGAGGCGTCTTTCGCAGTATCGGCTAAAGTCGCGCCCGATCTTGTCGCACCCGAACCAGGTGAGCATACGCAGAATCCCAATGAAATAACGACCCTCTAACACCCCCCAGAGCACTGCCCAGGTCCCGAATCCGAGAAAGCCGGTCAAGGCGACGCCTGTGCCGGCTGTCCAAATCAACAGATATGCGCCACAGCACCCAAAGGCCCCGACCCCGACATCCCAATCATCACCGAACGGCTCTCCCAAATAAGACACAAGATCCTCGTCCTCTCGGGCAAGGGCGGAGTCGGCAAATCAACATTCTCGACCCTCCTCGCGCATGCCTTCGCTGCAAACCCAGACTCGACAGTCGGCATCATGGACACCGACATCTGCGGGCCGTCAATCCCGAAGATGATGGGCGTCGAGTCCGAGACCATCCACATCAGCAATGCGGGCTGGAGCCCTGTCTGGGTGACCGACAATCTGGGTGCGATGAGCGTGCAGTTCATGCTGCCCAACCGGGATGACGCAGTGATCTGGCGCGGACCCAAGAAGAACGGACTGATCAAGCAATTCCTCAAAGACGTGGATTGGGGCGAGCTCGACTACCTCCTTATCGATACTCCTCCTGGGACTTCTGACGAGCATCTTTCCGTAAACTCCTTGTTGAAGGAGTCTGGCGTTGACGGCGCAGTCGTCGTGACTACTCCGCAGGAGGTTTCGTTGCTAGATGTTCGCAAGGAGGTGGACTTCTGTCGAAAGGCTGGCATCAAAGTATTGGGACTGGTCGAGAATATGTCTGGATTTGTGTGTCCCAACTGCACGCACGAGTCTCAGATTTTCCGTGCAACGACTGGTGGTGGTCGTCGTCTAGCCAAGAAGATGGGCATTCCCTTCCTGGGCGCTGTGCCTCTGGACCCCCGGGTTGGTATGGCCTGCGATTTTGGTGAGAGCTTCGTGGATAACTTCCCGGATAGTCCCGCGTCCAAGGCTATTAAGCGTGTTGTACGCTTGGTGGGACAGGCGGTTGGAGAGAATCCCGATGATGTTCTCCCAGAGGACACGACTGATTAAAATTGTCATCCTTTTGTTCTTTTTTTTCACACAGCGCGATGCATATGGGAAAGGTTTTGCGGGACCTGGGCGTTCGGATACACACACATACATGTACATAGCATGCAACATTACTTGAGACGATGGGCCAAATGGCAAATGAAGAAATGCATATTCACTCAAACACTCCTGCCGGCTTCCACTAGGCTGCATACACCAAAGCCAACTGATCAATTCCATCTCCGTCTCGTCCCGGACTATCTACAAAGACAAGTGACCGGAGCAACGGCCAGTGATATTTGCATGGCTCGAGGAAGCAACAGCACGTTAACGTGGTGGCCTGAACCCCAAGGCTTCATATCAAGCAAAAGCCCTAAATAAACAGCCTCATCGAAGCCTTGCACCAGCAGAGCTCCTAAAGGACCTGACATTGAGTCCGGACATCAACTAGTTAGTCGTTTTGCCAATTCCCTACTCTCTTGTCCAATCCTCGGCAATGTAATCCCTCTTCTCGCTGCAAATGTGCTCGTTGTTTTTTGAGGCCATCGCCATTCGTCCTTTCCTGAGGACCATGTCTGCCCGGCCGCCCATTCAGGTCGAAGGAAGCTTCGGACGCTCGTACCTCGGAACATGGTATCTAACACACCTGGTGATTGGCCGAGGTCTCGCTCGTCAACGCGCACTACCGCATAACCATGGTGGGTCCAGAATCCGGGACCAAACGTCTCCCATGTGCTCCAGATTGACGCGCACCTCCCGCATCCGCATCCCCGAATTAGCACCAATTCGATTCAACCACCCACTATGCCACCAATTCGCTCTCAAAAGCCCTCGAAATTCAACGGAGCAAGAGAACACTAGCTAGCATACGCCACTTACTTGTGAAGAACGTTAAGTTCGTTAGTTAACTTTATTTACGTAGTTCCATGCCTTGTTTATCAGGCGGGTATCCAGGGTCCCACCCAATCAAGACGATGATGTCATCTAGCATCAGGACGAGAACCAGATGGAAAAGACCGCGCTCTCTTTAAATGCCCTGGAATTTCTCTTTTACCCGGAACAGACTTCCAATTAATCCTCTCTTTGTGATTTGAAATAACTTCCCTTCATATCGGAACATCCCCTCCTCCATACTCCATACAGTCCAATTCTTCACCCCACACTACACCAACATCAACTACATCATCATGTCTTTCCTCGCCTCCCTCCGCACCTCCTCTCGCCAGGCCATGCGGTCCAGCTTTGCTGCTCCCGCTTCCACATTCCACACTTCAGCAGCCCGACGCCTGCACGAGGATGACAAGGGTGAGCATATCCATCCATCCTGCCATTGTGGTGAATTCATGACTCACAGCTAACAGATCAAGACCGCGATAACCTCTCCGAACACTACGAGGCTCACAAGCAAGAGAATCTCAAGCGCACGAAGGAGGGTAAGGGCAAGTGGACGGCTGAGTTGGCCAGCAACAGCGAGGAAAATGTAAGATATATCCTCATTGCATTAACTTGTTATTCCCAATTACCATGTGTTGCTGTGATTGAGTTGGAGCTAACGGGGTTCCTGTGATAGGTGAAAGCTGATCGTGGCGAGTACGGTTCTGAGTCCATTGAGACTTTGCAGCAGCAGACGAAACACGCTCCCCGCGAGAAGCACGATTGATTTCACATTGTGCTTTATGTAACCTCTCCATGACGATGCTTTTTACCTTTCGTGTATTTGATCTAGGCTGTCTGCCGGGTGTTGTTGAGGAGTTGTTCTTTTGGTTGAATTTCATCAAGTTAATAGATATTGTCAGTGACAATTGAAATTACAACATATCCACTAGGTTGATGACTACACAATGGGACTTGTAGAGGAAGACATGATCAAGAGTAGACTTGTAGATGTAGTTCAAGATACCAACCGAGCCAGTACCGACTCAATTGCCTCAACGCCTCTTAAGACACGATAAACATCAAGAACAATCAACCGACCCGCTATTGCGCAAAGCCAAGAACGCCCGCTTGCCAAGGAAAAACAACGTCACAAAGGAAGATCCAGATCCTCAAAAGCCATCTAGTACCCAGGTCGGGGGGTATCATTTCAAGATCACAATCAAGATAACCAGAATAATGATCAATCCGATGATAGTCATCATACTCCAGTTTTCACCCGCCTTACGACGGATTCTGTCTATCCGCCGTCTCGCAGTATTGAGCCGAGTTTGGTGACGCTCAACATCCCCATCCATCCCATCAAGGAGTTGAACATGACCATCCAGCTCGTCCCCAATCTGGATACTCAACTGGTGCTGTCTTCCGATTGATTCACCCAGCCGATCCAGCTGGTCATCCTGCTCGCGCATAGTCTGAGCGTGGTGGTCGTAGATCTGCTGATTGTCCATGCCAGACAAGTCCTGTCGCGGCGGCGACGGTTCATCGCGATATGGCCGGAAGAGATGGCTTCGATTACGTTCGTCCTCTTCGTCGATCTCATCTTGCACGGCCGCCGTCGCGGCAGAGCTGTCCATGAATCGGACGGACTTGGAAGAAGGATGTTGCGGGACTGGCTGTTTGAGGTCGGGGGTTGCAGAGACCGACGCCTGCGCCGGGACATTCTCTGTGGGTGCACCTTCTGTGCCATAGAACTGAGTTGAGAGGTCTTTGTATTGGGCTTGAAGAGGAGCGAGTTGGTCTTTTAAAGCGGCGGCGCCCGCACTGTCGTGGGAGTTGGTTAGGCGGGTCTGTTCGGCTTCCACAGAGTCTATGCCCTCTCGGAGGGACTCGAGGGAGCGGGCTATTTCGCCATCTTGAGAATTGGGCTCGAGATCGAGGGAAATTGCCCGTTGTCGCTCCAGAAGAGATAGTTTGATGTGATCGGCGAGTAGGAATAGCTGGGAAGGGTTCGTCATGACGAGGTGTTGGACCGCGTGGTGGGACAGTTCAGGCAAATATATCGAAGATGTATGGAGATCAAATTGGAGAAAGACCACCAATCAGCCAAGCAAGATAAGTTTCGGGGTCTGTTGCGATGTTAACCAGTTGAGGTGGAGATAGTAAGACGAGAAGCGGAGGCAGCAAGACTGCGGATCAACCGCCCTTCCGTCTTTCCGCCTTTCGCCTCCCCTTTGGATCATCCCCCGCAGTCATCCCGCCTTCTGGTTCAGCTTTGAGCATGTCTTTTACTTGCAAGCATCTGCTCCAGATAGCCCAACTCATTGTTTTCTACCCTGGTGCCCTATATATGGATACGACCTTCATGCTGCTCTGCCTTGGTATCTAGCGCATGACCTGCATGAAGCCGCATCCGCATGCTCATTCCGCATTCCTAGGAATAACACAGGGATTAAACCCCCGTTGGTACCTCGCATCTAAGTTGCGAGCTTTGCGATAGGCTTGTCATCCACGCAACATGAATCTACAAGAATTCCTGGCCATGGAGGAAACTCGCGACCGCGAGCGCGACGAACTAATCGACCTCCGCGGCCTGGATCTGATCTCCGAATACGACTCCCACCTTATGTGCCCGATCTGTCACTGTCCATTCGTCGAACCCGTCCGTCTACAATGCGACCATGTCTTCTGTGCGAGTTGTCTCAGTTCGGCGATCACCACCTTCCGCTCGGCCGACTCGGAGGAATTCCCGTGTCCCTCTTGTCGGAATCCCGTGCAGACGGTGTCGGCTAACGTACCCCGCCTGCTGATCAACATGTGCGACGAGATCAGAGTGCGATGTCCGTTGATCGCGGAGGGCTGTGAGGAGATTATACCCCGGGGCCATGTCCAGTCCCATGTCGAGAAGTACTGTGGGTACCGACTGGTGCCATGCCCGGATGCTTCATGCGATCAAGTGACACGGAGTAAAGATGTTGGAATGGATCAGAAGTGCATACATACAGTACGACGGTGCTCTCGTTGCGAGGGAGATGTTTTAGAACAGGAATATGAGGTTTGTTCCCATGCAATTTCTCAGTTGTGTAGTAGCTGATCAGCTTTATGTACTAGGAACATGAGAAAGAGCTCTGTCCAGTTCTCGAAGTCACTTGTAGTGACTGCCAAACAGTTCTCTCCAGGGGAGCACTAGCGGAGCACGTTGAAACATGCACAGAGGTTGCGATCCCCTGCGCAGCATCCAAATACGCATGTCCGGTCAAGATCCGACGAGCAGACATAGCAACACATGAGCAAAGCTGCCCTCTAGTTGCAACGGGTCCATATTTTGAAGCACAAAACGCCCGCCTCAACTCCCTCGAACTAAGTGTGCGACATCTGCAGCAGCGCAACGAGATCTTCGAAGATGGAATCGCAAACATCCGATCTACCCTTGGCGAATCCGCACGCATAGCCGCAAGCGCTCACGGCGGTGCGCAAGCAACCCAGACTGGCAGGGAACAGCAAGCTACTCGCGCCGAATCCAACACGGACGACCCGGCAGATATTGCTGCCAGCATATTCTCCTCCAATGCCACGACATATCTCCTCTCACTGCATGAATCTCTCCGCGAAGAAGTCAGCCAGCTTTCGCACGCTATCACAGACCTAGATGCTCGAGCCAGCATGGCTATCATGAACGAATCCATGCGCATCAAGGAGGACATGGCCCACACGAATGCTGCACTCAACAGCGTCCGCATGCAGGTGCAATGGCTCATCAATCCTCGTCTGCACCAGGGAACGAGAGGCGCTGTCCGGACAAATACTTCTAATGAAGAACCATCGGCAGCTGGGCCGAGCCAGAGTTCGGCTCAGTCGTTGGGCCACCTTCGGCCGAGACGGTCCAGTGATAGTGGACGTGAGGGAACGAAGTTATGATGGTGGATCGGGACGTTACCGCTGCGTCTCTCCCAATACTTGCGAATTAATGCTCCGGAGGTTCTGGGTATTGTCTTGTAGTTTATGAGTGATGACTGGGTTGTCTAGAAAGAGCCGTATTGTAAATAGTTGACATTAGTTAATCAACGGCCTAGTTGCATCGACACTGATATGAACCATTTCCAAGTCGAAAAAAAGAGTGATCATGCTCTCTCCATAGTCTTTGATCCAATCACAATGATCGAAACAAAAATAGCAAAAAAGAAATCTCAGGATTGGTTTTTAGGAATAGCCGAACGCGGGGGTCGAACCCGCAGCCTTAAGATTAAGAGTCTTACGCTCTACCGATTGAGCTAGCCCGGCCGGGCTGTTATAAGGTGCTGCACTTTAATGCCTTATAACGAGGTGCGTGTTAGGATTAAATAACAGCCCAGGGTAGCAGTAATCCCGGGGAAGTCGTATGGTCTTAATGGTGAAATGAAAGTTGGCGAAAAATAATGTTCATGAGGCTCGGTTGTCCAATTGTTGCTAGCCGTTGCTGCCGCTTGGTAGATGCGAAGAGCGGGAGCAAAGATATGTAGAGGAAGTTGGGAAGATAGAAGGGTAAGTAAGGGAGAGAAAAGGAAGGAAGGACGTTGGGGAGGAACAAAGGGAGGAATGAAGATGTACACTTGAATGACTGGGATTGGTGGAAAAATGTCGGTGTAGTCGGTAGAAAAAGCAATTATTGAGGCGTGGAATTCATACAAAGTGTGGCGTAACTAGTTGGTTATTTGTTTCTTGACCTTACACAAGGTGAATTGCAATAAATCGACGCATACAAATGATAAAATAAATTATTAAAGTAAGAAGAAGCCAATCTAAATAGCAAATGTAGCAGCAACCTCTTTTTCTAAATGAAACTAGAGCCGATATCCACCCATGCAAGCAACATCAAAGTAACCACTGATCAAACAGATCGAGCAGACGGGATTCCAGACGGCACAACATCGAGATAGAAGGTACCATCCCAGTTACACTGCTCCAAAGGAGCCTCCTGCTTCTTGCATTTCCACCCGCCGCCGTCCTTCAGCGTGGCCCGTCCAGTTGCAGAGCCATCCGCACGGGAGACACCGAAATCGAAGTGATCAACATTGTAGATGCCATTTGGGAGGTGAAGCTGGTATGCCTTGTCGGTGCAGTTGTAAGTCTTGTTGCCAGCCATACCAATTGACCTGTATGAGCGCTTAGTATCATTCAAGTTTATTTGCTAGGTTGGACGTATATATATTTGGGTTTCGGGCATGGAAGCGACAATATGGAATGAGCGAGATCGGTAGTTCGGTACAACATACCAGTAGGAGGAACATGTGGTTTCAACGTTGTGGTTTGGGTCCTTGACTTTGAAGCCAAACAGGGCAGTCTGCGGGAGGCTGGTGGTGTAGATTCCGGCGTTGAGCCCCGTGAGCTCCAGAGGCTTCAAGGTAGGGGTGGGAACCGCGAGGGGCGGAAGTGGCAGTAGCCAGGACGAGAGCGATGGAGTTGGTCTTCATTTTGCTGGACTTATGGATTTGAGCTTGTTGGCTGTTGTTTTGTATTTTGATTTGCAGTTGAAAGTACAGTAGAGAGAGTTGAAATAATTGTAGATGTTGAGATAGTTAGATCATGGAGGTTAAGGGTCTTCTTATACTTCTCATGTTCGCATATGTATCTATACTTGCTGAGATATCCTGAAACATGAATACGAGTGACAAATACGCAAGATCACTGCCATGACTGAGTGTTGACGTAGAGTCACATAGTCATTGGCGACTCATTGCTGTAACCCTAATTAATGACCTCTGTTTGGATGTGTCGTTGAGACAAGAGTTGGGCGCCGTAAATCAACGCCACGCTGGATATCAGGCGATCCGCTCATATTCTATGAGAATGGCTTCTGATAGGTAGATGTAAGCTTATTGTATAAACCTGATACTCCCCACCGCGTATTCGGTTGGCGGCTATTGGCCCCCACGCGGCCCCCGGGAACTGCCATTAGGCGGCCAGTCTGAGGTACACAGAGGTACACAGCCCTAAGTATGTCCTGCAGCCACAGCCCTGGGTTCTAAAAATACCTACTCTCTGAGTCCCATGACGATGAGCTTGTTGTCTCAGTTGCATGCTTATCTTTAGGATTGGGGTGCAGCGGACTGTAGTATGTACGTCGAAAGATATGGAGCATTGTACTTTATGTTAATGACTTAATTCTGAGCCCTAACAGTCGGCAGTCCTGTGTACCCAAATTTAGCCTGCGTTCTGTACTGCGTACTCAAAGAAACCTACAGTTTTCTAAAGGTTATTATGTATGTACTAGTAGCATTCGGTACTGCTATCGGACTACAGCTACCGCTAGACCACACAAGGGGATTTGACTGGGAAGGGACCTCTAAGACCATCTATATGAAAGAGTGTTCTATGAAAAATCAAAATCGTTAGCACCCTGACCACACTTACCACACTTACGAACAAACCCTTCATTATGATGAACTCTCTATAGACTTCAAACCCTCCGACCTGAAGGATCTACTCCACTAAGTATCCCGAGCACCAGGTGAGCGACCACGAGGAGGCGAACGACCACGACCACGAGCATGATCACGATCGCTACCACGGCCACGACCACGCCGAGAAGGAGAAGGAGAACGATCGCGAGACAGAGACCGACCTGGAGACTCATCCCGGGGCCCGACAGAAGAATGATAAGGCCGACCAGCAGGGGAAATCGAACGCAGCCTCAACTGATAAGGAGGCGGCATATCCTCCCGCTCCGTGTAAAGCGGCGGCCCAGGTGACAATCTATGATAAAGAGGAGGCGGCGTGGGAAACTCATCCCGAGCCTGACGGCTATGTGCCAACGGCGACACTGACGCAGGACCGGGAATCCTCGTCATAGACAGCAGCTGATAAAGCTCACTCGCACTAAGGCCCCGTCGACCGGGGATATGGAGCACGACCGCAAAGCTCGTATTATCAGCGAGACCGCCACGATGTACGAAATCCAGAAGTGTCAGCAGCTGGAAGCCAGGGCGGGGACGAACATGCTGCGAAGTCTGGGCGATGGTGAAAATGCGCCACTGCCTCCGATGACGAGCTGTGAATACGGCCTGCTTGGCCGGTGGAGTGGGGATATCTAGGAGACAGCGAGCGGGGCCCTCGAGCTGGGCGACGCGCTCGTGGATCTGGATCCACTGGGCGAGATGCTGCTGCTCGAAGGTGCGAGTCCACTGTGTGTCGAGGCCGCTCTTAGCGAGGGCGGCGCCGAGGGTCCAGATGATGTAGTTGTCGTTGATCCACTCGTTGATAGCTACTGATGCCAATGGGCGGTTCCAGTTCTCTCGTCCTACCCGGCAGGTCACGAATGGCTGCTCGGCTAGCTGTAAGTCGGCGACTGATCTACAGGCGACCTCTGCAACTCGCGCCCAGGTGTTGTCAGCTGCCATGGTATGATAGATGTGTGGCAAGGAGCTTACAGATGGATAGGAGTAGATCTCGGACTGTGGTGTTGTTGAGAGGAGGAGGACGATGGTGATTTCCTGTTCTGGGCTGGAGGATGAGAACGCCTTATATAGACCCTGGAGTGTACAGTATCGGGGGTGAGAGACAATGCCTTTGGAATGATACAAAGAGCTCAGTGGCCATTCAAATCCTAGGTTTGTGATTCGCTACATAAGAAGATATCGAGGACAAAGATACTGCCATACACCAAAGAAGTCATTCTGCCCTTTGTTGAAAGGTTCCCTATGCACCAGGAAAGAAGGCACTGCAAGGAATTGGAAGCGACGACGGAAGCGTCCCTCAATCCATGCAGGGGGAAAGGTAGTAGGTTACGAGTTGTAGTTGAATTGCTGATGATAACTTCATCTTCAGTGGGAATTCGAAGCTCAATTACGAGATAATGCCATCGATTTCCTCATCTGTCGGGGCGGCGATGATAAAATCGTCGACGTGAACCAGGAGGATCGTTTTTCCCCTGCTACCCCTTCTGGCGTAGTCACTAAATTGTTCTCCAAGATAAATGGAACGGTGGGATACCAGGGGGCTTTGGGCATCCCCCGGACCCCCAACCTCATGGAATTGCCGAGCGTTAGCTTTAGCCACTTTCCTTAATCACCAGTCTCAGTGTGTAGGTAGTTATGATTACATATTTCAGAAGGGCTCAGACCGAACTTCATTAAATTGGGTTCCTAAAGCCCAACGTCTACGGATACGGGCCGCGGGTGACTCCGGCGATGAGGAGCCTTAGGACGGCGAAGGGGTGCGAGTAGCTGGCCGTCTCCCATGGATCGCGTGGGCTCAATCCGGCGTTGCTGGGAGCGTAGGATGACGCCTCGGAGGCCGGGAGGATAGGCCTTGAGGGTATCTCAGTTCATACCATGATACCACCCATTGTGATTCTGGGATTTGGTTAGACACCGGCCCATGCTGGCTTGTAAGCCCGGCGACAGCAAACATTCACTGTCTCATAGAGACGGACGAAACAGAACTAGGACCCCGAGAGGGTTCATTAGAATGTCGATTGACCACACTACCGGGGAATATTCCACATGCCATTGTCCGTTTGCCAGATAGGTCTGGCGGAGGAAGACGGTTTCCTCATATGTGCTCAGGAAGCCATACGCGGACCTGAGATCCCTCATATATAAGAAGGACTGTCCGAGGAGGCGCCTCAGGCCTTTCGGTGTATGGTACGCGTCACTTATGGAGTGGGATTGGACCCACGGAACTTTGAGTTCCCCGACCATGGAGTACTCTGCCTCTCGAGCTGAACATGCTCACGTCGTCTCCGAAGGCGATGCATCACGCATCGCGAACATGTCGAGGTGCGACCGTGCGTTTGCTTAAACCGGTCGAAATCGAACGAAGTATCGAACAGTAAGCCTTGGATCGACTTCACCCGCGACACCGCAACATAGGATAGCCCCGCTGCGAATTCGCGCCCGTTTATGTCCAGGACGGCCTCCGAAACGGACAATCCTTGGGACCTATGCACAGTAATAGCGCACGCCAGCGCTATGGGGATTGGTTCTGCAAGCATAACGTCCCTCGGTACATGAACCGGGATTCAAATATCCTTTCCTATCAATAGCTGATTCTGACTGATCCGACAGACGGACGAAGCATGCCTTCATTATCAGCCCAAGATCATGCAGGAGTTGCTCGAAAAGGTGCAGACCCTAACCTGAGAGACGCACACAACCGTCTTTGTAGACGGCTGATCGTCACACTCGGAGCGAGATTTGAGCCTCTACTGCTCGTGGATGCTGGCGCAATGGTTTTTCTATGATAGGCCTCGCATCCGACGAGCGCGGCCAGCTTGTCGACGACGTTCAGCGTGGGGCCATAAATGACCACTCTTCCAGCAGCAGCACGTGCCCGCGCGATTCGATTTTTGATGAAACACGCGATCTCCGGGACCTCTACCCAGCCGTAGCTGTTGGTGTTGCGGATCGGCTCCGTTGGGTGCCACAACCGGTAGGCGACATTAAGCCGATTGGTACGCGCTCGGAAGTAGTGCACCTTCTCGCGCGAAGTTTGCAAGACAACGAAGAATTTGTCTTCTCTGGCCAGTGGTAGCGTCGCGGTGAGGTACACCATCTGCGCCTGAGCGACCACCAACCGCCCCAGTTGCGCCATCGTGGGCCGGAATTCGGGATTATCGCTCAACACCATGTGACATTCGTCGATGACAATCCGGTCCAGACGAAGGCATAGCCGCAGGCGGTCGAGGAAGTCCATGAAGTCATCTTGCACGGCTGATTCGGGCGTCACGAGCACAATGGATGCGTGATCTGCTGGGCGACGGCTCTCCCATGCCACGCATGAGATGCCAAGCTGCTGGGATCGATGTTTCATGTCATCCCGTAACGACAGCAGTGGCACGACAACACCGTGGCCCCACGGGGGGTGATCCACGCAAGTAGGAGGAAGAGCATGCTCTTCCCTCCTCCTGTCGACATCACGGCCAGGACCGGGCTGTGGCCGTGTTGGATGGCTTCCAACGCCGGACGCTGTACTCCTCGAAGCCGTAGGTCCCCGTTGCCCATCATTCGCTGCATCTCGGTCTCCATGTCTGCATTCGACAGACGCCACCGACGCTCCGTGCGACCGAGTTCGGCTTCCTTCTGCCAGGGTGAAAATGGAGCGAGTCCCAAAGCAGTCTCGGACCCCCCATCATCAGCGGACACAAAGCCTAGGAATCGGTGCCAGTCGGTGATGCCGCGGCCATAGATCATGCCGGCCACGTGTGATGAATGGGCCGCTTGGAGATCGGCAACATGGCCCATCCATTGCTCAGCACTCATGCCGTCTTCGTCATCCTCCTGTGCAGCCTCGGCCCGTTCATCCTGCCGAGCATTGTTGGGGAAGACGCTGGATGGCCGCATGAAGCGACGGCTGATGCCAATCGCAATGTCCCGGTAAGAGCTCAAATTAAGGGATTCCCCTTTCAGCCCACATATGGTTTCCCGCTTCAGAACCTCACGGAGTCGGCCCCGGTCCGGGCTCGACCAGTGCAAAAGTCCGGCCCCCAGAGGTGAGCCTGACGTGTGTGTCTTGCCGCTCTTCAGGTAGAAGTGGATATACCGAAGAAAGTGGCCCGTATTTGAGAGTGAACGAGGAGTGACCGGTTTCCTTCACAGCATGTGGCTGACCGAGAGAAAGACGAGGGGAGCCACGGTGTCTGTTGCATGGGTAGGCGTCGACGAGGGCGCATCCATCTCTGTAGCTGGCTCCATCCGCTCGATAAGCTGCACAACGCGCGAGTCAACAAGCCCTAAAGGAAACGCAAGACATGTCAGCAAATAGGGAGCGAATAGCCAAGGACCTGTAACAAGATAACTCACCTGAAGAGAACCAGAGACTCGGAAGATAGGTAGAAATGAGCGAAGGGACTGAATCGATGCATGAGTGACCAAAGGATGGGACATCTGCAAAAAGCTCATATCAGAAGAGTTCATTGGAAGACATAGGAAGAGTAGGACAAGACATACATGCTTCTTGGCCTTCATCTTCCTAAGAGGGAGACTATCCGTAACTGGTGACCGTGAAGGATAGGCCAACCCAGAGGTAAAACTCGTATATGACACGTACAGTCCGTGACTTACGGCTACCTGCAAACAAACTCCATAGGAATTCCATAGGTACGTCTGGCTCTGAGAGGTCTTTCTTTTGACCTCCATATATAGAGGGTTGATGCGGTCGCGAGATCGACTGCAAGCTCTTGGGCTGAGCTGCTGCTGGACGAAAAGTGAGCGAGGGAGTCGGGGATAGAGGATAAGGAATGAGAGGGTAACCGAAAAGACAAGAATTGAAGGGGCGAGATAATTGGGAAGGGGAAGGTATAAATGGGGAGATGACAGGATATCAGAACAGGTAAGTGAAGCTGACAAGATGATATGTAAGATGAAGGAAATGAGAGGAGGGTTGTCGGAGAGAGAGAGAGAGAGAGATAGATGGAGGAACCATTTATAGAGGGGTACGTGCTTAGAGAACAGCTTCCCTGTGTGAGGTCAGTTCTTTCATTCAGCTCTTAGTTCTGATAAACCTCGCATCAAGTCATATGATTCATATCTAACAGTCTCTGCTATGAACACAAGCCGCAACCTAGACTGGATACAATTACAACCAGCTCATTTTCACTATTGTCATACTAACTGTACATTCAATAACCGTACCCATGCGCATTGCCGTGACCACTAGGTCCTTGACCATACCCACCAGGAGGCCCCTGGTGAGAGCCGTGATGATGTTGATTATGGCCACCATATGGTGACGGGCCACCAAAGTGGCCCTGCTGCTGCCCATAACCTGGGGCGTTCTGGGAGCCTCCGAAATGCTGTTGTTGGTGTCCTTGTTGGTGTCCATGGCTTTGATAGCCGTGCTCCTGCTGAGGAGCATGCTGAGGCTGGCTGTAACCGCCGTACGACTGGGTAGGAGGGTGCGAGGCGTGGTGACTACCTCCGCCCTGGTGACTCTGGTATGAGCTGTGTTGAGTCTGCTGGGGCTTTTCGTCGTTTGATAAACCGCCAGAAAGAAGGTTTGAGAACTTGCTCTCAAGCTTGCTCAAATTAGAGATGCCCGGAATGGGGAGGCTGGAAAGCTTATCCCAAGGCATGCCAGAGGAGCTGCTTGATTGCTGCTGCTGGCTCTGCTGGCTGCTCTGTTGAGGGCGGTATGAGTGGCTGGCCGCTGAATGCCCACCAGATGATTGCCCGTGGGTCTGCTTTTGGCCGAGACCAGTACCGCCCAATGCTGGGAATCCGCCGTGACTTCCGCCGTGAGTGTGACTCACTCCGCCAGTGTTACGGCCGCTTCTCACGCCCTCGGAACTGAGAATGGAATCCAGGGAAGCGCCACGGTCTGGGCGAGCGCGGGCCCACTTCTCAACTGCCTCGAACATTGTACGGTGGGCATCGTTGCGCATGTTGCGCAGCGCCGGGTGGTGGAAGACTTGCATGCAGTCATCAAGAACTTCCTTCTCGGACACATCAGGGTGTTGCCAGGCGTACAGGATACGAGGCGCAACGTACTCCACGATTGCAGAGGCGACCCGTCCTGCCGGCTCATTCAGAATGTTGGCAAAGTGGTCCTTTGAGAGCAGGGAGTGGGTGGGGTCTGTGCAGTGAGGATCGGTCCATGGCTCGTACTGGTGCTTGCCAGAGGCATCAATAACACCTGCTGATCCAGTCTGCAGAGAGTTGGAGGCAGCCTTGATCAGAGGCCGAATGAAAGGTGCTAGAAGCGACATGATGACAATGGTCAGAGTCTCGGAGACCTTCTCAACGAGTGACTCCAAACCCGGAATCTTCTCAATGATCGAGCTCAAGCTCCGCATAACCTTATCCCGGAAGGCCAGTATCGGATAGATTTTGGCGATTGTTTCCTGGGGATTGAAATCAGGCAGCTTGGAACCGCCGCCCGAAGATTGGGTTGGTCCGGCACGAGAACGCTCCTGATGATTGGAGCCAGTGTGCGCATAACCCGAGTCAAGGCCGCGGCTCAGATTGGCCGAGTTCTGTGCTTCTGAAGATCTCTGCAGACCCTCAGCCTCCCTGACGAGATCCTTGGTGCCCGGGATCTTGCCCAACAAACCAGTCAAAGCATTGAGGGAGTTGTTTGACTGAGCGTTGGTTTCGGCATCGCCAAGCGCAATGTCCATCTCGTTGACCTCAGATTGGGTAAAATGATCATTTGCTTCTCCTAGGACGGAGTGGAAGAAATCAACCATACCAAATGTTCCTGTGATAAGCGGGAAAGCGCGGTGTCCTTGGATGTTCATTTCGGTGGCCGTGCCCGTGTGCGGGAACACGTTTTTGAAACCCATCTCGCGCAGCACCAACTCAACATAGTTGGTGTGAGCGGCAAAATCCTCCAGTGTGTGCAATCCTTGGCCTAAGCAACGGAGAGCTTCGCACAGGTCCTCCTCCTTGCCCTTCTGGTGTCCGCCATTGGTATAGGTGCGTCCATAGTGAATACTGCGGCCAAGGCTGTACTTGATATAGGCGGAACTAGTGGCCCAGTCACCTCTCTCATTGGCGATGTAGTTCTTCATACCGGTCTTGGGGTCGATTTCGAGCTCGACGGCCCGGACGGGCGGGCGCAACCGCTTGTCATATTGGCGGGCGTCTTCATTATCGGCATAGTCCTTAGGATTACTGCAATCGAGACCGGTCAGCATATAGAGATCACCTAGCAGACATTGAGCTGGACTCACTCAATATGTTCCTCGGGACGGTAGACGCCCAAGCGTTCGGAGGTGACCTCGAATTCAGCAGTGGCATAGCCGAAACTCAGGAACGAGAGGACCCACACGAGAATGCGGATAGAATCGGCGGGCAGATTCTTCAGGGTGCCGACATCCATTGCCTGCGAGCTGCATAACTAATTAGTACTGTGTATACTCCGGACGATAATTACTTGACTCTTGTAGGGCTACTCACTAATCGCGGAGCCAGTTACCGAAGTACACACGCTTGATCATGGTAGAAGTCCATTTATGGCCGGAGATGAAAGCCAGCGTCTTGAGGACATCTTCGATATCACCATGGCGCCAGTTCTTGCCTTCGACTGTCGAGATAGAGGCGATGTTTCCTGCTCCGAAGGCATGCACTTGCGGAAGTATCAGGAGCAGCACCAGTAGAGCGGAGCCCACATTGAGGAGGGGCATAGTGGGGGTCAGATTTGCGCCGAGGTTAGATATTCCTCAAGCTTGAGGGGTGGATGAAACGTCAGGAAAGTACGGAGTACAGTCGAAAGTAGATATTGAATATACCAGAGGCAACAGGATTTCTGAGGGAAGAAGATCGAGTGCACTCAAGCTGCGGAAATGATTCAGCGGGCCTCAGCCCTTCAGGTCTTGGCATATCTTGGCAGTTGACGATCCCAATGACGTCGGGTTCACGAAATGCATAAAAATAGCCATCTTATGTTCTGTCTGTTGTCTACTCCGTACATGTAATAGTGTAACGATGTTTCACATTTTGTTTATCAACAAACATCTACGTACCCTCCCCATACAAAGAATACTACATCCCCACAGAGTACCTGAGAAGGCCCATGGAAAGGTCACATTTTGGATCCACGGTAGTATCGATAAACCAAGTCATAACTAAAAATGCAACATAACATCTTCCGATCTCCGTATTCAACCCCACAGATATAAGTTCATAAACCGCCCCGTTCTCCCATTCCCCCATTCCTCCATTCCCCGACATCCCCAGGTCCGCAGATCTCACATCTATCTGATCCTTCGCTCCTACCACATCTACCCCTCACCAACAAAATGTCAACCCCACACCTAGACGCCCTCCAACGCGACGGCTTCGTCGTAGTCCGCAACCTCCTAACCCCATCCGAGGTATCGCACTACCGCGAAATCGCAACCAAAGCAACAACCCTCACCCGCACCGGCGGCTGGCCACACTTCCGCACCGTCCCCAAACAATTCCCCCCATGGCCCACAACCGTCCCCCCAGCCTCCGAGGGCGGAATCTGGGGCGTGCAACACCTAATGCACCCCTCCATGCCCGGCCGCGACAGTTTCGCGCGCTGCTACTTCTCCCCCACAATCCTCGCCGTCGCCGAGGAGCTGATGGGCGTGCAGAAGACCGAGAACTCCGACACCGAGCCCCTCGTCATGGAACTATTCAACTTGCTCGTCGCGCCGGAAACGAAGGACTTTGAGCTCCGCTGGCACCGCGATGATATCTCCGAGAACGCTACGGCCGAGGAAGAACTCGCCCAGCTGGCGGCTAAGGCGCCCGGAGGCCGCCAGTCGCACTGCCAGTATAATCTCGCGCTGTGTCCTGATGCTTCGTTGATTGTTGTGCCGGGGACGCATAAGCGGGCGCGCACGCAGGTTGAGCGTGATGCGGATCCCTATGCGGCTGAGTTGCCGGGCCAGTTGGTTGTTGAGTTGCAGCCTGGCGATGCGGTGTTTTATAATAGTAATATTTTGCATCGGGGTGTTTACAAGGGGAAGAGTGAGGGTGGGGAAGAGACAAGATTGACTCTGCATGGCAGTATTGGCTTGAAGGCTTCTGGTAATGGGGGTGATAGTGATGTTGAGGAGAAGAAGAAGGTTAGGGCTACGGCGGTACTGCAACACGGCGTTGGAGCTTGGGTGCATCGTGAGGACGCTGCTTTCGGGCTTGGGGAGAGGGCTGAAAAGATGAGGGCGAATCTGGTGGAGATGGGGACTGGAGAGGGAGTTGGGTTCTCTTTGCAGGGTTAGCACGTTTTTTCTGATCATAGGTTGTTCTTAGGTACTAGTTACATACATATACTAACTAACTATGTTACTCAGGTTGGGCTGCTCCTGGACCGGGAGAATCATACACTTACATGAGTTAGCACGAAATTCCAGTGTAACCTAGGGGATATATGATCTGTAGATCAAAGCTTATCGCTGATATCCCAAGCGTGGTAGATCCAAGGGTATCAGAATGACAAAATGATCTACTGTGACAATGGCATTGTCTGAACAATGCGTTGCACGGAACTGCAACGCGGGGAAATAGACAGCCTGACAGGGGGCGTGTGGCCCCAAAAAGCTTATCCTCTGAAATCGATGTTACATCCCAAAGGTTGTTATCTACAGAATAGTACGCGGCTTTAGCTCGCTTCATCCACCCGTAACCCGTGGACGTGGATCTTGCGCTTTGAGTCGGATAGAAATCCGTGGGGCTATCACATGGCACTTACCTCAGTTAGCCTACCCCGCTTGAAAGACCAGTTGACAGCACCAAATCCAGGGGCAAGATTCTTCGCTTTTCCAACAACCAGCACGACCATCAAATTTAGTGGAAATTGGAGATCATGCCTCGTCGAAAAGCAATTCCCCGTCGAAAAGCCCAACTTGATCGCAGTCACGCGGCCGGTCCTGACTCTGAGCAGACATTCCAGGAGCAATCGTTGAATTCAGGCAATGCACACTCATCGGCGTTGGATGATCGCTTGGGCCTTGGTTATTGGCGCCGATGAGTGTTCCGAATTGCCTGGATTCAACGATTGCTCCTGGAATGTCTGCTCAGAGTCTAGCGCGCCAAAAAACCGGCAGAATTTTTGGATCATGTCATGCATATAGTCTGAGGATACTGAGGTACTAACATTTGATGACACTGATTGACATGACAAAGACATTGATCGGACTTCCAAAATGCACTAGAACATAAATAGCCTAGTTCAAATCTCCCTCAGCCAAACGGACACCACTGGGCAATCCAAATATCTGAGCAGCACTGTCAACCACACACGACTCAATCCCACCATTACCCGAGTTACGAGCCAAACAGCCGTCGGCGAGGGTGTTGCGCAGATGTCCAGTAACGAGATGTTCCCAGGCAGTACTGGCAGCACCCTCACACTGAGCCAGTGAAAGCTCACCGTTGTCCCCGACAGCAAGACAAACAGTCGCATCCGACAGAGGCCTCAAGGTCACGTCACTGCCATCGCCAGTTGCTGCCACGTTCCAGACCTGGGAGTCCGAGGCACTGCATTTCTCGAAAGTGACAGATTGATCAGTAGAAGCGGTCAGACAAAGACCGGAGGGAGTATTGAAGACCATTCCGGTAGGGATGGTTTTAGCACAGCTTTCAGGCAGCGCGATGCGGTAAACGACAGTAGCATGGGAGTCGAGTTTAATTTCGAAATCAGAGTCGACGTTTACTTCTTCGCCGGTGACAAGATCGCGCGCAGCATACTGGCAGTCAGACTCGGATGACAATCCCAGACGCGCGAGGGAGACGGTCGTTGTGGCCGTAGCGGCACCGCGGTTTAGGACCGTCAGCAGTCTGTCTCCGTTTGACAGGGAGCGGGACAGGACGTCGAAGGTGCCGTCGCGACTGACGAGGGCAGCCTGCTGCGCCAATGCGTCCTGGTCGACCTCGATAAGGGCCTTGTTACTGAGGACTGCGATATCCTCATCCGAGAGGTCCGGGATATAAGCACTGATAATCAATGGCGCGGAGAAAGAAGCCCAGAGACTGAAGTGGGATTGCTTCTCATCCTTAGTTAGACCCGGGTGGTCAGGGATCAAGAAGTCAGGATCATTGTAGTAGCCCGGCTGCTGATAGCGCACTAGAAGTGTGTTGAAGTCGTAGTTGTTCATGATACTATCCCAACCATCGCCGCCCTCATACACGACCACATCAGTTGAATGCCGCGCCAGCTCGCCATAGCTTGGTACCCAATCCATGACGACCGCCCAGTCTGACGCATTGTCCGAGAAGTACGCAGGTGCGGACTCGGAGAAGATCAAAGGTGTTGGCAGGGCGCTAAGCACATCGTGCCACCCACTGTACCGAACACGGTACTCCTCGCGCAAAGAGCGACCTTCCTCAGCCCAGACATTGCATCCGTCCAGCTTAAGGTAATCGATGCCCCAGCTGGCGAAGAGCTCGGCGTCTTGCTTCTCGTACCCGTAGGAGCCTGGGTAGCCGCCGCAAGTCAAGTTGCCGGCATCTTCATAGATGCCGAGCTTGAGCCCATTGCTTTTCATGTAATCCGCAAGCCAAGGGATGCCATGCGGGAACTTGACGGTGTCAGCTTCCAGCGAGCCGTCTGCAGCACGCTCTTTGCGCATCCAGCAATCGTCCAAGATAAGACGATCGTATCCCGCATCGAGAAGGCCGCGGGATACCATTGACTGTGCTGTATCAGTGAACAGTGTCTCGTTCAGATCGCACATGAAGCGGGCCCAGTTGTTGAACCCCATTGGGGGGGTTGGAAGCACCTCCGGGTTTTGGATGGAGGCTTGCACTCCAAGGAGCAAGGGACTCATTAGGAGTCCAGCCATGTTTGAGGCTGTCCAAGTTGTGGACGAGTGTGCTTTCATGGTGTATTTGCTGTAATACTGGGCGTAAAGACGAGATGAGACCTCACGATTCACGAGGTAGGCTGTGGTAAGCTCCGATGAAGCGAAATTAGAGCTAGCTGAGGCGCAATGTTGCACGGCATGACGGGCCACTTTATGCAAGCCAGGAGCTTCATTTCACTCGGGTCGAGAAGTTCCCCGCATCGATGTCGCATCTCATGCGATCTGCAGAGGAAGACGCAAGCAGGTACGACGGTACCATTGATGCTAGTGCATATCGATAATTCGATATCGCTTGGATTTAAGAAGTTAGTAGCAGATTGGAAGCAGTAGATAACACGGCGGAAGGTTCTTGCCGAAGTGCCAGTCGAGGCCTCGAGGGGCATATTAAATCCAGCGTGAAGATCAGCAAAGACACACGAATGACACGATCCTGACAAGAACATCCGCAGCGCCGTATCCAATTAAATAGCTGAAAAGCTTCGTCTGCATGGCCAAGACGAACATGCAAAAAAGCGATAGATCACATTTTTCCTTGTCGACTGCCGGCCCCCAATCTCCCAGCCTATCTCAGGCCTGTATTCCTGCGGCAATCCTGCCCACACCTGCAGGCGTAGCTGAACCCTGAGGGCGAGAGCACAAAAACCGGATGGGTGGAGCCTCGGTTCTCCCCCACCTTTAAAAATAACGGTTTCTCCGAATTTCTCTACGCCAAATCTAGAGGGAGGTGGATAAATTTCCGTGAAAACAAAAGATAACCCTGGATGTAACCTGGATCTTCCACAGGTATTCGTCGCAATGCCTCCCGACGCAAAGACGAAGATCCGCCCACAACAGTCGTGCCATAGATGTCGCGAGCGCAAAGTGAAGGTAACAAAAACACATATCTCCTTTGATCGCATTGATCTCCCCCCGTCTGCTATCGCTACTACTTTAACCCTCAACTCATTCAAAAACTGATCATCCACCTCTCACAACCAGTGCGACCGCTCCATCCCCTGCCACGCCTGCATAATCCGCGGCCTCGAAGCAGAATGCACATACCTAACGACAGCCGAGGATCGCGCTCATATCAGCCAGTCCGAGATCATCGATCGATTGCGCCGCGAAGTCGCACAGCTGCGGGAGCACTTGAGCCAAAGCCCGCGAGAGCAGGGGTATAGCAAGCGCCCGAGCCCGAGCCCAGATCAAGGAAGTGGGAAGAGCAGGAGCTGGAACCAACAGGGCTCTGGCTCTGGTTCCAGCTCTGGCTCTAGCTCTGCGCATACGGGTTATGTCCATGCGAACGCGGACAGCTATGGTCATGGCAATATTTCTGGTTATGTGACTGGCGCTGGCGCTGGTCCCGCTTCGTCCCGGGGCACACCGGATGCTGGGGATGAGAGCTGGCGTGGGTCGTCACCAGCCTCGACGATGACGAATTCGGTGGTTGTTACGAGTCCTGATAGTACGGGGAGTGATAGTGGTGTCCGGTCGGCGTCTGTCTCGTCGCGGTCGGTCTCTGCTTCTGTTTCGGTCTCGGCGTCGGCTTATCCTGTCGGGTCGGGGTATGTGCCGCAGATTGCGGAGTTGGATGAGTCGACTACGGTTGATCCGCTTGCTTGTGGGGGTATGTTATATTTCCTTTCGATCTATTTAGAGGCTATTTTCTAATTGCTCATAGATTATCTGGAAGATACGGCAATGGCTGGTTGTTATGCGGCAGGTATGGGCTTCGCTCCAGGGGACATGTCCGGAACAGTCCCAGCCCCAATGCAAGGACTCCCAACACATGGGCTACATCCGCAGAATGCAATGTGGAGCCTAGATCATCCGCCACTATATGGGACCGACAACTCTCAGTATCTACTCGACGGGCGCAAGATGCTCCCATACTACTATGCACAAGATCCGCACTACGCCACACCATTACCGAAATCAACAATAGCACATTACGGAGAGGAATATCCAGCATCAAGAATTGAAGACGAGTCGCATAACCCATATCATCAGCCGGGTGTAGACGCCTACGGCAATCCGAATCCGAATCTAAATCCAAATCCGAACCAATTCTCGCAGCTGCATCCATACCAAACCCCGACTCATTATTCAGATATCAACTCCTTTAACAGCATGGACGTCACCGCATTATCAAATCCAAACTTCTCTCTGTCTACCCCGACACTCGTGGCTGGCGATTCCTCGAGCCATGCCAGCCCCATTTCTCAGGATCGTCCTTCACCCACAACGGTCATGAATTCCATGCCGAACTCCTGGAAGGGTGAAGGAAAACAAGAACTGCTAGAAATCCTGCTGAAAACGATTTCCAGCTGCGACGAGGAGCAGTTGCCGCAGGTGATTCAGGTCCTGCGAATGAGTCCTTCACCTGAGGAGGCTGTTTCGGGTGTTTGTCGGGTTCTTGGGCTTGGGAACAGGGGGATAACCATGGGATGATCTGACATTCACATCCAAACCCTTGAACATTGGTTGAGGATCTGGACGAGAATAGTTGTGCATGGCTTGATTTCGGTCTTCGACGACCGAATTTTGGCTCGAGTGGTCCCGATTGTCAGAGCCATCCGCTGGAAAGATCATCATCCAATGTGTCGAACACAGCGCAGGTCGCTGGTTGAATACCAGGCGAATGATGGGGAGTGTCTGGCACAGGACCACCCAAGTGGATCGCATCGCTCATCCCCCATGCATCACGATATTGGCCATGTCCACATGAGATTATGAACATAAACGAAGCGAATCAGTCCAGTACATAGAGGACATTGTACATTAATCCGCGGAATATCATGATCCAGCCTTGACTCATATTGTCAGGCAAAGTAGTCGACAGATTCGGGAAAAAGTCGATAGGATGAAGGGATTCACTCTTCACTTCTTCTATTGTGGGGGTATCATTGTCATAACTCCATTATATGGTCCCACTCCACAAGTCTCAAGACTCCCCCGACGAAGGAGAGCCCTCATCGAAAGGTTTTTGCCCGTAGACAAAGTGGAAATGCACATAAAGATGGTAGGAATTGCTGACCAGCTCCGCCCGCACCTTGTCCATATACTCCTGCGCATCCTGGTAGGAGAATCCCAGAACACGAGTGAACAGCGCCAGCGTGTACGGCTCGACGACTTCCAAGATAGTCACCTTGCCAATACGACCGATCTCCTTTAAGCGGCGGTTCTTCGCCCAGCCGCCAACAGGACACTAGACAAACAGTCAGTACACGAACATCACCCCAACCATCGACAAAAACAGAACCAAAAACCCACCTTGTAAATATCATCCGCAAGATTCGTAAACCCCTGCTCACCCATCCACTGCGAAATCCTCGACGCAACATTCATCGGCTTCCCAAACTTATTACTAGCCTGATCCAACAAATCCTGCCAACCATTAAGCGCCGTCGCCCCCTCATGCGTCCCATCATCCGAAAGCGCCCACGTATCAAACTCCTGCGCCTCAAACCAGCCGCCCGGCTTCAAATGCTGATAAGCCTGCTTCAGCAGCCTCGGCCAATCCCCAATCCCGCCGCCCATCGAGCGCGCATGAATATAATCAAATGCCTCTCCGGGCGAAAACGTCCAATCGCTTTCCGCATCGTCGATGAAAAAGCGGCAATTGGGCGGCGCCCAGTTCGGCTGGATGGGACTGAGATCTGTGCCGATTATGTCGGCTTGCGGGTGGTCTTCGGCCATTTCTAGGGCCCATTCGGCGGTGCCGGTGCCGATGTCGAGGATGCGGCGCGGGCTGGTGTTGGCTATTGGGGCGCGGTGCAGGTCGCCGCCGGTGAGGAGTTTGAAGAGGTGGTGCGTTAGGGCTAGGCGGTCTTGTTCTTCTTGGTCGTTTGGGAGTGGGTATTGGCCGTTGCGGTAGGCGTGGTAGCGACGGCCGTTTTCATAGTTGTAGTCGCGGACGGAGGAGGCGAAGGAGAGGCTGGAGTCTTTGAGGGATTGGGTGTCGAAGAGGGAGTCGTCGTCGCTTGTCTGGGTTTGTTAATTTGTTTTTGAAAAAAAAACGAGGGTGGTGTTGGAATGGGATTTGAATGCGATAATAGATATTGCGGGGTTGGTGGAGATTATCTCCGTTCTTTATGGTGACAGGTACAGAGTGTATGGAGTTGGGGATAGGTTCAAAAGAGAAGGGGAAAAACACCCGGCAAATAGTCTACTTACGTCGACTTGGATGCGTTCGTTTAAGTTTGGTTGTGACATGGCGAGAGAGAGAGAGGGAGAGAGGGAGAGAGGGAGAGAAGAGACGAGGAAGAGGGAAGAGAGAGGGTAAATGGGGGAATTCGAGTGTTTTCACTGAGAAGAAAGAGAAGAAGAGCAGAAGAGCAGAAGAGCAGAAGAGCAGAAGAGCAGAAGAGGGGGAAATTAAATGAAGCTATCAAGTGCTACCCAAACCCGACGGAAAGGACCCTAGTGTAGCCACTTATTTTTTCCTATACCAACTGGCTGGTTCACGTACCTTTGGCTTTCGAGAACCCCGCAGTGGAAATCCGACAGCCTGGTACGGGAAAGTCGCCCCATTCCCAATCGGTCTGGCCCGGGATTTGGATTTTCGATTTCCATTGTTGGACCGTGGTTGACACGTACACTAAGTGGTGGGGCCTCTCTACACACTTCAGGGAAAAGTCCGGGTAAATTTCTGTCCGCAAGCTAATTGGCTGCTACCGGATACCGTCGGGCATCACGAAGTATATCGAAGGCTATGCCTAAAGAGGCAAGAACCTTGACTGGACCCAGGTTAATTTAGTGTTCTTCAAGTTGGTCGATCCTCTAACATCCTTTTCTTTCCATAACTAACTCTTGATGGATTGCTTCTTCCATCAACATGCATGTAAACATCCGAGTAACCACATGTAGTATTCTCAACTTGCTGTACTTGCTGAACCGGTGTTGTCAGCCCCCACACTCGGTGTGATCTTGTGCTGTTGTTTGACAGCGTGTCTACCTAACTCGTCATAATATGACCGGGGTGCCAAGTCGATTGGTCTAGGCATCCCAGCTCAATGAACCCCGGGATCTGGTGGCTGGGACTGAATAAAAGCAAACACATTGGCCGAATGGGATTGGGTACCAGATGCCATTCATCTTGCAGGCAAACTTTCTTTGACCGCATTGCTGGGATAATCTCGCCGACTGTCGGAGACATACTATTCCCAATTGAGTCGTCCGTGCTTAGGATTCTCTTGGTATGCAGAAAGCCAGAACGTTCAGAAACCTTTTTGTAGGAGCAATCTTTTCAACGACGTACATGGGCAGCCGCTGCGTCACTCGATTGCTTATGATTCGAACCATAATGAAACACACTGAACACAGGATTGTTTGGTGTTCCTTGTCTTGGTCTCTCGGTAACCAGTGGCTATCAGAAATATCTCTCTCTCTCCTCTTCGTCCTCAGTGTGTGTCCTGTAACACATATTCTCATCAGCGGGAGTAGTCTCAAAGATTATTTATGATCTACCAGGTATACACCTCAGAGTATCGAATGGCCAAGAACTTTGACCGACAGCTGGTATGGAAAGATGTTCTAGACAAGGCATCTCAGTTTCAACGGCACTCAATTGGAAGTATACCGTTGATCACTCCGGCACCAGATGGTGTGCCCGCTTGACATGGCCCCCGCCTACAAATTCCGCTGTGTACGCATACCAATCCGGCAAGAGCCCGAGGCCATTCAAAGACTGTCTCCTTTTCCACAGACAGCTGAGCTCTATGGAGCACTGACCAGGACCAGCCGCACTAGGGATGAAGCAACAAGAAGCGGTTGCTTTTCAACTTGGTCCCTTCTGGGAAGCTGTGATGCTATATGCACATGAATAGAATAATATAACACTTTACCTCCAGTCAGCATTAGTACTCAAGTCCTGTGTAGCTACCTTCCTTTTCTCTCTTCTTCGAGACTACGCATGGTAATTTAGGTAGTCTGCGAGTAAAATATAGGACACTGTGAAAATCATAAGAAAACCGATAGAAAAGGACCAGCGTCATTTCATTTCGCCTACAAGATTAAGGTCATATCCTATCCACATCCACAGCCCCGTTAGGATGCTCAATTACCGCAAAAGGGTGAGCACTAACACAGAAAGGGAATGCCAAGAAACAGCGGACAACGGGCATTACGTATTTGCAATGCTTTTGATGTTCCAAGCCGTTGAGATATCCTAACTCAGCTAGGAAGGAACCCAGGGGCCAGGTTACATGTACTGTGCATTTCGTAGGAGTGCAAAAAGAAATACTGAAGAAATGCAAAGCTCGAAAGCCTAGAAAAGAACAAACAAGGCAAGAGAACCGCCGAGATAAGAAAAAGCAAAGAAAGAAAGGGAGGAAATGCAAGCTCAAATCCAGCCAGGGTCATCCTTGCTCTCAGACCCGGCTGTCTGGTGCGATCCCCACACGGGACGGATAAGCCCTGGGTGGTTCCGACTGGAAGGATTGGGAATTTGGGATGGGAGTCATGTTACGTGCAGAAACAGGGGTCTCCTGACTCGTTGCTTCACCGATATGTACTCCGTACTTTTGACTATGTGTACTACTACTGTAGATGGTGTATCGATTTATGAAAGTAGGACTCTGGAGGTCTGTTATATCTTAAGTCAGGCTCCATACTGCCTACTACGTGCAATCACGTGCGATTAAGTCTTTTTGCTGGGGCTGGGAGGGTTTCAGATGTTGGCCAGGCCTCTAGTTAGTTAGTTAGCCTAAAGTTTATTTAACAAAGAAAGAAGCTGTCGGACACGGACTTACATGTAGACATGTCATTTGAGAAGCAAACAAGACATTCGGAAACTGGGAAGAGCGCTTGGTTCAATTCATGCTACAATTCATGCTATAACCATGCGCTAATGGTGTATCCAAAATACGATGAGACAGGGGGGAAGAGATAGAGAAGCGAAGGTATCTGTATTCACTACAAGTGACGGCTTGTCCTTGCGTGTTTTATTGACATTCAGGCATCAACCCGTTAATAACTAAACCGGTCCAAAAAGGAAGGTAAGTTCTAAAATCGTATCTCCTTGACAAAGGTAATCCAAACACTCGGCGCCGCTCACAGACCCTGCAGCTTAGCCTGCTCACCCGGAGTCAACGCGGCGTACAATTCTTGGAAACCAGGCTGTGTGGAGGCCCGTCGGAAGAAATCCGCCAGGAAGCCTTGTGTCTCGTCGTCTCGGCGACGCACCCCAAAGACACTCTCGGAGCCGCCCTCGGCGAAGTCCATCAGCCCCTGCTTCGATGCTCCGATGCCGAGGTCGAAGATCTGGTTGGGAACATCTTCCCAGTCGTCATCACCATCGTCGCTGTCGGCATCTTCCAGAGCTGCCGCGGCAGCATCAATCTCCTTGTTTCCGGATGCTGCTCCCAGCTCTTCAACCAAGACCTTGACAATCTTCAGCGGTGCAGGGACGGTCGTGAATTGATCTGGGTTTCGGCGCGCCTGCGAGCGTGTCTTGATCCGGCCTGTATCCTGGATTATGAGGTCGCCCTTGACAGGTACTTCGGCCACGCGTGGATCGGCAAGCTCGTATAACCGCGCCAGGGCGAAGATGTTCTGCTTGATCTCGTCGTAGCCGGCGAAGTTGACAGAGTTCTCGAGCCACTTGCTCAGAACCACACTCAGCCCGCTCTGGCCGCCCAGGTTCACTTGAGCCAAGAAGTCAACTACCTCGCGCGCGCTGACGAGGGTGAGTCGTGCGAAGACTAGGATAAGACTTTGAATGAATTGCGCTTGCTGTGCTGTCGCCAGTCGCTGCGCCACTGCTTGCAGGAGCTGCGGCAAGTAGGGGCCGAGGCGCTCGGAGCCGGCCCGCTCGACCAACTCCGCTGCTAGCTGGCCGACTTCCGTGGCTGCGTTGTCATCCACCGCCGGACCCAGCAGGCGGTCAATAATGATCAACACAACTTCAATGGCTTCCTTTCCGGATTGAGGATCCCGCCAGACAACGAACTGCGCAAAGTCATGAGCGAGCATGTGTCGTACGGCTTCTGTAGCTGGCCGAATCAATTCAGCCTCATCAGACTCTAGTAGCAGACGGTTCAACTTGGGCATCACTGTGTCAACGAAACCAGCGGGCATTGGTTCGGGACTCCGCTCGGCCAAGGCGCGAAGAAGATCGGCTGCGAAATTCGTCAAGGAGTTTTCTTCGGTCAGACTGCCCACATCAATCGCGCCCATGAGCGAGGGAAGCACCTTCTCGCAAAGGCGCATGTAAGCGTCGGGGCCAAGGTCAGTGATTTGGTCTACAATATCTTCGAATGCTTCTGTGACTGTCAAAGTCAACTGGAAGTTTTCGGCGCCGCTGCTAGCAATGTTGAACATAACATCAATGGCAGTAGAAGACAGGACAACACTAGAGTCGGCCATGATGGTGTCCCGAAGCGTCTCCGCCAACGTGACCTTGAGATCGTCAGATTCAGTTTGTTCACGAAGGTCGTTTACAGAGACGAAGTTCGAGATGGCCGCAATCACTGCCGGTTGGAAGGGGCGGGCCTGCGCCGTCGGCAGAGCGGGCATCAAATCTTGCAGCACCCGAATGCAAGCCACTTGAACCACCTCGTTAGGATCTTCGGCAATCGCCTTCAGAGTAGCCTCTAGGTAGGAGGATGTATTCTGCTGGAATGCCTCACCGGCAACTTTAGCCAGTGAGCCCGCCACAAGGTAGCCTCGGGCACGCAGGAGCTCCTGTTCTTGTTGCATTGCGTACTGCACGAATTGGGCAAAGTGGGACGCCAGCTCTGGTGATACTTCTTGGTCTACGTCGCCAAAGTCTCGAAGCAAGCAGTTAAGAATGTACAGGGCGGCTTCCCGTTGTTTCCATCTGTTAGTCTCGCAATTAGTACAGCTTCTCGGCCAAAATGTGGAAGGGATGCTCACGATGCAGATGAATCAGCAAAGACAATATTCAAGTAGCTCAGGAGACCCTCAGCAGCTGTGCTCTTCAGCCACTCGCCGGTCTTGATCACAAGATCACCACTGCAAGTTCGGGGAGTGTAGTTGGCCGTGACAGAAGTCTCCTCCGAGAGGAAGAGGTTCACGTCAATCTCCCATAAAGCCTCCTCCTCTGTTGTGATTTGTGCATAGGAGCTGGCAAGCTTCATGATTTCTGGAAGCCAGCTAGACGTGCTGGCGTTTGCACCGGCATTTTGAAGCTGCTGTTGCAATTCAGCTTTTACTGGGGGAGCCTTCAGCAGGGCCTGAATAAGATCAAGCTCCTCTAGAATGAGGAAATCGAGCGAGTGCGGTAAACCATCCGCATCCTCCAGTCGACTTTGTCTCTCTTGCTCAATATAGAAATTCTGATAGACCGGCAGTGCGTTGGTGAGTTCTGTCCAGACTGTTGAGAAGAAGAGAGTGCTCTGTGCTGTCAAAAGAGCAGGGAAAACCATGCGGATTTTCATCACAGTCTATGCCAGATTTGATTTAGCAAGAGCCCAGAAAAGCCTGAGGACACACTGCCTACCTTGACAATTTGTAACTTCAAGCCAACGAATCCTCTCCACTGCGATGCAATCTCCCCCGATTTATGCTCCTCCTCTTCGCTTGGTGGTTGCGGCAGGGGTGCCTTCAAAGTCGTGTCGAAGAACGGCGACCACCCGCTAAGTACCTCATCCATAAATTGCTTGATAGCCGTCTTGTGTTGTTCCAGAACCATTTCCAAGGTATCGAAGCAGGAGCGGAAGACTGCAACAGCCAGAGCGCGTAGCATTGGGCGTCTGGACTCGGCGGTAGCCACGGCGAACAGAGACGAAACGAGATCCCGGGCGACATTGAAAAACTGCTCCTCACTGAATCCTGTATCTACCAAGTCCAGGAGGACTTTGAGCGCGCCGTGCATCTGGCCATCGGTAGTGGCGGGGTCATTGATGATACGCAGCAGCGAAGGGAGCAACTCGGGCCAGTCGTCCGGGAAGTCGGCACTGGCAATCTTGCTGACAGCGTAACTTGCTGAGTTCTTCACCTTGCGCTCGGGGATATCATTGGTGGCGAGTACGAGAAGCGCCTGGCGGACGTTGGCCTTGTTTGCATCGTTGATGAGGATTTGTCCTTTGAAATCGTCTAGGGCGGGGGACCAGGCGGCGGCAATGAAGGTACGCAGGACGGAAAGCGCAGATTGGCGTAGGTTAACTGGAACTGATTCGTGAGAGGCAATCGCTGTGAGTGAGATTGCGAAGGAGTCGTGGGCGTAGAGAGTCTCCAGCTGAGACTCTGCAGCTCTTCTGGTATCGGTCTTGGAGGACTGGGTGTCCGCCAGGAGCGATAATAATTGTTGCTCCATGGCGAATCAAGACGTGATCAAATACAAAAACAGGGGGGAGAGAGAGTCAATGAAGGACTCGAAGCCAGTGGATCTCAGTCGCAAGAGATTGAGAATCCAAATGTTTTGCGCGTTAAGCAGATAAGGAGACGCGAAGGAGGGGCAGTTTGAAGGCGGTCAGCCGTGGATCAACGGTCGACGGGGAGATGGCCGAGGATACTCCTTGGACGTCAGTTTAGTCTTAGCTTTTCACAGGGCACTTGTTGATGTAGAGAGCTCTGGTGTTGTTTACAGGCAAAAAGACACTGGTTCTGTTGATTTGTGTACTCCGGAATTGGTCGTCCCGACTCCCGACAGTGTTGATACTGCGGACCACTTTTGGATCGAACTTGCACATGGATGATGGCAGGTGTTTGTTTTCATCACGGCGATGACAGAATTCCAAATCTTGCCTCAAGACTATTGCCATGACGGCTCCAGTCTCCAGGCGTTCTTTGTCTTTCCTAGACACTGCCATAGTGCTTACATTACCAAAAGCATGGTCCAGAAAGACCAAGCGAGTGGATGAGAGATACCTCGAACCTTCTCATCCCTCACCTAGGGCAGGAAACGCCTCAAAACTGTCAGCACGTAGCTACTCTACACAGGATCAAGTAAATACTATAGATGAATCCTCAGGGTTAGTATTTATTGCACTGTTCTTAACTTCTGTTCACTTGAAAGTCATCATCATCGGCTTTGCGCGCTGGCTTCCAGGAACTGTGATGAGTTAGCGTATGATAGATCCATAGATTTTAGCTTTTTCCATGTCTCCAATTCACTGCCTGATTCCTTGGTTCTGTTCTGGTGCGGTGTGCGGTGTCTCCCATGTCGTTTCCCGCCAAGGAGTAGAGCTTCCATGCAGAATTAGAATATGCTCATTCCCAGCATGACATGGATACCCCAACTGGGACTGGCCATAAAGTGGAGGAACAGAGAGACATGCATAGTTCTAGCCTATAATCAGACATGATTCGATTTCTCTTGGAAGCGGGAGATCACTCCGATCTGCATTAGCAAGCCAAGTCCCGTAAGATCTGTTAGGGGTCGAGGCAAATAGAATGGTGTGGAAGAAACTTAGTCGATCTTCAGCACCACCTGTTCGGTTTCTCCTTGCCTTAGTCGACAGGGATTGATGGCAGGTCGGACAGGGATGAAGATAAGGTCGGGGTATTCACAGTTTGGGGCTTAATTTAGACTATGTATGTACGGAGTACAAGCTCTATATCTCCGCTTTCCCGTATCTCCAGAGCGGTCACAAGATCACCAATAATTTTGAATGTTATGGATCATGATTCATGAGGAATCAGGCATCCACTGAGATTGATCAGACAGCCGGAATGATCCGCTGCAATTCCCAAACGGTATTGGTTTTATTGTTGACTCTCTCGAGTGCTCCATAGTCCATACAAAGCTGGGTCAGACGGTGAATGGGTCTTCCGGACTCGGCTGGCTCGAGCTTCCAGTTGAGATTCAAATCCTGATCCTCTTGGCCGATCTCATTGGGTCACGAACTTTCGGAACGCGAAGGAGTTCCACCGGATTGACTCGGGGAAACCTCATCACAATCGGAAAATAGTATTTACCAGAGAGGTATAAAAGAGGTGGGTATGTCTATGATACCTGCCTACTGTAGTAGTAGGTAGTATGTAGAGATCTTCAGGCGTAGAAACAAATGGAAGGATTGATAATCGCATATGAAGTTGCTGCCAGACAACCTTTGTCTGATGACCGCCACTGCCGTCAGCGTTGGAAGATCATCGGTAACATTGTACCGCCTCTTGACTGGAGAGTGGAGAGGGCGTACGATGCAGTACGGGTTTTGTACCCGGTGTATACACTTTCCTCAGATGTAGACTGTACACTGCAAGGTAGGTATAACACAGTAGTTATGCTGAGTATTGTGTTCATACTTACAATGGTGCAGTTGTTATGAGTCAATGATGTGGCACAGGATTCAATTGCTATCAAAACAGAGGAAGATACTCAGGGACCCGAACACATGACGAAGATAAACCCATTCTGCTCGGTTATGCCCTTTCGCAGCTTAATCTGAATCCATGGTAGTGAAGGGGTTTTTATATTTTGCCTTATGCCATTCGACGTCTTCCCTTCTGAGATCCTCTTGGTCCACTAAGATACCCTACTTTTCGCTGGGCTGCGATGATCGCCCCCTCTTATAGAATGACCACCCACCTCACAGTGGAGAAGAAAAATGAGAGGCAAAAAACTGTGTGCCCTTCTTTTCTCCAATACAAATTGGCATGAATACTCGATACTGTACCTTGTATTTTTTTGCGGTTTTTTTCTTTGCTTTTTCTGGCTGTTTTCTTAGCACATCTTTGTAACTAGGTCATGCCTGATACCATAGCATACACACACACACACACACACAACACACATTGTTTGTTGATTATAAAAAGTTCAAATCACCATAGGATTGTAAATATTCGTATATTGTCTGCAAGGAAGAATAGAATAAGATCAATTCCTTCGAAGGTGAAGTCCAAGTAAAATGGGATATGCACCCAACCCATGACGCAACCACGTGACGGGAACCGTTACCTTCCAACCAACTTACCTTAGTCCGCCTTTCTTCTGCTTTTCCCCTCGTCGAGCGAGATTGAGGTACATTCCATCCGTCGATTCATCTCCATAACCTCTTTCTTCTTGAAGTTATTTCCTTACTCGGGTTCAGCCCTTTCTTTTCCACTCGTCAAAATCCCCCTCGAGGGTTTCCGTCTCTGAAAGTTCCCCTCCTTCCCTTCGCTTTAAGGCCCCTCCTCGAATTCCCCTCCCTAGGGATCTAAAATATAAAAAAAGTGATCACTCTCTTGCACTTTGGGATCGTCGCTCGTGGATCATATGGTTCTTCCAACCCTCATGCTTTGAGGTTTGCTTCTACTTGTCGTTTTGTCCACCCAAGCGTACGTTTCGATTTCCTTTTCAACATCAACAAGCCCCCTCCTCCACCAACCCACTATCCACCGAACCATCCTTCCCCCCACAGGTCGTACTTCTATACCCGTGTCCAGTGACTACTTTCGGTCGCTCTATTCATTGCTTTCGCATATTGTTTAATTTCCACGGACCCTCGTGGTTTACCGCGTCACCGGCCGGAGCATCGGGACATCCCGACGACATTGACCGAATCCCCAAATATCACAACACTTGACATTCCATCGGAATTGACATTGACGGATGACTTAGAAAGGCAGAGCGATGATTAGCTTCAGGGTGGAACATCATTCAGATTCTTCGAGACTTCGTCAAGACCACCCTCACCGTGGAAACGACACCGGATCGTTCAACGGCAATGCCGATTGCCAGTGAGAGCAGTAGTACTACCACCACCATGACCACATTCTCCGCCCCGGTCCCTGCTACCAAATCGCTGCCCACAAACCAGTCAGCGTTAGCGGCCTCCTTCACCAACTTCCTTACCGTGTCCGTCCATCAAATATTATTCCTGCGCTCCGTTTATCCGCGCGCCACCTTCCTCCCTGTTCGGGCATACAACTATCCTGTCCGCCAATCCCGTCACCCGAAAGTTTGTGACTACATCAACGATGCATCAATTGCAGTCGGAACCGAGATCCTCAAAGGCACAATCACCGCAGTCAGTATTATCATTTCTTCTCTTCGCACAAACCAGCCCCTCGAGCGGTATGCCTTCGACCTGTCGGGCTTCCCACGTGCTCCTGCGGGAGAGGTGAATACTACATTCGAAGAGAGAAATGAAGATTCATCGAACCCAGGTGCCCCCGCCTCAGACCGGGGCCCCGCACCGACGTCGGTCGACCTCGAGGCGCAATTCCGGGCATGTCTAGCCAGACTTGCCTCGGCCTGTGCCCGGTTGACACCACTTCCCCGCGATGACGAGTTCAGCTTTACCGTCTGCATTGAAGTGCGGGAGGACGCTTTACCACCGGCGGGAACCACCAAGGAGGAACAGACTTGGATAGTGGCAGAACCGGGTAAGGTGCACCTACGATCGTGCACTGCGCCATATTCTGTTTCCAAATTGCGGAATGGCGAACCCCAGCAGCCGCCCCCCAGGGTGTCTAATGGCCGTGCCAAAACAGTACCTGTACGACGTGTCGAGGCCGGCGAGCTTCGGTTGGAGCTATGGGTAGAAGAGGCACGGCAAAAATTTAACGAACCGGTGGACTCGGAGCAGCCACCATGACCTTGAGCAGAGGTTACTCTCGATCCTGTTTCAAACCTTGGGGGGGAATTTGTGTTCTACGTTTTTCTCCTTTTTCCGCATCTTTACCCCTATTTCATTTTCCTGTCCACACCCAATTCCTGTCTCATTCTTGATTTAGCGTGACCAATGATCGAACATACATGATGGACGAAGGAAATTCTGGAATTGCCGTCCGCAAGAAGTGGCGCAAATATATAAAACGGGGAGCGGACGATTTTTGGGACTCGCATGGCATTTATCTACATAGATCAGGTTCATATCTTTCATTTTTTGTGCTTCATTCCCAAGTGCTAAACCACCCTTCCCCTGCTCTCCCCATTTTGACTTTCATGACGCTCCTTCTCTATCCTCCTTTTCTCTCTTTCCCTATGGCTTTATATCTTCCCGTTTATTTCGTTTTGCATCTTGCTTGATCCCTTGGTTAACTCTCCTCGCTGATCTTTTTATTGCGGTCCTCATTTTCATACCATCTCCCATACGTTGTATTTCATTCGTCTCCTTTGTCGAAACCTCCAACTACATGATTTCCTTTCTAGCCAATCCAACTATACTAGCAGCTAGTTCCCAATGTTGTTTTATCTTTTCATTGTTGCGTTTTTCTCTGCTTTGACGCCGATACGCTGATGCTCCCAGGGAAGACTTGAGAGAGATTCGGCAAGGTCCTCGATGCCGTAATGTCACATGTTTCCCTTGTCGCTGGATTCTTCCTCGTTCATGTCATCTATCTTCACCTGCACTGTCTATGTTCGCGCCCTATACTAATGCCTCGGATATAGCCGTTGAAAGAAAATAGGCCGCTTGGCCGCGGGGATGACTGTGTAAGAATGCTAGCAGAGATTCACCCAGGTTAATTTGATACTGTTTAAACGGGATCCATAGTAGCTGTACTTGCTTTCCAATACGCCGTCCCCCTCCCCCTGTCTTGTTCCCCATGAGCCTGAATGGCTGAGAGGCCAGAGAGGAGACTCAGCGCGTAGTTTACAGTGACATTGATACCAACACACGAGAACCAGTGGGGTCGCCGAAACAAAGTATGTACACAAATAGAGATAAAGCTCGTCTGAATATCGAAGATACATACGAAGACTAAGTAACCATCTGATTCTCCGAACGCTTAAGCCTTGAGACATCTATGTATCCCCAATCAACCGTACTCAACCATAAAACGCTCAATATCAAACTGGTCGCGTGATCTCCAATCCCCTCACGACAACACTCATCCATGAATCATATTGCATAAACCCACCGACCAATAGCCCCATCCACGTACTACTACTACTGCATAGCTAACCAAGTTACCAAATCTCTCTCTCAACCTTGAACGGGGAGTGAGTTGAACCCCTCATCCAATCCCCATAACCCCCCATGCTAAGATGCTTGATCGCGTGTTGAAATGACATAATCGCCAAGCCAAACCTCACATGACCCCTCCAAACCCTCCGCAAAAGCCAAAAAAAAAACCCCCAACCAAACAACCCAAACCTCTTACGTCAAATCCGATCTCCACCCATGGAAACCTACGGATACCCGTCTCGATCCAATCCGCAATGCAACCTCCGCGCTTGTCAACGCTTCGCCGCGGAAAACGGGAGTTGGAGTCGAGTCCTTGCGTGGGGATTCGGTTTCCGAGGTCATTCCTCATATGATATGTGACATATCCAGGCAGTTTTATATGCCGGCCCAGATCGTGACGTGACGGGGTGTTTGGGATTGTATCTGGTTGGTCAAAAGATTCAATTGGTCGGAATGGAGGTGAAGTGAGCGTGTGACTGGGTTTCTGCGTTCTACTTGGATGTTGGTAGAGAGAACCCTATGGAGAAAATAGAATAGAATTATACGGGAAGGACCAAGGGTTGAATGGGCCAAGGATTGCATACCCCGGACAGAGATATTTAAGACATCGGGGCCCCGTCGGCTGGACCATCCGATAAACACAAACCGTATTCTTTTTTTTTTTTACCCTATCTCCACATCGGGCGACGGGTCTTTTTCTTTGTTTCAGACTAATCCCCGGATTTTTCTTGATATAAAACCAAACCCCTTTGACCCAGACTTGGACTACAATCTACCCCCCAGCAACTTCAATTCCAATTACTTATCATCTACGAATACACAACCCCAAGTTCCCAACATGATCGCCGCAGAACCCCCCAACCTCCCTTCCGGAGATTCCCCAGACCTAATCCTCGTCCCCGCCACAGCATCCGAGCGCATCGCCTCAATCCGGCTAAACAGCGTCGCCTGGAAAGGACCCTTGGACGTAGAAACCTACATCCAGCGCGAGAATCACCTCCTGCAACAGCGGCTAACCCGCGACGGACTGACCTGCTGGGTACTAGTCGACCGACGGGAAGCCGAGGATAGCCGCACGATCCTGTCCTCGTGCGAGTCGTACCGGAAGAGCGCGTTGCTAGCGCGTGATGGGCGGGTGGAGAAGGTTTCCACGCACGGCGTTGGGAGCGTCTACTGTCGGCCTGAGTTCCGGGGGAAGGGGTATGCGAAGAGGATGTTGGAGGAGTTGAGTGTTAAGCTTGAGACTTGGGGGATGGAGAAGGAGGAGAGGAGGAGGAGTGTTTTTACGGTGTTGTTTTCGGATATTGGGAAGAAGTTTTATGCGCAGTTTGGGTGGAGACCGTTTGTTTCTTCGCATATGTCTTTGAAGGCTACGGGGACGGGGAGTGGGGGGATGGGGGTTACGAGGGATTTGTTTGCGGAGGATGTGCAGAAGTGTCTGTGCAGTGAGGTTGTATTGGATAAATTGCGGGACCAGATGCTTGTGGCATCGAGGGAGTCTGGGAGTGCTAAGATTGCTATCTTGCCGAACTTTGATCACTTTGTTTGGCATTGGGCGAGAGAGGAGTTCTATGCTGAGAACTTGATGCCGGAACGTGAGCCGCCTGTTGTTAAGGGGGCTGGAGATGACCGGGCTCGGGTTTATTGCGCTTGGAATCGGAACTTTGGCGAGACGCCCGAGGATAATGTGCTTTACATTCTGAGGTGGGTGTATGATGAGCCCACCTCCCCGGCTGAAGAGGAGGTCGTGGTTACCGCTATGGCTGCCATTCTTCGGCGAGCACAGCAAGAGGCGCATGAATGGAACATGAGCAAGGTCGAATTTTGGAACCCGACTCCCCTCTTGCAAAAGGCTGTGGCCCTGGTGGACCCGCGTGTCGAGCTCGTACACCGCGAAAAGGACAGCATTTCCTGTTTACGGTGGACTGGCGAGGAGCAAGGATTGGGCAAGGATGTCGAGTGGTGGCTGAATGAGAAGTACACTTGGTGTTGATTATTCACTCATTTTGGCTTGTTTCTTTGGTTTTCTGGTCGTTCCGACTCTTTCTTTCTGGGAGGACACCAGGCGATTTTGGGCGGCAGATCTGATCGTGGCGCTTCTAGACATGCGCACACCATAGATTAGATGCCATAGCATTTTACGCAGCAACTGCATTGGCTTTTCTTGCAATCAACGGCTGCCTTTGAGCAATTCGTGCCAATTTCTCGTGTTTTTAGCCTTTGCAGCTGTGGCTGGAGCACTAGAAGTTTTGCTGGCTTGTTGCCGCTGAGACGGCTCAACAAAGAATATAGTCGTAGGGTCAGGACTGCTGTAGCAGCCATTCTGTAATCCACATTAGCAACGCGCTGCAGTTCAAACATGAAAGTTTGGACTAACCTTCAACTTCGAGAGCGCTGCCTCTGCCCTCCAAGACTCAGGCAGACAATCCTTCCACCCCCGAAGGAATTCACTTCTCCCGATAGCAGACGAGCTGATGGGAGCAGTAGCAGCCAAGTAAGTCTCGCCAACCCATTGCGTACATTCCACTCTATCAAAGCTCGCCCCTACAAACCATCACAAAAAGATCAGCAAAGCGTCCAAGCCCAACCACCTCACACCAACATCCCAAACTCACATTTAATCTCATCCCTCAAATCCACCCTCTCCTCCTCCACACAAATCCTCCTCACAACAGCCTCCAACAAAGCCCTCGGAAACGGCACCTCGACCTCATCATCCTCATCAAGAACGGCCCTCCACAAATCCCGAACCAGAAACTGCTTCTCAAGATCAATCCCCTGCAAAACACTCCCCTCAACAACCCTCTTCCAAACCCGCAATCTCGCCCTCGCCGAAGGCCTCCAACACGCAATCTCCTCGCCCGAATCCACAAACCCACAAACCTCCATCCACCCGCTTGCACACTGCTTCTCCGAAACCGGAATATCCCTCCACAACCTTTCCCTCATCTCCCTCACCCGCTTCGCATCCAACGGCGCAGACTCAGCTTCCATGGCTACGTCCCCGTCGTCAGCGCGCGGGTCATACAGCCTTAGACTCTTTTCCAAGAACGGGACGGCGGAGAAGCCGCCTGGAGGGATATGCAGCTCTAGTGTTGAAGAGCACTTTGCGATGGCGGTGACGGCTTCGGAGGGGAGGGAGAGGGGGTCTTCGTCTTCGGTTACGACTTTTATGTCTGCTTGGGAGATTTCGGCATGGCTGGGGCGGAGGATGTGGAGGGAGTTTGAGGATTGGACTTGGCGGATGCGGTAGGTTTGGGTTGGGGTGCAGAGGTTTACGTAGTCTTGTGCGGCTGGGTCGAGGACTGCTTGTGCGAGGGCTGTGGAGGGGGATTTGAGTTCGAGGCTGTGGTATTGGTTAGTACGGATTTCTGTTCAATTGGGCAGTGGGAGGGGTGTATTGTAGGGCGCGACTTACACTGGTGCATCTTTTGAGGTTAGTAGTTCTTCTAGTTCGGGGGATAGTTCCAGTAGTCGGAATCCATCCTGGGGATTGGTGTGTGTGAACAGGATACTGGGTGCAGCTTGGGTAGACATCGCTAAATTAGGGTGATATGTAACGAGCGAAGTGGGATGTAGAACGAAGCATTTGGATTTGGACGCGTCGACGCGAAGTGGAGCCGTGGACGGACCGCCTTAACCCCGAAGGACGGAGTACGGAGCTCGAAGGCTTCGGCTTCCGAGGCGTAACTACTCCGTACTGATTTCCCTCATGGACTTGGTTCCTCGGACATTGGGTTTTCTTGGTAGCAGTCTGCTGCACAGCTCCCATGGAGCAATTTGGGGTGTTCCAAAGAGCTTTGGATCCATCACATTCAACCTGATTAGTATGCTACAATAACCAAGGCCCCAGGGGAACTCGCATTGGGTCGACCATGATGGCCATTATCCTGTTGGTATACGTGTATTCCGTGTGATTGGAACCCCTTCAAATTACTGTTGTCCGGACAGTAAGTCCGGTGGTATGGGGGCTGAGTAGACCAGTGCCCGGTCAATACTTTCACTAAATATCACTTGAATTACGTCTCAAGCTGTTCTAATCTAGGGCAGAAGCTTCGTCTGGCTCAGTCATTTACAGTGAGAGACGATCACACATCGGAAAGTACTTTTTGATTTCTGTCGTACATGAAGCACAGATACGACCACACCCTCGGCTCAGTCTCACCCTCTCTTCTCCATCTCCCTCGCACTGTATGGAGCGAACGTATCTGCGCCGTAAATGGATTTGCGTGGTCAGCATGTTGAAGTGATGTACAGAGGAGCGGAGTCATACTTACATGGTTGGGGGAAACACCCCACGACTCTGTCTGCCTTCCGCACGTTCACAAACAGAGACATTCGATCGATTCGAGTTGTGACGACGGTACCTGCCGGCTACCTATGATGGATTCTCATGTCAGCTCACAGATATAGGAAAGACACTTACCCCCGTCGCCAACCAAACGAGCCACCACATGTCCTGCTGCCTTCCGCACGTTCACAGACAGAGACATTTCTCGACCGGGGCCGCGGCGACAAAGGCCAGCAACCACCTACGAGTGATTCTCATGTCAGCTCAGAAGCATCAGACATAGGAAAGATACTTACCCCAGTCACCATCCAATTGAGCCACCACACGTCCTGCTGCCTTCCACACGTTCACAAACAGAGACGTTCGATCGATTCGAGTTTCGCGACGGTACCCACCAGCCATCTACGGTTGGTTCTCATGTCAGCTCACAGAAGCATCAGATATAGGAAAGATACTTACCCCCGTCACCATCCAATTGAGCCTCCCCACGCTCTGTTGCCTTCCGCATGTTCACAGACAGAGACGTTCAATCGGTCCGACCCGCAGCAGCGACACCCACCAGCCACCTGTAATCCAGTCCAGTCAGCTCTCAGAATCATCAGAGATAGGAAAGATACTTACCCCTGTCGCCACACAATCAAGCCACCACACGTTCTGCTGCCTTCCGCACGATCACAGACAGAAACGCTCGCCTTCGATCCTAAATAGAAGTTAAAGGGCAAAAGCCCAAAGCACACGGCAAAAACCTCGAAACAAGAACAAAACAAAACGCCAGCAAGTACAAAAAAGCAGATTTTTTTGGGGTTTTATGAATTTTCCGGGAAAAGCAAACGGCAAAAGCCTCAGAACAAGAACAAAAAAACAAAAAACAACAAAAAAACAGGAACAAACCTAAGGGAATTGAAATCATGCCTTACCTTGTGGACGAGGAAGTGGACCCTGGGAATTGGCTATCAGGATCGGGTACATGCCCCAACAATGAGAAGGAACGCAAGTACGGCTGGCAAGGCTGGCGCAAGTCGTGGGAAGATGAACGCCATCACAAACAAGGCCCAACTAAGGTGGCTGAACCAGGCGCGGACCATGGGCCCAACCTGGACATGGGTCTGGACGACCACACGTGAATGCCCAGCCTCAGAAGGAGAGTTGGTTGTGGATGGCGCAGCCAAGGACTTGGGTACAGGCGTTAGGGGCAATGTACCGGATGAACCATCTAGATCGGGCAGGGCTTCCACCAGCGCAGCCAAGTCGAATGCGCTACCAGTAGCCTCCAGATCAGGGAGTGCATGCTGCAGCGCTGACATATCGAAGGTGTGGCTCTCAGGAAGCGCACTTGTCAATCTCGACATGTCAAAAGCCACAGCATGTGAACCGTCCATGGCAGGTTCAATGGTTGGGCCCTGACGGATGGCCTCTGGCAGTGGTCCACACTTAGCTGTCGCTGGTGGTTGCCCACGGAAGGAAGTCGCCGCATCACTGGAACAATCGGCTGCCGGCGTAGCCTGGGAACCTTCCGAGGAAGGTTCGAACCGGGGAGAACTGGGTTCAGCGGCATACGCAGCACCGAAACGACCGGGACATCGCACGTGCGGCCGAGCAGAGCGTGCTTTGGGTCCTCGGCGTTTCGGTGATTTCAACTTTTGGCTGGGGAGCCGATTGTTGTTGGCTGACCGATGCGGCGAGTAATTGATGAGGTCCTTCCGCCACTTGTCTTTAGCCACCCTCCCGAGGAGCGGGGTGCTCTCACGCCAGCAACGCGGAGGGAGGTTACGGGCTGGAATCACTCGCACCTGAACGAGGTCCACATCATCCGCGAAGTGGACAGACTTCCGGACGAATGGCTCGTCAGATGGGAGCTCCTCCAGGTCCTCATCCACATTGACAAGGCAGGACTTCCCAGGAGGGGGAGCGTCGCGGCAGCGGGGGATAAGATCGGCGGGGGGAGGAAGATAGGTGAAGTACATCGTGATGATGTGAAGAATAATATGAAGAATGGAGGGAATATCAAATGCTATAAGCAAATGAAGAAAGCCAGTGGCAGTGGAGAGGAGAAAGGAGAAAAGAAAACAAAGAGTCAGAAGAAATGGGAGAAATAAATATTGTTTGGGACCGTCCATGGCAACGAGCAACTAAACAGGAAGGCACAGCAAACTGAAGTTATACCAAGGCAGGTGCGGTGGTGGTCATGGAAACGCCATGGACAAGTGGTTAGGGCAAGGAAACTACGACTTCGCCAGGGAAGGAACCTTCCAGGTTGGAACATCTATATGAAGCAAACATTAAACTGCAAGCTAGACGTGAGTCTGCTCATGTGAATGCCATGAAAAACAGTAACTAGGTCAAAAAACAGAAGTTTTAGTACATATTTGAGTAATGATGAAGCTATACAAGGCGTGAGTGTGGCCATGGCAACGAAGTGGTTCAGGGCAAGGTAGGTAACAAGAAAGTACGACGTCGGCGTCTCCAGGACAGGAACATCTATAGGATGGTTGAGTAGATATCAAGATATACAAATTAGGTGTGAAGGTGGCCATGGGAACGGAGTGATTAGGGCAACAACAAAAGGAAGACCACAACTTCACCAGGGCAGAACCATCCACATGAGTGGCGCTGACTGGTATATGCCGCCGTGGCTGTCAGATTGTGAGGGATTCGAAACCAATGGGCTGAGTGACATAGACTGGTTCATAGTCTTCTCGTGATGCATCAAGATATGCCGCCACCTACTGCATCAAATTGTCACCATCTGTAATTTCGTTGGATCGTGGTAACGATCTACGAAGTAGAAAAGTTGAGAGAGCACAGATGAGATTGCCAATGTTGCTTTTTGAATTGTCAAATTAGTGCTATGACACGCCAACCATATGCTTGTTGTACTCCGAAAATACCAGCTAAAGATAACAGAAAGATATACAAGAATTGAAGAAGAGCAGGGCTCTTCTACTCGCAGAGCTTGGACATATGCCCTAATTGAAACAAGTTGGGCTTCCTACATGCAGAGAGATGGGTTACCTGTGAGAATGCGGTATGGAACCCAGCCGGCTGGACCAAAGAGGCACGTCCAGATGTAGAATGAAACGGTGAAAGCCAGGGTCAGAATCATTGTTTTGCCTTCGGGACTTCTTCCAGTCTCTGGGCTTGGTCATTAAGATCACCACGTGCGTCTTTGACTGGCTGAGCAGGGTCAGCGCCAAAGTCTGGAACTTGTTCACGGTCCACGATGTGATCGGCAACAATCGGCTTAGACTGGGTAGTCTCCTTCTGTGCCGCTGCCGCTCGTGCTAGCTCTTCTTGTTCGCGAGCCACCCGCTCCGCCTCCATCTCTTCCATGTGTCTGAGGTCGTCAACACTGGGCTCGTATAGATGCCAGATTGTATAATGCGGCAGCCCAATCACGGAAAACTGCATTCGTTTGGCCAACTGGAAGACATTAGCAACTGTAACCAAGGATCCCTCGTTCACTGATCATACCTTGCCAAATCCTTCCGTCTCGGCATGCTTCTCGAAGCTAAAGGCTGGGAAGTGGACACCAGCGCGGAACACCCGAGCCTTTGCCAGGATGCTGACACCTCCGATCCCGTCAAGCTCCATCTCCATATCAGGATCGCCGTAGGGGTCGCGAAGGTAGGCCAGGTGAGGTCTCCACGTAGCGTACTCGGCGTAACCTTCGACGATTACCGCATCCTCGTCCAAAGTATCCGCCAGCGCCAATGCTGTCTCGGATTCTTGCCAGGAATTCAGATCATACGGCTGCTCTCCACCAAGCCAATCTGGGAGCGGGCGCCATACATCTACGTAGTCAATTAGTAAAACTGTGCGAACCTGACTGACAGTCTTCACTCACTTGGAACCGTCACATCCTTGTTGTGCCGCATCAGATCCTCAATAATCGTAAAAGGAGCAGTCTGCACATCCGCATCTCTCCAATAAACCCAGCTGTGGGTCGGGCGAAGCGTCGCACTCAGCAACCAATTGCGCGCCTGCGCCATCAATTTGCGTCGGCTAGCCTGTGCCTCGAACCCATGTCGGCTTTCCACGTCCTGTTGCACTTTCTGCCCAAAGTCCTTCTGAATGACCGAGATCTCCCCAAAAGTCATCTTCGGATCTGGGTCATTTTGCAAATCCTCCAACATGTGCGACAGCATTTGCAATGTGTCATCCTGGGAATCCGATACCAGGAAAGCAAGATCGATCAGGTTATGCGGGTATGTGAGGTTTCGGAGATGCGAGAAGAACATCGGCAGGTGCGACGAAGCATCTCGCAGCGGAGTACACATCAAGACCCGCTCCCCGCGTTCCCATCCCTTCTCCGTCCCTTGTACTTCTGATAAATCATAGTACCGCACTGTCTGTAGGTGTAGATCTCCGGGAGAGGAGAGAAGGCCGAACGAAAGTGTGGGGAGGATAGCGGTGCGCCAGGATGGGTAGATCAGAAGGAGCAGCACAAATGACACACCGCCAAGGAGGCAGAGGCGCTGGAATAGCTGTCGGCGTCTCCGGAAGGCAGGTTGCGAGCGAGACTGGAATCTGGTGGGGTGGAGGTACACTTGTCAGTCTCGATTTGAAGCTCCGCGATCTGGCTGCTGGCATGCCGGCAGGGGTTCGAGCTCGGGCAAAAGAACCGAGTCATATGGGCATTGTGGTGGAAGTAAGCTCCTTACCTGTTAGGTGATATTGAAAAGGCAGAGCCGATGGGGTAGGCAGAGTGGCCTTTCTCGAGAACGTGTCGGTTCATCGCGGGCGCGGTCACAGGGCCGTAGCGCACTAGGTTGGGGCCAAGAACTAATGGAGCGGCCGAGAACCCTGGCAACAACCCCGGGACTGATTAGAAGACCAGTATAATGTATGAACAGGAATGAAGGTGAGTATTGAATTAGAGATAGAAGGAGAGAAATGAGAAGAATTGGAGGATGTTGTTTTCTTGGGGGAGTCCAAATCCGGCCATCCGCTTGCGACCTTGGGACCTTGTTCCTTGTACTGTGTAGGGAGATATCTGATGGTATACGATAGTAAAATACAATGATAACTAATTGATAGTTAGTAATAGCGATAGTAGTAGTATACTGTAATTACTGGTAAATGATGCTATTTTGCCTTGGCCTCGCTAAATCTATAGACAAATACGCTAAACTCCCATATGCTGCTATGCATACCAACTAGATAATTTTCTCCCACGACGATGAACCTCTGTTAGGTGCAACCATGCTCAATCGAGGACGTATAGGAGCCGAGTCGACTTCTTTCGTCTCAACTTCAGCTTGTCCCAGTATCTGCAGTAACAGCTTCTTGACTTTCTCTGCGTCACGCAAACTGGGCAGGACGGATGCGGCTTCGTAATCGCTATCGAGAATAAAGTAGCGTTCCCTCCGTCGGTTCTCCACTTCGTCGATCTGGAATGCAACTCTGGCAATTGCCTTGGCTGGAACACTGGCTTTATTCATAGAGCTCTTGGATACCATGCGCAAAAAGGGCCGAAGCCCGGACCGGGTCTGGTGTGCGACTCTGACCAACATAGGCGCCCCAGTTCGCAGATGACTCGGGCCTGTCATGCCTCCTGGATCCAAAGTGAAGATGTCGAGCGACATGTTCCCGGTCTATATTTAGAATCGTTAGTCAGAAAAGAAGCATACATGACGATGACTCGGGAATAAATTGCGAACTTACCCAGATCAAGCTCCGCCTCAATGCATATAATGCGACACTCGCCATTAACTTGCTGCTTCCAAATCGAATATTCTGTTCCTTTGCGCTCAGGGCAGTTCCCGCTCGTTTGCCGTGTCTTCCATGGTCGCGGTCAAAATAATCCAGTCGCCCGGATGATGTCGCAGAGCATCCAATGTTGATGACTTTCGCTCCTCCTCCTGGTGTGCCATCTCCAGCCCGGAAAGCCTCGAACAGTCCGATGGTCAATAAGAATGGCGAAAGACAATTTGTCTGATACACAGGATCGTAGCCGTCTGAAGTGAGCTCATCTACAACGTACGACGTTGTAACGGCTGCGTGGATCAAGCTGGTAATAGGCGGAATGTCTTTGAAGTGAACACGGTCGACGGTAGTTTTGGCGAAACAGGCTACTGATTTCAGATCGGTCAGATCCAGCGACAGAACTTCGACCGATCTGGGGCCGATCAAACGGATCTTCCCGGTGAGATCACGGACGTCGTGTGTCCTGATATCCCGTGCCGTCAATAACAGGTGAATGAATGGATGTTTCTTTGCGATTTCGATAGCGATTTCTGAACCAAGCAATCCATTTCCCCCGGTAATAATAACTGTTCCTGTCAAAGGTGTTCCCATGTCGATGTTTTGTGAGGATCTCCCAGAGTAAGGTTCCACAGTAGAAAGCGATGGTCAAGTGCGCTTGTACTTGTACTTGGGGGTGGTCGTCTAATTATATGGTAACAATGCAATCTTGTGACACAAAGAGAAAAGAGAATTTGGAATTAGAAGAGAGAAAGAGACAAAGCGGACGAAGTCAAAGATCACAGCATGCCTAAGTAGGATCTAAAAATTACCAAGTAGTTAGCCCCATCGTAGTATGCAGTAGGGCCAATGAATTATATTATATCGGACATGAGCGGTCACTTGTCTCAGCGATCGTTCCAGAAGAAGAGGTGGATCAATCAGATGCGAGGACGTGTTGCGTGGAATAGCCAACCCCGATCTAGGGCTCGAAATTGCGTGGCATGGCGACTAAATTTTCTCGACTAGCAGACTCCCTTGCATATAAGGTGTGTTCATGCCATCATGGCGTAAATTAAGAAAACTGACGGGAAGGGATGGGCGTCTGATATTAATCGTTAGTTCGTAGGCTGTCGATCAATCCGATCAATCCCCGGCACATCTTTGTAGATCCCGATAGATCTCCGTACAGTGCCGTCGATGTTGTTGTAGGTGCTAGCAATATTCAAACATCAATGTTCGAGATCGGAGAGATTGTCCAGACTCCAGACTCTATCGAGGGCTGTCAAGTCAAGTGGGGAAAAAGAGAGAATTGGCCCCCACTGCCAACGAGGCCCTCGTCTTTTCTCCCCAACACAGTCAGCCAAAGCTCAGCCCCAAGTACACCATAAATCATCATATTTCGACGCTACAAGCCTACAACCAATATGCTTCATAAGCCTCTGGATTTACCGTTACTATGCCTGCACCAACGTTTCGTGAAACACTGAAAAAGAAGCAAAAGAAAGGAAAACAAGAGCCTAAAGCACTAGGACGTCATCATAGGCCATGGCGCCCAGTCGATCTATTATAGCCTCGTTTAACTATACCGGGTTTGCCATGTTTTCTCGGCTGCAAGTACCCGACGGATATAGATCGGATACTACGTTGGCCCGATCAAACGGAAGCTGATACCCAACGAATATCAGTCAACTACAATGATGTGGTTTATCAGGATGATCTAGTGATCGTATTCAGTGAGGCTGCCTGAGCTCGCTTGGATAGATGCTGTCAGGCTACAATAAGCGACAATCGGACAATCTACCACATCGGAGTTGCCGAATATCAACACGTAGCATCTGAAGCTCGCATCTAGGTATCTGTGCGTGATGTGCCGGTTAAACCTGCTGTTCATTGAGCCCGGGAAAATCGTTATCGACAAAGTCCGGGCATCAAGCTGACTACGAGCAATTTATATAGCAATCTACTTGCCGAATTTTCGGCATCGACCTTGACACGCATGACCTGGGGTAACCGCCACTATGCGGGGGTGCAGCAGACCAACTACCCTCATATCTACAACAGGTATTATCAGATAGTAAAAAATGTCACCCCTCAAACCCAATCGAATTCATGTGAAAGACCAGCTCCAACTCAAGTACCGAACTATGTACCCTAAGCCTTGCGAGTGAGAAGACCCTTAAGAGCATCCGTTTCGCCCTCAAGCTTAGAACATCTCAGTCTCAGCTCATCTCTTTCCTTCCGGACCTTCTCCAACTCCTCCTCAAGATCCTTCATCCGATCCACACGCCTCTGTCGACATCTCCGCGCCGCGAGGGTGTTAAGCTTACGCTTTTCCACTCGCGAGGAATCCACGCGACTTAAAGCATCATCGCCCTGGGACGTAGCGGGACTCGGGAACGAAGTCGAGACAGGAGCAGGAAACTGCGAGACAGGGGAAGGATGCGAGCGACCATCTTTTTAACACGTTAGAATAATTGAAACCCAATATATCCATCGAAAGGACAATCTCCTACCTTGTGGTGAATTGGCCGAGCTAGGAACAAGCGAAGCAGGGAAATAGTTCTGGTACTCGGGACCCGAATCCGACAGAGAGGTGAAAGCAGATCCATACCCGAGGTCTAGAACGGGGACATCGCCACCGTCATAGCCAGGCGGGTATGGGGTTTGATGATTGACAGAAATGAAATTCCAGTCGGTATCAAAGGACAGGTCGGGTTCTGCCCAGTGTGCCGACTCCGGAAGGGTATCGAAGGGTTGACAAACTGGCACAGCCGCGGGAGAGCCTTCCAGCGGCGGCGCCAGGGACGAGAGAAGGTTGTGATCATAATGAAGATTCGCCAATGACGAATATTCAGCAGGCCCTTGATGGCGTTCCTGCGTGCCGGTGTTGGGCGGGCTGGAACCAGTGGAAGGAGGTCTGGATTGCCGCCGCGGCGCACGAACAGCTGGCGGCGGACATCGCTGGATTTTTAGACGGGCCTTTGCAGACCCGTGGCGCTCTTTCGGATGGGTGTGTATATGGTGAGCCCTAGCTCGAGTTGAGAGTGAAGGTCGACTGTAGGAGTCGTGTCCTGAGGAAGAAAAGGAACGGACGGGGCCTGGCCATATATGAGAATCGGAGGCGCTGGGGATGGACCGCAGCAGATGTGGACCCATAATAAGCAGTATTTGATTGGCTATGCGCTGTGAGATCCCCGCGACTCATTATGACTCATTTTAGCGCGGTTGGACTGACCAGTCATAATGGAGGATATAGGTGAGCTAATCTTCTTTAAGATTAGTGCATATCCAATTTCGGAATGAGAATTGTCGATCTCGATATAAGCCTCATCCAAGGTTACAACTTACATGTACTGTGTAGTCTGCAAGGAAGTACCTGGTTTAGGATGGCTACAACATACACCGCACTGCTGAGGTACTTTGATCCGTCAAGCATGTTATTACGATCTTGCCCTTGTGGCTTCTGCCCTTGAATTACTACATCGATAATTGGACTTAAGAGAATCCATTTAAGATAACTGCAAGTCTGCAAGGCAACGTCAACTACCAACGAATGCAGCGATGCTCAAGCCGTAGGACAGTAGGAGTCTTCTCAGCACGCGCACCGAGCCCAATTTCCAAGACTTAACCTTCGCAGGCACTTTACCAGTAACATTCTTCTTTTCTGACGTGCCATTTGAAGGGGAGCCAGTCCCGTGAACACAGGGGCGTTAGCAGTGCCGCTCCGCACGAATTTTCGAGCTGTTCGAATTTCACGAACTAATATCTAGCCTTATTTAGAAAGGTTTGTGGAAGGAGTTTTCGGGATGCCCGGTCCCTACAAGGATACTTCTGCACATAACCAAACACCTGTATGTATCCCGAAAAAGCTATTACTGTATGACTATTGCAAAGTCCAATGTCTAGCATCTTTCACCCTTAATACAGCCCCAAAATCCTTTCTTTCCGTGTGGAAATATTGAATCCCCAGCACATCTTCTCCACCATTGTCTTCACCATTGAACAGTCTCTCGAGATCTGCCTCCGCTGCAGGTATAGCAAGGTGATCCTGGGCTACTTTTGCCATACAACTGAATTCAGACCTGTTGTCCTTCCACCAGTTTCGTATAAACTTGATTTGGGTTTGGCCTACTATCTTCAAACCAGTGTCGATTGTCGGAGTATCGAAATACTTGTCGATATCACACCCAGCAGCGTTATCCAGCGGAGACCAATATTCGTACCAACTGAGGGGTGAAGTAGTCGAGATAGACTGTGTTGGAGGGGAATATGCGTTCTTCAGGAACTCCCGGATTCGGCCAATAATCTTCTCTCCATCTGGTAGCTCTTTGATCAACTTGGTCTTGATTCGAGGATCCAGAACGTGTGCGATATAGTATATGTCGTTGTCTTTGACGCTGTTGTGGTACTTTTCCAGGAGCGCCAGTCCATCGGACATAGATTCAGTGATCGCTGGTGAGACCTTCTGCCACTCGCCGCGTCGTTCCATGACAGCGGAGAATGTAGAACGGAGAGCTGTAAACAGACGCACCGCCATATGCATTGAAGGGCTACTCTGAGAGATGTACTCGCTACATTCGTTGAAGGGAACCAGGACTTTTTTGATGTCCGAGAGCTGTTTCCAGTCGTTGGGTGTGAGTGTGAGACCCAAAGCTTTGATTTCTGGGTCATCGTTGACAGTTTCTTCAAGTTGACGGCGACACTCTTCAGCTCTCGCAATCATAACAAAGGTAGAGTTCCAATGAGTATCGTCATCGCAGTTGATAGCTTCTGTACAGGCAGGTGGATTATCCCATTCCTGTATCCGCTCAGAATATCGTGAAATCCAAAGGACAAGTAGTCGAAACTTTGCAATAGGCGAAGGAGGAGGGTTAACTGTCTTCAAGCTCCTATTGGCAACGTCGTCAAGGAGATCGACGACTTCCCTACGCGAGCCAGCGCGTAAAGACCTCAAGATAGTTTCCACAACCGAATTCAAGATGTGAGAAAAGCAGCGGATTTGGGAGATATGAGTAAACTTCATCGTCCCTTGTTCGATGATGGGCTCGGTCAGGTACTCATCGTACCGCTCAGACAGCTTTTGGTAAAGACATTGGTGTAGGGTATCGTTATTCGATGCGCTGCCAGCTGTAATTGTGATAACTTTATCGGAGATGTGAAACTTCTCAAGAACCGGCGCGACGATATTGGCAAGGTACTCTCCAGAGAGGACGGGTTCTACTTGAACGAAATCAATGCAAGCACGGTGTTGCTCGAAATCAGGGGACATCCAGTGGGCGTTGATTGCTAGCATTGGTAATGACAATGAGTCCGGACTTGTCCAGCCATCCAAAGATAGCGCGACTGAGGATGCTGAAGACATCAAGGTTCGAAGCCGACTGTCAAGAGCATCAAGCCGAAGATATAGCCGGCGCAACATAGCATCCGCACTTGATATGGAGCCTTGAAAACCCATAGCCCTCATCATATCCTTGTATAAAGAATCTTCGACGCATGTGAAAGGTTGGCAGGCTGAGACAATCCAATCCAAGACAGCTTCTTCGAACTGGAGCTGCTTGTCCCTGGCAATCCACGAGCTTAACGAACCTTGGCACCCTGAATGACCGCCCTGGGAGAGCTTGTGGGTGTCCTGGGAGAGCCTGGGGCCATCCTCGTAGAGTTTGTGGGTTTGCTCCAAGTGCTGTTTCAACGCTGTGGTTGAAGTTCGCAGTTTCGATGCGTATCGAAGAATCGGCAGGTAGATGACGACACATTACAACGGTGTTTAAGCTCGGCTCGCTCCTTATTTCCTAATCTCCAGGTCCCTGATTGAGGTGTAGTAAGGAAGTGTTTCCAAACCCAGCTCCGCTCTCTCGACCTGGTCTCATCTTCCTGCTTGACTTCAATCGTCCCTACGTCGCATTCGCCCTGCGATATTGATTGCGAAGGACGTATGTCCGTAGCAAGGTTTGATGCACTCATGGAGGCATTGATGGGAGTCGTAGGAGAGGTTGAAATCGGAGCAGCCGACGGCGTATCGGCGGACCAGATCGTTGTCCTCGTTCGGGGTGCCGGAACTGGTACATCCTCTGCAATTGCCGCGTAATCTCGTTTATTCTTCATCGTTTTAGGACAGTCAAATGTTGTCACAAGTGGAGAAGACAGAAGTCATTTGGTCAAAGCACGTAAAGATTGTGCGAAGACGTGTTTGTAGTTTCTCGGCTAATCGATGTGATAGATCCCGCCGGTATCCGTCTACGCTTCGACTTCGTTAAGTCCAATGTGCAACCATTCAGATTTTGACTCTATATTAATATATCATTATATGACATGTCTCTCACGGTGTGATGTCAAGGCAGTGTAGTTGGTGGTAAACTTCAACTGTAGCGTAATAATGGCTACCCATGCCTTTCGATAGTTCCGGGCAGACGTTTAAGCGACCGCTAGTAGGTATCCCGCCAACTGGTAAGCCTCCCGCCAACTGGCAAGGCTACGTATATCCCTGCAAATTGCCCGAATAATCCCACTGCGACACGTGCCACGTCTGATCTGGTATTTTAATTCCATGGCAAAAGGTATTGATCTTGCAAGGTTGGTTCAGAAACTGCTTAAGCCTTTGGCTTGAATCCAGATATCGGTGAACGCAAGCATCGGTATATCGAGGGGTTACAGACTTACAGTATTCTTGTTTTACCCCTCAAATTGAAGCTTAACCCACAGAATCTTACAACACAACTCAACTCCCTTACATCACGACATAAATGAAATCGCTGGAGGTACAGCAACCGGGCCTTGCCTGGGTTCAAAGAACCTTCAATCTTGAACCTCAGTGGACGGTGGAGCCCGATCCTCAGGTCATCGAGCAGACAATACAGTCGCTACTACCATCGCGCACGATCCAGGTGACCTTCCTCGCCGAGGGCGCTTTGAGCAAAATCTATGACGTGAAAATAGATAATGAGGTCTTTGTTATGCGAGTCTTGTTGCCTGTGGATCCGTACTATAAAACTATGAGTGAAGTCTCAACAGTGGACTGGGTATCCCGTACCGCAAACCTCCCTGTTCCTCGAGTCATCACTTATCAATCTTCAGGGAAAAATCCTATCGGATTTGAATGGATCATCATGACCAAAATGCCTGGAAGGCCCTTGAAAGAGCTGTGGCGCTCTCTATCATTTTCTGCAAAAATAAGTCTGGTTGAAGAGTTTGCGGCCTACTCTAGTTGTCTTTTTCGGAGCCAACTCCAGGGAATTGGAAATCTCTATAGGACAGCATCTACTCTCAATGATTCCGGACTGCCTGAAGCGAGCTGGCCTGCTGGAAGCCCAGCATGTTCTAATAGATCACCTCTATCTGAAAAGGAACATATGCCTGCAGGATTACCAGATGTGGGCAGAATTGTTTCTATGCACTTTTTTTGGGGGTCGCATATCCTTCAGGATGTTTATCGAGGGCCATTTACGTCTAGTAGCGACTGGATTACATCACGTCTTTCTCTTAGCGAGAAAGACTGTCAGTCGGTACTAGACAATTTGCCATCTAGCGATCTTGAGACCGATGATGAAGACGATGCAGATGATGCAAGAAGAACATTGGAAATCATTGGAAAACTGAAACCCCTGCTTCCATCTTTCTTTCCACCAAATGGAGACAATTCGGAGACCTCAGTCTTGGTTCATGACGACCTGTCCAGCCGAAATATTCTCGTTCATGATAACGGAGAGCTAGCAGCTATTTTAGACTGGGAATGTGTTTCAGCACTCCCTTCATGGAATGCCTGCTATTACCCTGCATTCTTGAAAGGGCCACCGCGAAACCTCAAGCCTGATCTACGACGATATGAACTCGAAGCGAGCGGAGAAGCCTCCGATCTCTACTGGGAACACCTAGGGGAGTATGAGGTTACTCTCCTTCGTGATGTGTTTATTGATAGAATGAAAAGCCTGGAACCGGGATGGGTGGAGATTTTCCACAAGAGCCAACGTCAAAGAGCAAAGAGATTTCGACATTGCAGTGCAAAATTGCGATAATGAGTTTGTTGCCCGGCATATACGTGCCTGGATTAATGACCTCACTGCTGGGGTGGACAATTATCGGAGCCTGCGCGATAGAATTGATGAGGATTAAACTTCTCGAAGCAGCCCAATGGGAGGAAGAACGATATGTGCTAAATAAAGAAATATCTGCTCTGTTCGAGGAACGCACGTACACTCTTCAACTTGACTCCAATTTCAATGCTTGGTAGACCTGATTGATGCTAGGCTATACTTTTACAGGCAGATAGTGTTGATTGGACAAACATAGCTGATTACTACGGACTAGGTCAAGACCATTCAGGAAAGCTCCCACCTGGGCCGGGGGCGGAGTGAAGGATCCAATTCTCTGTGTCTCTGAAAAAAAGCAAACTTTACGCAAGAAGCCCGGTGCTTACATTGGGCGAGCAGTCCAGTTTATCAGCACTAACGATGCAGCATTGGGACGCAGCTATGTACCATAAGTCCATGGAAGAAATAGATTGATCCATTCAGACCACCCCCCAGATCTAGGCCCAGAGACCAACCCCGTGCTTGAAAGTGTTCTCCAGCGTCCTCCAGCGTCCTCGGTGTAAGTAGAGACAGACTGTAGATGTCTCCGGTCAACCCGCTTTTGGAAGCCATACAGATAGAGGGATAGTGTTCGTGCCTAACAGGCTGTATCGCAATAGGGGTGCCGGTGTTATGACACTGACAGAACTTAAGAGATTGATTTGAAGCCGGGTCACGCTCCGTTCCAGGCCCTCTGCGCCCTTTGAAGTGACTTATGGAGTTCAGGTAAAATAAACGAATCGGCAAGTCATTAGACAGAGTGCTGTATCATGTATGTAGAGCGAGCTAGATGGGGTTAATGAATACAACATCATTATCATCATTATCAGATAGAGTGCAGCGGGAGAAATACCAGATACAAACTAAAAATGAGCAACGACAGCTCAATAATTAAGTCGAGTACGGAAGCCTCAAGCGGTGGGAAAGTCAGAGGATTGAACCGAGAAGAAGCAGGGAGAAAGAGCAGAAAGGACAATTTGGGGAAACTGCGAGGTTGGCTCTTGCTGCATACATGACAAACAATTAGAACGTTCGAGGAAGCTGCATGCACGGAGAGTCCCTTCCTATTCGGGCAGTGTCGATGTTTGTTTGTTCAACTTTCGGAGATAAATAAAGGACACGCACCTCGTCTCCTTCTTAGCAACACGCACTTCTATCGCACCACGTCTCTTCTTAACAACACGCACTTTTTGTCTTCTCTCTTCTTAACACTAAGCACCTTTCTAAGAAAGCACCAAGATGACGGAACCTGATACAGCGGATACTCTTCCTACACTGCCACTGGATCTAGTCCATCGAGTTTCAGTGCCAAGCACGGAATCACGAGTTAATTCACGACCTACGAGGTCATTGCTCGATCTACCTTTGGAGTTGATCTGGTTTATTGAGCGGCAGCTACCTGACAAAGACGTTCACAGTCTTTGCCGAACAAACCGTTATCTGTATCACCTCTTGAGTGATTCCCTTTGCCGGCGAGGTATCCCGAATTTTCGTGCGTTACAATGGAGTCTACTACGGAACAAAAAGCAAGCGTTCGCCAAGGCAGTCGAAGCACTGTCCCCTCTTCCAAGAACAGCTCCATGTCAGACATTCTCATTGCTGCCTTTGATCAATAACCAGAACGTGCAGCTGTTACCCCTCATGGCTTCCAAAGGCGGCCTGCTCGGCCAGCAACTCGAGAAACTGATCGAGTCCGTCCTTTCTGTCGCACGATCCCGCGAACAACCCGTTCTTGCTAGCAAGTGGCAATGCATCAAAAACTGTTTGAAATGGGGTTTGAACCCAAACTATGTCTTCGAAGACGGGATGTCCTTGATGGCACAAGCCATCGTGAAGTCAACGGTGAATCCGTACAAACAGCACAGGGAGGTGAAGATTTTACTCGCCCATGGGGCTGACACAGGTTGTCTCACCTCGCTGCCGGACAAGGATTCAATGCTGCATCTAGCATGCCTTTATTATCAGCCAAAGATCGTGCAGGAATTGCTCGAAAAAGGTGCAGACCCTAATCTGAGAGACGCACAGAACCGCACACCCATCCATAGGTTGTTTGACAGGCACGAACTCAAGTCGAGAGACCGGAATTACCTGCTTGACATTCTCCTCAAGGACCCAAACGTCAGAATCGATGAACGTGATGGCAATGGTCGGACCCCATTAAGCCTTGTTGCGGGTCACTCAGTCAACTTATCGATGGCTAGGAAATTCGTCAGCAGAGTTGTTTATTTGCCAGAGAGGGTCGACCTCAATTCTCAAGACAACGAGGGGAAATCACCGCTTTGTCACGCCATTTCCACCCGGGACTGTTACATGGTCCGTCAATTCGTCTCGCAGGACAGACTTGATCCCAACCTCGGTCCGGCAGATGCATTCCCTCTGCTTCTCGCTGTTGATTTTGATAAGCTGGCGGTTCTGGAAATTTTGCTAGACTCGAGACAACTCGATCTGAACAAGCAAACTAGCGAAGGGGAGACCGCCTTGCTGAGGGCAATTCATATTGGCAATAGGGAAGCCGTAAAGTTGCTTGCCCGAGCTGGTGTCAATCCCGACATCGAATCACGCGAAGGTGAGGAGACAGCACGAGAGGCGGCCCTCAATGCGGGTATCCTTGTCAGCAGGCTTGTCGGCTGGAAAAGACCTCGCCTGAACTAGGTGGCTGGGCGTCTAAGTTGCTGGTGCCAAAGGCGCTACAGCACCACAGGCATCACCGGATGCATGTATGGTATCAGATGGAAGGCTCTCCGGACTAAATGAGGGTCAGTCAGATGTTTCAACATGCTGCTCGGATGGATTCGCGGTTCCAAAAGAGAACCAGCGTAATTTTTTCAAAAGAAGATGATAGGCATGGCTAAGTCTGCTTGTGTTTAAGGAAGGCCGATCTATTCCATAGTTTCTAGCCAACAATACCAGCACTGCCCTGTCTTATCTGAGAATGCGAGTCCTACTCCATACTGACTAAAGCACGGCGGTAATGCATTGCCAAGCAGTGAGTCAAGCACTTAGTGTCATTCTTGATGAGAAACAGTCTAAGCGATGGGTAGTCTGCTCTTTCTGGGCTAGATGCTGTCTACAGGGGCGGTCCGGGTGCGGTCCTGGTCCGGGCTGCCCAGCTGAAAGCTGATGAGTCAGCAACGCAGCACGGTCAGAAAAAAAGAACCAAAGGGATTGCTCTGACTAAATAATAATAAATAAAGCAGAGTCATAGCAACAGATCCCTATATACGGGGTCACGTTCAAATTGAATTCTTTCAGGTCGCTGTTGCGGGCCCGATTGTCAACCCCGCGGGTCCAATCGTTGACACAAATCCGTGCCCCTCTTCGATTTTCTCTTCTTCCACTCTCAACCCCTCCACAAGCATACACCATGGCGACGGCAGCAGCTCCCGAGTCCTCTCTCCTCTCCCTTCTATACCGGTCGTACCCCGCCGTCATCTCTCCCAATACGACCGAGCCCGACTACCTCCACGCCTCATCCAAAATCTTCCCCCAGGTCACTTTCAGCGAGGCAGAGGAAGCCGACATCAGGCAATGGCTGCACACCGTTGACGGTCTGAAGACCTCCCTCGCCAAAGGCCAGAAGGACATCACCGAAGGCATTCTCGGCCAGCTGAACATCCACCTGGCCACGCGGACCACCCTCCTTGGCGCGAAGCCCTCGGTCGCCGACATTGCCGTCTACGCTCTCCTCGCCCCCGCCGTTGAGAAATGGACTCCCGAAGAGCGCACCGGCGAAAAGGGCTACCACCACATCGTCCGCCACGTTGACTTTGTCCAAAACGCGCGCCTGTTCTCCCTCCAGATCCCCGAGGAAGAAAAGATCGCCATCGACCTGAACGACGTCAAGTTCGTCCCCAAGCCCCTCGACCCCAAGGAAGAGAAGGAGCGCAAGAAGCGCGAGAAGGCTAGCGCTCAGAACCCCGACGCAAACTCCGAGTCTAAGCCCCTCGTCATCGGCCAGGGTAAGGCCGAGCAGGCCGCCAACGCCCAGAAACAGGCCGGCGCCGACGGCACCCCCGTCGTCAAGACAAACAAGAAGGAAAAGAAAGAGAAGAAAGAAAAGGCCCCCAAGCCTGCTCCCGCCCCCGCTGCTCCCCCGGCCCCCTCACTCATCGACCTGCGTGTCGGACACATCCTGCGCGCTATCAACCACCCCAACGCCGACTCGCTGTACGTCTCTACCATCGACTGTGGCGACGCCCCCGGCAGCGACAACACCTCACTCGACGAGGAGACCGGTAAGACTGTGCGCACCGTGTGCTCCGGTTTGAACGGCCTGATCCCCCTGGAGGAGATGCAGGGCCGTAAGATTGTCGCCGTGTGCAACCTGAAGCCTGTGACTATGCGTGGCGTCAAGTCCTGCGCGATGGTTCTCGCTGCCTCGCCGCGTGTCGCCGAGGGCGAGGATTCGCACGCAGGTCCCGTCGAGCTGGTTAACCCTCCTGCTGGGGCTGCTGCTGGTGAGCGTATCTTCTTCGAGGGCTGGAATGATGGTCAGCCTGAGAAGCAGCTCAACCCTAAGAAGAAGGTCTGGGAGACTTTCCAGCCTGGTTTCACCACTACTGGTGACCGTGAGGTTGCTTTCGATAGCAGTGCTGTTCCCACTGTCCACGGACAGGAGGGCAAGCCTGCTCTTGGAAAGCTGGTTGCTGCCTCTGGAGGTGTCTGCACTGTCAAGAGCTTGACTAATGCTACCGTGCGGTAAAAGGTGCGAAGAGATTCGGAGTGAAATTAAATAAAAAAAATGGATTAAACGCATACCCATGAGAATATGAAGAATTCAAAAATGTTCCAATTTGATTTTATTCTATTTTTGCGCTGCATCTCAACAGACACTTGAGAAGTGGAATGTGATTATTTGTATCTGTACAATGTCACAAAACTTGATGCGTCACTGATAGATTTCTAAGTCTAATATCATGTTCATTGTTCAAGCAGGCGACGCGAATCCCAGGGAAGGACCTCGCTGGTCAAACACCACAAACAGAGCCTTCAAGAAGACATCGCCATAGATCGCCATTGTCGAGCTTCCACTGGACTGAACACCGCCATAGCAGACTATTCAACAACCAGGTTAGTTCAGAAACTTCTTGAGAGGAAAAAGTGATATAAGGAACAAAAACTCACCTGTCTCGCCAGTGGTCGTATTAGTCCCAACCTCCGACCAATTCATCAACGATCCAGGAATGGTAGCCGAATAAGCACTACCAATCGCCACAGACAAGGTAGGCAAGGACGAGGTACAAGGGAAGATATACCCATTAGCATTATTAGCGAAGATCGCACCATCAACCTGCTGATAATACGCCTCCGCAACCTCAGGGCTAACCATCATGAGCGAAGTCCCGGTATCGGCAATTGCACTGGGTGCCTGTGTAATTGTATGGAAAGCACCACCTCCAATGGCATATTGAGCCGAGCTGAATTCCCAAAACCCATTGCTTGAATCCACGCTGACATTAACCAGCGTGCCACTATACTTGGTTTTATCAATGGTTCCAAATTCGTATTCGCCGACCCCGTTGCTGAGCAGACGGACGGTGAAGACCGGCTCGTCGAGGCTGTCGGCGACGTTGTCGAAGAATGTTTTCTGTGACTCGGGCTTGATGGTGTTGATGGAAGAGAAGCCAAGGCCGAGGAGTCCGTTGGACTTTGTGTCATCTGCGAATGTTTGAGAGATGTCGGTTGGAAGACCGAATGTTTGTTCGGTGACTTTGACGCCACCGATCGAGACTGCGTCCTTGCCTACTCCGCCGGAGGCATAGGACGAGTCACCGTATGCGATTCTGAATGTACTGTCCTTCAGATCTTCGAACGTCGATGACTCGCTCGGGTCGTATACTTCTCGATTACTTCGCAGGGATTTTGGAAGTCTCGAGCTAAGCACCCACCTATATGGCCCGGTTAGCTAGGAGAATTCTCACCCGGATGAAGTTCCTTACCAGCCAAGTTGCCGGAGGGAAGTAGGGGCAACTGCTTACATATCAGCTGAGCCGCTGTCAAAATTCATGTCGAGGGTTTGGCCTCCAATGTTGACCGGCGAGACGAATTCGACGTCGCCGTCGACAGAAGTTGCGTCCACAACGCCCGTCTGATCCGATTTCCCGGCGGCTGCCTGGGCGCTCTTCGGAGCTGGGTGTTGGGTTTCGAAGGGCTGGAAGTCGCTCACGTCAACGCCATTGAGTGTTGTGGTATCAATGCCGAATTTGCGATATGCCTTGCGCAGCGCCGTGGGTCCATGGGCAACATGATCATTGCGCTTGACTCGCTCTACCTTGAAGGACCGGCCTTGAAGGCGGTTTGGAGCAACCACAGGCATGGCCAGAGCATTGAAGCCCAGCGAAAAGAAGATGGCAATAAAAAGAATGAATTGCATCTTGTCTGGAGCCCGAACTGGGATATCAGGGTCGTAAAACGAGTGGGTTAGATCAGGGCCAGCCTGATGAACTGATATCAAAGAGTGTAAAGATGGACAAGAAAACACGAGGAATGGAAGGATGAGACAAGACGAGAAAGAAGGTACAATTTGAGCAGCTCCCGGAGCTTTAAGAGATAAAATCTGGAAGGCCAATGTCTGAAATGAATGTAAACAACAATGCCACTGTCGTGAAATGAACGTCAGCAGGCAGTAGTCCTGACTCGAATACCTGCAGCCAAGATGGAACGAATGGCCTGAAAGAAAAAAAAAACAATACAATATGACAATGGCAAGGACAAACAAAAAGAGAAGCGAAGAAGAACAACATCAAACAAAGAGAAAGACAAGATGAAACTTGAAACTGCCTAGAAACCTCCATCTAGTTATATTGTCAAGTGCCAGTATAACCCAGAGTTCTAACGTAAAAAAAAGTGCCAATAAACGTAGTCTGTTTCCATCGCATACACAATCCAACCTATCGGAGACCCAGTACAGTCTCCTCAGACTCCTTGGCTTCTGCGCTAGATGCTTCACAATGCAAGACCATCGGCCCGAGTCCAGATGCGTCGTAGTCGATGTGTCACTGGTACATACTACGGAGTACGAGGTAAGGGAGGCGCGCTCCCCCACATATGGGAAGTTACATGATACATCCGATAAACCTATGATCTATGTTCATTTACCTGTTACTAGGAAAGCATGGGTGGAGGTTACTACCTAGGGCGCTTCGGGTTTGACATTGAGACTAGACGGAGTGTACATACTACTACTGGGTGTGTGGTTGGTTAGCCCTGAAACAATGGCGGCTAGGGGAGGGTCCAATCACGCAGGTTGTACAACTACTTGAAACCGTTTGGAGGTCGTGGAAGATCCCTCATGTTGACCTGTTTGGGTGTTTTCATTCTTATTTTTCATTCTCACCTTTGTCTGTGTTGCTGCCTATTGGGACAATGCGATATAGGTTGTAGGTGGGAACAATGGGTGGCTGGTACATGGATCATCTCACATCGATCTTCGAGCGATTGGAGATTGCAGATCGACCTATGGATGTTAAGTGCCTACTGCTAACTAGAGACGTCTCAAGGTCAGCGGGGCGACTGGTACCAGTAGGTAGCTTGGCTTGAAGCATGTACGTCCTATCTATGTGTCGTCCGTTTGCTGTACTGTATATGATACCTGTTCGAAGCACCATCTCCGTGTCTACTCTCTATTCGAAACAAGCCATTTCTACTCTACTTATCATTCATACGCCTTTCGAGGTATTCATTGTTTTCGGTTATACAGCGCTAGATACCTAGGCTACGACAAAGAGTATCAGAGGAAATGTGGAACCATGGCTTCCAGGCCAGTCTTGGAGGAACTGGATGGTACATTCTCAATGACTGGAAGAGAAAGACCGACGTAAATCTGGGGAGAATCTCGGTGCCATGCTATACTGCTCTCTCTGAGCTCCGAGGTTGAGGCTCCAGATGGCCCTGGTAGGCAGATCGTCTACATGCATGGCGCCTAAAAGCCCAGGAGATCATAGAGCGCTATCGGAACTACAAGCCCAGACACTACGAGCGAGATCATGATAACATGCAAGTATCCATAAACCAGCATTGTATAATGCGATCACTCTCCGGGAGTTCCAGAATAAGATAAAGGAAATGAAAAGATGAGAGAGAAAGGATAGATGAACTAAGTAATGTGAGTGCATATTTGGTTTAAACTCGCAGACCGCGAGAGACCCCCCAGGATATCGATTCAAAACAAGAGACAACTCCGCATCCCATGGTTTCGCTTGTAACCAGGACCAACCAGCCACATACCAGTGGCAAGGAAGGCTTGTTCACCCAACCCCCAAATCCGATGTACAGAAACGTTAAAAGATGAAAATAGACGAAGAAGGTGAAAAACAATAAAAAAGCAACCCAAAGATATTCAACAGTGCCAAGCAATGCAGACGTGTATCGTTTCCGTCTCTAGATCCTTGAAAATGATATCCATTCCCGCCCCGGTAAAGAAAACCCCCAAAACAAAGAGATCGTAGAAAAAAAAGGTCACAGTGTAGGTGTATCTGGCAAAAGTCGGTTGCACGCAAAACCCTCCCGTAAAAAGGTCAAAAATTCAACTCCATAGGTCATGGACATGCAACGTCAAGTAGCAATGTCACTGCAGGTGTGTTCTGTACATCATCGGTGGCCCGACCGGTAAGGAAAAAAAAGAAGACAAGCCGAAGAAAGTATTCGTCCCTCTCTGAGAGACGAAAAGAGGTATCGTAGTAAAGGATGCAAGGTATTGAATCGCAGGCGCCGTCGCTCGCAACAAGCCAAGATTATCGCAAAGGATCTAGAATATGAGGCGAAGGTGGTCGTAATCGGCGAAGAGGAGAGATGTATGTACAGGTCGGATGTTTTTTGTTTTCGGTTTTTGAGTATTTTTGGTCGCCGTGTCATGGAATAGAGATTTTTCCAGATGTGTCGTGTCGAATGCAATGGCGTATCAGACAGCAATGCGAAAGTGGATAAAGAAAACATTAAGACCTGTGATTAAGGGACCCCGATGATGCAGAACAGCTGAAATGACGGACGTGCAATGGACGAGTGGAGATGTAGCGTGCCACGAGTTTTGGCAGAGAACACCCTTACCACCGACGCTGAGCAGTCTGCATCATCGCGGGCGAGATCGATGAAGGCGGGCTCGCCAGGCTCATTCCAGTCGAGGGGTTGATAATCGGAATGACCTTGCGGGTCCGGTTCGCAGGCTGCTGCTGCTGGTAGTTGACATGATTGGGGTTGCCGGCAACACCAGGGTGAACGTATGAATTGGACTGAGCAGGGGACAAAGAGATGGACGGAGTCACCTGCTGCACCGGTTGGATCTGGTGCTGCAGAGGCGAGGTATCCGGCGAGCCGCTGGAGAGGGAGGAACGGTCGGACGCAGAGTGGATGGAGTGCAGCTGCATCAAATTGTCAGCACAAGATTCTGATGATATTGACCTGATTCCGTGACGATCTTCAAGGGGGCGAATTAACTAGGGGGGTTGAAGATTCGATCATAACATACATCGTCCTCGGTCAAGAGACCCGGGCAAAACTCGAGGTCATCATCCAAATCGAAGGAACGACCAGCCTCGAATCTCGCACGGAACGCTGTCACAGCCGGAGCTTCCGCCAACTCCCGCATGCTCTTCACTCCACGGAACTGACGCTGCGCATTCTGCGAGGCCATTTTCGGGGCACGACGAGAACGTCCGTGGTGGGTATTTGTCGCAGACTGCATGTGGGCACCGTGGTGAGGGTGTTGCTGCTGTTGCTGGTGATTGTAGAAGTAGGCAGACATTGTGGGTGGATGATGGTTCTGATTTTTTTGAGGGGGTAGACAAAAAGGCCAGCACCTGCAGGTGAGAAAAGAGAAGAAAGTTACAAAAAGAAAATAAAGAGGAAAGATCGATGAAGTTGTTCAGATTGAAGGAGGAAAGGGAAGATTAATGAGAAAGAGTGTGTGGGAGAAGAGGCGAAGGGAAAAAGAGGGGAGGGGTGTGTTATGGGGACTGAAGAGTACCGTTACCGTTATTACCGACTCAGGGAGCCTTTACAGGGATTGTGGTGGCTAATTGCTGTTCTGTATTGTAATATCTTGAAAGACACCTTTAGTCACGCACCAACCAGACGGAAGCGCTAGCACAGTGGCAATACGCTGGGACCAATGAAAGTCCGCAGATCCTCTTAAGATGGAGCTTAAAGGGATCCACCAAAATACCGAAAACGTGACGTCGACATTTAGAACGTTCATCTTTAGGAAGATCTCTCAATTGATGACGGCCACTACATACCAAGGGCATTTGGAAAGGCGACATTGATAATTGTTATAATCCTTTTTCTTTGTCTTTCTTTTTGGTTCTACAGTGTGATTTTGACGATAATTATAACAGATTATGTTTATCAAGGTCCGAAAAAGTACTGAAGCTGACTTTTACTTCGGAGTCCGTACTCCCCCAAATAAATACCATTGGGGGGTTGGGGGTTTGCCCAGGTGAATGGAGGGAAGCTGAGTTTTTAACTGTTTTTTGCCCTCAGCCCTTCGAATCCCTTAGCTGCAGGCTGTGCAGGGCAGCAGGGCCATAGGCCCATAGCTTTGCCTCCCAGGCACATTCTCTCCCAATTTCCCCCTATGGGGTGACCCCAAGTCGGTTGTGGCTAATCTCGCTTTGATCGACTCCCCTACGAATTCCCCAATCCTTCGACACGCAGCGCAAAGACCACCCGAGGAAAAACCTTGTCGGTCTCGAGACACACCCACAGTTTTAGCTGCAGATGAACCGGCCTATTATTGGCAGGGGACCTTGAGATCTTACCTTAACGGCTCAAGCCCCCCAAATCGGCCAAGCTCATCAATGCGACATCCGGACTAGGGCGAACAATTCATGCTTTGGGGGTCTTGCTTTTGACTGGGTAGCATTATTGCCTGACCATGAGTCACCTACTGTAGTCAACTTCAATAAAACCCGACTGCAAAGTCTCCACCTTCAACGTGTGGCGGCATATTCCAGGTCTGGGAGCTATTTCCGTTTGCTCGGTTTATTTTTGTACCCGATCGGGCCATGGACCTGGGAATTGGTACCCTCGGCGCCAACTGGAACACAGCCCTACTGCATGATGTGCAGACTTCCAGCCTCCACCAGTGATAACTCCCATTCTATTACACGGCGTCGAGAAGCCTAAGGATTAAGCCCAAACTTTAGTTACTAGGAACAACGTAACTACCACTTTAAATCAGTTTCTCCTGTTTTAGCTTCACCGCCTCTTTGGCCTTTCAAACAATGGACTCTTGACGAGGCGCAGTTGCAACTTGCAAGTATTCAACATCGGATATATCACTTTTCGATAACCGTTGCCCTGAAGCTTAAATCATGCAGATGATCTATCCAGCGTCTGTGCAGGGTGCGTCATTTGGCGCCTGCGCGAGGTCGTGGGATGTGAATGCATGAAATATGTAATTCAGTGAGGGACAATCATGCTGCGATCCGATCCCCAGATACACGCGCAAGGGACTTGCCACAGTACAAACACGATCCAGTCGCCGGGCCTGGCTGTGTTGCGAATGTATCCCTCCCACTACATCGTGGCAAGTGTTTCTGTGCTCCGAGTCGGAAGATGGTATCTAAATTCTGGGGGTCGCAATCGCAATTGCGGAGTTGAAGGCATACCGGTCGCACGGCTTGAAAGCAAGACATAGGACATAAACGATGAGGAATTTGAATAAGCTTGATACTTTCTTTTTTTCCAGTATTGTATTCACTATTCATAACAACTATATAACTAGTTATGTCTTCAGTATGTCTTGATTCCAAGGTTGTACCCCCGGAAACTGGAGTGGTTGCCTTGTTTGCCGGGCCACAAAAGTGGTTCGCATACTGAGATGCTAGTAGGCACATAGTTGACCAACTGAGCGATGATAGCTAACCACTCCAAATACACAATAACCTAGTTTTCGATAACTATTAACTACCTACAGTTGCCCATAGGTATATGATTGTTTAAAACCAAGACCTCTGGAATACTTAGGTAGTTCATGAGGAATAGACATCAAATGCTAGGTACCTACATCCATCTCCCTTGGAGGTATGCAACATATTTATCCACCATCACATCAATATGGACTATATATCATCGTAATCATACCTACTATATTCCAAGATGTATAATCTTTCACTCCATCCATGCACTAAAAAGCTCGATACTCCAATGATAAGAGACAAACCTAAGATGAAAAAAACTAAACCTTTCCTGGCTCATAATGGAGATATAGACTCCAGAGAAGCGAATATGCCGATGCTGGCTTGAAGCTGCTGGTCAACAGCCTCAAGCTGATAGCTATCCATGCCTTATAAAAGATGCAACATACCATCACTTGTCTAAGTTCTTGCTCTTGACCATCCGCCCAAGCAGCTCCTTGCAGTTCTTCTCGCTATACTGCTCCCACACCTCGTACAAAGAGACCAGCTCTTGTGTACACTCAATAACAGCTTTGATATCGACTTCGCTTTCTGCGAGCCAACCAATGAGCTTTTGAATCTTGGGAGGAGGGCCGGATCCGGTCTTGTCCGACAAAGCGGCCAGCATCTGCAACCCACTCCCTTCGCTCATGAGGCTGCCCGATAAAGCCGATTGCGCGGTTACGGGGTAAGTAACTGGGTGAGCGGGCTTGAAGACAACGGCAAGGAAGATCGCCATAATCGCAATGACATGAGGAGGATGCAAAAGTGGTAGATCAGTCAGATAGTGGTCGTTGATCACCGACCAGGCAAGAGCGACTTCTTCTGTGGCGAGTGATAGTTCAGTCTCAAGTTCAGACAAAGTCCGATAGGGATGATGGACGATAAGTTGCGAGCTCATTTCAGATATCAGGGCGAATTCACATTCTCCGAGCTTTGCAACATCCGGGGTAATGAATTCTATGAGAACTAGTTAGTATTGCGATGGTATATGGTGTCTCTTTAGTCATGCTCACCTGGCCACAGACCGCGCGCTTCGCCGACCACAAAACGGATATGCTGTGGACACTCTTCCATCTTGCAGGCGAGATAGAAAGCTGTGGTGAGCACCAGATACGGGCTTGTCTGCCGAATCTCATTTTTGGTATAGAATCTCTTGAGATACACCTGTGCCGTAGCAATGGCCTGCTGTCTGGTGGACATGCGCTTGCCAAGTTTAATGAGCTCTGAGTTTGTTGATATTAGCTCAAAAATTTCTTCACAGTATTGAATATCGTATCAGCATCACCTACGCTGGTTGAAGTAGATGTTCAATAGCCGCTGATCGGGCAGCGGGAACTGCGAATGGGCCACTTTATCCTTCTCCCATAATGCTTCCCGGATATCTGCCAACTTCTCCCTAGAGAAAAGCCAGTGTCGCCGCTGCGTGGATGCCCAGTAGTTGGCTGCCATACTGAAAAGTTTTGATGGTTGGAGACTCGCAGATCGAAGTCACGACATGGTTGATCCGAGGTCCGGGGCAATATTTAACCCCGCAGGGTCACGTCGTGAGAGATGAATGATTGAATCAAAACACCAACACAATAGAAAACTCAGACACAATAGCAATAGCAATAACAAATCAAGTTTACCTTCAATCTGGAGGTCAGGTCGAAATCCCAAAAAGGGATAGTAGGGCTTGGCCCTGGTCCCGTGAGGATGATCCGGACTCCATGGCGTCAAAGATCGAATCGTCGGACGCCGATTAATCATTCAATACTTCCGCTTCATAACTTTTGCGTCCCCACGTCATCCTTTTATGTCCCGACATTTCCCCCTCGATCTTCCCCTCAGCTTTAGGGGTCCTCCAAAAACCCCTTCCACAGCATCAAAAAGAATGAAGAGTGGTCGGTAACGAATTTCACCATGGCGGCCGGCGAGTCGAAAGACGAACGCGACAAACGAGTCGCCAAACTCTTTGAATCCCTGGATACCCGAAAAGAGGGTCATATTGACTTGACTGGGTTAAAGAAAGGCTTGAAAAAGATCGATCATCGTGAGTTTGACTGGATTTCCATGCCTGTCCCATGTACCCCCGGCTAATCTCGTTCTAGCGCTTAAAAATGCAGATGAGATGGTCCTCAGTGTCGTCCGGGAGGTCGACACTAATGGCGATGGTCGTATAGACCTAGCTGGTAAGCTCATGACATTCACCTGTTTACCACTTTGGGAAGGGGTGACCTGGCTGCGAGCCAATGTTTGGATCAATCCTAATACCCAGCAGAGTTCCGAGCATTCCTCAACCGTACCGAGGACGGGTTATGGAAGATGTTCCAGACCATTGATCGCAACAACAATGGAGAGATCGACAAAACGGAATTACGAAATGCGTTTTCACGTTCCGGAGTCACGGTGTCGAGCGCCAAGTTGGATCGATTCTTTGACGAAGTCGACAGAAACAATGATGGGGTAATCACATACACGGAGTGGAGGTATGCACATGTAGTCTGGCAAATGAAGGCTGAACATCATAACTGACTTCTTTGAGCTAGGGACTTCCTCCTCTTCCTTCCTATCCAGTCCCCGACCGACCTTCACGCAGTCCTCTCTTACTACACGGCCACGGGCAATCTAAACCCGGAAGGAGATGTCCACATCAATGACCTGCAGGGTTTAGGTACAAACCATCCGTTTCTTACATCCCATATCATGGCCATCCAACACCTTTTGTACAATATCTTATCCCTCCCCGCCTTGGCCTCCCTCCTTCCTTCAGCACATGCGCAAACCAGCCACACCTCAAAGTTGGGACCCGCCTTCGAGGACGAATTTGTCTCGATAGACGGCGACTTCGACTTGGAGTGGTTGCATCTTCCCCAAACTACCGCCATGCGGATGTTTTGTCGATATTATGGACGGAAGTTGACCGAGAATACCCCACAATTAGGCTACTTCCTTGCAGGTGGGATTGCGGGTGCAGTCTCTAGGACGGCCACCGCTCCCCTCGACCGTCTGAAAGTTTATCTCATTGCACAAACTGGTGTTAAAGATGCAACGATCCGTGCGGCAAAGGACGGAGCGCCGTTGGCAGCCGCGGGAAATGCTTCTAGAACATTGTTCGAGGCACTGAAAGAATTATGGCGGGCTGGAGGAATTCGGAGTTTGTTCGCAGGTTTGTCGCCACCGGTCTGGACTCGAATCAACAGTAACTGACTCTCAGCAGGTAATGGATTGAATGTAGTGAAGGTCATGCCTGAGTCTGCCATCAAGTTTGGTGCCTACGAGGTCAGTATCCTCAACACCTGGTCTCTTCGTCACTATCGGATGCATGCTGACCCCAAGTACAGTCTGCGAAACGAGCATTCGCACGACTTGAAGGACACAATGACCCTAAGCGGCTCCTTCCCACTTCTCAATTCATGTCCGGTGGCTTTGGTGGAATGGTTGCTCAGTAGGTCTTCTCTCACTTATGAAGAGGAACCTTTGATTCTAACATTGACTCAAGATGTTTCGTCTATCCCCTTGATACCCTGAAATTGTGAGTACATCAGCCGATGTGATCGATCTATTTTCGAAAATCGTGGCTTATAATTATCAATAGTCGCATGCAGTGTGACACCGTGAAAGGCGGCCCGAAAGGCAACCAACTCATCGCAGCCACCGCCAGGAAGGTGTGGAATAAGAATGGCTTGGTCGGCTTCTTCCGGGGACTCCCCCTTGGCCTTGTGGGCATGTTTCCCTATGCCGCAATCGACCTGTCAACGTTTGAATATCTCAAACGGACCCTTCTCGCTAAAAAGGCTCGTGACTGTGGTTGCCATGAGGATGATGTACCCCTCGGTAACTTCTCAACCGGCGCGATTGGCGCTATCAGTGGAGCATTCAGCGCCTCGATCGTCTACCCCCTCAATGTTCTCCGCACACGACTCCAAACCCAGGGCACAATCATGCACCCGCCTACATACAGTGGAATCGGAGAGGTTCTACGTACAACCCTCAAATCCGAAGGTCCCCGTGGTCTTTATAAAGGTCTCACTCCCAATCTCCTCAAGGTGGCACCTGCCATGTCAATCAGCTACGTGGTCTACGAGAACGCGAAACGCATGCTTGGCCTGCGATGATCTGCCTGTCTCACTCAGCCCTCACTTCCTTTTCACGTCTTATACCTTTAGGGACGATGGTCGATCATTCTCGACCCTTCACCACCAGCCCATCCACTTCGGTGCCCTCGGGCCCCGATCCTTGCTATTTACTGGCTCGACATTTAGAAGCGTTGTCTCAAAGATACCCACAAAAGCCATGGACAGACCTGGCACACCTCTCGCCCCATATGTGCATATAAAATGCATTCTACTCTCAGATCTGATCTCTCACTTTGCATTTGTCTTTGGCTGATATCATGTGTAAACGGCGGACCTGTGAATTACTAGATCCGGTTCGTTTTGACTCTTTTAGTTTAGCGCCCCAATACACCGTCACGTAACCTCCCTTCAATGACCCCCGGATCTCCCTCAACACCTTCTATGCCGCTGATGAAGATCCAACTTGAGAGGTGCCAAGAGTTCGAGTCTATGTTATCGTCTAAGACGAAGAAACCTCTTAAATGCTGTTCAATTGGATGCCTACGCAAGTATTCACGTCTATCTGCCTTCGTTTAATTTTATAGCGCTCTGAAGTCTACAAGCCCGTGCGTGCGATCAGCTAACCTCGCATTGCGAGGGCCAAGGCTCGCTGTATACCTTCAAGCATCCATCAGGCACCAAATTGTGGCCGCGACACCGAATCGTGGCCTGAGCAAAAATTCGTGGTCTCAGCGACAAATCGTGGCCTAAACTACAGAGTGCGGGCGCGTACGGCGCGGCACCTAAACAGTGCGGCAGCGCGGCTTCCCCAAAATAGTGTCGCAGCGCCCACACTTTGATTCGCCCAAATTGCATGTCTATTGTAGATCCCCATCACCTAAGCCTAATCTCGCAAAACCACATCTGGGCAAATTAGACCCTACAATTCACGCCGTGGGGTGAGAATTGTCACCTCGATCTCCAGAATCCTCACCCATATCACCCACGCTAACCCTAAGACGGATTTCCTCGCTACTTTAATGTTCCAAGGCACCCCGAAAATTGGCCGCGTAGAGTAATGGGCTTGAACGCGGCCAGTAGTCGGGTGGCCGCGAAATACTTTTCCAGGGTCCAAAAATTGGCACCCACTCGCCTAGAGGACATGGAGATCTACTCGACTGTCTTATGGCATTTGAAAAGTGATGTTGAGCTGGCTTACCTGGCCCACCAGATGCTTGAGGCCGACCGCCTCTCCCCTCAGGCCGTCGCCCGTGTGAGTTTAGGGTGAGAGCTGTTTTAAGGTCGCGCGACAGGGGATGAGAAGGGTGTGTAAAACCGTGTGTTGGACGAGTGGGAGCAAGAGAGCAAAGTGCGAGGTGACACTTCAGGAATGCCGGTGTCCACGTCGATGAACAGTGAAACTTGAGGAAGACTCCCTCCCCTCAGTTTACTTAGTTGTCTTGCGGATTAAAATAAATAGGAATAGACATGAACAATTGATCTACCAGGCTATCTCATTCATCAAGAGCAACCACCCCCAGCCGCCGAGCAGCCGTATTCATGTCTACGACCCGGGAAACGATCGTATCATCAGATGAAGTGTCCGGATCCTCGGACTCGTCCGAGTCCGTCATGTAGAAGTACACCCCAGCCTCTGAGACAAACTTTGCACGGTCAAGAACAACCGTGAACATGCGAAATTCGCTATCGTCGCATGCCCCCTGTGAGCTTTTAATATATTGGTCGGGTTCTTGAGGAGTAAAACGTTTTGCTGCTAGGGGTTGACTATCGCCTGTTGTGATATTGTGTAGGGCGCCAATAGAAAAGGGATTTTCTCGGTTCTTCTCTTCATTTTGCTGGGATAGAATCTCAAGAACTTCGTTTTGGGCGGGCCTGATGGCCGACCAGGAATTGGACTTTGGAATGAAGAATTTGAGAGTGAGAGTTTTGTTGGCCGGGAGGTTGGAGACCATTGACGCCGTAAAGAGGCGCGCTGTGCTTTCGAAGATAGAGGAGCCTGCTGCGTCGCCTATGTGGCTGAGAAAGGCCGCATGGACAATGTATTGAATATCAGGCGTTTCGCCCTCAGGGGTATTGGTGACTGTCACAAGGTTGGCTTCATGAGAAATATGGAATGTCGGATCAAGAGAGAAGCCGCCAACTGAGGTTTCTTGGCCTAGCTGGTCACGAATCTGTTCTTCTGTCGGCATATCCTGGCTAGGAGGCTCGCCCTCGTCAATACCTAAGGCGTTTCGCTCCGGATAGCGAGGGACATTATTGAAGATATCGAGAATCATCAACTGGCCTATGTGGATCTGGTCCATAACGCGCTCGATGACGAATTCAAATGCCTCTGACGGGAGTTCCTCTCGGCCCTCACGCAAATGCTGCGCCACGTCAACCTCAGTGCACGTGCTAGAAAATGTGCGATTGAATAGAATCAAGTCTGGGCCTTCGCCTATCTCCTCAGCCTCCTCCGAGTCCTGCATATTGCCCACTCGATAACTGTGCGATCGCAGCAGGACACAAAATCCAATATTCGAGGATGAATATGGACGATTGAATCTCGGAATCAGTGGGAGTGGGTTCTCGACCCCTGACTGATGTTGCTGCTTGCGACGGGCGATTTCAAGACGATTATGCTCAATACAGGCAAAGCCATCGGGCGGGCGGTATGAATAAATTTCGAACAAAGGCTTGACTTCATCATTCCAAAACGTCTGCATCAGGTACCTTCGGAGCTCTCTGTGGTCTTCATCCAGGGGAACAAGGCTGTAGACCTGAAAGGGAACTAGCTCACGGGGATCTGGCGAGACGTATTGCTCGAGCACGACAGGATGACCCAGATGGTCAGCGTAAGTGCGCACTTGCTTCCAAGAGCTAGACATGGCGACTGGTCTTCGGGGGTGTAAATAACACTTGATGGAAAACAGGTCTGAAAAAAGACTAGTGAAGTAAACGTGGTGAGTGACGGGCTTAAATGGACTGGAGGGGAGAGGTTAGGTAAGCAAGGAGAAGGTCGACAGTTAGGGCTAATCGACCAACAGAAACTTGAGCATCTGTACGTCTCGTAGGAACATGCTCATCTGTGGACTGACCGCGTCCGACCCCTGAGCGCTATACACCTGCGTACCCGGGTCAGATTCGAGGGATTAGGAAGGACTAGATATATAAGGACACTCATTTACCTCATGTATTTAGTTCTTCGCGGTCAATTCCACTTTGTTACTTGGTTACTACCTATTGGACTTTGCACTCTACGTTTCACCTTCAAGACAACCCAACCTACAAGTAGGGGAGCTCATCTCGTGGTAACACTTGGTGACCGACTTAATTGGCGCACACTACTGACACGTCCCGCAAGATACTCAATAATAGGACCCGAGTCCGTGTAAGGCTTAGCATAGCCACGGTACGGTTGCGAGATGATCTTGGGATCCGCAGTGGAACTAGGCAAGCATAACGCTAAGGCAGCTCTCCTGGCAGTGACCAGCAGGCGACGTGTAACACATGATTTCCATCATCACCAGCCCATCCGCAAGGATCTACCCGATCCAAAGATCCTTCCACAAACAAAGCCAGTCAGGCCACCATTTCCAGACGCAAATCATTTTGGCCGGAGCCCTATATTCCCCGCGGCCTGTCTAGCACGATGTTTCCTGCGCCTCCGGATACAAAGCCACGCCCCACAAGCCAGAATAGCCACCCCAATAAGCGGCACGCCGATTTCCGTGAAATACAGCAGCGAGCTCCATCCCCTGATGCCGCTATTATCCCCGTTGTGCCGGTCATACCACCCGTCAGGGACCGCCTGTCCGGGCTCCCATCTGGCGAGGTACTTGCCCGACGTCAACGGTGGCAACGAGGGGGACATGGTCGCCGTGTCCGACTCAGCCCATGTGACGTGCCATGCGCGATGAACGATCACTCCCTCCGTGAAGGTGCCTGTGGCATCTGTGCGCGATACCAGTGGGGCGGTGATCGTCGTTTCCCCGGCGCTGAACGTCCGCGCACACACCGGGGTGAGAGCAGATGTCGGCAGGGCGTACCATTCGCCACTGAATCCGAAACCGCTGCGATGGTCAGTAACCGGGGGGATAGTAGATAAACAGGTGAGAGGGCCAGAGATGGAAGTGAGAATCACCGTACCTGGCGCAACAGTATGCCGCGGAGTAGTGCTTTGTCGACGACATTTCGAAATACGTCCAGTCCTGCGGACAGACGGCGGGGCTGAAGGTGAACAGATCGTCATATTTGGCGCCTGTATTCCATCCGGAGGGCTGGCACGAGGGAAACCCTGGGGCTGCGGCATTAGATGCCAGGACTGTGATGGTCGTGGGCGTGCCCAGCGCGCTGGTCGTGATGGTGGTGAGCTCGACGGCCAAGGTACACCCGCTTGGCTGGACAAAGGGGGTGGTGAGGACCGTCGCCATCGCGGTCGTAACGATCGTCACCATCACGGAGAGCAGGGACGTGAGGGTCATTATCACCGGGACTCTTGTTGTAGGGCCTCCTCTCAGCTCAGTCCTTCTGCTCATGCGTGGTCGCGGGGGGTATTCTGCGTGGATGCTTGTTTGCGGTAGTGGTTGTGTTGGATATTATTATTATCATCAATATTATGACTGCTGAGGGATCGAGAGTGGCCGTAGTGAAAGCTCTCTCGACGTAATTATTCAATTTCCCATTTCTTCGTGTTCCAGGCATTGCTTGTTCTCATTATTTGCCCCTATTCCTTAGTCGCTCCCTGTGTTGGCCCCCGTCCCGAACGGGACTCCCGTTACTAGTTAGGAACTTAGGATAAAGCACGGAGAGAATGCCAAGCACTTAGTGTCGTTCTTGTCTCACTAACCACGAGAAACAGTCTAAGCGATGGGTAGTCTGCTCGTTCTGGGCTAGATGCTGTCTAAGTTAGTCGTTGTGAAGTTACATGGGCTTGCGGTTACTTGGGGATGAGGAGAGAACTGGAAGAACATGAGAGGGGGAGGAAAAGAGGCATCTTATAGGCGCCCAGCCAGGCAAGACGGAAAGCGAGGGCTCCCGGGAGAGACTGCAAAAGGGAGCCATTTTCGGCGTCTTTTTGGTGGCAGGTGGAATGACTGTTGAACGGCGCCTACATCACAGCTGGAAGATGATGACTAACGGCGCTAGGTGGGTGCAAAATAGTGAGACGGTGGGCGGTGAAGCGCCCGCTCACCCTCCAAAGTTACGGGTGGAAAGACGGCCGTTTCTGGCGCCAAAAGTGGTCATTTTCGGCGTCATTTTCGCAGGTCCTCATATTCTATATGTAATTTTTCATCTACTTTCTACTGCTTGTGTTGTGCTCACTTGAGCCAACTGTACTTTTCGCACTACTCTTTGATCAGAGGCACTGGGATACCAACCATCAACTACATAGCATGAAAAGGCGTCGATACAATACCACGGGACTTTCTGGATTTCCAATTCGTGTATATAACTTGAAGGTAACAAACAACTAGAAATCATTTTTCTTCGTCTTGATTAACACATCATGAAGGACTTGCTTGAAGGCCAATCTCACTGGACAGTTCATGGCTCGCATTATTAACGTGAACACCAAATGCCCTCAGGAGCTTTCCTCACAGAACCCTTATTCAGCCGTCTGCACAGCCCTAACCTCCTGATCCTTGGGCAGGACATCCGGAACAGGCCCCAGCGGCGTAATCGCAAACTGATTAATCTGCTTATGACTTTTAGTATAATGGAACTTGATATGCTCAAAGTCCGTAGTATCCCGGAAAGCAGGAATATCCCAATACAGCCTCCGGACCCAACGGTGAATAGCCGGGTACCCAGAGCGAATATCACGCAGATTGCACTTGAAATGCTGCACGTAGACGGGATCGAAGCGGATAATGGTGGTGTAGAGTCTGATATCCGCCTCTGTGATCTGGTCACCGTAGAAATATGGCTTGGAGGCCGATTGTTGTTTGGTGAGGTGGGCTTCGATCCTGTCGAGGGAGGAGAAGAGCGTTGTTACGGCTTTTTCGTAGGCTTCTTGTGTGGTTGCGAAGCCAGATTTGTAAACGCCGTTGTTGACGTCGTTGTAGATCCAGTCGTTTGAGGCTTCGATTTCGGATTGCAGGGTTGGGGGGAAGAGGTCGATTTTCTTGTATTGTTCTGGGAGGAGGCCGTCGAATTCGTGGTAGAGCATGCGGATGATTTCGGAGCTCTGGTGGTAGGCTTTGTGTTAGAGAACAATCTGGAAAATGAGGGTTTTCCTTTTGGGGAAGATGTTTCATACCTCGTTGCTGACGATCAGCCCGGTTTTCTTGTCGAACAGTACGGGCACGGTGAAGCGGCCTGTATAGTTGGGGTCATTCGAGAAGTAGACTTGTCGGATATGGGTGAAATCCGGGTGCAGGGGGTCCGGAATGGTGTTCTCTCCCGGCAGTTTCTCGTCGGGAGTAGGGAAGCGCCAGCCTGGAGAGTGTGTTAGAATTGTCTGATCCTCATACTCGTGCTCGAGATAAAACATACCCTCCGCACCGAGATGCCAGTGCACCGAAGAGAAACTGATGTAGTCCTCGAGACCCTTGAGCTTCCGGGTGATCAAAGTCCGATGAGCTAGTCGAAGATCAGCAGATGATCCAGTAACAAGTCAACAGGAAGCTGTAACATACCCCATGGACAGGCATACGAGACATAAAGATGGTACCGGCCCTTCTCCGGAGGGAATTGGGCACCAGCCTCTCTTGAGATCCAGTTCCGGAAGACGGATTGCTGACGCTTGAACTCGCCCGACTTGTCGTTAGGGTTCACCCAGTCGGTGATCTTGTTGGTATTTCCGGTCTGATTATAAGTCAGTATTATACGTAGGAAGTTGAAGCCAAGAAGCTCTTCTTACGGCCATGTTGCGAGAGTAGATGGTTGGTAAGGTGTAGAAGACGAAGCTTTGATGAGCTGCAGAAAGAGGCCTCACACGACGAATTGGACGTGAAAGATGCTGCACTGCTTGAGGTCGAAGTAAATTAAAGAACATCAGGCTGAGCAGCAGATACAGCGAAGAACACTCTTTATGTAGTATCAGGAATAAAAAGTGTCCAGCTTGCGGGGAATGACGTCCTCTACGCGGGGCCGACCTCGGGATTACCAAGTGCTGAGTCAGGTCAGATCCGCTTATCGCGAGATCAATCAGCCTTGACAAATGCGGAATAAAGGTTGACTCTGGGCACATTGTTAAGCGATTTGATATCAATTTACAAGCATTGAGGATCAGGATCTAAGCATATTTGTACCAGCGAGTGGAATGGTTCATGAAATCTACTTACTATACTCAACACTATGTAGCCAACCGATCGCCTTATTTTGTAAGTTTGACCATCACATAAGGAATCTCCACGTCCTCTTCGGTCTGATCCTCGGCAGTCACCTCGAAGATGATGTTCTTCTGGTGTTCTGGAACTGGCTTCTTACTGACGTGCTCCACAAGCTTGCTCATCCTGCGAGGTTTGATGTTAGTAGTCTGCTTGATCATGTAGTCATATAACGGATACTTACGGCAGAGGAAGACGGTCCTTGACCTTGGAGGGAGGATAGAAGCTTGCATACAACAAGCTGACCCCAGAGCTGACCATGGTGATGTCCAAGCCCTTTTCAGCGAAGAAGTCAAGGAACTCTTGGAGAGGAATGTCCTCCACCTCAAATCGATCCCAGAGTTTGTCAATAGTTACCTCGCCTTGCTTGCCCTGGTATGTCCCCTTTTGGCTAGCGATAGGCTCACTGAAGCTGAAAAGTGGAAGTGCCAGATTAACGAAGCCGTTCTTGTATTTCTCGATGTCGTCATTGCCATCAACAATCTTATACAGCTCGAGGGCAATAAGACCTGTGGCCAGAGCGGTAGTTGTGGCAATAGCAGGAATGATTTTGCCGGCGATGAACTTAGTCTTGTGTCGGTCAGCCTGAGGGATGTCGTAATTGTCCGCGCGGAGATTGCTAGCGGCGGTGATGAAGTCGATGTGGTAGTTGGTGTCATCGTCCTTCTCAAACTCAACCGGCTGCAAGCGGAAGCCAGCGAGAGACTTGGGTGAGGGAAGAAGATCCACCAACTTTCGGATCTCCTCCTCGTCGGTATTTGAAGATCCAGACGGCTGGGCATTTGGATCAGGGTCATTCTCGTTGGCCTGAATCTTTACATTCGAGCTGGGGGTGAACTCGGGGATGATCATGTCATCAACAACCCTGCGATAGTAGTCCTTGTCGGCGCCGGGATTCTTGATGCCATAGTTAAACGCGTGGAGATTGGCACCGGCCTCAACGAATCCAAGATGAGTGGGGTTGAGGCTGTCGAACTTCAAGGGCGTAGGAGCACGCTTCGGTCCGGACCAGAACGGTTGACCAGAGGACGTCTTAGAGTCGCGGGGGAAATTGTAGAGAAGCTGCTGAATCGCGTTGTTATACTGCGCTTCAAACTGCTGGCGAGCCCACACAATACAGTCATCGAAAGTCAAGGGCTTTTCGGTGACCAAAAAGTCACGCAGGTGCTCCAGAGTCTGCTTCTCATTGCCTGCCTGCTTGAGTGTCTGTTGAATGTAGTCGGCTTGGGATAGATACATGTTAACGGACTCAGGTGGGCCAACGAAGTAGGTTTGGAAAACATCCCGTGCCCAGGCGATGGTGTGCTCAATACGGTTCGGGAAACTTTTCAGGGTACACATAGGGAAGGACTTCTCTGGAGGATCCTGGGAGCTGGAGTAAGACTCCGTGATGAAGGGAAGGACGACCTGTGTGTTGCACTTGGTGCCAAGAGTGCCACTCTCCAGCAACGGCTTGCGGAAGAAGACACATCGGCGATCGACGTATGTCCGTGCATCAACATTGTCCAAAGCATTTGTCACACCGTCAAGGCCGTTCCAGAATTCCTCATTGAAGATGTGTTCTGTATCGGCACCAACGCGATCACGGAGAGTGACAATCTTACCATTCAACTCCGGATTCATGGCCTGGGCAGCCGCGGATGCGCATTCACTCTTGAGTCTACCGACATCCTTAGACCGGAAGAGGAACTGCCGATTGAGGTTGCTCTTCTCGATTTGATCCATGTCAGTGACATAAAGCTTTCCTTTGGGACCCGTGCCCAGACCCATCATAGCCCAGTTCTTCAAGGTCTCGCAACCGATAGCCCCGGAGCCAACCAAGAATTGCGTAACATTGGCAAGCTTTTCCTGATACTCCTTACCAAACACTGCGATCTGACCATCATAGCGGGTACCGAGAGGCTTGCAGGCCTCTTCAGATCGAGTGGTAGATGATGGCAGAGACTCCAACGAGTCAAAGTACATCCACTGGTGGATGGGGCTGAACTTTCCTGAAACGGCCTTCAGAACCTCTTGGGCAGCGATACCACCAAAGAAAGCAGCTAGCGGATTCAGATCACCGCGTGCCTGGTAGCTGAGTTCCTTGATGATTTTCTCATCTAGCTCAACCTGATCCTCACCAGCCGCAGCAAGGTCGTTAGCAATCTTCAGAACCTCTTGGGCGTCGCTATCATTATGGGGACGAGGCAATTGACCATCATGGGTCTCTGCAAATTTGTGGAGAGCCTGGATACCGATGTGAAGTTGCGGCGGTCGGTCGAGCTTGGCGAAGTCAGACTGGAGGATTTCAGGCTTCTTGAGCTGCTCCTCCAGGGGTTGGAAGTCAATGAACTTGGGCATCTTGACTTGGGTGAACAAACCGCCGCCTTCGTAGGATCCTAGACCGGAGACATCGCCAATGGTGAAGGTATACGGACCCTTCACAGTCACCTTGCGAGGATCACTGTTGTTGAGGCCATCCATACCCCTAATTTCAGTGAAAGTGACGAAGTCACCATCCTCCAGTCCATGTCGGGTTTCGTCGAGCGCCGAAACCAATCCTTCCTCGTCGATGCCCGCCACTATGCCAGCAGCAGGCTCCTCACCGGTAGGATCGCCAACAGTGAAGTTCTTTCCAAAGTCGTTGAAGATGTAACCAAAGAGGCCAAATGTATCGGTAATAGTGAGGTAGATTCCGTTCTTGTGGCAGAAGTCGGCAATTGCCAGTTGTTCCTTCAAAGGTGTCTGCGTGAGGACAACTGCCTGGTAGCGCTTAAATTGTTCGAGGTCGCCCACAAGATCTCCACCCTCATGGACAGTAACAGGAACGTAGGAGTTCAATTCGGCGACTCTTGGAGCGGTAACTTCAGCACGGGGTTTGCCGACATCCTCTGGCTTTAGGAAAAATTGGGATGAAAGATCCGAGATGGCGACTGGCGCGGGGTCATATAGCGTAAGGGATTTGACACCAGCAAGGGCGATGTTCTTGGCTATGGAGAGAATCAGTTTCTGGATGACATCCAGGCTTCCGTTCGAAGCGTGTGTACGTACCAATTTCCACGCCCAGGCCCTTGAGACCTACGACCAGCACATTTGAAGAGCCCATGCGCTTCATGGCCTCATGGCCAAGAACATATCTCGGAGGTGTCAGTATGTTCCTCAAATTTGAAATCACCGAAAGAGGTGGGGGTGGGGAGCTTACAGCTGCCGACTGTACAATGATTCGTCGATTTCCCCATGCTTGATAGCTTCGACAGTCTCTTGGGGGTTCTCGACCTGCATCTTGATGTCCTTTCATGTATCTTGTTAGTGGATAATGCTACTCCGAGATTAAGATCAACCATACCGCCATAGTTCTTTTTTCGGGGGGAGCTCCGGCGTCGTCTGGAGAGGCTCTACGCTTTCCGGGCTTAGCCACGTCTAGAACAGGGATATTGGAATGAATGGTGAAAATCAGGAGGTGAAAGCCTTGCAGGGAAGCAAGACTTTCGATGGTGATGATAAATCAAGTTACAACGCCCAGCGTACCAGGTACCTAGCTCGACGAGCCAAGGGAGAGTAGCAATTCGAACGCGATCGAAGGACTTTTTAAAGATAAAGGAAGAAGAGGGCGCTATGGGAGGAGGGAGGAGCGCAGAAGTATGGACAGATGAGTTGAATACAGTAGGAAAGATCGAGTGAGGGACAACGACGTAAGAGGGGAGCTAAAGGATATGACTAATGGGGCGGTGAGCGGGTGATTGGCATCAGCCCCGCCATACCTCAATAAATCACTGAGAGCTCGTGTTCTGAAGTCAGTAAGTATCTTGATTAGATTTGAAGACTGTCGTGACTTGGATAGGGCTGGCGGTGACTCAGGTGACTCTGGAGGATGACACCAAACCCTGTCTGTTCCGGCTGATTCTGAAGCCCGTTATCCAAAGCTACCTCCGACGCGTCTTAGGTATCCACGCGAAGCTTGGCGACGTTAAACGCTCACCTTCGTATGTGTCGGTTCGAGTTTGTGGGGCGCGGTCTATTATACTGGCAGCGTCAAAAGCGTGAAGTGAAGAGAAGGCGGTTCACCAGGTGAATTTGCCGCATTTATGTCCATGACTAGCTCGCAATTGACATCCGATAGGGAAGTTTCGTCAGAATGCTCCACGAGATCCTGCTCTCCCTCTCCGGCCAACCCTCCCCGCTCTTCGATTCCAAAAAGGGGGAAGATGCCATCACTCAAGATGCTTTTCCGCTCCTTTCACCCCCGGAAAAGGCCCTCCTCGCCTCCATTGCCCATCTGAGTCGGCTCCATACGCAGCTGCGGGAGTATACCTCCGAAATCTCATCGACGAACCCATCTGTCATATGCCGCTCGGTCTCCACTGCTATCGTTGGAATACATCTGAGTGAATTTCAGAAAAAGATCTTGGAGGTCGAGAGCGCAATCCTTGCGGAGGACAGTGGATATGTCGGAGGGTATGGGATTGTTCCATTGTCGACCATTGTGGGAGAGTTCGCACCATGGACGCGGCGCATGGAGTGGCTCTGGGGTGTTATTCGTTTTATTCAGACGGAAAGGAAAACCAATGAACGTCCACATGGTTCGACGGGGGCAGCACTTATCGATCATTTGCGGACTGAAGCTCTCACTGGGTACCTTGATATAAAGGAGATGGCTTTGCAATTAGCGACAGCGGCCGAAACAGCCTGGATGAAACAGCTTTCCATGTGGCTACTTTATGGGAATCTTCCTATGTATGGCAGAGACGACTTTTTCATCCAGGATGCAACCGGACCGGAGAACGATGAGGTAAAATTCCGCATAGACGCTCATCTGCTCCCAAAGTTCGTCACTGCACAGACGGCTGGCTCAATCCTATTCATTGGAAAATCCCTTAATCATATTCGGGCGAAGCGGAAGACTTCGATAGCAGGAACATCTACCGCGCCAGTGACATTATATCGGGACCACATCGAGCAACTTGCGGGTGTAAGATCGCCAATCTCGCCGTCAAAATTGACCTCCGTCATCGATTGCATCCGTCTTTCTCTTTCACAGTCAACGTTATCAAAACTGTTGCCCCTCCCGAGGATCCTCGAAATTCTTACTCTACTTCACAACTTCCTATTACTAGGACGGGGAGAGTTTGCAGTGGCTCTGGTAGCACATGCGGATTCTCGCATCGAGGAGAGTCGACACCGAAGCCTAGCGGCAATTCGTTCATCTGGGAAATTTGATGGCCTCTCTATCAGAGAAGGCGATGTCAATGCTGCTCTGGTGCAAACCTGGGCAGAACTTTCCTCGCTACAAAAAGAAGAGGACCCAGCTGACGAGGAGCTGGAACTCGCCCGGGAGCTACTCTGTTTATCTATCAGTGGGCGCAAGAATGCTCGACCGATGACCCCAGCCCAGGTTCCCAATCCAATATCGGACATCTCGAGAGTCTCGTTCGAAGATCTGCTCTTCCCGACGCCCACACACCTTAGTGCACAAATCCGAGCTCCTTTGGATCTGTTCATCTCAAGTTCTGATATTGCCATATATTCCAAGATCCATTCCTATCTTCTGGCAATACGGCGGGCTCACATCCGGCTTGGCGACCTTTGGAAACGAACCCCGTTGCGGCGAAACCACCCTACACCTTGGGGACCCCCCCGAAGCAACAGTAAATTTGGCCAAGCCAAACTGCAGGCAAGAAGAGACAGAGATAATGCCCGTCTTCGCCGAATGCGCCCTATCTGGGCCACAGGCAGTGCGTGTTTGTTCATGCTCTCCGAGATTGGCAGCTTCTTCCAAGGAGACGTTGTCAATGAGTCATGGCATCACCTTCGCCAATGGATCGAGGGACACTCTTCGTCCACAAGCTCAGCCCCCGGTTCCCGACCAAGCACCGCATCCTCTTCCAAGCCGCACGAGAACTCCAATCTCGCTCCCTCAGACGGTATGCCGGTCAAAGATTCTACCGACTCCGGTCGGACTGGTCAACAAACCATGGGACGGCACGACCCTGAGGCCCTCACCGTTGCCCACCGTCGCCATTTGTCATCACTTGTGCATTCCCTTTTCTTAACCGAACTACCGTTCACGAATACCTTGAGAGGTCTCCTTACCAATATCGACCGCTTCGTCGCCCTTGTGATCCGATTGGAAACAATTCAACGCAAGATGGACCTGGAAACAGATGAAGGCGTGGAAGACGCCTTGGTAGACTATGCCCAGGAAGAACGCGAGGTTTGGGAGGAACTGCGCGCCACTCACACCGATGTCGAAACAGCCCTCAAGAACCTCGTTGGGAGCCTGCGGAACATCGACGATAGTCGCTCGGGGGAAGGCCGGGGACCCGCGGATCTCGCAACGAATACTGGTCACATGTGGCCTGGTTCCCGTCAAGACGAGACCATGAGCTCCGGCTTCAGCCACTACATGCCCCACAAAACAGCCGGGGTGGATCGTCTGCTTATGAAACTGGACTTCGGCAGCCTCCGCAGTGGCTTTGGACCTGAGGCGACTGGGGGTCTGGCAAGCATGTGATCGTGATTGAAATGCCCCAGTACGTTGTTTTGTTTAATGTTTGCTTTGTTTACAAGTATCTTCCCAGCGTGGAGTCGGCGTTCTACCCAAGGGTATCGGATGGGTTGACATGGTCCATTGGAGTCTGGACATTGCACCGATCGGTTCTTCGTTTGCTGGTTCTCTCTATTCGTAGAGGTCCTGGCGCAGGATTTGCGTGCTCCGGAATCAGTTATTCACTACAAGACCCCTGAGGATCATGTGTCGACCATCAGGCTTCTCATTCGAAGCACAGATGGGCACACTGTCTGCGAGGTCGCTTCACTGATTCCTTCATGAACAAGGAATTCCAAATGTCTTAGCACAAACTTCAGGCCAACTGTACAATGTAGGGTAGGGCCTAGCGTCGCGGATCTACTAAAACTATGCTTTAAATGGCAGCAAATAAGATCTACGACCAGCCAGGAACTGCTCAGTTACCATAAAATCATGCATTTGAATGTGAATCATTACGCACACCTGCCCGGTTTCCTACGTCTTTAGTTCCCGCCAATGGCGAAAGCTTGTCAGACACACTCCGTTAGAGTTACTTGCCAACTTCAATAAGTAGCGGAGCAAGCTCTAAAAACAGACACAAGAAAATAACTACTGCTTACATCGATATCAAGGATTTTTTGAGGAAGTTCCAAGGTCATTACGCGAGTATTTTGTCATCGTCGGTGTGGGCAAGGGCCCTGGGTTACCGGATTAGGAAATCCCGGGCTAGAATGTACGGAGTATGAGATTCCATTAAGCTCATGTGGCCCATATCCCCACCTAAAAATAAAATAGAAATTATAAAATAGAAATCCAGAGCTCCAGACTGGACAAGCTGGGTGCCCATGGGGTATGGGTGGGGGTCAGGGTGGAATTCGATGGATCTTGGGGCACAAGGGGTTCGGGACGCCTAGAAAGGAGAAGACGAGCTCGTCGCATCGTACAGTGACCTGTCACTGCCCACAAACTTTTGTGGAGCTTGCAAGTTTCGGAAGTCAGGTTACAACATGGTCAGAAGAAAGGAAAATGAATAACGTTAGCACTTGGCCCGCCGTCAAAGCCGAGTATCCTATTGGGAGGCGGAATTATTCCCCCTCGGCGCGGGAGCTTCAAATTGAACCTTTTCGTATCCGGCAAACCCAGTCCCTCGGCCAGGAAAGGAACATACCAAGATCAGGGATCGACATGGAGAATCAAGGCAGATCTTTGATTAACTAGGCTCTAGAACGTCTAATCGATAGGCAATCTTGCTGTTGCATACTCCCGGGCGCCAAGGTGGAGTCATTCCTCGAAGCTCATATCTAGGACTATACAGTCTTCAGCACAAGGCTCACGATGCTGCAGGTAGGCAGCGCGGCCCCTTTGCCCGGCATTCCCATATCTATGGCTAATGAGAGGTTCGATGGAAAGTTTGGATCCCAACTAGCCATCGTCACTGGACATGGTCTCGGTCAAAGAGAGTGCTTAGGAGCATTTCGAGTCATGGTGAAAGCAGTCACCCACTGGGTCACGCGTAACCGGAATTGGGTTTTCTTGTCAATTTGTATGCAGGGCCTTGTTTTTCTCGGAAACCTGTCAAAGGAAGTACCGTTCTGGTCTTTGGCCATATAAAATCAATACCCCGGTGCCATGGATGGTATACAGTAAACTCTTCAATTGCATTATCTTGTCTCAATAGCGTGCATTCATAACCCTCTCCGAGTTCCTCTGTCTGCCATGTCTTTCACTCTTCCCCGAGTGTTGGCTCCCGCTCGCACACGTCTCGCTGGAGCTGCTATTACTGCTTCTCGTGTTTCACCTTCCTCGTCAATCCGGTTGTATTCTACTTCGAAAAGCACATTCAGTCCTCAAGATCTCCACAATGTGTCTCACAGCCCGGACCACATCCAATTGAAAGCGCCGGCGAAGGAGCTCTTGCGCAATCATCACCGATTCGGCGAGTTCAATCTCGAGGGTCGAGTATATGCTATTACTGGCGGTGGACGAGGGCTGGGACTATCAATGGCGGAAGCATTGATCGAGGCTGGAGCAAAAGGTACGTGCATCTTATTCCTCCCAAGAAAATCCACATGAACGAGCTCTAACACGAATTTCCGTAATCAGTGTATTGTCTCGACCGCTTGGAAACCCCTCACCCAGATTTCCTCCTTGCAAAAGAATGGGCCTCGGCTGACTACGGCTGCAGCTTGGAATACGTCTGTATCGATGTCCGCAACAAGGCCAAAGTAAACGACGCGTTCGCAGCCATTGCAGCGCAGGACAAGCGATTAGACGGTCTGATCGCTGCCGCCGGGATCAACCACCTCCAAAGCGCGCTGGAGTATTCACAGGAGTCTTTGAACGAGGTGATGTCCATTAATTACAATGGCGTGTTCAATGCAGCCACCGCTGCTGCCCAGCAGATGGTCAACTACCAGCAGAAAGGCTCCATTCTACTGGTGGCCAGCATGAGCGGACTTGTCGCAAACAAGGGCATGACGTCACCGGTATACAACTCGTCTAAAGCAGCGGTAATCCAACTAGGCCGGTCTCTCGCTATGGAATGGGGTCGCCACGGTATCCGTGTCAACAACCTGTGTCCCGGTCATATCATTACCCCGATGGTTGCCGAGGTGTTCCAGCAAAATCCAGCTGCCCGGGCCGTTTGGGAAGCAGAGAATATGCTTGGTCGCTTGGCGCTGCCGGAGGAGTTCCGAGGCACAGCGCTCTTCTGTCTGTCTGATGCGAGCAGTTTCATGACTGGAAGTACGCTAGTCATTGATGGAGGTCATACTGCTTGGTAAGCAGTATGAAAATTGAAAACCTGGCAAAACAATTGTCCAAAAGTCCTGTTCAATAGAAGATAGAAAATAATATATGACTAGAAGGTCAACCAAGTGCCCTGGGCGGCTGGGCCTTGGCGGTCGAATTTTGCCCATGGGCTGCATACGTCTACAAACATTCAGAGCTTGTTTTTGTGCCTTCCCAAGCCTCAGATCTTCATCTATTTATAGATCATCGTTCCAAGGACCAGTCATAGTGAGACACTGGACACGGCCCTGGCCCAGATGACAGGTAGCGATTCTCTCAGACTTGATCTTATCTGTTCGGATGTGATTTAGCCCCAAGGGCGGAGAAGTGGGGCTAGTTTTCTGCCCAAAATAGTTGTCGGTTCTTGGACACACCACCTACAGATATCAAAAGAATCATTGACAATTTTAACAACAATCAACAATATTGAAGTCCCTGTTCATCCAATCAACTACATCACAATTTAACAAAGGGACCGGTTACGCTGCATAAATCCATGTGCTAAAATAGGTAAGGTCGTTGCTGAGTCGATGTCAACCCATATCCAATCAAGTCCATACCCTGTATCTACTTGCATACCCTACTCCTAAGTACCAATGTACTCTGTTTGACGCCCCTCTTTCTGCTACACGCATATGTTTGCCAAAACACCTACCTTCTGGTCAGGAACCCCTAGGGAACGATCGTTCCTTTCTCTTGCCTCCTCGTCACTTTCACGTCACTTTCTCACAGTCCATAACTGGCTCACATTCGTGATTCCAAGATTCCGAGAAAATTCGAGACTAATAACCTATTGACTGCTAGTTGTCTAGCCCATTTATCACATACTGAGCATATCATGGATCGCCATGTGGTGCTAGACTGGTGAGCATTGGCTTTACCCATATTTGGTGTTTCTATTTCCTTACTAATTATCGATCAAGGTACAACGACCTAGACGCTCGAGTTGTGGACCTCGTTGGTGACTTCGCCGGCGACGAACTTTTCATAATCGACGGTGATTCACTTCTACTTGAATGCTTTTCCCACAAGAACCTCAACTTCAACCCGGGGTTCCAGATTCTACATGCGACTTACCTTGCCGAGAAGCTGTTGCAGAAGCTTCAACAGCGCAAGTGTGTCTTCCAAGTTGTGTTCTTCGAGCAGAATGCCCCATTATGCATTCCCCTAGGTGTGCACAGCGACCTTCACGACAGGTACTTCCTCGCCCGCGAGGCAATCATTCAACATCTTATCGCCATCCGTGTCCAGCCTTCACAATTCTTCCAAACTCTCAGATTTCACAGTTATGAATCCGATGAGTTCAAAGCTCATCTGCTGAGCTCAGGAGCTTATTTGTTTATGTGCCATGACGGGGCCTCGTCTCCATACAGAAATGGTGATACGGCCAGTGATACAGATACCAGCGACTCCGAGAATGAATCCAGCAATGATGAGCTCGAATATGGTCACAGCAAAGACACATACGTTGATAAGCGAGGGGAGATCTCAAGGTTCACGTTCCGCATGATGATCTACTGGTTCGTTGAACAAGGATACAATCTTTCTCTTATTAACAGTCTCGAATTCCGCGACACAAAGGTGAGTCTTCGCGAGCACTAAAGACGTTGGCAACATACTTACAATGCATACAGGTCATGGGAATGATCATCGAAAAGTCCATGAAAACATTCAGCACATTGCCGGACTTCCCCGCAACAGACAGCACTCAAACGGTCGGTCAAAAGCAAGAGCAACACACCGACCCGAACCATTTGTGGAAAGCACTTTCCGAACTGAAGCTAGAGAACTATCAAGACCAAGGCAAGGATGTGACGGAAAATTCCGACGTCAAAGAACTGTCAGATCTTGCCCCCATAGGCAAAGCCCTTGAACTAGTCATTGGAGAGCCCGGGCTGTCGCAGCGCCAATGCCTTCTTGTAGTCACTCTGAGCACTATGCTTGTGGGCGATAAAGCAGACGACCGCGACACTAGGATCGGAGCAGAAGCCGTACTTCTGCACCTTGCCCTACTGCAGGATGCCCGACTATCGGATCGATCCATCACATCCGCCAAGCCGAAGAACCTGAGATTTTTCAACCAGTTTGTGAAAAGGGCGAATGCCTTGCTTAGCTCAAAGCTCTGGGAAGAGGCTATGAAGCACCATGACTTGCCTTGCGACCTTTCCGATCTCATGGATGGAACTTTGTTCTTCCAAGTCCAGCTTATGGTGGAGAATCTCGGCATCAATAGTGTCCTCTCGCCCGTCACCATTTCGTCTTTCAACAACCTTGCGCGCTTGGTGGACCATATTTGCAACACAAAATTACAATGTGAGGCAAGTGGGGATGTTATTGTCGGTCCTGGCAAAGATGTCAACGGCAAATCGGCACCCGAGAAGCGTTTAGTCCCAAATTTCTTGCACTGCTTCGAAAAAGTGCTGCCGTTTAGCAACCCAGTTTTTGATGAACACTTGAAGCCCGTTCACCTTGCCGTGGACGATTCTGTTGACATGGAAAGTGACGGGAAATTTGCCCAAGGATTTGAGGAAAAGAGCCACTGGCATACCTCAAAACCTCTTGATCAGAAGAAGATCATCCTGACGCCGCAGCAGGCTTCTCGAGCTCTCAAGCGGAACCAATTCTTTATGGCCGAGATGCGAGACTATGCTGCGAGCCTCACGGGATCAGCTGGCATATTGCAGCCAGAGCCGATTATTGTCGGGCCTTCCAGCGATACTCGCCAGAAGTCTCACCAAAAGCCTCCATCAACCACCAAAGACATCGAGACATCTTCGAAATCCAAAAAGAAACTCCAGCCTTCTACAGGTAAAGCCAGTAGTACCAGAGAGAGCGCCGCGGCATATCTTCAACAGAAGGCAAAGGAAGCGACCCAAAAACAGAGGCAGAAATGGAAGAAGGTCTTCGATGACGAGTTTGCGCAAAGCAGCAATCTGGTGACTCGTTTCACAAAGCTCAACGAATACTTGAACGGTCTATCAAAGGAAAGTCGGCAGGTCCTCGAGGCCGAAGTCCTGACTTGCATGGTTGATACGTTGGTCCGAGTCATCTCTTCCGAAAAGCTAGATGCCCAGGCTGAAAAGCACATTTCAGTTGTGACAACCATATGGCAAATTGCCACCCGTCTCATGAAAATCAAGCAGGGCATCTCTGTTGCTATCGCGAAATACATTGGGACGATCTCTCAGCTACTTGGCTTGCCAGCGGTCCAGCTCCGTGCGGACACTGACAGCCCGCTATCTTTCAAATTGTTCGAAATTCCCACCAGAGCACCGAGCATGAAAATTGCAATGACTCCAGTGGAATTTCAGCTTTTGCATGGCGGGCCTTTCATGGACCGCAGCATAGACTCAAAACCCGATTCCCGGACGCCTGATTTCGAGCCCGACAGCTGGCAGCGCGACGTCTTGGACCAAATAGATGCAAAGAAGAGTGCTTTCATTGTGGCTCCGACGAGTGCAGGAAAGACATTCATCTCGTAAGTTGCACGATGATGGATACGAACAACAGACTTATGCTAATCTCGTCTAGGTTCTACGCGATGCGACAGGTATTGAAGGAAGACAATGACGGAATCCTCGTCTATGTCGCTCCCACAAAGGCCCTCGTCAATCAGATTGCAGCAGAAGTGCAAGCCCGTTTTTCCAAAACATTCCCTGCCAAAACAACCGGAAAGTCGGTTTGGGCTATCCACACAAGGGACTATCGCATTAACAACCCCATGGGCTGCCAAATCCTCGTCACGGTTCCCGAAATTCTCCAGATCATGCTGCTCGCTCCCGCAAATGCCAATGCATGGACTCCACGAATCAAGCGGATTATCTTCGATGAGATTCACTGTATCGGTCAAGCTGAGGATGGTGTCATTTGGGAGCAACTGTTACTCATGGCTCCATGCCCCATCATCGCTCTATCTGCTACTATTGGAAATCCCGACGAGTTCTACGATTGGTTGCATTCTGCACAGCGCACGAACGGAATTGATCTTAAGATGATTCAGCATCGGCATCGATACTCCGATCTGCGAAAGTACGTTTACCAGCCTCGTACGAACTTCTCATTCAATGGGTTCCCCAGCACTGTTAGCTTGCCACGCCTGGGTCTGGATCACGCAGGAGACATGACTTTCATACATCCCGTCACCAGTCTCGTGGACCGTACCAGATCGATACCAGATGACCTTGATCTTGAGCCCCGCGACTGCTTTACTTTATGGAAAGCAATGAAGGGGCTACAAACAGCTCGCTTCCCCGTTGACCCGTCTCTGGATCCATCTGTCTTTTTCTCTGATGGTGTCATCCAGAAAATCCATGTCATCGAATGGCAAAGGCACCTCAAAGTGTTGTTGGGACAGTGGATGAAAGATCATGATTCTCCCTTTGAGCTCCTCCAACGCAGCCTCGATCCCGCAGCAGAATCTGAGGGGAAAGCAGACGAGAATTCATCTAAGGCTGTATCTCAGCTGAATAGCCCGTCTGATGACCTAGTCAACACAACACTTCCTCTGATATTTTCCTTGCATGCCCAGAATGCTCTCCCGGCGCTGTTTTTCAATTACGACCGCACTGCATGTGAAGATATTTGCCAACAGCTTTCGACAAAGCTACAAGAGTCTGAGGCCAAGTGGAAAGAGGAAAGCCCGAAGTGGAAAGACAAGGTTGAGAGATGGGAAAAGTGGAAGACATCCAAGAGTTCAGGAAAGAAGAAGCTCGAAAAAGCGACGAAGAAGAGAGCAGGAAACGAAGGTGATGAGACGATGTCCAAAGCAGACCAAGCCAAAGATTCAGCATCTTCCGATTTCAGCTGGCTTGATCTATTTGACCCGAATAAGCCAGTGGAAGGATTCCATTTGGCAGACTTCAAAAAGGTCCCCGCTTCCGAGTTTGATCGATATGCCGACTCTCTGAGGTATCGACAGGTACCTCAATGGTTGATCGATGCCCTTGAGAGGGGTATCGGCGTCCACCACGCAGGAATGAATCGCAAGTACCGTCAAATCTGTGAAATCCTCTTCAGAAAAGGCTTTTTGCGAGTTGTCATTGCGACTGGTACTTTGGCCTTGGGTATCAACATGCCATGCAAAACGGTCGTCTTCTCGGGAGATTCCATCTTTTTGACAGCCCTAAACTTCCGACAAGGTGCCGGAAGAGCAGGCCGACGTGGCTTCGATGTGTTGGGAAATGTCGTTTTCCAGCAGGTCCCCTCTGGTAAAGCGAAACGGCTAATCAGTTCGAGACTCCCCAGTCTGACCGGCCATTTCCCTATCACTACCAGTCTGGTGTTGCGACTCTTCATCTTGCAGCATGGCTCCAACAGAGCCGCAGCTGCTGTGAAATCAATCAACTCGATACTGTCATGTCCTCGGATCTACCTCGGTGGCCCTGAGATGAAGGATACGGTTCTGCATCATCTCCGATTCTCCATCGAGTATCTTCGAAGGAGTCACCTTCTCACCATGAGCGGATCGCCTATGAACTTCGCAGGCTGTGTCTCTCACCTGTACTACACAGAGAACTCCAGCTTTGCTTTCCACGCCCTGTTGCAGTCGGGATACTTGCAAGAGCTTTGCAAAGACATTGAGCGAAAGCCCGAGCGAACAGTCCGAGACTTGATGCTAGTAATGGCACACTTGTTTGGACGGATCCCTCTGCGCCGATCTACGCTAGAGTGGTACCAGACCACGGCAAAGAAACCATCCTCGATGGTGGCTCTTCCACCTCTGCCCAAGAAGGCAGTCTCTGCCCTACGTTCTCACAACCAACAGGTTCTCGATATCTATTCGGGATATGTCTCCGCTTTCGTCAGCCAGCATGTCCAAGAACCAGACCGTTACCTGCCATTCAGTGGGAACAAGTGCGGTGGAGAAAGGTCCACCGAGGAACTCGGCTTCTCGCAGTTTGACCATATCAGCACATCGATCGTATCGCCATTCTACGGGCTCTCAGGCAACGGTGATATCTGCGACACGGTCCATGATCTCAGCGAGATGGTCCGCAGCGGAGTCTGGCTCGAAGATTCAGTCATCCCGTATGTGGCCGTTTCAGCCAAAGAGAACGCGACGCCGCTCAATGCATACTTGTTTGACTTCTTCAAACATGGTATGGTCTCTCAATTGGAGACTGAGAACCACATCCGCCGTGGAGATGTCTGGTACTTGCTGAACGACTTCTCGTTGGTCCTCGCGACCGTCAAGACTAGCATTGAGGGCTACCTTAATCCCGGAGGCAATATCGATGCAGAACTGCTCGATCTCACTGGCGGTGGTGATATCCAAGAGAGTACCGTGGAAGAAAAGGCCATCGATCTGACGGATGCTGGAAATGAAGCCAAGGCCAATCTACAGTCCGCTGGCCTTCCTGAAAAAGCCGCTCCTGTGAAGCCCCTCGTGCGTTCCCGTGCGAAGGTGGTCGTGGATAGCTGGGAGGATGAACCGGAGGAGGAAGAACCCGTGAAACCTACTGCTGCAGCCCTCCGCAATGCGGAAAAGGCTATGGAAGGCCCGGATAAATCCATGTTCTTGGTTGCTCGGGCGTTCAGAGAACTACATGCTGAGTTTGATGCTAAGTTCAGGGCGATGTGGGCGTAAATGCATTCTAGAACTAACGCGAGAAAGTCCGCCTAGTGCATTTTCCAAGTCGATATCTGTTTTCAAGACTTCTCACGTACATTCTTTGACGTCGGCATACGAGAGTACTACGATCCAAATGTGTTGTATGTAGCGACTAATTCTTGAGGTCAATTCGTCTCTTTTCCTGATTTGTAGACCTTCCTCAGTGGCTTCCTAGTTCCTTTTATTCTTCAGTTCTTCTAGTTACGGAGTAAAAGTCGCTAAGTAATGTAATAGTAACATTGACTACCTAGAGTTGAGAGCACTTTGGACTTTGACGATTTCCATCGTCTCAAACAACCACCGTAGCGAGGCATTGGAATCACTTGCGCTTGCGCCAGGGCGCCTTTTCATCAGACTTGTCCGACGAAGACGATGACATCAACCTTTTCCACTTCTTGTGGCTCGTTGAGACTTTGATTCCGACAGCATGGTTGAAGATCATGTATAACATCGATACAATCTCCACCGATTCAGTTGCCCACTGATAACTCTTAGTGGCATACTAGAAATCAGATCAGTAACCATATATCAGCGATTTCAATTTAGGAAGGTCTCTTACATGGCCATCGGGACGAATGCGAATAACAATCCACTCGAACCCATCAGTGGCGATGCCAAAAATTGATGTATCAGGCACCCCTGCTCGCCTCCGTGTATGGTGTATCATTGCTAGACGTGTATGTCAGAACAAACCTTCCAATGCAAACTTGATAGTAAACTCGATTACACTTACCCATATAAGTAAGACACTGATACATCCCACGCTGCAGGCAGGCCGTCGTCTCGGTCTTCACAACAACGGTATTCGTCACACATTCAGAGGGTTTCCCGTCCCAAAGCGAGTAGTCCACGGTGCCTGATAGATTGAAATTCTTCCTGTTGATTTTCCAGGCAAGGTGGATCTCACAGTCGAATTGGACGTCCAGCAACTTCATTGCGCGAGAATGCGAGTGGTGTTTGATGTGTGCCAACGTTATCAGGATGACGATTTCAACGCGGCATTTCACCAAAGCCTTGTTCGTGGGTGCGCCATTCGTTGCGAGCTGATGGTCATCCAACAGATCCTCTGTATTGTATAAGTTAGCGGAATAGGAAGTAGAGCCGATGGATGGGGACAGTACTCATGTAAGGTGGTATGGTGACAATACTGATGGGTGAAAGCCCGAAATTCGTGGGCGAGCTATGGACCAACTTGAACTGCCGTACGAAGTCGATATGCTCGAGGTCGGCTATGTCCATTTTGGGTAGCTGGGTGAGGTCTTCGGTATCTCCACCGAAAAGCGTTTCACTCGATCCAGTCCCCGGAATGGCTTTTTTATTAATGTTGTTGACCTCGGTGGCCGAACTTTCCACGGGATATGCGAACTCTCGGACGAGTGGCTCCATGATGATTGGGGCGAGGTACAACGAAAAGGTGGGATCAGTGAGCCTGTAGTTGGAAGCGAGGAAGACTTAAGACAGAGGCTCTATGACCAAATTGATAGATTGCTGGGGAATAGATGGCTCGAGGTAGAAGATATACCGAGAAGATAGTGTTGTATGCAGTAAGCTGTGGTTGGAGAGAAGAAAGTATGAATAACTCGGTCTCTACTCAGGTCTCTTTAAGTAGGGAGAGTCAGAAGGCCCCGACGACTAATTGAGAAGGGTCAACCGTGGGACCGTGAGTGGCATCAATCAATCCAATCAACTCAAGTTCTATTAACCTGTCGGAGCCTAACTAGTATCATAATGGCTATGTATGCAGGCAACGTGGCTGGCTTACCGTGGTAGAGGAAAGCTCGGGGCGAACCTTAGATCTTCATCCCCCCGTTTCCGAAAAGAGTGTCGGTGCTTAGTATGGGATGTCTCCCATGATTCATCTCGGAAGATCAACTTACATCTACTCAAAGACTTTGCCTAGCTTGTCTTGCACATTTCAACTATCCCACACCTTTTACCAGGCTTGGTGAAGCTACTCAAGTTGACTGAGAACAACCACGCGATGGTCGAAACGACTGAGGAATTTCAACAGGTGGTGAGAGACTTCAATCTCTCACCTCCGACGTGGTGGGACAAGATACGATTTCACTGGGGTGAAAAGAGCTGGAGTTGCCCGGAACATCTCAGTAAGGTTCCATGTTCATGGTCTCATACACAGGTTCAAGGATATATCGACTGCTAACCTACAGCTCAACAGTATACCTATGGGACGATCTTCGCATAATCACTGGTCGAAAGGGCCATAAGCACCCACTCTTCCCACTAAGGACGGAATCCCTTCTCCTCACGCTACTTGCACACAAGATCATAGAGCAAGGCCTCGACACCGACGGATCCATAACCCCGCCGCACTGGAGCTTTCAGTGTCAGTTTGACAGGGCGGGACTGAATGACGGGCAAAGCCCAGCTCTCATCGACTACGTTCTGTGGTATGGACACCACTGCGAGCTGGAAACAAATATGATAGTCATGAAGTCCAGCAACCCAGCCTCTGAGAGCTGGAAGTTGCTTGAAAATATGGCGCTCCTACACAATACTCGCAAGCTCGCAAGGAAAGACGCGTCTATCCATGGTGTGATGACTGACGGATCAACATGGATATTCATGCATATCAACAATGGGAGCCGGGTAAGGGACATTAGAAACAGTGAAAACAGTTCTGTGGCTGACAGCTTGGTCCTAATTAGTATATGATTGTTAAGACACTCTCTTGGGATAAAGAGCAACATCGGATTATCGGGCGGATCGAATACATTGTCAGTAAGGCATTTCATTGTCACAGAGAGACACTGGCGCACTCTGCCACTCGGAAGAATCCTGTTTGCCGGGAGTGCGGGCATCACGCTGCGAAGAAGCCCGTCGTCGAGACGCTCGCTGAGAAGAAACTCATTCCGACCAGTCGTCCGCATCATAACAGTCGCCGTGGCTGCCCCGTTGAGAAAAAGCCCGTTGCCATGGCGTCCGATGGTCCCAAACATAGCACCCCTATTCATGCTAACTCGAATGCATTTTTCCATTCGCAAATGTTTTTCATGCCCCTCGCCAACTGCTTCCATGCCAGTAATAAAACAAAGTGATGGTGGTGGATTGCTGGGGAATCTATTTTTGTCACACATGTACTTTATGCTATAGTTACAGATCGAGAAACCAATAGTAACATCAAGTTATGTTTGCTCCGCCACCTACACCTAGGCAGTGAAGGCATAATAGAATTAAACACTTCTGAAAGATCGCCATCAACTCGCCTCCCAGCGGCGTGCTGAAGTCTATGTTCGGCAAATCCTTCTAGTCATTCTACGCAGTAACTTAAGCACAAGAGATAAGAGCCCTGAATCAAGGGGGCTTGCCATAAACAAGGGGCTTGCAGGACATGCTGACTCGAGCTCTTAACAAACGTGTTAGCCAAGTGTGGGGTATAAAGGAGGTAGAGCTACTGTACATGTACTGAGCTACAGTAGGTTGCACTTGTGGTTGGTCGAGGGTTGCATCAATGCAATGGCCTGCTCAACGGCATGGAAGCCATTCTCAATTCGACATTGGTTGGCTCGGTTTTAGCCATGAGGTAACTGGGGCTTGTTAGTGGCAGGCTCGTGTGAGAAGAAACATGCAGATGTGCCCCTTACAGCGACATTGGAGATCAATGCTCGCATATGATCTGCACATGGGGCAAGACAGCCTTACACACACCGCTATCCTCGTGTACAGTTACTTCTTTGCTTGGAAGGTAATAGGGGTTTATCACCGGCTTCGAGTTATTTCCGTTATTAGACATGGATGGTGCTTGGTATTATTCGCGCTGATCTTTTCGGCAGTCTGTTTACTGCGAACGTTTTCCAGGCTTACATACAACATCTAGTTCGTAAGCATTTCTAGCAGTCATCCGTAATAATCCTCCATGTGTCAGATCCGTGTGCAGCCAAGATTCACCCCAGCTTCGGAGCAGCAATGGACGTCACCGAAGAGGACTCATGCATTATGACCTCGACAGACGTGACATTGACTTGGCTCTATCCTCATATCTGGCCCTGTTGATGAATGTAAGGAGTCATCGTAGCTCTCTTGCTCCTTGTGATCTGATGCATTTGCATCTGCCCAGAGCTAGATGTCTTGGACTCGTGGGAATCTCGGCATTAACGATTACTATATAAACGAGGAGCTATGCCCTTGAATCCAATACATATTCACTTTTCACGACAACTCCAGTATCACTACACAGCAGCTTCAACTCAAAGACCATTACCCCAATACCCCCAGTCACATCCACCATGCTTTTCCTCAAGGCCCTCGGACTCCTCCCCTTCGTCGCCATGGCATTGGCCGGTCCGTCCAAGTTCGCCAACACCTGCCGAAATATCGACGGCGACGGCACTACTCTGCGAGCCCAGTGCCAGGAAAGGAAGGATGGGCAGCTGAGATTCAGCAACATTGATCTGAACCGGTGTATCAAGAATGATAAGGGCAAGCTCAAGGTACGATATGTGCATTCTGAACTCATATGATTAACTGATTCTAACCTGTCTATAGTGCGGAAAGAAGTAAGTTGTCAAATTGAAGAGTAACCTAGCAAAAGTTCTAACAAAGTCAGCGGTCACTACTCCGGCTCTTGCATCAACTGCAGTCTTCGTGGAACCGCCGATTTCACCTGTCATTGTCGCGACTCGGAGCGTAACCACGACTACGTCGCTACGACCCTTGATCTCAGTAAGTTCATGCCCAGACATTCTGGGGATAGACAAGTGAATTTGGCAAGAATGCTAACAGGTTGGTTCATAGACAAATGCATCAGCAATGACCACGGCGAGCTTCGCTGCTAGATCGAACGATAAGCACACAGTCCATGAAATGAACCGACACAAGGATGATGGGATGAGAATGAAGTTTGGATTGAAGTATTACGAGCTCATGATGTTATAGGGAGACGAACCTAGATACCTACGCACTCGCTAGATCAGTTTTTATATGAATGACATGCATTTTACGCAGCACAACAGCAACATCAGCAGTAAACCTACAAGCGTGAAACAAAGCCCAGATTCGAAACACTGTAGTCTCCGGTGTATTCATTCCAATGTGGTATATTATCGACTATAGGATATACACAAGCCTTCTATCACCAGTAGAATGCTCCAAATCCTCCCTCCTGCCACCACCCATAAGCCCATCCCGCTCTTCCCCGCGATAAACAGGACCAGCCTGCACGATCGTATAAGTACTATCAACAACAGCACGGTTCATCCTCTGCAGCAGAATCCGCAAGCCCACAGCCAACCCCGCAACGACAATCATGAAAAACGAGCACGTGGCCATGCCACGAACATACCACGGCCCGTCAGTATCGGGATACAGTCTCGTGCCGAGCAGGGGGCCACACTGGCCAATGATGTTGAGAATGGCAATGCTCGCCCCCTTGCCTTCCTTCTCCACCCGATTGTCCATCGACCACGTGATGATCAGCGTGATCGCAGAGAAGAACCCGGCCACAGCCGGGTAGACAGAGATGTAACGGATGAAGGTGCTTAGCCATGGTGGTAGGTGGGTGTGGAAATATCCTGTTGCTGCGATTGCGAGGTATGAGAGTGAGGAAATGAGCGCGTGCGCTATGAGGTAGGGGCTTCGGGAGCGGCTGCGGTCTGAGGCGTAGGCGGTGAGTAGGACTACGACGAATGCGACGAGGTAGGGGGGTGCTGAGAGGGCTTGAGCTTGTAGGGAGGTATAGCCCATGCTGGGAGAGAATTTAGTGCGAGGTTTCTGGTTTCTGGGGCTGGGAGTAGCTGCTGGGGAAGAACATACTCTTTGATGATTGTGGGCAAGAAGACAGGCATCGAGCTGAAAGCAACGTTGCAACTGAAAAACATGAACTATTCGAGACATTAGAGAACGTTCATTGACATTCAAAGGGAGCTAAGACTTACAGCGGCGATATATGCCTTGGGGTCCGCCGCAGTTTTCAAAATCTCTCGCCAGTTGAACCGGCTTCCATAGGATTGCTGATAGTCGACTGTATTCTCCTCAAGACGCTGCTGAGCGACCACCCTTTGCCGGCGGCTCAGAAATCTAGCGCGACCAGGGGAATCCGGGATCAAGAACCAAGCGAACACTGCAACAATCACACTCGGGAAGCCCTCAATGAGAAACAGGGTGCGCCAAGGCGAGATCGGGCCGTCGCTGCTAAACTTGACAATCAAATAGGCCAGACTGCTAGCAAAGGAAGTAGCGAGCGGCGCCGCCGAGATAAACAATCCATTGCGGAAAGCTAGCTCATGGCGTCGATAGAATAACGACAAATAAAACGGAACACCAGGGCCAAAGGCCGCCTCAGTGATTCCGAGCAGCGCTCTGAGAACAACCAACCCCCCAAAGGAAGTTGCCAGACACTGGAACGACGCAACAAGTCCCCATCCACATACACACAGGGAGATGTAGATATGCGGAGGGACAAGACGGTACATCAAGGTCATCCATTCGAAGAGAATGTAAGTAATGTAAAAAGCAGTAAGTAGCCATTCATATTGTGAAGATGTAAGTTGTAGATCGTCTTGGAGGCCTGCTATTTTCGCATTTCCAATGTCTAGGTAATATATCAGTACATGCTTGCAACTATCGGGCGAACAGGTCCAGTGCCGGACATACTCGAGCGGTCCAGGAAGGAGAGCAAGTAGAGGAGTGCCAGGAATGGAACCAACCGTCGGTCAAATCTCCTAACGACCTCGCTTTCCTCCTCTGATGTATATCGCGGGGCCGAACCGCCACGCGGCGGTTTTCCCTCAAGATTATCCCTGCGGTTATATTCCGCGTCGTTCTCATAGTCGGATAAAGGATCGCCGACATCCGCGTGGTCGTCGAAGTTGGTCTGCAAGCGCAATGGGCCCATGGATGACATCGTGGGCCCGGGCTCAGCAGAGCCATCGTCGGAGCCGTAGGAAACCGGTGTGAAACGTTGGTTCGAGGTCTCGGAGCTGGTGGAGGATGCGTTCCCCGTGCCGGAGGGATGAAGGTCTGCCATTTTTCCGGGATGACAACGCGCCTGAGGGGTTGTTTTAATGACCTGATCTGTGGGTCAGTCTCTCCATCTGGGCAGATATCGCCCTCCCTCTATAAATGGAGTTAATTATCGTAAGAATCGATACCCCTCGTTTCGCAGAATCGCAGGTGACCGTTGTTGATCATTGACCGCTTAAGTCATGCGTGCACGTGGATTCGCGATGACGCTAGGATGAGAGTAGATTAGCGTGGACATTAGATCTATGGGTCATCTCATCTTGGCGGATTGGGCTTCCAACGACTGCGTATACGGTTACGTATACCTGCACAACACTTGGAACTAATTATCTTAGGAGTAGGAGGACATGAGGAATGCTTGCTTGTAAGTTTAAAACTTAAAAGTTATGGATTAATGTTGAATTGGCACTGCTACATTTCCGCCGATAACAATACTGCACATACGGCATGCCATGTTCTCGCTATTTCGTCCCATAGTAGTTGATAAGAGGACTAGCTCCCCTTTCCGATGGTTCCTCTCCCACGCAGAGCATAGAACCCACAATTACCCTACAACGGACGGTCGGTGCCAGCTCGGCCATGCGACGACTCATTGTTGCCAGGCCTTTTGGGTTCCATTGCAAAGTTATTGGCGTGGGAATCGGCGCCATGTCGCGGAGTCTCATGTCCAGGGGACAAGTAGCCTCGGTCCCATCTCTCTGGGCCAGGGACGTATCGGTCTCGCACCCCGTATCTGTACTGTGGGAGGTAGGAACCGACAGTGGGATTTCCTCGCGAAATCCTCTCTCGATGCTCAAACTTTCGTTTGCGGCCACCGGCGAGTTTGTTTGCATGCTCCTGGCTGACCTTGATGATGTCCTCAACCTCAGGAATTAGCGCGTTTCCCTTGTCCACCTCGTTCAAATACCTCAGTAGGTTCTCTGCGGTGTCGCGGAGGAAGCGGACGACGATGTTGGTTCGCTCGCGGTGGCTCTCTGTCGCCTCTGTCACCTCTGTCACCTCGAGGCTGTAATAATCCGCCTTGGCATTCTGGTAGACTTGGAGGAGCTTGTCAAGATAAGGCGACTTCTCCTTGTCCGCACTCTGGGGTGCTTTGCGGGTCTCGATGTCCTGAGTCTGACGTTCCACGGTCGGGGTCGAGGTGACTGGAATCTCCGAAATCGGGCCTAGTAGGTTAACGTTAACATGCATTGGGAAATTCTAAGGCGCAGTGACAAACCTTTGTCCAGGATACTCTGGGCAGCAAAGTGAGCAGCAAGAACAGAATTGATTTCTTCCCTGGAGTCACAATCCTTGATTCCTAGATGCTGAGCCAGGTAGAATTCAAAGAGCCCATAGGCTTGCATGGTGTGTCCATCCTCGTAGAGACGAAGAAGCACGCGATCGTAGATAGTGAGCTGGCCATCATCGTAGAGTTGGGAGCGGAAAGAGAGAGACTTGACCTGGCGTCTCAATCCATGGAACAGAGAGCGCATATGCTCTTTGGTCTGCAAGAGCTCATGGAGGACATCGCCTGGCTTCATCACTGTACTCCACTCGCGGTATAGAGCATCCTCCTTGTCACTAATCTCATCGTCCTTGTCGCTAGTATTGGTGCCCTTGGTTTCTAGTGGCATCAGACGTTTAGCATGGCAAACGAAAAGTTGTGTCCAACAAGCATTTATGATCTAGAGTATACATACCTCGTTGAAACTGTTTCAAATCAGATAGCTTTGGCATCTTGATGGTCCCTGCGGTCTGAGAACGATGATGCGTGGGTAGAGAAGAGATACGCAAGGAAGAAACGCGTTGGTAGAAAAGAGCTGGGTCGATGAAGAAGAGATGCGTGCGTAGAGAAGAGCTGGGGGAAAGAGATCCTCCATCAATTGGCAATTACAGCTCAGACTTCACAATGTTGGGTTCTTTGAGCCATACCACGTGGTCTGGATCAAAAAACAGCCGGGAAGACAGACAAGCCTAGAGTGTAAACCATACCACGTGGTCAGGGTCAATAGCCGGGAAGACAGACAAGCCTAGAGAGTAAATTCAATGTCATGGCATCAAGGGATCATCAGTTGCATTAATTGAGTATTATGTTCCTATCGTATGGGTACGGACGTAGAGCATGAACATAGGGATATCGTTCTGGGACTTAGTTTCTCTCTTTCCAGAGCTTCTCGACTTGGTCAATTAGGGCTGAAGGTTGACTGCCTTGACCGTTCTGGGAGCAGTCTTTCCATTCGTCATTGTCACGGATGCACCAGACAGCATCGTCCAGGCGCACCGTGCAGCTGATTTTGACGCCGAGTTGCTCACTGCGGGTAGCGCTTTCGCGTAGCAGTGCAATACCACTAAGTGGGGGTCCACCGTCTTTGCCATCATTGGGATCATCATCCTGCTGGCTCGCACATTTGTTCAAAGCGTCAAAGTCGATGCCATGTTCCATTGCACACTGATGGACAAATCCACGGTCTGGGAGGCGGGCAAAGTCATTGAGTAGACAGTTCGAGAATCCTAGCGACCGAATAATAGGGGTCCGTGGGTTCTGAGATGGGAGTAGGGTCTCGTCTGGCGTGGGTGGGAAAGGAAGATTGGCCGCGCAGAGTATGAGCATGTCACCGATGCATTCGCCTGGGCCATGCTTGCATTCTATCTCTTCGGAGCTTTTGGACACACTGGTTTGGTTTGGTCAGCCAACATCGGTTCTGTTGGATATTTCATACAAGCTTACCTGGCAATAAAGGAGAGTTTGAAGTCCACTTTATCACTGACTTTTTCCATGACAGGTAGGACCAGTTTTTGTAAGCAAGTCTGCGCATCTGGGCATTTGCTCATGATATGAGCCTCCAGTGGTATCTTTGTTTGCCAAAGCCTCTCAGATGCACCAGGGTCATAGTATCCAAGCTCCAACTCTTTCGCGTACTGTGCAATTTCCGCCTTGTAGGTCTCTGACTGCCAAGCGACAGAACAGTCTGAAGACGGCTTCAGTAGCAATAGGTAGTAGCCGGTGAGGAACAATGTGACGATGCCAAATCGCCATAAGTATGTGGTCGTGCTAGGACGCGCCCGACCATGTTGGTCGGTCGATTCAAGGACATCTCCATATGCCTCTTTGGAGTGGATGGGTAGTTTCTCCATGATTAGTTGGGGTAGTTAGAGTCAGAAGTGACGTTGTTTTGATAAGATCATGTGGAGGGTCGGTCGCCCCCGGACCGCTAGACCATTACATAAGATTTTCCGATGTAGTTAGTTACCTAGTTATGAGCCCCAGGCCGCCAGGCCGCCCAGGCGTTCATGTCGAACTGCGACAGACTGAGAAAAGAAGGCATGTGATATTTTATCGTCTCTGTTAGAGTAGGGCCAGTGCAGGTCAGTAGGGCTGCCTTCCACATGCCTGACAAACGCTCATCACTTACCCACATCATGTTAGTGATCACGGAGGCACTATCTATGTCCACAGTACTCCGTACTCACCTGGGTATCTCAGCTTAGGCCGCGCTCCGACGTCGGAGCCCATATGGGGCATCAACCTACTAGTTTGAAATAACGTTCAAGGCTAGAAGTAACTACCAACTACCGGTCTTGGAGCATCTGCCTCATAGATCATGCATGGACAGCCATATGCATGGCGCCGGAATCCGTGCTAGAGGGCATCTTCGCTCGACATGATAGCTGTAAAGCTCGTATATCAAGAGGCCAAATTGGTGAATGTGTGGTAGGACTGGACTAAACATAGAACCACCAGAGCCTCGAGGCCACTATCGAAACCATATGCCGGGGAACAGTTGACCAAGTCCGGGCGGGAAAGCCAAGGCATGGCAGCTTGAGCACAGTGCACACCCCAGTCGGATCTGACAGCCCTGCTGTGGCTGGTGGCAGCGAACGATCGAGACCGAGACCATGCGAATGGGCTCATTCCCGTTGGATCCCAACGTCGCGAAAAGCGGCTGCGCCAGGACACGGGTATTCCGAACCCCACTCCACACGAGCGCGAGTATATCGAACTAGGCGAGCTTCGTATTGAGCGAATAAGATCTTCAAATGATTCTCTGGCGCGTGTTCCGAAAGCCATATGTTGACCCCGCCAATATTCCGTGTCAGAAAGAAGTAAAGGTCTCAATTCGGGGGCTCGCGCGCGCTCTCAAACGCCTCATAGACTATTTTCGCTTCATCCTGAGACTGCCAAGGGCCCAAGAACTATGGAGAAATTGGCTTCATTGACCTTTGAGTCTCGATTACGCAAACCTCGGCCTAGTGGGTACGGGAGAGAAGAGAAGAAGATTAGATGTCAATAAAGTTCCAAAATAGCAAGTCAAGTGCCGGGTTCCCAACTTTATCCCGCGTTCACAAAACAGCGTCACATCGTTTCGTGTCTTCCGATGGTCGCATCTTATGGATCTTACTCCATTTATTTCCTTTTCTTCTTCTTGAACCCTTTTTCTTCCTAGATATCTATGAGATGACTCATGATATGATTCTCTGATTGCTTTCCTACTTCCATTTATCCTGAGGTACCTGGATTCTTTTCCTCATTCTTTACTGTAGTTATTCTTCTTTTTTATTATCTCTTCTATCTTTCCTATTCTCTTTTCATTCTATCTCCGTCCTCCTCTCGTCTTTTGCCCTTAGTATCGAGATCGAGAGATACGGATTTCCGCTACAATTCCCTTCTTGAGCATATCTCCACCCATCTAGGGATACTTCCCTACAGAGATCCAGCAGTCAACCCGAATCTCTGAGTTGAAAGATTCATGATCATCGCATACCGAAATTCTTGGGTACGTCAAACCCGCATGTGGGATTTGGGGTGCTCTTTCCTGGCATGATCGTCGTGCGTGTCTTCTGTTTTCCCCCGCAGCCGGGTTTATCTCCCTCTGCAGACCGCGTCACCGATATGTTGCCTTTGCCCTTTATTGCAACCTCACTAATTTAGGACCCAGTTCCCTATAAAAGCTAGTGATTAGCTTTACTTGTGTCCCCACTATTTCAATCCTGGAGCATTTTAGGGATATGGTGCCCTGCTCCTGTTCCTAATTCCAGACCACGTCACTATTGGAAACATAGCGGCTGTGTCTGAAAGGCATATTCTTTGGGTCTCGGGTTTTCTACAATACCGTCTTCTCGATCTTTGGGAGTAGGCGATCGACTTGGATTTCATATATCTTCAGGCTATTTTCCATCATGGCCTCTGTCACTTCAAAATCATCTAAGAAGGACGAGGAGGAGGAGCGCGACATCATGCCCGACGATCTGATTGAAGATGAAGAGCAGGATGTCAACTCGGAGTTAGATGCAGCCCAACGGGAGTATTTGGCGCACTATCAGCAACTGGAAGACTTTTTGTCGCCAATGTCCCTGGATGAGGCTGTGCTGTACAAACTGGCCCGGCGTTTTTCCACCACATACCGTAACCTGGCTTTGACATCGGATCAGCAATTTTTGCCGACCCCCGTGACTCAGCTTCCCACTGGCCGGGAAACTGGTCGCTATTTGGCGATCGATGTAGGAGGTAGCAACCTTCGAGTCGCATTCATCGAATTGCTTGGAGATGCTGTGGATTCAGATGTTCGTCCAACAGATGCCACAGAGAGGTCACGGGACACCATCCGGAAGGCCCAGCGTCAGCGAGTGAAGCGTACGCTGGAACGAGCTTGGCCAATTCAGGAGCATCTGAAAATGGACAAAGCGGAGGATCTTTTCTCGTGGATTGGTGATTGCATTGCTGAGGTGGTAGCGGAGAGTCTATCATCGGATGCCACTAAGAAAGATATTCCAGCCGAGCTAGATATGGGTATCACATTCAGCTTTCCTATCATGTAAGTCCTTTTTCATAACTAGCTGTTTGCTCTACTTGGAAATTGGGTCTGGCGGATTTGCTAATAATAATCAGGCAAGAATCATTGGCAGAAGCCACATTGATGCCGATGGGCAAAGGCTTCGCTATCTCATCAAACCTTAATCTGGGCAACATCCTCCTGAATGGATATGAAAAACACACAAGGAGACCCGATGATGAAGATGAACCATCAACTAAGCGCCGAAAGCTTTTCGCTTTGCCGAAGCTGAAAATCCAAGCTATTACCAACGACACGGTGGCCACGCTCGCTTCCCTTGCATACAAGGTCAAGTCGCTACCAAACAGCAGGGTCGCCATGGGTATTATTGTTGGCACTGGCTGTAACGCAACCATTCCAATGAAGCTCAGTGAATTGCACGAATCTAAAGCTAAGAGCGTCAACACAATGGAGCCGAGCGCCGTGGAAACCATCGTCAACACTGAGTGGACCATCTCCGGAGCTGCACCGCCCTTGAAAGAACTAAACGTGACCACCAAATGGGACATCGAGCTAGATCGGGCCTGTGCGCGTCCAGGCTTCCAGCCCTTCGAGTACATGACTGGTGGCCGCTACATCGGTGAACTCATTCGTTTGATCCTGTTCGACTATCTCACAACAATTGCCAAACTGTCCAAACGCGCCCTACCCGCAAACCTCATCCAAGAATATGCACTGACAACCACGTACATTTCCGACACTGTCGCCAAAGCGCGATCTGACACTGACCTTGCCAAAGTCTTGAACGAATCCCTCCCTCCTCCAGAAAGCAGCGACTGGCGCTGGGATGCCCGAGCTGCAGGCGCATTCCGAAAGATTGCCCGCACAGTACAGAGACGATCAGCTGGGCTGATTGCTGCTGCCGTGGTCGGACTTCTAGCCTGTGCTCGCGAGATCGAGCTCAAGGAAGAGAGCAACAGCAACTCGCCAGAGAATCCCGCATCACCCCAGAGCAACAGCGGCGCTGTCACAGAACATAATGGCACCCCTGACGCTGCGGCTGCGACGCTCAAGTCTGCTGCTACTGCTGTCAACCACGCTGTGCAAGGACATGTCGTCCCTGTCATTGACCCTAGGCCTTTGGACTGGCAGTCTGGACCTGAAGAGCTCGTTGTGGCTTACACGGGCGGTATCATTCAACATTATCCTCAGTTCAAGGAGATGTGCCAGCAATACATTGACCGTCTCATCATGCGGACTGGGCCGCAGCGGGGTGGAAAGTCGGTTTTCTTACGGGAAGCCTCTGATGGAGGTGTCATTGGTGCCGGTGTATTGGCTGGCATGGTTGTTCGGAACTGAGTTTTCGTTGATATAGCACGCAGCATTACTATTTGTTTTGTGCTTGGGGGAACTCGAGCAATGAGGATCTGGTTAGTTAGGTGTTGATTGGATGATTTATGCTCTTGTTATTGTAATTCGGGAGCCATGACATAGAAATGGGATTTAAATCCTGCTAGTAAATGATTTCAACTTCACTGCCTTGTCCATTAGGTTGGCTATGTCGATAGTCTCCCTTGAAGCAAGATCTTTTCCACGAGCAATGACACGACATGCAATACTAAAATTGCCTTGACCCAGGGCTCAGCGCATTGAACTGAAGCAGCCTTTCAACTACAATGTCAAGACCACATGCCTAGAAGTCCCCCTTGTCGACAACCATGACGCTTATAGTAAGAGAGCCCTGCCCACAGCTGATTGCGCGGCTCTGGGCAATCGTAATAGGAAATCGTAATCAGAGAATGCAGACCAGCGGAATGCACTATGTGACATGTCATGCTTGACCGATCGTCCCAATCTGAATCAACAAGATAGCATATAGTATCCATAGACGAATCAGGTAAAGTCAACCGAAGCCAGAATCGCACATTCACACCGACAGCCGAAAGCCATAGGCCCCCGGTCACCCGGTGGAACGAACAATTTAGCCTAACATGATGGAGGAAATTCGGTCCCCGCATGTCTTGGCGTCTGGAGCCAAGCCTTCATCGCGTGAGATGAAACCGACATGGATGTATTCCTCGTGTTCGGCAAGATCAATATCTCTTGTGGTACAATGGCGATATCGAGGTCCATCGCTTCATATCACTCGGAACATATTGTTCCGTACTCCGCGCTTCATGGCATTTGCTTTCCCGTCTTCGTATTCGATTCCGGAGGCTCCTCCTTCTCCGGACATTTGTTCGAGGCGCTCGCGGAGCTCGGCGTCGGCTTGGGAGACGGTTTGGGGCTTGGGTGGTAGCGTGTGGCGCTTGTTTCCGTCGGTTGGGGCAGTGGTCTTGGATGTCTGATCACTTTGCTCTTGCTTGGGCTTGGATTTCTCAGGGTCTGATTGTTAGATGCACATGTGTCAGCTCTGACAGGTTATTCATAGCACTCAGGAGATGTACCGACCTTCAGCTTTTGAGGGTCTGAGCGAAGTTGTAGATAAGTATCGAGCGGATGGTATGCGTAATTGACGGGTCAAGGTGACATCTAGAAGTGTCCTAGACGGTAGTAGATTGCTAGTCATTTTGAGTAAGTCTCGTGCTTGTTGTTCGTCCAAATAAGGTATATTCACGATCAAATCTGAAGTTTGTATACACATCAACAGGATATCGGCCACTGACGCAATGTTGAACATGCGTGCACGTGATGAGTCATGTGATACGGATCCCCCCGCGATTCGATTGGTGATTCACGAACTTATCTTTGTCAATTGCTTCCCCGAACTTCGTCGACGAGTCTGCCCCAAATCAATCTCAATATGGCATCTGTCGCTTACTATGAGCTTTACCGTGGCAGCAGGTACTCTTCATCATGAGAAATAAGACTCAAAGATCCAAAGCTGACTCAAGGAACCTCCACTCCAGCCTTGGGCTGTCTCTCACCGATACTCTCGATGACCTTATCAATGAAGGCCGCATCGAGCCCCAGCTGGCCATGAAAATCCTCGGCACCTTTGACAAGGTTGTCACCGAAGTCTTGGCCGATAAAGTCCGAGCCAGACTCACTTTCAAGGTAATGCTTCAAGGGATCACATTGCCAAACGGTTCTTGGTTCAATCTCAGCTGAATGAGGCTGACATGCAATTTGTTTCCTTCACAGGGCCACCTCGATACCTACCGTTTCTGCGACGAAGTTTGGACCTTCCTGATCAAGGATGTATCCTTCAAGCTGGACAACCAGACAACCGTGACCGCGGAGAAGGTGAAGATCGTGAGCTGCAACAGCAAGCGACCTGGCGAGGCATAAATTCTTTCTTGCATGGACAGAGACACTGGCGTTTTCATTTCCCTCAACTTCCTGGATAGGCGTTCTACCGGCTGTGCCGTTCTTGATTTCGAGATATCCTGCACAAGGCGTTCGAGGCGGCTCCTGTCCTTTTCATTTTGCATTGCCGATGCTTTAAATGGCATTAGATACCCGAAAGAATGAATACAATGTTCAGAACAAGTTCGTTAACGTAGTGAAGCTGCAAATTGAAACATTTAAGTGGCGCGCAGGACTGAGTTGCGCGGAATGCGGGCGGGTGATCTCACCTTATCATATCAGCCGTGGATGCCTATCAGCAGCTCTCTTTCCCTCACTTTAGACCTTTACCCAAGATTGCGCGACTATGTAACGTCTTGGCTGTTGTCTATATGCTCTACAATAATGCCGAGAACCTTGCCCTGGCTTCGTAACGGGAACGGCGACCCCGTGAAGAAAGAGTCAACACCGCGAAAGCGCGTCAAACCGGAGCCCAGTCCTGATCGCGACATCACTCCTAAGAACCCCCCATTGTCTCCCAACAAGCGCGATTTCTTCAGATCATGTAAGTCTCGATTGTAGAATATCTGTGGTCAAACTTACATTGGTACTGATTGTGTGTACAGCTCAAAGTCCGCCGACCTCACCGCTCAGACATTGTCCCCCCGAAGAGTATGATCTCTGTCATGCCCGGCGCAATCAGAAAGGGTGGCTAATATATATGCAACAGGTTTCTTATTGAAGGGATTGAGCACGACGATGGCTGGGTCATGGTTGAAGACGAGTTCTACGCCGTTGCGCAAACGTTCACACAGCATCTACATCATGCCGAATACCTACGACGAAGGAAGGAAGTGAAAGCCGCCAATGCAGCCGGAATAAAAGACATTGAAAGACACACAGACGGTCGTACACCTTTGCCGAAGGGAGTTGAATGGAGAAGAGAAGCTGAGACGCTGAGGGAGCGTCAAAAAGCTGGACTCGCGAAGATGGGGGACCCAGGAGCCGACCAGAACGACGAGGACGACGATGATGAGAGATGGGCTGGAACACATCTCCATGATCTCATGACCAGTCCACGAAAATCACGGGCTCTAGCTGGTGTTTCCGCGCCGAAGTCGTCCACCAGAGCTGCTGCGGGCTTTGGTCAGGCGCCTCTCTCGAGCACTGGACGAGCTCGGGTGAACAGTATTGGGAGCGTCACTGCTGGATCAATGGAACCATCTGTTGAAAACATTGACATAAGTGAAGAGACAGCCTCGGGTTCAGATGACGATCTTGACCTAGACACTCTACCGGTCGTACTACCGCCGCCCAAGAGAACGAAAGTCGTGCCACAACAAGACCGAGCTGACGTTCAGACAACGCCTCGGGCGGACCAGAAATCAAAACCACAAAACTCAAAACTACAAAGCACTTCTACGGTGAAACGGGCAGCAGCGCCAGTACGGGGGCGACCAGGTCCAGTGAACAGGTTCAAATCGAGAGTCCAATCGCTTTTTGATGAGCTTGATGAACTGCCAGAGTCATCTCGGTTAGATGCATCTGTGTCTATTGGTAACAAAGAACCTTCTGAAAAACAATCGTCTGTAACAGGCGAGGGGAACAATTCAACCCCCAAAAATCCCCGACACAATGAAGTGCCTACCTTCTTAGTGTGACCATCCATGAATGAACCCAATTAATCCTCCGAACAAGCCAGTTCGGCTGTTCGTACTTCCTCCGCCTTGATCGTTTCGACTGGGGCCTTTATCTCATGGCCTGTATCGGTGTTCGGTTTCCTCGCTCGTGATAACCTCAAGCGCTCTCGGAGCCGGATTGTGACAGTCTCACGCTCATCCTTCGAACACGGCCCTGTACCTTGCTCTTCGTGGATGTCGGTAGAGATACCATCTCGATGGTTGTTCCGTCCTTCTCCGCGGTCGCCGTGTAGCTTTTCTGGGACGTCAGCGTACTGTGATTGATTCGTCAGATTCGATCGCTCCGTCGGATTTTGAAGAATGGGCGATAGGACTGACTCGGCATCAGAGAAGCAAGCAGGCAATTCTTCCTTTCGGAAGTTGGTTGGGGGACCCTGTTTTGTGTACTTGTTAGCGACTTTCTTTTGGCGATACTCCACCACCCCGGTTTCACTTGGATGGACTTACAATTTCAATGACCCTCCCCTTCTCGCGTCTGAACGGGCCCTTGAGGCACCGAAAGATTTGTCGAAAGCAGTCCATGTTGGATGGTTGTTCTGTTGTTTGTTGCTAAGAGCGGACAAGAAAGCTCTTATAAAGGGTTGGATCGTTCGCGGGAGCTTGCAACAGTGGCGTTTCCAGCTGGAATGGCCTTGAATGAACACAAGGAAACGTGAAAAGAATGAAGGCAACGCTTGGAGGTGAAACAAATGCTATACAACGAGAGACAATACGAAACGAAAGACTGGGGATGGCAACCCAAAGAAAGCAAAAGCAACAAAAAAAGAAATAGGTTGCAGCTGCTCTACACCATTGAGGCGAGTTTAGAGAATGAGAGACTCGAAGATAGAGGTGGAGCGAGAGTACATATATGATTTCCTATATGAATTAAAGTTAGCGGCAGATGCAGAATGCACATCCATGCTCCTCCCGCCGTGTCAAGGACAAACCGACCCACAGTCTCGACCCAGTGGACTAGGCGACAGCCGTGCCTGTGGCATGAACAGAATGACAGGCTCCGTATTCGCTACGAAACAGCTCCCAATCCCTTTGCTCGGGCTGTGACACATTCCAATCTGGCAGTTAGCTCCCCTGGCGGCACCTGCGGGTCCTCCCTACGAGACAGCACTGCATGGGATTGGCTCGGAGAGATCCAAATGCTTGGAGATCATCTTGCCTCTTCCGGCGCTAATTGAGCATTCAGGTGTTATCTATCAAAGACGATCTGCCTTACGGACATTACTGCGTATGCAGACAATATTAAGATCTATACCATGCCACGATCTGCTGCAAAGCATCGGGTGCAACATAACAGATGGGCATTACAGGCGGACAGCCATGGCCTGCAGGCTGCAGGGAACAGTCCGAAGTCTATGCAGTCATGTTATGCGCCTTCGACCCTCAGTGGAGCTCGCGGAGAGGCATATTAGTCCAGACTAAAGGGGTAAAAGGGAGGTGTAGCCAAGAGAATCCTCGTGTCTTTGGCAGGAGCTGTTCGGTATCCCTCTCGGCCTTTTCCCTTTTGGATCGAAATTCCCATGTCACTTGTGGGTTCTGTCCCGTTTTCTCCAGCATACTGTACCAAATATTTCATTTTAGCTATCCGCTGATCCCCTTCGTGCCCGTTTGCTGGATCGGATATGTGCATCAACGAACCTTGCAAAAGCCTTCGAATCTCGCGGAGATAGACGGGATTCTTTGTCCCTGGTTCAAGATGAAGGGAATTTTAGTTCTCCTCACGCAAGCTAACCACACATGTGTCAGTCTGAATACCTCTTTGCCTCATTACCATTGCCTTTGTCTCGGAAACCGGGGCGCTCTATCGGTTCCCGGCAACGCAATTTTAGACATTTCGTGGATGCATCGTCGATCTTTAATTCTGTAACAGTGCCGATCGATCATGAATTCCTCACTGACAGTGACAGGGATGATCGGATGAACTACTGATTACACAGTATGTTGTATCTACGCAGGGCTAGATATGTGATAATATTTCGAATCACGGCTTGATCTGGTGGCGGAAGACGCAGGGCTAACCTGAGACTTTGCAAGAGACATCGCACCCAATACATCTTAGAGACAAGGCAATAGTATCATGTCTTTCTCCATACGAACACCAGTGGACCCTCACCCCGCACAAGGCAAAAAAACAAACATGAAAAATGCAGTCCCCTTAGCCATCCCGAAAAGAGAAAGGTAGACTCGGCTTCCTTTGTTATGCCCTTTCTTTGTCGCCCAATGATTATACCCCAACAGTTTTCCAGAAATTCTACCATTTGAATCGAAACAGAAGAGAACCTTGCGGGTGGCTGCGAGGCTTGGGAATGGTCGTAGACTCGTAGTTTTTCATTTTGTTGCTCCCTTGCATCGGAGTAATGCCAGGTCATAAAGGCCAGCTGTCAGCCATCAGTACGGCCCTAATTTACACAATAATTAAGCAGATACAAAATTCGCATTCTCTATTACAATAGCAATTGAATCTAGATGAATTCAAGAGCTAGAAACAGCTCCAATCTCTTCTTTCGTTGATATCGCAGGTGTTTCATCCTAGCAAACGAACCCGAGCCTACCCGAGCCCTAACTTACGGTAACCACAGGGATAGGGAATTCGTGAACTTCGCGTTGATCGAAAGACTATGAATAACTCGACCAACCCTTAAACAGACTTCAATATAGTGGCAACAGCTCAAGTATTCCTATTGAATTCTATTCTCATTGTGACAGGTCAATCCCTTATAGTTACAGCACTCTTCTGATAAATGATTAAATGCAGTATGGACGGAAACGACCGATAAGCTCAGGGCTGGCATGCAGCTAAGTCCCTAGTAATGCAAGGCCTCTCCAGATCTGCAAGTTCGGACAAAAAGAGTCTAAAGACTGCCTCGATACAGTGTAGTATTGGTAGGTAAAGAAGGTCTAATGCGGCCTCCCCAAGCTTTGATGCTTGGCTTGCATTCCTGCCTATTAAACTCAGTTAAGCGACGCGGGTTTGTTGGAATGTATTTCCGTTTGTTCATTCCCCTATCGTTTTGCTCGTCTTTGTAACCTTACTTGCTAGGCTGGATGGGATGAACAACCTACTAGGTATCTTGAACTTCCATTGATGATAAACGGGCATATGGTTATAGCATATATTCTTCCATGATATCTACAGACTCCGAGGCTTCATATCCCATTATACAATGAGAGAAACTGTCAAAGGACCCCATTGGTGAAATCAATAGCCTGCGCCTTCTCAATAAGTCCGTCCAGAGACTTGACAAACGCCTGATGAGCCGGGTCGCTCTCCACATAGTAGTCTCGGTCTGCAGCACTCGCAAACTCTACGACAAACGCATGTGTGATGCCATTCTATATCGTAGCAAGAGTAGCTTTAGCAACCTTTCCAATATAGTTATACTTCGCAGGATGGAGATGTTGGAGCTCACCTGAATGCCTTCGGGCGAATTGTCTTTTCCTCCTGATGCTGATATGATATATGGCTTTTGTGATGATCGGTGAATGCAATTGTCTTTCAGGGCAAGCATACGTCCACAGACCTGTTGTAGGGGAGTATTAGTATTCGTTCATGTATATTTTGAGTGTTTTCATAGATCGTACATCGCGGATAGCTTCGGCAGCCACGTCTGCCTTGAATTGGAACAATACGATGTGGATAATCGACATTTTGACTACTTCGAAGGGGTGGCAAGTAAATTTACTATTCGTGAGAAGATGAAAGAATCAGGGACGATATTGCTCGCTAGTAGAAGCGGGGTAAAATTCGAACAACATCACATGACTGAGGCTTTCTGATACATTGGATGATTGCCGATCGGAGTCTCTTCTTCTACGTGTTCTAATATCATCAGGAGTACGCAGTAAATGGAGCGGAAAGCCACACCCCGTGACCCCGGTAGCTATTGTACCGCTAATTGGAGGAACCAGCGCGAAAGGAAAGTACCTTGGAGTAGCTGTTTCTGAGATTTCTAAACGAGGTGGTACTATTGAATATGAAATGGCTAATAATGTATGACAATGCTTCTTACCTATGATTTCACATCATTGATAACGCTTGCAGCATGACTTGGATAAAGCTTAGAAGGATGCTTATACCCCCGACAATAGCGACCAGCCAGAACGTCCAGTGCTGTAGAACATTGCGTCGATCTTTCATGAGCCCAACAACGTTATTTGGTCGTGCGTCTCTCAAATCGTTTGCTATAAGCTCGATCCGGTCATACAGCACGGGAAAGTCTCGGGCAGCGAGATAAAGAGGCCTGTCAGTTGGGAGTATAGCTGAGCAGTGTCCAATCCGTTTCTGTGTACACAACGGGAAAAGCAAAGGATCAATTGGGTGGCTGTGAAAATCTGGCATCGTATAGAATTGGCGAAACAATTTCCTTGACCGTGCCGACTGAGCAAAAAGAAGATGATAAGAGAGAAGTACCTCTCGTAGAAATTGCTCAATATCTTCTTCTTTGGCGCGCGGATCTGCAGAGGCATTTTCGATGCTAGAGAATGCATATATCGAACCGCGTCCACGAAGCATCGCAGCACAGAACGATGGGTACCGAAAGAGCGTCAACGTCCTGGTGGATTTGTCATAGTCGAGGTGTAAGGCCAGGACATCCACCCATCGTATATGAACACGAAGCAAGACATGGAGCAGGTACGCATTTGTCTCGTCCGGATGCAAGGGCTGCCAGACCGATACCATGCTGCTCGTCTTACTCGCGAAATAAGGAGAATTCGAGGATGGAGCAGGTAAAAGTTGCCCAAAAGCTTTGAGCAGGACAGACAACGGCCGGTCAGAAAGCTCAATTGGGACCTTAAACGTATCGAACACAATACCTGAGTGAGGCTGGTCGGAGTCGCAGTTGATGATTAATTCGTCTGCCAAGTGGAGGTCAAAATCGGCCTGATACAGCATTGAAGCCCAACCAAGAGCTGCGAATACAAGAAGCGTCTGATGGTGTTCTTGATCTTCTGCAGAATCAAATACTCCTGTGTCTCGTAGATGTACAGTAATCTCGTCAATAGAGGCCCCCTCGATCCCGCATGTGTAGTCGTCAATCGCCTCAAAAAGGACGCGCAAGCTTTGCTGCTTCTCTTGAAGCTTGTATTGCCCGACTCGAAGGTACAAAAGATAGGAAGGTATTTTTTCCCGTTGTTGAGAGAGCCACTCTGCGTACCAGCGCATGTCGAGGGCAAATTGCGTGGGGTCGGTGCCGCATAGCTTCACTTGAGGAGGTTGGTTTCTGCGCAGGCCATTGGGGGAGTCTTTCGCGAGAAGCACAATGACTCTAGTGATAGACAGCTTGCGGAAGCTGGGCGACCAACCGATTTTGGTGGCTACCATAGTGAAGTTGATATAGGCTTGGAGTCAATGCACAGTTGCTTGACAGTTGGGTATAACGATTGTGATATTGGCCAGGGTCTCCCTTATGAGAGTTTTAGCATTTGTAGTTCCTCGCCTTAAGCCCCTTCTAGCCGCGTAAACCGCAAGATGCTACATAATCGTTTCAGCTTTCAGCCTCCGGCGCATCCTTGCAAATCCACAGGCGCTAAAATACTTTGTAGGAGATATTATCATATCCACCCCAAAGCTCTTTCTAAGACTATAGAAAAGAAAGAAAAAAAAACCGAGGACCTCAAATCTCTTGGCTCACCTAAAATAGCCGCCCTAAATGGGGGAGGGCGCGTTCCTACCTGCCTGAGCGACGATCTTGGTGTCGGCGCTAGTTGTATGAACTATGCCAACTGTAAACTGTTGAGTTCAGTAAATCAGGCATGAATCGCTTTTCGCCCTGCGGGGGCCGTTCTCTGTCTCCCATGGCTACAGAAGCCCTGATCTTTCTGCCTACGCCCCCGAAGACCTTGGTTTCATGGTGGTGTTGAGTTGAAGGCTACGGCACGTGACCGGCACGGAAGAACCACTCTTCCGTGCACTGGCCAAAACACCCTCTCTAGCCCCAAAGGCTACATGTGACCTTAAGTTACGAAAAGCCGAATGGATTCTCTCTCTCTCTCTCTAGCCCCCTGACGGCTTCCAGTTAACCAATCCATCCAACACACAAGATATATCCTGAATCCTACATCTGTAGAATCAACGGTTTTTCAGACCTTCTCACTCGCAACAAATCTCGGCCTCACAGCTCCGCAGGCCTTCTCCTGTCTTGTGAGCCATTCATCCTTCTTCTTGGACTCAGAGGGCCGAGATTTGTTGCGAGTGAGGAGGTCTGAAAAGCCGTTGATCTCGAGGGTGCGATTCATCAACTTAGAAAGATCGAGCCCGGCTTTCCTGGGTTGTACGTAGAGCTGAATCTCACTATTCGACAAATTGCCATCTTCCCCGACCAAGAATTCCCACGAAGCCATTACCCGTCGGGTACCTGAACCAGAGACCCACACAAATTTGGCAATCCGTCTTCCGTGTTTGGACCCTGGTTCATTAAGATCGTGCCCCTTTCTAGCTGGGACCCGCAATTCTCCATTGTTGAGGGGAAGGTCTAGCGAACATCCGTACCGATCCGCGGTACATTGCCTGTTGGTCTGCAGTCTTTCTGTTTCAAGACTTCAGATGGAATAAGCGAGTTAACTAATATGCAGACCAGATACTCTACGGAACATTTATTTCAGCCCCCAAGGGGAAACCAGGTGAAACGCCTAGAGGCTATGTTAACATGTATCGAGCTAGTATTAATAAAATAGCTCACTGTGGTATAACAGATGTATAGTTTTAAGCTAGTTGAGGCAATGGAGCATGGAAATATAAGAAATGGTTAGTTTCCTCAGTGAACATTGAACCGAATCCTGAAAACACTTCTCTCTCTATTCGAACCGCTTTTGAAGGATAATCACTTTTGTTTGAGCTTCATTAAGTCAGGCACAAGTGGTAACATGCCTTCCACAGCGCAACTATTAGTGGCGCTTGCACTTTCCTCGGGGATTTCTGCCAAGCCAGATCAAAAGGCTTGGGAAATAGCCTATTCCAACTGTCCCATTGAGTGTGCTCCAAGCACCAACCCCACCCCTGGACAATGGAGCGCATACCGAGGCTTTGAGGATCTTGCTTTTTGCAACGAGACTATGCTGCTAGGTTTTTCACTCTACAACGAAAGTCCATCCGTCAGCGTACATGCTTGTCAAATCACAACCGATGCTCAAGAATCTATCAAAGTGAGCTCCAAGGTTGCAGATACCTCATATTCCGACGAAGAGATCAAGTTTGAAGTTGGCTGGTGGGGAAACGCCACTTTAAAGATATCGGAAGGAACCAATCAGGCTCTGAATGAATTGAAGGCATCTGTCTTGAACTCACAAAAAACTTCCTCGAAGGCTGAGTTTGCCTACTCCGATGGATCTCTTGCCGGGATATTCGTTGGGTCAGATATTGAGTCCTCCGACGTATCAATAAATGCCTTGCAAAATTTCATTGAAGATCTAAACAAAAACCCCATACCTGGCCAAATACTCTTCCAGTACTGTGGCATCGACTCAGGTCGTGGATTGGGTCTTGTTATTGATACTACTGGTAATTTCACCGGTGTGAGACAGATCATGCGCGGCTGGGATGAATCAACATGTGCTGGAGGCTTTGACGGACGCCGTAATCTATCGCAGTCTGTGAAGATAAGAAAGCTACCCCAGATTTCTTCAAGCACTTCAGCGTCCAATGAGACCCATCAACACAGCAGGAGACATCACGGCAATCACCTTAGGCACGAATCATTGCATCGTCGTTCAACTTGCAAGACAACGCAGGCTAAGGGCGGAGATACTTGCAGCGGTCTTGCAACAAAATGCGGCATTAGCTTGACAGAATTCTACAACTACAACACCGATAAGAGCCGTTGCTCTCCTTTGATCGTTGGCTCATACTTTTGCTGTGGTGCCGGAGATCTTCCTGACTTGTCGCCCAAGCCCAATGATGATGGCACTTGTGCAAGCTACACTATCCAAACAGATGATTCATGCTCCAAATTGGCCGCTGCCAACGACATCACAGCTAAAGAAATTGAGAAATACAATGAAAATACATGGGGTTGGACTGGTTGTGGCATACTTCAAGCAAAGCTCAATATTTGCCTAAGCTCTGGAGATCCACCAATGCCTTCGATATACGGGAATGCAGTCTGCGGTCCGCAGGTTAATGGTACCACAAGACCAACAGATGGCACAGACCTTGCTGATCTGAACCCGTGCCCTCTCAACGCCTGCTGTGATGTATGGGGTCAGTGTGGTATCACTTCTGACTTCTGCACAAAGACCAACTCCACTACTGGCGCTCCTGGAACAGCGAAAAATGGAACTAATGGTTGTATCTCAAATTGTGGTACGGATATCGTTAATAACGATGATGCTCCAAGTGATTTTCTCTCAGTCGGATACTTCGAGGCCTTTGATCAACAGCGCGAATGTCTGAATATGGACATAACAAACTTTGACACAGGTTCTTATTCTCATCTTCACTTTGCCTTTGCTTCAATCACAACCGACTACGATATCAATGTCACAACCGTCCAAGGCCAGTTTGATAAGCTCAAGACTTTGAGTGGAACCAAGCGTATTCTTTCGTTTGGCGGTTGGTCCTTCTCAACAGATGCCGACTCCTTCCCAATCTTTCGCAAGGGTGTTACGGATGCCAACCGAGAGCTTTTTGCCACAAATGCCGCTAACTTCATTGAGGACAATGACCTTGACGGTATTGACTTTGACTGGGAGTACCCCGGTGCCCCTGATATCCCTGGAATTCCTGCTGGTGATGAGGGGGATGGTGATCGCTATCTGGAGTTCTTGAAGCTTGTTCGCAAGAACTTACCAGATGATAAGTCTCTCTCTCTTGCTGTGCCAGCATCATTCTGGTATCTGAAAGGATTCCCCATTGCAAATATCTCAGACACTGTTAATTACATTGTGTTTATGTCTTATGATCTTCATGGCCAATGGGATTACGGAAATCAGTATCCAGACCCTGGATGCAAGTCAGGAGCCTGTCTTCGATCTCATGTCAACCTGACCGAGACGACAAGTGCTTTATCCATGATCACAAAGGCAGGAGTTCCGGGGTCAAAAGTCGTCGGTATGGCTAGCTACGGTCGTTCATTCGAGATGGCTGAAGCAGGCTGCACTGGACCAAATTGCAAATATACAGGCCCAGATTCTGGTGCCACTCCAGGACGATGCACCAACACGGCTGGCTACATTGCCAACGCTGAACTCAATGAGATCATTGATACCAACGATTCTCCTGAGAAGAGCTTCGATAAAGGAAGTGACAGCAACATCTTGGTATACAATAAAACTCAGTGGGTGACATACATGGACGATACTACCAAGGAGACACAACAATTCTGTACAGCCAAGAGAGATGATCTGGGATGGGAGACTCTGAGCAGAGTAAAGATAAACGCTAACCACTTTAGGTAACCAGCTAGTCAATATAGTGCCGTAATGTGAGGTGGGGGATATAATAACATCAAGCCAATCATATAAAGGCAAGGCTTACGCAAAATGATTCGATCTGGACAAACTTGAGCATAGAAAAAGACTCTGCATTCTCTACAAACAAGAATGTAGTTGGTGGGGCTGGTCCAAAGGAAAATATGCGGATGAAAACCTCTCATGCGAATCCCATTCACAGAGTTGATATCCCTATTCACCCTTGGACCCCTCGCTGCAAAGCTAAAAACAAAAAGAAAGGAATAACAACACATCTTTACTCATCTTCAACGAATCCACAGACTCATCTTTCATAACCTGTAGCACATGCACACCTCTCGGCGATGGAAATAGGAAGCCAAAATCGCCAACATGGCAGCATGAGCTTCGACAATATCCATCATCGCAGCTTCCCCCAAATTGCGACTCGGCCGCAACACCGATACCATATTGCTTCCTGACCAAAGAGTCTTCATTCCCGCATCCTCCCTTTTGCCGGTCTGCTACAAAAACGCCTATTATGACGACTTTATCGGTCTGCTACAAGATGTGTCTTACGCTCCCTTTGGGCAGGATTTGACCTCATACACCAAGGTGTCACAATTGAAAAGCTTCACGCCATCCAGCTATGGGCCGGTCAGCTACGCCACAGTTCACTCATCTCGGTCACAGAAGACTCGTCGCACTTTGCATTCGCGGGTATCAGTGTCACAATGAAAGCACCCGAAGGACCACAAGTCTGACCCCCAGTTCCAGAGACACTCGCATCGGCTCCTACCAACCCGCCAAGGGCTCGTTTCACACAGAAACGGAAGCATTGTCCCATGAATAATCCACCCTATGTAAAAGACGCAACCACAATACAATCTCTATCAGTTAATGAATATAACCCAAGTAGATCATATTCGAAGGCCATCTGATGGTTGAAAATTCCGAGTCTAAGTATTGCTTGATTGAGCATGGAGCGGAGGATATCTTGGCGGGGTCAGGCATAAAAAATGTGCAATGTTTGCAGTATGATAGCGAGAACGCACATATGGTAGTTGAAGTCAGCACGGGGAGAGGGTCATGTCAGCGGTTCAGGCATATGCGGGATCGGGGTGCAATATAGAGATATTCAGGGTATTCAGGCAAAGGGAGCTGATTCCCATTGGAATTGTCTACAGAGTCATTTTTTTGTCAATTCCTGAAAGTCAGTTGCAAAGGATGATAGAATCGTCGGAGTGGGTCCTCTGGCCCCCACCCCCGCTAGGTCACGTGCAGCGCAGGGGTTTAAATACTTGGTTTCTCGAATATGTTTTTTGTCTTTCAACATCGTGACAATGTCTACTGATTTGTTTCAGAAATTGCCACCCGAAGTCATACTTCTTATCGTCAAGGACACAGCAGACTTTGTTGGCCTTGGCTCTCTTTTACATGCCTCAAAATGGATCGCCGATGTAATCTCACACAACCTTATCGATATTACTGAGGAGCTATTGGCATCATTTCCTATGACTAGAAATGGGAATGAGAATTTGTTCCTATTTTCTTGCTTGATAAACGAGCCAGGACTCAACTTTTCAGATCTTGATGATCTTAAATCCAAATTCACGGATCTTTCTCTTCGCAATTTCAATGAGAAGACGATTTACAGAACTCTTCGACAGGGTGCCCATATCCAACGTCTCGCTTGTGCATGTATCTCTAAACTCCGTGAAAACCTCGAAATTGGGTTGGAATCTGCCATGGATGCGGAGTGGGAAAAGAGCTTATTTCCTGATTGGCGACAACAGATGACCGCAGAGGCGTCTTGGATAGAAGAATCCCGTGTCTATAGGGCTCTATGGTGCTTGCAAATTTTATCTGACATTTACCATGCTTCTGGCCAAGTAGCATTGCAAAATGACAGTGGAGGTTGGGGGTGGACATCAACAGAGAGAGAAAAACTTCCGCCGTTCGCGTCTCCCTTTCTCGCCCCCCAGAATGAGCCCAATTGTGTTGCTGAAGTACTTAAGCATCTCGGAGCTTCTTGTGTTGTCCCGTCAGACGACCCTATTGATGTCGAAACCACGGGGGGCATATCACCACGATACCTCTCACCTATATTCGAGTCTTTGCAAGTGAAAGGTCTGCAAAATTACCCTGTTTGGACCCCACCAACCCCGCCCGGAAGGACGATGTTTGGCCATCCGAAAAACCAACCCCTAGAGCCAGTTTGGGGCCGCGGCCCAGGATCTCTCGCCGGATCAGTTGGAACGAGAGTATGGTTCACTCTATACATAAGACAGCGTCGTTCACTGCGTCAGGATCCCCCGTTCCGCAATGCAAAAACATGTCATCAAACAGGCATATTTATATGGGATAACTGGAGACTGGTTTCTGTGGGCCTTGTTCAAGCGGCCGGTAGGCAATATAGGTTTCCTGCGCCGGATTTCTCCCGATGGTTTGAAGCGACGACGCTAGATGCGCCTCAAAAGTGCATGCTTGGTACTCTTGTGCACAGGTGGACTGCATTAGCGGAGACTCGGGTTTGAAATCGGCAGGTTGAATGTTTTTCCATGCGGTTGGAACTCTCCGCGGCCTGATCTTGCGCAAATTCATGTACGATTGATAATGTCATCTGATACTCTTACTGTTTTGGGGGATTCAGGCATGATAGAGTATTGATATATCAAGGCCATGATATTTCAGAGATCTACTCATATAGGCGTTCGCACTACAGGCATTAACTCCAGTGTATGCTATGATTAACAAGCTATCGGGAGTGCGGCAATAGTCTCGTCGCACGGTTAACACTTTATCACTTGCCCTGTTCTCTTTTTACATGAGAAGGAAGCCGAACTGGATAGTCAATTAAGTAGAAAATATTGAAAGGGGAAATGGAATTTCTTGCGTTTAGTCAAATACAAATATAGATTATATCAAGGGACAGACCACAAGCGGCCAATATTCGGTTGGTGAGGTAAGACCTTCACAGTCCAAAGGAGCATCGTCATCCATGTTGTCCTGACAATCCACAGGGTCGTCGAGATCTGGACACTTGAGCTGCCCAGGAGAATCGGAAGTCCCAGTATATGTGCAATCACTCATTCCATCCACATCGACCGGAATATCCAACGTACCGTCCGGGTAAGTCGGATTCGCGGTACTCAGATCATCAGGTGCCGATACACGCCCATCAGAGTCGCAGACATTGGTAGTCTCCCCAGGCTTGGTATTGTAGAAGTTTTACTCGTTTGGATTCAGACTGCTAGCATCATCACCCAGCGCAATCATAAGTGCAGCGGTGGCTGTTGGGGTCGAGGTAGAAGTGGTTGATGTAGGATCGCTCCCGCCGCCGCCGCCGCCTCCTCCGCCGCCTCCGCTATCAGATCCGCTGGTTGTTGAGCTGGAATCACTGGTAGTCGTGGCCGTGTTCGATACAGGTGTAAGGCTAACACTTGACATTGCATCCGGTGCGCCGTCTTGGCCCTGATCCTCGTATTGGTCGAAAGAATAGCAGACGGGGACTCCAGTCGTGCTAGTGACGGCGGTGATATCACAACCCACCTCGACCATGCTGCTTGTTGTGGTACACGAGACTGATGAAGTCCCACCGGTCGCGCAGGAAACCCAAAAATCAGTGACTGTGGATGCACTACAGCTAGTCGTAGTGTGGTCATCATCATCATCATCATCATCATCAGGGTCATCGTTCTCTGTCTCGTCGGGATCATTTGGATCGGCTGGTGGTGGGTCAGGGTCGATGGGATCAGGGAAGTCGGGATTGGGAGAAGAAGAACCCCCCCGCTCGAGCTGCCGCCACCGCCGCCACAGAATCGACCCTTACATAGACTTCCACAGCCAGTCTTGCATGGTCCCGGACCACCCTTTCCATGAGTCACAACGACTTCAGGGATTTTGGGAAATTGATCATCATCACTGTCCGAGCCGGTATTTTCATCGTCTGTGTCGTCGTCATCATCCGTATCTTTACCATCGTCAACATCGTCCGGTACATAAAGATTCGTGATGTGTGGCCAAGGGGGCAAAGTCACACTTCGAGTGACTGGAGAATGAGTAACACCACTCTGAGACAGGGGGTTTGGATCATCTGTAATGGTGACAACCTGCTCAGGCAGACGAGGAATGGGTACAAAAGTCAGATTGCTTGTTCCATTGATTGGGACGGTGATATTGACATTCGCCATAGGCAATTCCGTCAGAGTGACTGGGTATGAAGTTAGTACATAGAGCTCATTCGCTGAGGGAGGAATGAAATAGCTTACCAGCGGGTCCTTGAATGGAAGTTTGCTGCAAAATCCGCGTTATTGTGGTGGTTGGTGTCACATCACCATCGGTCCCCGTCACATCGATAGTTGTTGTCCAAGCCACATCAAGAGTCGTGGTATGAACTGGACGATGATAAACAGCACTTGGAGACAAAGGCCATGGCGGAAGTACCAAAACACAAGGGGCTTCGCAGTTCATTGCAGGTTTGTCATCTTCCCAAACTGACGGATCGACATAGAAAATCTGCTGATCCAAAGAGCTACCACCACCACTGCCAGCAGAATCGCCGGTGAAGGACTGTAAATCAACTGCCCAATCAACTGTGCCACCTAGATTCAGTCCCTTATAATAAGAGGTACGAGAATCCTTGGTAGTATCGTCCATGTATGCCACCCACTGAGTTTTATTGTATACCAAGATGTTGCTGTCACTTCCTTTATCGAAGCTCTTCTCAGCAGAATCGTTGGTATCAATGATCTCATTGAGTTCAGCGTTGGCAATGTAGCCAGCCGTGTTGGTGCATCGTCCTGGAGTGGCACCAGAATCTGGGCCTGTATATTTGCAATTTGGTCCAGTGCAGCTTGCTTCAGCCATCTCGAATGAACGACCGTAGCTAGCCATACCGACGACGACTTTTGACCCCGGAACTCCTGCCTTTGTGATCATGGATAAAGCACTTGTCGTCTCGGTCAGGTTGACATGAGATCGAAGACAGGCTCCTGACTTGCATCCAGGGTCTGGATACTGATTTCCGTAATCCCATTGGCCATGAAGATCATAAGACATAAACACAATGTAATTAACAGTGTCTGAGATATTTGCAATGGGGAATCCTTTCAGATACCAGAATGATGCTGGCACAGCAAGAGAGAGAGACTTATCATCTGGTAAGTTCTTGCGAACAAGCTTCAAGAACTCCAGATAGCGATCACCATCCCCCTCATCACCAGCAGGAATTCCAGGGATATCAGGGGCACCGGGGTACTCCCAGTCAAAGTCAATACCGTCAAGGAGCCGCAATTCTTCGGGCCGGTCAAGCAAATCATATTCATCGTCAATATTCCAATTAACTCGGTTGCCTCGTCTGTTCGGTTCGCAAAGCTGCAGCAGTGCAACCATGTCTTTGGTAACCTGTATGCGTCGAGCAAGAAGCTTGTCATCGTCAAAGGTCTCTGCATCAGGCCCGTAAAAGTTTTCCACCAGGCGTGCCCGTTCAGCAAAAAGATATTCTGGTTTTGGCAATTCCCAACTTTCATCACCAGAGTTTTCATCATCAGATGCTTCTTTAGAAGCTTCATCAGAATTGCCGAGGAGTTGTCCTATCTGTTTGTCAATTTCTAATACGGGCGCATTTTGGAAATGGTCTTCCCTAGCTGTTTCCCGCGTGTCGGTTGCTAACCTCTTTCGAAGCTTACCTATTTCCTTTTTGACATCCTCATGCCTTTGATGGAGGTGCGGAAAGGGGATTCGGGCATTTTTAACCAGTGCCGGCCAGGGATCGCATCTCCGCCATGAGCTCTCTCTTCTCTCGTCTAAGGTGCAAGATAGCTGGGTTTTGGCAAATAGCACGCTTGTGCGTATCGGTGAGCTCAGACGGAGCGTTGATATCCCTTTTTCTGAGCATGCTTCCGGCAAAACGTACAAGGCCCTCCTGAGGCGGTCGAAGAAGAACAATATGCTGGAGATCGCGTCCAATGAATTGTGATTGATAATGCTTTTCGAAGACGGCGTCGCCAGACTGACCAAGCACCCTTTGCCGTTCTTGGCTGGTGAAATTTCCTTAAAGCTGTTAGTCAACATCGGTAAGACAAAGTTTCCTCCGCCTTCACGGATGGTATGCTATTCATCATTTTGGCGCACCAATAACTTACGATTAACTTCATTTGCCGTCCAACGGCGAAAGTTGTAATGTCCAATATCGTCTTCGAATTTAGCGTCTCGGCCCAACTCTTTGAGGGCTTGCCGACTTGATTCATAAGTCATCGATAAAGACTTATGGAGTTCGTAGCCGTACAGAGTGCGCTCAAAGCGTCGAAGAATAGGAGTGTTCAGAACTTCTGGTTTCCACCGAAGAGGAAGGGATGAACTGTGCTTGGGAACTCGCAGCCTCCAAATGAGCTCTGGTGTGAGCTCCGTATTGACAAAAGCCCCATCACGGAAAGCGAACGAGATTATCTGAGCGATCGGGCAATATGCCAGTTGGTAGTCACCGTGCATGAAAAACTTGGTTCTGAAAAGAAACATAAGCGTCAAGCCAATTAAATATGAATTTGAGGTACAGTTGCATCCTTACCCATCGGCGCCTTCCGGTCGACCCTTGAGATTGCGAAACTCTATGATGGCACAGAGAACGTCCCGTTTGCTTTGAGGATCTTTCAAGTAGAAAAGTTCAATGTCACGATAGCAGACGGAATCCGGAAGGTCTTTCGACGAAATATACTTCGGAAGATCACTTTCAAACGTGTGGGTACGTTTGCGTTTGCCACAAGAGGAGTTGTCGGGTAAAGAGGTGTCTTGTGGAAGCAAGACACCGGGGCGAGTCCCAGTAATGGCAGACCATAGCTGTACTGTAGGAAATTGAACGATCATGTTTCCATGACGAAAAAACCTCGAATGGACCCAGTGATGACGGTAGATTGTACAGAAGACATCTACATCTAGTGTATTCTTGTCCTTCGTTCGTCGGGGAATCTTGCGCTCAGCCGGAAAGGGACCGTCGAGGTACTATGCCACCATTAGCCTAATCTCTGCATGCATGGAAGATATGCTCGTACCCGTCGAATCTGTTTGTGGACATTTTCATTGACACGGCGACGTGCAAACAGTTCGAAATATTGGCAAAGGCGGCGCCAGTACTCATCGTAAGACTGCAACCTCTTCTCTCGTGATGTTCTGAACATCCAGTCGAAAAAGTTCATGTAGATCGCTTCATCCTCCAAAAGAAGGAAGTCAACATAGTCCGCCTTCGACTGAATGGAATACCTATTCTCGTGAGTTGACCCTACCTACGACGCCTGATTCCGGGATTAACCACACTCACTTTCGCCAGTAGCGTTCGACAACGGCAATACCTAGCAAGGTCCTTGGCATGAAGTTTGGCGGTAGCCATCCAGAACGACGGAAATGTTCCAGTCTGGCTCGAGTTTCCTCGCAAAGGATGGGGTCGGTCCAGTATTGGTGCTCATCTTCCTGAGCCGACCGAACGAGCACAGGTGCCATCGAGAAAAGCCAAGATGGAGAACCGAGGTGAGAATCCGGAGTCACGGACAACAAGGTTGTCAAAGTCGATTTGTGGAGTGAGCGTTGGTGATGAAGAGAGACTTAGGGTCACTGAGAGAGAGGCGAGGGAGGAGATCCATCTTATAGGCGCCCGGCGAGACGAGACGAAAAGAGAGGGCGCATGGACGGGGCTGCAAAGGGGAGCCATTTTCGGCGTCGTTTGGTGGCAGGTGGAATCGCAGGGAAGGAGCAAGTGTCCAACGGGCGCCAACTTCGTCGCCGGAGGGTGACTAAGAGTGCTGGGTGGGTGCAAAATAGATGGGGTGCTGGGAGGGGGCGGTCAAGCGGCGGCTCGTTTTCCAAAATTACGGGTGGAAAGGCGGCCGTTTCTGGCGCCAAAAGCAGCCATTTTCAGCGTCGATTTCACAGGTCCTCATATTCTAGTTGTAACCCTGGAACCTTCCAACCTCGAATGCTCTCCCCTGTCAATATAGCTCCAATGTAAAGCATAGTTTTGAAGATGAGAGGTTTTAAGGTTTTTCAATCTTAAATTGCCTACAGTAAAACCCCGCTATACCGAATCAATTTTTGGGAATGGAATTATTCGCTATACCGGGCGATTCGTTAAGTCGGATACCATATATTTTTAAGTACAAAAGTAGGCACGAATATCCCCCTGGCGGCTGTTCTCAATAATAGAGCCCTGGAGCTTTATACTCAGCCTATTTAGGTTGCGAATTTGCTCGATATCACCTTCTTCCTGCTGCTCGAGGTAGGTTAGACCCTCTAAACACTCAAGGGCACGAGCCGCTGTTATATATATCCTGTGGTTCGTAGTTTGAAAGGACTTCTCGGATCGACTGCATCGTAGCGGGTGCTGAGACCGAGCTAGTTAGCTCGCCGCGTTGTGTACGGCTTGCTATTCCTCGACGTGCTTGGAACATCTGTAGCCAACCATTGCCAAAAGCAGGTAACGGCTCCCCTTGACATTGGGGGATATTCTTCCAGAAAAATTCAGCCTTCTCGCGGATTGTAGCTGCTGAGATGGTGATATAAGTACAAGGTAGAAAATATTGATGCTATGAGTGGAAAGCAGTGTACTATGCTTGTATTGGATGAAAGTGGACAAGGAGAGAAGAGAAAGGAGAGAGAGAGCTAACTACTTGGTCTGTTGATTGCTGTGGTTGCCCAGGTAATGCAGCCCGACACCCAAGATGAGGGGTAGCGAGAGGTGCGCACGGGCCTCCGCACGGGCCACAACATACTCGGTATAGCGAACTTCATTCACCAACGCAGGGTATCCGGTTGTAAAGGTAGGCTGGTCCAACAATCCCACCACTCGCTTCTGAAAGTTTGCTCGAGCACCTGGGGCCAGATACTTTGAAGGACTGACACAACTCTACTAGAGAGGCGGATCTCTTCATCACGAGACTCATCCCAATTGTTACGCCTGGCTCGTTTTATCTCCCATGCCCTTTTCCCAATCTGCTCCATGACAGGTACTCCTGGATTCTCAAGGTTATAGCCTGTAAGCCGATATGATCGCGCAAAGCAGTCGAGCAAGTAACGCTCCTCTTGGGAAAAGCACACGTTTCCGAATGGGAAAATGCGTAGGTCTTTCAAACTGGGGCTCTTGTCTTTGATCTTGGTCCAAATCTGGAGAGACAGGCTCTCGTCCATGGCTGCATTTATGAAAGTTCGTCGGAGATCAAGATCATCTGTTTCGGGAGAGCTGCCCATCCTCGGTACCTTTGGTCGAGCATCGAAATCCAAATCTAGAAATAGTCTTTGGAGATTGGGGAAGATACCTAGCGCTTTGTACATCTCACATTCTGCTTGGTTGCCCGCTGACCTCTTTATTTGAAGGCGCAACTCTTCCATGTTCGGACAAAGATTCATCATTTCGAGGAGCTTGGAAGGATTGAGTCTGGGATACAGGTGGACCTTGTTGGGCACGAGAGCAAGTCCCTTCAATGACGGGCCATGACGCTGTAGGATTCTGTCCAAGTCTTCAACATTGCGGATGCCCCTGACATGAAGATATTCCAAGGGGCGAAAGGCAAGTATCCCAGCTATTGATTCTTCGATGTCAGTCTCGATGGTCGCAGGGCTCTGGAACCTTCTGTCGAGATCAAGGAAAAGCCTCTTTAGATTTGGCAACAAGTCGGCAACGTTGACCAGTTTCGCCGGTTCACAAACGCAACCAATGTCGAGTGAGCGGAGTTGAGAAAGGTCTCCGGCGACAGCTAATTTGGAAAGCATAATTGCTTCGGGCCGGTATCTGGGAATTGTGACTGATTCCAACTGGGATATTGCCTTCGGCTTGGCTTTATCAATCAAGCTTTGCCATGTCGCTTTCAGCAGATCCACTCCGGCTTCATGAACATCATCAGAGGGCTCCAGACAGAGGTGCTTTAGCCCCGGGCTGGTGAATAAGAAAGGCATCATCTCCCAAAGCTGCTGGTGTTCAGCCGACCGCCTGTAGTTGGAAATCGTCGTTGTCAGGGTGTGAAGGCCCGGCAGCTGAAGAGTATCCATTCTGAATTCGTTAGAATATCTAGATACCGATGTAGTATCTGGATAGAGCGGACTAGGTCCCACTTTTTGGTTGCCGATAATATTCAGCCTGCAATCGGGATGGTAGCGCCAAAATGCTTCCGTCAAGTCGGCTGTGAAGTCGTCGTTCGTGATAAAGTCGAATTGATCAAGATGGTTCAAGCTAGCAATGAGCGATACGACCGGTGCCCAGTTTGGATTTTTCCCAATGCCTGTGTGGGCATTTGAAAGCAAGTCTCCGCCCGTTGTTGAGTAACAAGAGGTCATATAATGCTCCAAGAAGCCTTTTCTCGTCGCCGGGTTCGGGTCAGTCACCATGTTGAGTGCCCATGGCTCTAGCGTCCATGGTCGGGCTTGTCCGAATTCAGACCTCGACGACTCAATACAGACAAGGGATAACCTCCTAGCAAATTTCTCGAAAATACTCGCTCGGGGAGCTTCTGTCACTTTCGACAATGCAGCCTCCAGGTCTTGGAATGTATGGAATATCAGTGTGATGTTTCGGTAAAGGATAGGGACTGCCGCCTGGTTGCAGAGATGGTTGATCTGACTGAAAGATGACAGATCTTTGGGTGGACAGTATGGAGGACCCTCGAGCTAATCCTCATCAGCATGAGAAATGGCGTGAACTGGGGAGGTCCCGTTAGCGACGTACATTGACGCATATTTGCTGTAGAATTTCAATCGGAAGGCGATCCATTACGAACTGCGTCGAGGTTGCAAACGGAAGAGAGAAATCGACTTGAAATCGTCGAGACTAGTGAACGCTTAGCGCAACCCGGTCCCATATGCACCATTTTAAGTGAAATTCCACCCACCTATAACCCACTCTCTAAGTGTTACCCATAAAGCGGCACTCGCCCTTTACCGAGGTGCCATCCGATCGCATATCTCTAATGCCATAGACCGAAACAGCTTTGAATTATCCGCAGTACACCCCCTCAAATGGAAAATCATCAATGCCGTCAAATAACTGCCTCATCTCACTAGCATCTCCCATCATCATCCAGAGATCCCAAAGACACCGTGTCCAACATCTCATCCACCCCGGAAAGGTGTCATACTGATCTGTTTCCGGAAATGCTTCAAGAACCTTTACACATCGTAGCTCATCATCGGAATGGTATGGGCTCTCATTTTCAAGGGCCTCTGCTGATGTACCTTTCAGCGTTTGCAGAGATTCTTCATCAATAATCATGCACATTCGCCATTTGGTCCAGCGGTCACGCATGCCTTGAGATTCCACCCACGCTTCAAAATGAGCGCGAATTGCCTCGAGAGACGCCCCATTGAATTCCGCGGGATCTTGCACAATAGTCGACCGGTATTTGGCGCAAATTTCGTTGGGTTTATTTGTAGGATCTTCTTTGTGGTCTCGGAGGAATGATCTCTTAATACAGGCTTCAATGTACCTGATAGCGACTGGGAATAGAGTTTCCGATTCAGCAGAGTAGGTAGTGCGATAGATGACATATCCCCAGTCTGGGTAAGTGCCAAGGCTATTTTGGAGCTCGTCCATGTTGAACTGATGTTCGCGTGAAATTTGAGGGGAGTGGAGAAGAGAGGAGGGAAAGTCTGAGTCTCCAAACACGTGCTACGAAGGCGCATAGCGGCCAACATTTGAAACCCCAACCGAGTTAAAGATACGGCTCCGCACGAATCGAATCGAATCGATTAAGTTAACGTTCACAAAGATATATCCATCTGCTCCGGTGTCTGCAAGGCAAAAAACTCAACTGTTCGTCCATTCAGAGCTAACTGGGCGCTGAAAACCAAGCTGTCTGATGATAACAGTTTCGCACGGTTCAAGCGAATTGGTACTAGATTATGTTCTCGGCGTTCATAACCTTTTCATCTTGAACGTTATTAGGATGAGACATGATTGCAGTCAAATATGACAGAGTAGGAGAAGGTCGATATTGAAACCTGAGCTTAATCAACAACCAAAATAGGCATTGATACCTAGGCCGCTACTCATAGGTAACTAGTATCAACTAGTTAAGTAGCTCTTATATATCTCTTTGCTTCCATTGTGTTTCACGTCGATCTCATGCTACCACGAGGTATACCTACCTATTCGAAACATATTCCCTCTATACTACCAGGTTCAACCTCTAGTAAGCATCTCCCCAACTCACGCCTCCCCGTACAGCAACCCTCAACAACTCATTTCGCTCCCACTGCAGAAAATCATAAGTAACGATCATCTCCTTCGCTTCCTTCTCAATACTCCCCCACTCCTCAGGCGTCATGACAATCTCACCAGGCTGTCTCGGGAAGATAGTCATTGGACGTGCGCGTTTCTCGAGACCGACCTTAAAAGCCCCGACGGTGAACTTGGTTTGTTGTGTCGGTTCGTGAGGAACTCCGAAGACGAATGGTTCCTCTGGGCGCACGTAGGACTTTCCGTTAAGCGACTTTGTCAGGCCCATTTGGTAGCATTGAATTCTGAAGCGGGCTCGGTTTGAGTCCGGGCTGGGCTCATCGTACATGGCTTGGTCATTTGGGATTTTCCGCGGAGGATTGGGCGGAGGACTGGGTGGAGGGTTCCTCGCAGCATTGGACGCAGCATGGGTTGCAACCGTGGGAGTCTCTTCTGCTTGGCTTTTTTCGGCGACCTCAGGGAGATCTGGCGCAGCTTCGTCCGTGGCGTCGTGTGCGCTGCCCACATATCCTTCGTCAGATCCTTCCTCGGAATAAGCCTCGTCTTCAGAGTCGTCCCTAGTCTCTGTATCAGAGTCGTAGTCGGAATCAAACTCATCCTCAGACCCGAATCCAAGTTCTTCAGCAAGGGTCTTCCCAAGTACATGATGGTCCTTGGCATGTTCCTTCTCCAATTCCTGCGCCAGACGTTCCTCCGAAATCCTCAGCTGACTCGGTGCTCGAGTCGGAGGCCTTCTAACCCTCAACAAAGGCAGCTGATCCATTTCCACAAGGGCACGCTTCCAAGTCCAAATAGGTCGCTTGCGCTTAGTCTCAACCGAGACGGAATTGTTCGCAGTCTTATCAAACGGTATCTCGGCCACGATGGCCTCGTTATGAGCCAGCAGTCTGGCATTCCGAGTAGCCTCACTAATGCCATGCCTGGTAACATCGAGATAAAAGCTCAAATCCATGCATTCGACGCCCTCTTCCGGATCCATGGCGCAACAATTAGCTGCCAGGAAATGCGCGTGTGCAAGCTGCATGTTTCCGCGCAAAAATTCGACTCGACCGTGCCAGAACTCGCACTTCGCAATGAGGATTTCGTCTTCGGACATCTGACCCTGAGCGATGAACATGGCGTCCTTGACCTTTCTATCGGCGCTGTCGGCATCTTTGTTGTCGACGTACTGGGCGCAGAAGAGGAGAGATGTTAGAACTTTGAATCGATAGAATGCTTTCAGTCTCTCTGTGTGCGTCTCTGTGTGCGTCTCTGTGTTGCCTGTGTTGTCTGGTACTTGCGGTGTATCACCGAGCACGTATTCGAAGACTTTGATCTTGTTGTTCAGTGTCTGCTGGTGTTTGCGTTGGAGATCCTGGGACTTCCGATCGAAGAGAGTGGGTGTAGGTGGTCGGCCTTCTGATTCCTGGTCCTCATGGTATGCCCTCTTGTACATGGCCACGAGGCTTTGGCTTTTAATTTTCTCCTTACGACATGGAGTGATCTCCTTGGCAGGAATAACGCAGATAGAACTCTGAGAGGTCACATCCTGGTTCGGCTGGGCTGTTGTGTCCGTCATGGTGAAATATGGTCTGTCACACTGATACCAATAGCGATACCTGGTTGTCATGAATCTGTCTTCTTTTTCCTCTTGCTAAAGTGGTTGTGCTAAGATGATAGAAAGAATAAAAGACAAACTGATCAATGTGGTTTAGGAACTGGTAAGGGAAGTTGGTGAATAGGGAACGTCATCCTTATATCCTTCACAGGCATATGGCTGAGAAGACAACAAGCGTGGTGAAACCAGACCAATGCAATTGAGATCAAGACAGTTCACGACAAAGATGATTGTCTCTAGCGTCACCGAAACTTGGCGTGTTATGCCTTTCCTTTGTTTCCCTTAATCCCATTGTTAGTCTTGCTGAAACTGAAACCGCGCATGATGTTGCTTCGGCCACTTATTTTTATATGCGTTTATCAGTTACAGACACTAGGGGATAGTTTCAAGGCATGGCTTCAAGGCATGGCTTGAATGGTCCAGGAGTGTTGAGAGTATTGCTTGTCTCAGCAGATCTGCTAGGTAATGGGTGCCAAAGCATCACTGCTAGACACGAAGTCTATCCCGAGACCACTTGAGCAACTTTTCTACCGTAACCAAGTTATAAATAGGTTGAGACTTGCTCGAACAGCCCAATTGAGCATTGTTGTAGACTAGTTGCTGTGGCTGTTTGTGGAGATGGACCGCAGTTGAAGCATAACAAATCCCACCAGCAAGAGTGGCCAGCTCACGTCCACCAGGCTCATGTCCTGGGCCTTATCAATACACCAGGGCCCGTATTCTTGCATTTTGAGAAACGAAGTGGGCTCCCGGTCCCCGCCATCTGTTGCTTGGAGATACTCAATGTATGCCTGTTTATATTCGGCCAACGTCAAATAAATCTCTCCTGCATCCTGCGATACCAACAGACCGTCAGACGTCTTCTTTATGTCAGTAAGGCAATATGGAATAGCAGTCAGCGGAAGGAGAGCTTGCTTACCTGTCAAGTGGACATTGTCGGGGATTCGTATCCGTCATGATCCACGCAACCATTTCCGCTGCGTTTTGCCAGAGGACTAAAGGCTGACGCCTTCGGTCTCGACTCGGCGCTTTTGCCTCAACAATGGCGAACGTTTCATCAACAACAATCCCTTCAAGATAGTGTTGTGCTTGGTATCGATTGGTGGTCGGAGCTCGGGGATCTGCCTCAGCTGATTGATCAATGTTACAATCCCCATGAGTGGTGAGATCCTGGCTTTTAAGTTGTTCGCTCTTGTAGACCGGATTCTAACTCCCTGGATAAACTCCACCGTGGTTGGGAATTCACTTTTCTGGATCGTGGTGAAACTGATCATGGCTGTACTCAGCGCTGTAAATCCTTCTCCAATGAACAGCTTCTTACAAACGAGTATGTAGTCGTCTGCAAAAGTCACATCCCCGCCGGATGTGATTACCTCATCGGCTAGCTCTGGGTCTAAGCCACAGTGAAGCCATGATTGATTTGTACTTGTAAGCTCAGTTGCACCTACTGGTCTGCATGATCTGAGGCACGATCTGGTTTTTCAACCTCAGGATTGATCAGTCGATGTAGCTTGACGCCGCGAAGACTTTGCGTGACCTTGGTCAGCCAGTTGTTGAAATCATCTTTGTCTTTCAAAAGGGGGTTAATCCTGTAAAGGACAAAACTGCCGATTTTGGGGAGATCCACCCCTTGGTCTCCTCCAAGAGTTGTCTGGTCTGCCTTAACGACTCCCTTCCAGTCCTTTCCTCCCACTGATCCTGTGATAGCCATCTGTGCAAGCCGTCAATTCCTGGATCGTCCGGGGACTGGGTGAGAATCATGCTTTTGCCTTCGTCATTGTAGGCCTGGATGACTAGTCGTGACTTCTCAAAAGGTATACCTGTAACCTTGCCCTTGATCTCATTGACCAACCGTGAGTTGAAGATGCGTACTCCAGCGTGCTTGTTTGGGTCATATTGTACGAAATCGAACACGCCCTTGGCGATCAAGCCCTCGATCTCCTTGTTCTGGGCTTGCTCGAATGGTGATCCAGGGGTCGTGATGACGCCGTCATTCCTCAAATTGACGGACAGTTCCATGTCCGCTCGCTCCTTGTTGGTCATGAACGTCATCGAGATGTCACGGCCCTCCTGAATTGCGTTGACAAATTGGTCCTCGACACCTTCAGTGTCAGCGGCCTGTCGTCTGTTGCTCCGTCGCACGGCTACCTGTGGCTTCGGCTTGCTTTTCGATCCTGGTGGTCGTCCTCTGCCTCGTCGTTGAGCCTCAATTGGTTCCTCGGGCTTGGTTGTGGTCTCCGAATCGACACCTTCATCCCCCTGACCGTTCTCCGCGGCGCTTTCCACACATTCTTCCATATAGTAGGGCTTGACGATGGTTGATCGGAATTTCGTGGGGCCATGCGGCATGTCCACGACGCACGTTTCTCCATCGACCTCCCCGATTTCTGTCATGTATCCTTCGCAAGTGCCATCGTCAACGGTCATGTCCGCGAGCATTCGGGTTGGCTCATCCGTTTCGCTGCTGCTATCTTCACTGCTCAACTCCTCTGGTTCCTCTCCCCCTTCAACGTCACTGATCAGTGGTTGAATTTCATAACCACAGGCAAAAAGGCCACACCCAAGGACGTCCAGGCATTTCTCAGCGACGGGAGCTAGAACGCTGTCCATAATTCGACTTTTCCTGTAGAATTGTGAAAGGTCCTCGAGCGGAAGTCAATCGGCAGGCTATATCAGGAATGTTAAGGGTGAGAGCCCTTACAGTTCCGTGAGCGCCTCGTTCACAATCTGTTCATCCTTGGATCTCGATGGGACTATCCATGACGCATAGGTCAAGGCGGTCCCGGACAGACCACTGGTGCTGAGAGCAAACGGGGATGGTAAAGGGGCCGCTGGGGCGGGACTCGGTGCCTCTCTAGCTCCAGAAACAGCTAGATGAGTAGTCGATCCACTGCTGGCTGACTCTGCGAGGGGAGGGACTCGGGACACCCCCCAAAGTTCATATTCCATCACCCCCCCACCCACCTGAGCTAGTCCTAATGTGGTAAGCGCATTTTTGTCTACATGATACATATTAATTACTTTGTGTTCTGTATGGTATCATGCGATTGCGAGGCCATCGACCCACGTGATCGCGCCTAATTGTTTACTGGCGCGTACAACGCAGACATTCTATTGGTCAATTCCGGAGTGACCTAGTTTTTCTAGCAGTTTACATAGTAAGTGTAGGTACCACGGAAGGACTTGTGAAATCTCAGAAGTTTGACCAGAAGGCGGCGAAGAAGTGGTCAGTAGATGCCCTATGGTTCGGGCAGACGATTGATATTACTAACTAGTTTAACTGGATCAGGGATCGTGCGGTTTCATGAATTGAGAGTGATGCAGTGCAATCAAATGGGGGCATATGAGATGGAGATGATGAGTATGCAGCAGGCAGAAGAGGTTGGAGATTGTCCAGTGGTAATTAAGTACGGAGTAGATACATGACAAGTCAAAGGCCACACCTTTCTCCCTTCCCAATCATTCATCTTCTTCTGAGGAGGTGTCACCGAGCAGAACCTCACTACTGTCTAGTCGCCTTGCCCTGGGCTGTCTGCCCCGCGGCGACCGCCGCTAAAGTGCTTCCTCCTGTACCGGGGTATGGCCACACAAGGACTCTTTCTGAAGCCTTTGCTTGAAAGTGGCGATGTGCTTAGACAGGACCACTGAATCCGTTATCTTCTTGTGCAGATAGACGTTCTTCTGCAGCTAGACGGTTCAGTGCTTCTAGACGAAGCCGAAATTCAATCTTCCGGTTTGAAATATTTCGCCGGATTAGGCTTTCTACTTCGGGATGGTGGTGGCGTACATGCGTAGATAGAGGGGAAGGATCGTGGTTGTGGTGGTGATCATTCACTTCAAACCGCCATCTACCATCACCACGGCTACGCCGTAGTGTGGCCCGGAACGGGCACCCGGTAGAGCGGGTTTTGGATGCCCTTGTTTTCGCACCCCGATCTCGGTACACCGAGCTCCGCGAGCAGTATAGTTCGATCAGGTTGTATTTGACAATCAGCTTGATTGTGATCGCATAGCCGTGATCTTTGGCGAATGTGTTTATGGATTGCATAGCTTCGTCGCGAGTGCCGAAACTAAGTTCTTCCGAGGGCGTTGGCAGAACGATAAGGGCTTCGGCACGGGAGAGGCCTGCGTGGACACGGAAGACGGAGAATCCATAATGAAACGGTGGAAATTCGGGAGGATGCCGAAGTTCGGCTACACATCAAGAAGAGGTTATCAGACGAGACAGTGATTCAATTGTCTGGTTGGATAGATTGAAAAGACTGGATGTCCTAAGACGAAAAGTGGGAAAGTCAGGGGTAGGGAAAGTCAGGACTCAGGGGTAATGGACACCATAGTCGAGTTCTGCTCATCACACGACAACTATAACCTGATCTTTGTACCTCTTCGAACCTGTCGCAACTCCTCAAATCTGATCTTTCCGCTGTTTCATTAATCATTATGGACTCTCCGTCTTCCAGTTCCGTGTCCACGCAGGCCTCTCCCGTGCCTGCAGAAGCCCTTATCGTTCTGCCAACGCCCTCGGAAGAACTTAGTTTCGGCACTCGCGACGAAGCTATGCAATCCATAAACACATTCGCCAAAGATCACGGCTATGTGATCACAATCAAGCGGTCTGACAAGGACAAACCGACGAAATTACACTGCTCGCGGAGCCCGGTGTACCGAGATCGGGCTGCGAAGATGGATCTTGGCTGGATCACGATCGGAAAATCGGAGGAGCTGTTGGAGTCAGATGATCAGATCACTAGCATTAACCTTGTGTCCCAAGGCTTGTACTAGCTGTGAGTCTCTTGCCAGCTGGAAGGCCCCGAGATTCCCATCTTCTTTGCCCACACTCTTCTTGGACTCGGTGATATGTGTGACAAGTGGCAAGTTCTGCAGGAAGCAGAGTCCGATTCGACGAGATAACTAAGATGAGGAGAGAAGAGAAAAGAAAAACAAGAAGAGACGCGAGACAGAAGAATAAATACATCAACCCAAGTCACGTGATCTGTATCCTTCTCCTGAAGTTCTGAAGTTCTGATCCTGTCATGTGACCCTCACAATATGCGCGAATGCGATATAGTGTTCAAACGCGTGGAAACTACTCAGCATTTCCATCTCGTGCTAACATGGTAACATCGTACTAGATAAAATTGTCCTTCAACCGATTGCTTTTGACAAAGAAGTTTCCAGTGCTGCCTTCGAGGTGGAGAGTAGTAGAGGATTAGAGGTGCGCCTGCCAAGATACCCCTTGGCTGCCCGAATCTGAAGGCAGACATACTGCGCAAACATTGCAAACTATTCAAATAGACAGACACAGTCAGCTACCTAGTGACGCAAACAGTACAAAAGTGACAAACACGGCGCAGGTGCACCTGCCGTGCCTGAATCTGGTTGTGCAAACAATACAAACCCCACAAACAGACAAACACAGCAAACCCCGTCAGCTAGGCAAACGCTACAAAAGTAACAAACATGGCTATGACCTCATCTGCTCCGTAACTGCTGCCGAGTTCCCCACATCCCCGACACCCATTGACTGATGAACTGCAAACCACAACTCACAAGGGGATCTCGACGTCAGGTGGCATGGCTTGGGTGAGTCAAATATCGTTTGGCTTATTCTGATACCGCGAGTATTTCCGTATTAAGCTGTTTCTATTGATCAGACCAAGAATCTAGACCTGCGGGGGTTGTATTGCAAACAAGTAAGACCAAGCTAGTGTTGAAGTCAATCTACTCCTTGATTGTATAAAGTCTACGTAGCTAGTACTCGTTGATTAAAAATCATTATTTGTACAGCTAGACAATCCCCTTTCATCTTTCACTTCAGGATTACCCTTCTATAGCCTAATCCGTCATATTACCGGCTACCACCCGTGGACCTGATTCGTTGCACTCGTTCTTTAATAATTTGTCATAGAGTCACATCCATACCTCTCTCTTTTCAGGTATGTTTCCGGACCTGGATCTCTTCTGTGTCAATTGCACGTGGAAATGCTCCTCACCTGATAAATCTCGTATCTCAATGCTTGTCCAACTCTTCGCTGCTTAAACTTCTCAATTGACCTTCATGCTCTCATAGATATGTCTCCCACCGCGCTCAAAAATGTCGATACTGTCGAGATTGTGGACATCCACCAAAGTGACATGGAATTTTCCTTGGTGGATGACATCTACAAGAATCTCGACCCACCAGCGGGCACACAGCGCACCTTCCCTACCCTCCTCCTCTATGACGCCAAGGGATTAAAGCTCTTTGAGCAGATTACCTACTTAGACGAGTATTATCCCACCAATGCGGAGATCGAAATCTTGACAAACGAGGCGAAGCGTATAGTCGAGCGCATTCCGGAGAATGCACAGCTGGTGGAGCTTGGCAGTGGGTCAGTTAGCCACCAGAACGGGCCTGCCATAATGTCGGTTCATGTTGGATCTCAGAAAGCTAACATTTGATTTTTAGAAACTTACGCAAGGTCGAGATTATACTGCGAGAGTGTGAGCGAAACAAGAAGAAAGTGGACTACTATGCCTTGGACCTCTCACTGGTAGAGCTACAGCGAACATTTTCCGAGATCTCACCGGAGAGCTTCATGTATGTCGGGTTCCATGGGCTCCATGGAACCTATGATGACGCTGTTGACTGGCTGAAAAGACCAGAGAACCGAGAACGGCCCACGGTGGTCATGTCAATGGGATCATCAATCGGCAACTTCGATCGTTCCGGTGCTGCAGAGTTCCTTCGTGGGTTCTCCAGTTTGTTGAGCCCATCAGATTTCCTCCTTATTGGATTGGACGCGTGCAAGAACGCAGAGAAAGTATTCAGGGCCTATAATGATAGCAAAGGCATTACTCGTCAGTTTTACGAGAATGGGCTAGTGCATGCCAATGCGGTTCTTGGATTCGACGCCTTTAAAGCTGATGAATGGGAGATTCTGACCGGCTATGATGACCGTGAGGGACGGCATCAAGCCTGTTACGCCTCAAAAGTGGATGTGACCATCAATGGAATCACAATTCCCAAAGGAGAGAAGCTCATGTTTGAAGAAGCGTGGAAGTATGGCCGTGACGAACGGGATGAGCTATGGCGTAGCGCGGACCTCATTTCCCAGGTCGAGTTTGGGAACTCAACAGATGACTATCGTGAGCTCTGATCTTTTGGTCTACATGAAACTGCGAATTTACTAACCCGTGGTTGCAAAGACATTCATTTGTTGTCACCGGCTGCGCTTGATTTGTCTACGAGCCCGTTGAAGTATGCCCCTCAGCCTATTCCGAGCGCCGAGAACTTCCAATCATTGTGGACCGCCTGGGACTTGGCGACAAAAACAATGATTCCCCGAGAGGAGCTTTTGTCGAAACCAATACAGCTCCGAAATGCATTGATCTTCTATCTCGGCCACATTCCCACATTCTTTGGTGTGTTTCGGAACCTTCCGCTTTGCTTTGCCAGCAGCTAACCATGGTGAACCACAGATCTGCATTTGACGCGGGCCTTGCAAGAGGAGCTTACTGAGCCGAGGCACTACAAAAACATCTTCGAGCGAGGGATAGATCCAGATGTCGAAGATCCAGAGAAATGTCATAGCCACAGTGAAATACCCGATGAGTGGCCGCCTCTCGATGAGATCTTGGACTACCAAGAAAGAGTGCGAATCCGTGCACGATCGATTCTAGAGGAAGGATATGCCTCGCAAGACAGTGCGCTTGCAGAGGCACTTTGGATTGGCTTCGAGCATGAAGCCATGCATCTGGAGACATTCCTCTATATGTTGCTACAGAGTGATAAAACCCTCCCTCCCACTGGAGTCAATCGCCCGGATTTCGAGCAGATCAGTCGCTTGGCCAAGAGAGAGGAGAAACCAAATAAATGGTTCAGCATCCCACAGCAAACACTGCAGATTGGATTGGACGACTGTGATGACGAATTGATGCCAACGCAGTCTTTCGGGTGGGACAATGAGAAGCCCCGACGGACAGTCAATGTGCATGAATTCGAAGCTCAAGCGCGACCCATCACCAACGGTGAATATGCCGAGTACTTACGGAATAATGGCATCCAAACATACCCCGCGTCATGGATGTTTACCCCAGGCCAAGACAATCCCATTTCTAACGGCATCGGCTCTTCTGGCGCCCATGCCAGTTCGAGCGCGACTCCAGCAGGGTTTTCATTGGATAATTTCAAAGTCCGAACTGTTTTCGGACCAGTGCCTCTGAAACTTGCACAGGACTGGCCATTGATTGCTTCGTATGATGAACTCGCAGAATATGCAAAGAGCATGCAATGCAGGATCCCCACATTCGAAGAGGCTCGGAGCATCTATCACTACGCGGACCAGCTCAAGAGCGGCCGAGGCACAGCCTGCTCCAGGTATGTAATCTGAAATGTCTCCTATATCATGGACTGACTCAAAAAGTAGTAATGGCGCCAATGGTGCTTTGAAGGGTAGCAAGTCCAACACGGCCGATCAAACAATCTTCCGTGATCTCCGTGGTTGCAACGTTGGTTTCAAACACTGGCATCCCGTTCCTGTAACTCCCAATGGAGATCAACTTGCTGGTCAGGGTGATATGGGTGGCGTTTGGGAATGGACCAGTACACCATTGATGCCACACGAGGGCTTCAAATCCATGGATATTTACCCTGGGTACACATGTAAGCGACATCTTGAGCGCTAATGCCAGACTTTAGCTGATTGACTTCTACAGCGGATTTCTTCGACGGAAAGCACAATATCGTCCTCGGGGGTTCTTGGGCTACTCTGCCCCGCATTGCCGGCCGAACTACCTTGTACGTATAAGCCACGATATCCTGGAGTTCGACCTACTAACCTTTTCAAGTGTCAATTGGTACCAGCATAACTACCGCTATGCATGGGCAGGAGCGCGTCTAGTGAGGGATATGTAAAAGAGCTAGTATATAGCAATAGTTACCATAATCGGCTTCTTAATCGGATGAGTTCGAGGGTGCCTGACGATGACCTCATTTCCGCGATAAGAGATAAGTACAGTGGAGAGCATAACGTGACTGCCCCTCATCTCGCCAACATCTAGTAGTACTACTCCAATTCCTTCTCTTCTATTCATTTAGATCAAATATATTTTGCATGATGTCTTTGGAAAACATCACCACCATTTCCCCAGCTACCAATGAGCCCGTTGTCACTCGCACCGGTGTCTCACCGGAGGAGCTGGCTCAACTTCCCGTGACTGCCCAAGCAGCCTTCCGGTCGTTCTCCCAGTCGACAACTCTGGAACAAAGACAGAAGCTTGTGCTTAGTGCCCTTGATATCTTAGAGTCTAGGCAGGATGAACTGGCGCGGGAGATCACCGAGCAGATGGGCCGTCCCATCGCCTACACTGGTGTCGAAGTTGCGACAGCCATCAGGCGCAGTCGCTACTTGACTCGTATTAGCACTTCCGTGCTGGGTGAGGAGGGAATTGTTCCTGGAGAGGAAGAAAAGGGGTTCAGACGGTATATCAAGCGTTCGCCCGTCGGCGTGGTGCTGATCATCTTCCCTTGGAACGTGAGTGCCAAACTATCACGATGTGATTAACCTCAAACACGCTAACTGGTGAATTCATATATAGTACCCCTACCTCACGCTCGTCAACAGCTTAATCCCCGCCATCCTCGCCGGCAATTCTGTCATCCTCAAGCCCTCCCCTCAGACCCCAACAATTGTTGAGCAGTTTGCCTCCGCTTTCGCGGCAGCCGGTCTGCCTGAGAACGTGCTGCAGTTCTTCCACTGTGGATCTTTCACATTGCTTGAGACATTGGTCCGGTCACCATTGGTCAATCACATTTGTTTCACGGGCTCTGAAGCCGGTGGCCTGGCCGTGCAAAAGGCAGCGGCGGATCGGATCGTGAATGTCGGTTTGGAGCTTGGCGGCAAGGACCCTGCCTACGTGCGCGAGGACGTCGATATTTCCTGGGCCGCTGAGGAGGTTGTCGATGGTGCTATCTTCAATAGTGGACAGAGCTGCTGCGCAATCGAGCGCGTATATGTTCATGAGAAAGTCTACGATGGCTTCATTGCGGAGGTGAAGAAGGTCTTGAGCAACTATCGTGTTGGCGAGCCATATGACCCCAAGACCCAAATTGGACCTGTTGTCTCCAAGCAAGCGAAGAAGGCCATTCTTGCGCAGATTGACGACGCTGTGAATAAGGGAGCGAAGGATGAGACTCCTACAAACGAAACCTTCGAGAACTTCCCCCAAATGGAAACTATGTCAAGCCCACGCTACTAATCAACGTCAACCATGACATGGCTGTGATGAAGGATGAGACCTTTGGACCTGTCATTCCCGTAATGAAGGTCTCTGGTGATGACGAGGCTGTGCGTCTGATGAATGACAGCACCTTCGGTCTCACTGCCAGTGTGTGGAGCAAAGATGTCGCGGCCGCCGAGAAGCTTGTCGAGCGTGTTGAGGCAGGTACTGTCTTTGTGAACCGCTCTGACTTCCCCAGTCCCGTAAGTGCAGTCCCGTCCGTCCGCCTCTATCACACTTGCTAACAAAAAATCCACAGGACCTCGCCTGGACAGGTTGGAAGAACTCCGGTCGTGGTGTAACTCTTAGTCGATTCGGATTCGAACAGTTTGTTAAACTGAAGAGCCACCACATCAAGGACTACCCCAAATAAGCGCATGCATCAATTTTAGGTGATCTCATTTGGTCCGTCAGCCAAAGGCCTCGGTAGTGTTAGATAGCCGATGAAGAATTGGAACAACCACTTCGACAAATCCCTTTGCTCTATTCCTGTTACACTGGGGTTGGATAGCACCAAAGAAGTGCCAAAGTCCAGCATGGCGGATATTCGCCTCTATAACCGGCAACTTGGCAAGTTATGCTGCTGACTCTGATTGGCCCATTTTGCCTGTTTTGGTTTAGTCGAGGCTTGTTGTCAACGCACCAATTCCCAGCACCATACATGATACCTACCTATGGAAGGTGATTGGAGGGGAAATAGGAAGGTTCGGGGTACGACAAGTATGATAGATGAAGATGATCCATTGTAGTCAGATCTACTCGGCTTGCTAGGTAATGGTTGTGTGGTCACGTGGGATATCAGGGGTGGTGAACGGTTACGGGCTAACAGTTCGCTAGTTCACCTTTTCTTTATGATTGCTCAAACAAGCGGACCATCAAGCTTCTAAATCTTCACCATGACTCCGTTGCCAGTGTCAGAGAACAATCCCTTCCAGTCCTTGATCAGGAGGCCAGTAACCATTCGGTACGTCTAGGTGCTAGTAGAATGGCAACCAAACACATCTCAAGTTTCGTACTTTCTGATTGCTAGTTCCTCATCCCTTCTTACCGAATAACTAGGCTATTATTCAATCCGAATACGAGGAGTACCGAGAAGATCGCAAAGAGCGACAAACCGACCATATTGTCTCAGGATCCTTCCATCGCTGGTCACTCGACAAGATATTGATGCAACTCAACGGCCCTAAAGAGGAATACAGATTTCTTGACCCACGCAATTGTCTTTGCATATGGGCCAGACCTTCGTCCCAGGTCCATGACCTGATAACCTTTGTTCAAGAAAAGTTGAAGGACCTCGTCCCTTGTAAGATGGCCAACCATCCCTCGAGAATCTCTTCAATTTGGCAGATCATTGCGCTAACATGAAAACAACAGCACTCTGGCTAATGCCGCCTGATTGCCTTCACATGACTGTCTTGGAAATAGCGTACGCTCAGTCCGAATGGCAAATCGAAGAATTAGTGCGGACTCTCCAGTCATCCAAGGACGTCACACCTTCAGACATTGCAGCATACCCACGCAGTCACCCCGTACGCCTCGTCAAGCCTATGCTGAGCCTTGATACTGCCGGTCTGTCTCTCACTTTTGTTCCGGCTGTAATAGAGGATGAATATGCTAGCCCCAGTGAGCATTACACATACCACCATCTTCGCCGAGATATCTTTGAACTGGTGCAGCAGGCCAAAGTCCCTCTTGGTACCCGCTACAGAGCTCGAGATCTTACCTCGGCATATGTCACTATTGCGCGATTCATTTCTCATGATGGGTTTTCAGCCAAGGTTTACGAGGGAGAGATGATCGATCACCGCCGTGTCAGGTCGTTTGTGGAGGAGATTGACTTGATAAATATGGAGTTGGAGAATAAATATTGGCCTCGTAAGGGCGAAATTAAGGAGGGGGGGTGAATGGCTTATTGGGCAGGAGGACTTGGTCATTCGGAGAGGTCGTCTCTGGTATGGTGGCGGGGAGGACGTCCCTCTACATTAGATAGTTGTCATGTATACATCAAGGCGAGGCTTTTTATTAACTTCGCAAATGATTCTTGCAATTGATAGCCCCAGCTAGGTCATCATAAATCCACGCCGGGGCAAGTCCCGCATAAGCAATTTGCTTATAATGACAAAGTGGGCCTAAGTTCTTCAACAGCACGGCCGGCTGGCCCAATGGCAAGGCGCTTGACTACGAATCAAGAGATTGCAGGTTCGATCCCTGCGTCGGTCAATATTTTTGGTTTCTTGTCTTCTTTTACTGTATCAATGGTAGGGAGGTACTTTTTTTTACACATAGAATATGAGGACCTGTGAAAATGACGCCGAAAATGACCACTTTTGGCGCCAGAAACGGCCGTCTTTCCACCCGTAACTTTGGAGGGCGAGCGGGCGCTTCACCGCCCACCGTCCAGTACCCTCACTATTTTGCACCCACCTAGCGCCGTTAGTCATCATCTTCCAGCTGTGATGTAGGCGCCGTTCAACAGTCATTCCACCTGCCACCAAAAAGACGCCGAAAATGGCTCCCTTTTGCAGTCCCTCCCAGGAGCCTTCGCTTTCCGTCTTGCCTGGCCGGGCGCCTATAAGATGCCTCTTTTCTTCCCCCTCTCATGTTCTTCCAGTTCTCTCCTCATCCCCAACCCCCACTCCCCAAGTCGACTTTGACAACCTTGTTGCCCGTGTTTCGAGATTCCAACCTTGCTCATTTATCCTGGATTTTCACTATGGCACCTGTGCTCATTCAGTCAGCTCAGGGTGATGAACACCAATACTGGACCGACCCCATTCTTTGCGAGGAAACTCGAACCAGACTGGAACATTTCCGTAGTCTTGGATGGCTACCTCCAAACTTCAAACCGAGGACTTTACTAGGTATTGCCGTCATCGAACGCTACTGGCGAAAGTAAGTGGGGAAATTCTCAGAACAAGGCATCGTGTGTAGGAAATAACTCATGAGTATAGGTTTTGCATTCAGTCGAACGAGGACTACGTGGACCACCTTCTTCTGGAGGATCATGCGATCTACATGAACTTTTTCGACTGGATGTTCAAAACATCGCGAGAGAAAAAGCTGCAGCCTTATGATGAGTACTGGCGCCGACTTTGTCAGTATTTCGAGCTGTTTGCCCGTCGCCGTGTCAACGAAGACGCTCATAAACAGATGCGACGAGTACGAGGATTCCTTCTATGCTAGGGGAGATTAGACTAATGTCGACCCAGGAAAGCAGCTCTACGTACTTCGGACCATGAACGGCAATCCAGTTTCTACTATCGAAAACGTCAAGGGTCTACTTGACGAGATCGAAAAGCTCGGACAGCAGTTCCTCCGCAAGACCAAGTACAGGTTTATGAGTTCCGAATCATCGTCAAACCGCCTGCAGAGCTTGGAGTTGAAGCTCGACAGTGGGCTCCGCGCCATTTTCGGCGACAAGGACTACATCGCCGTTATCTACGGCTCCTCCGCGCTCCGCAATAACGCTCTCCTGTCCGACATTGACCTCATGGTCTTTGCACGCGACGCCGACCCCGCACTGTGCAAGGCTCTGGAGGCCATGTTCCGATCCACTATGGGCGAGGAGGGCATCCTCATCGACGCCGAGGTCCCATTCGAGCGGAAGCTTCTAGTTCCCATCCAGCTTGCAGCCAAGGCGGCTAGATCCGGCCCTCCACTGGACGAGGCTGGCCACGTCCTGAGCATCCGTCAGACGGCCGAGTACCTCGCGTCTGACGAGATGCTGAAGCGGCTAGTCTTCAACGTGCTAACAACGCCGAACAAGGTCTTTTCGGCGAGCGGGGGCAGCACTCATGACTTTAAACAGCTAGAGCAGGATGCGGCCGACAATCTGGTGGACTTAATCCGCCGCGTTAACCCAGGCAAGGTGAACACAGCTGAGGACTTTGTCAGGTTTGCGATCTCGGATGGCCCTCGCAGTGGGGAGGAGTATCTTGGCTACAAACCCCGTGACAATGTGGTTGAGAAGCTCCGTCAGATCTTCAAGGATGCCATCGAAAGCCATGGCCTGGCTGCACTACGTAGTTAGTTAATGTAATCGGTAGGGGAGCGCCGCACCCCAAAACACCATAGTCAGGGGAGATTTTACAATTCGATATCTCAACAACGATGCCTTAATATAATATTTTATGATGTACTAGCACTATTTAGATCATATCTAGCTCATTTACGATGTTTGAAAGAGTTAGGATGTTTTGTGGTTCAGATATATATAATAGTTGCCTGAAGCGCTGTATTTTACGTTAGTTAACTAATGGCGCAGGTTGGGTGCACTTTGGCGTGCCAGGTCGGTACTAGCAGACCGAGCGGAAGAACCAGAGGAATTCGGTCGGCCCTAGAAGAACTTGTAGCCGGAAAGAATAGAACGAAGCAAACGAAAACAGTATATTCAGTCTCCATACTAATAATCAAATAAAATTAACTTGTGGTTGTTGGAATACCGAGTTGTAAAAATATCGCATTTACTATGGTGTTTTGGGGTGGCCCGGACGGCCGTGTGGCCCGGTCGGCCGTGAACTACGTTACCTCGTTTGGGATGAGTCATTGCGACGCTTGCGTCGCGTTACTTACGGCCAAAACGACGGCGGAGATAATTCGGCTTGAATTCTATCCATCCGATTGGTTGTTCGGCTGAGAATCCTTTCCCTCTGATTGGTTGTCCTTCGACCTACGGATTTTGCCTCTCCGGTGACTTTCCGCCTGCCTTTCACGGGATAGGGCTAGGCGAAGCTGAGCGCAGTTAATTCCCAAGACAATCGGGCGCCGGGAGACCTCGTACCTCAAGGGACTTCCACCCTCGGCGGTGCCACCTTTGTTCCGCTTCAACACCCGAACATAAGTGCTTCCAAATTCTGCCTCTAAGGCGTCCAAGAAGACCACCATGGCAATGCCACAGCAACGTGACTACTTAGTCGTCGGTAACAATGTGGATGCCATCCCGACTTTGTCCAGCCTCAACGTACCACCACCACCGGCAGGATAGTCGTCCTGAATGGCTTCCCGGGCACAGGCAAGCTCACTATTCTAAAGCAAGCCAAAAAGCTCTTGCCCGCCGACACGACCATCCTCTTGGACAACCACCTGCTCATTGACCCCGTAATGGCAGTCATACCCGACCGAAGCGATGAACACCACGAGCTGCGCCGCAAGTTACGGGCGCCCATCTTTAAGAAGCTAGGAGAATGCGCACAAGAGGGCTACGTCATCTTCATGACGGCATGCCTGGCCGAAGATGACGTGAGGGATACCGCCGTCCTCAAGGAGCACCTCGACATGGTGCGCGGGACCGACGTACCCATCATTTGGGTGAATGTACACTGTGACCAGACAGCCCTGGAGCGTCGCCTTAGGAGCCCCGAGCGCTGCCAAGGGGCCAAGACGAAGCTGACGGAGGTGCGCGTACTCCAGGACCTGCTGCGTGAGCACCGCCTCATTGAGCCGAGTAAGAGCGCCGACGGATCGACGAAGCTAGTAGTAGAAACCTTGGATGTGAGCGGGCCGGTGGAACTCTCTGTCAGCCGTTTGATGAGCGCGATCGGTTTTTAACCCAGTATGGTGTCAGCATAAAGCTGTGTATATCAGCCAACCAAAGCGTCTAATGTTTTTATTTTTATTTTTCCTTTTTAGGGTAAGGAGGGAAGGCAGATTCGACTCACCATTCCCGACCACGGAAAACTTGAGAGCAAGACCTCTCAGACGGAGTCGAGCTTCGGGGGAAACTGGAGGCATGCAGACGGGCAGACGGCTACATGCGTGATCAAGGCCTCTTCATACCCACCTACCCCACGGTCATTGGCTTCGACATCTCGGGGCTAGTCCTCAAGGTCGGCGACAACATCCCCGTCGGTGCTACCGATGAAGGTCCGGGCCCTTTTTTCCGACCGGGGATTACCCGCGTCGCCGCCTACGCCACCTCCGTCTGGAAGTCCTGCGACCCTGACTACGGCGCCTTTTAGGAGCGGTGTCTCGTCCCCTGGCAGCACGCCCTGCCTCTTCCGGATGAGGGTATTTCTTGGAACCAAGCGGCAACCTTGTTCGTCGCCGTTGAGATACCCCTTAACGCGTGGGATGTTACGGGGATTTCACGGGTGGGAGAGGCCACTGCTTCTTCCTCCGTCTCCGCTGCCCCAGTCGGCGCCGATACCAGCGGAGGAACTCAGGAATATAAGAAACAAAAGAGAGACGCCCTATTAATCTGGGGCGCTTCCTCTAGCGTGGGCACGATAGGCGTGCAAAGCGCCCGGCTGCTGCGGGAAGATCGCGACTCTTCTTTTGCCGCCATGTACGCCACGGCCGGTGCGGCGAATTAGAAGTATGTAGGCTCCCTAGGCGCGGATCGCGTCTTCGATTACAAAGAGCAGTAGGCTGTGAATGCGATGATGATGACGATGATGATGATGATGATGATGATGATGATTCTATTTCTAGTCTGATATAGCAATCCTATTGTTGCGGCGCTATGCAGACCCAGATCAGCTGAAGTACATGCGGTACGTCCTCTGCATGAGGGACCATAGAAATCACAATTCCGTCTCATGTGCCACAAGCTGGTTTTCTCGGCCGATGTATAGGCACATGACCCTAGTAGTAGGAAAAGTCACAAAAACCCCTAGGAATTCTACCATGCTCGGTATAGAGACAGCGGGAGGGAGGGGTGTGTATGAGAACCATGCTCCACGACCCCCCTATCTCTCCCCCGGCACTAGGCTTGTATCCAGCTTACTCCTCCTCCGCCGTGGTCCCCTTCTCACTCCCAGCCAGCGAGAGATAAAGGGATGGTGGCCGCGGGGTTCGAACCCGCTATACCTTGTTATAGGCGTGGGTAGGGCCCCTACTACCAGACGCCTCTTTGGTACACACCAATCGGCGGCCAGAGAGGACGGCCTACAAGATCGATTCCAGCACAGCAGGTGGCGCTCCGCCGCCGTTTGGGTCAGGGAACAAACCAGATGCGGGACTACGCGTCTAGCTGTTTATCTCTAGGCCTGTTTACTCACCTAACCGGCCCTTTCATAAATTACCATTTATTACAGACCCTCGCATAGCGAGGGTCCGCCACCCAAACGATAAAGACACCCATACAATAAATTTATCGACCCATCTAAGAGGCTAAGAGCGTACGGTCTGGGGCACTGCATGGCCCACTGCACGTCCATTGCCGCCTTTCTATTCGTTGCTCAATTTTTTCTCGCGTTATCATTGGTCAGCTCACAGCTGTAAATTGCACGTCCGCTTTGGGTTTAGCCTCTGAAATTGCATCTCAAATGCGCTGCCTTTGTTTACACTCAACGTCCTGCGATTAGATTACTGACTATGGTTCTACTGAATCAGCCTTCAAGCCGCCGAGCGAAGCGAGGGTAAACGGCTTGTACTGTAGTATTATTTGACAGGTTAGTGAGGCCCGGGGGGCCCGAACCGGCCTCCTATTGCACTCTACCCCTGTGGCCCCTGCCCGTCCCCGCACTCTCCCTGCCCCTTCCGGCATAGCGCCCGCGTCCCTCGCCCTGTTCTGGTTTACCGCCCTCCGGTCGTCTGCCATCCATCTACAGTCTACACAGTACATAGGTAAAGACCCCTCGCAATCTCCTCCTCTTCGTCGATGCACTTTTCTCTTCTCTTTTCCCCTTCTTCCCCAATCCCCCCAACCCCAGGATACACTATCAACCCCTGAATAAATATCAGTTGTATTGAACTCATATATTTCTTGATGAAAGTCCAGCCCGGCTGCTCTTCATAGCCATCTTGTAACACGCATATTATTTGACCACGCTACTTGCAAACAGGCGGCGGGAACACAAATATCAGACTTTCCCGAAGGCACGAGACCAGATCCATAAAAGCAAGACCAGAAACGTTGATAGAAACATTGATGGAAACATGCACCGGGGATGTGTTACACCAGCGAATATCAAGCTGAAAGCAATAATGAGCCAGTCCTGATTCTCCGTCCTCCAAACGCTGGGCACCATCCGCCAAAAGAATGGCAAAGAGGGAAATAGTATTCGGAGAATCACTATGGGCCATACCCTTTTCTAGTGTCCGCTCTCAGGAAGAGCTGCTCTCCCTGTATGACTTGGCAATGTTCTCAGTGACATGATTCCTCTTCTCCAGTGATTCCTCAGCCGCATTATTCATCCTTTTCTCCTCTTCCGGGTTGGGAATTCTAATCTGCTGTGGTTCAAAAGACTTTCCCCTTTTTCTGGCAGATTCTTCCCCTTGTATTTTGAGGGACTGCGCAGAGGAGGCTGCAAGATTTAGCTGGTAAGCCGTCTGGTCACGGGCAGCTTTCTTGGGATCCGACATGCTGCTATGGCACGGATTTCCACCCAAATCTATAGCCAAGTGTGAGCAAGGGTATAATTGTACGTTTAATAGTCGGTTACTTACCGATATGAAGATATTATATGATGGTGAGAGGTAAGTCGTTGAAAGGGGTGCCTGTCTAGCAAAATGCCGTGTAGATATGTAAGAATGGTAGGTTGATTGTACCTGGCGTTGAGAATCGACAGAATAGCGGACGAGCATTGTAGTATTTATACCTCAAGACAAGAATGATAATGGTGACTTCTCACACTTGCAAGGACACGTCGTTGCCATATTAGCGGCTGGAACGGAGGACAGCCAAGGGCGAAAGCAATGCGTAAAGCAGGCGGCAATCAGAACCCCAAACCAGTGAAAGCTCCTGACTTGGCGCCGTTGGCGTCCCGGTGACACTGCCATCATATTCTGATATTCAAGGCTCGAATGACCATGGTTGACCGACTCGAACAATTCGAGTAGTATCGGTCTGCGAAAGAGGCTGCGTGCCCGCTTCAAGTATGAGCGCGTAATGGCTGGATGATAGCCCACAAAAGTCCGAGCGCCACAGATAGTAGCTAGTGAAGAGCGAGACTGCGAGAAACGCGAACCTGTCTGCGAACCAGGTACGCCACTGGGAGTAATGGGACTACTGTACTACAGGAGAGGAGAACACAGGGGTGGTCTAGAAGAGGAGAAGTGTCTGATCGTCCTATCCATGCGGTGAAGCCTTTTACCCTGGATCCTGGATCCGGGCACCTCAATCACAAATGCTGAGTAATCCATACACCGCCCATTTCACCATGATAGCGATGGCCTCATCAGTATCCTGATGATAGCGCGATTCTCCCCCTACACTACTATGTAGTTACATAGTTAACTACTCATCACCTTCATGGACCCGCCGTATGACTTGGCGCTCACATCACCCCTGAAAGTTCAGACTGTCGCAAACCTGACCATTGGATGATTGGCATATAATATTGGAATAAGCCTCCATGCCTTTACCACCCCCGGCGTGGCTGGAACAAGATGGCGCGTAGAATGTTGGCCAAGTCTACTGTTGACACAGATCAGAGTTGGAGAAATAAACCAACTAAACTTAGTGCCAGGGGAAATGACTTGTCGACAAACAGCGCGTGTCCACACTCCACCCGCCCGCAACTCAAGGGTTTCTCAAATTTCCATTGGCGAATGTATTAGTCATGTGATTGTTTGCCAAGTGACCCATAACTATTCTTGTTCTCCTTTTCTGCCGCTCTTCTCTCTCCCCAAATACATCACGGACGTCAGTACCATACGAATTGATCGTTCCTCTTTTTGACTTGATTTCCTTCGTACTATTCCATCTCTTTATAACACAAATATGCAAACCCGAATGTGTCCTGATGATGTGGCCTGGGAACAAGCTGAGGAAATATCTGACAATTGGCTGGCTCAATTTCTCGAACATGACGTCTTGAGACCGATCGGAAATTTCATACTTGAACACAACGGAGGCCGTGGGACCGATTTCGAAATACTCAGAAAAGGTTCTTATAACATCTCGTTGCGATTGAAGGATGAACGTTCACATGAAGCCACCGTTATCCGGTTGTCGCAGCCCGGCGCCGTCTTATTCCCTGAGGAGAAAGTCGTGAATGAGGTTGCTATGATGCGATTTCTCATTGACAAGACATCAATACCCATTCCATTTATCCACCACTCGGGAACAAAGAAGGAGAGCCCCCTCGAACTGAGTCCATTTATTATGATGGATTATATCGAACATGAAACGAAAATGTACGACGCTCTCAATGTCCCAGGATGCCCGACAGACGAACGCGGGATCCTGGACCCGGCTATCGACCAAGGTAGACTTGAAATGCTATACGGGCAGCTGGCGGGTATCCTGCTTCAGCTTTCGACCCCCTCTTTGCCTCGGATAGGATCTCTTATCCAGATCGATGACTTCACCTGGGAAGTAACACGCCGGCCGTTGTCCATGAACATGAATGAACTTGTCCGATTGGGAAGCTTGCCGCGATCGAAACTGCCTGATCTACATACTACATTCACTACGACTTCTTCGTATCTCGAAGCTCTCGCGGACCTCAATATTGAGCATCTCGTCCACCAAAGAAACGATTCTGTGGAGTCCGCAGATGACTGTCGGCGAAAATTTGTGGCAAGGCGGCTTTTCCGCAAGCTTGCCAGGGACAAGCGACTCACCAATCCCTTGCTCGAGGAAGGGCCCTTCAAACTATGGTGTGATGATCTGCGCCCAGCTAATGTGCTGCTGCATGATAATTTGAAAATTGCCGGCGTGGTAGACTGGGAATTCACATACGCAGCACCCGCTGAATTTTCCTATGCGCCGCCTTGGTGGTTGCTCATTGAGAAGCCTGAGTACTGGTCAGCAGGCCTTGAGGACTGGACCAGAACGTTTGATTATCGCCTAAAGACATTCCTTAAGGTCATGAAGGATCATGAAGAGAGTGCGATCCAACAAGGTCGGCTGAAGGATGACCAACGGCTCTCGGACCGTATGTATCAGAGCTGGGAGAGTGGGGATTTCTGGATTGTTTATGCAGTATTGCATAGTTTTGCCTTTGATGTAATCTACTGGCAGAAGATCGACCCACGCTTTTTCGGGCCTACTGAGAACCCCGAGGGGGCATGGAAAGAGAGACTCGACCTGCTGGATGATCAGGAAAGGGACGAGATGGAACAATTGGTGGTTCGAAAGCTGAAAGAGATGACAACAAGGGATCTTGCGTGGGACCCAGATGAATATACATTGGCTTTCCACCGGCAATTGAAGGAACGAAAAGAAAAGCCACGTGAAGGAAAGACGACTGGAGCGGATGGAGTCCACGATATTGACAACAGATCAGAAGGCTGTACTGGAGGACCTGACTAAGTTCATCATCGGTCGGGCGCGCAGCACCATCCATCGTCGAGGACTCGAGGACCCATTGATTGAATTTGAATGCTGCGTGAGGGTTCACCAAATAACTGTGCGGGTGCCCGATAATGGTCACCGGGAAATCCTTTGTCGATTGATGGTTGGCAGATTCCTGAATTCCCTCGGCCTTCTCTGGTGTTGGGATCGTTACGAATGTCGCCTATTTATTGTTAAATTGAGGCAAGCAACAATTTAGCAAATGTAATCTTGCTCTATTCGATATGTAAGGATGTGGCTCGCAAGTGACCAACTAAACCAAATATATATGTCTATCTGAGGAAACTATCTGGATATGGAGGTTTTCGTCCATTTGTCTTGTCCGGAACATACTAGTGCCGTTCCGCACACAGGACCAAGTCCGATCACGTGGCTTGTCTTGGCAAAGAGCTCCTGCAATTGACCGAATGGCGGTTGCTAGAGCCTTGGGAAAACATAGGCTTGGCATCGCCGCCTGATTCAACCAGGAATTTCTGGCTGAATTCAACATTTATTACACAGTACAGTTCTACCGCAAAAGTTTCCGTGGACCCGCCCCACCGAGAATATATATATTTGAACCCATGAGTTTGAAGTAAATAATTTACATCAGCCATCGCTTGTAATCACAGTAAAAATAGGATCATTCAACGGGGAATTGCTTGATTAATCTAATGATATTATTTAGAGAGTCTAATATTCAGTGTACCACCCCTGAGAGGAGATAAAAGCCTCAACCCTGTGGTTCATCGTCCTCACCAACTTGTCAAAGTAATTCTGGCCTAGCTCCTCCCACGCCCGGTCGATTAAATTGGAAAAATGCTCCTTTAATGCACAAGGGGTCCCAGCAAATGATTCCAGGTCCGGATTTAGCCTATCATTATTAGAGCTTAGCCCAGGCATGTTTGATAGGGTTCAGATCCGGCGAATACGGAGGCCACTTCATCACATCATATTCGTGCTCATCCAACCACGACTTGGGTAAACGAGCCGTATGAACCGGGGGATTATCCTACATGAATATGCGGTTGATATCATCGAAAATTTGAGTAGATATTCCTCTAAAACATCGAGATATGCGCGTGCTGAGTAGCCGTTTCGGGCGGATGCCTCATCTCGAACCATTTGGTATAATTTCGAGGAACCACCACCCCAGATCGCGCCCCGAATGATGACAGAGAGACCTTTCAACTTCTGGCATGTGATCACATGTTCATTTTTATACTTCTCGTTGACGTGGTTCAAGTGGAAGACCAAACAGTCGGGCCTCTCTTTTCCGTCCTCGACGGAACATTCATCACTCCACACATCTCGCTTCCACTCATCCCACGTCCGATTCCAGTGGGCCAAAGCCCATTCTAGACGTAGTGCGGCCACTTCCGGAGTCAGGAAGGGCTTTCTTTTAGCATTTCAATGGTCATAGCCCGAGGAATTCACTAGACGAAAAAGGGTGTCGTCCTAAGCCATTAAACCGCTTTGTTCGCGAATTTCTCAGTACACGATAAAGGGATCGCGCGTAATTAAGCGCAGGTTCAAGCGTTTGCCACCCTCAGAGAGAATAGGGGGTCTCCCAGATCGAGGGCAGCTCTTCCCATCTGCTCGGGCGCGTTCTTGTGCAAGGGTATATTGGATGGTTGAAGGGGATAAACTATAGTGTCGCGCAATAGTGGCTGTGGGAGTCCCAACTTCAGCTTGGCCAATAAATTTACCGCATATGTATGAAGATAACTCACTTCCCTTTACCTTGTTTAAAATAATAGGACGTAAGGGCGTTCTGGGAACTATGGTAGGTGTTTGAAGAAGGTGAGTTGGTTGGCACGCGTTCTAAAAACGCGGGTGTGGGGCCGCATCCACGGAAACTTTTGCGGAGGGACTGTACATACCAATCAGCTGGCGTTGCAGCAATTTTCTTCATGTATTCTGCATTTTTCTGAGCCGAACCTACTGATAACAAAACCAGTCATATATCTGTAAAATTGGGCGAGAAATATGTCCTTTTAATGAGGATGCTTAATATGTTACCTGAACGATAGTAGTCAACTCCCATGGCTGCGATGGGTCGGACGGGAGAGATCTAGTTCTCTGATAGTGAGCGGGCCAGCCCCATAGTCAACGACTCAACGTCATCGATGGTGTTTAGAAAGGTCACCTCCGTGTTGAATGCGTCTGCCCTCCTGAGTGATGCATACACAGTTGGTAAGCGTCGGGGTTTATTTTTCCGTCTTAAGGCTTAAGCGTCGTCCCTCGGACTCCCTCTCTAGACCTTGCCGTTGAACCAATATCTCACATCAAGATTTCGACATGCTCTCAAACTCCAATTTCTGGAGAAGCGGACATGATGCCGAAGAATTACCTTCGCCGACCACCGTCGTCCCATTCGCTGGGCGCATTGGTGCCAATCAAGAGTCCTCAGTGGACAAAACCAACAGTGCGCATATAGAATTGTTGCAGCAGTCTCCTGACGCTGCTCCCTGGATCCCGTTAAAGGATGCGCTATCTCTGCGACATTTTCTGCATGTAGCGCTATGGAAGGCTGCTGTTGTCGAAGCTATAGGTCTGTGAACTCTACCTAAATGTTTAAGTGAAAGTAATATTCACAGCACTAGGAACATGTTTGTTGGTATATTTGACCTGCTTTATAGCTGTGGGCCTTGGTGAAACGGTGAAGTAAGATTCTCGGTCTCTCCCTCCGTGGCTGAGATTAATATGATAACACTGCGAAGCATCCTTGCGACCGGTGCCCTTGTACCCAACCTACTTAGTGGCCTTACGGCGATCCTGGTTCTTCCTTTATTCATCTTCGCTGCCGGTCCAGTTTCCGGCGCGCATCTTAACCCTACCATCACCATCGCCACATTCTTCGGGCGATTAGCGACCTTGCCACGATGCATTCTGTACGTTGGTTTTCAAGTTTTCGGAGGGGCTATTGCAGGTTTGCTGTTAAGAGCGAGCCTCGACACCAGATCTGTATGTCACTCCTTTAGGCCGCCTAGACCTCATACTGACGTTCATATCAAGTTCATCGTGCCAGGTTGCTATATTGATACTACCAAAGTCTCAGCGGGCAGCGCATTTGCCATAGAATTCACTACAGATCTCGCTTTGATCTTTCTTTCATTCGGTGTCGGTCTTGATCCTCGACAGCGCTCTGATTTGGGCCAGCCTTAGGGCCTATCTTTGTTGGCATTGTTTTAGGAATGTGTACCTTTGTGACGGGGTTCAGCCGTCCTGGGTACACTGGGTTTTGTAAGTTTCTAAGTCAACCCTACAATGCTTGTAAGTCTAACAAGTTACAAGCGGGAAACCCGGCACGGTGCTTCGGGGCAATGGTTGGATCGCATTTTGCTTCTTATCATTGGATCCATTGGATAGCACCGTTGTGTGCATCTATCATCCATGGGATGCTATATTATCTTATTCCACCTTACTCTCGGAAGAGTACCCCATATGTGAGTGAAGGAAGACCTTGAGTCATGGAACATTTGACCGAAGCCGTGGTTATGATGTCTTGATACCAACTTGCTCTTGTCAACAATCATCAAGATGATTAGCTGTGAACATAACTGGGTTTATCTGACTATTTGAGTGCACAAAAGCACTCAGCAGCGGTTCTCTGAAGTGATGCCGGCCAACCAATTCTGTGCTGATAAGTCCTATTACCAAATAACATCCTTCAAACATAAAGCCCCAGGATTCTTTGCTGCACTGCATCATGTACTTGGAATTCCTCGATACTCTTGAGATCATGGAATTGTCATATGTTTTGATAGGTGAGCAATCTGCCCCAGGATTTGTTCTGAATTGTACATGACAGGATCTCGGCGCTCACTTCCCCAAAAATCCCTACTCCAGTCAAATCTCATAATTACATCCCAGCAACCAAGCGGCATGCCGTGAATAGAGTCAGTAGAGCTCGTCCTACTCTATATAAGGTGGGAAAGTGGGCTGGTGTTCAAGAAACTCGATAGTACCTATCCGACGGGGCCACAGCTTAAATTAGGCGACAGACCTTCGGCCAAGAATGATCGAGACTTACGGGGTGTGGTCCACATAGGCTTGGTGATTGCAGTGTAAGGCTCATAATAGGGTCGGTTCATTTGTACCTGTAGATCGTTATATATTCCGTTCATTTTGTGAAACTTGGCGTGGTCAGAAAGGGGCAGTAACTCACTGTCATGAACCAATCCTTACTCCCCTTCCATGTCTCAACCCAGCAAAATTCACCCTTTGTGGACGTAACACCAAATACTTCGAAACGTTCACACTCTGGCTCTTTGATGCAATGTTCAAAACATTCATGAAATCTACTTAGTGAAGAGCCCAGGAAAGAACCCGTCATTATTCAGCATCTCGTAATAGGTACATAGGTCCCGCGTATCCTAGTCGTCTAGTTACGAGTCAACTTCCCATCGTTAAAAAAATTTATGGTTGAGAGTCGACAACTTTGTTCTGGATCTTTGGGCTTTAGAAAGCCCTAAGCCTATATGACAAAAATGACTAATGTTATACTTCATGTTTTGCCTTTCTTTTCTTTACATTCAGGTAACTAGATCGCTGATTCAGGGTTATATAATGAGCGCCAAGACCGTATTTATGTGGGGCTCTATTGGGAGCCTCATGGCCCCCCACTAATGAGCCGTGGGCTGGGAGCCTGGGCCGCGCCCTAGGGTTTGGTGCGGCCCCATAGGCTATAGCCCACTGCTGTTGGACTTTGAGAAGTCCGGCCCATTGCGGATGTGACATGTCTAGACCGGTGAATTGTGATACGTACTACTGATATCATAAACTGAACGTAGCCAACTACATAAGAGCAGCCAAGAAACACATGAAACATCCCTAGCTCGCATACTTTGACTCCGCCTAAAGTCATCCGGAAACTTTTATCATGCCTACAACTCTCATAACTGGATCTTCTGGCTTTTGTTGAATCAACCGTGTTGGCCCAGTTGCTCCAACATGGACACCGTGTTATTGCAACTGTTCGCTCCACACGTTCCGCCGATGGGATGTTGTCGGCTCATCCCGAATGGAAGGACGTCCTGATATTTTCGGTCGTGCCCGACTTCACAAATCCTGGGGCTTTTGATGCCGTCTTCAAGGAATACCCTGAAATTGACTATGTGATACACGTGGCCGCACCTTTACTCGATGATCCTGGAAACACTGACTTTGTCGAACACTTTGAGAAGCCATCCGTCCTTGGGAATTCGGGTCTGCTAACATCGGCACATACACATGGAAAGAATGTCAAAGCTATTGCCGTAACAGGGAGTCTCAACGCCATTACAACGGGTGCGGCGGAAGACATCAGCAGCCGTGTTCTTGGGAATGATCAATGGCTACCCCTGGATCGGGAGGATGCTATCAAGCTTCAAAATAGCTTTGTGTGTCTACTCCTGTTCTGCTGTTGCTGACTGATTATAAAGATTGCTAATTACTCGGAATGGTTCTAGATTTCTTACTGTGTCGGGAAAAAAGTTGCTGAAAAGACAATTTGGAAGTTCGTCGAAGAAACAAAGCCCTCGTTTACTGTGACAAATTTTATGCCGTTTCTCATCTTCGGACCAATGGTTCAAAAGGTGTCCAGTCTTAACAAGCTCAATTTCAGCACCAACCAAATCTACTCCATCATGAACAGCGCAAAGGACAATGGCAAAGTCCCTGCAACAGCCTTCCCAGGATCTGTAAGTACCCATCAATATGAAGCAATCTGAGGAAACACAGGATATTGAGTATTTGCCTACTAGATTGATGTCCGTGACCTTGCTGAAATGCATATTGCGGCACTCACAAACCCAGCTGCTGCCAATAAGCACTTTGTTGTTGGACAACCAATGTCTTTCGACGAGATAGCTGACAACCTTCGCAAAATTCCTGAATTGGAGGACCGCGTGGGAGAAAACAGTGGGATTGTCGGCCCAGTGCCACGATTTGGCGTTGATGAAGCCATTGAAGTATTCGGAGACTTGGGTCGAGGGAGGCCCAAGGGAGAGACATTCACAGATACAGCGAAGCAACTTCTTGAGCTTGAACGGGCTATGAAAAAGTGACAGCGGAGCACTGTATGAATTGCTTTGCGAATGGAAATTGTAAACGGCGGACCTGTGAATTACTATATCCGGTTAGTTTTGCCTCTTCTGGTTTAGGGCCCCAGCATGTAGTTCCCACCATGCCCGCAGTAACCCCAAGACAAGATTGTTATCTGAAGCATCTCCGATCTTGATCGCCCCACCAGCAGATGAGATGTCAACAACAACCGCAACAGTAGGAGGCGAGGTTTGGAAGACAACTTCAACCGTTGGGCCGTGGATAAGTTTGCAACTATCGTGACCGACTTATAGACGTTAATTATTGACCAGAACCAGCTGTATGTCGCCGGCGGGGAACTCTTGCGCCAGCCTCCGCTTTCACTTTTTATCATTACCGACAAATGCACGCTTAGAGTTCCGGTTGTTGAAGGGGCACTCCCACGATGCACATTTGAGCCTGAAATATCCTCCAACATCGCACCTGCGAAGAGCACAGATGGTACACGGGTCTGAAAGCAAGTCTGCTGGGCCACATCTCAAGATGCAGACTCTGTGAATAACAGCAACACTCGAGAAAAATCGAGGAATATCTCATGTCCAACCAGTCACCCTGGAGCTGTTGCAGCTGTACTAACGCCCTCTATTAATCGATGCCAGCGATGCTACACCAGCCTCTCAGATCGAGAGAATGTGATTCGGTCAAAGTCATTGCTTGGGGAGCATTATTGTTGCACCTTGTATGGCGGGGGTTCCATTAGGCCAGAGGATAAACATGATACTACTGTTGATTGTTTAACCAAGGGTCTGTTAAAAGTTCCCGAGCGCTCTGTCTCTCATCTGGGTCCCATTGAAGCATCTTCCTAACGAACTGCGTAAACATTTGCTTGTTCAATCCCTCCAGATACTCTTCGGAGTCCTCCAGTGAGATACGTGGGATTACTTCGGAGGCTTTCCATTGGCCTAGTTGTGAAGTTAGTTGGGAGAATGAACTCAAACATTAAAGAATCGGGTAATGAAGCCACCTGAGATGTCCCAGTAATTTTGACTGAGCGATGATTTGCGCAGAAATTCAGCAGGCGGAGGGCCGAGGATTGCTATCATTTCGGCGAGGAGTTGGGCATCAGAATGACGACCATCTGGTCCCCTACCATCAAATAGATGGTGATCCTCGAAGAGATCCCAGATCTGAATCTCTGCGTTAGCCCACGTAACAAATGGATACATCGGTAAAAGTTGTGTTTCGTAGCATACCAGCACTCCAACGTTCCATATATCAACTTTTGCTGTCCAACTCATTCCGAGAATCACTTCGGGAGCACGGTAGATGTCGGGCTGTACCAATCCACTGTTACCTCCCCGATGCGAGCTTCTCCAAAGTCTGAAAGCAGTGGCATCCCAAAACCACTCCATCCCTTCTTACGACGAAACGGCCGAAACAAATAGATAGTATAGTCGTCTTTGACCTTCCGAGGGCTCGGGTCAGCAGCCTCGCTGGCATCCCATTCACGGAAAATTGAGTCGTCCTTTGCACCGATAATAATATTCTTTGCTTGGACGTCTAGAAAGTCATATTAGCATTGATCAAGAGTGGGCTTGTTATTGTTCCGAGAGCAAGCTGTTCTCCCTGTGGATGGGATGGTTGATCCTGAAGATTACGATCTGGCCCGTGAGAATAGTCGCAAGTTCAAAGATACCTTCATTGGGCTGGCGAAGGATGAAGAAGAAAAGGAGCTGTTCAGGAATCTATGGCCATCCTAAGAGTCCGGGAATATCTGAGATTCGATGAAGGTGTAATCTTATAAGGTGTTCAGATAAATTCGGCTAAAATATCCTATTTCGAGGCAAATTCTTCTCTTGCGCGGGTTTGCCGCAATAAGATGGATCAAGCCGATTCTCCTGGCATGTCGCTGGCTCAACTCCGCTCCGCCTTGGCTGCCCGTCATCCTCTTAGGCTCTTATACTCGCAGTATGGTCGTATGTATTTGAAAGAGCTATGAGATGAGGAAACTTATAAAGCTGCGGAGCAGGAGATATCAGACTATCAAGGAATAGGGCATCCACGATACGTGTCATGCGTTGTGTATTACACAAGCAATTACAAGATAAAAATCAAAATGATTTTGTGTGAATATGGGTTTTCTTTATGTTGGCTATTTGGTAAATCTTTACAGCAGACAGTTTCCTGGTCTAGCGGTTATGATTTTCCGTTAACAAATGCGATCAGCATGTGTTCCGGAAAGGTTCTGGGTTCGATTCCCAGGGAAACTATTTTTTTTGTTTTTTGTCAAATCCTCCTGGAAGACAGAATCAGATAGAAATGCGAACTGACATTCTGTTTCGTCGATTTGAGTTCGATATTCTATCTACCATGGCCATCGAAACCCAGCGGCACTACTGAAACGCTTACATCGATGCTCGGAAACGTATGTTCTTTTCGTCAAATTCGAAGAGATTCCAATATTGATTAAATATGGGCAGTCCTAAGGACAGAAAAGCAACGCTATTAAATCGATATGTCTAAGCCCCAAAGTGAGGAGCGTTAAGGACCAGCCCCATCAGACATCCACCAATCGTACCAGCGATAGGAATAGTCATAATCCAAGCAAGCATCAAAAGCCCAACACGCTGGAAGTTGACGGCCTTGAAAGTTCCATTGCAGAGCCCGACACCGACGGTGGCACCGGTGATGCACATGGACGTTGAGACGGGCAGCGAGTACTGCGAGAAGACCAAAACGGTGAGGGCTGCGCCCATTTCCATGGAGGAGCCACGGGAAGGAGAATGGTAGGTGATTTTGTTACCCATAACTATAGCATATAATTAGTAAACTGAATGGAAATGGCAAATGGTAAGGAAACGTGAGAGTGTGCTTACCTTTCATGATATTGTATCCGTACGTGCAGAGACCAACAGAAATGCAAAGAGCCAGAACGGCGAGCTGCCACACCGGAACAGGGGCCTTAGAGGCAACTGGAGTGCCAGTGGACCAGGCCGAATAAATGGCAGCCCAGGGTCCTACCGAATTACCGATGTCGTTGGCACCGTGGGCGAAAGACGCAGTGCAAGCAGTGATGATCTGGATGAAGGAGTAGGTGTGCTCGACCTCGTTGGGGTATTTCTTGGCATGAGCATAGACACGCTTCATGCGTACACCCTCCGGTGTGCCCTCGATACCACTCTGGGCTCCGTGGATGTCGTAGTGGAAGCCGTAGAGAAGTCCGACAGTGATGACGGCGGGGAGACGCTTGGCCATCTGCTTCATATTTCGGAGCTCGTAGATCTCGCCAGGGCCCATGGGGTTGTCGCGGAGAAGGCGCATACCCCAGCCAAGGGGACCGCGGCTCTTGAGAAGCTTGGCGTTGTGTCGGGCATCAGATTCGGCCAAGAGCTCGCGGTAAGACAGCTGGTTGGCCTCGAGCTTGTCTACAGATTGCTCGTCTGAAGAGGGTGTGATGGAGGCGACACCGGTCTTGGGCTCCTTCTCGTCGAGCCTGTTGTTGAGCTCGGGCTCGGAGTCCTCCTGGATCACTGCATAGTTCGGGACCTGGGCCAGCTCGGAATCAGTGGGAACCGGGCGGTTGAAGAGAAGAGGGCCCTGGATGATCATCCACCATTTAACGCTGGGGTCCTTCTTGATCACGCGGGAGTGCAAGAAGGGAACGAAGAAGATAGCGGACAGAATGGCGACGCCACCACCGGTACCCATGGTGACAGCAGCAATGTACCAGGGAGGCCTCTTGGACAGGCCCAGGTTAGGAGAACCTTTGTACACAATGGAGAGTGTGCAAATGGTGGCAGCAACCAGGAAGAAGAAAGGAGCGCTCCAGACGGCCCATCTGATAGGATTCTTGCGTGTGTGCACCGTGAATTTGATGAGCAAGAAGATCAAGGAAGCGAAGCAACCAGAAATGACGGGGGCCATGCCCAGACCGGCGAAGATGGCACCGAGACCCTTGCCATCGTTCCAACCCCACTGGACCTGGGAAGCACCGACAGTTGCAACACCGACACCAGCGACGGCAGAGATAAGGGAGTATGTTGACGAGACATGAGCGGAGTGGCGGGTGCACCACATGACCCAGGAGGATGCAGCGGCAAGGGCACAGGTGAATGCAAGCATTTGGACACCGGCATTGCCCTGGAAGGCTGTGTTGGGGATGATGCCGTTCTTGATGGTATCGGCAGTACGAGCACCGACAGTGACTGCGCCGAGGAACTCGAAGATAGTCCCAAGGATCATCGCCTGGCGGTATGTGATGGAACGGGAGGAGACACTGGTAGCCCAGGAATTGGCGACATCGTCTACAGTCAAGAGTTAGCTGATGTCACTCGAGTACAGCATAGGCGACGTGTTACTCACTTGCACCGTTGTTGTATGCATCAAGCATGGCAAACAACGTGCCGATGGCGAAGATGTAGTCGTACTGGTGGAGAAACATCTTGGTATCTTGTATCGAGTCAATGCTCAGTACTGGACTTCCGGTTGCACTGGAAAAGAAGAACAAGAAATCTGACCAGGAGCCTGTCCTTTATGTATGCAGTCATGATTCCAGAGCTTGATCTGACCATCTACTTTCTACGCTTGATTCGGACCCATGGCGAGCACCGGTTCCCTCGAAGGTCAGCCCGATTGAGACATTCTGACCACACGTGCTGGTCCGAC